ACTCCACCGACCCGATGCCCGCCGAGTAGACGATCGCGCCGTTCGCTAGGCGAACAGGAACGCGATGCGGCGAGTAGGTGACAAACCAATCTCGCCGCGGCGTCATGTGTAGAGACGCACCTGTGTCGGTGTTGAAGTTAGCCGCAGCCTTGGACTGGAGCCACTCCTTGAGAGCGGGGGAGGAAGTAAAAGCGCTTGCCTGGCCTGCGGACTCGACGCGCGCAGCAGCGCCGGAGGTGGATGGCGTAGAGGACGCGTCAGAGGGCGCAGAAGGCGCAGAGGACGCGCCGGACGCGTTGGCGCCGCCCTTGTTCTTCTTCTTCTGCTGGCGCTTCGAGGTAGAAGCGGTGGCGGCGGCCTCCTCCTCCTTCTTCCAGTCCGGCTTGAACTTGGGGCAGTCGCGGATGAGGTGCGGGCCCTTGCAGTTGTAGCACTCGGGCGTGTACCCGGCGCGGTTGGCGGCAAGGGGCGTGCCGTCCGCAGTCATCCGGTGCGAGGCGAACTCGCGCGCGATCATGTCCTTGACCGTCTCGTAGGTGAGCGCCTTGTCGAGCAGGAGGGAGGTGTACATGTTGGCGTGCTGGGGGTTGGGGGAGGCGGCGAGCGCGCGCATGGTGACCATCGCCTTCAGTTTGAGGTCCATCGTGGCTAGGTCGTAGCCGGTCGAGGGGCGCAGGGACTGGACGCGCGTCATGGCCTCGTCGACGCGCGAGAGGAGGTCGCTGAGGGCGGTGGTGGCCTCGGTGTTGTCGCCCAGGTCAACGTCGAAGAAGTCAGAGAGCGCAGCAAAGCGCGTGCCGGCCTCCTGGATGTTGAAGGCGGTCTTCATCGCGTCGTAGAGGTCCTTGGGCGTGCTGCGCTTGTCCTTGAACTGCGGACGAAGCGGCTCCTCCATGGCAAGCCAAAGCTCGCCAGCAGCCTTCTCCAGGCGCTGCTCATACTCCTCCTGAGTGCGGTACTCCGCATCAGTGACCGCGCTCGCGTCCTTGGGCTTGGGCTTGGTGACAGTGCCCTTGGCATAGCGCCAGAGGCCCTTGCTGGACAGCCAGGGCTGGATCTCGCTGTCCCACCAGCTCCAGTTGAAGCGGGTGAGGATGGGGCGGCCGTCTGAGTCACGCTTCGACATGGCGCAAAAAGACGGTTGTTGGGGACGATGGAACGGGCGAAAGTAGACGAGGGTGGGGTCGATGTGTAGGGGAGAAGGGCGCGGAGTGACTAGAAGTCGTTTGGAGAGGAACGAACGCGAAATGCGTGCGCGACGGCGAATATGAGGGAGGGCGAAAATTTGCGGTGATCGGAGGTGCTGGACTTCGCACGGCGATAGCGGCGGTACTGGCGATTTTCGCGGAGCGCGGCTCGGGCACAAGGTAGGGGAGTATCTTGCGCGTCGAATGCCGCTCGAGCGGAGGGAATCGCAGCTGGTACGTGCGCACAACGGCGAATTTGAGTCGCAGTGTCGATCTGGCTGATTGGGGCAGCTAGAGCGCGGGGCTCATAACCTGTCCGAGGTAGAATCGAGCCAGTAATCACACTAGAGCGACAGCAAACAAGTCAGATTCATAAGTAGCGAGATACAACACATAACTACGCACCTAGAGCGACAGCAAACGAGTCAGGAAGAGAAAAGACTCGGATGCGCCGCTCTAGGCAGGAGGGACCGGCAAAAGCCGAGGAAATATGTGGCGCTCGGCAATAAGGCGCGAGCGCATAAGTAAGACTGTAGGTAAGCGTACAGTACCAGGACAAAGTCCGAAAAATCACAGAAAAATACCATAGGCGCTAGAGAGCGCGTAGACACTGATTCCAACAGTCGCCAACCGCGCTCCTACCTCCGCTCTACCTGGCGACACCACCCCCCACATCGCCTGGACTGGCAAGACGCCGGATGTCGGCTACTTCCGCATCTTTGGGTGTCTGGCGTACGTCCTCGTGAAGGACAAGCACCGGCGCGCGCTCGAGCCGCACTCTCAGAAGTGCATCTTCTTGGGGTACCCTCCGGGCACCAAGGCGTGGTTGTTCTACAACCCGGCCACCAAGAAGACGGTCATTTCGTCGCATGCAGTGTTTGATGAGCGCTACATGCCGGGGACGTCGCTCAAGAGCCTCAATCTCATCACTGCGGCGATTATAGACCGAGGTGAAGGCCCTCCGGACTTTGGGGATGCTGCTGATCAAGGGGGTGATGTGCCGTCGCCCTCTACCCATCGTCATAGCGCAGATGACGATGGTGTCGCGCTCTATGATGATCAGCCACCTCCCCCATCCGGACCGCCAGCGCCTGCCGCGCCTGCCGCGCCTCAGTTGCGCACACCGCCGCCCACATCGCCGCCAGCACCCTCTACGCCGCTTCAGCAGCCAGCTGAGCCTACCACGCCGCCTAGCGCACATCCGCCGCCGCCCTCTGCGCCCCGCCCGTCTCGCACTGCGCCGCCTAGCAAGGCCACGCTGAGAGGCAGGCAGGAGCGCGCCCTGAGCGCAGTCCGTCCCCTGCTTGGGAGACAGTTTGGCTGTCTACCTCGAGCGGACCGCCACCGTCGCGTCTGCCTCGGGCAACCAAACCGACCCATAGCTTATCCGAGCGCGAATTGACGACTCGCGCTTGGCAAAAGCAGCCTGCGCCGCCTTCTACAGGCCGCGCTACATCGTCTACACCCGCGCCCCAGCCGCAGGTGACGTCCCCTAATCGGTTTGCGCCGTTATCCGGCCAGATTGAGGAGGTGGACGAGGAGGAGGAGGAGCAGGAGGAGCAGAGCGAGCAGGGGGTGCAGGAGGAGCGCAGAGAGCAGGCGCAAGAGGATGATGCGCAGGACAGAGCAGAAGCGAGGCGCAGGATGATGGAGTGGTCAGGGAGTGAGGATGAGCTGCGGATCACTGATGAGACGCCTATCCCAGGAGCGCACGTTATGCAGGCCGGCCTCGACTATGTCTTCAGCGGCATCACCGAGGAGGACTGGTCAGTAGAACAAGCCCTCAACTTCGCCCTCTCGACCACAGTCGCATCCGACGCGCAGCAAGGCAAGCCCAAGACGTTTGCTGAAGCGCTGCTTCGCCCGGACAAGGCCAAGTGGATCGAGGCCGCATTCGACGAGGTGCAGGCGCTGGTCGACAACGGCACGTTCGAGGTGGTCGAGCTGCCGCCCGGCAAGCGCGCTATTGGCAGCCGGTGGGTGTTCAAGGTCAAGCGCAATGCTGATGGGTCTATCGAGCGGTACAAGGCGCGCTGCGTCGCACAGGGCTTCTCGCAGCGCCCCGGCTTCGAGTACACCGAGACGTTCGCCCCTACACCAAAGTGGGCCGCAATCCGCGCTATTCTCGCCCTCGCCGCTATGGACGACCTCGTGCTCTACTCCATCGACATCAGCAACGCGTTCTTGAACGGCGACCTGGCCGAGGAGATCTACATGCGCCAACCGCCCGGCTTCAAGCTCGGTATAGACCCGGACAAGGACTATGTCTGGCGCTTGAAGAAGTCGCTCTATGGGCTGAAGCAGGCGAGTCATGTCTGGCACGAGACGCTGAACAGGGTGCTTGTAGAGATGGGTTTCACGCGCATCCTCTGTGACCACAGCGTGTGGGTGTATGGGCGCGGCGACGCGCGCATCCTCGTGCCCGTCTTTGTGGACGACATGACGATTGGGTGCAAGACTGACGCACAGGCGCTCGGTATCATCGGCGAGCTGAAGAAGCACTTCAAGCTGCGCGAGTTGGGTCCTACCACCTGGCTACTGGGCGTTGCCATTGAGCGCGAGCGCAGCCAGCGCACGCTGTCTCTTTCGCAGCGCCAGTACGCCGTGGATGTCCTCTAGCGGTTTGGCATGGCCGACTGCCACCCGGTCACCACCCCGCTCGATCCCTCGCACAAGCTCAGCGCCGCCGACGCTCCTGTCACGCCGGAGGACATTGAGTTCATGTCTACCCGCGCTAAGGAGTACGCCTCTGCCGTTGGCGCCATCGCCTGGCTCGCCCTTGCCACTCGTCCCAACCTCGCCTACCCGGTTTCTGTCCTCGCTCGCTTCACCGGCAACCCCGGCCGCTCGCACTGGCGCGCGCTCATGCACCTCTTCCGCTATCTCAAGGGCACGCTTGACTACAAGCTGACCTACGACGGCAAGGCGGTGAATGCGCGCTCCGAGCTCTTCTACACCTACACCGACGCGGACCATGGCGGCGACCCGGACAACGGTCGGTCTACCAGCGGCCAGATTGTCATGATGGCAGGTGGAGCGGTCTCCTGGTCGTCCAAGCTGCAGACTATAGTCGCGCTTTCAACCACTGAGGCAGAGTACGTTGCAGCGTGCTCTGCCGGCCAGGAGATCCTGTGGATGCGCAACTTCCTGACCGAGTGTGGCTACTCGGTCAAGAGCGCGCCCTCCACCCTCTACATCGACAACAACTCGGCGCTGCAGGTGGCCAAGAACCCGGAGCATCATGGGCGCATGAAGCACCTGGACTTGCGCTTCTACTGGCTGCGCGATGAGGTGCATCGCGGCAGCATCCGCGGACATGCCGGCTGACATGCTGACGAAGGCCTTGGGCCGGGTCAAACTGCAGCACATGGCGACACTCTCTGGGCTTGGAGTTGGGCGCTAGGACGTGCTCGATCAAGGGGGTGTGTTGGAATCGGTGTCTACACGCTCTCTAGCGCCTATGGTATTTTTCTGCGATTTTACGGACTTTTTCCCGGTACTGTACGCTTACCTACAGTTATATCTCTGCGCTCGCGCCTTATTGCCGAGCGCCACATATTTCCTCGGCATTTGCCGGTCCCTCCTGCCTAGAGCGGCACATCCGAGTCTTTTCTCTTCCTGACTCGTTTGCTGTCGCTCTAGGTGCGTAGTTATGCGTTCTGTACCACTGAATATACACCTGACTCGTTTGCTGTCGCTCTAGTGTGATCACTGGCTCGATTCTGCCTCGGACAAGGACCACATCCACATCATGCGGGCAGCTCGGAAATAGGACACGTCGGGGATAGAGCGCCAGCGCCGCAAGGAACAGGCCAAGTTCGAGAACGAGATGGTCGAGATGAAGCAGCGGCGAATGGTGGCGAAGGTAGCCAAGATCAAGGCCAAAAATGCCTTGCTTGATGCAACCCTGGAGATTCGAAGCAAGTCCGAGGCAAGGAAGCTGACCGGTGTACAGGTTAACCTGCACTTCGCCAAGTTCAAGCTGATCTGGGGTGCGCAATTGACGCTCCCACCGGGTCGATCAAGCATGGCGGTCAAGCTATGGCAGGAGGCCTTAATCGGTGTCTTTCGGGAGCATTTGCGGCTTTTATCCGAGGGGGCAGTGCGCGCGACCAGGGAGAGCGACGTCGAAGTGGTTCAGATAACCTCCGAGTTGTGGCATGATGAGGAGGATGAGGAGATGGGCGACACGGGTTAGCTGATGGACCGCTGATGGGCCGATTGCGGAAATCTCACGAACGTGTCATGCGATGGGTTCGAAATCTTGTGTACATGTATAGCATACCAATTGTGTCTACTTTGCCTCTAAACGCTGAAGAAAAGTAGTTGGGGTGTTGGTTAAATCGACGAGAGCACCGTTTGGCCAGTTACTATCAAGTAACCGGCGCCATCACTGACCGGGCGGCACCCTTCGGGTGCCCCCCACCACAAGTAAGACTGTAGGTAAGCATACAGTACCGGGAAAAAGTCCGAAAAATCACAGAAAAATACCATAGGCACTAGAGAGCGCGTAGACACTGATTCCAACACTTGCTACGGCACCCACAAACATCCCAAATTGCCACACACTGCCACACACGCGTCCCAGCTGCCACAAACAAAACACTGGCCATACAGCAACAGCCGCACATAGCGCGGCTGCCTGCGCCATCAAAGCCCCCCTCCCCCTCCCCTCTTACGTGCCCTACGCCTGATATCAGGTCCTCAATCCTGACCCCAATACCAACCCCAGCAGGGATCATATACCCCCCTCTCCCCTCTCTCATTCCTCATCTCGCGCAATCGCTCTCTGGGCATCGCACTTGATGCCCTTCCATGCCCCACCACGCACTCCCTCCAGCACACGTTGCCATGCCCACTCATGCAAGGAACACGACACGTGTTGTGCTGGCAAAAATTCTCACTGGCGCATTTTGGTTTTTTCTCATCTTTTGTGCATCGTAGCGTGTTTTAGCAGATATCATGTGTATATCATACAGTATATAGATTGTTTACCATCAAATACACAGAGGAACGCACCCAATGCGTTGAAGTGCTGACTAAGCAAAGCTGACGCGCGCACAGGCGGTGCATCAATCGCCACAGCGGCAGAGCGCATGCGAGGTGTGGGCGTGCGGCGCAATTACCCGCCCGGCGAGCCTAGGGGGGTGCCTGCCGCATAAGGCGGTTGCCAGCAACATCCTGGGCAGCTCGCTGGGGGGCGTGGCTTTGCAGGCGGGAAGTTCACGCAGGATTTCAAAAGATCAGCGGACATATGTTGGGTACTTTTTAAAAAGCTTTACTTCCACAGCTGACTTCCGGCCTTGACGGAAGAAGGTATTGCTGTCTAGTGACTCAGTCCCGTGGTGAAGGGCGAAGCAGTGAAGGTGTATGCACATCACCGTCCAGATTGATGCATAGACGAGCCCCTTTGTTGCATCAACTGTGACTGACATGAAGACCCTTCAAACAGCTCCAGCGGCATTTCAAGAAGCCAACACAGTGCTTGGAACAAACACAAACACAGGAGACATGATAGTTGTACATTGCGTTCTCGGGTGTCTCCTTCTCTGGCCTGGGAGGAGGTAAGCCTTGGGAATACAGAGTCAAGGACGAACGTACTTCTTATATGGTGACTGGCACCAGTTTCACAATAGATATGCTGTATCAGCCCAAACCCATTTGCCATCCTCTAGGAGATCGCCATGCTGGGCAGTGACCCGAGTGAGTTCCCATGCAGTGGCATCGTGCTGGCTACCAGGAAGTCCGATGGAGTAGTTGATAATCATACAGTCGGGGGTTGGAGAGAAGCTGATAGAATCATGAGATGGGTGGTAGAAAAACAAGGGAGTAAAGACATACCTGTACGTTCAATGAATAGTTCGACTTGCGATTATAGAAAGTGTTCCCAAAATGTCCAGGTCTGCAATAGAGGGGAACCAAAGTCCCATCCACCGTCAACCATCCATCACGCTAACCAGGGCAAGAGGTGTCTTTCACCCAATGCTTTGCCTTCTCTTTCTCTGGCGCATCTGGCCACTGCCGTTAGGAAGCACTCTGTACAGTCAGCCTTCATGACATGCGAGGTCATAAGGTTGACTGTACCATAGCCAACGCCAAACATGAGGGCAATCTTCATGTTGCTGGCTGCGTTACTGTAATGACCGAAGCAATAGAGTGCAATAGCAAGCTGATGTTCCAACGGCATCTGCTCGTTCCTTGAGTTGTTGTAGAAGACGGGGTCATCTTTGAGAGCAGAGACAAGTGCATCGAAGCAGGCTGGTGTGACACGAACATAGGATCGGAAGATACTTGGATGGTCCTTCTTGTATACATGCAGCAGGTTGTGAAGATGTTGAGGGCAAAAGGCGGTGACAGACACAAACACAAACACGAAAGATGATGGTTTGAGACAAAGAGTACAATGGGAACAATGACTATCTAATTTGGCGGACTTCCCCATTGGGCCGGTCCAAGCACACCAATCCCAACAGAAGAAGCGCCAAGGTTTTTGGGATCTTCTTGTGTGGCTGCAGATAGCGTGTAGCATACAGGTTGCACATAGCCTGTATGTACTTCTCGGCCGCAGACAGCTTGTTATTGGAAGCATTGATGCCCGATGCGCTATCCTTGGTTGCCGAGTCTGTCAAGCTCGAGTCCAATGACCCATTGTCGATGCCGTCAGAGTCACTCAAGCTATCCCACGCATTATCATACTCCAGCTTCCGAGATTCCAGATCAGAGATCCAATCTATCAAGAAGGCCTGCTTGGGAGCCTGAGCGGCCTCGCAACATTCTGTGGGAGCAGGCATAACAGGATAGATGGCTTGCACGGGACGCCTGCGATCAAGAATGGCATGTTACTGCCGAGATTTGCCAAGAGGTATTTTGTGGCGAGTTTGGTTTGCCACCTGGTTTCATGGCGATGCAAAACCGGTATGGTCAAAGTTGGGCAAAACATGATATCGTGAACCAAACTTTCATCCAACTATTTACCCAACCCCTTGCCCAACCGTCACCCAACCAAACTGTGAACCTCCCTATTGTTGTTGAGACAAACCTGCCAGTGGCTGAACTTGGGGTCAATGCTTGTGAAGAGCCTCTTGTCCTGGAGTGTCACATAGTAGTCCTCGATGCGTGGAAGAGGGTATGTGTCTGGCACGGTAAGACTATTCAGCTTCCTGTAGTTGGCACAAATCCTTGACGTACTGTCCTTCTTCCGCACAGGCAGTAAGTTTGAAGCCCACGGCAAGTTTGACCCCTCAATAATGCTGTCTATCAGGCCATCGTCAATGAATTTCTTGGTGGCCTAATGTCCGAGTGGTGAGACGGGCATCCGGATGAGCATTTCCCATGTTGATGGTATATATCTATCAACAAGTGGGGGGAAAGCTCACCTTATCCGGAAAACAGTCTAGCACCAGCTTCTTCATCTTGGCCTTGAGCTTGTCTGTAAATGCGTGGAGCTTCGACTTTGGCTTTGTGAGGGACTTGGCAGAGTCAATGGTGGCCTTCAAGCTCCACTGCAAGGCAGAATCGGAGTCAACAATGGTCTCTGAGCTGGTGTCCGAGTTGGCAGACGTCACACAAGAGTCCAAGTCATTGTTGGAATTGGCAACAAAGATATAGTCGGCATATGTCTCACGTGGCATGTTGGCGTTCCACGTGGCCAGAGTGGGCGGTGGGATGTGCATGTTCACACCCGGTGCTGTGCAATGTTGTAAGTAGGGGAACATTGCGCATCATGTATGCAACTTACAAGGTATGTCAGGTGACTCCACTTCAGCGCTGATGATAAATAGTTGTCCAGACTTTGAATTGTGAAGGATGTATGCATTGTTGTTGTACAAGGGGTGTGCTTGATAGCGCTTGAGCCAGGGCTGGGGGCTCAATGTCCCAGCAGTCAGACAACACACATACCATCTCTGGGATCTCATCATTGTTGGGGATGCGCGACCGTTGTGCACCCCAGGGAAGCTCATCAAGGAGCTCTTTCTTGACTGGAGGGGTCTCTTGTTGGGATAAAAAGTGACCTGACCTGGGTTTGAACCAAGGACCTCCACCTCTTGGGGGTGATGCTCTAACCACTGAGCTATTGGGTCTTTAGTTACTGAGGTGCTGATCACAAGTCAATATCTCTGTGACCACTGCAAACATTGGCTGCGGGCGGGGACAACAGGCAGTCGCAGGAGGATTGCGCTGCTGCTGCTGTTGCTGAGGTCAGGTGACGCAGCTGGGTGCGCAGCAGTTACACGCAATGTGGCCATGGCGGTTGCAGTTGAAGCAGCGAGGGCTCGCCGTGTTGTTGCACAGTGCATTCTTGATGTTGTCAAGGTCTATGGGTGCCGGCTTGTTCAATGATGATGAGCTGTTGTTGGCAGGGAAGGAGAATGATTGTTAGATATGTCATGCCAAGGGGTTGGAACACTTTGCAAACACCTATAAGAGGTGACGCCGTTCGATGTCTCTGCGTTCCGCTGAGAAACGAGGACATGAGATGAAATCCGCGCGTTTACAAGTCGGAGTCGGGCGGAAACGCGGAATGAAGATAAGAGAGGAGTTGAGCGAGAAGGGAAGACAAGGAGTTGGCGGGAAACCAAGTTGATATTTTTGCTGGCTATCTAGGAGCAGCTAGCCAGCTTATATACGGGTAGTAAGTGCGATGCATCGGATTCCGGTGCATGTGTGCGGAGTAGAGATAAATACGAGTCCATGTGGAAAAGGTCCATTCAGATCTTGGTAAAGTAACGATAAGTAGCGAGTGCAGCAATACGTGCGATGGCGGAAGAATGAGGGAAGAATGAGTAAGAGATAAGACGGTAGAACGGTACGCGGGACTCCGCGTCGGAAATGGAATGCGGGTCGGAAAGTAAGTACAAGTGCAGAAATGACAGAATCATCGGAAATACCGGAAACGTTGGAATCATCGGAAAGAAACAAAAGGTAAGTAGGATGTAAGTAAAGAGTCGGAAAGAAAAGGAAACATATCTATGTGTTATGTGCACACTGCATGTAACAATGATGCAGGGAAATGACCTGCGGGATGCAGGGTGTTGTGGCACCTGTTGCGTGACTGCTGCTGATGGTGGATGCGTGAGTTCAAAGAGGGCAGAGCATTGCACAACGATGAGACACAGTAAGCCTGGTCCCAGCCTGAGCACACTTGTACACCTCACTCATCCTCGTGTAGGGTTTGTGATCATGAAGGTAGACAACGAGGGGTGCGGGAAGGCCGCAGTAGAATGCGAAGAGGTGCGTCTCGAGCAGCATCTTGTCCTGTGAGATCTGCAACTCGATATTGCGGAACAGCTCGACATACTTGTTGATGTTTCCATTGTACGTGAGGTCAATGCAGTGCACATGCAGTTTGTGCAGGAAGATGGGGGGCTCCCAGTAGGCCAGGAATGCCTCCTTGAAGTCATTGCAGGCAGGGAGGCTATTCTAATGCTCCTCGCGGTATGACTTGCCCCACTGATTGGTTGACTTGTCCATGAGACTGAGGATGGTGTCCAACCAGTCAGCGCAAGGGACATGCTGTGCGATGAGGATGGCCGTGGTGGCTGAGAGCCAGAGAGTCAGGCTGCCGTTCTTCATGCTGCCCCTGAATTTCTTTGGGGTGATCTTGAGCGTGTTGCACGAGGACATTGCTTGGGGAGGTGCAGTATTGGCGACGGTGTTCTTGATGGCTGCCTGGAGCTGGGCCATCGATTGCTGGTTGAAGTCAGAGAAGTGATGAAGGGTCTCTTCAATGGTGGTAGCACACTGATCAGCCTGCGTGATGCGCTGCTCAGCATTGGCCACAGCCTGTTGTGCACTGAAGATAGTGTTGGTGAAGTAGTTGAAGACATGCATGAAGACAGGCTGCAACTCGGGCAGCAGAGTGTCGAGAAGTGCGTTGATAGTGGTTGGGGGATCCATTTGTCAAAAGTGGTGCGTAGGAGGGCGAGTCTGCCTTCTCCCCAGTGACGCGTCCAAAGTGTCACGTCACACAGTAGAGGTTCGACCCCTCCACCATAACATAGCACTAGCGTTACGCTCCGGATTAGGAAGGTGCCCCTATCTGTAGATACAGGCGACGTGGCGCCTCTTTCCCAACTTCCCTCAGTCGCTATCTCCCTAGCAGGAAGACTGAGGTCTTGCGTGTCCTGCGCTCTTTTAGCTCGTGAAACCATTGTAGATAGCTAAGCTTGTATTGTAAGACAAATGACACAATCGGTGTGCAGCGTACATAGTAAGAGCTCTCCGGGAATAACAGCGGTGTTGAATCTTAGCAGCTGACTGCAATAAATGATGCCTAGGACGTCACATCAGAATGTGATGTGATGAAGTTCGTATTCAGAGGTACCTTTGGGACGATGACCAGATCATTGTGCAAGGTTGTTGGTAAACCCTACACTTGATCAAGTGTGGCTCTTGCATCTTTGACTAGCGATTAGACTGGGCTTTCAGGTGGAAGAGGGAGGAGAATTCTGAATATATTTGAGAGTTTGGATGGCTTAAATACTCATAGGTAAATGGGGTGCAAATGATGGCTGAATAATGCCAAGAAATACACTGACTCATCTCAAGTATCTACAAGTCAGAAGAAACAACACATATATACTAGAAAGTGAACACAAAGATAAGAAAGACGGAGAGGGGAAGTCCGCTATCCAAAACCTCGGTCGAGACCGTCCAAAAGCGGAAGTAGCTGTTGTGAGTCACAACAGGGCCCGGGGTGACCACGCGAGCGCTGATGATGACCATATGACTCGCCACTGAACGCTATTCACCCAGCGCATTTAGCATCACGTGACCAGCCCGCCGCTCGGTCTCCCATGCCACATGATGCCTTACGTGTTGGACAATGTGCTGTTGCAGCGCTTAAGTTCATCAGTGTCGTTGACCATGACAATGACAGCAAAATTCCATGTAACTTACAGCACATCACACCTTAAAGAATGAAACTTGCATAAAATGACATTGAAATGGCTATCAAGCTACAGTAGCGGAAATGGGAGGGAATGAGGCATTGAGGGGAGGGTAACTAAGACCTATGGCATCTGCAAAAGAAGGTAAGGAAGATGTAAGGATTTCATAAGATAGTTACGCACCTGCAGCTCATCCAAGTCGAGTTGATCGTCAACAACAGAGGGTGGGTGGGAAGGAGACGAGGGCAGAGCATTGCTCAACACACGTAGTGACGGCACAGGGGACAAGGAAAGCGGGTGGTACCCGAGGAGGTTGGCGGTACGTTGGCGCTTGCGCGGGGGAGCGTTTGCTTGCACCCAAGTCGTATCGCACATGCAGCCGGTCTTGCTGCAGTGCTCCATTTCCTGTCCGTGGTGTATTACGTCCTTGTCAAAAGTGGTCAGTAGGGTGAGTCTGCCTTCACCCGGAGTCACATGACCGCTCCCAACTCCAGGAATCACTGTGTCACATTCCCAGAGTTGGTGTCACATGATCACATGATTTTTCCCCATGCTTTGCCCCGGTGGCCCTGTACATACACGTGTACTCTTTCCTTCTTTTCCCTCAGTCGCTATCCTATACACAGGGAGACTGAGGTCTTGCGCTCTCTGCGCTTATTTAGCTCGTGAAAGTCCTCCCCAAAGTGCTTGTGCTTGAGGTTGTCGAAGTAGATCTTGCTTTGCTCAGGAGGGAGTTCTGTCTTCTGCTGCTTGATGTAGTGCATGGTCTTCTTGAGCCAGTGAAGGAGGTAGTCCACATACTCTTGACTGCCCTCAACCTATGGGCAGGGGTCAGCAAAATGACCAGGTACGAGGGTAGGACACACACCTGGCGCTCCATCTTGTCATCATTTATCCCGCCGTTGTGGTCAATCACGGTCGTGCTGTTCATGCCCGTGGTGGTGGTGGTGGTGGTGGTGGTGGTGGTGGGGGGCAAGCCGATTGCGGGCAGTTCGTCACCAACGGAGTCCCCATTTGGGCGAATCTCCGCGGCACACGTCAAAGCTGGGCAGACCGCGAAGGTGTTATGCCAGTGTCCCTGCTTGAGGAGACATCAGTCTCCCGACCATAGATTATCGTTGCCATCAGATATGGACTCGTCCGCGAAGTCAATATATGCGCTGGGAGCGGTGCTGCGGGGAACAAGTGCAGGATGGCGGTAGAGGGGCACGGTGCGGCGACGTACAACCTCCTGCCAGAAGGTGGTCGGAGGAGCCTGAACGGCTTGGACAAGGTGCTTGCAAAGGTGATGGGAATGGTATTTCTGCCACCTGCAGTTGCAAGTCCACGTAAGGACATTGGTCTTGTACGTCTTCGTGCTGATGGCCGCCATTGCAAGTTTTTGCCATCCGGACTTGAAATACTTCTGCATGGAGGTCAGGGTCTTTGAGCGGCCCATACAGAACGTATCAAGCATGATCTCCATTGCCTGCAGGTATGCGGGGTTGACACAGTAGACAAGAATGTATACAAGATGGTCGAGGCGGGGATGTATGAGGGTGGATGTGTGAATGCTTGAGCTGCTTCCAGAAGTTCTCGATGGTCATGGTGGTGCGCAGATGCAGGAGTCGCGCACAGGTTGAGCGCGCCCACAGGGTCCAGCGCTTTTGTTGATACCAGTTGGTCCACATGTATCCCCAGACTTCTCGGAGACCGCGTGCGTGGCAGAAATGGTATTTCCCAAATGGAATTGCGCCGGATGTGTTCCACAGACATTGAGCCCTTCTCGCGCTCCGGGAAGAACAAGTGGAGGCAGAACTGCTTGGTGAAGAGGCGAATTATCTGCTTGCGGTGCTTGGCCGGGCAGAAAAGGTAGCCAGGGACCTTCAATTTCTTCTCGTCCAGGTCGACCATCCAGCCGGGCACGTTGACAACGCCTGCCTCAAGGTTCTTGCTACGCCTCTCAACAACGCAGAGAAGCTGGCCCCCTTCGCAGCCCTCATCATTGCTCTCGTCACTGTTGGACATTCGGCCTGTCACATGTTATGACTCACGCATCACATGATGGACACACGGACACACACGACATCATATATTTATTGCTTACATGTCCATTGCATTATCACATGCTACCTACCATCCTGTACATATATAAGGAGGGCCTCTGCCCCCAGGAATAGCAGGTATTTACCTACCTCTGCGCTTGCCTCATACCAAGCTCCTTACCACCAGGTAAGCAGTATAGGCGCACTTCCCAGCATGCTCAACAGTCACTATCATTGATGGTGTTCTCTACGTCGTCTTCATCAGCATTGTTGCCACACTCACGGTCACGGTGGTACACAGCAATCATTGTCTGCTTGATGCCGTTGAAGGTAAACGTCACCCGCTGTGATGGCGGGGGGAGTTCGGGCGGTGGCGGGCGTTGCAACGGCGGCAGCGCCTGACTGAGTGATTGGCCATCAAAAATAACATTCAAAATCAGCATTTGTGTGTATGCACAGCCGCGCATGCCTGGCTCGGGACAGCTGCTGCTGGTGCATACTGGCCCCACCGACAAACTTTCCACCACCATCCTCAACTCAAGCCCGGACCTGCGGGACTTACGCATAGTCAAGGCCCAGCAGCTGGGATTTGCCACGGGGATTCCCATGGCACCGTGGCCAGCGCCGCCTCTGAACCAGGATGCCAAGATGGCTGACGTGCAGCCGTCGACATCCGCTTCAACCCAGCTATCGATGTCGACCTCGAGCTCGCTTCCTGCTGAGGCTGACACCACAGGAACTAGCTTGTTGACGATGCCCGTAGTGAGCGGGACATCGACTATGACGGAGGGCGGATCCGCCGTACGGCTCAACCCGGACCACGCCAAACAGCAGGAGATGGAGGTCGTTGTCAAGGACGGGAGTGACGCGAATAGGGCGCTCAAGACTGGCAACGAGAAGACGAAGGAAGCGACCGGCGAAGGCAGTGGCGCAACCTCGACTACTCGGTAGAGTGTGGTCAAGGTGCAAGACCCTCCTGTGCCGCGCAATGTGGATAGTGGGACGACTGCTCAGTAGCATGTGGCCACCCCGCTATCCACCCTTCGATTCCGCCTGGACGTCTACGTCGTCCCGAGGGGGAGGGTGTAAGGAGGCATGGACTTGTGGGGCTTTATGGGCGCGTGGCGTCACGTGGCACGTGACGCTAGACATTTATATATCATTTCTTGGTTCCCGATTCGGACAGTCCTATTTTGTCCTGTACGTTACCTGTATCTTGAAGCATCGCGTGTGAGCGATTTGGTTCAGCTACGCATGACGTCTAAGGACAGAGGACAAAAGGGCCAACACCCTTACGATGTTGGTGTCAGTCTTTGTGCCGTTGGTGATGAATATTGACAGTACCGTAAAGAACAATGGATAGATCCAAGTGCGAGGTTGTTGGTAGACCCCACACTTGATCAAGTGTGGCTCTCGCCTCTTTGGTTAGCGTGAGAGACAGGCTTCGGGCGGAAGAGGGAGGAGAATTCTGAGTATATTTGAGTATTGTAGTGTATATATACTGTCAAAAGGGGTCGGTAGGGCGAGTCTGCCTTCACCCGGAGTCACATGACCGCTCCCAACTCCAGGAATCACTGTGTCACATTCCCAGAGTTGGTGTCACATGATCACATGACTTTTCCCCACGCTTTGCCCCGGTGGCCCCGTACATATGTGTGTATTCTTTCCTTCTTTTCCCTCAGTCGCTATCCTATACGCAGGAAGACTGAGGTCTTGCGCTCTCTGCGCTTATTTAGCTTGTGAAAGGTTATGAGCCCCGTGGCCTAAATCGAGCAAGACTTCGATCTGCAACTCACTCTATCCCACTCTGCGCCATGGCTCCCAAGGACAGCAAGGTCCCAACGCTCACCGATGCGGCGGACTGGCCGCTCTGGCGCCTCCGGGTCACCGACGCCCTCAACAGGGACGATCTCACCTCTGTGGTGACTGGATCGGAGAAATCCCCTCCCCCTGAGATCGCGGTGACTCCACCGACGCCAACAACGTCCTCACCCCCGTCCACGTCACCCGGTGCTCCGGCGACCACCACCACATCCACAGGATTGGGCCCCTCCTCCACCACTCACCAAGTTGCGCGGAGGGAGACCTGGTCCTGGCGGAACGCCCGCGCCCTCTCCACTATCCGGGAGTACCTCTCAAATGACATTGCCCTCGAGCTCCACGAGTACTAGCACGCGAGCAAACTCTGGGAGAAACTCGTCGAGAAGTTCGAGCAGACCAACACCAGCGAGATGGCGGTCACCGAACTGATCAAGATCTTCCGTGCGAAGCTCGCCGACGCCGACAATGGAGACGTCTCCCGCGAGGCAATGAGCGCGCACATCCACCGCGTCCGGCAATTGGTCACCCAGCTCGCCACTCTTGGCTACCCCCTCAACGCCAACCTCGTCCCCCTCATCCTCCTCGCCTCCCTTCCCAGCTCAGAGAAGTGGAAGATCGTCTCGTCCGGTATCTCGGTGGGAAGCTCCAAGACCGCGCCCCTCACCCTCTCCTACGTCGAGGCGAAGCTGATGGCGCAGGTGATCAGCAAGAAGGACTCGGACGATGAGCAGGCATACGCCGCCTCCTCTTCTCGCGCGCCCCCACCGCGCAAGCCCAAGGACAAGGGCAAGAAGAAGGCCAAGGCCAAGGTGTCCTGCGTCATCCACGGTGAGGGGCACTCCACCGAGGAGTGCAAGACGATCATCGGGCAGAAGGAGAAGGCGCTGAAGAAGCGGAAGGAGCGGGCGGCGGAGAAGGCGAAGGCGAACAAGGTGAAGGACTCGGACTCGGATTTGGACTCAGACTCGGACTTGGATGTAGACGACACGCATGTAACCGTCTCGCGCCGTGCCTACAAGAAGATTTCCGCCTATGTCCAGTCTGATCCTAAGCGACCGCAGCGACACCAAGGTTCGCACATTGTCAACTCGGGTGCGTCAAAGACCATGACCCCCGACAAGCGCCTCTTCGACGACAGCACTTACCGTGTCCTTGACCCGCCGCGCAACATCTACCTCGGGAATGTGTCCGTCATCAAGGCAGTAGGCATTGGCACTGCCTGCTTCGCCTCTAAGACACCGGATGGTGTGCGCGCGCTAACCATTCGGAAGACACTACACGTCCCCGACCTTGCGTTGACGCTCATCTCGGTGCCCCAGATCACCAAGCGTGGTCTGCGCGTGTCCTTTAAGGACAACGCCTGCACTATCCGCGACTCCTCCGGCAATATTGCCTGCGTCGCGACGCGCAAACACGGTCTCTATCACGTTGACTGCCAGCCCATTGGCACGGACGAACGCGCCTTCACCGCCATTGACATCAACCGGCTGCACCAGATCATGGGCCATACGAACTTCGAGAGCCTGCGCAACATGGTCCGTCATGGTCAGCTCGGGGAGGTCGACACACTCACCGGCATCCCATCCTTCTGTGAGCCCTGTGTCATGGGCAAGATGAAGAAGCTCCCCTTCAAGCGGAGCACCACGCCCGCCTCGCGCCCGCTACAGTTCGTCTCCTGTGACGTTGGTGGCCCCGTCGACCCTGCTGCGATTGGCGGCTATCTCTACTGGATCGTCATCGTCTGCCACTACTCCTCGGGCGTCTACACGCTCTTCACAAAGAAGAAGTCGGAGGTCTACAAGAAGCTCCGTCAGTGGCGCATCAGCATCGCGACTCTATCAAGCAGTGGGAGTGGCTCCCCGGCTGGGTTGAGTTCACCCGCACAGACGGCGGTGGCGAGTTCTGCTCGAACAAGATGGAGGCTGAGTTCCGGCGACGCGGTATCATCCACGAGACGACGGCGCCCTACACGCCTGAGCAGAACGGCATAGCGGAGCGCATGAACCAGACGCTGGTCACCCGGGCAATCGCTAACCTCTGTGCGGCTAAGCTTCCCCGGAAGTACTGGATGTACGCGATGGAGTACGCCACCGACATGATCAATCTGTCACCCGCTAGCCGCCAGAAGGGAGAGCTGCCCATCAACCGCATGCGCAAGGTCAAGCGCCCTATTGACGTCCACGCCCTGCACCCCTTCGGTTGCCCCGCCTACCTGCTCATCCCAAAGAAGAAGCGGAAGGGCAAGTTCGCCGACCACGCCCGCCGGTGCATCCTCATAGGCTACGCTTGGTCTGAGGGCACAAAGGCGTACGTACAAGCTCCTCAAGATCGCCACTCAGAAGGTCATCATCTCCCGGCACGTCAAGTTCGACGACGCCTCCCCCTCTCCTGACGAGATGCGCGCGGGCGAAGACGATGTGTCTGCCGAGCAGTGGGAGGACTTTGGCAAGTACTTCCGTCTGCCGCCCAAGGACACTCCTGCTCCAGATGCAGGCAGTGACAGCGAGGACGATGACAACGATGATGCGCCGGCCCAGCCACCTGCAGTCGGGTCAGTGGGAGCACCTCGTCCACCCACACCAGAGCCAGTGGGAGATAATCGTCCGTCCTCCCCTGACTCGGACGGGCCACCGCCGGCTCCACGTCCACCTAAGACGCGCATACTGCACCGGTCTCTGCCACCGGCCACGCCACCGCCGGCTCCTGCCCCCGCCGCTGGTCCATCACGCCGCCCTGGCCTTCGCAAGCCAGAAGAGCGAACGGCAAACCAGCACAAGGACCAGGGCTACATTAACGCTCGGGAGCGGCAGGAGAACCACTGGAAGGTGTCCGCCCAGCAGCGGAAGCAGCGCGAAGCAAACATCCGCGCGCGCGAGCAGCAACTCGAGGAAAATCGCCGACGTCGAGAGCAGCTGCCTCAGGCGGAAGCTCCTCCTCCTCCTCCCGCACCAGCTCCCGAACTAGAACCTGCACCAGCGCCTACCCAGGGGGGTGGGGATCCCCTGGGTCAACCCGATGAAGAGGGCAAGTCAGTGAACTTTGCTTTTCTCAATGATGAACTCTTTGCGGGCGCGGCATCTGGTGGTCGGTCGAGCAGCGGCGCGCGGAAGATTCCCACCACTTGGAAGCAAGCCATGGCGAGCCCAGAGCGTGACAAGTGGTTGGACGCGCAGTCGGAGGAATTGAACAGCTTCAAGCTGAACAACGTCTACGAGGAGGTACCCATCCCGGAGGGCGTCAAGCCGATTACCTCCAAGCATGTCTTCTCCTTGAAGGAGGATGCTCAAGGGAACATCGAGCGGTACAAGGTGCGCATCGTGGCGTGCGGCTTCACTCAGCAGGAAGGAGTTGACTACCAGGACACCTTTGCGCCCGTCGCAAGCCTGGAGTCCATCCGCATCATCCTCGCCCTCGCCGTCCGCCTCGGCCTCTACACTGACCAGATAGACGTGAACACCGCCTACCTCAATGGTGACCTGCTACAGACACTCTACATGCTTCCCCCGACCGGGGTGGACATCCGGGAGGGCTACTGCTGGCGACTCAAGAAGTCGGTCTACGGCCTCAAGCAGGCCGGTCGCGCGTGGAACCAGACGCTCCACAACAAGCTCGACAAGCTCGGGTTTGTGCGCCTCAACTCGGAGACTTGCCTATACGTCTTCCGGGACGGTAAGCAGGTCTGCTTCCTCGTCGTCTACGTTGACGACCTCCTCCTCGCTGCTACCTCGCGTCCTTTCATGGACAGCGTCAAGAAGAAGCTCACCGCCTCCTTCAAGATGCGCGACTTGGGTCCCGCCAAGTACCTCCTGGGCATCGAGATCATCCGGCACCCGGGCAAGCGCACGATCTCCCTCTCCCAGAGGAAGTACATCGACACCGTGCTTGAGCGGTATGGCATGTCGGACTGCACGGGCGTCAGCACCCCCATGTCCACAAGCACTCGCATCTCCGCCGATGACCCGAACGACAACGAGGTGCGCACTCACATGGCCTTGGTCCCCGGAGGTCCCGTCATCTCCTACCAGAGTGTCGTGGGCTCGCTCATGTACGGGATGATGGGTACCCGACCGGATACTGCCTACGTGGTGGGGGTTCTTGGCCGCTATAGCGCCGCCCCCAAGGCTTGCCATTGGGAACTGGCCAAGCGTGTCCTCCGGTACCTCAAGAAGACGCGCGACTGGTGCCTTGTCTACGATGGCGCTGACGCTGGCATGGACCTCGACTTCCATGGCTACACTGACGCTGACTGGGGCGGATGCAACAACACGTCCAAGTCTACCTCCGGCTTTGTGTTCATCTCAAGTCGGGGCGCCATTGGTTGGTCCAGCAAGCGGCAGTCCATGGTCTCTCTCTCTTCTACCAAGTCAGAGTATATTGGTCTCGCTAATGCTGGCCAGCACTTGGCGTGGCTCCGCTCATTCTTTGAGGAGTTGGGACGTCCGCAGGCTGGTGCCACCGAGCTCAGGTGCAACAACCGTGCAGCCATTATCCTCAGCCAGGATGCTCAGTTCCGGGCTTGGACAAAGCACATCCAGCGGAAGTACCATTACATCCGCGATGGGCTGGTTGCCACCGGCGAGTGCGTCGTCCTCTGGTACCCCACGGACGAGATGGTTGCGGACATCTTTACCAAGGCACTACCTCATGAGAAGCATCTCAAGTTCTGCCAAGGTATGGGTTTACGGCCAGACTCGAGTGGGAGTGTCAAAAGGGGTCGGTAGGGCGAGTCTGCCTTCACCCGGAGTCACATGACCGCTTCCAACTCCAGGAATCACTGTGTCACATTCCCAGAGTTGGTGTCACATGATCACATGACTTTTCCCCACGCTTTGCCCCGGTGGCCCCGTACATACGCGTGTATTCTTTCCTTCTTTTCCCTAAGTCGCTATCCTATACGCAGGAAGACTGAGGGTATGTCTTTTACTTACTTTACTCTTACTTATACTGACTGTACTTTAGTCTTGCACTCTCTGCGCTTATTTAGGTATGAATTCAGTCGCTATCCTATACGCAGGAAGACTGAGGTCTTGCGCTCTCTGCGCTTATTTAGCTCGTGAAATATACTCCCCCCCCACCAAAAAAACTCGCCCATCCGGTCCAATCACAATCACGTGGCGATGGCGCATGTCTGCGTTGCCTGATTCTTTTGTAGTCTACACTATCATGTATGGTTGGCCGTCAGCGAGATCGCCACTACAATGCAGCTACTCGAAATCGCTTCGTTGGCCGCTGCCTGGCCGATGAAGCCGCAGGCCGAAGGCCAAACATGGCTGCTCATGCCCGTGCTGAAGGAATCAACAAGCATAGTGGCTGTGATATCTGGTATAACTTCAAACGGCAATGTGACACGGAACGCAAGAAGGGACGCCCACGCAAGCTCACGCCCAAAGCGGAGCTCCACATCATGCACAAAATCCATTGTGATTGGCGGGAGCCTGATGAGCTGGTGGCAAAGCTTGTGGGTGTCTCTGCATCCACAGTTCGCAGGTACCTGGCATCCAAGGGGTACCGTCGGGTGAAGGCAAAGCACGCCTTCTACCTCACACCAATTCACAAGAAGCAGAGGCTGCAGTGGGCTCAAGCGCACCAAAGACGCTCGCTCACCAACGTTGCCTGGACCGATGAATACTATGTCCACACCGACCGTGGTTGCAATGCTATCTTCATCACTCGCCGTCCAGACGAGAAGTACAAGGAACACTGTTTGATACCCACCTTCAAACAGTTGCCTGTACACATCATGGTGTGGGGATGCATCATGAAAGACAGAAAGGGCCCGCTCGTCATTCTCAACTATCCTGGTGGGAGGGAAGGGGGTATGACAGCTGCTCGCTACATTGAGCAGGTTCTAGAGGGGGCGTGGATGCTGTTCTATGAGAAGGTGCGGAAGGAGACTGGCTGGGAGGTCTTATCTCAGCAGGATGGGGCGCCGGCATATGGGGCGAAGATCACACGGGTGTGGATAGGACCCCTGACAATACACACAGAGGCCGGATACTGAAAGTCGGCCTTTTGGGCATTCCTGTCCGGACCCCCGACGGGGGTCCTCGCCGTTCTTGTCCGGACTAGTATCTGACCGCAATATTTTCCTGTATTTTCCTCGATTTTTTTCCGGCACCTCCGGCGCCGCGGACCCTGCTCCAGCCCCATACTACACGACCACAAGTTTTCTGCACGCTGTCCTTTGCTATGAAAGCTACGTACAGAGCCCAAGGATCGCATTCTATGTACGCTTCTTGAACAACTCCATGACACGCAACAACTGAGGCATCATTGTCGATAGCCCCTTGACCTCGTCTGCTACCTGCTCGTGCAGTTGTATACCAAACGGCGTCGACTGGGGAGGCCTGTCGAAAGGGAGCGCGATGAGGAAATGATGAGAAGAGGTTTGGGCAAAGTGGGGTAGTTGCAATAGCGCTGTCTGCGTCGTTATGGCGTTCCATCTCGTATACACACCGCTCGTGCATTCGAAGAGCTGCACGAGCATATAGGACACAGCGGCAATGTTGGAGACTCGCTCAGTACACGCATGCTTGCCGTGTTTGCCGCCGGTCTTGCAATATATCTCCAGAACTTGAGTTCGGTGAGCTCGCGCGCGAGATGTCATAGCGTACACGCAGACATACCTTTCCCAACGCGCAGCCCTTTGCTAGTGTAGATCACGCCATAATCTCCTGCTTTGAGAGGACGGAGGCCGGTAACTCTCGCGTTGATCAGAAGTGGTAGGCAACTTCGATGATCCTTGAGGGGAGCGAAAACCTGCGAGAATATGTGCTGGCGGCGAGCCGCAGCCTAGAATCCTTTAGTGCACCGATCTGAGAAGACTTCGTTGGGGCTATACCTTCTTGGCTACGGCATCCGCCATTGCAGCAGCGTTCGCTGCATTTCCGGAGGCTTGTCCATCACCCTCTGTCCACCGCGCGAGGCGCTCCTTCCCGGTCCCCTGCACGATCTCGCTATTTTGTCGCAGGCAGTCGCGTAGCCGCTCGGAAATTTGTGCGCGTAGGGAGGCGCGCTCATCATCCGCGACCTCGGAATCATGAACAGGCACACTACGAGTGCGCGTGCCATCCGCCGCTTGCTTGGTTTGGTGCTTTTGACGTAGTCGGACAAGGGTGTCGAGATCGAGCTCTTGCGCCTCATATCCTCCTGGAGTGCCGAATACGATCTGCGAGCGCGAATCAGGCAACTGGAGCGCAGGGAGTTCGATCTGGAGGGAGTGAAACTCCTCTGCATCGACATCATGCAGCTCCTCAGTCGACTTGTCGTCCTCGGCATGCAATGTATATCTGAGCTTCTAGTTAGTAAAGCAGAAAGAAGTCCTGACGACGTGCAAGCACTTACAGTGAAATCTGCTCGTCAAGAGTCAGGGCAATGGAGGCATGCGTCATACTCGTGATCTCCTGCTGCACTGCACCGGGCAGGCCTCCGTCGTCGGCATAATCAATGGCGGCTCGCAGAGCTTCCGCGTCGGTGAGCTCTTCATCCGTGTCCTCGTCTGACTGGCTCTCTCCGCATCCTTCGTCCTCCTGCTCATCTTCCTTAGCGTCGCATCGCGGAGGAAGGAGGCTGTCAATGCCCGGAAGGCTTAGCGGCAGAGACAGTACACCTCGAAGCTGATCGGGGCGTACACCCAGGAGGTTCATGAGGCTTACAGCCTCTTGCGACGCCTCGATGGCCAGCGCGTCGATGGCCGCATCGTCGGGAAAGCGGGAGAGGGCGAGGACATCGATGTTGGTAGTGTCGAAGTACGTGTGGTTGTACCCGGAAGCGGTCGCTTTGCTCGACCCGCAAAGTCCTCGGAGGATCGCCTGGCGGATCTTGATACGCAGCTTGGGAATCATGTAGTAGAAGTCCAGCATTGTGAAGTCCTTGATGAGCTGTCGCGCGGAACCAAAGACGTGCTCGCACGCCTCGCTCGAGTGAAGCCAGGGTAGGAATGGATAGAGGCGGTCGCTAGGCATGAAGTCACGATGGATGTAGATGAGCGCGAGATATCCTTCGATTATCATGCGCGCTATGTCCGCAGCCTCGCGCGAGAGGAAGTATGGCGAGTTCGTGGTCGATTTGTACCCAGCAACCTGCAGGAACAGGTGCCAATGATCAAGGAAGTATCGCGCACGGAGCACCATCTTGATGCGCTCATCGTGCGCGAGGGCACGATTCTGGTAGGCGTCGATGAGTTCTCCAAAGACGAAGAGGTATACCAGCTCGCCAAGTCGTTCTGGATGTTTCTGAAAGAGATGCTGCAGTGTAGCAGCCGAGAATAGGCGCACCGCAGCATTGTCATCCTGGCGATCCAGTCGCAGAACATCGCGCTTATATATTGGTGAGCCGTCTTCGAATGCCATGTTATGGAAGGTTCCGTAGCAGGCGAGGAATCCTCCCATGACCAGGCAGCGCGCGCCCGAGAAGAGGTTGTTGCGGAAGGTTTTGAGAGCATGCTTCGAGTCCTGGACGAGCGCGATGGGGTGGCCTTGCACAATAGCGATCTTGATAAGAGTGTCGGGCGCACCATGCAATGGGTTCGAGATTGTGTAGGTCTTCACCGAGTCGGCCTCAGTCAGCACTCGACGCTGAAGAGCGCGCTCCACTTCAGTCCCATCACAGGCATACGAGACAACGTTGATGCCGCGGCTCAACAATCCGTGGAGGATGCGCTCGAGGTGTGGATAGAGCTGTTCTTCGTCCATCTCGGACGGGATCGGGAGCGCGGCTATGATGATCGGACAGATCTTCTGGGCAGACTCGACAACTAGCGTCCACACCCGCACCTAGTCCAGCCATCAGTCGCAAGCACGTCCATTTCGAGTAATTACCCACCTTCTTTGCTTTCTTGCCAGCCAAAGAATCCATGAGCTCCTGGACCTTCTCGGGGTTGGTGACGAGGACGGGGCCATCGGTGCCACCAACAAGATAGAACTTCTTCGTCACCAAGTCGTAGTACAGACGCCACGTATCAAACAGTTTGGTGTCGTCGCAGGCAACGCTAACAGGACCCGAATAGCCAATCGAGCGCAAGATACTGACAACAAGCTCAAAAGTCTCGTCACAGATTTCCATCGGGAAGCGAGGTTGTCGTGCGATCTTGCGGTTGAAGCTGCGTTGCGCGGGCATCGGTAGATATTTGCCCAGCGCCCGAGCGGCGGACTTGCTAGTCATCTGGACGATACTGCAGACCTCCTCCCACGCTGGCGCATACTTGAAGTTCTGCATCCCAACACCGCGCTCCTCCCGGTCGAGCTTCGTGACGACTGGCTGGATAAGGCCGAGCAAGACATCGTTCTTGATCTTCTTCTCGAGGGATGCAATCGCAAAGCGAATATACATGCTGTTCTTCGCATCCTGTGGCATGTCCGTCAGTAACTATCTAACGACAAAATGATGAGGACATACCGGCTGCTCAATGATTGAACGTAGCCCAATCGTACGTGCATAGATCTTGGCGACTGCTGCATTTCGGAACCGTTTGTTCACGTAGATGTAGTTCTCGTCTGTTGGTATCGGCTTGTTGATGGCAGTCTTGAAGGCGCGAGACGCGAAGACGCTACGGCATTCCACGCATGGCAGATGATGCAAGCCGGTGTGAGTTCGAGGGCCAGCGACTCCTGAACAGTTGCGGGAGAAGACGCGGAGATTGCTATGATCATTCAACCACTTGCGAGCGTGCATCTGCAGCAAGTATATCCTACGCTTCTGCTCAAAGTCAAGGTTCCGAAAGAACTCCACGTCGGGATGCTCGTCCCGGCCAATAGAGATCACAGATGGCGCTCCTCCCCCGCCCTCCGATGTGCGCGAGAGGTATTGTAGTACGCGCGGGTCATCAGCCTCGGTGATTCCGGGACAGGGCTCGCCGCTAGGCGCCAACGGAGATGCTGAGGATGTTGGTGGCACACTGCGCACTACCGGACTTGGTGCGGGGGTGGGAGGTTGGACGGAAGGAAGCGGAGGTTGAACAGGAGTGGAGGGATGACTGGAGGAGAGGGAGGGTCGTGACTCGGCAGAGGGGGGTTGAGGCAACACCCTGAAGTCGAACTTGAAGTACGACGTGAGAGGCGCCGTGTTGAGAGCCTTCGCTTTCTTTCCTTTGGCCTTCCTACTCTTCAAGGCAAGACAGTCCTTCTTGAAATGATTTCGTAGACGAGTGAGGTCGTAAGGGTCTTTAACGCGAACCACTCCGAGCACGCCGAGTGGCGGAAACGCTGGATGTCTTTGGGATCGAAGGCCACGTGCGGATCAAGCTCACGCACACGATCCCTCCATCTCTGCAACGCGTGCTCGTCAACTTTGAACCTCTTGTCCTTGACGGCGTGGCGCAACTTGGTCGCTGCCTTCGCAGACTTGCTCTTTCCCTCGCCCGCAGGAACCCTTCGTTTCTTCGTCTCGCGTTCGCTGTCCCAACCCTCTGAGCCAGAGTCGGAACTCGCTCGAGCTCGCTTTGGTGCTCGCACGGCCGTGGGTAGATGCGATCGGCTAGGTTCACCAGTAGCGGATGCAGCAGGAGCGACACTGGCAGGCTGCTCCGACTCGAGGAGATTAACGCGCACTGGTGCGTCTGCCATCTCGGTCACCAGCGATGTGTCCTGACAAGAGCCATCTGAAGCGGCATCGGGGATATTGTCCGCGAAGCCAGATGTCGACGCGGTCGTCAAGCCCGAGCTGCTGCTGGGAAGTGATTGCGCATGGACTATGTCCTGGTCTTGCGATCGCAAAGGTGTCGTGACCGGCTCCATGTACTGATCACGACTGCTGTCTGACGATCCGCAGATGTCAACAGTGGTCTTGACCGCGGCGCACCATCGCTTCGCCAGTACAAGAAACCACTCAAGACGGTGAACATGGCCCTCGGTCGACCGATGCAAGGGTACCCCGAGTGCCGCATGCGCAATGGTGTTGACGGTGAACAGTCCGCAGTTGTACGAGTCGACCTGCTTGGTACGTGGCAATGAGTCTCCCTTGAGCCGCGCGCTGATACCCAAGGTGTCCTTCAGCCACTTGAGGATGTTCTTCATCAACGCTGTTGGCGCCAGAGACCCGCTTTGTGAGAGCGAGTCACCTGCAAGAGGTGAGGATGTGATTTCTATTCATTGAACCAGCCGAACTCACCATATCCCACTTCGTGCTTCACAAAATCGATGTACACCGCGATCCAATGATTGTCATTGACATGCGTTGGAAAGAGCAGCAAACGTAGCTTCTTCGTCTGCGCTAACTTCTCGTATAGTCCCAGATGCTTCAAGTGTTCTGGCCCGCGCTCACAATACTTGGTGATGTAGAACCCGAGCATGTAAGGGCCGATCTGCACGTCGCTGATGCCCTTCGACACTAATCTCTCCTTCAGCACGATCAGCATGGCGGTAATATGCTCGTCGCCAAGCCACGCGGTCTGCGGGAAGCTGGACAGGATGCTGGTGGAGGCGATTGGTCGCTCTGGCCACAAGACATCGAAGGGAAGTACATCCAGCGCTGCGAGCGCGTCGTTCCGCAGCTGTATCGCGTATGCTGACGATCCCGAGTAGTCCTGCAAGTACTGGCGGGCGGCTCTCCAGCGCTTGTTCTTCAACGACGCGTCTGCCGAAAACCGCCACACTCCAATAACCCAAAACGGCATCCGATCGCGTCCGTCATTGTACCGCTGGTCGACGATCGACCGTGCACCATCCAGCCATGCCTGGCCGAGGGAGTTCTCGTATTTGAGCAAGACGTCTGCCGCTGGGATCGAGCGACTGAGGAGCGTAACCGGGTCGACCTCCCCGGGCTTGTCTTTGCTGAAGAATGATGATGCTCTGAGGGCGACGAAGCTGTATTCCGGGCGAGGGATGATGGCCAGGGATAGGACACGCGTGACTGGCAGCGGTGCGTTCTTCCAAGGCAGGTGTGTGGCCACGAAGTCCGCTGGGATGCTCAGTAGGCGAGCTTTTGCATCGGTCACGTAGTCCGGGAGTATACGTGTGTCGTAGGTTTTGCCGGTTCCAATCCATTCATCTTCGTGAAAGGAGCCTGCATCATCGCGAGTGAAGTCGACAGTGTGCTCGGGTACAGGTAGGGCCATTGTACGAGGTGATCAGGGACTTCTCATCTATGGAGGAGGGCGACGGGAAGGGGAATTTCACCTGCCAGATAGGTCGCCAATGATCTCAGGGGCAAAATGCAAATAAATGTGCTGAGCGCTTAGTCAAGCGGCATTGACAAAAAGAGAGCTCCCTGACTCGAACTCCAAGCCAAACAAACCAACATCGTAGTTAACCACTCAGCCAAAAGACCTTCAACTGTACTAAGGCGCATAACAATACATCGGTAGATCTGACGGAGATCCCCTATAAGCCCGAACTTGTCCGGATCTGTATCCGTGCGCCGCCCCCCACCGCGAGTTCCTGTCCGGACTAGTATCTAGGTGAGCACCCAATTTTGGGCCGTTCTTGTCCGGATTTGTATCTGGAATATAACCGTATTGTCAGGGGTCCTGTGTGGATGAGGCGGAGAAAAGTCCGGGTTTTCCCCCATCCCCCCTCCTCCCCCGACATCTCTCCCATAGAGCCTGTCTGGGGCCTCCTCAAGCATTGCCTACGCCAGCTTCCACGAACCCCAACCTCCATCAACGGGCTGAAGAGGACCTTTCAACAGCTCTAGGATGAACTCATGATTGACAAAATTAATCACTTCGTGGATCAGATGCCAGACAGGATCGAGGCGGTCATTAGGGCGTGTGGGGGACATACGAAGTACTAGAATATAAATCATTGTGTTTGAAGTCAATACACCGCAGTCGTGTGAAGATATGAGGTTGACAATCCGGAGGTCCGGACTGGCGAGTTTTTTTTGTGGGGGGGAGTAATTTTCGGGCATATTGCGCGCAGCGCTCGTCGAGTCCGTCTGACTTCAGGCCAAGTCAGGAGCTGCTATGTGCACTGCCAGGTTCCTCAGACATGCCAAAAGATACGAGGGCCATGTCTGAATATTCTATAGTACAATATAGTCCTTATCGGTTCTCGAACGCACCCAAGATGGATAATCCGGAGTTCAGCGGGCCGAGTCAGCGTGCGTCACAACAGCCCGGGGCGACCACGCGAGCGCCGACGACGATCATGTGACTCGCGGGGGATTTCGCCAGGGACTTGATTTCGCAGCATCGGCGTCACTGGACAGGCTCTAAGTAAACGTCGGGAAGTTTACCTGGCCTCCGTGACGTCTTGCTCTTCCCGTAGGAACTTTGACGTCGCGGTTTGGTCCTGGGGTCCAGGCTAGTCTTGGATGCAAGGATCAGGGGGAATCGCACGTTAACAATTCATCGGACAGAGTGAAAGATATTACAACAGTACAAGCTAGTCGCGTTCAGCATACGCTAGCAAATGCCGCTCTACCTCATCCTCGTCCAATACACGCCACAGTCCCTCCTCGCCGTCCGCTGTTGAGCAAATGCCAATCTCGATCTCGCCCGGCTTGTAGTCCGTCGCGTGCACGGTGGACATCGCTTCGATCGCCATTTCCAGCACGGCGTCCTTGGACAGCGAGCGTCCGGCGGCGGCGGGATCGTCCTGCCCCTGCCCACTGTTCAGCTTCTTCCACTTCTTCTCGAGGTGATTCATGGCCTCCTGCTGCTTTTGCCCGGCGGCGGTCGCGTGAAAGCCGACGAAGTAGCCAGCTGGGTCGAGCTTGAAGACTTGAGGGCCGTATTCGGAGTCGATGCCAATGAGGATCATGGCTGAGGCGAGTGATATCAGAATGAGCTGGAGAGCAAGGTGGACTGACGAAGGAGAGGGGAGACGTACAGATGCCGAGGGGACGCATGGCGGCGCGTTGGGTATACACCTGGTTGATATTGGCGAGACGACGAGCAAGAGCATCTGGTGTAATCTCGTAGCCGTACTTGTACCGGAACTCAGCGGCTTCAGCACGCGCGCGGTATACTTGTGAACGCGCGTCGGCTGCGGGGGACTGCGATGAGCGATCGGTCCCTTCACGATGGGTGGACAGACGTGCCGATGAGACCGGTCATGACGCAGCCAATACTGGGGGTGATGCTGAAGAGGTGGGTGACGGTAGACGCGTCGAGAAGCTTGTCCTGGGCTGGCGCGTTAGTGAAGATGTACGGGAAGGTCAAGAGGTAGACGCACGGGTACTTTGCGCTGGGTGATGACGACGCATGTATCCTTCCCTCGTACTGCCACGGCGGTATGTCCAGATCCAGAGATCGCCTTGAAGGCATACTCTATGCGATTGCCACATGAAGTGATTGAACGTTTCGCGAATGATGGAAGAGTACAAACCGACTTGATATAGTCGACCTTCGGGCGAGAAGACGGTGAGGTATCTGCAAAGCGCAGGTAAGGATGCAAGATCAGAGATGAAACAAATGCACAGACCGGTCGTAGGAGGTCCTGGACATGATGAGCAGGTAGAGGGAGAAGTGACGGACAGGCGCTGGACGCGCAAGCGAGTCGTTACGCGAGTGTCACAGTCACAGCGACGCGTCTCCCCCTGTCGCGCTTGCTTTCAACCATCATTCATAGCTCTTGCAACTGCTTCAAGTCAATATATCTGGAACCTACCAAGACGGATGCATTGCTGTCGAGTATATATATTTCTCACACAGCAACGTTGCCTACGGCTCGCCTTCCGTCTTGCCACCATGGACATCCAGGAAATCTATTGTACTCATGCACATTGACTATTTCTGTGTCTTCTCAAACGATTGTGTAGGGCGCCGCCCCTTCACCTCCTCCCTGAATTCGCCTTCGCAAGGCAAGTCGAACTATGGCACGTGCGCGATCATGGGACAGAGCATTGGTGATGCGCGATTTGACTGCCCTTGGGTACTTGTCTCCTCTCATCAGCACGCCCGCGCAGCATGTCTGCAGTTCAGAAAATCCAGCCTCTTTGTTTGAAGAATGTGCGCTCTGGCCTCCGTCGTTTCACCACGTGAAAAGCGCTCCCGCCCAATTTGTTTTAGGCCTCGACCAATCCGGACCAATCCCGCTTGCCGTCTTTGATGGCACGAAAACCTCAATATCGAGCCACTCTGGGGATATAGGCGCGTTATAATCCGCAGGTCGTGCACCGGGCTTGTACTGGACCCCCATCTCAACTTTTTCGTCGGCAGCTCGACTATGTGGAAGACGGAATACGACATCATCATCGTCGGCGCGGGCGTAGTAGGCGCGACCCTCGCATACGCGCTCTCTTGTGAGCAGCCGCACCTTCGCATATGCCTGCTCGAACGCTCGCTCGCGGAGCCGGACCGCATCGTCGGTGAGCTGCTGCAACCAGGCGGCGTGCGTAGCCTCGAGAAGCTGGGCATGAAGGACGCGATCGACAACCTCGACTCCGCGCCGTGCAAGGGTTACTGCGTGATCGACACGCGCGAAGGCCGGAAAGTGCACATTCCATATCCCAATGACGCGCGCGGCGCGGGCTTCCACTACGGACGCTTTATTCAGGCGCTGCGGGAGAAGGTGCGCGAGCGTGCGCGTGGGGAGGCGGGCGCTGGCGGTGTGGACATGCTCGAGGCGACCGTGTCCGAGCTCATCACACGCGAGTTCGAGCCGCATGTGGTGCTCGGCGTGCGCGCGACGCGCAAGGTGGACGGGGAGGACGTGAAGGAGAGCTTCATGGCGCCGCTCACCGTCATCGCGGACGGCTGCTTCTCGAACTTCCGCACGGCGGTGATGGGGGAGGAGAACTTCGTTAAGCCGAGTGTGCGGAGCCACTTTGTAGGCCTGGTGGTGCGCGACGCGAAGCTGCCGTACCCGAACCACGGTACGGTGTGCTTGGTGCAGAACCACGGGCCCGTGCTGCTGTATCAGATCGACAACGGAAATCGAGAGGGGGAAGAGGGAAGGACCGGGACTCGTATGCTGGTGGATGTCTCTCAGCCTTTCCCTGAGGATCTTAAGGTGCGCTGCTACTCGCTGACCCCGCGGGTATTTGACTGACGCGTCTAAAGGAACACATCGCGACTCGAGTTGTTCAGCAGCTTCCCGAAGAGATGCGCGAACCCATCATCAACTCTCTCAACGACCCCGACACTCGTATCCGCCGCATGCCCAACTCCTTCCTCCCTCCCGCACCGCAGCATGTCTTCCACCTCTCCTCGCTCCCCTTCCCTCTCTCGCTTCTTAACATCCCTTGGTCATTGCTCTCTCTTCCGTTCTCTGGTTCGAAGAAGGACGAGATCTACATGGAGAAGGACAAGCCGGCGGTGCATAACGGACGCAAGGAGGGCGTGATGCTGGTCGGCGACTCGTACAATATGCGCCATCCCTTAACTGGCGGTGGAATGACGGTGGCGCTACACGATGTAGTCATCTTGACGCGGTTGTTGTCGAAGGAGGCCGCAAAGAATAGTGAGTCGTACAATATGTGGCTCGCCGCGGTTGGCTAATTGCAATTTCAGAGAAAAACGCTTTCGGTGACTGGACCGCGATGAACGAGGTCCTGCGGAAGTGGTACTGGGAGCGCAAGGCACTCGGCAGCACGATCAACGTGCTCAGTGTCGCGCTCTACGACCTCTTCGGCGCCGAGGGTGAGCGCTGGCTCCCTTTACCTGCAACGTTTCCTTATCTTTTTGATAGACGAGAACTTGGAGATCCTCCGTACAGGGTGTTTCAGGTACTTTGAGCGCGGCGGGAAGTGCGTCTCGGAGCCCGTTAGCATTCTCAGCGGGTACGTGATCGGTCGTACCTGCGCTGGGCAATGTAGCTAACAGGGAGCTTTCTAGCATGCTCGAGTCGCCTTTCTTGCTCTTCTACCACTTCTTCTGCGTTGCATTCTACGCGATCTACATCATGTTCCAGCAGAACGACGGTCGCTCGTTCTTTGGCAAGGTCGCGAAGGCTCTATCGGTGGTGAGTCTGGCCGTTCCTTCGCGCAACGGGGGCAAGGTACTGAACTTATGCATCCAGTTTCACACCGCTGTCGTGGTCTTCGTGCCACTGATGTGGACGGAGGTGCGCTGCTGGGCACCGACGGCACTGGCGAACGTACCGAATGTGCTGCTGTTTGCCATTATGCTGGCGGGCGTGGCGAAGGTGGCGACGTGGCCGACGGCGGGAGCGGCCGTTGAGCCGTTGTCTGTGTGAGCGGATGAGGTTGTGGTGGACGCGATGAGGCCATGGGCATAGATGCGATGCAGTATGACTGACTACGGGACGGGAGCGGCGACTCCCTCAGACGAAGGATCTATCTACAGTATGAACCTAATGCATAATGCGTACTCGAGTATACCAGGAATATCAAACTTCTGCATGTCTTCATGCCTTCCTCCTCAAAACGAGCGTCGTCACCATTCGCGGATGATCGGCCCGTGCGATCCGTATGCAGGTCAATCATCCCGTGCAAATTGAGCGCTTAGCTCACGCGTTCCGCGAGCGCGTCAGTCCCCCTGACTGTTGTCCGTCTGCGAGCACGATGAAGGAGCCGGTACATCACAAGGACCCAAAGGTCATGTAAGTGCGCGTCTCTTCGATCCCAACCCCTATGGCTGAGCTATTCCTATAGCAAGCAGCTGCAGTTCAGCTTGTTCAATCCCCAGGACACGGTGAAGCTATCCGAGTTCGAGATCACGCATAGGGACTTGTATACGGCTACAGATCGCTTGCCCGTCAAAGATGGCGTACTCGATCGGCGACTGGTGCGTGACTACTGGGGTGGCACAAGCTGGGGGAATTGACAGCAGCATGGCGCAGGGGACGACTGACAAGAGCGCATTCTGCGAGACGTGCGGGCAGTCCAGTGTGAACTGCGTGGGGCACTATGCATACATCAAGCTCTGTGTTCCCGTCTTCCATATCGGCTACTTCAAGCATACCATCGGCATCCTACAGTGCATTTGCAAGGTGCGTGCGCTTACGCTCCCTCATCTTCCTCCCTCACACTTCCTCCAGACATGCGCCAGAGTCTTGCTGGAAGAGCCCGAGCGGCGCACCTTTCTCAAACGCTTCCGCCGCTCCAACCTCGAGAACATGCAGCGCCAGGCCCTTACCAAGGCCGTCAACACGGCGGCTCGCAAGGTTGTCTACTGCCCGTACTGCGCCGCAACGAACGGCACTGTGAAGAAGGCGGGCGCGCTGAAGATCATTCACGATAAATTCCGCTCGAAGAAGACGGCGGACGAGATGGAGAGGTGGAAGCGGACCTTTGCGAGCGCGATCGAGGCGCAGAAGGAGCTCGCGCAATTTCTGAACAAAGCGGTGAACGAGGATTTGAACCCGTTGAAGGTGCTGGACTTGTTCAGGAGGATATCGGATGAGGTGCGTAGTAGTATGAGGAAATGGAGATCGGAGCTGACGAGACGCAGGACTGCGAGTTGTTGGGCTTGCGACCAAAGTTCGGCAGGCCGGAGGAGTTCCTTTGGCAGTATATTTCTGTACCTCCAGTTGCCATCCGTCCTTCCGTCGCACAAGATGGCGCTTCCAATGAGGATGACCTCACGGTCAAGCTGACGGAGATCGTCTTCACGAACGCGCTCATTAAGCAGGGCCTTGCGAAAGGTGCGCCCACACCACAGTTCATGGTACGTTTCCTACTGCATTCCTTCGTTTTCCCCCGCTCACCTCTCGTCAGGAACAATGGGAATTTCTCCAACTCTCCGTGGCCATGTACATCAATTCCGAACTGCCGGGCGTACCCTCCCAGCCTGGCCAACGCCCCATCCGCGGCTTCGTCCAACGCCTAAAAGGCAAGCAGGGCCGCTTCCGTGGAAACTTGTCGGGCAAGCGTGTCGACTTCTCAGGCCGCACGGTCATTTCGCCGGATCCAAATCTCAGGATAGACGAGGTGGCGGTCCCAGAGAGGGTGGCGAAGATTTTGACGTATCCGGAGAGGGTGACAGTGCATAATATGGAGGGATTGAGGAAGGCAGTACTGAACGGTCCGGACGTCCATCCGGGGGCGAACTTTGTGGCGAGAGGGGAGAACAAGAAGGTACGTTCGAAGGCAGTATTGGCCACCTAGTGAGCAGCGACTAACACACGGCATAGTTCTTGAAGTTCGGTAATCGGAAAGCGGTGGCGGAGAACCTGGCCATCGGTGATGTCGTTGAGCGGCATATTATAGACGGCGACATCGTACTTTTCAACCGACAACCGAGCTTGCACAAGGTTTGCTGTCTGTCTTGGGTTGTGACCTCGCTGACCTTACCTACGCAGCTCTCGATCATGTGTCACCGAGTCAAAGTACGACCATGGCGCTCCTTCCGACTCAATGAGTGTGTCTGCGGCCCCTACAATGCCGACTTCGACGGTGATGAGATGAATCTTCACGTCCCTCAGACCGAAGAAGCTCGCACCGAAGCTCTCGAGCTTATGAGTGTCAAGCACAACCTCGTCACTCCACGCAACGGCGACCCCGTCATCGCCGCCATTCAGGACTTCATCACCGCCTCGTATCTACTTTCGCGCAAGGACACTTTCTTCGACCGCCGCGCATTCACGCAGATCTGCTGCTATCTCGCCGACGCGAACATGCAGATCGACATTCCACCACCGACGATACTGAAGCCACAGCGCCTGTGGACCGGGAAGCAGATCTTCAACGTCCTTATGCGCCCGAACCGCAAATCGAAGGTGTTCGTGAACGTCGAGTGTAAATGCAACAAGGTGGAGGAAGTGAAGAAGGAGCATTATCCTGCGATCGAGAAACCGAGGAATGATCTCATGGCGAACGACGGGTGGCTGGTCATCGTGAACAGCGAGATCATGTGTGGATTGATGGACAAAGCGACGATAGGGAGTGGCAAGAAGAAGTCGATCTTCGGGGTGATCCTGCGGGACTATGGGCCACACGAGGCGGCGGCGGCCATGAACAGGGTGGCGAAGTTGTGTGCGAGGTACCTAGGTGAGTGCGTAGGGCTTTGTTTGCTTGGACGAGGGGCTGACGTCTGCGATAGCTAACTACGGTTTCTCCTTGGGCATCAACGACGTCATTCCGGGGCCCGAGTTGACGGAGAAGAAGGAGGACCTGATTGAGAAGGCGTACGCAGAATGCCTGGATAAGATTGCTCTGGCGAAGAAGGGTGGACTGAAGAACAAACCCGGATGCGATCAAGAGCAGACGCTGGAGGCTGAGATCTCGTCAATCCTGTCCAATGTTCGAGAGAAGGCTGGTCAAATTTGCATGAGGGAACTCAGCAGGCATAACGCGCCGCTGATCATGGCTACGTCTGGATCGAAAGGTGCGCAGGCGAGCATACACTGTGATTACTTGGCTCAGTTAGGTCGCAGGTTCCGTCATCAACGTCTGTCAGATGGTGGCATGTGTCGGGCAACAGATTATCGCTGGCCATCGTGTCCCGGATGGCTTCCAGGACCGATCACTGCCTCACTTCCCCAAGAAGTCTAAGGAGCCTCCATCCAAGGGTTTTGTCCGGAACAGTTTCTACACTGGTCTCGTCGCCACCGAGTTCCTGTTCCACGCCATCTCTGGTCGCGAAGGCCTGGTTGACACTGCAGTGAAGACCGCGGAGACAGGTTACATGCAACGACGACTGATGAAGGCGCTGGAGGATCTGACGACGCAATACGACTTGACGGTGCGCAACTCGGCCGCGGGTGTGGTTCAATTTCGATATGGTGACGATGGTTTGGATCCCGCGTGCTTGGAAGGGGACGCGCAGCCGATTGACTTTGAGCGTGCGTGGGTTCACTCGGCGGTGCGTAGCCTCCTCATAACCGCAAAGGTATCGTTTGATGAATATTCGACAGGCCATCGCATCGCGAAAGGGACGCGGCTTGCTACCTTTCGAGGTCATGGACCTGATGAACTCGGAAATGGCGAAGTCGAAGTGGGTCAGCGAGTGCACGACGACCTACATGGACTCGATTCGCGACTTCATCGAGGAGAAGGTCGCGAAGCGGCTGGCGATCTTGCGAGAAAGACGCGGAATGTACGACGCAATGGAGCGTATAGACGATTGGGACGAGGAGATGGACTTGTCAATGGGGGCTTCGGGTTGGCGTCTCTTTCAACGCAAACGTTCTGGCGCTGATCCAAGAATAGACGCGGACAAGGCTGTCGTTGACAACAAGGCGAAGGTGACGGAGGCGCAGCTCCGTACATTCTTGCAGATAGCATGGACGAAATACGTGAAGGCGCGCATCGAGCCTGGTCCGTATCTGCATTGCGGCTCTCGGCGTCCTCCTCACTTGTCCTAACATAGGTTCTACCGTCGGAGCCGTCGGCGCACAGTCCATCGGTGAGCCAGGAACGCAGATGACGCTCAAGACTTTCCATTTTGCTGGCGTCGCATCTATGAACGTCACGCTTGGTGTACCGCGTATCAAGGAGATCATCAACGCGTCGAAGAACATCAGCACGCCCATTATAAGCTGTAAGTTGGTGACGCGGGATAGCGAGGCGTCTGCACGTATTGTCAAGGGGCGGCTGGAGAAGACGATGTTGGGTGATGTGAGTATATGATTCCGATCGCGTTCAATACATAATTTGACGGCTTGCAGATCGCGTCGGTGTTGGAGGAGGCATGGGCTCCCGACTACACGTACATTGGCATCATTGTGGATATGCGGGCGATACAGAAGCTGCAACTCGAGATGACTCTCGATGACATCAAGTGGGCGATTGTCAGCACCCGGAAACTGAAGGTCAAACAGGAGGTACGTTTGCGAATTCGACCCGAGGTTTGCGACGCTCAACAGGCTCTTCCAGTCTATCGTTGTACTCTCTCGCAAGAACCGATTGCGCATCTACATTGAAGGCGACGAAAAGTTCTACCGAATACGCGATCTGAAGCGCAATTTGGCGGATGTTGTCGTGAAGGGCGTCCCTAGTATTCATCGCGCAGTCATCAATATCAAGGAGAAAGATGACTATAGGGGAAAGAAGGGCGACAAGGAACTGCTGGTGGAAGGATACGGCTTGCAGAAGTGCATGATCACGGAAGGTATGTACCTGGCCTTGAAAGTCCGTGTTCTTTCCATACTCATGTATGCATCAAAGGTGTCGTGGGGGAAATGACGACGTCCAATCATGTGATTGAAGTCGCCCAAGTGTTGGGTATCGAGGCGGCGCGGCGAACCATCATCAACGAGATTCAGTACACGATGAAGTCGCACGACATGAACATCGATCCTCGGCACGTCATGCTATTGGGAGACGTTATGAGCTACAAGGTGCGCGCAACCTACAGCCATATATCATATACTCACAATTCGTGCAGGGCGAAGTTCTGGGAATCACTCGCTTCGGTGTGGCCAAGATGAAGGACAGCGTTCTCATGCTCGCGTCCTTCGAGAAAACCACAGACCATCTCTTTGATGCGGCAGCTTACGGGAAAAGTGATGCGATTGCAGGCGTATCAGAGAGTATTATCATGGGTAACCCCGCCGCACAATGCGGAACATCCATGTGAGTAGGCTTGAGAGTCTTCCAGGGCGCAGTTGCTCACGACTGATAGGCCCGCACTTGTCACACCAGCACCGTCAATCAGCAAGCCAAGACCGCTGTTGTTCGAAGGGGCGTTGTAATCTCGTCTTCGTGGCGACGGGGTAGACCTCGGGACTGGATATGTTGTTCTGTGTATGTTGTACTCGAATTTCCATTACATGTATGTAAATTATACCAAGGTATCGAGCGCGTCTATATCACGTATCCGGTATTGACCATGTGTGGTCCCGATATCGGTACAGATTCATTGAAGTCATACCTCAAATCACTGGCCGAAGTCGATGGAAAAGTGGCAGAGCCAGGCAAGCAGTAAACCACATCTGGACAGTCGTCAGTCGCGCATCCAGCCGCAATCGGTAGTGCTTGGTACTAACATTGTACCACCAGCACGCTTCATGGTCATCATTCTGAGAATTACTCCTCACGAAGGAGCAAGCTGTATATCCCGCGAGGCCATACATCACCAGCGCGGCCCCAGCAGGCAGATCCCAAAAGGCGACGAGAATGATGGACCAGCTAAGAAGGAGTATGCCAATGCTCCATCGCGCTAGCGCTCGAGGAAGAAGCATCGGCAATGTCTTGCGCCCTATGGCAGCGTCGCCAGCCATGTCGCGAAAGTCCTGAGCGTGGATCTGGTGAGCTGGTGAGGCCTGATGCAAAGCGACGCAAGCAGTCCTGGATGCCTACAGTCGTAGCTTGGATGAGCACGGTCATTATGATCGCGTGAATGGAGGTCAGGGAGAGCGGACGATCGTGATCTGTAACGGTTGGTTTAAGGAGTGCCACAAATGTGGGCCACTCACCAAAACAGGCTACGACGCCGGAGCCCAGGATGCCGATAGAGACGGCGATGATACCGGACTTGGTCATCCAAAAGCTCGAGAGATTTCCTTCGTTGTACATCGTAATCAAGACGAAGTAACTCGCGCTGTGGACAAGTAGACCGTGGCGCATGCTATCAAGGAGTGAGGCGACGGTGAACAAAATATGAAGACGTCGGGAGGTCTGAACACTAATGCGTCCTGCAGCAATAGGACGGTGTGGCTTGGACAGGCGATCCTCCTCGAGTCCGATTATCTGGGTTGAGATTGTCTACAGGGCATGCATGAGAGATTAATGTGTCCTTACCTGGTTCTGGACCTATCAAACACGTACTTTAGTATTGGGAGTAAGACAAGTATAACTGGTCCTTACATCGAAGGCGAGAAGATGGAGCGTCACCCAGATGAGTCCCTCGAGAAAAGCGTGGGCTTCGGGGACACCGATGAGACTGATGCCTAAGGATGTCTATCGCTTGTTTAGCTCGTTTCTGCGCAATCCAGGGAAGCACCTCACAGTGGGCAGGATCACAGTACCGACGTCTGACTTCATGAAAAGAAATATCGTGTAGGCGAAAGCGGCGATGTTGGCTGACTGGCGGCGGACAAACCGCACGCATTGTACGACACGGCGAGTCGAGGGCATTATGCGTGGAATACAAGATCTTCAGACGGAGAGAAGTGTGGGCGGTCTCTGAAGAATGGGCGGGCGGCTGAGGGACTAAACAAGTATCGGCCAGGCCAGTCTTTATATAGTGGTACAATCGGGCAGAGGCGTCCTCATCGTTGGCCAGGCAATTTCCTCGAGCGAACGTGAATACGAGGTCCGAAGCTTCGGGGGAAGGTACTCACCGGTCTGTTCGCAGGCGTTCAGATCGACCGAAGCCCTGGCTCCACTCCCTGTTCCCGACGTCAAGCGTAGACATCGAGATGGTATCAAGATGACTGCCTGTTCCTGATGCTTTCGCATAGTCAGCATACAATGGAGGTTGAACGGTATTGTCCCGCCATATCGTCGAACGGACCGTCCAAGGACACGAGAAAGAAGCCACGATATTCTGATCTCGGGGGCAGAGGGGGAGCCGGTTTATTTTCCTGACTAGCCTTGACGAGGTAAGCACTATCCTGGTCGGTGCACCACAATGTGGAGTCGGCAAACGTGGTAGCCCATAAACTATCTGTGACATCTACAAGTTGGGATGGGATATCTACCTTCGAGCGGGTCGCAGATCGTCTCGTAAGGATATTTACAGGTTGTGCTCGAGGTCCTGCTGTAGTCGCTGGAACACAGGTAAGCTCAAACAGGCCGTGAACCACATCTAACAGAAAGCATAAGACTGAGAGCCATATCCTCCTGGATGTAACACTCACATTGTACCACCAACATGCATCTTGGTCCGCCTTCTCTGTCCCGCCACGTATGAAAAACAATGCCGTGACTCCTGCCAATGCGTACAGTAAGCCAGCGACGCCTGCTGGAAGCTCCCAGAAGTGCACAAGTGTTGTCGACCACGAGATAAGGAGTACAGCAAGGGACAAACGTGCGAATGAGGACGGAAGAACCATCGGCAGCGTCGTGCGCCCGATTGCAGCATCGCCTGTCACATCGCGGAAGTCCTGAGCGTGGACCTGCAGAGGAGAGGAGTAAGTTGAGGCGACACGCGGCTTACAAATAGAAGAACCTTACCGTCGTGGCTAGCAGGAGTGCGACAATGACGAGCGCGTGAATGGCCACGGGGCCCAGGGGCCGGCCCTGATCTGACGAATGGAGCGTTGAGCGGGATCGGTTCTTCACTCAAAAAGTACGCATGGCTTACTGAAGCACACCACAGTCCCCCAGCAACATATTCCCAATCCTATGCCGATCATCGCAGATTTGCTCGCCCAAAATCGCGCTAGATTCCCGTCGTTGTAGGCTGCGGCACATGCGAGATAGACGGCGGAGTGCGGCAACAGGCCATAACGCGCGCTTAGAAGGAGAGATGAGCAGGAGAAAAGGAGGTGTAAAATTTGAGCGGCCTGAAGGGAGATTCTTCCGGCAGCGATGGGACGATGGGGCTTGGACAAGCGGTCCTCATCGAGGCCAATAATCTAGAAGAGCGCTCTCAGTCGGCCAAAAGAAGGAACAGGAAGGGATAGTAGTAGCTACCTGGTTCCGAGTCTGACGTGCAATGGTGAGTATCTTTGCTAAGCAAAATTCGAAGGTGCTTACGTCGAAGGCGAGCAAATGCAGCGCCAGCCATAGTAGACCTTCGAGAAAGGCACTGGCGGTGGGAATGCCCACGAGGCTGACGCCGAGCGCGACCTTCGAGTGTCCGTTATCAACCTTCGAGTCTCAAGTCAAGCTTGGTAGAGTACGTACGGCAGGAATTATAGTCGTCGTGACATCGGACTTCATGAAAAGGAAGAGTGTGTATAAAAAACCGGCGGCCTCGGTGCTGAAGGTCGGAAGAGATCGAAAGCCATGGACCATGAACTGCGTAAGCGGAGTGCTGTAGAGCATGGTGGATCGGGAGATGGGACAAGATGTAGGTGTAGGGGGCAGGACAGGATGTCATTGGTGGCACGTTTTATACTTCGCATGTGTGGGGAGGCGGAAGGACCGATCGGAATGAGCGCCGGAAGAGCTGACAACGTATCAGTAGGCATAGATTTCAGTCACTCCTACAACAGCGGGGGACGAGGTGTGGATACGAGGAGAAATAAGAGACAAAGGACGTCTCGGAGAGCGAACTTGGCGCAACGCGGTGTTTCTCGCATATGCCCTCGATCCGCAACCTGATTCCTGATAAGCAGACGGTCATTGTCAGCTCCCGGTACCAGTGCCAATTGATGGCTGGCGTGCTTTTGCCATTATGTACACCAGCGACGAGTTCCAAATTACCCGCCTGCTTTTGAGGGCAAGGGCTGCGAATTGTGGATAGATGGACGTCGTATGACCCATTTTGTGCACTTCGCTTGGTGAGGGAATAAACATCCAGTGAAAAGATCGAACGTAGGAAAAGAAGAATTCCTGGAAATAGCGTTAGCACCAGAACCGACGGGTGATAACTACTATGACCCACGTATGATGGTTGTCAGCGCTGAAGGTGCAGTCAAGTGTTGCAGGGGTGTAACCTCTATCGCGGGGCGGAGTGTTACCAGATACGGCGCAGCGGACACGGTTGTAGGTGGATGGTTAACAAGATGGAGGAAACGTGTCCGTGGACAAGCGATGGATCGAATGTGAACCCAGTCAAAGCCGATCCCAAACAAGCGAAGGTAAGCGCGCGGATGCGTATCTTCCAATTTTGTGCCAGACGGAAGCATACGACTGCGCCTTGAGCACAGTCCAAGCATGCTTCTGACGATGATAACGGCAGGAAGGCTTGACCGACGGATTCGTCGCAGCAGCGGTAGAGCTGCTTCACCATTTCCCTGATACGGATCCGAGTAGCCAAGGAAGGTGCCGTGGCTTGGTGCGCGAAGGCGAGGTGAAGACGCGAAGGACATGAATGTCGGAAGTGAAGCTTGATTATGAAGAGCGAACGAATGAGAGCTTCGTCGAAGAACGCCCCGTCGACAGGGTCAAGTGAAGGGGCGCTCGGCATATCATTCCTCGTCAGCACTTGTGCTATATAGCACATTCATAGCTATGTGGTGAGGGCAGGATATAAGAGCGACAAGTTGGAACCTGCAATCGGCTTGTCTCCGGTCAGAACATTCCCACGATCATTCACAGTATTACAATCACTATTGAATGAGGCGCACAACAGACCCCCACTGTAGACTACTTGAAGCTCTTAAGATCTCATTCCTCAGACGGAGTCCCCAACGCCTCTCTATATTGGGTCGTATTGCTTGCTTGTCATTCCCGCGACCGCGACAGAGCAGGCACAGGTCGGTAGCTTCCGCTCCTAGGTATAAGGAGCTTGCGTGGAGTTCCTAATTCAAGAAGTTGCTGAGAATCGGCGGCAAGGGCGCACCGACATTACATACACTTCTCTCAAGCCAGCGATGTACTAGGGTAGTCGAGGTCGGCGTGGGTTTGCAAGTCGCCGGCTCTCTGGTACGTCCGGGAATCTTCGCAGAGATATAGCTGAAATGGAAGTCAGAAGGTGCGTCGAGGTGAGTAGTAGATGCACCTCAAACGTATCCTTCGCTGATCAGCTACGTTCAGAGTCCGGCGAAAGTTGACGCCGTGGAGGAGTCGCAGGTCCATATGCACGCGATGGGAACGACGTCGATGGCGATGCTGGCGTTACATGGGCGAGGCCGGTCGAGAACGAAGTATGCGTCTGCGTCATGTTCTCAGCAGCCCTTGGGTCGCCAAGATACCTTCTTCCACGCGAAGCATGGGAGACGACGGCGTGTTGACGGCGGGGCCGATTTAGGTTACTCGACGCGTTCTATGCGCGCTATCATCTTCTCGGAAACCGGAATCCTCCCTATCCTACACCGCAGACTCATTCTCGCTCTGCGCTTCTTCAAGCGCATGCTCGAACTGCCCGCAGACACCATTGCCGCCCATGCCTTTCGCGACGCTCTTGAACTCTATGGCGCGGGCCGACCCGGCTGGATAGGTGACCTCGCCACTGGCTTGCGCCGCCTCGAGCCTATCCCCGTTCATGTCGACTTCGTGCATGTACGTTCCGCCGCCCACGTGGATACCATCATCGGGCGTGTTGAGGCATCCGCCCATGATGGTGTGCGCCGCGACCTCACTGCTGCCTCGCGCACGCACCTGCTCCTCAACCGGGTGGAGGTGGACAAGCGCGGCCAGCAGTCTTCGAAGACCATCCAGTACCGAGCCTATCTTGACGTCGAGACCCCGCATCACAGGAAGGCGCTGACCCGCGCCCTCACCGGAGAGCACAGCCTGCTCAGCGTGCGTGGTGGCTGGTCCGACCGCGGGGAAAGCACCAAGCCCGAATGGCGGCTCTGCCGCTTCTGTGGCAGCGCGGTTGAGGACGCCCCTCATGCTCTTTTCAGCTGCGCGACGCGGGCCGACCTCTCTCATCTGCGTCATGTCTTTTGGTGCGATATTGTCGACTTGCGCGCTGACGTGCGCGAAGCGAACGCGGATGTAAACACTTGGCTACCTGCGCTTTGTGGGATTCGTAACGCCGTGCCTCGCCTGGCGAAGTATGTCCACGACGTGCTCGATCTCTTCTCTCTCCATCGAGCGTATGTGCCTCCGAGAGAAGGCTGGGAGAAGAGTAAAGGGAGGACGAAGGAGACCGACAGGGATTAACACGGCACTTGGGAGAGACCTGGACGTGACTCCACGATGGGGGAGGGGGAAGCCGTAAGGGTAATTTCATGTGTTGTTTGGCTCCGTAGCACTGGTTGTAGCGCGACTTGTGTAGTACGGGCACCCCGTATGTTCCTGATGGGACCGCTCGGGTGAATTCCAGTCCAGTCCACGCCCGGCTGACCTCGTAGGTGTCAATTGTAGCGCGGCACCGAGAAATGCTGAAGATATTTTCAGGACAGTGCCCTTGCGGCACTTGATGCCGATTACCAGACCGTCCTCAGAAATATGTACGTGCACGAAGGCATATATTGCATAATCGAGAGCGAATATTCTTCTATGTGGAGGGACGCATCGGTCAGGCCCGTGCGGGACATCACTTCTCTCTCGTGTTTACTTCTCCTTCATTCAACTGCAAGCCTTCTGTCCCACGCTCCTAGCGCATCGGCATACCACCCGCCTTCGTCTCGCACGACGAGTGGTGGCCAGAGCGTGATTGTCTTGAGTGCGGCGCGCCGCCTGACAAGGGGCTCGGTCGAGAGAGATGATACACTTGTCGCCGCAGAAGGGACGTCGTGGTCCAGTGCACATTATTCGCTCTAGTGTCACCTGTATCATAAGTTACTGAGTCCTACCTTCTTCTCACCGCCCCCTGCCCTCGCCTCGCTCCACTCCCTGCCCTCGCGCTGCTGGCCCCACACCTCCCGCTAACCCCTCCTCGCCTCCAGCCCCATCGCCTGCGCCACAAAGCCCCACTTATCCGCCGCCTCCTGTATCCGCTTCTCCGTCGACTTCCCCGCACCGTGGCCCGACTTCTTGTCGACGCGCAACAGCAGCGGATGCGGGTTTCGCGGATGCAGATACTGCAGCGTCGCCGCGTGCTTGAACGAGTGCATCGGCACCACGCGGTCGTCGTCTAGGAATCCAGTCAGCGCCAGATTCTCGGCCTCAACCGTCAGCCAGCTCCACCCAATCCCTCTAACGCATAAAATGAAGAGGGGGAGAGTCCGAATGAGCTGAATATGAACACGACCACGCACGATCAGCAGTCAACAAAATCGTCGGCGGCAGCACCCTGTCCGTCGGCACATTATGCAACGGCGAGATCGGGTAGATAAAGTCAAAGTCCTTCGGGTCATGCGGGTCGCCGTAATCGCCGCACCACGCCTTCCCGATCGTGAAGTCGGCGAACTTGAGGAGGTCGAGGACGCCGACCTCGGCGACGGCGGCGCCGAAGGTGCCCTCGGGCGCGCGGTTCACGCAGGCGCCGACGAGGAGGCCTGAGGAGGAGGAGATATGAGCACAAGCACAGCATGGCAGGGAACGAAAGATAGCGCCCACCTCCATTCGACCCGCCATTGATCGCCACCTTGCCCGGCGCAGCATACTTATTCTTGACGAGGTACTCCCTGCGTCCTCGTTAGCTCTCAGACGGCATCAAATATAGACGGCCCAACTCACGTCGCAGCAATGAAATCATCAAACACATTGACCTTCCTCTCCCTCGTGCCTGCCAAATGCCAGTCCTCGCCAAACTCGGCCCCACCCCGGATGTTCGGCACGGCCAGGATCGCGTTGTACCGCTGGCAGAACGTCATCATCATCGGGCTGAAGAACGGGTTGATGGAGATGCTGAAGCCGCCGTAGCCTGAGAACCTTCGTCAGCGAGCATGCACACCGAGCGAGGGCGATGCGGTAAGGACACAGCCGGTCGACACTGCGATACGAAAACGCACCATACTGTATCGCCGCAGCCGTCCCATCGAGCGGCGTATCCTTATGCCTCACGATAAACATCGGCACCTTCGTCCCATCCTTACTCTCATACCACTCCTGCAAAAACACCCATCAGCACCCAACCCTCACACCTCCCTCACCGGCCCTCCACCCACCTGCCTCGCCTCAAAGTCCTCCGGATTAACCCCCTTCACCACCGTCGACCTGATCACCTCCCACCTCCTCCCCTCCTCCCGCTCGCCAAGATCATACCGCGCGATCGTCTTCGGCGTATTGAACCCCGTCATCTCCACGAAGAACGCGCTCTCGTCCCTGTGCCCCACCACGCCCGCCGCGCCCACAAAGTCCTCCGCTAGCCTCCGGATGCGCTCGCCCGCCTTCGTGTACACGTACACCTCGTCCTTGACGTCGCGGGTGTAGACGATGATCAGGTTCTCGCCGACGAGGGTCGCGTCGGAGAGCTGCGCAGTCGTACTGTGGGGGATGATGTCCTTGAACTCGGGCTTGGGAGAGGCGATGTCGACGGAGACGACCTTCTCGTTGGGCGCGCCGCGGTTGGTCTTGAAATAGAATACCGTGCCGTCGTTGCCAAGGCTGAACGGGGTGAGGTTAGAAACGGAGAAGCGCATGCATAGGACGAAGGACGCTGCGCACTATCCAAAGTCGCCATCGAACTCGTCGACAAGCTTGATCCAATTCATCTGCGGCCCAATCTCATTCTTCTCGAGGTCAGCGATCCAAAGGAGGTTATTCTGCGTGTGATATGTCAGTGAGAGGCTCACTACATCTCCAAGATAGATCCTCACCCTCGTCGTATCCTTCGACGTCGACATCATGAGGTAACGTCCGTCGCGAGAGCTGATTCCCGTAAAGAACATCCAATCCGGGTTCTTGCTGTCCTCATGGACGAGGATGTCCTCGGCTAAGGGAGGAGGATCAGCATATGGAGAGGATAGGTCGACGGAATGAGTCGCGCTGGAAGGACGTGACGGCCGGGAAGCGATAGCGGGTCAGAAGGGCGGCGGAAGAGCATGGAGTACGGTGCGGATGCACGGCCTAGACAGGAATCGGAGACGGATGACGAGCTCAAGAACGTACACTGCTTCGTCCCAACGCGGTGGTAATAGATCTTCGCGTCCTTATCCGCACCGGTCGTGATAGCATCCTCCGACGAGGCCGCAAGTTTGCTCTGGTCGGGGTAGCGCTGCGGAGGGCTTAGCGAAAGGTCGAGACTCCAGGCATGTCTTCACGAGACGAAAAGTAAGTATAGAAGTAGCTGCGCGCACCTGGTAGAAAAAGCCCTTCGAGTCGTGCGTCCAAGTGATGCCCGAGAACTTCACATTGCGAAGCTCGTCTGGCAAGCGTTCGTCGTCGTGCGAGGGCTTCTTGCCGTCAGCCTCAGCGAGGGGCTTGTCCGAGGGGCGGACGTAGATGACGGAGGAGTCGCCGCCCTACCCGGCTAGTCAGAGGGGAGGTGGCCAAGTAGAGATCATGAGCCGCGCACAGAGTAAGAAAGCGCGTACGCGAAGTACTTCTCGCACTTCGACGCCTTGTAGGTCGCGATCGACACCGTGCCGTCTTCCGAGAGGAGATTGGGCTAGCAAAACGATTCAAGGGTCAGAAGGGGTGTGTGATGGACAGATAGCACAGGATGACTGATAGACGCACGTCAAAGAAGACCTCGCCGGGCTCCTTGTCGGAGGAAAAGTCTGGCAGGCTTCCGTCCTTCGAGCGGTACAGCACTGTTCGGGGGCGGATCAGCACGCGAAGCACCGGGCGAGGCGGGGGACGCACCGGACTGTGCCTGCAGCCCGCTGTTGTACCACCAGTACCACCGCGAGTCGGTCGTGTGCGTGAAGCGGAACGGCGCGGAGAACTGCGCGCCCAGTCGCGGGTCAGCCCGTATACAGCAACTGTCAGATCCGACCACGCACCTTCGCATAGTTATACGACTCCGTGAACGCCTTCTGCAGCGCGTCGCGGTCCGGGTTCTGGTCGAGGTACGCGCGCGCAAACGCCTCCTGCGCCGTCGTCCACGCGTCCGTCTCCGCCGAGTGCGCCTCGAGCCACTGGTACGGGTCGTGCACGCGCACCTCACCCTTCGCAGCGCTCTTGTACACGTCCACATGCTCCGACCGGCGCGCCTCCGGATAGCGCACCGTCTTCGTGTCCCAGGGTGTCGGTGGCATCGCTCGCGCACAGCTCGACGACAGCGATCGGCAGGGAGCGGGAAACTGGGTGGGGAAAAGCAGTCGGCTCGCGGGGAGCCTGGTCGAGGACAAGATGCGCGCTCTGGCAGGCGCGGCGAGGCGGTGGGCACCCCGAAGCATCGATCCGCGCTGCATACTTGTACCTTCCAGCGCCGGTTTCTATTTCCGGACGCGCTTGTCTGCAAAAGGAGGCCTTCCGCTTTGGGCAGCCCCGCGTTCACTCCCGATCACCCGATCACGCCGCTTGCCTCCGCGCGCCGTGCCCCCACTGCCTCCCCGCCTCCCCTTCGACCCCGCGTGGCCCCGCCGCCGCCAATTCAGTCGTCACTCACCGCCTATTCAGTCCCCGGTGTCGCGTGCGCACGCCGTATATTGAACAATACAACCCGAGCAGTTCTCCACGAATGCGATGGCTTCGATTCGAGCGCGATTTCTGTGATACCCAGCACCATGCGAACGTGATACTCGTCGCGATGTGCACTGATCACCAAGCCTCTCATGTGCACACTCGTGCCACACATCGATGCGCGCCAGATGAACTCGCGATGGGCTTGGGCGAATGAGTCGGTGGCGCGCACGCGTCCACCCCGTTCGCCCTTCCATCCCTCATTCCGCATCCCCAGTTCCTCGCCGCCCTCCCCATCTCCATCTAGTTCCCCATCCTGCTCTGTACTGACTCCGCGACACTGCTCGGGCCATCCTTCTCAACGGAGGGGACGTCCCATATCTCATGTCAGGCTCCCTCCATCACACGCCGGGCGCCCTTGCTACGCACTCACCCACCGCCGTCCATGCAATTTCGGCCTCTTCGGACGTCCCTCGATGCTACCTCACCGACCTCCCTCGAAATTTTGCTCACCCTGGACGCACAGCGCAGCAGGAACGAGCACCTTAGTCTCCCATGGACAGCGCCTCCCGCGCGCGCCAGCGATGCGCAATAGAGCGACATTTGGCCGATCTTGGGCGGATTCACGTCGAAGGCGCCTCTGACGAGTTCCATCCTCGTGTATCTTCACACTTTTGGGCGGCTTTCGCGTGGTCGGATACGGTATGCGTAAACAGAGACCACCTTCGTCAGGCTTCATATGCGGCTTCGGCCAAATCGGACGTTGTTCAGGTTGGCGTGAGCCTAGAGAACCCTAGTGAGTACCCATAGAAGCGGCCCCGGTTAGTCGAAGATTGCGTTCAGACGTGTGAAGATCGCATATAGACGCCGCGTGGAGAACGCCGGACATTGCCAGAGATTAGATTTCGAACACGAGAAGGTCAAACAAAGGATCTGGCTTACCTCAAATCAGTATAGACGAATGGCTTCGGACAGGGCGAATGCGGCGCGCAGACCAGCAAGCGGGATGGAGAGGCATCGACGTGCGACGGAGATGCGCACCTCCGCTTCACACTAGCGTGCCCCGGGACGTCTTCCCAACGGCGACTCCTTCCTTTTGCTGAGAGTAATGGCGGCGCAGTCATGTCTAACGATGCCGAGGGACTTATGGGGAGTCATGCAGCTTGGTGAGTTCCATACGGGACATGCGGCTGGGGTATCTTCCATGTCATGGTGCTTGGTGACTTTCCTGCCGCCTTATTGAAAGTGACGCGGTTCCAATCTTCCCGTTCATATCCGACGATTTCTTGCGCACCTTAGTCAGTACTTAAGCGCTACACCTGGTTAGCCCCACGTGAGTCCTGTACCTCCGCGTCAGGATCCGCAGTGGACGAGTCTGTACGTACTACACTGCACAATCAGTGGATGAGGATCGTGCTGACGGCAAGACGGGCCTCGTAAGGGATGAAGCGTGGGGGTGGTGACTTTACTCACCAGAGTCGGCGTCAAAATCCACCGAGCTGAGCAACAGGACTCGCTAGATTGAGCGCGAACAAGTTGAAGCCGACACGACAGGCATAATGCTATCCATGGGACAACTGCTTCGAGCACGCTTACTACTCTTGATTCGCGGGCAGAGACGGCGTGCGGTGGTCGGCAGTAAGTAGTTCAAGGCGCCAGCTGTGGCCCGGTCGCGAGGTCGGCTATGGCCAAGTCGCGAGCGTCGGCTATGCCCATATCGTGAACGTCGCCTGTGATCATGTCGCGAGCATCGCATCAGCGACTTCGAAGTCGTGGACATCGGGAGTCGGTCGTGACTGTCGGGAATCAGTCGCGAACGTCGGGGGCCAGAGTTGGCGCGCAAGACAGCGGGCTTGGGTATGTTCTCTGCGCGGGATTGGGTCCGTTCCCTGCGCGTACTCTAATTTACGACGTACTCTTGCCCTTCAAGAATTGGCGCATGCACTTCCACAATGAGCGCACGAGGGCAGTCGAGACGCCTACATCGCGGGCAAGCCACCTGCGGCTCATTATCGTGAGGACCCGGCATATGCAGACGCTATGTCGACGGTGAAAGCTGAGCTGGCTTCGAGAGGTGAGCCGGCTTCGAGAGGTGAGATCTGAAATGAGCTACGCAGTGACTGAATCCTACACGGAAGGCGGCAGTCATGTCCTGCAAACGCGGATGTGAGCTCAGCATCGGGGTCGCATCCACCATCCTGCACGGTCGCGTCCAACATCGTGAAAAGTGAGCTGCAGCTACGCCACAATCCATCATATCTCTCCATTACGGAGCGCAATACGTACAATAGATCTATGTCTGGTCGGGTCGTTCGTGGTGTCGTGCCCTTCATGGTGTCGCGTCTATGCCCCCTCGCCTCCCCTCCTCCCCTGCACCCTCCCCTCCTCCCCACCTCCTCTACCTCTCCCTCTCTCCCCTCCCTCCCCTCACACCCCTTCCTCCCCGCCTAGTCGTGTACCCTCCCCTCCCTCGCCACCGCCGCCCTCCTCAACGCCCACGCCAGATTCTCGTACACGACAAACGTGACGCACGTGCCCGGGAGGACGCGGACGATGTTTGTGCTGGGGTTGGGTTGGGTGGTGGTTAGTATTCGTTCGTCGACCCGACACTGCGGGGAGCACTTCCTCAACGCATCCGCCTCGCCGCGCTTCTTCATCACATCACCCTGCACCGCGCCTCCCCAACGCATTCGTCTACACCTGGTCTCCCCACCGACCGAACGCGCCTCCCCACCGAACGAACGCGCCTCCCCACCGAACGAACGCGCCTCCCCACCGAACGAACACTCACCCCAACCCCCGATAAAACCCCCGCACGCCCTCCCTCGCCCACGTGCGTTTGATGGTCTCCGGTATGGTCGGGTACGTCGCGCCCGTGGGGTCGTTCTGGGGAGAGTGGTGGTTAGCTTCGGGGACTCTGCGATGATGGACTTCGGGAAATCTGTGATGATGGGCTTCGGGAACTCTGTGATGATGGGCTTCGGGAACTCTGCGACGATGGGCTGCAGGAGTCCCGCGACGGGTGACATTCGACGAAAGCGAAGCGCCCGACGCAACCGCTGCGGCCCAGGGACGCCCGCGCAGGTGCAGCCCAGCGACGCTCACGCAGGTGCGGCCCAGCGGCGCCCACACATGTGCAGCCCAGCGGCGCACGCGCAGGGCACGTCACGTTGTGCTATCCTCTTCCTCCCTCCCCTTTCTCTCCCTCCCCTCCCCCAAACCACCCTTTCACCTCAAATCCCAAAACCCCTCCCAAACCCAAAAACCCAAACACTCACCTGCATCCTCGACCGCACCACCTGATAGGGATACGTGCTCACGAGCGCGCCGAGCTTGGAGGTGCCGGACATGAGCGTGTACGCGGTGTTGGACTGTTAGGGTGCGGTCGGATTTTGGTTTTAGTGTGTTGGTGCGGGTGGGTTGAGTATCGTTTCATGGTTCGTCAGTTGGGGGGAGGGTTAGTTAGTGTGTCATCGGTGTTTTGTTTGTTATAATTGAGGTGTTAGTGGAGAGGGGTGCGGGTGGGGGTGGGAGTGAGGGCGAGGGCGAGGGAGGGGTGGGTTAGAATGGGGATGCGGGTGAGGTGGGGAGGGGTGGGGAAAGGGGTGGGGAAAGGGGTGGGGATAGGGGTGAGGGAAGAGGGGGTGGGGATAGGGGCGAGGGAAGGGGATAGGGGTGAGGGAGAGGGAGGGGGGAAGAGGGAAGAGGGAGGGGGGAAGAGGGAAGAGGGAGGGAAGGGGGGAGTGAGGGAATGAGGGAAGGAGCGTAGCGAACTCACCAACTTCTCCACACTCGGATCCCACACCCCGCCCTCCTGTTCAACTCTCCTCCTCCGCCTCCCAAACGCCCACCCCTTCATCTCCTCATACAACATAAACTGTATGGCCCCGTTACTGACTCCAAAAAGAGCCAGGGTGGTCCCGCGGAAGAGCCCGGGGAGACCTTCGGTGCGGGCGAGGGTGGTGAGGCCGTCTGGGGGGTGGGTTAGGAAGGTTATGGGATAGGGATGGGGCTACAAGAAAGTGTCTGGGGACGACAAGAACAGTGTCCGGGGACGACAAGAAAGGTCGCCGAGGACCACAAACAACGTCCTCTTCCAACCATTCCAACCGCCCATTCCCCACAAACAAACCAACCATCCCGATCGAAACAGAAGAGATCAACCACTCACCCCACAGCCCGCGGTACGCGCCCGGCGCGTCCGCCGGGGTCGTGAACATGCGGACCTTGACGACCCAGAGCGGGTTCGTCATGATCGCGGTGACGGCGCCTGTGAGTGGAGGGTGGGGTAGAGGGGAGGGGGAAGGGGAAGAGCGGGGAGGGATGGAGGGGATGAGGAGCGGGTGAGGGATGGTGGGGACGGGCGGGTGAGGGTAAGGAGAAGGGAGGGGAGGGGAGGGGTTGAAAGGAAGAGAGGCGAGGAGATGAGGTGAGGTGAGGAGCGGGGGAGGGAGGGAGGAAGGAAGGGGTGGGAGGAGGAGAGGGTGAGAGGTGTGGGGAGGTGAGGAGAGAGGGAGGTGGTGCGAGGGAGGTGGTGCGAGGGAGGTGGTGCGAGGGAGGTGGTGCGAGGGAGGGGAAGGGAGGTGAGGGGAAGGGAGGTGAGGGGAAGGGAGGAAGCAGTCAGCAAGCGTGCAACGACAGCAAACAAAGGGCGGGCCGGACTTGCTTGTGCGGAGCAGAGGAGGTACTCGGAGGCGGAGAGGGGTTTCGTGAGATCGCCGCCGGAGGCGCGTTTCTTGAGCATGTTGTAGCTGGGGAGCGGGTGTGAGCAGAGGATGAGGGGCGTATGGGCAGCGCATATGATCGACGACGTGATTGAAGTGTGTAAGGCGTGAAGACGGCACTCACAACAAAAAGTACAGCCCCCAACTACTCGCATTGCCCGCGATATTTGGTACTAGCCCGCGGTACAAGCCTCGCCAGCCCTGCGTTCTTTGTATGTCCTTGAGCGCGTGCCAGATCTGGGTGCCGACGCCGCCGGATGAGGCAGTAGTGGCGACCTGGAACTTGACCTTGAGGAGGTCGAGGGGGTTCATGCAGAGGGTGTTGACGATGCCGGCGCCGATGCCTGCGGCGGCATGGTCCTGGGGGAGGGGAGGGCGAGTGACGGCGGCGTGGATGAGAGGAAGGTGATGACGGAGGGGTAGATGAACAGATGCAGGAAGGAATGGGTGATTGGGATGGAAGGCAAGAAAGGGTTAGGTCGGTAAAGCACACCAAGCAGGATGACTCGCAGACTTACGAGCGCGGCGGTGGGGAAGAAGCTCGGCGGCTGCTTTGGTAACGGCGTCGAGCTCATCGCGGCCCAATCACACCCAAGCTACGCGTGCACAGTCGTCGTCCGTCCAGCGTCCCGAGGAAGCAGGGTCGAAGTCGTCCTCGGAGGCAGGCGCGCGTCGGGGAAGGGCGTCGACGATGATGCAATTTGTCCGAACAGGTAGGAAGGCCGGGCCGAATGAGCACGTGTACGTGGTTTGTGATCGCGGGCGCTAAATCGCCCGAGTTGACCCTCCGTTCGCTTACCTCTCCTACTTGCTCGCTCGCTCTCTCACTCACTGTCCGCGCACGGGACGACGGGTTGCTGATACGCTACTGGGAAACGATGTGAGTGGGCTAATGCTGGTAGGGCGCGGCGTGGAAGGCTCAGGTCAAACAGAGTGGCGCGTTCAACCTCTTCCACCCATGAGCAATGTCGGCCAGCAGATGGCCTCTGGTCCGTTCTATTCTCGTCCTGTGTCCTACGCTGCAACTCACTTCAACCCCGCGCAGGCGCCCTCTCCGGCTTTGCGTCCACCGTCTGCCTCCAGCCTTGTACGGCCTGCCCTTCCCCGCACTTCACCCCACACTCACTCACCTGCCTCCAGTCGACCTGCTGAAGACGCGACTGCAACAGTCTGATGGTCGGTCAAAGACGCCACAGTACGTGCATACTCTTTGCTTATGTCCGACGTTGACACGCTTTCAGCCGCCCCGCCGTCCTCATCGACACCATACGCCAGGTCCTCGCCGAACGAGGTCCGCTTGGCTTGTGGCGAGGGACAGGCGCGACATTGATACGGTGCGCGCACATCCCTCCTTCTCCTCATCATATTCCGTCCCATACGTGCATTCATCTCCGCCCGACTAACACGCCCTCCCAGCAACGTTCCCGGCGTCGCCCTCTACATGACCGGCCTCACCCAGCTGCGCTCCCTCATGGCCCGCGCGCCCCTCTTCTCCGTCTTCCAGATTCCCGTCGCAGACGGCGTCGTGCTCGACGGCAGGAAGCGGTGAGTGCCTCATTCGCCTCACCCCCTTCTCCCTACACCCCTCATACCACCCCCACACCCCTCCCTCTCCCTCTCCCCACTCTTTTGCCTTCCCTCCCCCTTCCCCTCCCCACTCTTTTGCCTTCCCTCCCCCTTCCCCTCCCCAAACTAACCCCCCTCCCCAGCACCTCCGTCCTCCCCAAACTGACCCCCACGGGCAACCTCCTCGCCGGCGCCACCGCCCGCGTCGCCGTCGGGTTTCTGCTCAACCCCTTCTCGGTGCTCAAGGCGCGGTTCGAGGTGAGTCCGGCCAGTGGGCGCTATGGGTGTGTGCTGACGGATGCTTCGCCCCTCCCTTCCCCCTCCCCACAAACCCACCCCTCCCCTCTCCCTTCTCTCACCTTCCTCCCATCCCCCCACAAAAACCCACCCACAACCCCTCCCTCCCCTCTCCCTTCTCCCTTCGTAAAAAATATCAAACCCTCCCCCCCATCAAACCTCTCCAATACTCAAACTACCCAAAATCGTCGTCAAAACCCACCAAACTCCACCAAACTCCACCAAAACCCAACAAAAAAATCGTCGTCAAAACTCCTCCAGTCCTCCACCCACCCCACCACCCACCTCCCCCTCCTCCCCGCCCTGACGCGCCTCCTCCGCGCCGGGCCCCGCGAGTGCCTGCGCGGCTTCCTCCCCTCCGCGCTGCGCGACGCGCCGTACGCGGGGTTGTTCGTGGGCGCGTATGAGGCGGGGAAGCGGTGGGGGGGTGAGTTGGGTTTTTTTAATTGCGTTTATATAATGGGTTGTGGGATTGGGGGGGGGGGGGGGGTTGATTTGGTCTGAGCACGGCTGTCGTGTCTGGGCAAGGCTTTCGTGGCTGGGCAAGGCTTTCGTGTCGGGATATGCCTTTTCGTGCTCTATCTAGTTGGATCATCGCGGCTGCACGCCGTCAGCTCAAGGCTGCAGACCTGTCATGTGCGCCCCTTGCCATGAACCAGCGTTCGTCTAACCATCCACTCACCCTTTTCCCTACCCTATTCCCCCAATCCCCACCCGCTCCCCCTACCCCACCCGCTTTCGTCCTACCCACCGCCCACCAATCCCCTACCCCTCCCCACCCGCCTCACACCCCCTCCCCCCTCCTCACACCCTAACTAACTAACCACCCCCCGCCAGCCACCCTCGCGCCCCCCGGCACACCGGCCGGCATGATCCACAGCGCGAGCACCGCCGCGATCATCAACAGCGCGAGCGCGGCGGCCGCGGGCGCACTAGCGACACTGGCGACGCACCCGTTCGACGTGGTGAAGGTGCGTGTGCTTAGGGCGTTGCGTTTGCGTGTGCTTGCTTGTCTTGGATTCTTTTACGATGCGAGGGGTTTTCCGCTGAGTAGGGGGTTCCTTCATTCCTCGCACGCGAACGTCCTCTCGCACCCATCCTAGCCCCCTACCCCTCTTCCTTTCCCCCTCCCTACCCCTCTTCCCACCCACACCCCCCTCACTACCCCTCCCTCTCTCCCTCCCTCCCTCCCCTCTCCCACTCTTCCTTCCCTACTCCCTAACACTCGCTCACGCTCCCTCCCCCAGACCAAAATCCAAGTCCGCGAAGAGGCCCGCTACCGCGGCTTCTGGCGCACGTGCGCGACGGTGTGGGAGGTGAGTGGTTGGTGTTGGTTTGGGGTGGTTGGTGGGAGTGGAGGGAGAAGGATGGGTGAAGGAGAAGGATGGGTGAAGGAGAAGGATGGGTGAAGGGGGAGGGAGGGGGACGGCGTGTTTGTGGTTGGCGTCTTCGGTAGTTGGCGAGTTTGGGCTCTTTGTCATCCGCTCCCAGCTGGGGCGGATGCGCGCCGGGTTGCGCACATGCGGAGGGGAACGCAGGCGGGCGAGCTGAAGGAATTCAAGCGCTGCTGACTGACGCTTGGGTCTGCAGCGCTGCGGACTGGCCAACGAATGTGACGCGCTACTTATTGACTCCTGAATTTGACGCGCTGCCGCCTCTTGGATCTGAAGCGACACTAACCCCCCACCACCCAGCACCGCGGCCCCCTCGGCTTCTTCGACGGCGTGTCGCTCCGGCTCTCGCGCAAGGTCCTCTCCTCCGTCATCGGTTGGGCCGTGTACGAGGGCGTGCTCCTGTTTATTCACGATCAGGGGGTGGCTGCCAAGCTGCTTTGATTCGGCGGGTGAGGGAGGGAGGGGAGGGAAGTGGAGAGGGGATGGAAGAGGGGAGGGGAGGGGTGAGGATTGGGTGAGGAGCAAGGGGCGATGCAGGGGAGGGAGCGGAGCAAGGGGCGATGCAGGCGAGCAGAGGAGTGCGCGAGGTGGATGCGGGAGATGGTCAGGAGAAGAGTGGAGACAGTCGCACGACGTACCCACGGACAAGCCATCACTCACCACACGGCTCACCGCGCTTGTAGCCCTAGTCAATCTCACCTCACTGCTTTGCTTGCATCTATGCCTCACCTCACCTCATTGCTTTGCTTGCATCCATTTTGCTTTGCTTGCATCCATTTTGCTTGCATCTATCCTGCTTGATGCGCCTCAACTTGCAACCTCGCGACCGTCCACTTTAGACCCCTCCACCGGGACGTCCACTTGTGACCCCTCCACCGGGACGTCCACTTGAGATCCCTCCACCGGGACGTCCACTTGTGACCCCTCCACCGGGACGTCCACTTGTGACCTCGAGGCATCCAATGACAACTTCGGAGGGCGCACAGCACGCAGACGAAGGCGAAAGCAAGCAAGGGAAGATCGCATCAACGCAAGCAAGGGAAGATCGCATCAACGCAAGCAAAAGTAACCAAAGCACCAGCGCAAGCAACTAAAGCAACGCGCAGGAAACACTGTTGGCAGAAACGAACCACAAGAAGCACGCGCAGCGGGTATTAACATAGAGCAGCAAACAGAAACCTCAGATAGCCAAGACAAGGGTAAGGTAAAGATACTAGAAAAAGCTTTTCATGAGGGCCGCCGGTGACCGTCCAGAGTACGATTGCAAGCCGATACGCCCTCTACCCCACAGGGTACGACATTGGCTTGACACCCCTCACCCCAACCACTCACTCCCTCCCACCCCTCCCCCTCCCCCCGCCCGGCGCCAACCCCGCCGCCGCGAACCCCCGCTGCATGAACCCGCCGCCCCCACCGCGGCCTCCCCTCCCCCTCCCGCGCCCGCCGGGCCCCGAGTCGCGGTTGTCGGAGGCCTGCTTGAGCTCGGGGATCGTGCCGTCCTTGAGTTTCTGCGCGGGGAGGGTTAGTGTGGGTTTGGGTGAGGGAGAAGAGGGGGTGGGATGGTCAGTATCGAACTCAACGACGATGAAGACGGGCATGAAGATGCGCAGATATGGATGTTCTCTGCCACAGATTATGCCACGAAAATGCGCCGCCCACGACATTGAACGCCGTCCCGAGCACATCATACGAAGTCCCAAGCACATCAAACGACGTCCCGAGCACACCAAACGACGTCCCGAGCACATTCTTAAACCGAGAGAACCCAAAACTCACCTCCCCATTCCGCTCCAACCCCGCCTTCATCGCCTCCTCGTCGCCAAACTCGATGTAGATGATCTTTTGCGCGCGCCCGGTCGCCGTGGGCGGGTAGACGACCTTCGTGATCTGGAGCGTTCGCGTCAGCATTCGATCCAACACTTCCCTGATCCACTCCGCTGCATCCACCCTCCCCCGGACGCTCCCAACTTTCGCTCGCAGGTCGTCGCCCGTCAGGTCGTCATTACCACCCCACAACAGCCCAAGCAACACAAATCTAACCCACACACTGCAAAGAAAAAAAAAAAAAAAAACTCACCCCACCCCGCGCCGGCCCGAAAAACTCCCTGACCTCCTCCTCGCCCGCGCCGACCATCGACCGCCAGAAGATCGTCCACGGGTTCCGCGGCGGCCGCCCCGACTTGGGCGTCCGCGCGCCCGTCGACTCGCTCGGCGACTTGAGCTGCTCGTCGTCCGGGACGGGGGACAGCGTCGCCTCGCCGGCGTCGGATCTCGGGGCGTCGGGCTTGCCAGTCCCTTCAGGTTTAGACGCGCCCTCCGCCTTGCCAGTCCCTTCAGGTTTGGACGCGCCCTCCACCTTCCCACCCGCGCCGCCCTCCGCCTTCTCGCGCTCGGCCTGCGCCGCCTTCTTCTGCTCCAACTTCTCCTTCTTCTTCTGGTTCTTGCTCTTCTCCGGCTTGCCGTCGCCGCCCGCCGCGCTCGGGACCGGGCTCGTCGCCACCGCATTGCCGTTCGGTGCAGGCGTCGTCGGCTTCGTGCTGCCCTCCGTCTTCGTGCTACCCTCAGGTTTCGCGCTGTCACCGTCCGTCTTCTTGCTGGCATCGGGCACCGGGCTCGCGGGGTTCGGTGTCGGGCCCGTGGACTTGAGATGCGGGGGCAATTGGCGGTCGTTCGCAGGCGGTGCGGGCGTCGGGCCCTTGGTGGGCGCCTGGCTCGACGCGTTCGTCGTCACGGTGTTCTGGGGGTGGGGAGAGGCCGGGGTTGCCGCGGTCGTCGCCGTGCGGCGGTACGCGTAATTGAAGCCTGTCAACTGTATTCAGTGCCAGAAATGATAAGCAGAACCCTAGTATCGCACCCTGGCTCTTCAGCTCCGCGCTAACGCGCCCTTCGCGGATGTCGAGCGTGAGGGCGCCAAACGCCGCGTCGCACAGGTTCCAGTTCCAGCAGTTCTTCCACGACGGCTCGTCGCCCGCGGGCGGCTGCGGGGGCGGTATCCGCTCGATCACGCTGAGCGCCTTCTCAAGCAAGACCCTCTGGTGCTCGTCGATCACGAGCTCGACCTGGTTCTTCACCGTCTCCCACACGCGCTCGAACGACTCCTTCCCCGCCTGCAGCTTGTGCCGGAAGCCCTCAAAGTCCGGCTGCACGCTGAACTCGTTGTAGCTCGTCGCGTAGCGGAAGTGCAGCCCGGCGGATATCGTCAGGTCCGCCTTCAGCACGAGCGCCAGCTGCGCCATGATGCCCTCGCGCCCCGGGCTCGCGTGCGTGACGAGCAGCCGCGTCTCGCTCTGGTCGAACACGCGCTGCGCCGTGTCCACCAGCTCGCCGATCTGCAGCGCCGTCGTCCACATCGTGCCCTGCCCGCCCGCGATCGTCGCGCTCCCCTCCCCGTTGTCGAACATCTTGTGCGGGACGTGCGCGCCGCCGAGCCCGAGCAGCCGCAGCTTCACGCCGCCGACGTCGAGCAGCCGCGTCGTCGCCTCGTCGAGCACGTGCAGGTTCTCGACGCTGACGTGCCCCGCGCGCACCTTCTCCAGCACCGCGACGTCCTCGCACGCGCCCCACACCGTGTACACCGGCACCTGCAGCTTGATCTGGCCGGAGAGCAGGAGGGGGAACTCGGAGAGCAGGTTGATGTTCACCGTCTGCCGGATCGTCGACGCGCTGTTCTCCGGCGCGAGCAGGTGCTGGCGCTGCGCGGCGGGGATGAGGGGGGAGTACATGGTGAGGTGCCGCAGGGTGCGGTCGTTGATGCGCTGCAGGCTCTCCTCCTCAAAGAAGCCAAAGTCCCCTGTGTGGATGACGGCGTGCGCGTTCGCCTCTCGAGCCAGGTCGTTCAGCGCGGACAGGCGTCCTCTTATGTCGGCGATGCAGAGAATGCGGCCATGCTGGGAGTCGAGCACCTTCGTTTGCGTGTTGACCTGGTATGGACGGGGGAGAGGAGACGCTCCTGGCCGAGTAGATGTAGATGCCGGACGAGACATGGTGGGTAACAGGGACAGTGGCAGTAAGAGTCAACTCGTCAAGCGCCCGACTTTAGAAAAACAAAGCACGCGGCGAACAGAGGGGGTGCACCACGTGACGTCACCCCGCCAACAACCGCTCGTCTTCTCGGACGATCCTTTGACTGTGAGACTAGCTTTGTCGTTCTATTGTGATTGCTTTCAAGCATGCATGCTTTGTACCAAGACAAGACATGCACTTTTTAGCTGTCGAACATCGTATTAACTGATAACCCCAACTCTCCCATCTACTGCTGCTTCTTCGTCTGCGCGTTGAAGCCCTTCGGCGCGTCCAAACGCAGGGGGCTCTGGATACTCGACAGCGCCTTGATACCCGCCATCATCACTGGTACCAACACGAAGAACACAACCAGAAGACTAGTGATCAGGCCCGGCGTCAGGAGCTGATATTTCTTGAGGATGCCGCCCTCGGGAGGCGCGAAGGCTTTCTGCGAGACGTTTGCCGCCTCCTCGCCAAGCTCAGCGAAGGGATTCGTGTACGGGTCCTCGTCCGCGGCGCTGTCGTACTGGCGGCGCGTCAGGTGCTGGGACGGGGTAGAGCCCGTGTAGATGACAAGGTGCTTGGGGAACTTGGCAGTGATAGCCTCGAGCATGGTGGAGAAGGATGCGTCTGCGGCATATTCAGTTCGTCAAGCTTGCTTGATATTAGGGTGATCACGCACCGCTCTCCTTCATGCACTCCTTGCGACCTCCGTGGTGGGAGTCAACGTCCGGAAGGATCATACTAATGACATGCTTCGCGCCCTCGATGAAGGTGGGCTCCTCCTGGTGCGACACCTTCAGCAGGCGCGCGTCGCACTGCGAGGATACGGCCTCCGCAAGACTATGGAAGTCGAACGCGCCGTGTGCAGGTACGTAAGGGTATTGAGAGGACGATCGTGAGTTCGCGACGTGTTCTGCGACAGTCGAGTCGCGCGCCATGGTGCGGAAGTCTGAGGCGTGGACCTAACACGGGTGAGCTGGGGACGTAGCGTATATGCTCGAGTACGCACCCCTGGCTGGTCCACAAGCAGAATCGCGTCATGCTCGCATGCTTCCGGGTGCGAGAGAATATCATTCAAGAGTGCGGGAACATGGATAGAGTCAGTCAACGCCGCTGGCAATGCGTCGTGGATCTTCGTGCTGTAAACGAGTGCTTTGAGTAAGGCGCATCCCAAGCAGGCAGTCATCCAACACACCTGACCGACGACCAAGAGACAACCGGGAGGGTATTCGAGTACGCATACGCCGCGGGTGCCAGCGCAGCCAACAGCAAAGTCCGGCCAGCCATGACGGTGTGCAAGAGGGATTGAAGCACGGCACCTGCCGAGCGCCGCGACACGCGCGTCCTCGGACCGCCATCACCGCATCCCATCAATGACACCGGCTATGCGATCACCTGACCGGCCTCTATCACATGAAACCAAGATCCGATCCCCGCCTCGTACCCCGCGGGGAGATTAAAAGAGGATGAGGAATGGGCGGCTGCGTCACAACGCTCGGCTCTTAGTTCGCTCCTCCCGGCCTCCTAATTCCCCTCTTGACCTGCCATCATGTCGTCTGCACTGCTCAGGACCGTCTCGCGCGGCGCTCGCCCGCTAGCTGCCACTCGACCGCTTGCTGCTAGGTGCGCCGATCCTGGCCTACGTCAGCGTCGCGAGACTCACCCCCAATGTCCCAGGACGTTCGCCACGTCGCGATGCGCGCGCCAGCAGCTAGCGTCGCTCGATACCCTGACAGATGAGGAGCAGATGCTCAAGGAAAGCGGTATGTCACATTAAATCCATATATACCTCCATACTAAGACCTCTCCAGTCCAGCGCTTCGCCGCCGACGTCGTTGGGCCCAAGGTTCGCGAGATGGACGAGAAGGAGATGATGGACCCCTCCATCATCTCTGCCCTCTTCGAGCAAGGTGTACGTGTCTCTCCCCCACCCTATCCCCCTCCATCCGCGCTCGCACGCACTGACGCGCACCCCGCCAGCTCATGGGCATAGAAACCCCGGCTGACTTCGGGGGCGCCGAGTCCTCATTCACGGCGGCCATAATCGCGATCGAGGAGCTCGCGAAGGTCGACCCCTCCGTCTCCGTCATGTGCGACGTGCACAACACGCTCGTCAACACCATCTTCCGCAAGTACGGGACGAAGGAGCAGCAGGAGCAGTGGCTGCCCCTGCTCGCCGAGTCGAAGGTGCGCCTGCGACGTTTGGGGCGCGCTTTGCTCCGCCCGCCCGATGATTTCGGGCACCGGTTGTGGTCATGCGGTGGGGTGCTGACTTTCACGCGCGCAGCTCGGGTCGTTCTGCTTGTCGGAGCCTGCTGCCGGTTCGGATGCGTTCTCGCTGCAAACACGCGCGAAGAAGGAGGGCGACCACTACATCATCAACGGCTCAAAGATGTGGATAACAAACTCGTATGAGGCGGAGGTCTTCCTCATCTTTGCCAACGTACGTCCTGCGGTGTATTCAGATGCGCGCGGATTGAACTTACAATTGAATAGACGGATCCAAGCAAGGGATACAAGGGTATCACTTGTTTCGCCGCGACCAAGGACATGGGCATTCAGATCGCGAAGAAGGAAGAGAAGCTCGGCATCCGCGCCTCATCAACGTGCACGCTCAACTTCGATGACCTGAAAGTGCCAGCAGCGAACATCATTGGCGGTGAAGGCCAGGGGTACAAGGTACATCCCTCACCCATATCCATCCTCTCACGCACCTACTCACCGTCTTATCCCCTAGATCGCCATCGAAATCCTTAACGAAGGCCGCATTGGCATCGCCGCGCAGATGGTCGGCCTCGCGCAGGGCGCCTTCGACAAGGCCGTGCCCTACACCTTCGAGCGCAAGCAGTTCGGCAAGCCCGTGGGCACCTTCCAGGGCATGCAGTTCCAGATGGCGGAGGCCGCGGTCGAGATCGAGGCCGCGCGGCTGCTGACCTACAACGCGGCGCGGCGGAAGGACCAGGGGCTGCCGTTCACGAAGCAGGCGGCGATGGCGAAGTACCACTCGAGCGTCGTCGCGCAGCGGGTGGCGGGGTCCGCGATCGAGTGGGCGGGCGGCGTGGGCTTTACGAGGGAGACGGGGATTGAGAAGTACTGGAGGGATTCGAAAATCGTGAGTACTCATACTGGGTTCATGAGCACGTTGGTCACTGACGAGTACTTCAGGGCGCGATCTACGAGGGCACGTCGAATATCCAGTTGCAGACAATCGCGAAATTCATCCAGAAGGACTACGCATAAGCGGCCTGACGCTGTAATATACCAAGTTCACGCATGTAGCAATAGAACAAAACTTATCTATCCTGTCCTGATCACACTCTCGTCTTCTAACTCTCGTCTTCCTATCGCGAGTCAGCCGAGCGTGTCGTCGGCGGTGCTGGTGAACGATCCTTGACGCAACAGATGCTACCGAGCTCAAAAGTTTATGAAAATTTTATTGACACGATCCTAAAGATCAGCATCAGTCAAACCACACGACTGAGCCACGCACATATCGAAGGACATCAAACACTCTGAAAGAAACATGCACTAGAAGTGCAAAGGGTTCCCAAATATTAGCCGTACTGTCGACACAGGCATCATCCCTTTCGCCGAGCGTACGCCCAGCTGCTAGGATGAAGCCCAAGTCGATGCTATCCGCAGGGTATGCCGCCTCCGTCGCGCAAGCAACATCGATACAGACATCGCGCGAGCGACATCGACAGCGACATGCGATCCGGATAGCATTGGACGCAGCACCCACCCCGCGCTTCAGTGACCGGTGCCTCCAGCGACGACACTCGCAGGCCACCAGCAGGGCCTAGTCAGGTCCGCGCGGGGCCCAGGAAGCCAGACTTCACGGACGCTGAACAAGCCGCCTACCAAGCGACTCGAGCAACGCCCGCGGCGACAGCCTTTCTGTCAGACCTCTCGGAGAGGACCCCCAGATCTAAGTTCACTGTTCAACGAAGACAAGCAGCAAGCTGCCGACCTTCGTCCGACGGGTGGCTCGTCCGAGACGGGCGGCCAACAATGGCGACGTCTGACCCCAGTTGGGTGCTGCCTCCTACGACAGGTGCTCAAAAGAGCACCAAGCAAGTCCAGAAAGGACTGCAAGTCGACTACGCGCCACGGAGACGCGCAGTCGACGCCGCGGACAGTGTGCTGCCTCCGTCGGTCGTCCGAAGACAACCGGCGATGTGGGCGACACCCAGTCCGGGTAGGAACGAGCGCGCCGGCACCTGCACCGCGCGCCGCGTTCCAGGGACCTCGACGCACGGCTTCGGCAACACAGCGCGCTCGCCCGCGCTGAACGCATAGCCCACCCCACGCTTCCATAGCCGGTGCTCCCAGCAACCTCCAGCCGAACTTCGGCCTTCGTCGACTGCCGGGCAAGTCCTAGCCACACTCACGCGGGGCCCAGTAAGCCAGGTCTTGCGAGCGCTGGACGAGTTGCCTACCCGACAACCCGTGCAAAGACCGCGATAACGACCTGTCTGTCAGACATCTCGAAGAGGACCCCCAGATTTAAGTTTACTGGTCAACGAAGACATGCAGCAAGCTGCACATCTTCGCCCGATGGGTGGCTCGTCCGCGATGTGATACCAGTGGCACCGTCTGACTCTGGTTGAGCGCTGCGTTCGACGACCGAATGTCGAACATGCTAGTGAGAAGAAAGAGTACTGCAGACAGCCACAAGTAGCCAATATTTATACAGTATCGTCAATCACGGCTACCGGATCACGGATCAAAGATTATTGTTTCCTCTTGTAGTAACCCTATTGTCTTCAACGCTCATGTCGTCGCCTCGTCGCAATCACATCGGCTCCTCTTGAGGACATACATAGCTCTGCGGTCATCACTAACGAGAACAGTCGGAATTATCATCACGGTCAGTGATTTCTCCAGCGCGCAGTGATGTCTTTGAGTCAATGAATGCGACCTTCAGAGCGGCTTGCACTACGGTTGCCGTTCGGCGTGCCTCCCCAGGAGCCTGATGACGGCTTGCCCTTGAAGAAACCGTCGCTCGGCTAATTGGTTACAACCATTCGCAAATTCGAAGGGCGAACCGACGAGCCTCGGTACTGGATCAAAGTCCAGGACCGCTTCGCTGACGAGACCGTTTCAATCCTTCTTCGAGAGGGACGAGTCAATGCGTCGCGACTCGTGTCTCCTACACTCACGAGCAGCCTCACGCGTGCGAAGACGCAGGAGCAACTCGCGGATATCCTCACAAACATGGTCGCGTCGAACCTCAACGAGGTGAAGATATACAGGGTCGGACCCTCGCTCAAGGACAAAGGGCGAAGGACGTACAATTTCCTCGAGGCGACGAAGTCTCTCCAGCACGTCACCATCTCCTGGTCGTTCGTCTACAAAGCTGGAATTTCCAAGTACCTGCAATCAGACGCGGCCAAGAACCTCGTGTCCCTTCGTTTGGAGGCCTCAGGCGCCTCCAAGATCACCAGCGAGCTCGCGCGTGCTCTTTCCAACGAAGGGCACAACCTCCCCCAGCTGCAGCAGCTGACTCTGCGCAACATCTTCGACCTGACGCCGAAGGCATTGCTAAGCATTCTTCGGAATCGTCATGCGTCTGGTTGCACTCGCCCGCTCCTTGTGGAATGGGAAGGTTGCGCGATGCCTCGCAGCATCGTGGACACTGCTCGACAGCTCGATATTCATATCGTGAAGTACTAGGGTTGCTGTGCTGCTCTCCCCAAAGCTGAGCATGTAAGGTTTTCTGTTCGACGGGGGTCATTGGACGACCGTGACAGTATCACCACAGGCATAGATATATTATGTTTAGTCTTATAATTACCCCATCCCCGTAAATCCAAAACCCGTGAGCAACTCTGCATGGCAATGTCCTCTTCATGAGCTTCACGCGCCATATACACTCGATGGCACTTTGGTCAAGATATTCGTGCTCAGCTTCTCGGGGCTGCGGGCCGCTTGACCGGTCATAACGCAGTGAACGATATTCCAGGAACTATCCTGCACTCACCCATCGCTAACGTTAACGAGCACCGTTGCGTCCAGAGCCGACAAGGCTATCACAGGGTGTGTAAAAGCCCATAGTGCAAGCTACGCATTGCAAAGGACTGATTATCGACGCTAGCCATGAATGCTCTCTCGATCTTACGCACCGCAAGGCGAGCGCGTCTGTCACCTCGACGCACAACCCTGGTCGCGTCCGCTTCGCAAAAAACCTACTCTCCACGACAGCCATGTGTCACAATACGATCTATGTCCTCCGCTGTGACGGAGGACCATCCCAAGGACGACAAGATTCCCCACCGCACCGTCCGTATCGTCGCGCAAGACGGCGTTGGCCCACCCACCTCACTCTCCACTATCCTCGCTGCCATTGACCGCAAAAACTTCTTCGTCGAGCTCGTGAGCCACCATAAGGAGACCGGCGCACTCGTCAAGATCATTGACAAGCGCGAACGGGCGCGGTGGCTGAAGGAGCAGAAGCAACGCGCGAAGGCAGCGAAGAAGCCCGCGCCGAAGGAGATGCAGCTGACCTGGGCCACCGACGGACACGATCTGGAGCACAAGCTGTCGAAAGTGCGCAAGGATCTCTCTCGTGGCGCGCGCGTCGACATCGCGCTCGCGCAGAAGTCCGGGCAGAAGGAGCTCACCGCAAAGGAGAAGCAGCAGAAGTTGCAGGGAATCGTAGACAGTCTGCAGGACGTCTCGACGGAGTGGAAGCCGCGGGAGGTTCGGAAGCACGTAGCTACAATCTATCTGGAGAGTACGGTCTCGCCAAACGATGGTAATTCTTAAAACCATCCGTCGTGCGTTTTCAGTCATTCACTCGAGTCCTTCGCAATACTACATTCAAGCGAACTATAGGTAATCTAGAATAAGTAGTTCACGAACGCTGTGTGTCCCCCCTCTGCCGCATTCTACGGCCGACTCGCATCCGGCTGAGCGGTAACCCTTTCGTCTTCGACACCGGGATACGATGAGTCCGGCGCTTGCACGACCTCCCCCTAGGGAACGCATACGGTGCCCTGTCCACTCTCGCTATCCCTTCCCAACTGATCCTCTCCACCGGCATGCGCCCGACAAGCAATGGGCGCAGTGCGACCGGGATCGCGTATCCCGCCTTCTGCATATCCGCCATCACCCGCCAAAGCTCCCTACTACAGGCGGGACGCTTCTGTAGCTGGTCGTACTTCTGCATGGCTGAACGCAGCTGGCAGCGCGCAGCGAAGACCGACAAGGGCTTGCTCGCCCACGAGACCACAGGTCGCCCCTTGTCCCTAGGCCTCGCGAAAGCGTCGAGGGCGGCGTTGAAGAAGCGCGCGTCGGGCTCGGGGCGCTGATCGAGCAGACGGTTGTGTACATTGCGAGCCTTCTGCAACTTCAGGAAGACGTCCTGCGCACCGGTGTACATGGAGGCGTACAGCAGGCGGGCCGCCTTCCGCCCGTTCAAGCTGCGTGCGACAGCCTTGCCCTTGATGTAGCGAGTCCATCCAGAAACGTGGATCTTGTCGCGCGGAAGCCAGCTGGCGCTGCCGGTGTGGATATCGAGCGTGCGTGTGAGAGTGAACCGTCGCGCCTCCCCAGCGTAGCACTGCAGCATGAGCGTGTACGCATGGATGGGCAGACACCATGGTTTCCAGTAGGGTTGCGAGGTCCCCGCCTTTCGACGCTGCCAACTCGCTCGCTCGGCCCGCTTGGCAAGCAGCCAGACCCGTTCGGCCAGCCCAGTACGACCCGCCTTGACCAGAGCATTGAGGACGGCAACGTAGACCTGAGGCCCATAGCTCGCCGCCTGCAATAAGTCGTGCTTGCGAGTCTCAACGTCCGTGTTAAGGCGCTGATCATGGCACCTGTGGTACCCGGCGGGATGATCGACAAGGTATAGCTGGGGCAGAATGTCGAAGACGGCGTCCGCGATCTCGCCCGGATTGCCAGTGGCCGTCAGGTGGGTGATCCATACGTTGAGTGAGCGCTCGTCCGGGGCGATAGGAGAAAGAAGAGGACGTAGATCCAATTCATCCTCCTGCAGCCGTGTCAGAGCAGCACTGAACTCGGTTCCGCTCCGCTGGAAGGGCACAAGCTGGGAACGACCATGTTCCTGGGTAGTCCTTGTAGACTTCGCAGGGGATAAAGCAGTCGATCCATCCCGGCGGAACATCTCCAGGACCTGTTGCGCGATGTCTGACCGCCGCAATAGAGTAGCTGAGCGTAGCAAGATGTTCGATGTCGCAGTGTCCGGCTTCAACCTATCAGGATGCTTGTTAACCATATAGTCAAGCACCTGCTCGGCCTTCTTCAGAGACAGACGATGCCGGAGGGCATAGTGCAGTAGGGCATTACAACTCCGCACAGACAGCGGGCGCATGACGTCCTCGAACGCCTCCCGAGGATACTGTATTCGCGGTCGCCCTGGAGGAGGCGGCTCAGGATCCAAGCGTCGTCGAATGGGCAGGTTGTTGAGCAAGCGGTTCAGCACGTTGTGGCAGTACGAATACGCCTCGACACGCCGGTACCCACCCTCCGCTCCAGGATCAGGGATCCAAGCATACCGCATGACCCGTGGACATCGATATATGGAGCGGATGAGCATGCCCAAGTCGGTGTACGGGAGCAGGCGGTTGTCTAGGAGGTAGGCAAGGTTGACCAGTGCCTGCAGCGCCGCATTGAGGGCGGAGGCGGGACCCGATTCGAGCTCCTCGGCCGCAAGTGTATCATCAACGGCGGCGAGAATATCGTGCAGCTGCGCACGATGAGTCGAGGCATCCGCCCGGATGAAGCGCGCATGGTGGCGATCGCGCGGGGTGGCCTCGACAGTGGGGTCAATCTCCTCCGGGACAAGCATGTCGTTGACCTGCGCCTGTATGACCCGCGCCGTCTTCCAATCCGCACAGAGGGCGCTGAAGAGCATGGTCACAAGGACGAGCTCGCCATTGAGGATGCAAAGCTTCATCAAGTGTGTGAACATGCCGTCCGTACGACGGTGTCGCGATCGGCGAGCGGCCTCCAGCAACTGCAGAGCCATATCGGCCCCGGGGTTGTCGTGGAATCGAGCGGTCCGCATTGTGAGGTAGACCGTTGGGTTATACTGTCGTACCATGGATCGGACGTAGTGTCGAACGGGCGACTCGTTGGGTAGCGGTGATAAGAATTTGATCACCCCTTCCAGGGAACGATGGTGGAATTCAACGCCCGCCTCCATCATTTTAATCGAGAAGCGGTATGCCAGTTCTGGTTGGCCGGCGCGCAGGAGGGAGTGTAGGAGTGCGTGAGCAGCAAGGCGGGGGTTGACAGTCTGGCCGAACTGGAGCGCGACATCCGCGTAGCGGGGAAGGTCGCGGCCGTAGCCAGACAGGTCTTGAGCGGACGCGTCAAATGCGGGATCGTTCGAGTATTTGACAGCGTGGAAGATGTAGAAAGCGTCACCGAACGCCTTCTGGGCGACACAAAGTCGTATAGACTGTGCCGCCATCCGAGAGGCATGAGCGGAAGACGCTGTCGGGGGCGAGGGGAGATTACATGCCGTGTCAGGGGGAGCAGTGTGAGTCTGAGAGATATAAGCAGACCGCTTGACGGTTGGAAGAGGAAAGTGATGATATACATGAGGAGAGGATGCCGGTTCAAGTGCAGCCTGCGTCGAGAGAGTGCGGTGATATGTGACATTGAGGTATGCGCCGATCGTTGTACGACGGCGGGGGGCCGACAGAGGCCGGCTCGTGATGTGCTTGCTGCATGGCGGGCCTGTTATGACCGCTGCGCGTCGGGACGCCGAGCAGCGGGCAGTACCGACGACACTAGCGATTCTCGGCGACCAGAGACATTGCATATGGCTTTCATAACTGCAAGACGCAGATCGTCAGACGGTGGCTGAAGCAGTAGTAAACTTCACGCACCAGCCGTTGAGGGCGTTGCTCTCAGCGACAAGTCTGGCGCCTTCGCAGGTATACCCCCAGTACTGTCTGTCGCCGACGTCCGCCTTTTATGTTGTAGTCGTCGGGGGACGCAGGAACGATGCAGAGGTCGAGTTGAGCGCGGCGAATGGATCGGGCCCGGGCCTCGACTCCGCATACTCACGTGGCTCAACATGGCGGGACCTATAACCACCTACACCTGACAAGGCTGATTTTGCCTCAAATTTTGACTCAAATTCCTTCTCAGGTCTCCTTTTGGCTACATGTACGGGTGACCAGAAGAAGTGGACCCAGTGCTCGAGTTCATATTCCCTTCGTTACTGGATTCTTCCTTACCGCGACTTTCGAGAAGGTCGAAAACCTCATCATTGTGGGTATACTTGTGCGTTGAACGAGACGTGCAACATGTCAAACTCCGCTGCTATAGTACAGGTCGAGTCTAGGCAGCTGCAGGCGCCGACTCGTTCCAGGGACCAGCATCGCTCAGCGAGCAGCCGCCCGGGCAGTTGCACTTGCCCCCAAGCTCCGATGGCAAGTTCTCCTCCCCGATCTGCGCAATCAACTCCGTCTTGTAGTTCGACCCCAAGATCTTGATTTTCTCCTGCGTAACAGGGTCGAGCCAGCCCTTGATGACCGCCCACACGGTGGTAAACGCCCACGGCGCGTTGATGATGTAGAACTTGCCCATGCATTCTGGGTAGCGGTCCTGACCGATTGAGCTAGCCGCCATGACGTAGTCCTTGACGCGGTAGAAGCTGGAGATAGAGACATTGTTCAGGTCCATTATCGTGCAGGACGTCTCGACGGGGTGGCCGATGGCGCGCGAGCAGGCGGGAAGGCGCTCCATGAGGAAACGCTCGTACTCCTGGACAAGGCGTTTGAGGAGCCTGTCCTGTGTCGTGATGCTGTACAGCGCCTTGATGTCGAGGAAGCCAAGGCGCTCGACGTAGACAGGACGGCCATCCTGGAGAAGGGTCAGCACAACGCCGGCAAGGGCGCTTGTCCCATATATACCTTGTCCATCTTGTGGTAGAACTGCGGGTAGTACTTGTTCACCTCCACCTTCTCCTTGAAGTCAAAGTTGCTGCGCGTCGCGTCAACGGCCTGCCCCTCCACCCCGACGCGCCACGATCCACGTACTGGATGATGTCGTCGACGCCAAAGTCTTTCCGCCACTGCTCCGCGTTGAGGAGCATCTCCTTCGATTTCGCATAGTCAAACTTGCGCGCGCGGAGGAATCTACACAATCTCAGCAACGCATGCGCCCCGCCAGGCGGAAAACACGCACCTCAACAGCATCGCATCGTCCATCCGCTCGGGCACGAACTTGCCCTCCTCCTGCAGCTCCTTCTTGAGTTTGTCAAGTGCATGCTGCTGAGGTATAGTGAGGTTGCCGACGCGGCCTGGCAAGGGCTTGAACGTCGGATCGGTGATCGTGACGCCCTGGAGGGTCTGCCCAACAAAAGATTGCTCTTCCGTGGTCATTGCTGCTGAGATTGTGCTGGAGGAGGCGGAAGAAAGAGGTTTGGCGAAGGGCGGAAACAAGCAGTGGCTTGGAGAAGTGTTTGAAGGCGACCTCCAGCAATGATAATGCGCCTCCAGACAGATCGGAGCGGAGTCCGGATAGGAGATCGTTCGCACGGTCCAGTTGGCCACGACAAGACACGATGGCACGACTTGCTGCAGTCTGGTTTCAATTCGAGTACAATCTGGCTCCATGGCCGGTCGATTCCCGCACCGAGGCAGGCGACGGACATTGTACAGTACAATACAAAAGCTGCACGCGAAATTAGAATCATTAGACAAGGTATGTACCGTCGAGTATTCTACGAAGAGTGGGGTAATAGGTTGATCAACGAACAACAGCAACTTCGCGCGAGCAGCACAACATGGTGGGATATAAGCGAACAGAACATAGTGAGCATGCACTGCACGATCTCGGATGTATGAAGAATCGAAGGGGACGGTTGCGTGCGTCTTAGCCCATCTTGCCTTCCTGTATGGCTTTCCTGATAGGATTCTGCTCCTTGGGCATGGCGCCAGTACGCTCCAGCCTGTCAAAAAGGACAAATAACTTCTCCATCTCCGCTTCCTTCTCCTCTTCGGTCATTTCGGGCTCTGGTGGCCGGCGCTCCTGCACTGAGCCAGTGATAGGGTTGATGGAGGCCCCTGGAACACTGGATGCCGCGCCTGAGTCAGACGGCGGCGGCGGGGCGCTCATGATTCCCTTGTTGAAGAGGTAGCCAGCAACGTGGCCGTATCCAAAAAGTGAAGACATGATAGAAGCTAAGGATACGGTCAGCGGATGCGCATCGGCTTTCGCCATTCGATGACTTACGGTCTGAGTCGGAGACAATGAAGAATAGCTCTCCAACGGCATCCTTCAACATGGGATGATACACGGACGAGAGAAGGCGTATGCATCGCCCAAGCGTGTCCTTGCGCGTTTCCAGCGGTGCAGTCCGGTCGAGATCGGCAGGGACGAGCCACTCGCGCATCCGCGCACGCGAATGCTCGTCCGCGGTACATAGGCGTGTGATGAGCACAACGAGCGGCGTGAGCATGTCATCGATGGTGCTGCCGATGTTCCCGCCGGTCTCATTCTCCTTCTTCACCCCTTCTCGCACGCTGATGTCGTCCGGCTCGATGTCGCCTGGGAAGTAGTGCGAGAAAGACACGTCGAGTAGATCGTGGGCGCGGCCGAGGACATCAGGAGCGCGGAAGGGCTGCGGAGATCGTGACATAGAACGACGCCCACCCGACAAAACGTTTAGCGCACGATCCAACGTCGAGGGCTTGGGTGATGAGGTAGGCGTTGTCGGCGGGGACGTGCTGCGGGACGACCGACCACTGGTGCTGCCACTACCAGATCGCCCGCCGGCCTGCGTTCTTGTGCTTGTTGATGCCCGACCTGCGGAGCTGCTGGCCACCGAGCTGGCTGTCTTCGGGCTGGGGGAAGTTGATCCGAACCAGAGCGGCTTGAGATTGGGCGTGATGGGTATTGTGATTAGCGAGTGAATAACGTGGGTGAGTGGCGCCGTAAGCGGCGCAGGGAATGTGGGAGGTAGGGTCGTAAAGAGGCGAAGGAGAGGGGGGAGAAGCCTGCGGTACTGGTCAGCATCGGCGGACGGTGTTGTGTCGGCAGAATTCACCCGTCGAGCTTGGAGCTCCAGTAGTCTCCCATGACCTTGCGCTCCTCAGGACTTGCGTTGGCAGCCGGGTCCGTAGGTTCTCCAGCCATCTACAGAACTTGCTAAGTACGTTGTCAGTGGTCATGGCAGAACAACGCACCTTGGGGTAATGCATGAGGATGTTGAAGGTGAACTTGAGCAGATCTGTCGTGGCTTCGCGTGACATTTTCGTCCCGGACAGGATGGCAGTCGTAAGCGAATCCAGCTTTGCCTCAATTGTATCCACGATGTTCTTGCCATGTCGCTTCTCGTCGACAAGAGACGTTAAGAACGAAGACTGGATAACGGTGGCCAGAAGGAGGATTCGAGAGATGATGAAAATCTGGTCCGGTGTGGATGACTTCTCCAGAAGCGTGATGCACTGCTCGCCACCAGAGACGTCCTTCTCGATGAAGGTGACTCTGGCGCCTTCGATGAGAAGGAGGGTATTGGCTATGCATCTGAGCGCCTCGCATGATGCATCGGGATCGTCCTTGAAGGTGTTGTTGGCAAAGGAGAGTAGGGTGGACAACGTGGAGGCCTTGGCGATGACCTGCGCGCCAGAGGGATGCTTGCCCAGATTCTTCACTGCCAGCAGTGCTTGCGCAGTGTCTGATAAGGGGTGAGGTCCAGATGGAAAACCTTGGTGCAGCTACGCACCCTTGGGAATCAAGCGACCGCTGGCGCCCTTCTGCGATCCTGTCGTAGCCTTTACGTCGGCGATCAGCGCTTCCACCAGCTGCTGCCTCGACTGAGTGTCGACGGCCGTGGGTGGGGCTGGTCAATATAGATGAGCATCCGGATCGGAAGGGGAGGCGATAAGAACAGTACCGTTAATTATGCGCTGCAGAACATTATCGACATCGGACCTGGGGCTCGATGCGGACAGCGCCGTATACGATGCGAGGAGTTCAGACATGCGCTTCGAGAGCGTGAGCGCAAGCTAGCAGACAACGAGGCGCCGTATAGCCAGCAATTGGCGTCAAGAACGGAGGGATGTGTTCGGGCGAGGGTCGGGGAAGGAAAGGAAAGGAAAGACTGACAAATTGGTCGACGGCTGACCGGGACGCAGATTCCGCCAAAATGAAATGTCCTGACGCGCACAACAATCGCAACCGGCCAAGCTCAATCTGGCAGCGATGGCAACCGCGACAGATCACGTAAACGTGGCAGTATCTTTCAAACGGCTGTACGGGATCGACTCAATGAACCGGTGGGAGAGGCGGGGGCAGAGAGGGCAGCTGAAGGTCCAACTTCTGGAAGAACTCCGTCGAGCTCAGGATCGCCGCCTCAGAGGACCCCTGACAATACACACAGAGGTCGGATACTGAAAGTCGGCCTTTTGGGCATTCCTGTCCGGACCCCCGACGGGGGTTCTCGCCATTCTTGTCCGGAATCGTATTTGGCCTCCAAAAATCATCAAAATCGTTAAAAAATCGATAAAAAATTTCCGGGCGCCTCTGGCGCCATAATCTTGCGGATTTCGCCTGTCTGAGCCTCTGCGGCTCATGCGCATGCTGTTCAAATCCTCTCAGCCGCCATTGTTCATTGAGAATACTGAGAAAGGCCATTTCATCACAAAAAGGTCCAAAACGCGAGCCTCACGCCGTGTTCGAACTCGTAGATGAGCCGCGCCATTCCGTTAGACCTTTCGGGTCCGGGGCGTTGACATGTGTGTGGCAGCCGTGCACCACAACAATCCTGTCCGGACCTGAATCTGCCTGTTGACCCCTCCAAGCGGTTTCTGTCCGGATTTTTATCTGGGTGAGGGCTCGATTTTGGGCCGTTCTTGTCCGGATTTGTATCTGGAATATAACCGTATTGTCAGGGGTCCTCGCCTCAGGCACCCGTAGCCATGATGGCAATTAGAGCGTGATATACAGAGCGGTACAAATACAAATCGTAAAGACTAACGACATGATGACAGAACAATACGGAGGCTTACGTGCAAGCGGGAATGACGACCTGAACTATAGACGCAAACATCGTTAGCCAATGCTCTGTGATGATATCGAGGGATAGACTAGCGAGCTGCGATGGAGTTGCAGCACTGGCGGCGCAATAGAATCCTGCAAGCTGCCAAGAAGCCTTGCCACCCTCACGCCTGTCAGGCCTTTGATGAGGAGCAACCTATAAAACAACTATGAACACGCAGGTCCGGAATTTTGCCGTGCAGAGGTACGCCTACCTGTGGAGTCACAATGACTCCTCATGCCCTCGACGAGCCGTTTAGCGCGATGCCATTCGTCGCAGGAGCTTCTTCTTTCTTTACATAGGCGTCTCCTGGCATCGGGAGCTCAAGCTCGGCTTCTATTCCCGGAAAGCTCTTTGCCAGGGCTTCGTTGAGCTCTGAGCGATAGCGCTACAGCGGTAGTTCAGTATAGACAGACAACAGCTATATTTTTCACTCACGTCAAGGGCCGCAATCTTGGCGTAAGCAAATTGGTTCTCTGCGGCGACACGTTCAATACGTTCCCGGGTAATGAACTCCGGGTTATGCGCCTCGTCGACATGCTTCAAGACGTCAAAAGGTATCCTGGTGGTTATGTGGTCGGACATCATGTCTAGTTGCTCCAGGTGCTTTATCACGTCGTTTCTGTCAAAAAATCAAGGTGTGAACAAGGTGTACGTCTGATTACTCACACTCTCAAGCCGACCTGCTTCACGCCTCCACCCGGCTTGTCTCTTTCTTTGGTCGAGTCATTGATTACAGTCGTTCCAAGGTTGTAGAGGGCATTAGCGAGCCCAAAGAGTTCCATCTCCAAGTCTCCTTGTACGCCATCAGGCGGAGGAGACTGAGAAGAGCGGGGAGAGTCCGGAGCCGGTGGAGCCACCATAATATTCGAGCGAACTCGCGGACGATGAGAACAGCCCTGATGGGCGGAGGCAAGTTCAATTTCGTCCCAATGGCCCCAGTCCCACGCTATTATCACGTGTTGATGAACCTTCCTTCCCGCTTTCCCAAAACGGACATCCCATTGTTATCCGTATTCCTTCATCGCCCATCGCGGAGTTCGCGGCCATCATGAGCGCAATTCAAGGATCACCAAACACAGGCACTCGTGTCACCATGAAGCCGCGCATAGCAATCCGCGAGAAGCCCCACCGCTTCCAGCTCTCGCCGCTTCGCGAAGTCCCTGCTGTGAAGACGCCGTTGAACCGCGCCCACATACCTACTCGCAGCGCTTTCAGGGACAAAACCAATACCGCCTTGCGCGCCTTGACGCAGAATACGTCTCGAAGTGAAGTTGGAGGTGTCAAGGTGAGGGCCATGGCTCCTTCCCTAACAGACGATTTCATCTTCACGCAGGCTCCGTTCTTGAAGTCGTCCACTCGTCCACAATCTACTCGTACCAGAGCATCCAGCGTATCAAGAACTCCAACCTCCGCTTCGAAAGCGAACAGCGCCTCTCGCAAGGCTTCCATTTCTCAGGGCAGCAATGCCCATACCCGCTCGAAGACATCACCCTCGCCATTCTCACCTTCCATCGCAAAGCCTACCCAACGATCGTCTGTCCAGACGCCCAAACGATCTGCAAATAAGCTCGCCGGTAACAAGAGAGATACTTGCAGCCCTTCGTACAACACCGTCCTTGCCTCAGCCCGGTCCGATACTCCATCTGCACCTACATACGACGTACGAGGGGCAGCTCTCATCGCAAGGGCCACGCAAGTGATGCAACGGTCTATGCCCGGCCCACCTAAGCTTCCTGCCTCACGCAAAGCGCTTGTCGATCGCCAAACACGCAGCGCCTTTTCGGTATACCATGACAACTCCATGTCGTCGGACGCTGCAGCCTTCGGTTCGCCCACGAGTGCGCTCCGTAGGTCAACCAACTTCGACCCTACGCCGCAATGTTCGCGACTGGCGCGCTCCCCCAGCGCCTTTGGGCACACTTGGAAGGCCCTCAGCATTGATACGCCTACGAAGCGCCCTCAGACTCCCTCGCGCATCCCTCGCTCCCGACGCAATCTCTCGCTAGAGTCGGCCTTGAACTACCCCCTTGCTCTCGACGATAGCACTGTGTGCTTAGCCTTCGACCTCGAACAGGACTGCGGGATCGGCGGAGAAGATATGACACCCATCAGCCGCGGTGCGCTTCTGCATGCCTGGAATGCCGGCGTACGTCCCGCGACGCCGTTCATGCATAGTCAGTCGAGTGATTCCATCCTCGATCTTGTCAGCAAGAGGGCGTCCGGCACGGGATTCGCAGCTGGCGGCGCCGTCGTCGATGATTTCCTCGCCCGCCTCAAGAACGGAGTGGAGGGCAAGTTGCTTCGCCCTGGGTTCAAGCCCGAAGTCGCTAGTCAGGGTGCAGCTCGTAACGTCGACCCATCTACCAAGTCAGCTACCTCCGAGGTATCGCCAGCGGGGCCTAAGGCGAAGTACGCATCTGTCTCTGCCGTCCGCCCCGGTTCAGGCCACGACACCGCAGGCGACGTTGTGCCCTCCAGGGCCGATGCGCGTCAGAGCATGAAGCGCCATGCGATCTACACTCGCTCGCTGCACATGCCGAACTTCCGTGGCTTCTCTGAGGGCGAGGGGTTGAAGCAGAGAAGCAGAGCTGGCACGACTGGTCAGACGTTCAGCAGTAGCCAGCGACAGGTGGGCTCATGCTTACCCGCCATTGTATGCGATGAAGCTAATATATACGCCAAAGGTTCAGTTATCACCCGACGCCAAGGCCCTTTACGAGAGCAGCAAGGCCGGCAGGGCAGCCAACATCGCCGACAGGTCACTGCTCTTGGAGCCCTTCTCTCTCGACAGCGCCATTGGATCCCAGGCCTCGCTCAGTAGCATGTACTCTCAGACCTCGATTGCCAACACGCTCTTCAACCATACGTCGACGCCGCTGGGAACTCATCGCTCGGCCTACTCTCTCGATAGTATCTCTTGCGTCGCGGATCTTTCCCACTCTGTCTCTGGCAAGTTGTCGACCCTCGGTTCGTCCGCTGGCTCTTGCGACAATCTCTCGCGAAAGCTTCTTTCGACACTTCCCTGTCAAGACGACCTGCCACCAACTACGTCAGCTAGCTCATCGGCGTCAACGAACGAAAATTCGGACGCTGACGTTTTCGGAACTCCAACTATCTCTCAAACGGCTACACGACCTGCAGACGAACACCATGACACGACTTTCGCCTACCCTCCATTGTCTATCGCCATTGTGCCGCCCACCGATCCGATTAGTGATGCGTCCTCAAATGAGTCCCTCTGTTCTCTGGCTACGAGCAGCGATTTTCTCCACCCAGACAGACGCAGCTTCACTTCGACTGCTCCCTCACTGCCACGCACCAGGCGAATGTCCTCGCTCAACGTGCAGGTCAAGGTGTCGCCCACTCGGCTTGCTCCGAACTTTGGGACGAAGGCGGGCCACCATCCTATCATCGTAGAACTTTTGGAGGAAGTGGACAGGGACCTCATGTCGTGGATGCAGATGCAGGTGGAAGCGACCGTGTTTGAATATGGGGCGGCCTTCTGAGGGTCCTCATCTGTCTATACCGAGTATGCAACCTACTCAGCTCCCATCCTATTTATCTCTTTCCCTGGAATACACCGCGATAGGCTTGTTATGACGAGGACTCATTCGACATAGAGTTAGACACCACTCTTGAAGTCCGGCAGCGAGTTTTGTCCCGGTTTGGCCCACGCGGCACGGCGGCGCGGCCCGCGCCGAACGAGCACTTGATTCCGCTTCCATCACTTCGACAAGTCCCCCACTGCACCGGTATCGACCTCTTCAAATCCCCTCTTTCAACTCCCACTCGACCGGCTCGAGGTCTCTAGCAATGTTCGTCACATCAAGTCGTTCTATGTTCACTACGTCTGTCCGTGGCATGGCGCGCGTGCACCAGCCGCTGATCAAGTTCGTGGGGAAGAGGCAATGGCCGTCAAGTGAGTGCTGAGCCTGCTCGAGAGGTACATGCTGACGAGCTTCCCCTTTCTCCTGTCGTTCCTTCTCACCTCCCTACATTCCCACCTTGACTGTGATCAGCGACAGAGCCGCCGCATCCGCATCCGTTCGCTCCCAAGGAGTATGCAAAGGCTTTCTCTCAAGAGGCATCCGGCGCGTCGTCTACCCCGAAGTCGAGTAAGGGCGGTGCCGTCGCTGAGTTCTGGGAAGCACCCGAGCGCTTTTGGCGGCCGCGCATTCGCGAGTTGCAGGACTGGGAGATCGAGGCGATCACGGTGCGTTTGCGTCACTGCTGGGATTTATGAGGGTCGCTGAACGTGTTCGTAGTCCGGTGGTGCTTCGTTGAGGAAATGATACTACCTACCAGTCATCCCTTAAGCGCCTCTTCCGCGCTGGACATCTCAATGTAGAGCCATATTGATTCATCCTAATGATTGTGTCCGTCCCCGGCCGACCCAGTCGTGGTATCACGCTCGGAGTCCCCCCACTCTGCAACTGCCGTCCATGCTGCTAAGCCAAGGAGAACACTCGTACTATCGGCACTCATACAATCCTCTTGGCCTCAGACGTCACACCGTCCGGACGGTCTCTGTGTGGACTATCCTTTGCCGCGATTAGTCTGCGCAGCGGGAAGGGTTTTGCTCTATCAAGAGCGCACGGTCGAGGCTCCTGCTTTTTGCCCAATGGCGCTGCCGCGTGCGGCCGCGCAACCCGTCGCGGCTAGCTAGAAGACGCCAGTCAGGGCTTTCACCGACGCGAAGGCATCCCGTTTCACGTATGTTTCCGACTATCGTAGGCGCCCAGTCCGGCGCGACGCTGAAGATCAGCGGGAACGCAGGTCTCGCGCAACTCACCATCTGTATGTTGCAGGCTGCCGCTCTATGTGCGTCGGCGACTACGCCTCGGTTGGCAATGTGAGCGACGTGCGTACGCACGTCTAGTGCTTCTTTCTGCCACTGAAACTACTGACATGGAATATGTGCGCTTGCGTGCTCGCCGAAGCCTGTCAAGACATGGACAGTCTCCTTCCCCGATATGGACAACCCTTGCGTATATAAGGTGCGCGCGTCGACGAGATGGCCTCATCAGCTCTCCTACGACTCCCAGACCTCACCTGCACATTCGTTCTCTATCTCTGACATTCTTTGAACACATATCTATTCATGATGATTTCCTCCCGCTTCTCTCGTCTATCCATTCTAGCCATCGCAGCGCTCTCGATGGCGTCCGTCCACGCAACTCAGTCCATGAAGATTCCCGACAACAAAAACGCGACAATGCGCCTGCAGGAGGTTGCAGACAGCCCGATCCTCCACCAGGTCACCAGGCGCGGTCTCCTCGCTGATGGCAAAGTCAGCATTGGCTATTACCCGAACTGTACGCTCATCGGATGTCCCACCCATGACCTCGCTCTCACATGTTTTGCAGGGGCCATCTACGATGGTTCGGGTAACTTCAAGCCCACGGACATCGCTGTCGACGGTCTGACCCGTGAGCGCAGATCATTGTCGATCGACATGCTTCTGACATTATGCAGACATCCTCTACTCCTTCGCTGACAGCGACCCGTCGACTGGTCACGTCAAGCTCACGGACGCGTGGGCCGACGAACAAATCACCTTCAACGGCGAGTCCGGTGGTGGCAACAACCTCTACGGCTGCCTCGGCGAGCTCTTCAAGATCAAGCAGCAGCATCGCTCGGTCAAGGTCCTCCTCTCCGTCGGTGGCTACACCTACTCGCAGGACGGTCACTTCAAGTTTATCACCTCGGCGGACTCTCGCGCGAACTTCGTGAAGGACGCCGTGCAGCTTGTCGAGGACTATGGTCTGGACGGCATTGACATCGACTTCGAGTACCCGGGATCGACGGAGGAGGGTCAGGGTCTTGGATCGCTTTTCAAGGAGTTGCGCACCGCGTTCGACAATCTCGCGTCGCAGAAGGGAGACTCCACCCCGTATGAGCTGACGGCGGCGGTTGCGGCTGGCGCCGACGGGTATGGCCACCTCGACGTCAAGACTATGGATTCTGCTTTGAGCTACTGGAACCTCATGGTACGTCGGGGCCGCTTAGCCAGTCTTACCCTGATGGCTGAACGATTTACTTACAGGCTTACGACTACGCGGGCTCCTGGTCGGATGTCACCGACAACCAGGCGAACCTGTACCCAGACGGTGTCAGCGATATTAGCACCGAGGGCGCGCTCAAGTGGTACAAGGACTCGGGCGCGACCGCTGCCAAGATCTCCCTCGGTATCCCCATCTACGGCCGTGGTTTCGAGAACACCGACGGACTGGGCTCCTCCTTCAACGGCGTCGGCTCCGGCACCACCGAGTCGGGCATATACAGCTACAAGAACCTTCCCTGTATGTGCCACCACAATCAGAGGCCCTGTGGACGGTACTGATCATATTCGCAGTCGCCGGTGCCGAGGTCTTCGAGAACACGACGAGCGGGTCGTCCTACTCGTACGACAGCGCCAAGAGGGAATGGATTTCGTACGACACCCCCAACATCGTGAAGCTCAAGGGCCAGTACGTCGCCGACAACGGTCTCGCCGGTACGATGTGCTGGGACCTCTCGACCGACAAGACCGGCAACGACGCGCTCGTCGCCACCGCGGCCGGCGCTGTAGGCGGACTGGACACGACGCAAAACCACATCAAGTGCGCCATATTTCTCGCAAGCTGAACGTTATACTGACCCTCCCTCAGCTACCCCAACAGCAAGTGGGACAACGTGAAGAACGCCAACGCCCAGCGCCGCTCGCACATGCGCCGTGCGCGGGCCATTCAAGCGCTCTAAAGGCGACAAGGAGCGATTCTTAATTCATGATTACTGCTGATACAGGACCTATCTCTTCCAGCGACTGCACTCCTTCTCTCCATTGTGCGGCATATTTATTTTCAATGAGGTCTACAGGATTTGGAGGGCTGACTTTCTTTATGACTATCTATCCTTATACGTGTATATACATTATGGAGCTGCAGATCGACTCAGAGTACTATTCCTTTCCCAAATTCACCTTTCTCCGTGCTCCGATAGCGTCCCAGGATGGGTTCAAGCCGTTTTCAACGACACTGGAGAGTTCAAGCCAGCAAGCGCTGACTTGCCGAATGGGGTACCAGTGACTGGACGTGACTTGACGAATTTGTCCCGAACTCCCACTCGATAACTATACGTACAGTTGCCGCAGGGCCCGGGGGTTCCGCCTTCATCCGAGCTCGTCGCTACTAGCGAAGATATTGAGGCCTAGCTTAGAGCCTCAATATGCTGCCCTCCGTGATCACGTTCAACGCGCTTCCAGCGCCGAAGTCGCCCACGAGATGGCACTTTGACCTCCGTTACCTCCCTCTTGAGCCCAAGCCCTATCATATCCTACTCATATCACGCGTCGACGAGACATCGGGCCACATAGAGAAGCTGCCGATCGGCTGTCCTGCGGATCGCGACGGGCTGGAATTCTTTCCAGACACGCCAGCAGATGCCGCGCCTACCGTTGCACGAGCACTTGTAGAGCTGTTCAGCACGAAGGCAACTCTTGGGAAGGAACGCCCCTCGCGATTGATGACTCCGGATACAGGCCTTGCAGCGGAGGTGGGAAAGGAGCTCAGACGCATCGGTGTCTCCGCTCGCGAGCTTCATAACGTGGCGAAGTCGACGCCCACGGCCATATCGACCTCGAACCGACTTTTCGAGCCTGTGTGGCAGCAGATGCTGCGCGAAGCGAAGTTCCATGGTGTCTTCGCCACCGTGCTCAGTATGCCGGAGTACATCAACATGTCGAACATCAAGTTGCGCGCGCCCGAGCGTTTGATGACAGAAGGTCCGGACGCGGGGCAGTTGACAAGGGAGCAGAAGGAATTCTTGGGGATACTGGAATACATCAAGAAATGGTTCGAGGCACGCCCACCGTCGGACAAGATCGACTATTGCTCCGTCGATATTATGGCCATGAACGCACGCCGGGCACTCGCGGAATACTTTCCCGAGAATCCTGCTGAGGAGGTCAAGGACGACGCCGATGAGGGTGAGGCGTGGGCTGCTTTGGATTATGCGCTTAGGTGCGCCCGATTTCTCTCCTCGCTGCGAGAAGCGTTGACTGACGGCTAACAGACTCATGACAAAGCCCAAGAATGAGCGCAATCGCCAGATGATCCACAAATACTTGATGACAGCCATACATCCCTCTGACGAAGACTCTACCGAAGATTTCCTCGCCGACATCGCATCTACGGCTCACGCCATTCTCGTCCACTGGTGTGCGCGCGCCGCCGAGAACGAGATCCGGTCTCGCTACCTCTTCGCTGCCTGTCATCACGCAGAACAAGCGCTTATTCTCGCAAAGAAGGTGTCGCCCGCTGACAGATACGCCTCGCCGTTGGTGCTTGTATTCCTTCGCGATGGCTTCGCACCGCATCTGGTCCCCGGGTCCGAGCATGCCGTCCCTGCGCTGGTCGTGTACAAGCAGTGTCGCATAGCGTACAAGATGCGCAACGATCAAATGAGGAAGGAAAAGAGAAAGATGGATGCCAAGCGTGAGAAGGAGCCGAATCGCTATCGTTGTGCCAATGCTGGCTGTGGAATCCTGGCGGAGGCGGGAAAAATGCTAAAGCAGTGTAAGATGCACCTCATTTTCTATTCAGCGCGAGTGACTGATCGTAACACAGGCGCCGGCAAATGCGACATCGACCAGAAGCCGCACTACTGCAGCAAGGAGTGCCAGCGCGCCGACTGGAAGAACCACAAGGAGTTTTGCAAGCCGGGCATGCCGCGGTCGTCGACAGACATGGACGCGATAGATGGGCCAGATATCGTTGGGGCAGGAGACTTCACGATACCTATCACGGGCGCCAATGGCCAAACGACATACATCAGCTCATCTACCATGTCGCCCGAGGAGCTCAGGGAGTTTAGGGACGTTGCAATGCTTCGAGATCTGCCAGGTGGCACGCTGCCAAGTTTCGAGAAGTACTACGTCTGATGTTCTTCTGTGTAGATACCTCCTTTTCTCATTGTTTACTGAATGATATATCCAACTACTGACTCTGATACGGCGATCACAACAATGGATGACAAAAGCACAGCGCCATGTTCAACCTCGGATAGCGCGTGCCAACACAAGCGAGTCAGCTGATCGGGGCGGCACGTCTCCCGTACAACAAGTAGGACGGGATTGCCGGACCTCATTGCAATCACCAGAGTCGGACTTGAAGTTATGCTGAAGGACGAATTAGTGACAGTGACCTGATGTGCCAAGGTCTGTCGTCCCGATCTTCCATCCAACGCGGATTGACGGCCACCAGTTCCACCTCTATCAGACTGACCTTCGCTTGTGAACACAGCGCAATAATCCTCTGAACTATTACAATGCTACCTCCAGTTACCACGTTCAATGCGCTGCCAGCAGCAAAGTCGCCCGCCCACTGGCATTTCGACCTACGCTATCTCCCTCTCGAGCCTAAGCCCCATCATATCCTACTCCTAGCCCGTATCGACGGAGGCTCAAGCCACATAGAGAAGCTTCCGATGCTCCTCCCTTCCAGCCGCGATGGACTCGAGTTCTTCCCAGACACGCCAGCAGACGCCGCGCCCACCGTCGCACGAGCGCTCGTCACCCTCTTCGCCGCGAAGGATGCTCTCGGGAAGGCGCGGCCATCGCGCTTCATGACACCTGACCCCGGTCTCGCGATGGAGGTAGGCAAGGAGCTGAAGCGCATCGGCGTGGCCACTAGCGACCTCCACGACGTGGCGAAGTCGACGCCCACGGCCATATCAGTCGCCGACGCGCTCTTCGAGCCCGCGTGGAGGCGAATGCTGCGCGATGCGGGGTTCCATGGTCTCTTCGCCACGGTGCTAGGTACACCGGAGTACATCGACATGTCTAGCGTTGAGCTGCGCGAGCCTGAACCCTCGATGACCGAAGGCCCGGAGGCCGCCAGCTTGTCGCGCGAACAGAGGAAGCATCTGCAGGCGCTGGAGTATGTCAAGCTGTGGTACGAGGCCCGTCCACCGACAGATCGCCCCGGCATCGACTACGCGTCGATGGATACGATGATCATGAAGGCGAACTACGTCGACGATACGTATTTCCCAGAAAACCCCACGCACGAAATCAAGGAGCAGGCAGATGATGGGATGGCCGCGGCGGCTTTTGATTATGCCCTCAGGTGTGTTCCTATGCTTTAGACTTTTAGTATAACGAACAACCGTGCTAATATCATGCAGGCTAATGATCAAGCCCAAGAACCAGCGAGACCGTCGAATGATCTACAAGTACCTGATGATGGCCATTCACCCGGCAGACGACGATTCACCTCAGACGCTCCTCACCGAAATCGCGTCAAATGCGCATGCCATCCTCATCCGCTGGTGCACCGAGGCCCTCGAAGATGAGATCCGGGCCCGATACCTCTTCGCAGCCTGTCATCATGCTGAACAGGCCCTCACACTCGCGAAGGAGGTCTCCCCATCGAATAACTACGCGGCGCCCGTCGTGTTGTGCTTCATCCGCAAAGAGCTCGCGCCGCGTCTCGTACCTGGTTCGCCGCTCACGATGCCCGCGCTGGTGATGTACAAGGAGTGCCGCGCAGCGCACAAGATGCGCGAGACCCGGCTGAAGAAGGAGAAGAGGAAGATGGACACGAAGCGCATGAAGGAGCGCAACCGGTATCGATGCGCGAACCCGGACTGTGGGATTCTTGCGAACTCGGGCCAGATGTTTAAGCAGTGTTCGTATCTTGCTTGATCCACAAGCGACACGCTAATGCTTTCACAGGCAATGGAAAGTGCGACGTGGACAAGAAGCCTCGGTATTGCAGCAAAGAATGCCAACGCGCAGATTGGCCAAACCACAAGGCGTTCTGCAAGCCTGGCATGCCGTGCTCCGTCATAGACACGACCACGGGTGTCGGGCCTGCTGTCGTGCGAGGAGGAGACTTCTCCATACCTATCACTGGCTCGAACGGTCAAGTTACCTATATCAGCTCCTCGACGATGTCTCCGGAGGAGCTCAGAGTTCAGAGACGCGGCTATGCTGGAGAATAACTTCGCGGACCTGGCTGACACAGGCGTGGCACCCATAATCGAAAAGTACTATCTCTAGCTAGTGTATCTTCTATATAGTCAATTCAAGTATTCTGAACTAGCTCGCGCCGACTCAGAAATTGAAGCGCGACCGTGTCTGCCATAGCATGTGATCGCGCACGCTTTCCCGAAACGGCAGCCCGATCGAGGCGCGGACGCGTCTTCGACTCCCATCTATCGCTGCCCTTCACGATGTCTATGCAAATATTTGGGAACCAGGTGCGTGATGCTCTCCTCGACTATGGACATGTATCAATGAATTTATGGGTATAGGCTACGGAAGAGAAGGCCGAAAATGCACGTCTCGCTTCCTTCGTCGGGGCTCTCGCGGTGGGGGACCTCGTAAAGTCAACGCTCGGACCCAAGGGCATGAACAAGATCCTGCAATCTGCTTCTTCGGGCGACATCAACATCACAAACGATGGCGCTACCATCTTGAAAGCCATCCAACTTGACAATGCCGCCGCCAAGATCCTCGTGAACATCTCGAAGGTGCAGGACGATGAGGTTGGGGATGGGACGACCAGTGTCACCGTGCTCGCGGCGGAGTTGCTGCGCGAGGCCGAGAAACTCATCGGGCAGAAGATCCACCCGCAGACTATAGTGGAGGGCTACCGGATCGCGAGCACGGCGGCGCTGAAGGCTCTTGAGGGTGCGGCGGTTGACCATCGGTGCGTATGCTACTCTGCTGCGAAATTGGAAGATGCTTATAATGTACACAGGACAGATCAGGAGAAGTTCAGGCAGGATCTCTTCAACATCGCGCGGACAACCTTGTCATCCAAGGTTTTGTCGCAGGATAAGGACTACTTCGCGAACCTAGCAGTGGATGCTGTCCTGCGGTTAAAGGCGCGTCGTCAAGTTATGATTCATCTTCTTAGTACTCACGGCGCTGACAGGGCTCTACGGACCTCGAACACATTCAGATCATCAAAAAGGTTGGCGGCAAGCTGACCGACTCGTACTTGGATGAGGGTGAGCAACATTCCTTTCCACATATTCCGCCCACTCATTGCATCTAGGCTTCATCCTTGACAAGACCATCGCCACCAACTCGCCGAAGCGGATGGAAAATGCGAAGATCTTGGTCGCCAACACTTCCATGGACACCGACAAGATCAAGATCTTCGGCGCGCGCGTCAAGGTCGACGGCACGGGCAAGCTCGCAGAGCTAGAGCGTGCAGAAAGGGTACGTCAAATAGCGAAGCGGCTTTGGTACAATACTGACGCGCCCACAGGAGAAGATGAAGGCGAAGGTGGACGCGATCGCGGCGCACGGGATCAACTGCTTCGTCAACCGACAGCTGATCTACAACTACCCCGAGTCCCTGCTCGCCGAGAAGGGCATTATGGTCATCGAGCACGCTGACTTCGAGGGCGTCGAGCGGTTATCACTCGTCACCGGCGGTGAGATTGCCAGTACGTTCGACAGCCCAGAGAAGGTCAAGCTCGGCCACTGCGAGCTGATTGAGGAGATCATGATCGGCGAGGATAAGGTGCGGCTGCTCCCATGCTTGCGACTGGCCTCTGCTGATATTCCTCACAGCTCATCAAATTCTCTGGTGTGGCTGCAGGCGAGGCATGCACCGTCGTCCTCCGCGGCTCGACAAATCAGATGGTCGACGAGGCCGAGCGCTCCCTGCACGACGCCCTCTCCGTGCTCTCGCAGACTGTCAAGGAGACACGCACAGTGCTGGGCGGCGGCTGCGCGGAGATGCTCATGAGCGTCGCCGTCGACGCCGAGGCGCAAAAGGTCAAGGGCAAGAAGGCCATCGCGACGGAGGCATTCGCGCGCGCGCTCCGCCAGATCCCTACCATCCTCGCCGACAACGCCGGCTACGACTCGTCCGAGCTGGTCGCGCGGCTGCGCGCAGCGCACTACAGCGGCGAGCACGACGCGGGCCTGGATATGGAGCGGGGAGACATCGGTTCCATGCGCGAGCTCGGCATTACGGAGAGCTACAAGCTGAAGAGGCAGGTGGTTCTGAGTGCCAGCGAGGCTTCGGAGATGATTATTCGGTGAGTTCTTTCTGGAATCGCCCGTCAAGTGTAGAAGATACTGATGCGTTATCACAGCGTGGACGACATCCTGCGCGCTTCGCCCAGGAGACGCGAGGCAGTGTAAGCCGCCGAATATCTCGTAATACCACAAGGTTGTAGATTAGACATGCGCATTCTAATGCTTGTATTCTACTGCGCGACTTCGAGAGACCAGGCCTTCGTAGGTCAATGAGCGTCACCCTCAGTCAGGGTCTCGCGAGGATCATCATCTTGCGTCGGCCAGGTGCGTGCTCTCCATTTTCTCTCTCGCTTACCTAGGACGCCCGCAGTCAACATCCTGTCCCCGATCCAGATCTCAGCCGTCGACCCTCCCAAAAAGGTAACAATGTGCAGGCCTCGAGGCCAACCACGACACACGCGGTCAGTCGCCACCCTTTACCCCTGGCCAAAACTGACATTGCCACCAGGCTCACTCGCTTCTGGCCATAGCGACCCTGCATCGATCGCCCAAGTTTATCCCCTCCATTGTCTGCGCACCGCCCCCACGCGCCTTGCTTTGTTCCCTCGCTTGCGGTGGCGTTGCCCCATTTGGCATAATACGGGTTCGCAGACTGACTTAAAAGCGCGAACGCGTCTTTGACGCGTCAAATTGCTTTCTGTTCCTCTCCCCCACCACCCTCATTCGGGATGCCGCCCACAGGCGCTCCCGTCAAGCTCCCAACCTACGAAGATGAGCTCATGTTGCTCGAAGGTGCTCGCTTGATCGCTGCCACATACGAGGGCAATCCAAGGAACTACGAAGACGTGTGGTATCTGTTCTGGCTTCAGTTCTTCAGGATCTGGACTTTCCATATCTTCTGTCAATGCTTGCCTTCCGCGCAATACTCCGTTTGGACCCAATGGACAGCGGACGTCCACAAGATACTTGAGCAGATCGTCTTCGGCAACCCCTCGACTTCGGAACCTCACTGGACGCAGTACACCGGTATGTTTCGCTTGCATCAGCTGCAAGCCTTATATTGATACACTGACAGGCTCAGACCCCCCGGATCCCAAATCCGACGCCAAGTGGTTGCAAAATTTGCCCGTGGCCGGTCATAAGAAGAAGGCCTCAGACAAAGACGAACAGCCTGATGGGACTTCTGAAAAGGTACGTCGTCGCATTCACGAAGCATTCCGTGACCTAAGTTATGCCCAGGCCGAGGGAAAGAAGCCCGATCTTGCAGTCCAGCCCGAACGTCCTGCCGAGCCTGAGCATCCTGTCGATCCTGAAGCCCCCGTCACCGGCTCCGCCGCGAGCAGTGCTCAGCAAACAGAGCCCGGTTGTGACACGACGCAAAGGATTCCGGATACGTGCCTTGTCATGTACCACATCCCCAAGCTTAACCAGGAGGCCGCCCGTGCCCTGATGGCCGAGCGTCTGAGGGCAATAAGTCAACCAGATCAAGATCAGCCGCAGCCCGCCGGTTCATATCAGGCTACGGACGCGCCTCAAGACCCAGGCCCGTCTCGCAATGCTCCCACATCCTCCGCGTCCCAACATGGTCCTGTTCCGCCTCCAGGAAGCGCGAGCCTCCGGATTCTGTTGAACTACTGGATCGACAGAACAAACTCGGACAACGCGCCGAATGATCCCAGCCACGACCCCATCAGAAACGCGATACCCGCATACCGACTGGTTGGCTTACACAAAGGCATCACTCAGTTCAAGTCGGTCATCGCTGAGCACAAGGGCGGAGCTTCGCGCGGCGATCTACCCATGGTCGAATACGTCGCAAAACAGTTATATAAGATGAAGGAAGGACAGCGCGGATCAGCGAATCAGGTGCGTGTCTTGTTTGCCACAAGTATTGTCCGGCTGATACGATGTTGTGCAGGGCCGACTGTACCTTATGCACTGTCAGCACTACAGTACCCAGACGGAGGTGCTGCTGATTGCCTCAGTCGACGACACCTGGACGCATAGTATTCTGCGTCGTGTGGACGATAAGTCGGGCAAGTTCAAGGTGCAGATGGATCCATGGTCGGCTCCGGTGATCGTGGGCTCCGACAATTCGAACGCCCGCGAGACCCGACTTCTTGCTTGGATAAACGAGCACTTCCCACAGGACCTGGGTCCTCTCGTTCGAGAGGGCAGGTCTCGGCGTCGTGAGACAACCCCAGCGTCTCATGCCGGCAGCGATCACGAGAACGACGATGGCCGCCCCAAGCGTTCTGGCAAAGGTCGTGCCTCGCGAGGCGCCAAAGGCCGCCGGGGAAACAACGGTGGCAACGGTGCTGAGGTTGACGGACGCAGCGGAGGACGCGCAGCGATGGACGCACCGTCTGATCCTCGCTACGACCTTCGCAAGCGCACGGGAAGGACGACGCTGCCGGAGGGACCTCCACCGCCAGAAACAGATGACCAATCATCTAATCCTCGCTATGATCTTCGAAAGCGTTCGAAAAATACGAAGCCATCGAAGGAACCTACAACGCCTACCGAGCCCCCTCCCAAGCGGCGACGCACTGCAGCAAGCAAGGAGCCGTCGACGTCGCGAAAGCCTGTGAACCCCACTCGCAGCGGGCGCCCTTCGCAGCAGTCGGCAGGTCGCACGACCAGGTCGTCCAACAAGAACACGAATAAGGCTTCATGATATGTAGATACTTCTTTAATTACTTGCACGCGCTGGACGTACATAGGGGACATGATATGTACTTTTGTAGGGTCGCCCTGCCAGACCATTCAGCCTTACTTTTAAATTACACGGTGCCCCTGGACCCACGACCACAAGTGTGCAAGTCATGCCCAAAATCTTGGACGCAAGGCAAAGTCGAAGCCATTGGAGCTGGGGCTTCCTCTAGTGTATCTACTTATATAGTTGTATTTGGATAATCACTGCAGTCAGCAATACAGGTTAACAGGTAACCTTGCCTTGCAAGGTCTCTCCCGCCCTTAATTAGCCCCGTCAATTTGTACGGTGCTCTTGGGCAACAACCGTCAAGTTACGCGCACCACACGCGCGCAACAAGAGTATAGTGCAAGCCCAGCCCATAATCTTAGGGGCAAGGCGAGGTTGGGAGTCAACGAAGCGGCGTCGAAGCCGAAGCTTCCTCTAGTGGCAATTGAGTAAACAATGACAAGCATCGGCTTTCACCGCCGGACCGCAAGTCCGGCCCGGTTGACCCAGTTTGTCCGCAACCGTCATCATCGTTTATCTTGGAACGTCTTGCATCCGCAGCTACCATGCCTCGACGCGCCATCCATCACTGTGAAAACGATGATACCATACCACCGCTTCGACGCTCTGTTCGCATACTGCAGCAACAGCAGCAGCCTCACCTCACCACTGTACGACGCGAACGGACAAAGGGAACTACATCGAGCCTGGAGAACACCACGAAGAAGAGAAAGAGGGAGACAAAGGAGGAGGATTGCAATGTCAAACCAGCGGTCCTGAAGGTGCGCGAGCCCGTCGTGCGCCTAAGATAAATTCTGACGCTTTTTAGCGCTCTTCACGGGCCAAAGTTCCCATACAGCCATCCACCGAGAGCAATAAACCTGCGAAGCGTGGCGTGCGGTTTGGCGACAACGAACCTCTTGAGGCGCTTCCGGACGACTGCGTTGCCGAGGAGGACGCGGCGAGAGCCGCCGCCGCTGCTGTCACTCCGGAATTCCTCGCTGGTCGTCCAGAGAACGCCCAATATGCGTCTTTGGGGATCTGCACGATGCCATGTCCTCCTGATGCCGTGGCGAAGATCGCGCCCAGCCGTACGCGGGATAGCAAGGGACGTGTACTCTTACAGTATCCGATCCGTTACATCCTGGCGTACAGGATCGAAATTGGCGACCTCTACGACCACCTCAAATCTGTCAAGCGCGACTTCTACGACTTCCAGGGCACCCTGCTTGCTTTGCAGATCAAACTCGATGAGTTGCTGAACATGCGGCATGGGGAAGGACTCTCCGAGATGATGTACAATGGCAAACGGATATGGACGATGATTATGTCGCAGTCGGATCGCCCGGAGACACTGCCATACCCGACGGCGCGCATCCAGAAATTTCAAGAGATCGTGGGTTGCACGTCACCACCCCTCGTACATGCCTACCGACCAACGGCGGTGAGTGGCGACTCACTGCGCCTATGAGTTATTCGCTGATCGTCACCGTAGCATCGCTTGAAGGCTGGGGCAAAGTGAATGCGTACTGCTTTGTGTACTACTTGTATCAATATTACCCCCACTGTTGTGGGCTGAATATCTCGCATATGTGCTTGAGTACGATGCCTCGACCCGTATTCAACCGTCTATATGCACCACCCGCCAGTCCCTGTGTTGATCACGATTGAATCCGTGAATGTTGACGATCCCTTATACCCCGTTACGCAATTGCGCAGTCCATTTCGGGCGATAAAAAGCCTTAAGCGCGACGCTCAGCCTTATAAAGCAGCAGCATTCGTCAAGGAAAGAAACAGAGCGCCTTTCGCGTAGAGGTACGGTGCCACTTCTCCTCGTGGCAATCACGTTACTTTGATCGGAGTTGACGCGATCCACCATCAACTTTCATTGTCTCGCTCAGGACGCGTCCGCCACGACCGCTATGCCCCGCAACACGGTCTCCGCCTGTAAGCGTAACGATTCCAAGCCACTACCTAGACGCTCTGCGCGCATTCAACAACAGCAAAAGGCCATGGTACAGGCTCCGGCCAAGCCAGCGCAATGCGGACGAACAAATCGCCAGTCCGGAGCAAGCTCTCAAGGCACCTCGAAGAGAAAGCGGAAGAGAGATGATAAGGGCGAGGAGGCCTGCGATGTACAGGCCGCTAAGAAGGTGCGCGGTGCCATGTTGGGCTCCTGATGATGTCTGAAGCTTTGCAGCGCTCTTCGCGTTCCGGCAATATCACTCCATCTCACGAGGCTGAGGCAGCCAAGCCTATCAAGCGTACCGTACAATTTGATGATAACGAGCCCCTCGAAGCGCTCTCCGACGATGGAGCTGCTGAGGAGGCCGCGGCGAAGGCCGCAGCCCTATCCGTCTCCCCAGAATTCCTTGCCAGTCGTTCAGAGAACGCTCGGTATGCGGCTTTGGGTCCCCGCGAGATACCGTGTCCTCCAGATGCCGTGACGAGGATTACGCCAAGCCGTACACTGGATAGCAAGGGGCGCGTACTTTTGCAGTACCCAATCCGCTATATCCTGGCCTACAGGATTGAAGTCGGCGACCTATACAACTACCTTAAATCCGTGAAGCGCGACTTTCACGACTTCCAGGGCACCCTACTCTATTTTCAGCTACAACTCGACGAGGAGCTGGACATGCGGCGTACACAAGGAATGAACGAAACGGTGTACATGGGAGAGCGGGTGTGGACGATGGTAATGTCGCAATCGGACCGCCCGGAGACGCTTCCATACCCGACCCAACGCATCCGCAAATTCCAAGAAATCATGGGCTGTACATCACAGCCCATCATATATCCCTTTCGACCCAGGGCGGTGAGGAGGCACTTGCCGTGTCTCTGAATTGACTGCTGATCATTTACAGCACCGCCTACAACCTCGGGCGAAGTAAATATGCACGTGTACTACTTATATTGTCATTATTCCTTCTGGTGTGGGCTCGAGTAGTTCTGGTTGTTGAGCACGATGGCTCCAACTCGGACGCTCTGTCGTGTGGTCGGAGTGGCTCTAGACGAGATCATATGGGATTTCGACCCGTCTTGCACTTAAGGCCATAGCCTAAGCTTACTACTCATCCTTATGGAAACGGAAAAATGCTCGTCATCGTGTAATGCAGCGGTGAGAACAATGAGTACCGACGACCCACGTGCTGATCACGTTGACGGTTGCTATTTGCAATCATTGAATTGATGGACTGAGTTTACCACGAACCATATCGTCTCCATCCTTCGTCTGTCACGACACGCTATGTCCAGGGGCCGTCTACGCCGCTCTACACTGTGCTACGAAGACTCTCAGCTACGACGCTCTGCGCGCATTCAACAACAGCAAAAGGCTGCGATACAGGCTCCGGCCAACCCAGCACAATGCGGACGAACAAGTGGCAAATCCAGAGCGAGCGCTCAAGGCACCGCGAAGAGAAAGCGGAAGAGGGACGCTCAAGTTGAGGAAGCTTGCGATGTACAGGTCGCTAAGAAGGTGCGCGGTATCATGTTGGGTTCCTGATAATGTCTGAGATTTTGCAGCGCTCTTCGCGTTGCAGCAATACCACTACATCTCACGAGGACGAGGCAGCCAAACCATACAAACGTGACGTACGATTTGCTGGCGGCGAACCCCTCGAACCAATCTCTACCGATCTACTTGATGTGGAGCAGGCAGAAAGAGCCGCGGCCGCTGCGACCACAGCCGACTTCCTCGCCAACCGCCCCGAGAACGCTCAGTACGTAGACGCCGACGTCCGCACGGTGCACTGCCCCCTTGAAGCCGTCGCGAAGATTGCGCCGACTCGTACACGGGACAGCAAGGGCCGCGTGCTCCTGCAGTATCCAACTCGCTACATCCTGGCATTTAAGATGGAGGTCCTTGCCCTCCATGAATACTTCAAGGCCATCGGGCGCGACTACCGCAGTGTAGCGGGAACCATGCTATTCTTTCTCATACAGGTGCAGGACCTGCTGAGCATCAGGCATGGGCATGGGCTTTACGAGACGACTGTCATGGGCAAGACGGTGTGGACGATCGTCATGTCAGAGTCGGATCGCCCGGAGACCCTACCCTACCCGACAGCGCGCATTCGCATATTCCAAGACATAATGGAAAGCGATGCACCACCCTCTGTCTTTAACTATCGACCTACAGCAGTGAGTTGCGATCTATTTCAAGTCGCACAATGTAGACTGATAAATCGTGACAGCGCCGTATCAAAGAATCTCGACCCCGTTAACTCTCGTATATCCAATTGAATAGTGCTTCTTTATCATGTAGAGTCTGAAAGCGCTGCAGTCCCGCACAAACAAGTAAAGCGCAAGTATCGTGTTTGAGCGACACCAACTGTCAGTTGGTGTCGCTCAGAGCGAAGCTGTTTCCGTCTCTTCAGGACTAGCTCGACAGTAGATAGGATGTATAAAGTATAGACTGGGATACACGACTTCTTGCCACTTCCGAGTCTCAGGTGTTGGGGGTGAGGCAGACGATAAGCTCGCCGCCGGGCGTATCCCACACGCGGGACCGCACGGCAAGCGGCTTTCGACAGCCAAGGGGTTGAGGCTGGGGGCCAGGGACAGCCCTCAGCCTCAGCCTGAGACTCAGGATGACAGCAAAGAGAAAGGAAAAAAGGGTGGGATGGTGGGCCGAAGGATGTACACGAAGGAACTCGCCGCAACGCAGCGCGCGAGTCGATGTTGGTGATGGAGGGAGCGAAGAGGGACACTGTCACGTGTTCCGTCTCGCTCGTCCATCCTCCGGAAACCACGCTGCCCTCCTCCGTACCTCCTCCAGGCAGCTTCCAATGCGCTCTCAGTAAGTGAAGTCGGTGGACACATTCCTTTAAGTCTTGCACCTGGACAGCATCCATGCATATGCGAAGCATTGGAGGCTGTTGGAGGCTTGCAGTGCTTGATGTTCCAAATATAGAAATTCCTCCTCGAGCTCTCGTGGCAGTCACGTTACGGAGATCGAAATACTGATGACGGCCGCTGCCAGTGACGAGTTCGCGACGATCCACTAACATCCTCGCTCAGCCCGTGTCCATTGCCACTGCTATGCCTCGGCATATGGCCTCTCGCTGTGATTGTGATGACTCCACGCAACCTGCTCGACGCTCTGCGCGCATTCAACAACAGCAGAAGGCTGCGGTCCAGCGTTCGGCCAACTCCACACAATGCGGACGAGCAAGTGGCAATTCTAGTACGAACTCTCAAGGCGCCGCGAAGAGGAAGCGCAAGAGGAATGCTCAGGGCGAGGAAGACTGCGATTCTCAGGCCGCTACGAAGGTGCGCAATACCATGATGGGCTCCTGATGATGTCTGAAGCTTTGCAGCGTTCTTCGCGTTCCGGCAGTATCACTCCGGTTCACGAGGACGAGGCAGCCGAACCTATCAAGCGTGCTGTACGATTTGATGATAATGAGCCCCTCGAAGCGCTCTCCGACGATGGAGCTGCCGAAGAGGCCGCGGCGAAGGCCGCAGCCCTATCCGTCCCAGCCGAATTTCTCGCCAGTCGTCCGGAGAATGCTCAATATGTGTCCCTGAATCCCCGCGCCATGCCCTGTCCTCCCGATGCCGTGGCAAGGATTGAGCCTAGCCGTACGCTGGACAGCAAGGGTCGCGTACTGTTGCAGTATCCGATCCGCTTTGTTTTGGCATACAGAATCGAAGTCGGCGCCTTGTACAGATATCTCAAGTCTGTAAAGCGTGACTTCATCGACTTCCAGGGCACCTTGCTTGCTTTCCAGCTCAAAATTGACGAGGGGCTGAATATGCGGCACGAGCATGGCCTATCCGAGGTCGTGTACATGGGCAGACGGACGTGGACGATGATCATGTCGCAGTCGGATCGCCCGGAGACGCTGCCATACCCGACCCTGCGCATCCGCAAATTTCAAGCGATCATGGGCTGTACATCGCAACCCCGTGTATACCCCTACCAGCCTAGGACAGTGCGTAGCAAGTAATCTACCTTTTTGGCTTGTTCGCTAACGCCCTCTCTAGTATCGTTTGAAGCGTGGGGTAGAGTAGAGGCTTATGGGCGCTGTGTACTCATACTTGTATTGTTATCCCTTTCAGTGTTGATGCTGGAATAGCTCATCAATCAACATGTCCGTCCGAAACTAACGGCTTCCGGGCATGTATCGCGCGTGCTCCTGTGCTATCATTTCGTCCATGGTAGTGTTTGGGTGAGATGGTCGCAATCTTGTCTAGCGCGCGAGACCACAGTCCTATCGAGGCGTGTCCGCTCCCGTCGACATGCAATCGAGAGAATAATTGGCAGCCCAGAACCGTCTTATCACGTGGTGATCACGTTGTTGTTTGCAACTATTGACAAGCTCACTACGGACCATCACCAACTCTATTCACATTCTGTCACGACCCGCTATGTCCCGGCACTGTGCAAACCACCCTACACCGCGCTGCGGAGAATCACAGACTCGGCGCTCTGCGCGTATCCAGCAGCAGCGAGAACAACCTTCGGTAAATCCTATTCGGCGCGAACGCGCAATAGACGAGGCCAAAATAACCAACGAGAATGTTACGATGAAAAAGCGAAAGAGGGAAGATAAGGATGAGGATGCGGAGCAAAGGAACTGCAGCTCTGGTTTGACCGCCAAGAAGGTGCGTGAGCTCCACTGTGACCCAGATGCATACATACTGAGACTATGCAGCGCTCCTTACGTTCCAACACCACCAGCGAGACTGAATCGTCCACTCAGGGCAATACAATCGTAACCGTCAAGCGTGGCGTACGATTTGGCCACGACGACGCTCTCGAGGAGCTTTCTGACGATCGCGTCGCTGAAGAAAGCGCGGCGGAGGCGGCAGCCCTATCCGTCTCAGCCGAATTCCTCGCCAATCGTCCGGAGAACGCTCCATATGTAGCTTTAAGCCCCCGCGAAATGCCATGTCCTCCCGATGCCGTAGCGGGGATGGCACCAACCCGTACGCTGGACAGCAAGGGTCGCGTTCTCTTGCAGTATCCGATCCGCTTCGTTCTTGCATACAGGATCGAAGTCGGCGCCTTGTACAGATATCTGAAATCTGTCAAGCGCGACTTCTTCGACTTCCAGGGCACCCTGCTTGCTTTCCAGCTCAAAATCGACGAGGGGTTGAACATGCGGCACGATCATGGTCTTTCTGAGGTGGTTTACATGGGCAGACGGATCTGGACGATGATCATGTCGCAGTCGGATCGCCCGGAGACGCTGCCATACCCGACCCAGCGCATCCGAAAATTCCAGGAGATCATGGGCTGTACATCGCAACCTCGTGTATACCCTTCCCAGCCTATGGCAGTGCGTAGCAAACAACATGTGTTCCTGACTTATTTGCTGACGCCCTCCCTAGCATCGCCTGAAGTATGCGAAAAAGTAAAGGTGTATGGTCCTCGTTGACCACTACTTGTATACGTATTCATGTCACTTTTGATACCGGATAGCTCGTCACCAGTGTCGGCCTGAATCTGACGCCTCCGCCGGGCATATCTGAACTGCTCCTGGCTACTGCTGCAAGTCTTGATATCAGACTATGTTGCTGTCTCGTATCACGTTCGAGGCCATGATCACTTCATTGAGCACCTCTGGTTTCGTCAGCAGATAGTCGAGAACAATGGGGCGCCCAAAACTGCATATCCACGTGGTGATCACGTTGTTGTTTGCAATCATCAACCAGCTCACCGCGAAACATCATCTCTCCATCCTCCATCTGTCACGACACGCTATGTCCCGGCGCCCTGTATATCCTCCTACAATCTGCACCGCAGAATCGCATCCTCGGCGCTCGGCGCGTATCCAACAGCGACAGAAGCCTCTAGTCCAGAGTCCGGCCAACCCCGCACGACGCGGACGAACAAATGGCGATTTCAGAGCGACCTTCCGATGCACTTCCACGGTGGGGCCGAGGAGAAAGAGGGAGGGTCAGACTGAGGTCGAGGACTGCAATGTGACGGCCGCTAAGAAGGTGAGCAATCCCTATCGCGGGCTTAGTACAAAGATGTGAGGCTTGGCAGCGCTCTTTGCGTAGCAGCGATGCCATTCCATCTCAGGAGAGCGAGAAAACCAAATCAAAGAAACGCGGCGTACGATTCGACGATGACCAACCTCTCGAGCCCCTTCCCGACGACAAAGCCGATGGAGAGGCCGTGGCGAGAGCTGCTGCAGCAGCCATCACTGTCGAATCCCTCGCCACTCGTCCGGAGAACGCTCAGTATGCCTCCTTGGATCCCCGCGTGTTCCCATGCGCTTCCGATGCGAGAGCGAGGTTCGCCCCAACCCGTACGTTGGACAGCAAAGGCCGCATACACATCCAATACCCAATCCGCTACATCCTCGCCTACCGAATCGAAGTTGGCGCCCTCTACACCTACCTCAAATCTGTCAAGCGCGACCTCCACGACTTCCAGGGCACCCTACTCCACTGCCAACCACAACTCGACGAGGGGCTGAATATGCGGCGGCAGGACGGAATGACCGAGATGGTGTACATGGGTAGGCGAATATGGTCGATGATCATGTCGCAGTCGGATCGTCCGGAGACGCTGCCGTACCCGACGGCGCGCATCCAGAAATTCCAAGAGATCATGGGCTGTAAGTGCGAACCACTCATATATCCCTTCCGACCCAGGGCGGTGAGTAGGTTTCTGTCGCGTCGGGGACTCTTGTTGCTGATCTACTTCTACAGCACCGCTTGCAAGGTCAGGCGAAGTAGGCGTGTATGTCTCTGTGTACTTCATGTAGTATTATCATGCTTTGGTGGGGACGAAGCCCTCGTCCCTATATCATCAAGGGTCTCGTTGACCTCACCCACACGGAAACCCCTTTCAATTTCTCAATGAAGTCCTTGCTGCGAGATATGCTTGGGCGCCGCCCGTAGGCGAAGCGTACATTGATTATGCAAAATGGGAACAATCCAAAAGAACTACGATGACCTAACAATTATGAAATATGGAGGAAAACCCGAGTGTCCATCCGTCACGGTCTGATCGCTGAGTCTATGTGGCGAAGGCGTGTAAGCGGCGAGAGACGACAAGAGAGAAATCGGTATAGCTTGACTGAATGGATGTTAGTGGATATTGCAGTATTCGCATCGAGCGACGAGATAAACGTTGCATGTACCGGTCCTGTACATTGCTCTATGAATAAGCTGGAAGGATCGAGCGGCGTGTCACGCACCAGTTCAGTCCACCATGAATACCTGATGCTGCGAAGCATGCTCAGTATTCCTCTGCCTTGAGTTCAGGTTCACACCCGTAGCGCTCACGACGCTGAAGGATGGTCAGCAAGCAGCGACGTTCGATTCAGCAATACCACGCACCCCGACGAGCTGCAAGGGCATGATAGTTGGCGGCATCTTGGTGCCAATCGTCTCCTGGATCCTGCGTACACGTTCCTCGGGATACGGAAGCGTCTCAGGGCGGCTAGACTTCGACACGATGAGTATCCAGCCCGGTTTCCTATCCGCAGTCACCCATTCCACGATGTCCTTCTCCCGCTGCATCCCCAGCGCGTTCCACAGTCTACGTATGAGCCGGTCCATGACGTCGTACCGCGAGCACTTCCTATATCTGCCCCAGTCGACCCGCTTGAGGTGGTGCGAGAGCTCCATGGCGTCGAAGGCGAAGGCGAGGACGAACATGGGCGGGTATTGGTAGAACTTGCGGCGCTCCTCGCCGTATTTGCTTCGGTCTCTGCCGAGCCTGATCCAGGGCCTGATTAAGCGCTCTGCCCTAGGCGGGCAGGGGACGTGTTCGATGTCGTCGTACTGGTTCTTGTATCGATCGGCCTTTGCGATGAGGTCTTCGAGTCTGACGGAGGCGGCGGCTGCCTTGGCTCGTGCGACATGGTCGACCATCCGGTCGAATGGCTCAGGATCGGCGCGTTCCGCAAAGCAAACGCGGCGCTTCTTGTTGGGTGCAGAAGGCGGGTCTACCGCTTTGTTCTTCTTGTGGTTGACAGCGGCGTGCGCAATGACCTACGGGTCTGTCAGATCACCGGTGCCCTGTGAGTGCGTAAGAGAACTTACAGCTGCAGGCGTTGGGACCTCGATTACCGTGTCGGTCTTTGTCACAGGCGTATCCTTTTGGCCACTCGAACTCGAGGACCTGTTGCGAGAAAGTGACTTGGCTTTGGAAACTCGTAGCTTGCGACGCTCAGGAGCGCGACCTTGACGCTCCGGAGCATTCTCTTTCTCTTCAGTCGGATCATTCTTGTTGTCCTTCTGAGTGCGAGTCGAGCTGCGCGGGGGAGAGTCTTGCTTGATTTCCTGGTTCTCCTTCGCCGGAGGCTCGGGTTGCTGTGGCTGAAGTCGAGCTGAACGACGCAGCTCAAGCGTAGAGGCGCTGCGAGCGAGACGAGAGGCTTGCTTGCGAGCCATGGTGTGAAGATAATGGAAATACGGAAGAAGGCTGGGATGAAGGTTGGGAGCAAGGTCGATCGCGTTGTTGTTGTTGTCGGACAAACACAAACATACGCCTCGATGCCATCACATGATCGGCACGTGGGCGTATTTGCGCCTTATCTCAGTTCGCTTCGTTCATTGTCATAGGCACATGGGCATGCGGCGTGCGCAGGGACCGGCGCTCACTCGACACGCTTGATCTACTATATATGCGAAGAAGCACGCATCACGATGTGCGACGAGCGCGTGGAATGCGGACTATGGACGGCGGTCCCTACGCGATGCCGGCAACAGCTCACCGTATAAAGGCCCTGCGGGTCCGGGATTGTGATGCAGCGCGCCCTTGCCCCTCTTTCCTGGGACGCCAGTCCTCATCATGACGATGTCGTGGCTCCCCGTGCTTGCACTCGCCCTCCTCGCGGAAGCCGCCCCCGTCGCCGAGGACCCGTGCGCCGCCATCGGAGGAAAGTCATACGCGCCGCCTGCAGACGTACTCGCGTGTTGGAAGACATTCCCCTTCAACGAGACTCTGCGCCAGAACGTCCTCACGAACGTTGCGCGCGTCTTTGACTTCTTCACCTTCGAGGACTACTACCTGGACTCACCTCCCCCATTTGAGGAGAGCACCATCAACATCCGCGAGGAGCTGCAGCGCTTGAACACAACGGACTATGAGGTATGGACCTATACTATCTCACTGTCACTCGTAGCTAATCAGAAGGCAGACGGACTACGACTTCAACTGGGACCTATTCCTATTCGCCACCCAGCTGAACGACGGTCATACCCGTTGGTACCCCGACTGCTACACGGCCTTCCAGAAGTACTGAATGGTTGCTCCTCACGCCATCTCCCTGTGCTAATTCTCCTATCTAGCCTGCTTCCCGCCCCGATAGTTGCCCTGTCATCTGATGGAACGAGTGATCCAGAGATCTTCGTCGCCCCGGACTCCGTCGAATTCATCTCGCTCCTTGGCACGAACTACACCGACTATTTCGACGCCATTGGCTTCGACTGGAAGCGCCTCGCCGGCGCGAAGGTCACCTCGATCGATGGCCAGGATCCGTGGGACTACGTCGACTACCTCGCGAAGACGATCTCTGGGAACTACCTCGATCACGGCGTGCGCGTCAACTCGGTGTTCACGTCCTACCGCATCTCAAGCAATGACTTCAGTCAGCGCTTCGGCGACTTTGCGGGGCCGACGGGGGTTGCAAGGACCAGCGTTAAGATCAGTGCTATCCCAACAGACAGCGGGAAGGAAGAGACCTTCGACGTGCCGTATTACGCCAACCTTGTGGGCAATAACTTCACGGACTCCGAGTCATAGTGAGCGATTGCGAATGTCACTTGTTCATGTCCCATAGCTAATTTTGATGCAGCTGGGCCAACAATTGTGCCGCCACCGAGGACACCAACGGTCACGACTACAAGGACGCCGCCCTGAAGGCCAAGAGCAACGCGCGCAAGGCCCACTTCGCCCGCGCGGAAATAGTCGACAAGTCCAACGCGACTGCCGTCGGCCTGCCCGACAAGTACCACCCAGACCTCCCGCTCGTCAGCGGCAGCACCGGCGTCTTCAAGAACTACATCCTCGAAGACGGTGTCACTGGGGTGGTACGCATGATTCCCGGGCATTGCTGAGACCTTGCTCTTACCACCATCACCAGCTGTACGTCGGTTCCTTCGGAGGCGACTTCAACCAGTTCCAGACGGACACGGACTCTGCGATCAAGGAGTTCAAGTCGAAGGGCGTCACCCGCTTGTTGATAGACTTGACGAATAATGGGTACGTTCCTGTCTACATCGATGCGAAGACTTCGACTTATATCCACTTCAGCGGCGGTTATGTCTGCCTCGGCCAGTTCCTCCACAACTACCTGGCAGGTTCGAAGATACCCTACGACCCGTGAGTACTCACCAACTTCTCTCCAACCCATCCTGATCGGCCAAAACAGCGGCTTTGTCTCGTCCCACCGCGCATCTGAGCTTGCTCAGAAGATAGTTGCAAGCGACATCAAGCTCGGCCTGAACTCGTCCTACGCGTTCTATGCCCCGGACAACTGTGCGTGTACCTTAAATTGGGCTCTCAGCCGTCGGTAACACTATTCCTGCAGACGCTTTCCTGGCCAACGACACCGTCATGCCCTCGACCTACAACTACATGGACCCAACCGAGCCCCTCGTCATCAACGGCGTCTCAGACCCCACCTCCCAGCGCTTCTACGACACCTGCTTCCTCAGCTACGTCGTCGACATCCCCGCCTCGCCGCCCTTCCCCCTCGACCAGGTCGCCATCGTCAACAACGGGAACTGCGCGTCGACGTGCGCGATGTTCAGCACGCTCATGTACGAGCACTACAACACGAAGATCGCCTCTATTGGTGGAGGGACGGGACACCTAGAGTACAAGGGGATGGCAGGGAACCAGGTCCTCGAGTGGGCCGATTTGGCGTCAGAGATCAAGACGGCGGATTTGGAGAATGTGAGGGATTTTCACTACGTTGGCGAATGGTGTTGGACTGACGATGGCTAGGACCCTCTTGCGCCGCCGGACCTGCTGATCTCGGGGAACATGAGGTGAGTGGCGGGAAGATTGAGCAAACCAGCACATCAGTGACACTATGACAGAGTGAACTGGCGTACTGCATGGAGCTGGATCGACAAAGACGAGCCCATCGGTAAGTTGCTAACCCATTGTATACTGCTACGTACTGACAAACCCGGATTTTGTAGCCTACCGCTCAGAGCCTCCTCAAGGTGAGCTCGTTCTGTCCTATAACCTGTCCCGATCGGCTGACGCGTTGTTCCTAGTACGCCTTCAGTACACCAACGAGACCTATGTCAGCCCGCAGAAGCTATGGGATTATGCGTACGTCGAGCCGTCTGCTGACTTGCTCGTTACTGATCTTCCTATAGCGTGAGCAAGCTATTCTGAAGGGGGACATGTAGGAGGCATTCTACATCTGCGCGTGGATAGGTGGTGATCCTGTTGGCAAATGGGCGAGACATCGCTTCGCGCGCATGTTGTATACCAGGAACAAGATACAGTAGTGCGAATAATTGTTCTCATTGGACTTGCCTTGCGACTTGCCTTGCTCTTGCTCAATATGCTCAGATTCAGAGTGGTGAAGTGGCGTGAAGGGCATGTATTGTATTTGGCTGGTACTACGGATCGCAGAGAAAGGCTGCCTATGACAATAAGTATGTAAGACCAAGAATTGACAAGCCCGAGCGCGGACAAGAGTATATTACGGGCGTCGCTACATGCTGTAGGTAGAGACAGGTACAGTACATGTCGGTGGAATTCGTAGAAGCGTCTGCGCGTAATGTATGTGCATATGAGAACCATAGGTAGGGGACCGAGGTGCGGACTGTATGAACGGTGAGTGCATGTAAGGAGTACTGTATACCAGTGCGTCGAGCAGGATATCGAACGGGTCGTCGGGCGTCACACAGGGTCAGACCTATCAAGCGATACTTATGATACTCAATGGCGCCTACGGCCACCACTAGGCCCCTGGTAAGGACCATAATCCGGAGGAGGGCGTCCACCTGAAGCAAGTACGATTAGTCGATCACGCTCACACAAGGAACGTCGTTCAAGGGGGTCAGGTGCAACGAGAAGGTCACTCGGAAAAGCTCGCGCCATTAGTCTGGCGTTGGGTGTAATCCATGAAGGTAATCCAGCACAGTAAGTGCTCGTTCCTCGGAAAGTTCACGCCCATGATGCAGAAGGGAAAGGCAAGACCGCTTGATGCACGCGGTCAATACGGCGTAAGATGAAGGAAGACTCACCTCGCGGAGGAGACCGCGCGCGCGGCGGCAGACTGGTCGGAATATCCGCAGTCCTGAACAGGTTCACGAGGTCATCCGTGCGGAAGATAGGTCCTGCAAAACGATCAGCACAAACATCATCTCCATGAAAGCAGGAGCACTCACCATCGAATGCATGAGGCGGCGGTAAACGCCCAATGAAGTCCTTGAGCTGAACCGGCAGCACGTTCTTGTCGTCTTCCCTCTCGGCCCAACGGGCAGGACGATCCCTCGGCGCATCCCTCGGTGGCGACCTCCGCCTCGGCGGCCCTTCCCACCTATCCCTCTCCCTCTCCCTTTCGCGCATGCGCTCCGGCGATGGGTTGTTCCTCATCCGCTTCGTCCCGCGCTCCTCGCGGTGCCGCTCGCGCCCATCCGGACTCGCGCCTCGCTTCGCGCCCTGCGGCGCCGCTGGGATATCTCGTATCGTCGGCTGCGCTTTGAGGGCCGCCATACTGCGCCCCGAGCCCGACGCGCTGGGGTTCCAGATCGCAAAGCCGAGGTCACGCTGCGCGATCACGTCGTACGAGTTGAGGGTGTAGCGCTGCGCGAAGCGCTTCGTCGGGTTGTCCGTTGGGAAGAGTTCGCTGTAGCGACGCTCGAAGGCGAGCGCGTCCTCCAGAGTGCCGTACGTGTACTCGTACCGCCCCCACCTCTCCCAGAGGATGCGGGCCTTCTTCGCCGGGATCGCATTGACCGCGCGCTCGAACAGGGATCGTGCGTCTGTTGAAGCAATCGTTAGCTACGAATAAGGATAACAGGTACGACATACTGTTGATATCGTTGATGTTGAGCAAGAACACCAAATGCCGATCGACAAACTCGGGATCTTCGCCGAAAAGCTCGAAACCCTTGTCGAATATCCGGCTCGCAATGAGGTATGGTTGCTTTTCCGCCTCGTCCGTCTTCGCAGGCACCTGCCCGCTGTGGAACTCGGTGTACGCCGCAGCCTCGTACACCTCCCACGGCGTCCAACGGTCCTTGCGAGCCTTGCCAAACAGCGTGCGCCCGGCCTTTTCACCCTCTGCGCGCCGCGCGAAGCGGATGTACATCACGTATGCGATGCCGTATTCCTTTCGACGCAAGGCAAGCAGCGCCGCCGTCTTGTTGTTGGACGCGGTCGTCGAGTCAATGGAGGTGTTGGCGGACGCGGGCCCGTCAATTTGCATCGACGCGCCATTGCCGTTGCCGTTGGCAGCCGGGTTCTCAGTCTCGGTCTCAGCCTTGACTTTGGCCTCAAGCTCGTCAAGCTCAGCCCGCAGAGTGTCGAGAAACTTCGTATATAGATCGTGCACTTCAGTGTACTGGCGCTTCAGTTCAAGGGCTTCAGCGTATGCAAAATTGAGCAAGAAGCTGTTGCAATGAATCAGACGTGCGACGGGAACGAAGACAACTAACACACACCTTGACGGGTTCGCTTCGACACCGGCTTTGAGGAGAGCAATAGCGTCGTCAGGCTTCGCATTGGCGTTCGTCCAGTTGTAAGCCATGAACCAGATCTCAGGGTAGTACCTCATACGGATCACGGCCTTACGATAGACCGCTTGTATGCGCGCAATGAGAGTCGTGCGATCCTTCTCCTCAATCTCCAGCGGATTGTCCATTTCCCACTTGAGGTACGCGCGCCAGCGGCCGATCAGACTGAGGTCAGCGTTGCTGAACGTAGGGGGCATAGGCAGCGTCATGTCTTCACGCGAAGTGGAGTGGGGGAAGAGACCTTGCGTGAGTTCCTTGAGCTTGCGAAGGGTCGCGCGCGCTTGCATATATGCGGGGTTGAGGTCGGCGATGAACTTCTTGGCGACGTTGGGATTGTTCAGGCTCTTTTCGAAGGCTTCGTATGACGACCAGATTGATTCGAGATTCTCCATGGGTACTTGTAGTGCTCGGTGGTATACCTTGCGAAGTGAGTCCATGCGCTGCTGCTTGTCCCAAGACGGATCCTCCTGTAGTCAAAGCGTCAGCAACCGTCCAAGCACGTCCACGCATATACGCACCGGTTTTGAGCCGGGACCAGACTCGATGAAGTGAATGTAGTCCTTCCAGATCTCGCCGCTGTCCTTGTCCTGCCCTATGTGCGACAGCGCGAACTCATACGACTTGCGTATCACATCGCGCGAAGGCATGCTGCCGTCGGCTTTAGGTCGCCTGACGGAGTGTGAGCGTCTTTGCGCGAACTAAGCAGGTGAACTCACAGGACATATTGCAGGTAAAACCGCCAGAGATCGACCATGGGCGACCCTCTAAGGTAGCGCTTGAACAAGTCCTCGGCTTCGTTGAAGCGCCCATGCTTCATAAACCAGTCAATGTAGGATACCTGAGCCGCTGACTGAAGATGCATAGAGGACTTGGTTAATGTCATTCTCAGTGCCACAAGCGCCAGCACGCACGGTGTTGGGATACTGTTTCAATAGCGCGTCGTATGCCACGCGTATTTTCGTGTCGACATCTGATTCTTCGGCCAGCTGGACGAGTCTCTTCCAGTTTCCGACATCTTGCGGCCGCGCTTGCAGCTGGTTGTAGAGCGCGTCGAACTCGTCCAGATGGACGTCGTTGAGGCCGTTCATGATTTGATCGGTCGGCTTATCTTGCTCTTGCTGCTCCATCTTGACGTCTTCCGACATCTTGAGGCCTTGCTATGGTTGAAGGTGTGGGCAACGGCAAGTCGTGAGGGGTGCAGAAAAAGCGTGAAATAAAGCGGCGCCTCGGACTGGTCGCGGAACAAGAGCCACCGCGGAATGGAATTCCCACGTTCGCTCGCTTGTTGAGGTCATGTGCGTGGCGCCCACAAGCGCCCACGCCGTCGTTGTTCCTTTACCTGCACAAACGGCGCAGCAAAGGCACATTCTGAATGAAGCACCACCATAGCCGAGCCCGTTGCACAGCAAGCAGGCCACTACACCACGAGCTTCCAAGGTAAAGGAATTTCTATCTCAATAGACATTGTAAACTTCGCTGCTCTACAGTCCGTCTTCAATTATACAGGTATAGGTGCAAATATACAGTGTGCCAAGTGCTGACCCAAACAGAGTCATCCAGTATGCTAGTACAGAAGCGCAGAAAGGACCGTGGGCGTAGTAGAAAAAATGGGATGAAGAGATAATCGTACACATTACTCGTTCTGGCCAGCCTCCGAAACGGAAGACGAGAAGGGATGTAGAGCAGCGTCCATCGTCCAAGATAATATGTCGTATGCGCGCCAGTATATCACAGGCTCGTGGGTGCCCAAGCTAGTTGGTGCCCTGCTGAGCGAAAAACTGCCGCGACGTCATGAGCAGACGGTCCTGCTCGTCCTGCCACTTGATCATGACCTCCGCCTTCACATGCTGCCGCTGCTCCTGCATGATGCGCTTCACCGTAATGGTGAACCCGGCAGAGATGGGCCTATGGTCCGACACATTCGGCTCGTACCGCTTGTAGTGCAGCTGCCGCACCCGCGTCGGCACGCGAGAGCGCCAGAGGACGCGGTCGCACCAAGCCGGTGAGCGCCGCTTCTCCGACGTGTCCCATTCGTCAGAGCGGCGGTCGTACTTGTAGGTCGGGATGAACTTGAGCGGCCCTTCGGAGAACCCGCGGAAGCGGAAGCCACGGTTGAACTTCATCTCCTTGAGGAGCTGATCGTGGTTGTGCAGCATCTCGATGTCGCCAGCGTTGATGGCGGCGATTATAGCCTCACGCCTATTGTCGATGCGGTAGTTCATGTCGCCGTTGACCTGCATAATCATGAGCGACATACAGCTTTCGAGAGGCAAAAGACGCACCAAGACGATCTCGTGGTCCAGGACAGTTGTCCCGTCACCCCCGCCGACATACGCAAGAGGGAAGACGGTGGTCGGGAACAGAGCCTTCTCTTCCAAAAAGCTTGCGATATCTGCGTTCCTCGCCCGCACATTGTTCTGCCCAGCCGCCAAATGGCAGTTGATCATGCAGATTGAGGAATCCTCGATGACGAAACGCGAGATGATGCCGCCCTGAAGCCTCGGTTAGCGAGCGTCCCCCTCATACCCGATTTTCCCAGCGCTGACCTTATTGCCATACCTCCCACCCATTCCTCGCTTCACCGTCGTAACCGCCATATCCCTCAACGCGACCCGCTCGCTATTCTTCACGAACGTCAAGCTGAACAAGCCGACCAAACTCTCCGTATGAATCACGCTATACGGGCAGTCCGCCGGCATCGCCAGCCGCACCGCCAGTGACAGGGCATCGTGCCAGCGTCTATACGCGCCCGACACCTTATCCGGCACCGGCATCACCTCCTCGTCGCGGTCGCGCTCCTTCGCGCCCGCGGTCTTCTTGATACCATTCATCAGCACGCTCTTCGCCGCGACGCGCCGATTCTCGAGGTCGACGACCTCCTGGAAGCCGAAGTGGATGATGTCGGGCGTGTCGACGGAGGCGAGGACGTCGGAGAGGAAGTTGCAGTTCGCCGGCGTGCCGGTGAGCTGCTCGGGCTTGGCGGAGTCGACGTTCCAGGAGACGACGAGGACGTTGAGGTCGCGGAAGGTGCTGAACTCCGACTCGCGCGTCAGCAGCTCGTTGTCTGTGCAGCCAGGTCAGTGCGAGGCCCGAAGTTCTGACCAGGAATACTTACCAATCCAATCCTGAGCAAGCAAGCCGTCCCAAAGCTTCAGCGTCTCGTCGCGCCCGCAAGAGGCCACAACCAAGCGCTTCGTCTCGTTCATGCCCAGATAGTCCACCTGCAGCGACAGCACCGAGATCGTCGGATGCGCCAGCCACGCGTTCGTCACCAGCCACGGCCTCGGCACCACATCGTACACGCAGATATTCCCTCCGCGTCCGCCGACCCACAGCTTCTCGTTGACGCCCTCAAGACACAGAATATCGTTCGTCGACACCTTCATGACCTCCGTGCACTTCGGGTGGCCGTCCGGCGTCTTCAGCTCCCAGATACTGACATAGCCCTCCTCGTGTCCCATGTAGACCGTGTCCGGCAACGAAGGGATGATGGTCGCGCTCGTGACCGCGCCGACGTGTTCGATGGGCAGTAAGCTCTTGCCAGCCGCCGCGGCCGGGTTGAAGATGTCGTACACCCGGATGATAGGCAACCGCGAAGGCGAGCCGTGGTTGTGCTGGTCCGCACGGTTGGCAGTCCACAGCTTGTCGCCGAGGAGCTGTACGAAGTCCTGCTTCTCCGCGAAGCGGACCACTCGCGGGGTCGCGCCACCAGTCAGCGGCTCGTTGGGCGCGAATACCAGCATCTTGCCATGGGTGTCGGCCGTCAGCATACGATCGCCATGGCGGAAGATATGCGAGACAGCGTGAAGGTGTGACCCCAAGCGCGCCCCCGTGAGACTGGCGGTAAGCACGTCCAGCTCGAAGAGATGCCCTTCCTTCGTGCCAATCCAGACACGACGAGTATCCCGAAAGGTGGCAGCGGTCGCCTTCAGCTCCTTCAAGCCGAAGTCCTTGCTACCGAGATCGATGATTGGCGAGTCCGACATTGACATGTCGTATACGCGAACATGATTACCGCTGGCGACAACGGCGAACTTCCCTGCCAGGGCAGGTTGGATGTAGGCGGGGACAGTAACCCGTAAAGGCGGTGCGCCAGGTTCGCGGAGAGATAGTACAGGCGGGCGGCGAGATGAACGACTGCTGTCTGGAAGGAGATCCAAGCCAGGGTCGACGCTTGTCGACTCCTCCTCGCTCGACTCTTCTTCATCTGATGGGGATGCTGCGCGACGAGGGGGAGGCAGCTTGTCGCCTAGTGCTATAGTACGTGTAGGCGGCGGCTGCAGCTTATGCAATCCCTTTTTGTCAAAGTTTTCTGCCTCCGTCATCATGGGCGCACCTCCCGCCGCACGGGGTCGGGGAGGCAATGCGGGAGATGCCGGCGGTCTTTGCGAGTATTCTTCAACTGGTGTTGCAGGGGCGGGAGCGGTTTGCTTTCGAATGGGGAGAGGAGGCGGGGTAGGAGTATGTGGTGGTTCTTGTGTTTGGACAGTAGCCCGGTGCCGAGGGGGCGGCCGAGGGGGAGGTGCGCGATGAGCAGCCGCATTTGACGCTTCACCGGTGTCACTGCCACTGGAAGTATGCGAGCCCTCTCTGCGCGGCCGGCTCGGACTGGCAGATGGCCGAGCCACAGAGGGTGTGAATGGACCCTCATCGCTGTCGGAAGGACTTGCATTCGGCGAGATTCGTTGAGGCGTCGGCGGAGGTTTACGCCGAACCGGTGGAACAGGGGGTTTCTTAGGCGAGACGGGCGGCTTGATGGTAGGCGGGGAACTTACAACTGCTGGGGGAGAAGGTCTGGCGATGGTCGGCGGAGGAGACATCGTTGCTTCTGCCATCGCCGCGATGCTTCCTCTTGGCGTATGCGTCCCCTGCCCGGGCAACGCCTGCGGTGATTGGCCTGCCCTACAATACGCCGATCAGTACATTGTGCGTCATCGCAGTAAACCACGCACTCCCAGAAACTTCGGACGGACGCCACGCTCGGCGAACGCACGATCGGGTCCGAGTCGCCATCCGCTAGCGGGGGAGGTTGCGCTTCTATCACCACGGGATGAAGGAGTGGAGATGGCGCGGGCGAGGGGCTGGGTGATGGAGTAACATGTCTGGACGATCGTCCTGCAGGAGGCGGCGGTGGGGGTCGCTTAAGGGCCCTCATATCTGGCGAATGTGATGCGCTTCGCACGTGTAGTCCGTTCGGATTGGGGCTCTCCACGAGGGGAGAAGGCGTAGGGCGCGCCGTTGCTTGGGCATCCAAGAGCGGCGCGGCTGGAGATATTCCTGCATGAAAAGACTGTGGGCGAGGGGCGGGACTATCGACAGCGAGTTTCTCAAATCTCGATTTCAAGTTGCGTACACCCTCGCTGGGCTTCGTTTCGATGTCCTGGGTCATGGTGGTCGCGCGGCGGGCCCGAGGGCGGTAGTGCCACTAGTAACGTCGTTCCTATAGGCGGGAAAGAATTTGTTGCCGTCGGCGCCGTCGATGTTGTCGTCGTCGCCGTCAACGGCGGTGAGGTGCAAGGCGATGTGGTATGAAGCAAGTCGTGAAGGAGATATATTCGAAGTGGAATCACTCCGCAGCGCGGATCCTCGGTCCGGGATTCCGAGCTGATGAAACGGAACAATGAAAGCCTTCCTCATTCGGAAACCTCCTAACCGACCTCCATCTCGCGGTTTGCCACAAATTCGATTAGTCGGAAAATTCGCAGAAGAGTAGGACCCTCCGTATCCTTCTTCGCTTACTCTGATGTCCTTGCATCCTACAGTGAACGTTTCCGAGGAAGTTAAGATTCTGAAAGGTGAGGCTCCCGGCCGAACAGCATTTTAGTCGCTGATGGTCATAATCCAGACGCGATCAAGGAATATGGCAGTCAAGACTCGACTGGAAAGTACACCGTACCGTATGGTGTTCTGTTTGAAAAGACCGCAAACACTCGTAGGGTCTGTTCGTTGACATCGATGTCATCGACTGATGCGCCCACTTAGTTGAGGCTTTGAACGGCACCCTACGTGCGGCAAAGAGGCAGAAGAAGGTACGAGAACGTATCGTATACATCCCGGCCCAAATCTTGAACCTCTCTCCCAGGTTGACTTTGCTGCCGAGTTATTGATGTTTCCAAAGGACAAGGATGTGCTGGTGACGCTGTTGGAAGACTGATACCCAAACATGGACAGTAGTTCACAGAGATACAATGGTAAATTGGTGATTCTGTTACGCGACCTAATCCACTGCAACCTCAACATAGGCGCTCTGATCCCAGCCAGCAACTTCGCCACGATCTGTCACACCACGTACGTAGAACCTTGCAAGCCGCTTTCCCTCCGCCATAGCTCTGAACTTCTCCTCTGCCACCTCGAATCTCCTTCCCTCTCCATCCATCCCTGTCGTCCCAATCCACTGCGCTTCATCCGGCGACCCCACCGTCTCCCCCACTTCGAAGTATTGCACGTAAACGTTGAAGTACAGGAAGTCGACGGATGGGATCTCAGGAATCCATGCCGGTCGCGACTGCTCTGGCGTGAGTGGAAGCTGCCAAGTCGGTGGCGGTAGAGCGGCGGCCACCTCCCAGGTAAGCACACCAGTGTTGTGAGACCCATCTCGCGCGTAGTCGACCCAGAGTATGGTAGGTATCGATGTTTTCGTGCCGATGGCAGGCTTGCTGTGAACGTTGAGCTGCCCGAGAAGCAGCGACACTGTCGCTGGCTTGGACGTGTCCTCTGCAACGAGAGCCATGACGAAGCCAGCCTCCGTTGCACACGGAGTCGGCACGGAGACGTCGACTTTGAGCTTCGTCCATCCATGTTGCACAGCCTCTTCGCCTGTTGGTTCCGTGCTGACGTTCGTTTCTCCGGACTTGACACCCAACCCAACCTCCACCTCCGACGATGAGTCGACCTCTCCAACGACCTTGTACACCGCCGCCACCTCATATGTACGCCCCGCCGACAGTCCCATCCCCTGCACCGGCACCCACACGCACCGGTACGCAGCATCCTCCTCTTCCGACGGCGGGAACGTCAACTCCAGCTTCATCGACGACCCGCCGTTCCACGCGTATTCCATCGACAGGTCGGCCGTGGCCACAGGCAGACCCTCCACGACCTTATCCGCATCCTCCCAAGTCGCACGCGGCCGGGGCCACACATCGCCTAGCGAGGTCTGCTTGTCGACGTCCGTCCACGGCATGCGCGCGTGTCCGGACACCTTCCTGCCCTCCACAAACCACGCTTCACCGACGCCGGGGCAGAAAGTCGTGTGCAGCGGCAGTACCGCCGGATCCGGAGGCAACCCACGCTCGAAGAACTCCCCCACAGGCTTGAAGTCCCCATGAGGGCACTCCGGCTCGCCCTCGCGGCGCGGCGCCTCGGGCAGAGCAATCGGCGCGGAGGCGTCGGTCGGACCAACCCAAAGCAGACGCTCCCGCGCCCACCACTGCGCCCACGTCCACCCTGGTTCGTCTTGCTCGCTCTCCCACGTCCATGCCTGTCCGAAGAGCGCCGTGCTCAGCCCCAGCTCGCGCGGCGAAATATGCTCAAGCGCGCGGAAGCACGCTAGACCACCACCGCCGTGCTGCCCTCGTCCCCACACATCGACGCCGACGTAGATATCTCGCAGCCGCTTGCTTCGGACATGCGCATGGTCGAGGCTGAGGAAGAAGGATGCGGAGGCGGCAGGACCGCTGGGGCGCCAGGTGTAATTCGTAAAGAACGAGTCTGCGGGGAGGAAGAATGGGAGGTTGAAAGCGTTGAGGCGGTCCTGCCACCTCAGCTGGCCGTTGATCACTACGGAATCATACCACGATACATGTGCGTGCTCGCCCACAGCTATTCGCAGTTCCGAACGCAGAAGCGCAATCCACGACGCCAGCGCCTGCGTCTGCTCCGGCCCACCCCTCAGAGGGCACTCGAAGTTAAGCAGATAACCGTCAAAGCCGCGCTGTGCAGCCAGCTGGGCTAGCATCCGGGCATAGTGCGGAGACACCGGCAGAGAGGCGCGCGAGTTCGTAGGCGCCTGCGCGGCCGGACCCGTCTTCGACGAGGGCAGCTTGCCGACAAGGAGGCGGAGGCAGTCGCTTTCGCCATCGTTCTCGAAGATCAAAGTACCGAGCATCTTGACGCCCTGCCTGTGAGCCGCGTTGACCCATCCAGGTGGTGGTATCGTGATTCGATGGTGGGCGAAGCTGTGAGGTTGATAAGAGCTTGAAGGACAACGTCGAGAGGATGTACTTACTAGACGAATATGTCGCACGACGACCAGAAGTTGAAGGTATATGACAGGTCGTAGGGATCCTCTTTATAGCCTCCCTATCATCATCGTCAATACTTGTGGCAGCAAACAAGTAACTAAGATCTCACCTTATAATCATGGCAAACCTTGAAGAACTAGTCAGCCCATGCAACGAGGTCAGGCATCACTTTCTAACCAGTAGGCCACCGGAAGTACCATCTTTAGTTGAACATGGTCTTGGAATATATCTTTGGACTCCTTGGAGTTGCTGTGGTCGAGAATCCGCCCAGTTATCGAGCTCTTCGAGGGATTTGAAGTATTGTGTATGTGCCTGCGGCACCCGCGCACTGGAGCTGGGAGCAAGGGGCATACTTCCAGAGACTACGCGGCTAGTCTCCTGGGGCGGAATGTGGCTGTTGAGGGATGCCGTACTGCGGACGTAGTCGTAGGAGGCAAGGTGAACGTGACAAGTTGATGTGATGCATCTGCCTCGGCAATCTCCGCGCTCGGCTTGCGTCACGCCTTCATTGTCTCCGACTCAACCATACCTACTTTGCTCAAGCTGGAGCTGAAAGTTGATGGTATTCCCGTGATAGACACTGTGTCTTCTACCTGCCACGGGAATATCAGCCCACCACAGCTGACGAGAACGGCCCGCAGGCCTCCGGCGACAAGCAAAACTTCAGATCATAGCGACAGAGGGACTTGGATGGTGACGCACATAGCGGTGTATAGAGCACGGATGCTGGTATGAAGCTCCGCACTCGTCTGCGTTGGGCGGCGGCTCCGTGCGGCCTACTCCTCTCTGCATCCCCGATATCAGATACCCCGGGCGAAGGACATCTAATCAACAGCGAGACAAAACCTACCTTGGACCCCAGGGTGCACCAGGGCGTTGTGTAAGAAGATTACATGCCTTCTGGAAGGTCTTTGCTAGATTTGTCCACGGTAAGTTGAGCGCAGATTACTCAATATTTGGCTTGATTCCTTAAAGGCTTACCCCCGGCGATTCTACGCTCTGCGTTGCCCAGGTGTCGTCATTGCAGTACAGTGGTGCATGGCGTCTCGACACCGAGGCCTTCCACTGAGTGGTCCTGCCGAGGCTTATCCGCCGGGAGCGTCAATCATCCTCAACTAACTCAGGCTTAATAGGCTATTCATTGTCACCTCCTCGTCATTGCACGGCGTTCCAAGTTTGTGTATCTTCTGACGTCTTTGTATCGCTGGTGATGGTTGTTTCTCTGCGGGAATTTGGTCCCATGCTCTCTGGCAGAACCGAACTTTATGCGGTAGAGCTGGCGACGTTCAATGGGGCTGGATAGTCTTGGCAACAACCGAGCTACTTTTGCCCTATGAGGCAACCTACCGGCCTGCAACAGAATTACCTCCTGTCAAAAAGGCAACATTCGACTCCATCCCGCACCAGTTCTTCCGGAACACCCACGGAAGACAGCTCTCTCAACGTCTATCCCTTTGGGACTGGCATCCCCCTCGCATGATTGCAGCGTTTCGTCCGTCTAGGTGGGGCTCCGTCTATACGTGAACCCACGCTGCGGAGGTCAACAAACATTCGCAGACGGCGGCACCGCCAGGAACCATCGCTAGTGGATTGATTCTCTGTTCAGAAGAACGCCGGCGGCATCCTGTGCTGGGAAAGTTAGATTGACGGTGGGAAACCGAAGGGATATCACAAAATCACTCGGAGGCGGCTGTACACGCGAAAAAAGGGTACTTCTCGCAGTCATATCACCCACCTCTCGACGAGCACACAGCGAATCCTATCTGGACGAGCACAGCTACAGGAGTCGTGGGGCGTCCATACCGCAGCGGAGAGGCTAGTTTCCAGACTCTTGGTTGCACTTCTCTTCTACGGCGATTGTATAGACACGGAGGTATCGTCGCGTCATCGCAGCGGAGATTCAGTCCGAATTGGGGGAGCGCACTGTTCCGTCAGCCGATATCTCGCCGAGTCAAAAACCGCCGACGCGTCTTCAACGGGGCGACTCGACCTGCATCCCCACCATCTCCCGCAACTTTCGTTGTATTCGCGCAGCACCCCACGGTGCTCAGTACGACTCCAGCTTTTGATCCCGATACCCTGTTTACCTATAGCTTACTCTTCATATCGCCATTGGTCTCAATCTAACCGTAAGCAGCATACCTAATCCCGTCCTCTTCGGCGTGTGTAATCGTAAGAAAGTGAGTACGCCCCTACGATCCGCCTGATACCGCTTTGACCCTTATTCCCAGCGGATCTCTTTTTTAACGGAGCCCTCGTCACAGTCTTCTCTCCTTTTTACGACGACCGCCTGCTCTCGCGCTTGTCAGCACTGTGCTTTGGCGCATTTCGGGTGTTATATGGCCGTGGAAGTGCCAGATGCAGAGCCAACCGGTTATCATAGGCCCTCGCACGGCTGCCGAGCACTTTCCACCACAACGAATGCGCCATCTGCACACGCTCAATCTCTTTCCCCTCTCTCTCCTGTTCCGGTAATGCATTCCCCCTCGCCGGCGACCACCATCGCACAGCACTATTCTGCACACGTCGGCTCGCCAGAACTCTACGCATTGGTCGTCGGTCACATCCGCGCTCGCGATGACCTTGCCCGCCTCTGCCGCGTCTCGCGTCCTTTCCGTCGAGCAGCTCAGGTCGCTCTCTACAACACGCTCGCACTCACGGTTGGAGTATCCACCGAGGGCAACGCGCTGCTGCGCACTCTCGTTGACGCGCCGACCTTGGCAGGACTCGTGGATGCGCTGTCCATCCGGATTCTACCCAATGCAGCTACCAGCCTGCTCGCGCGCGTCCTTCGCGCCACGACGCGCTTGCGATTCCTCGACATCACGGGAAGTGGCCTGCCCCCGGCGCCGAGAGAACCGCCACCGGCAGCCATATTCGAGGGAACCCGCTTCCTGCTGCGGACGCTGACGTGCGATATGCCGTTAAACCAGCATCTGTTCAGATTTCTCGAAGCTCAGCGGATTCTGGAGGACCTCACACTCACCGGAGAGGACGCGAGCCGCATTGCTGGGGACTGCGGTAGACCAACTTCTGTCGCCACGATACCTCCAGACGCACTGCCCGCACTTTACACCTTGGAATGTGGGGCGCGCTTAGCAGCGGCGCTGCTTCCCGGAAGGAGCATTCGTCGACTACACGCCTGGTTGGAAGTGGACGGCGACTATCCACTGCTCACTCGAGCGCTACGCTCGACGAGTACACGGCCCATCTCGTTGGAGGTGCTCAGTCCAGATGACGCTGGCGCTTTGTCTCTTTTGGGCGCAGCAAGCCCCGAGGTGCGCTACCTTGGTACACCGGCTCTGCCAGTAGACGGTGCCGTGGTGAGATTTCCTATCTGTTTTTTCATATGCCCATGCTCAATATATGCCAGCGCCTTCAAGCCTACGCACTCCTCTTTCGCCTTCGTACCATTGAGACGCTCGCGGTCGATATATCCAGCTGGAAGCCAATGCCGGTATCGCACCGCGCTCTTCGTGCTCTTGCCTCCGAGATTAGCATCTACGCCCGTAGCCTAAGACGACTCGTCTTCCACGGGCCCACGGCATGGAGAGGCGCGAGTATCCCCCCAAGCTCGGGGCGTGCGTGGCGCCGAGCTTCTCATGCTTACTCGTCTCCATTCTCCTCGCGCGCCCCGTCGCCTCATCCAACGTCCCGGTCGTCGTCGCCGTGGCTGTCATCGCGTCCCGCGTCCCCTCAGCCGATTTCACGACGACACAGCGCTCGCCCGGACGCCACTGAGGACGATGAGGGAGACGCGGTCGTACTGGCACTTATCAACGGTATCTGGTCGGTCGAGGAGGACCTACCGCTGGACAACCTCTGGCGAGAGGCAGCCTAGTGCTTTGACATTACCATCTCCATGCTGACTTCCATTTGCTTTCCATTCGTCGTTCTCTACTTCATCCGCTATTCTTGACAATGCCACGACGCCATACACGCCTTTGTATTTTTATTTTGTTATCACGAAACTCTCACTCTTTCACCTTGACTCAAACATATACCTATCCTCCACTGTCTTTGCACCATATACCCGTCGTCCTACTCTCTTTGAAAAGCAGCTGAAGGGGCTGACAATTCCCCATTTGTACTTCTACCTCTACAAACATATGAATCCGCTGCTAATTCATGTTATACCTCTATTATAAGAATTTTGTACTGCTCACCTTGATTGGTGACCCTGAAAATCTGGAGCGGGAGTTCGAACGATGCGACAAGTTGCAAGGCTGAATTGGACGACGGTAACGAGCGGCAGTCTCGGGGTTCGAAGTGCCCTCCCGGGCCTTCGGATGAAGGAGGTACATACTGGAGGAGCACCGCGTTATATCTCAATGCTGGCTTGTTGCGGTATGAAGATGCAGAGTATAAAATAGCTTGGGCTTCCTCCGCATCCACCAATTATCGGCAATTGCCGCCATCTTTTGCTTCCATCCCGGCAATTGCCGCCCGAGGATTTCCGCGACGCCCACTACCCACCACGCGCAACGCCCATGACTGCGAGCGGGCGCTCTTCGCAGCCGTTACAGCCTCCTTCTCGTGCATTCCCTTGCAATGAAGCCACAAACGGGACACTGGCGCTATGGTTGAAATCTGGCCGATATCATTGCCTCTCCTTCACCACTGCTTTTGCCGCGGCGCTGCGTCTTGCTCAAGGACCCAGCTTGATCATGACAAGAACAGATGCGCACAACGACACGACTGCTTGAAGACAGACCCTAAACGCTGCTTACTGGCGATCACTGGGAAGCTCACGGTAAGCATGCATGTCAGTACCGCATTCGCCTTCCCCTGCACTGTAACGGTAGGGTGGCCATCTGACTTGCCTGCCAGGATACAACACACGCCAGCAGCGCTTGGACTGTCGGAATATGTTCGAACTCTGCCCAAAGCTGCGTACCTTCTTCTGCCTGAAGTCGGTGTCTTTTAGCTCCTGCGGTGATTGAGACTCCCCGGTATTCTGTTGGACTCACATCAGAAGGGCCGTCTTGGACCTCTCACGCGTGCGAAGCGAGCATGTGGTCACCCTGGCATAGATTGACGCGTGCTGTATGCTGTTCTCGTCTGCATACAATACACTTAACTGCGATCCACTTTACCCTTCCCATTGTTCCATGACTACGAGGATCCTTCCATGCAGTATGGAAGTGTTTGCTCTGATGTTTAGGCGCATAATCGCGAGGATCCGAGGAAGAGAGTAAGGTAACACTCTCCATCTGCCAGTCGAACAATGGTGAACTCGGCGCTAACGGTTTCCCCTTGACAGGTGTTCATGATCGACTTCCTTCAACCTTCTGAATCCGTCGATAGTTTCTGCGCGCCCATTGTTCCCAGCCACGATCGGCGCTGCTTATCACCCCGGCGATGATGACTCGAGACGGCTCCGGCGCAGACGCACGCGCCCTTCCTCAGCCCAGCCTGCCCAATATAGACGCCACAGCACCGCATCCAAGAGCGCCGTGCTCTGACGCAAAGCTGCGTGTATAATTGCCAGGCTGTTCCGCAACCGCTCGTCGAAGGTGTCTGCGCACGTATAAGACGCGACACGAGGATGTGCCTCCGACCACCATGCCCCGCCATCGCTCGAGCGAAATGAGCCTGCGCACAAGCGCCCAGCCCGCACTACCCACCCCGCAGCGCACGCGCCCTATACCCATCGCGCGTGGGCGGTCAATGACGCGGCACAAGTCTGCGGAGGATCGATGTCCAGAGCGCAGCGCACGACCTCCGGCTCGAGACTCAGAGAGCCCGCCGCTCGTTCTAGGGCAGCTCGATGACCTCCAGCGTCCATCGACGCCTGCTCGCCAGGCTACCAGCCCTTGCGTCACATCCGCCGCACCTCCTTCTCTCCAATTTGCACACGTACACTCTCGTCACTCGACGACGCCCTCCGTTCAGTGCAGATTCTGTTGGGAGTGGTGCCACCAGGAGTCCCTCGAGGTCCACCGTCGTACATGCGTGGCGTACCAGCGGCATCGTAGGCATTCGAACTCGGACGCGCTGCTGCGTTTCGTCAAGACCTCCTCGTCGGTACCACCTCAGCTGCCTGCGTCAGCCCCTAGACCGCAGCCCCCGATGTCGCATCCACCCTCGGCATTGCGTTTTCTGCCACCGCCACCGCCACTATCTCGGCGTCGATCTCGAAAGCTCAAGGTCGAGTAAATGTACTCGGCCTCGAATCAATTTCTTCCTTCCAAACACCTGTGGCCATGCGCCCGCCTATTCTGCACATGCCGACTACTGCTACATCGCGCCGCATAAGACGCCGTCCGTCGTCTGCGCGTAGAGCTGTGAGTCGTGGCGCAGAGGCCTCTTACTTGGCCCTCCGACTCACAGAATGTACGCAGCGAGGTAGTAGTACACTATCGCTCTCATCGTACTCTTGACAGCACCACTGCTTGCATGTTCCCGAGCGACATCGTCCCCTGACACTAATAACTACAGACGATATACATTGACAGATACCTCATAACTGCTGTACCTACAATACTACGTACGACGAGAAACGCTGTATCATAGGTACCTAGAATGACATACAAGTACTGCACCACGCCAAGCAGTATCATATTTAACTTCTGACAGAGAACGACCGGGTGATTGAGGAAGCATGAGTTCGCGATTGTACTATACGGCATAGTATTCCAGAGTGTGGAGTAGCACAGAGGGTCTACAAGGCGTGCTTGAACGGTCGTACCGTCGAAGAGACCTTCGTTCTCACCTTCACCACCTGCATGACCAGCTTTGTCAGTGCCATAAGCAGTCCAGCCCATTCCGCCGGGATGGGTGGATACGACCATCCGATGGAGCTGGTGCTGAGCACGGAAGCATTACCGCGTATGCCCGCGAGCTGACTAGCCACTCCGATCATCCTGTGCTTCCGGAAACGAGTAAGCAGCGAGAATGCAACCTAACGAACTTGCTGCGCGTATCGGAAGGACCTTGGTGGCCTGACACCAGGAAAAGGCGGCAACAGCATCGCTCGGCGCTCACCACTGCGAGTGCCTCGAATGGAAGACGAGAACTGAGAGTTTCCGCATCGGTCTCCTCTTCCATCTGCTTTCTGCAGAGAGAAGCCTACTTCTCTGAGAATAGAAGTCGGCAAGTGAAGGTGAGCGAATGGTAGGCGACATAGGGGTCCAAAACCGTGGGAAGCTAAACTCGAACCGTGACAGGTGTGACATCCCACCTCGTTCTGTGAGGGCGTCACGCTCAGATGCTAGCGTTGTCTCCTGGCACTGGCACATACGAGTTCCTAGCCCCAAAAAGATTCAGAAATAACATATACTCATTCGTGAGCCTGCCAAGAACCAATCCCATAAAGCACAGCAGTTTACATTGTAAGTCTACCTCTATGCGCCGACGAAGTTGACACCCTTGGAGATGTTCTTCTTGAGGTCCGGCAAGCAGGCAGCAAGGAGCTCCTGCTCCTCGGCCGAGATCTCGCCAATGGGGTGGATCTTCTCCACACCGTTGACCTGCAAGCGTTGTCAGCCATCGTCCACATCCAAGGTACGCAGGAGACTTACACCAAGCTCAACGTTCGACGAGAAGAAGTCGATGCCCTGGTCCGCGAAGAGCGGGCTCTTGACGAACGTCGGGGTGACGACGCCCTTCTCACCGTTCAAACCACGGAGGAGCGCGTCCGTGAACTTCGCGCCAGCGTACGCCATCGAGAGCGTCGCAGAGCCAGCGCCGTCCTTCGCCTTCACGACCTCGTCACCACCGAACTGGATGCGATGGATGAGGGCCTTGTACTGCTCGCCCGTGATGCCCTTGCCGTGCTTGGTCTGCGACAGAAGGGGGACGATGGTCGCGCCAGAGTGACCGCCGACGACGGGGACTACGCACTCCTTCGGGTCAACGCCAGCGACGCCGCCGACGAAGCGCGCCGCGCGGACGACATCGAGGGTGGTGACACCGAAGACGCGCCTCGGGTCGAAGACACCGAGCTTCTCGAGGGTGGCGGCGACAATGGGGACGGTAGAGTTGACGGGGTTGGAGATGATTGCGATGTGTGCATCCGGGGCGACGCGGCCGATCGCAGAGGCGAGGTCGCGGACAATGGAGGCGTTGGTCTGCAAACTTCGTCAGTACTTTTCTCAGGAAGAAGTTTTGGCACATACGTTGAAGAGGTCGTCACGGGTCATCTTGAGATACAGTCAGTAGTTGCAACATGTTTTCGTGCGAATCGTACTCACACCAGGCTGGGGAAATCGTCAGCACATGTGGGAAGTACAGCAAGCTTTTCACATACCTTCCGCGGAACACCAGCGGGAATGACCACAACCTTCGTGCCCTCCAGCGCAGCATCGAGCTGGTCAGCCTGGTAGCCCTTCACCTGCGCAAAAAGCTTAGCCCAGGTCGCACCGCACAATTTCCATCCCACGCACCTCGCTCGCCGTGTCGATGTGGCTGACATCCGCGCCCACACCGGGTGCGCCGCGGATATCGTAGAGGCTCAAGTTCGACACGAGGGGGTTCAGCTTGAGCAGCAAAGAAAGCGGCTGGCCGATCCCTCCGCCAGCACCAAGGACGGCGACCTTCGTCTGGCGCGCAGCCGAAGACGAGAAGAGACGCGCGGAGGGCGTAGCCAGAGTACGGGCGGCAGAGCGGGCGAACATTTTGGGTAGGGTACAGGAGATGGAGGTTCAAGACAAGGTACGAAGACGCGCGCGAATAAATAAAACGTGCCGGGCGCGTTCGGGAGGGACGCCGACGACGTCACCGGCCTTCGCCGGGCCGCTCTCCGCATTTGCCCCGCCAATCATTTGCCAATCACACAGCGCCGCCGCCTCGCTCGTCGTCGCCGGCGACGATGGCGACGGATTTCTGGGAGAGCTCCCACTAGTGAGTCACTCGTACTCCCTTTCGTCCTCTCTGACTCTCGATGCCATTCGTAGCAAGCGCTGGCTTGTGGATCACGCCACACTGAGGCAGGCGCGCACCGAAGACCTCAATTATGTAGAGAACCCCGAGCACATCGAGTTCCTCTCAATATACTTCGCGAACGGTACGGTAATATATTCTTATTCTGGGAAAGCTACTGACAGCTGTTGCACTAGCGATTGCCAAGCTAGGCAAGAAATTGGGCTTTAGGCAGCGCGTGATAGCAACTGCTACTGTCTTCTTTCGCAGGTTCTACTTGAAGAACTCTTACTGCGAGACGGACCCTTTCATCGTGATAGCTGCTTGCTGCTATGTTGCAGCCAAAGCAGAAGAATCTCCGGTCCACATCAAGAATGTCATCTCGGATGCCCGCTCCGTCTTCAGCCGTGAGTCCTCTTCCTTCATTCACTTGCTTCGGCAGACCGCTTTCCCACCATTCTTAAAAGTCTCACTCGCGTCCTCTCTGCGCCAATGTTCTCGAGCCAAACCCCTCATGCCGAACTAACTCTCCCCAGACGATTACTACGGCGTCAAGTACTTCCCCACCGACAACACCAAGCTCGCCGAAATGGAATTTTACCTCGTCGACGACCTCGAATGCGACCTCACCATCTACCACCCCTACCGCTCCCTCCTCGCCCTCTGCACCAAGGAGTCCGCTGCCCAACTCGAGCACATCGAGCCCGAGGCCGGCGAGCTCGGCGCCGGCATCGGTGCCGACGACGGCACGCGCTACTGGGGCACCGGCGAGGGCCGGCTGCAGCTCGCGGAGGGCGCCCTCCAAACCGCCTGGCTCATCATAAACGATACGTACCGCTCGGAGCTGTGCTTGTTGTACCCGCCGCACCTCATCGCGGTGGCGGCGATATACTTGACGCTCGTCTTCCACGGGCCAACGCGCACAGCGCTTGAGCAGCAGCTTAATCGCGAGGAGCCGCCGCCCATGCGACGCTCGACGCGGCACCCTGCGCCGCAGGACCCCGTTGCATTCTTGTCCTCGTTGAACGTCTCTCTACCGACCGTCGCCACGATCGCGCAGGAGATCCTCGCCCTCTACCGCTTGTGGAACCGGTACAAGGAGGATGTCCATGCCGATGCGGCCTCAGTATACAGCTCGCAGAACTACGACACGAATGCCGCGGACGCGATCACGCCTACTCAACTGTCGCAAGTCCTTTTGCGAATGCGGGAGCTCAGAGGCGCAGATATATCACACCCAGCCAGTGGTCGACCCGTGGCTATCAACAAGATGCTGGAACGAACCCAGGCAGCAGGATAGTCCTCGATTAGCGCGTTAGCGCGCGTGTTGTATAGTATGGGTATGCACTCTTGTACGATCTCTATGGGAACCGAATGGGAACAGATCAGGGAAGCAAAGTCCTCGCAGCAATTCCTCTCCATCTAATGTCCGTATCATTCAATCGACCGCCATCGCCATCTCGTCCTTGAAACCAGCAATCGCAAATCCAAGCCGACCCGGCACAGACGGCACAGACTTCTTCGTCTTCTTCTGAGGCAGCGCCCTACAACAGCATCAGCCCATAACAGAGAAGAATAGCAGAAGTCAACGTACCGCTTGACACGCTTGGTCGAGGCCTGAACAACCACGGGCTCCTCCTCAGCCCGACGCTTGCCAAGAACCTTCTTCGTAGCGTACACGTCTACGACAAAGGCCGCCGCCGTTGGAACAGCGACCTTCGACTTCGGCTTCTCCACCGTCGTCTTCTCCACGCCCTCCATCGGCGTCTCCGAGTGCCTGCACATCCGTCAGTATCCCAAGTCGCCTCAACCCGCATCCCACCACTCACTTCGCCTCCATATGCCTCTCCAGCGATCCATCCCTCAACGGGTACCACCGCGTCGAATGGGGGCACTTCGGGCACCTCCGCTCGTCTTCCTTCGTCTCCGGGTGCTTCCTGAACATCGGCGCCTGCTCCGGGTGGCGGCCGACGACGTGCGCCAGCCAGATATTGTCCGGCACGAATCTGTCGCACGTCTCGCACACCGTGTGCCCCTTCTTGTGCGCGTACTGCATGGCTTGGCGCGTGAGGAAGCTCTGCGTGTCGACATAGGTGTCGAAGGTGTGCTTGATCGCGGGGTTGTCGAACAGGCGCGCAGGCTTAGTGCCCATCTTGCGCGCCCAGCCACGCATCCTGGATTTGGGCGTTGGTGAGCGGTGAGGGGATTGTTAGCGAAAGCTCGTACCATCGCATGTTGATGTTGTAAAATCGCCGGTGGTTGTCTTTCTGGTATCTGATCCAATTTCGGTAATCGTTTCTCAGCTACGGGGGCATCAGCTAATCAGTCAATGGGGAGACGCTAGCCAAGCTCACCTTCAACAGCGCACACAGCATCAGCCTGCGCATGTTGTAGATCTGTTCTCCTGCAATTCATGCGCGTTAGCGACTGTTGCAGCTTCATGCAGTCAGACATGCTCACTCTTCTTCTCATCCTTTCCAAGCTCGTGGTACTCCTGTCGTGCCCTTTTCAGATCTTTCACACGGAGGAGGTGGTCGTTGCGGCCCTTGATGAAGGGCATCCACTCCTTCAACGCCTCGTCCTCGGGGCAGTGGCGGCCGACTTTAGAGAGCTTGGTCTGGTCTGCTTCGGCATTGGGTGCTCTCACGAGGAAGTTCTCGCTGAGGAGAGTTAGAGACCACCAGGTGAAGAGAGGAATCAGTGACTTACTGATGCAGCCTACGAGTGCACTGGTTCTGAAGATAACGTTAGCTGCCTGCAGAAAGAGTGAAGACGTCGATACATACACTGCACATGCGTGTAAGAGTCACAAGGTCGTGGGGAGGTTTCATCGTCCAGCGTTCGCAGACCTGGGCGGTTATTGTTCAGTCGACGCCACACTACGACGACGGCCCAAGCACACTCACCAAGCACCAACCGCCGCCGAATAGCAATCTCATGTAAGCCGCGCCAGTATAGCACGCATAGCGGCGGGTCCACTCCTCGCCACTAATGCAGCCGTTCTTGCCAATCTCCAACAACAGCCGCGCGCCTTTCGCCTCGTCCGACATGTCGCCCTCCTCCGGCATCTGTATCGCCGGCGGTGGGTCCGCGCGGCCGTTATACTTGGGCTCGAAGGGGCTGTCGCACGAGGTGACGATGAGTCGCCCATCGTAGGAGTTGATGATCTCGTGGAAGCGACGGCAGACGCGCTCGAGGATGAACAGGGTCATGGGGTGGCAATGCTCGAATATCTATTGAAGTGTGGCGTCAAGGTCAGAGTGGTCGAGGGCACGGATAACGATGCACGCACCATCTCCCATAGCTCGGTGGGCAGTATACGCGCGCCAGTTGGCTTTGCCGCCGGCTCATAGAAGTCCGTCGCCTCAAGAGGCAGAGCAGTGTCCGCAAGCAGAGCAGACTTGGCTAGACGCGCAGAGTGAAGACGCTGCATAATGGTAGCTAGAGTGTAGTAGGTTGTTCTGGGGGATAGAAGGTGATGGTTGTGTGAAGAAGAGAGCGGTGAGTGGGCCCTTAAAGAACAATGGCGCTCGGGCCATAAGAACAGCGTGACAACACGTGCCATTTGATGCGAAGGCCGAGAAGCGTGCCAATTGTGATCCTCGTGTTCTGGGCGGTGCGCGCTGGCACAGCTCAGCGCTGTGATTCCACACCTCTCACTGGGCGTTGAACACCTTCTGACTCGATAAACCGCATGGAAACAACACAAACGCCTCTGCGGATGGAGTATAGGAATGGTCTATGTCGCTCAAACATAGGCACGGTGCCGGACACCCGGGGCAGCGTGACGGTCACATGAAGTGTGGCGCAGGAAGACAAAAGACATTCCCAATCGGGAAACAATAAACCGGAAATGCTTCCGTTGCTGCATCTGCCGCAAGATGCCGCAATGCCACTAGCGCTGCACCTCACACTCTACCAGCACCTGCTCACCCTCGGCCTCCCAAGCAGACACTGGTGCAGGTGGAGGTTCGTCTACACCTCTATCAGGAAGGTATAGGAAGCATCGCCTTTCAGCCAGAGAAGATTGATGCACGCTGAAAGAAGGCTGTGCGGCATTGTGTGGCGCATTCACTGGAATATATGTCCCCTGGCGGCTTCTTGACGTATGATGACCATGTCATTGATGGCATTCGTGCACGAGCATCAGGCTCGTAGCGACTAGAGCGGCGGAATAGTCGATCGCCGGCCATGCTTGTAGTCTGTGCAACGAGTGAAGCTCGTCTATTCGACACTCGAACGAACAGAACAGACGCGGCGACCTCGGGCGAGTGTGGGCGGACAATAGGAAAGAAAAGTCAACTCAGATTCCCTCACGCGCTACTGAAAGGGGTTGGCAGGAGTGTATGACGTTGATACGTATATATGCCGCAAAAAGGAAGCCGTGGCATCGTCAATGGAGATGCTCGAGATACCTTGCAAGCAAGGTACTTACCAAGATGATATCAAGATTATAGTAGTACATAGAGCAAGATCAAAGGTAAGAAATGCATATGCAGGAAGTCAGCAAGGCGTTGGGAGATAGGATCTTGAAAGAGAAGAAAAAATCGCGCACGCCGCGATCGCTCGCGTTCAACGTTCAACGGCGACGCGATGGCCCACTCGCAGGCTTCGGCGCAGCCGACGGCTGCTGGGGTAGCAGAGCTCTCGCCTGGCTTAGGTCATGCCAATAGACCGCGTCCGGGTCGTCAGGCTGCGGGATGACCGGCAGCAAGGGCTGGTTCGTCGGGTCCTCGGGGTAGTCGAAGTACTGCGACGGCTGGGACGGCGGAAATGGGCATTCGAGCATAGCCTCTTCGCGCCGCACCTGCGAGCAGGGCGGTCCCTGGTCGTCGAAGTTCGGCGACGGCGAGCGTGACTTGATCGGGGACCCCTCCTCCTCTGCGTCCTGCTCCGAATGATCGTGGATGCTCTCCTGAGATAAGCTGGGCTCCCTCTCTTGCGAGGAAGCGGGCCAGATCCCCTGCGACGAGGCAGGTTCACTCTGCTGCGACGCGGTCCAGGCCTCGCTCTGCTGCAATGAGGTAGGCCAGCCTTGCTCTTGCGACGAAGCCGGCGGCGTGTCTCCCTCGTCCATTGCCTCATCATCATCCTCCGACCCGTGATCGCACTGCGTGAACAACTCCTCCCCACCACAGCGCCGGCAGCGGGGGCGCGGACGGTCGAAGTCGCTGCGACGCGGCCGGTCGGCGTCAGTGTCGACGTCGATATCGATATCATCATCGCAGGTAGCCTGGCTGGACGGCGAGCTTGCAAGAGACTCGGCGTACCCCGAGGCCTGCGAGCTTGGGGGCTGCGAGCTCAGGAAACCGGCGCCCGTGATCGTCGACTGGGAGCTGGATGGCCACGACTCGGCCTGCGAGGTAGGCGGCGAGCTTGCCCAAGATTCGGCCTGCGAGCAGGGCGGCGACTCATCCTGCGAGCTGAAGGGCTGCGAGAACGCCTGAGAGGTCTGCAAGGACGTTGGAGAGGTTTGCGAGGACGCCGCCGTGCTGTCCTGCGAAGGCTCCGGAGAGACCTGCGACGACGCCGGCGTACTGTCCTGAGACGACATCAGAGCATACTGCCTCGTAATCTCGTCGACCTCCTGCGAAAGACTGTAGTTCTTCCATCCGTCCTCGTCGTCTTGACTCGGCGAGGGCTGGGGCTGACTCGGAGGGGGTGTCGGCAGCTGCAATGGTCGATGATGCGGGGGATGCAAGTGTGGGGGTTGGGACATGCTGAGCTGGCGTGAATGATTGTGGTTGACGGGGAACTCACCAGTGGCATGGTCATCCTTTATACATGCAGAGGCTGCGAGAAGTCATGAAAAGAGGCCTATGCGCCTTTCAGGGTCGTGAGATCGATGGGTGTCAATGGCAGCACAATCGCGAGAAGCGCTCAACGGTCAGAATGCAAGGTTTGCAATGTTCCTTTCACCAGTCGTCAGTGCACGGTAGAAGCCCCATTGAGCCGCCGGGTCACCATGCATGATTTGCCTGCATATGCGGCTGTCCGTCACATTCGAGACGGAGGAGTCGGCAGCGGAGGTAACGGAGTTGGAGTGAACATGCAAGGAAGTTCGGGGAACGATGATAGTTCCGCTCAAGCCAGGAAACGTGCGATGAAAGTCGAACACGTCACGCTTTATGGCCGTGACGTGACATTCTGCTCCTCCCAATTTCAGCTCTTTCTGTCTTTCTGTGAGCTGCAATCTGACAACGGCGACGACGCTGTCCGCGAGAATATACGATCAATGCCGTGATCAGGACCATCTGGCGCCTATCAATGAATGCCTCCTGGCATCAGCCTCGAGGCCTGCTTGCCAATCCCGGCGGTCGCCTCGTTGTCGGGACCTGCCCTACGCCACGTTGGCATCGTGAGGCCGCACGACGTTCCAGTCAAGTCTCTGCGCTTTGTCATACGCGTCTCTCGCCATCTTCTGTTCTCCTCCCCCGATCCGTCGCTGCGCGCTGAGCGATAACCTCCGCACCGCCCCCACCACCGTCCATGGCCAGCCACTCGCCCGTGCGCAATCGCAAGCCCCCCGCGCCGCAGAACCCAGGTGAGCCCTTTGTCCCTCGCCTGACGTCGCATCCGCACGCACTCGATAGTCCGAGATCACACCCGCGAAGCGGGGATCGAGCGAGAGTCCGTTTTGCCCTTTTGAGTGACCTTCCATGTCCTGCCGACTCTATACGCGCTCTTACGCAACGCCCTACTCGCGAGCTGACCGGATCGATGTCTAGGCGTAGCCTCTCTGCAAGCACGCGAGCGCTCTGCGTCCCCATCCGTGCGCGACAGGCAGGCGCGATCTGCGAAGGCGCAGTCTATGCCCATTATGCAAGGCTACCCAAGCCCCGGCGGACAGCCCTCCAACCCGAGCCCGACGATGGGCGCGGGTCCGACCATCGGCGCGGCGCCCCAGTTCCAGTCGAATCCCACCCAGATCCAGAGGCTGCTTCCCACTCCGCCACACCCACCCCTCGACCAGAATGGCGTCCCCCACCCGCCGCCGCCCCAGCATAGCAACAGCATGCCGAACGTCCACAACGCGCGCGGTGTCATTCACCCTATCCCCACCCGGCAGTCCTACGGGCAGGCTGGCAACGACAACCAACACTTCCAGATGACTCCCGGGCTCGAGGCGGACATTCAGCGCGCGCACGACATGCAGCAGCTCGCGTACGGTACAGCCCCAGCGACCTCGTCCTCCTTCCCAAAAGAGTCGTACATGAAGGACCCCGCGGTCGAGCGGCTGCGCGCCGCAGAGCGACACAGTCCCCGGCAGGGCGCGCTCAGCCCCGAGCCGCGCGGGCACGGTGGGAGCCATCAAGGATCGCCGTCGTCGACCAAGCAGCCCATGATGCCGCCCGAGCGGCGCGGCTCGCCTGCTTTTGTCACGCCGATGAGCTCTCCTGGCGAGCAGAGCGCTGCGTATCGCCCGGAGTACTCGCCCAACGGGCCTTCGACGCTCTCACGGCGCAACACCGTGACGGGCGCGCCCGTCGTCGAGACGCGGCCCATGTTGACGATCTCGAATCAGCAGACGCCGCCGCTGCAGACGCATGGGCGCACATCAGACCGCTCGCTGCCCGTGCAGGAGGAAGACCATGATCGCGATGACGACGACGACAGCGGCTCACCCACGCCTTCGTCTGACCTCCATCCAGAGGGCAATCAGAGCCGCTCATCCGGCACAAGCCGCACGCGCCGCGGCGATGAGAGCACGCTCATCGGTCAAGACAGCGAGAAGGGCCTGACAAACGAGGATGAGTACACACCGCGGTCGCCCGCTCAGGACCTTCCCGAGCGCACACCTTACGGACCACATCAACACGGCGGGGATCCAGTACGTGGCCGTGCTCGCACGGGCGCCACCGACCTCCTCGGTCTCCAAGGCCTCGACGGCATGGTCTCCGACCCCCAGGTCAACGGCGGCAGCAGCAACCCCTCGCAGTACATGGACGGGCGGCACGCGCCCAAGCCGCAGTACCACACCTTTCCCGCCGCTTTCGACCCGCGCACCACCGCTGCGCGCTTCTACACCCCCTCGACCGAGGACGGCTCCTTCCTCGTCGACGGGCCCACCGCCGCATACCTCCAGGCCATCCTCTCCTCGCCCCGCCCCGACGCGCCCATCCCGCCCACGCCGCACAGCCAGACCGCCGCGCCCACCCCCTCGCCGCTCATCAACGTCAACGCGCACGCGGCGTACGAGAAGGACCCGATGCCGTTCAGCCCCATCGTCCCCGCGGGTTCGCCGTACCCGTACCCGTTCACGCACGTGCGCCGCGCGCCGTACGTCGCGCCGCCCGACCCGAACCACCCCGCGGCGATCCAGGAGCAGCTCGCGCGCCAGTGGCAGGTGTACGCGCAGAACAACCAGGACGCGTTCTCGACGACGGAGACGACGAGCAGCACGCCGTTCCAGGGCGCCGGCTTCTCGCCGTGGGCGCTCCTGCACACGACGCGCCTGCTGGGCGGCCGGCTCCCGCCCCAGAGCGTGCAGAGCAGCCCGAGCCACGAGCCCATACCGCTCCCGCCGCCGCCTCAGGGCGTGGGTGTGCGCCGGCGCCGGCGCGAGGACGAACCGCCGGTCCCGAAGGTGCCGCGCAAGCCGCCGCCGCGGGTAGCTAGCACACAGCCGCGCGAGACGAGCCCCGAGCCCTCGTCTTCTTCGGGCGAGGAAACCGCCGGGGAATCGACCGCGGGCGAGCAGGACCGCTTCCCAGTACAGGACGAAGGTCGAAGCTGGACAAATACAAATGGGCAGACGACACCGTCCGCCCCTCCTGCCCCTGCCCCTCCCCCACCCCAGGAGGAAGAAGACGAGGGTGACTGGGTCGACGAAGAGGACGACGAGGAAGAAGAGGACCTACTAGAGCTCGAGTTCCACCCCTCCTACGTGCCGAACATGGAGAAGCGCAAACGCCGCTTCGACGCGCGCTGGGATGCTTTGCAGCAGGCGGTAAGCTAGCCTCCCTTCCTCCACTTGCACCTCCGCTCACAGCACCCCTCCCAGTTCCAAGCCCTCGACCGGCAGACGGACTCCACCATGATCCTCCTCTGCGCCCCCTCGCACACCACCAAGCTCCAGTCGCTCTCCTCGCGCGCCATCCGGCGCACCCCCGCCCTCCGCGACGGCAAGACCCTCCGCGCGCTGCGCACCCAGTTCGCCCGCCTCGCCACCGAGCGCCGCCGCGTGCGCACGCACTCGCGCTCCTCCTCCCTCGCCGACCGCCTCTTCGCGCACATTGCGTCCCCGCTCACACGGGGCGATGGCACGGGCTCGGGATCCGACGTGACGTCCGATATGCGCGAGGAGGATCTGAGACGCGCGTTGGGTACTGCTCTTGGGTCGCTAGGTGCGCTGGGCAGTATTTACGAGCAGCGGGAGGCGAGATTTAAGGAGGAGCTGCGCCGCACGAGCGAGGAAAGGCAGCGCGTCGAGCTGCTCATGCGGCAGGCGCTTGGCGAGGGCCACGCCTCTGCGACTGGCACCGCGCGCATGCCCTCTTAGATCGTGCACAATGCTTAGGCCGTCTTCGACCGTGTGCCATGGGCATGCATGCCGTCTTAGACGCTGCACGCATGTCATCCTGAACCGTAACGATTCAGCAGAATTCCCATTCATCTATGGATACATTGACTATGTACTGGTAGCTAGGCTAGTCTGAGTTGTACAGATACGAGTGCTCGAGCGTGCAGTGTAGTCGGCAGTGTGCGGTACGATGGAAAGCGAATGAGGATAGTATCCGAGAAGAGAAAATTCAGAGCATGATGAAAAAAAGCGTAGGAAAGATATGCAAGTCGTGAAACAATGATCATGAGGTCGTACATACTACGTTCTGTCCGTGACATCCTGGACATGACAGCGTGCACATACATTGTCCACCGTGTTCATGCACCGTCCATTGCCTACCAATCCGCAAACCCCACCAACTTGCCGTCCCAGGCGTACCAAATCATATCATCCTCCTCCGTGCCGCCCTCAGGCTCGGTGTAGTTCGCCGTAAGCCCACAGCGCGCGGAGACCCATACGCCTTCGACCTTTGAGGCCTTCTTATTGGGCTTCTTCTTGACATCAGTTGGCTCGGGGATCACACCCGACTCGATGAGGAACTCCTGGAGGGTATTCTCGAGCGCCTGGGTGGCGTTCTGCATCGGGATCCAGGAGGGGTGCGAGAAGCGACGAGGGGCACGCATCATGATGTGTGTCTGGGTGGGGGCTAGAGAACAATGAGATATCGCCCAAGTGCCTCCGCGGTGGAAAACTCACAAAGTTCGTTCGCAAGAGCGTCCGATCCAGCGAGCGCGCGAGAGAGGAGACGGTCCGCCTTTTGCAGAGCTTGCTGCGTCTGGGAGAACGCGTACGATGGTGGCGGGGAGGGTGGCTTGGGGGCAGGCGCTGGCGGCTCGTTCTCCGCGCTTAGGCGATCTTCGACTTCGCTGGTAGCTTCCTCATCTCCCTCTGCAGACTCTTCATCTTCGCTCTCAGACTCTTCAGGCTCCTCCACGTCGTCCTCGTCGTCATCACTCTCCTCCAGCTCATCCTCTTCCCCACTCTCCTCCGACTCCTCTTCCTCCGCTTCATCATCACGCAGCCCCCACACCTTGCTCTCCAAGCCGTCGAGACCGAGAATCACCTTCGCCTTCGCCGTACCCACGCTGGGTCCAACGAGAAGCGCGAGATAGCCCCGCCTAGGGCTCTTCGGTTTGCGGAGCTCAGAGAGTGGGCTGGGGGTCTTCATGCCATGTCTGGCGAACGCGGTGGAGAGCGCAGAGAACGAAGAATCGAAGTGCGAACTGAGCAGATCGAACGACTCCATGAACGCCAGTCGCAGTTTCGTAGCACGGGGATTAGACTGTGATTGTTGTGAGCATGTATTGGAAGGGAAGTTGAGAGTGGCGGCCACGCACCTTCCCCTTGAGTCGCGCAAGCTGCTGAACAGGACTGCAGGTCCGTTAGAACATGATGCTTTGCGGGGAACCTGCGCCACGCACAATGGGATCTGTCCTTTCAGAAACAGCACATGCCCAAGCAAGCTGATCGCCATCCTCGCCGCCATCTCATCCGCGATCTCGTCGACGTCCAAAACGACCGTAGGGATCCGCGGTGGCTCCTCTTCCTCCTCGAAGTCAATCGGCGGGGGCATCATCACTGTGGCGGCCGCCTTAGAGGAGCCCGCAGGAGAGACAGGGACTATGTGCTCGGGGTTTGGTGCGAGGTAGGGCATGGTGAGAGGAGATGATGGGTGTAGGAAACAGAGGAGCGTCGAACATGCACGCGCCATTGTCTGCGCAGTCACGTGGGCGAGTATGAAATTTCCCACGGGGTGGCTATTGTGGCCAAACGCGGACTGGCATGTTCATTTTACGGTCCTGACTCGAACCGTACAGCCTGGTAGAGCGCTGTTGTATAGCTGTCATGATTTATGTGGCTTTTCTTTGTTGTTCAATATTATATTGTGGTGATAATGATACGGTGCATGTAACCCTTCGTAGAGTGCGCCTTCGTGCGCAGCTCAAGCAGAAATTTCGTCACGGAAGCCCATCAAGTATTGCATAGTTTGAAAAGCGGCCTGGATGATTTTATCAGCATCGTATCAGCACAGAGTATAAGACAGGCTTACAATAGGTGAGAATTGAGGTATCCTGCGACAGCTCACAATCAGCCATAGCTCTCAAGAGTCGCATGGGTCACTCACATGTGCCCACTCAGCGCAATCTCGACGTATGTCAAGCCGCGCTCCGTATGCGCATTGCCGAGAGGACCCATGCCCTCGACAACGAAGGAGTCGTCCTCAATCGGCGTCTGGAAGCCTTGTGCCCCGTTCCCTGATCATTCAATCAGTTTAGCCATGCGTTCAGTGCGTGCATTCCGACTTACAGGTCATGTTATGCAGCACAAGCCGTGCGCTAAGCATCTCCGTCAGTCCCCACCCACAATATCCACTCAATCTGCCGACTCACCCCTCCGCAATCAAAATATAATCCGCCAGCCCATGAGCAATCACCGCCCGCTCGCTGCTCTCAATCACATTCGGGAGCACCGTGAACGCACTAGGAAGACTGTTATCGCCCTGCGGGAAGACATTCACGTCGGAGCACTCTGCCCAGGTGAAGTTCGTCGGTGCGTGAATCGCGGCCTTGACATCCTCGCGGTCGAAGTAGACGGGTGAGGTCTGTTCCTGGGGGAAGGAGCCGCTAGTATGATAATTAGTCAGGACGTCAGCGACTGACTAGCAGACAACGGAGGAAGGGAGAACGCACGGAAACCCAAGCACATCCCACAGAATCGGATACGTGTCGAAGATGCGGTAGATGTCGAAGGCGGGGTTCAATGCGATCGCCTCGTCGAAGACGCGCTCCCACAAGTCACAGCCCCGGTCCGCGCTCGTCGAGTTTCCTGGTAGCGGTAGCGGGCCGGCGGGCGGGTAGACCATGTACTTGTCGTAGTAGCCAGCGTAGTTGCAGTCCGACGCGATCTGGTCGAGCTCTGCGAGGAGTGATTTGCTGTGAGGGACAGTGAGAAACTAGACGAGGAGGGGGGATATAAGAAAGCAACACACCTGAACGAGAACACGCCCTCGTACTTATGTACGAAGTCCATGACTGGGATTTCTGTCTGCACGACGTCCCATCCGAGCACGGCTACACTGCGGTCAGATGTGGAGGGCAAGTAAAGAGGGATGGTTGCTCACGATCGCCGATCCAAACGCCCTTCAGCGACAGATCGAGCTGTTCTGGGTGCTGATAGATATAGTCGGCGATGTCTGGCATGCCCGCTTGAGCATCATCAATGCCCAAAGTTCGAAAGACTGCTCACAGGGAACGTAGTAGCCAGCATACTGAAGAAGTCAGACCTCGCCCAGCTGACACGGTGAACGAGAAATACTCACGCTCTCCCCCGCCACGTACAAATTCTTGCCCTGCAGCTCAGAGAAGACGTCCAAGAACTGCTGCAAGAACCCGACGACTTGAGCAGCTAGGTCAACCTCGTTCTGTGCGCCACTTTAGCCCCGTCCTGACTCTTGTGGTCACACACCAGAACTGACCGTGATATTCGGCGTGCCCTGCGAGTAGCCCGTGCCGACAGGCTGCTCAACCCAAAGCACGCTGGACAGGTTCGTCCAGCTGTACTCGTTCGGCGTCGGCTTAGCTTGACCCCAGGACCAAGAGAAAGGCTACAAGATGCACCTGCATTAGCATCACACACGCCTTTCAACAGGGGAGCAACATACGCCATTCTCCTGCAGGATACCTTCCAGGGAAGAGCATCCCGGACCGCCGTTTGTCCTGCATGGATATTGTAAGCGTTCATCATCAGTTGAACATGAGAAGCATACCAGAATATGATGTCGTCAGCGCTCCCATTCGGACCTGGCGGGAAGAACCAGAAGAAGAGCTGAAGCGCGGGGTCAGCACTTCAAGGGGGGCTCCCCAAAAAAGAAAGCTTTTCTCATACCTGGCGCTCCTCATTTGGGTCGCTGCTTATAGGCAGTAGTCCTGACCAGCTGGGGCCGACGTCGAAGTCAACCTCCGGGATGGAGGTCCCATCGACGTAGTACTCTGTTCAAGCGTCAGCATCGCTACCTCATTTGACGTTGGTTGACCTTTCCACCCAAAGACGACTCACCAGACGCCCTCGGGTCAGAGAACGTGATGTTCTGGGGCTCAGCACGCTTGACAGCCGGCGAAATTGCCCTCTCCTCCTGCATCCGCTTGACCGCCGCACGCTGCCGCTCGCGCAGCTGCGCTGGGGACATCTTCATTGCGCCAGCCCCCACCGCCGCAACCGCCAACGCGCCTAGCACAGTTCTCGCCAGCATACCGCGTCTGGACCTATAGTATGATCAGCGTCAGAGCAAGAAGCACGCTGCCGGCACAAACTCGCGGAACGACGCTTGCCCTCTTATACACTTTACCTTCCCGCCGCATCACCCAACGGCCCTAACGCGGACGAAAATAGTATGGAATATACGTTTCACCGCGGGCCCCCGCCTGCGCGACGCTGCCCAAATGAGTCGGCAGTCAGGATGCGGCGTATGGAAAGCATTCGCGCCGTGTGCTGATAAGTCGCATACTCCGTATGGCGCGCCTTGTCCATGCGCCTTACCCATGCACCTTCCCGAATCACACCACCCACCGCGAAGGTCCCCGCCCGCTGGCAGCGCGTCCGTCTACGCAGATGAACCATGAAGATGCGATTAGCCATATGTACGATGGAATAAAGTATACAGTGCTGTCAGATACAACAAGATGATGCTTCGTTAGAGGAATAGGAAGGAGACATACTGGCACGGCCGCGGCACCAGACGCATGCGTGTCTGGTTAGCCGAGGCCATCGTAGTCATCTTCATCGTCCACAACGTCCTGCAGATAACTATTTAGAAGCTCATTCAGCTCGTCCAGGAGCGCCCCTCGGTCCCACTCGGTCCTATGCTGCCACACGGCGCGCAGGCACGCAGCACGCAGGTGCTCCAGCTGCTCGACGTTCAAAGGTCCCGTCCTGTCTCGTAACTCTTCTCTCAGCCGCTCGACTCGCGCCTCGTCGACCACGAAATCCGGCAGAGGCGTCGGAGTGCGCTCGACTACCACCATCGGCACGTCGGGTGATTGACGGGTCGTCTCTTGTGAAGGCACGTTCTGTCCAGACGCCGGCCGCGACGTAGGCTCGTTGAGCAATGCAGCGACTGAAGATTGAGGCACGTCGCGGGGAACAGATGTCCTATCAGGTACGAAACCCCGCGATGAAGTTCGGCTCATAGCCCCCGCCGAACGCAATGGGGATTGCGCATGGGGCATGGGAGAAATCCTCGACATCGGGTACGAGGGGCCCGCCTGCGACACCGGCGAAGGTACTACAGAGCCATGGCGGGAGTGCATCGACGAGATCGGCTGCGACTGGAAGGGCTCCACGGGCTCCACGTTGCCAACGTTAACCGGCGTGGTGGCAAGCGAGGGATGACCGCTGTTTTGCATGAACGCATCGGAGTTCTGTTGGAAGGGCTGCTGCTGCACGAACGACGGTTGGCCGAAAGCGTTGCTCGACATCGGCCCTAACTGATTCTGCATCGGATGCATCTGCGAGTGGTCTTGGAACGTGTTGGGCTGCAGAGAGGGATGTGGTTGGTGGTGGTATGGTGCAGGGTTGAGCAACGCAGGGTCAAAGCCTTGACTACGCTGCGGCATCGGCTCGGCGACGAAGCCATTTGGATTCCCTCCACCGAATTGCCCTTGCGATTGTTGCGGGAAGCCATTGGCGTACGCGCCATGTTGAGTGTAGGCATTCTCCATTGGGAACGAGGGCTGCCCATACTGTCCCTGGGGCTGACGGAGTTGGTCGTACGGTAGACCCTGCGAAGGGAACGCAGAACCATCGAAGCCGCCTTGCTGCTGATACGGCTGACCTTGCTGGAACGGTTGGCCATGGTTGGGATACGCCTGCTGAGCCTGCACCTGAGGACCCATATCGTAGGGAACAGGTGTGACCTTCCCCTCTCCCTCATTCGCAAAGCGAACACCGTGCGCCGTAGGAGCCGGCAGCATGTTCAGTTCGTCCGGACTATCTTCCCGCGTCCGCGCCCTCTTGCTGCTGTGCTCCGAGCCATCCTCCTGCGCGCCAACCTCCGCACTGTTGCGCGCCCGCTTCAGCCGCCGCTCAAGCTGCACCGGGTCCGTGATTTCCACCTCCGGCTGCAGTCCGTTCGCGCGAGCGCTACTCCGACGCGGAGGCGTCGACAGCTTCTCTTGCTCCGCCCTCTCCTTGTCCTCTCGCTCCTTGCTCGCCCTGCGCTCCTCCTTTCGCCGCTGCCTCTCGCGCGCTGCCATACGCTCGCACTCCATACGGAAGGACGGCTCGAACTCCTGGATGCTGACCTCCGTAGCGGTGTACATGGCTTGAGCCTTGTGTAACCGCTCCAGGTCTTCATGCTGACGGACGTCCGCGTTGTGTACGATACGGCCAACGTCGTCGAGGAAGTCCTGCGGCGTGAGATAACGCCCGCGGTAAAGCTCCGTGTGCATTCGCTCGAGGTCGATGTCGTAGAGGCGAGGTGGAGGCGGCGGAGGCGGAGGCGGAGCAGGTTGTTGCTGCTCAACGATGCCTTCCATGCCATTTGTTGCGGTGGTCTGCACTTCTTCGCGCTGCTCTGTAACCTCGATGACACCGTTGGGGTGCTGATGGACCTCAACGCTCTGCTCGACCTGCTGCTGCACTGGCTGCGGTGCTGGCTGAGGGGGCTGCGCATCAAAGTCGTACTCGTCCTACGCTTGCTATCAGTATGATCATTGAAAAGATGAACGAAAACCAACATACTGTCGCCCGCTTCGTAAACCTCTTGAACTTCCGCTTGAGCTGAATCAGGATGGGGTCCAGCCTGTATTTCAACAGGGAGATGACCCTGTTGTCGTTCTCCAGCTGCATCCTCAGCTCAGCCTCGGTCGGCTTCCTCGGCTCTAGCGGCGGCGCAATCGGCAACTCCTCCAGCACCCGCTTCTTCCGCTTTACACCATCGGCGAACTTGTGTGGCGGACGGCGAATGTCCTCGAGCAAAGGCGCGAAGAAGGCGGTACGTTCGTCTGGTCCAGGCGTGGACAGCTCGATGCGGAACTCCTTCGCAGGCCCGAACCACTCGCGCACTTCGCGCGGCACGGACTTCCACTTGCCGTCCATGACGCCCAAGAGCAAGATGGGGTCGTTGGGCGACAGTGTGTCCAGCATAGCGCGCACAGTGGACTTCGCCGTGTCGGAGACGGCAGAGGACCAGACTTCGAGCGAGGGTATGTAGATGACCGAGGGTTGATGGCGTTTCGCCTCAACGAAGAGTTGAACGATGGCGGCTTCGACAGTCTGCGCTGAGGTCAGTGAAAGGCCCCAAAGAGCAAATCAAGTAACATACCCGAGTGGAGTCACTGAGTAGCGAACCCAGTTCAAGGCTCTGCACGTTGTAGCCCTCGAGATGATGCAGAGCTGCGGCGCCGATATACCGTTGACCCATACCAGGTTGCCCGTACACGATGACCCGCGGCCGATGCAGTCGTAGAGTTTGCATGGCTGCAAGCCTGTTAGTAAAAATGCAACATGAGACAACCCGCAACTCACATTGCATATTCATCTCCCGCTCCAGGTCACCCTCTTCGCCAAGGTAATCCTCGTACTCCGCCTCCTCCAGAGCACTCGTCTTCTTGTCCAAAGGCATCGCCTTCGTAATCGCACCTTTCACCTTGTCCAGCGCACCGCCAAGCAACGGGGTGAACTGCGCAGGCAAAGGTTGCGCAACCGAAGCCGATGAACGTTGTGACGACGGTACGATCTCTGCGACTTTGCGTCAGTATACCGCAGTCTCCCTCCAATGACCGAACCCACTCTTGATCGAAAGCATGAAATCTCTTAACCCCACCCGTATCTCATCCGGCTTGAGCAACAACCGGTCCTTCGTCTTGTAGATCTGCGGGTACTTCCGCTGAATCGCATTCAACGCCGCCTCCGTGCACAGCGCACGCAGGTCCGCGCCGCCATAGCCCTTCGTCAGCTTCGCCAGACCTGCAAGGCGCTCCTTGCCCTCCTCGCCATCCCAGCCCTTCCACTCCCTGGTCATGATGCTGAGGATCTTCTCCCGCGCTTCCAACCCCGGCAAGGGGAAGTAGAATTCGCGATCGAAGCGTCCTGGTCTCCGAAGCGCAGGGTCAAGCGCATCCGGGCGGTTAGTTGCGCCGATGACGACGATCTGGCCGCGCCCGTCCATACCGTCGAGCAGGGCGAGCAACGTGCTGACAATGGACGCATGAATCTGGTCTTGCTTCGACGACCGAACGGGCGCCAGGCCGTCGATCTCGTCGAAGAAGATGATGGATGGTTGGGTGTTCTTCGCCTCCTCAAAGAGCAAACGGAGTTGACGTTCGGCCTCACCGACCCATTTGGACAGGATGTCGGCGCCCTTGCGCATGTAGAAGGTGATTTGGCGATCGCCGGTGCGACTGCTGGCGGCGAGAGCGCGGGCGAGGAGGGTCTTTCCGGTGCCGGGAGGACCATGGAAGAGGACACCGCGGGGAGGGGTGACTTTGAATTGTTGGAAGACTTCGGGGTACAGGAGCGGGAGGAGAGTCATCTCCTTGAGCGAATGGATGTCTAGATGAAAATGAGATGGACGCATATATAGAGAGAATTGTGCACGCACGTTCATCGAGACCGCCAACTTCGTCGAAGGTCACGTTCTGGTTGACACCAAGGGGATCCGCATCCGCGAGGGCTGAGAACAATCAGCATGCAGTTTGTAAGGTCAAGTCGGGAACACACCTGCATCCCCCACTTTCCCAAAGTTTGACGGGGTACCTGCTGCCAGATCGGCTGGCAAGTATCCTCCGCTCGTCCCGGCAACGGCAGCACTGCCGAAGGATCCCGCTGGCGCTGCAGCGCCGAAGCGCTTGCCTGGTGTTCTCGTAGGGTTGTCGGAATCCTATCTGTGCTGTAAGTATATGACGCATATATACAGGTCATCAACGCACCGAATCGTCCCCGCCCATACCCATCCACCTCCCAAGCTCAGCGCCCGTCGCACTCCATCCAAGACCCTTGGGCTTGGGCCTGTTCCTCCGATACGTGTCGCGGTTGGCGTTTCTCGGGGGTGGACGCGGTAGCTCTTCGAGTGGTGGTGGGATGGCGTAGTTGATCCTTTGTCGTTGACGTAGTGAATATGTCCGTCCATTCGACTCGTCCTCTTCGTCGTCGTCTTTCTCGGGATGATCGACCATGTCGATGTGCAAGTCCTCTGGTCCATCCTCCATGTCGATGTCGCCCTCCGCGTCAGCTGACGTGGGTGAGGTGGGCTGGTCCATGTAGTCGTGATCGCGATTCTGGCTACGTCGCGCGGCGCGTGCAGCACGACCAGCAGCCGTATTCGGACGCGCCGGAGGCTGTTTGGCCGCGGTCCCATTCGCGCGCGCCGGCCGCGGTGGCGGCTTGCGCGACCGCATGTTGTACCGGCCGTGTTGACCCTCGTCATCGTGCTCCTCGCTGTCCGAGACAATGAAGTTCGACATCTGCCGGCTCGCAGCAGCGCGGCGCGTCTGATAGCGGCGCGGGGGCCCGTCATCCTCATCGTTATCGTCCTGCACTTGACGCGACTTGGCGCGCGTGCTGCGGCGCGACGACGTGCTCGCGTCGTTCGCGAAGAGATCGCCCGCAGCCTGGGGCGCGTCGTCCATGGCCTCTCCATCGCTGCTCTCGACGACCTTGCGCCGCAGAATTCGTCGGCCACGGGAGGACTGGTATGCTTCGACCTCGGGCTCCGGCTCGCGGAAGTCGTCCTCATCGTCGGGCTCCTGCTTTGTTGTGCGGCGCGCCGACGCGCGCGTCTTGTTCGTCGGTGGTGGGGATGTAGCTTCGTCGTCGTCCTCGCCAACAGCGTCAACTTCGCCCTCGGCATCGTCCTCATACTCAGAGCCTGAGGCGTTGACACTGCCAGATGCGCCGCGGTTGCGCGTCGAGCGTCGGAGTGAATGGGCCATGACACTTGATGGGGGGAGCTTGATCGTTAGTCGACCGGGCGTCGGCGCGGGCTCGTGTGTTGGCTGTTGTTGTTGTGGGGTTCCCGGCGCGGTATTCGGGGTAGAGTCGTGGAAGAGCAAGGCAGGGTCCACGGGCACAGGCGCGCCAGTATCGCTCATCAAGTAGCCTGTAGCGTCCGCGGGGTCGCCGACGCTGTCGAGAACGTTGGTGGCAAGAGTATATGCCACGAAGTCGCGGCTGGGCTTTGTGCTCGCCGTCGGGCTCAGTCCTGAGCTTTGTTTGCCAAGGCGTGAAGCGGTCAAAGCGTGGGTGCACAGCCACTATTTGTCATTGTTGTCCCCCACTTCGCCCGCGCCCTCTCCCCATCGACATCCGCCCGTCGTCCTTCCCGCCGTCCTTCGCTGCGATCTGGAGTCTGGAGGTGGTGGAGGAAGTGTGGAAACGCAAGACATGACCGAATACCGTCGAAAAAATCAGCGAAAATGGGAAAAAGACGATGTGCGATGTGAAGGATGTATCTTCCAACCACTCCTCGTCGTGGTTCCGGAGAGAAAAAGTGCTCTTCTCTGCGCACATCGCGCGCACACCTTGCGGCGGAAGTTCCGGCAAATGCCGATTGCGGTCGTCGTGTCAGCACGTGACCTGCATGGCGGGCGTCGAAGTTCACCGAGATGAGGATGCAGCAGTAGAGGTAGTCAGAAGATGTCGAAGGACAGAGGTTACTTGAGATACAAAGAAGAATGGTCTATACGTAGTATGCCTTATATTATGCGCCCCTCCTCTTGCAGAGACACAGACATAGCCCAGCCCCCGCTCACGCCTTCGGCGGAGGCGCCTTCAGCACGCACTCTCGCACAAAATACTCGTGAAACCGATCGTCAGCAGTCAGCTCGGGGTGGAACGTCGTCAGAAGGTGCAGCCCTTGGCGCAGTGCCACGATCGCCTTCGGGTCAGCCGGGTCGTCGGACGCAAGCGACGGTGGGAGGAGACCAGGTGGCAGTCTGGCGACAACCTGCACGGGAGGATCGTTTGGGGAGGGATCGATCTTGAGCACGACCTAATACAAAAGTCAGGTGAGGAAAGAGAAAGGCGAGGGGAGTAGACGTTCGTACCGGAGCACGGATGAAAACTCCAGTGAACGGCTCGTCGGGATCGCGCAGGCCTTCAACCTGCAACCGTGCCTCAAAGCTCTCAACCTTTGCAGACAGGTCAGTCAGCTGGGTCTTCGTACCCGCAAGGATGGGTCAGGGCGCACCTGTGATCCCCAGCCATTCCTCGCGATCGTGATCGACATCCCACCGAGCACCTCCTGTCCACCCTTCTTCGTGTTCTCCACCGACTGCGACAGTAATATCGCACCTGCGCATGTCCCCCAGACCGGCTTCCTCGTCCTAAACTCGCGGAGTGGCTCGAGAAGACCCTCGAGGCGGGCAAGTAGGGCGATCGTGGTCGACTCTATTCGGATGGGTGCAACACATCGTCAGTACACGCAGACACATTCGCGATAGAGCATACGACGCACCTCCGCCAGGTATAATCAGCGCGTCGCAGCGGTCCAGCTCCTCACGCGTCCGGACCTGGAGTACGGTGATCCTACGCTTCAGCCGCAACCGCTGCAACGCCTTCTCATGTTCTACAAAAGCACCCTGCAGCGCTATCCCACGACTCATTAGCGACACCCACCTCCACACTAGACGGAGAACTCACCTAAGATGCCAATAGTAACATCCTTGAGGTTTTCCACAGCCATTACAGGTCGCGAATCCAGGGGTTGACAGAGTCCGTCGTAGTCGCCCAAGATAAACCAGGAAAACCCCGTTATTCAGCTTCGGCCGGGAGGGGCAAGTCGGAGATCCGAGTCATCTCTGAAGCGGAAGCTGACTGGCAGCCCAGGGACAGCTTTTCCGGGCGGAGGAGGGCATTTTTGCGATGCTGCCGCAGCGCAGACATCGTGGGGAGAGGTCAAGAAGGAAGACAGCCTTCCGGCAGCGCACCGGCAATTCGATGGCAATGCGCGCACTCCGGCAGGCAAAGCCATCACGTGATCTTTTCGTCACTGTTCGTCACAAGGAGTTCTTACCGCTCTCACTGCTCTCTACTGCTGCTCTTCTGGATCGCAGGCAGCCCAAACAGACTTAGAGCCTCTTGGTTTCATATTCTGCATCTTCAATGCATGCAGGCGCTATTGCTGGCGAGGCGTAGTTGCTGTACAGCAGCTCACTTATCGTGCTCAAGCTTTCCCACTGCTTTCCTATTTGCTTCGCCGTCTGAAGTCATCCGCCCTCCGCCTACGGCATCGAGAAAGATAGGCAGGTGCGGCCGTTCTCCCAAGAACATACGAGGAGTCGTGCGTCTTTGCTGCGCTCAGCCTTAAACGTCACCGTTAAGGAACGAAATAAGCGCCCGAGCCACGTGGATCACTGATCGTGCCACAATGATCGACGTGTCTGGCGCCTTGACTTCGAACTTTTGCCTCAACTTCGCGTGCAATCCATGACTTACCTCAATGCAGCATCCCTCCTGCCGCCTGAATTAGTAATCCCAGCCTCAATGTGTCGATTTCCGGCCTGTATCCTCTCCTTCGAGTCATCCCCGGTTCACCAAGCAACCGCATGTTATGAAATTTTCCTTGAGCGGAGGCGGACTGTTCGGCAACCGCTGCCTCCCCAACGCCCACACCCATCAGATAAAGGTCCGCCCGGCTGCCAAGCTCCGCCCGACCCAGCATATAAAGCAACCCTCGTACTATCCCTCCCCATTCGTAGACCTTCCCCTCATAGACCATAGACCCCTCGCGCCGCAATGTCACCTTCTATAGATATTCACACCTCCCAGCCCGCACCCGCCTCTACGCATGCGCCTGTGAAGGCTGCGGCCCCTACGCTGAGCGCAGAGGAGGCGTTGCGCGCGAAGTTTATGCACCTCGAGCATCACATCAACAGTCTGAGCCGGCAACGCGCGCCGAGTCCTCTGAAGGACATCCTCCAGTTCATGCGCTTGGATGGCATGATCAGTCTTGCTGGAGGTAAGGTTGAGGCGCCAGCGCGTCTGGGATATGTGGCTGACCCTTCCACTCAGGTCTCCCTCATCCGAGTCTGTTCCCCTTCGACTCGGTCCATGTCTCGACGTATGACTCTTCGATGCGTATGGCTGAGAACCCTACCGACATTGCCAAGGTAGACGTCTGCGTCGAAAAGCAGCCCGGTCACAGCACCGACCTCGCCACAGCCCTTCAGTACGGTAAGTCGCCGCAGTGCTTCTTTTGTGGCGCACATACTCACATAATCTCTTAGGCCCGTTCAATGGCATCAAGCCACTCATGGACTGGATGACGACGTTCATTGAGCGCGCCTTCCACCCTGGATACCCCGAGTGGCAAATCATCATGGACAGCGGCAGCACAGACGGCTGGGCCAAGGTTGCCAACCTCCTGCTTGAAGACGGCGACACGATGCTCGTCGAGCAGCACACCTACCCGTCAGGACAGGCTCTTTGGATACCCATGGGCGTCACCGCGGTTCCCATTGACATGGACCTGGACGGCTTGATCCCCGAAGCGCTTGCGCGGACTTTGGACACGTGGGAAGCAGAACGCCCACAACAGCGTAAGCCCAAGGTCCTCTACTGTGTTCCTGTCGGTCAGAACCCGGTATGTGGTCTCTCTGTCCGTCTGCACCAGGGTCCCAATGCTTATGCTTATTTCCAGACTGGCTCTACCCTGACCGCTGCGCGCAAGCAGGCAATCTACGACATCTGCGTCCGACATGACATCGTCATCGTCGAAGACGACCCATACTACTTCCTGCAGCTCCCTACCTACCGTCCCAACAGCAAGCACGCCCTTCCTCCCCCATCCGACCCCTCCGCCTTCCTCGCCGAGTTGGTGCCCCCCTTCCTTCACTACGACCGCGACGGGCGCGTCATCCGCCTCGAGACCGTCAGCAAGACCGTCGCTCCCGGCTTCCGCACCGGCTTCATCATTTGCAACCCACTCTTCCACGAGCGCCTCGCGCGCGCGACGGAGGTCACCACCCAGGCACCCTCCGGCTGGTCGCAGGCCATCCTCTGCGAGCTCCTCCACACCTGGGGGCACGACGGCTACATCCGCTGGCTCGCGGGCATCCGCGAGACGTACGCTGTGCGCCGTGACTGGATCTGCGACAGCATCGCGTCGCACTTCGACGTCGATTGGGACGATGTGACCGCGGATGGTGTCGCTGTGTACGCGCAGAACAGTAATCGGGCGAACCTGTTGTTCCGCTTCGTCCCGCCTGCGGCGGGCATGTTCGTCTGGCTCAAGCTCGATCTTAGCAGCCACCCCACGTATCGCCGGCTATGCGCGGCGGGCGCCCCCGCGGCCGAGGATGCATGGGCAGCGGCTTTCTGGCGCGAGCTCGTCGCGGCGCGTGTGCTTCTGACGCCGGGCACGTACTACAAGCCGTGGCAGGGGACTTCGGTTGCAGACGCGCCGGCCGCGCCTGGACATGCATTCTTCCGACTCGCCTTCTCCAGCACACCTCGGGAGGAGCTGGACGAGGGCATCCGCCGCATGGCGGACGTCTTCAGCGCGAGCTGGGCGTCAGCTTAGAATGCGAAAACTGGGGTGGCGCCTTAGTAAACTGAGTACCGTCTGCCACCAGCGACTGTGAGGTATGGACTCGCAACCCTCAGATATCCGTGTATTATCATTATTGTCATGCAAGTCTTGTATTCGTTAGATATATCTAGAGTGCCCTATACACAGGTTGACTTTCCGATTCACCGGAGAAGTGACGATTGGGCCTTGGGGAATTGAAGTATGTTGGCCTCAGTCTGCCAGTGAGCCATGGCCAGTTCACGCATTGGGGCCGTCTCGACGTGGCATCAGTCCTTGAAGGCATCTATGATAGCTTCTTCAAGAGTTCCAGCTCATTTTCATGCAACTGTCAGCATGAGGAGACAGTGAAATATCGGGCGCGTGACGAGCATCGCACAGAATCAGAACTGTATCACGATCACGTGAATGTTGAACTTGGTACTTACCCATCACGTGGACATCCGAGTCCCACGCGCCAAATTCGGACAATTGCTCCTTGACTGCGAACCAGCATCATCTTCGGAAAGTGCCAGGAAGCTGAACTGACTCTGCTCGCTACGTCAACCTCTTACGGGTCGTCAGAGCGGCGGCATCGTGTTTTCTTTGCATTCGTATTTCTGCACATGTCCCAACCTACGACGCCAGTCCTCGAGCGCGGCGTGCTTGCACCTCCGATACGCCGTTCCGCTCGTCTCCAGCAAAAAAACCCTGTCAATCCCACAGAGACCGTTGACTCCCAGCCGCGACGCAAGAGGAAGAATCCTGCGTCGCAGGACGCTGTCTCTAGCAATGACGAATACGATAGCACTGCGCCTCCTAAGCGAATGCGGACGACACAACCGGGAGAGAACGAATGCTCCCCAGCAATTGATAAGGTGTGGAAAGTCACTATATACCTAATTCCAGCCGCTCAACCGTTGTAGCCCACCGCGGCGTCACCATCCACCAGCGTCAATACTGCTCTAGAAAGGCCCAAAGCAAGAGGCCCTAAGCCCGGCGTACAGTTTGCGGACGGCGAGCCTCTGGAACCGGTGACTGACGAGGTGGACCCAGATGAGGCGCCCGCTACAGCTGCGGCCGCGGCAGTGACGGTCGAATATCTCGCTAGCCGATCCAACGACTCTTGGACCGACATCAAGAAGATGCCTTGTCCTCCAGAGGCGAGGCCATATCTTCAGCCAACCTATACACGCGATCGCAAAGGCCGTGTACTCGCCCGCTACCCCGTCCATTTTGCCCTCGTCTATGCGTTCGAAGTGGAAGCCCTCTACCGTCACCTCAAATCCCGCCGACGAAAGTATCGGAACCTTGACATGACTGCCGGTCTGCATGTCTTCGCCCAAGAGGTGTACGCCGCATTGCGGCTAGACTTTGGGGACGGGATAACTCACAGCACACTCGACGACAAGCTCGTCTACACCTTCGTCATGTCGGTGTCAAATCGCCCGGAGACGCTCCCATATCCTGCAGCTCGTCTACGCAAGTTTCAGGAAATCATCGACTTGCAAAAGCCACCGACCGTCTTAGCATTTCGTCCTAGGCCTGTGAGTCAGCATCTTTTCGGATACACTCCGACGACTGACGTTCTCTCAGCATCGTGTCCGGTGCCGCTAAGATACCTGCCCAACGTCTTCCTCGCAACCTATCTCTCCCATCTATACTTACATTTTCTACTTTGATAACATGCATCTCCCGGGATCTCGTCGCCCATGTGCCGAGTCAACAATGGACGTTCTCCGACTGTCGTGGTGCAGCGGTCTCCTAAGTCTGACGGCCAAAAAAAATTTGACTACTTGTTCATGCACGAGCCGACTACTTGGAATCACGCTGCCCGTGCACAGCGTGCTCGTCCTTCGCGCAAGTCCACGTTCCTCGGGCGACCCTCGTAGTGGTTACGAAGCTCTGAATGATGTAGGACTTTACGAGCTTCAGAATGTGAGGATCATGTTCGATATGGCGCGCATCGCACAGGGGCTATATCCGGGCGAGTGGTAGCGAAAACAGGCGCAAAAGGGATCTTTCACGCGTATATTTTGCCGTGAGGGTATTGAGTCGCTCAAAGAGTCAAAGCAACACTTCCAAGTTAACATAGCGAGCGCCGTCTTGCGAGGAAGCCAATGGACTTCATGACATCTTCCGCCTTGCCTGCTGCACCGCAGATGTGACGAGATCATGTGACTGTCGCGTGGCGAAATTCGTCACTTCGCGCCTTGACCGCAACCACCATCTCGACTTGCAAAGGGCACGTTCTGGCTCATCTCCTGGTACTCAAAGGGACTATACTGTGCTACGATATCTTCTTTCTCTCTTATCCCTGACCTTGGATATGCCTCACGGCCGCCGGGACGAGCCCGCACTCCCAATACGCCGCTCTGCTCGGATACAGGCACAGCAAAACGTGTCGCAGACAACAATCGAAAATCGAACACCGCAGCTCAAGAGAAGAACTCGTGCATTACCAGAGATCAACACTGACAGCGGGAACGCCGAGGGCGACCGGTGTCACAAGCGAAATCTGAAGGCCAAGAGCGACGACGAAGGCTCTTCTTCGGTGCATCAGAAGGTACGCAAGGCCGTATGCGCGTGTGAAACGTCGCCCATATAATATAGATTGCTGCATTGTCGCCACATGAGGACATCGACACTACTACAGCGAAGCCAAAGGGCAAGTGCGCCAAACGTTGTGTACGGTTTGCGGATGGGGAGCCCCTGGCACCGGTGACCGACGATGTGGCCCCAGATGAAGCGTCCGCCAAAGCGGCTGCCGCGGCAGTAACGATCGAATATCTTGCCAGCCGACCCAACGAGTCCTGGAGCAACATCAAGGAGATGCCGATTCCTCCAGAGGCCCTCCCGCATCTCGAGCCCGCTATTACGCGGGATCGCAAAGGGCGACTGCTAGCGCGCTACTCCATTCGTTATGCCCTCGTCTTCTCATTCGATGTGGAAGCCCTTCACCGCCATCTCCAGCGCCGTAGGCCGAAGTATCGACGCCTCGATCTGTCACTCGCTATGCATGCCCTCGTTGCCGAGCTGCAATCCGAGCTGGGCATCAAGTTTGGGGATGGGATCGCATACAGCACGGTCGACGATAAACTCGTCTATACCTTCTTCATGTCGAAGTCGAATCGTCCGGAGACGTTGCCATATCCTGTGGCTCGTATTCGTAAATTCCAGGAAATCATCAATCACCCGATTACCCCTCTTATAGTAGCAAACCGTCCCCGAGCTGTGAGTCCCATCTTCTCATCGAACGCGCCTCGACAACTGACGTATCCTCTCAGCACCGTGTTCGCCGATGAGATGTCTGCCGATCGTTACGTCCGCGCCGTCCCTCATCCACTTGTAAACTCATGTTCCATCTTGTCCTTGACCAGGCTTTACAAAGCATCTTGCTATGTCTGTGTATCGAATGACCGTCAACCCGCAAGAGCATGAGCCCATCTTCGTTTCTTTTTTCGCCGGCGACTATCAACTCCGTATGTTGAGGCAATACGCCATACGCAGATAGCAACTATAATCTAACGTAGTGAGCCCGACCAATCACGGATGTGAGACAATGTTAGGGGGTGTATCAGGAAGAAAAATGGAAGGCCAACGTGGGGACAATGACCTGTGATTGCTTTCTTGCATTGTGGGCTAAGCGCCCCTATTGTCCTCGCTTGCCCTACGAGTCATATCGACACGACCCATAGCATGGAACCGGACACACATCTCAATCAATCGATTTGGCCGCGGAACCGCAGTGTCAGTCAGGGTCCAGTGTACGGTGTTGGCCTCGAGGCTTACCATATGTTTACTCATATTTACGCTATCGAGGCTGATCTGCTTCCGACCGCATCAAAGGAATCGACTTTGGCGAGGCACTGGCTCCCTTTAACCGTATTGTCCATTGTCCTCACATCCTCGTGCAGTTATACTGCGTTGTCGGAGGATCTTGGTTGCGCGCAAGCTCCGCCAGGCCATAGCAACGTGGTGGCGGCTGTGCGCAGCTCACATGGAATAACCCCATTAAGCACAACAGGGTGGCCTTCGGGCGCGGCGCTATAAAAGTGCGGCCGGCCCTCGAGCGAATCGAGATTAGCCCACATCTCCTCTTCTCCTGTGCTCTCATGCGATGGCTTCCAAGTTGCCGCCGCCCCGCATTCCGAAACTCGAAGATGAACACTTAAAGCTGGAGCAAGCCCGCCTTATCGCATTCACATACCTCGGAAACCCTACGAACTACGAGAGCTCCACTTATGCGTTCTGGATCCAGTTCTGGCGCATCATGTCATTTTACACCGATGTACCTTGCCTGCCGTCCGCTCAGCACGCTGTTTTCGGGCTGAAGGCTCACGAGGTCGACAACATCACCCAGCAACTGTCCTTCGGCATCCCTGGAATGGTCCAACAGCATACGACGAGACAGGCGGACACGAAAAATGCCCCAAGTAAGTGACTCCCTTATCCTCCACCCCCAAACCTATGGAATTTAACCTGGACGCTCAACAGAAGCTTCCGAACCCGCAGGAGGCGATGCCCCCGTACCCGATGGTGACACCCCCGCCCCCGACGCCGCAGAGCCTCGAGAAGACACCTCTGAATGCGACGCAGATCCGTTCGAGGGGCAAGCTAGTCCATCTGCTGAGGAAGATGGCGACCTCGAATCCGAACCCGAGGCCATTGCCCCAGAAGATATCGACGCTTCCGAACCTGAAGGTGATGGGATGGATGAACTTCAGGCGGTCGAAGCATCCTGGACTGAGCATGCTGGTGCCTGGAAGGCCAATTCCAAGGTGCGTACTCTCGCAAGAGACTCATACCTTCTAATACTAACCATCCCTTTAGTCCGAAGGCGAGGCACCCGAGAGACCTCGAAGCTCGGCGTCCGAGAATCGTTCCGCGCCCAGCAATGACAGTCCTTCCGCCGTGTCATCATCCAGCACAGCGCAGCACACCGAGCCTGGCTCTTACACCACGCAAAGGATTCCGGATACTTGCCTGTTGATCCCTTATACCCCGAACCTCACGCGCAAGGCAGCTCGCCAACTCATGAAAGCCCGTACAAAGCCCCGGCCTAAGGGTTCGACGTCAGCATCACGCGTCAAAAAAACCACACCGGCAGCGTCGTCGGAATTACCACATGAGAACTCTGTGCGAAAACATATACTCACTTGGTTGCGCCGCATCAACAAACTATCGCCTAGGGCTGATCAGCTGAGAAAGCAGTTCTGCCGAAACCCCATGCCTATTGTCAGGATACAAGGCCTGCACAAGGGTATCACGCTCTTCATCCCCGTGCTTGCTGAGCATAAAGGAGGGCCTGGGCGTACCGAAGGGGACGAGGAATACGACAAGTTAATCGACGGGATCGAAGAGGAGGCCCAGCTTGGTGCAGCTGATCAGGTGAGTACTTTGCACATTGGCCTCTATACAAGTCAAAACTGACAGCCGCCATCATCGTAGGGGCGCGTTTTTCTCCATAACCGCGAGTACTTTGGCTACCAGGATGAAGTCCTGCTGATTGCCACCGTGAACGACTGGTACTCCCACACCACGATGCGGCGCGTAGAAGAGGATGGAATGTTCAAGGTGCAAATGGAGCCTTGGTCACGCAGAGTCCTTGTCGGGTCGGACCCTTCCAAGAAGCGCGAAGCCGCTATCATCGCTTGGATCAATGAGAAGTTTGGTCCTGACCGGCTCGCGGAGATGGCCATGCTGCAGAAGACCGACCACGAGGAACATATTCCTCCTACTGTCTCTGACGATGAGCCTGAGCCTGATCATGGGAAGGATGCCGATTACCTTCCGACGGTGAACATTCGCGGGCGTTTCTTCAGGCCGCGGAAGGACACGACGGCGTAGATAGGCTAGTTGGGGTCCGGACGTTATTTGTCATACTCGAGGTGGGTAGGCTGGGTAGGGGATGAACTTGATGCTTCTTTCCTCGAACCAATAGCGTAGTAGGAGAAATCATGCTGAATGGTATATTGCGATCGACCGAACGCTGTCAGAAGGTAACACGACTAGGTCTATTGACCTCCTGGGATCCAGAGAAAAGTCACCCACGCTATCAACGTCCCTAATGAGAGCATTGAGGCATTAGTACTGTGAGCTATCTTACATGGAACGACGAGGAAGAGGTGTGACTAATCTCAGTCACGTGAGGGTTCGTGGGAGTTTTGATCGAGGTTGGCAAGAGCGCGCTTATCCACTGACCTTCCATTACCGCGTTCCTTCACACGTCGTCTCCGAATATGCCTCGGCGCGCGGCCCACACGCTCAGAGAGAACACCTCTGCACTTCCTGCTCGCCGCTCGGCCCGCATAAAGGCGCAAGGCGCACCAATCAACCTTGACGCTTCTGGGACGCGACCCAGCAGTGAGAATCGTGTAACGCGAAAGGTTGCTCCAGAGACCGAGGACGCCGAGAGCGCAGCCTCTCGCAAGCGAAAACGGATGGACGCAAAGAATGAAGAGGAGTCTACCACAGTGGCGAAAAAAGTGCGTGTGCTTGTGTCCTGACGTTGGATATGTCGCTTATGACCTTAAGGTTACCACATCCCCGCCATCAGGTCGAGTTGAGGCTACTACCAAGAAGACGAGCGAAGATGGCACGAAGCGAGGCGTGCGCTTTGCGGATGGCGAGCCCCTGGCGCCGGTCACCGACGAGGTGGACCTAGATGAAGCGCCCGCTAAAGCGGCTGCTGCGGCAGTGACAGTCGAATATCTTGCTAGTCGACCCAACGACTCCTGGACTGATATCAAGAAGATGCCGATCCCACCAGAGGCAGAACCGCACCTCGACCCAACCTACACGCGCGATCGGAAAGGCCGTCTAGTGGCGCACTACCCCGTCTATTTCGCCCTCGTCTTCTCGTTCGAGGTGGAGTCTCTCTACCGCCACCTCAAGCGTTGCCGTCAGAAGTACCGAGATCTCGATATGGGTGTCGCGCTGCATGTCCTCATCCAGGAGGTGTATGCGGCGTTACGGATCGATTTCGGGGCCGGGATTACGCACAGCCCGCTCAACGGCAAGCTCGTTTACACCTTCATCATGTCTCTATCCGATCGTCCGGAGACCCTTCCATATCCTGCAGCCCGCATCTGCAGATTTCAGGAGATCGTTGGCTACAAGAAGCCACCGACCATCTTGGCTTTTCGTCCCAAGGCGGTGAGTGATCAACTTCTCGACTGTATCCCCCACGATTGACGTATTCTCGCAGCATCGGGTCCGCAAGTAGAGGGTCTGCGGTCATCTTGCTGTACCTTCATAACTGTATTATAACATGCGTTTCACGGAGTTTGCTGCGCGAGTAAACATCAGTCGTTCGTGTCCTAGTGTCACTGGAATGACCCAACAAATGCTTGCCATCCCGCCCATAAAGCGTTGACTCTCAGACTTCGGATGACGTCCGCCTTTCTACAGCTGCAATGGATGTCAATTGTCTTGTTGCACCAATGCCACCACTGCGCTTGTCTTTGAAGGCGCCACGATGTTCGAGGGTGGCACGAGGAGAGTTGAGGATGCACCACACGTGCGCTCTACAAGCAGGTCTTGCCATCAGACCGCAACGAATTGCGCGTCAAGAGCGTTCATGACGAGGGTGTCCATTGTTCTGTAAGTAGCTGTAAGATCGTGGCACTCTGATCCTCTTCACCATGGCATACAAGCGAAACCGCGATACATTATTGTCATTGCTAAGTATATTGGCCCACAGTAAGAGGCCGAATTTACGAGTGGAGAGGTACGAGCAAGTCGACTACAAAGCTTTAAATACGCGCACGACACCAAAGTCGTGACACCAACACATCGTCCAGCGTCCATGTCGATGTGATGTGTATACATTTGCCATACGGAGACCAGGCCATACCTGGTCTGGTGCACCCGAGGGTGGAATAGATGCTGCTGCCAACCCACGAGGATCCTCCCTTGCAAGAGGCATGGTGACCGAGCTCAACGAGCGTACGGGTGGAAGTTGTGCTGGCCGCGCGCCTGCCTCTGTGGTCCGACGCCAGGCCCGCCACCCATATTCCGCGGCCCCCGCGGAACGCCCGCCATACTATGGCTCCCTCCCCTCGCCATACCCCCACGACCCATCCCGCCGCCCGCGCCCATCCCACCCGCGCCAGCACCCACCGCCCCCGCGCCCATCCCGGCGCCCATTCCCGCACCAGCCCCCATGCCCATCCCCGCACCCATCGCCCCCATGCCCGCGCCCGGCATCCCCATGCCCATGCCACCAGCGGCGCCCATGCTGCCACCCATGGTGACGGGCGAGATGTGCGAGAGCATGCGGGTGTAGAGGTTGGCGAGCGTCTGCGGGTCGAAGGGTTGTTGCTGTTGTTGTTGGGGCACGCCGCCGAAGCCGCCTTGCATGCCCATGCCGGCGCCGGGGAGGGCGTTGGCGCCGCGGGCGTAGTAGGCACCGTTCTCTTCTTGCATCTGTTCGCGCTGGTGCCGTGGCTGGGCTAGCTTGACGTCGATCTGAGGCAGAAGTCAGGACGAGGGAGAGGAGACGATGAGCATGTTGCGCACCAGCTTCCCGTCGATTGCAAGGTTCCCAAAGCCGAGGAATGGCTGCACATCGGTGTCTTCGAAGGAGATGAAGCCGAAACCCTTGCTGCGGCCAGTCTCTCGGTCGAGCATGACTGTTGAGTCGATCACCTTGCCGAACTGCGAGAAGAAGGCGCGCATGCTCTCAGATGTTACACTGCCCGGGAGACCACCAATAAATAGCTTCGTTGCCCTCTGGTGTTCCTGTCGAGGTATAGCACGCTTGGGGTCGATCTTGACAAGGCCGATCAGCAAAGTCATCATTGAGCAAGCCATGGCACGCACAATCTTCCCGTCCAGTGTGTGCTCCTTCACCATGACCGCATTGACGCTCGCCGGGTCCTCGAAGGTCAGGAAAGCGAAGCAACGCGACCGGCCGGCCGCGTCGCGCATGATGGTGCACGCATCCACCTTGCCAAACTGCTCAAAGTACGCCCGAAGAGTGTCTATCCGACCGTCAGCACTGCGGTCTACTACAACAAGCGGCGCGCATTACCGTCCGTGGTGTCCCAGTTAAGACCGCCGATAAACATTTTCCTAAGCAGAGGGGACGGAGTGGGGGAGGAAGGTGACGCGGCGCATACGACACGGACGGGGCGGAGGGGCGCATATGGGGGAGAGCAAAGCATCGCATTAGTAACCGTAGGCTAGAACAGAGGGACGCTACTGTGAAGCGGGTGTGGTTAGGCTAGCCTAGAGCGTACACGACTGGACTACGCGAGTCAACTCTATTTTGCCGCCCCACCAGGATCACAGCGCTGCAGGGGGAGAGGTCGGTCAGCTGAAGACGGAACTCACCCTTCGTCTTTCATCTCCGAGGGGCGCACGCTGCGTTCAGGTGCAGCCAGTTGCGAGTACGAGTTTTCTGTCCGCGCAGGCTTGTCCCTATATTGGTCCGTTGCCTCTTCGTATGTCTGTATTTGCTGTGTTGGAGGGGCGTATGAGACTATTGGTGACTGTGTCGTTGCAGTGGGAGCAGATGTTGTAGTTTTCGTAGAAGTGTCGGGTGCCGCTGCATCCTTCGTCTTCGTGTCAGCCGCGGGCGACTCCTCCTCTTTGGTCTCGTTCAGGTCCGTTTCATCATTGCCATAGAGGTCTGCCTTTATTGAGAAAGCGCACAGTCACAAAGGAAAGGCCACGCACCACCGTAGAGGTCAGCGTCGGCAAGGTCGGCCATCGTCGTAGAAAGCAAGAGTGTAAAATGCACAAATGAGGCCTGGTGACGAATTTTCCGTTTGCCACGTTATAGCGTTTCCCACGCCTCAAAGTCCGAGGTCAGACGCCATCACAAAGCGCGATCTTTCTCATGAAAAGCGACATGCACAACGCTGCAATTCTTGCTTGACGCCTTCAAGCGATACATGAATGCGATGATAACGATACAGTGCAAGTGTCCATACGTAGAGTCCTTTCTCCGGTTGGTATCTTCTCACTCCTTCTCCTCACCCGTCCCACTCCCCTTCCCCATCGATTCTCCCGAACCCCCACTGACCACCGTCTCGGATGTAACCCGAACTCCCTCTGCCTCCTTCTTCGTCTCCTTCGTCTCCGCGCCCTTCTTCAACTCGTCCGACGCCGACCGACTCCGCCGCTCGCGTTCTCGTCCACGCCATGCATCCCCATTCACCTGCTCTCTCAGCCCGCTTCTCATCCCGCCCGCCCTGCGATCCTTCGCCTCGCCTTGCTTCTCCTTCCCTTCCTCCCTTCCCTCCGTCCTCTCCACCCCCGGCGTTCCCTGGTTGGCCATCCGCGGGCTGCGACTCTCCCCCTGCGCTACCCTCGGACTCCTCTGCGCCTTTCTCCTCGCCGCCCTCGACCCATAGCTCCGTAGACTGTTCACAATCAGGATGAAGTACACCATTCCGAGTCCAAACACCGCTGTGATGATCACGCGTGGGACGAGGGCGATGTGGATGGGCAGCGGGTCGCGCTCCTCGGGATCATCCACCGCCCCAGTACGCCAAACGAAGGAAAGGATCGTAGTGATGAACATGACCATGGACCTGATAGGCATTAGTCAACCTCGCGCAACCACTAGGACTCGCAGTAGGAGGGTTGAATGCAAGACTCACCACGACAACCATACCGCCGGCATCGCCAGCAGCACCCACACATTCCACAGAATGGCTGTCTTCGTCCTCCTTGCCTCTTCCGCCCACCTCGACGCCCTATACATACTCCGCATCGTCCCGAAGCGCACGATGTAGATGCAGCCGTACGACAGGCTCATCAGCGCGCAGATCAGCGACAGCAGCGCCGCGTTCCGCGTCACCGGGTCCGTGGCCGCGTCCGGGATCTGGAACATCGTGAGGATGGCGCTGCGAGACTTTCATCAGCTCTTCAAGTCATGCAGGTAAGGAGAAGAGGCGACGCACGAAAGCAACAACGCTGACACCAAGTTCAGCGTCTTCCACTCGCGGATGAGTGAGTCGATGAAGCCCTCCCAGTTGTTCTTAAACCTCGCGAGCGCCGGCGACACATTCGGCGGCGTCCACTCGTCCGGCAGCGGCAGCAAACGTTCAATCGCAGGCGTCACGGCCGGCCCCGGTGCTGCGAGCGGCTGCATCGATATATGTCCATGCGTATTCCCCTTCTTATCATCCTCCGCCGCGCTGCTAATCATGCGCTCGATATCGGGCCTCGACACCTCCGCATCCTGGAATATGCGCGCGACCCGCGAGAAGTAGAGCGATGGGAGCCGGAGGAGGAAGTACAGGTACAGGACTCGCGGCGCAGCATCGAGGAGCAAAGCGCGCGCCCCGCCGGGGAAGGCCTTGAACTCGGACATGGTCGTATGCGCGCAGACAGAGCAGTACGGCACGTCGTCGCCGTCGTCGATGTGCTTCGCCGCCTCAAGGTCTTCGTCCGTGCAGCATGGGAAGCAACCAAGTTTCGGCCAATGCAGGTGCGCTCGAAGAAGGAAGGGGTCGATGGGGATGAAGGGCTCCTCCTCGGCGCGATGGGCGCGGAAATTCGCCGACCACTGCTGGATGACGGTCCGTAGCGGAGACACGCCGCGCGAGTGCGAACGGGAGCGCGGCCGGTTCGCAGGCTCGGACTGCCCACCGAGGTACGGGTCGCTCCCGCGGAGGCCGCGAGACAGCGCTGCAAATCCGGTCAGCTGTTATCCGCCATCCCAGCACCACACGCACCCTGTCGCAAACTGTGCACCGTCGGCAGCGACGCCCTTTCCCCATCCGTCGACGTCCGCCGCGGAGGCGCCGTCTGCGACGCGAGCGACCCCTCCGAGGCGCTCGCCCCGCGCGGGCGCCCTCCCAGCGTCCAGCGGCCCAAACTCGGCGAGTTGGGGTACATGACGGGCGACGTGTGGTGCAAGTTGTCCGACGCCGACGAGCTCCCGAACGAGGGGAGGGAGAACGACGCGTCGAGGCTGCGCCGGAAGCCGCGAGTGGAGAACACGGGCGACTTTATGCCGCGGTTCGGGTTGGGGGAGTTGGCGGGGCTGGGGACGGGGAGAGCGGAGAGCTTGTCTGAGTATGTGAGTGGGGAGGTGTTTGGTTGCGAGTCTGGAGATTCTGGGTGGGGGTTGGTCAACAGCTCGAGGCGTAGGTCGATCGTACCTGTTGTGGGGCTGCGAACAGGTGCGATTGTCGGAGTTGGGTGAGCTGCGTATTCCGATGAGTCATTATCTCCTTTCCTTCAATCACTACACACTCACCTTGCGGACTCAATGAAGGGCTTCCAGGATCAGGATCAAAGTTGGGAGACGGAAAAGGAACAGATGGAGACGCGGGTGTTTGCCCTGCGCTCTGATTGAACCCTGGCGAAGGTGAATTGGGAAGAGACGTGGTCATGACGGGTCGTTTTCAAGGCGATTTGCGCGCATATATGCGGCTGCTTGCGCCGGGGATGGTGGTTAGCGGTCAAGAAGCGCTCCCCTCCAGTAGGCTATTGTCCGGATTTGGCAAGGGCTCGTAACGGTAGCACGTGGCGTGCGCATGACTGGCGTCACGCTTCTCAGTTGCTGCGACCAGGTTGTCTCCTGCTTCTCACTGGGTCGCTGTTCTTTTCTCCAAGTAAAAAGGTTCGAAATAAATTTTCTCTTACTGCTCTTAATTTCGATTTCAACCGTCCTCTTCCTTGAAGACGAACTTCGCAGTCACTTGGGCGTCATTTGAGACAGATTGGCTCGGATCGTTCCTCAATGCGCCACCACTTCACGATGCAAGGCCTTCCCTAGGCCTTCTCCGCCCTTCCTTCGACATCTGCCCCTCACGTCGCTTGCTATCCTCCGTCCCGCCATGACGATTGGCGGAACATCAGCCTGACGTCAATCCAAGGCTCATACCCATCCTGCTCGCCCCACTCGCGTCTCGTACTATATAATCCTCTTCTAGTTCCATCACCGACAATGCTCAGCACCATACCTCGAGCCCTCTTCAAACCCACTACTACCATTGCATCCCGCGCGCTTACTACCCACACCATGACCTCCCACAACCAAGCATTCCTCGCGCAGAACCTCTTCAACGTCGAAGGCTGGACCTGCGTCGTCACCGGCGGCGGCACGGGCATCGGCCTCATGATCGCGCAGGCCTTTGCCAACAATGGCGCCCGCGTCTTCATCACCGGCCGCCGCAAGGAGGTCATTGAGAACACCGCCCAGAAGTGGGGATCCGCGCTTGCGCACCCGAAAGGCGCGATCATCCCCGTGCAGTGCGACAACAATGACAAGGCGTCGATTTTGGAGCTCGTGGAGGCGGTGAAGAAGGAGAGCAAGTCCGTGGACGTGCTGGTGAATAACGCGGGCGTGTCCGAGGGAACGAGCACGGTGGAGAAGGGCGACGAGAGCGCGGAGGCGCTTTCGAAGGAGTTGTTCTCGGAGGAGATCTCGCAGTGGGAAAATGTGTATCGGACGAATGTTATCGGGTGCGCCTTGCGTTCGTCTTCAGCTTGCGTTGCGCCCGGCTAACAATCATCCAGCCACTTCTTCACCTCCGCCGCCTTTATCCCCCTGCTCAGCGCCGCCAACCGTTCCGGACACACCGGCACCATCATCAACATCTCCTCCATGTCCGGCATTACGCGCACCTCGCAGCATCACTTCAAGTACAACGTCTCCAAGGCCGCCGACATCCACCTCACCACGCTTCTCGCACAAGAGCTCCGCAGGAAGGCGGTCAACGTCCGCGTAAACAGTATCGCGCCAGGGATCTTTCCTTCTGAGATGACGAGTGCGTCTTATTCTTCGTGCGGCTCTGGCGATAACTGACTTGCGTGCAGCGCAAGAATCGGACGAGCTGAACAAGTCCGAGATCCCCGTTGACGAGTCGTACGGCGAGAAGAAAGGCATTCCGGCAGGCCGTCCAGGTGCGGATGAGGACATGGCGAAGGCGGCGCTAGTCCTCGCGTGCAATCAGTACGCGTACGGCCAGACCTTCTGCATCGACGGCGGCTACCTCCTGGAGCATCCGTAAAGAGCTTTCTGCAGTTTATCGCATAGATTCCACTGTATTTCTAGGCATCCAATCTTGAGATTAATGTCGCGCGGTCCTATGTGTATCATGTTGATTCCGCTTGCAAGCAGAGCAGCTAAATGCAGGCGGTTGCGCGGGCAGCCGACGGGGATACCGTTTCGTGATGTCCTTTTGTTCCGTTTCGGGTAAGTTCATCCCTCCGAATAATCACATCCCATCTTGCTTCCCACCATCATCGTCAGCTTCCTTTCGAATCTCTGAGTTTTTCGTCATGAATATCGCAGTCAACGCCGCCATGAATGTCCCAGACACTGTCCCGCCCGCGAGCGGCCCATCCTACGTGGCAAGACCTCCGCCTGGCATGAGCACGCACCTCCCGAACGCCCCACCACCTTGTCGACCATGCACGCAATGCACCTACCTCATCCCCGCCGCCGACCCGTACCGCATGTGCAAAGTCTGCCGCAAGGAGGCCAGGGAGCGCGCAAGGAAGCGGCGCATCAAAGTCTTGCGGGCGGTGTGTCTCTAAGCCTATTGCTTTCAGTCCTGGGCACTCAGGATCTGTGCGCATAGAACCCGGACTTCCCAGGCGACGCCAACCAGGAGGGCGCGATTCACCAGCATGAACACACTCTGCTTCCCCGCGGAGAGTACAGGCAGATCGAGAGCGACCAGAACGTCGATCCCAATGTCGGCAGGAAGCGTATGCGCTTGACGGAGGGCTTCACTTCCCTGCAAGGCATATCCTATGCAGACGTCCTCGGTACCGCGCAGGAGCAGAAGACTTCTCCGGATATCTTCAACACCGCGCAAGAGCACACGGGATCGGGCCAGGAGGTGCGATTGGTCTGGACGTAGATGGAGCTATATCCTGATCGCATCTATGCGCCCTTCGTAGCTTCAGAGCAACGTCGCCCCCACATATTTGACGCGAGACCTCACCAACTACACCAAAGCCGCTGGCACAAATCCAACCATACCCCTAAGATCAAACGACACCTCCAGCCTCGACGACCCCGCCATGTACCTCGGTTCCCTACTCGGGCAGACGGCAATCCACTACAAGTCTACCGACAGATCGAAGACCCCGCCGCGCTCATCTCAGCCTGTCATCGACCTCTGCTCTCCCGAAATGCCAATCGCTGCTGCTTCTGCTCCGTACCAATCGATTCCTTCTCCGGCGCAATACTCCCCCACGTCTCACGCGACGCAAGTCAGCAAAGCCCAACCTCCGATTATCAACACCGCCCCGCCGATCGACAATGCTCAGCTACTCACTCCCCTCGCGCAGCCGCATCCTTCCTACGCTCAGTCTCTCGCCCTCGACACCCAATTACCCTCCCTCAACTTCCACACGTCCGCCAACTTCGCGCCCCCAGTTCCAGAACCCACCAAGAAGAAACGCAAACCTCGCATCTACCGCCCTCGCGCTGACGCGGCCGCTCTCCAACAAAGCGCCCCTTCTCGTCAACAAAGCGTTCCACTCTCTGCGTCTCGAACGCTTGTGCCCTGCGAGCCTTCGAGACCGCCTCCAGTGCCTGCTCGTCGCGCAGTCTCGGGACCAGTCCCTCGTATGTCTGCAAAGTCGACCTCTCGCCGCTCCGCTGTTGCTTCAACACCTCGTGCGATCCCTTCGGCTCCGGCTCAGTCTCGATATCCCTGGCCGTACTGCTACTACGCGCCGAACTATGGTCAGGCGCTTACTTCAACGCCCCCCGCTACTCAGAACTCTGCCGCCCATCCTTCTGGACCTACGACTTCATTTGCCCCTACACCCTCGACTTCCGCTGCACCAAAACCCGCGGCTGCATCGTCTACGCCATCTGACAATGGTCAAGCTTCTGCCGCTCCTCTTGTTTCGCCTGCGCTTTCCTCCGCTACCATATCGACTTCGAATACCGCGTCGCCCTCGCTGTACGTCAAAACTGGCAAAACCTCTTCTCACCCCGCGCAATCCAAATCACCCCAAACTCCCGCGACCACACCCACAGCAGACTGTCCCGAAATGGACATCTTTGGCCACCTTCAAGGCGCGGCGTTAGACGAGCAGCTCATGCGCGACCTGTGCGCACTGGTGGACGGACCTTCTCCCGATACATCGATCCAGCATTCCGACGACGCATCAGCGACGCAGATTGTCCCTTCTTCGGTCATGGAAGGCATCTTGCCGGTCACTTCTGCCGCTACGCCCGGCAGAGATGGATCAGACCCTGCAGGGGACCTTGCATGGCTCGACGCCGCATCGGGCGACATGGACTCCGTCTTCGACTTCGATGTCGAAAGGGCGATCCCGGGGTGGGAAGGACAGGGTAGGCACCATCGCGTCAAATTCTTCTCGCCATACTTAACATTACAGCAGATGGCCTGAGCCTTGAATCGCTTTCGTGGGACACCACCCCATGGACAGAAACTCAATCTCAGCTGGACGACATGTTCGGCGAGAGCCAATCCTCCTCATTCCAAAATGAGGCCGTCTCCGAGCCTGCACAAATCACGAGCGACGAGTGGGCTTCACTCTTCGAAGCGCACGACCATGACGGTGGATTTGCTTTGGGGGTAGAAAGTATCTCGGCGGCGCCGGTGGATGAGGCGAATTTCGGTAGCTTGGATGGTATGGCCGCGACAGGGATCGAGCACGACGGCGCATGGGCGGAGATATTTGGGATGCAGTAGGAAAGGCTCGCAGACATCCATTGTACGAGGACTTCGCCACGTAGATTCCGGCTCGGACTGTCGTTCTGGTGTACATAGCATCCATGACATGGTCGAATATTGTATGTATACTGTCTAAATGATCCAACCCAATCCATCCGTCCATCCGTCCACGTCCTCGTCCTCCCTCGAAATCGCTAGTCCGAACCCTCAGAACTCATCCACAAAATGCTCCGTCGCCGTCTCCGCCTTCTCGCCCAGCGTTTCCTCCAACCATGCGCGCAGCTCCTTGTTAAATAGCTCTGCGCTCTCCAGGTGGAACCAATGCGAGCCCGGGACGACGACCGTCTTCAAGTTCGGGAGGAAGTCCGCGGAGTGGAGGATGGCGGCGGCCTTGACCCAGTCGGCGACGGGATCCTATAGCCGTGTGAATTCAGGCTGTAATTGATTTGTGGCCAAGAAAAATCAGCTAGACTTACGTCGCTAGGCAAGATGGAAAGCGCAGGCTGAGGGATTGTCCAGTTGCCCTGGTCGTGCGCGAATTTCCAGGCGCTGTACCGATTCTGGAAGGGCAATTAGCCCGCGTGTACTTGACGCAGATGACAGGGATTGACTTGCCGGAGTAGTATAGAATTGCAGAGCTGTGGCGGGCTTAGCAAGCGTTCATAGCAGAGAATCAAAATTAGACGTACTGTTATCGAACTTCTGAATGCTATACTGCTCGACGTAGTACTTCTCTTCCTCTGGTGTGAAGAAAGGAACTGGCGGGATCTGAAGGCTGCAAGTCGGTAGAATGTTCGACAAGCAACACGCAGGAAAACTGACCTCAGCGTATTTCTTCCACGGACCCATGTAGGTGTCCTTATATGTCAGAAAATCCTCCGGCGGAGGGCTGCTCTTCTGCCGCAAGGTAGCGCGGATGGTGCGTCCGACGTCCTCGTTCAGTTCGGCGGCGGCAGCACTGGTGTTGTCCGCGAAAAACACATTGTAGGCGAGCTTCGGGAGGAGAGGGACGAGCGCGGCCACGGGCGTGAACTTATCCCCGTTCGCGGGCATGTAGGGCACCGCGACGCCTGCGACCGCGGTGAAGATATCCGGACGAGACCTCGCGGCCTCGTAGCAGACCGCAGAGCCCCAGTCGTGTCTGGACAAGATGAGAGACTGTACGCGGATAAGAGGCAAAGACCTACCCAACACAAGTGGCCGTCGTCACCCCGGCGTCCTCGAGCACGCAGACCATGTCGGCGACAAGATCTTGGAGCGTACCCGAGGACTGCACATCCCCCGGGTGCGTCGACTCCCCGAACCCACGATGGTCGGGCGCGATGAGGCGATAGTCATTCTGCCAACCCGTCCATCAGCACAGGGGGATGATGACGGCCCGCTCATCAGTCATACCTCGAACTCCTTGATCTGGTACGACCACGTCGTCCACAGGCTCGGCCACCCGTGCACGAGAAGCAGCGTATGCTTTGCGGACGGGTTGATGTCCACATAGCCTATCGAATCGTGAAATTAAGGGCTGGGTAAGACGCACGGGGGTGAGACAGACTCACTCATGTTGATGTCGACGGGCTTGTCGCCCTCGTCGCGCTTGACGGCCTTGCACGTCGTGTGCTTCTTCAGCTTCGTATACTCACGAGGGTCGAAGCCCTCAGTCGCCGCCACCATGCCCGCCGTCGCCAGCACCATCGCACACGTCAAAGTGTTCAATCTCATCGCAGAAAATACAGGAAAAGTGGCGATGCAAGGGCGGAGGGTGGTCGTCGCAAGGAACAAGACCCACCTCCCTCTTATACCGTGTGCGCGTATGCGACCCCGACATCACAGCAATTGAAATATCACCGATCCGGGCATTTGTCGAGGTGATCGAAGACGTTCGTGAATATCAACCTTAACATATTTGCCTCAGGCTCTCAGAACTCCGAGGAGGCGTATCACCTTCTCATGTCCCTTTCGCGAGGGCCCGCGCTGATCTACGCGTGCACCGGAGCTGTGGAGAAATGTAGCGGTGGACATCTGCATGGGCGAGGAAGACAAGTTCGACATTCCCGTGGCGTGACACAACCGGTTCGGCAACAGCCGTAACCGGTGCCGTGTTCCGCGGCTAAGTCCGTCAAAGCCATGGTCGAACTTCAGTTGTCTTCACCAGGGGTGACGGAATACAATAGGATGCAGTCGGTCCTGAGCCAGAAGTACAGCTTCGAACAGAGCCTTCAGACTACGTTGATGCTGCTTCACTCGACTGTATACAAAGCTGGACAACCTTAGCGTAAGCCAAAGCAACTTCTGCATATACAATAACGCCCAACGTCCACCGGTACTGCACATTCAACTAGGCGGAGATCCTGTATGCGGAGCTGTATACGTCCTGACAGCCGATGAGGTGGGAGGTGGGCCACAGACGCCGTACGACGCGGCTGCAGGCAGCCCATGCGCGAGAGGAGTTTCCGCAACGCGTGAGTCGTTGGCGTTGAATGATGAGGATGAGCACACAGAAGACGACGGAGCCGCTTGCACGGTAGGCATAGTCCGGCGACGATAAGGCGGTTGGACAGAGCGATCTCGCTGAGCAGCGGAATATCCAAGAAAGAAGCGAGCGTCAGTCTTGCCCTGAGGAGCGACAGAGGCACGCGGAAAGTAGTACGCCGGATGCAGGGGACGCCTGTAGTCGTAGTTCCAATATGCCGGAGGCGGAGCCGTTTGCTGGGAAGCATTTTGTGGCAACACGATGCCTGAGCGCGCAGTCGACGGTGACAGGACGACAGAGGGGTCACTTGGGGATAGTCGAGTCCCGTCAACGACAAGAGCCGGCTGACGTAGCGCGGTGGAGTTCTGAACAGCTCGAGCGTGAACTGAGTAGACCGGAGAAAGCCGATGATCGCGCAGGTCAAAGCACTCAATAGCCGGCGGAGCAGAGGACACGATAGACGGGGCAGGCACTTCCGGAGCGCCAGAAGGCCTTTCGGGATCGAAGGAAAGGGCGGGCGGTGAGGGGACCTGAATGGCCGAGTACTCGTCAAGAATCTGCTGCGGTGTCTTGTACGCGAGCGGCGGCGAGTCGGCTACAGAGCAAAATGAGGCGGGTGAGGCTAGGCACTCCGACGATGTCTCGTTTGTCGAGCTGGCAGGCAGCACCGTATCCTTCAGCCTGCACGTCGCCACCTCCGATTCGAGAGCGACATCCGGCAGACAATCTATCCACGTCAACGCGTCTTCTAGCACGGCGCGAAGATCGCCCGTCCTAGGCGTAGTGCCACCCGTGCTGGACATAGTGGGCTCGTCGTTGACGGGCGAAGCTCGTGTTAGAGTAGCCGACTCGGGCTCGACGAAAGAGACGCGTGCTTCTATCCCGGAAGAGGCCGTCCCGGTCGTGGAGCGCGTCGAGAGGTGGATGTATGCGCGCGAGTCAGAAGGGGCCGAACCTTCGGAGGATAATGCAACGTCAAGCGAAGAGGTTCCGTCGTGTGGAGAGGCTTGGGCGAGTTGAGTAACCTGAGGGGCGGAGGAAAGTGACAAGTCCTCGCTTGCGACCGAAGATGCACATGTCGATGGAGAGAGGCCGGGGGCATCAGAGACGAGATCATCGGAGCAAAAAGAGCCGTCCGAGGCGGGAGACGGCGTCGACGAGGTGCCGAAGGCGTTCAGTAACTGATGAGTAGCCATGAGATCACGGATGACTACGGCTTGCGGTTGAGCGATTTTGAGGCAGTTGTTGAATGAGAGCGGAGATAGGGAAGGGTTGAGGGCTGCCACGTTGGTGGAGGCGTGACTCTTGTCATTCATTCCCCGGTAGCTGAAAGCCGCGTCGAACGAGCCCAAAGGCGCAGGGACGCAGATAGCATGCCGATCGTGGTCTAGGGTGTCGAGCTGAGCTTGAATGGCCGTGGACTTTTGGTGAGGATATAGCTGCCTGCTCTCACGTTAGTGGGCGTATTCCCCGATTCAAGGAGTATGACTCACATTAGCGGCCGGCGAAATGGTACAGCCTCATCAAAGCTATGGGAGTGATGTGTCTGCGCGTAGTACGCAGACTCGTAGAGCTCCACCGGAGGGTAGATGGGCGCATACGGGGGCAGAACTTGTTGGGAATGGAAGGTGTGGACGAAAGATGCCTTGTTCCTCTTCGCCGCCGAGTCGTCCTGTTCTCCGCTCCGTCGCCTCTTCGCGGGCACCCTCTCCTCCCTCTCCCGCAGAAAGCGCATTGTGCATTCGTGCGACGTCTTGCATCCCGCTAGTCGAAAGGTTTTGTCAGCGCCAGCTTCCACCATCGTCGCCACCACAATTGCCCCGATCAACTCACCATACATCCTCGGCGGCGCATGCGTCTCGTCAAACCAGCCCACCGTCCGGTTCTTCGCGCTGATCGTGAGGAAGAGGGCCGGAAAGCTTGGGTGCGCCAGCTTGTCCTTCGCTCTGATATGCAAGCCCGGCCACATCCGCCATCCTCCTTCCACCTTCGCATAGATCTCGCACGTCCTCGGATCCGTATCGACGTAAATGTCGCCCAGAGTCCCAATCTCTATGTCGGGCAGCCCAGGACAGCGATATTCGAAGAAGGTGGTGCTTTGGCGCCGGTTTGGGAGTGTCAGATTTCGACGCCGTGAGGATGCGTAGCCGCTCTTGCATTCTGAGGCGCGGGGAGGCATGGGGAGGTGCTTGTGGATTCTGAGCAAGTTGACTATGCAAAAGGATGAGTCTGAGCAGATCGTTCTGGTCGTAGATGAGAGTTGGAGGCGAGAGCTGTGGAGGAGGGAATAAACTCAAGGTGCGCCACAGAGCATATGCTGGTCCGGCCCGGATGTCCGCGGGCACGTGATGCACCCCTGGGCGCCCACAACTCGTGCCAGCAAATTCAACGCTTGACTCTAAAACGGGCTGTAAGATGCAAGACGGAAGGTCGAGTGCGCTCATGCCGTTCTTCTGCTCCTAACCAGAGATCCAAATCTCATGTGGATTTGATCTACAGACAAATCCGTGCACTCGCAAGTGACGCTGCGACGGTGCGCCGCCGCCAACTATACATTGTGTGAGGAGATAGAACTAGTCATACATATATGCATGCACTTCAAAAGAGGCTCGTGTAGTAGTAATGTGATACAACGTTGACTTGAGACACAGCGCGAAATCGTCGAGTCTAAACACGCGCGAGCTTTTTCGGTGAAGGTTTGTCAAACGCCTCAGGTCGAGCGTACAGAATGATGGAACAAAGATAGCCCAGACCAGTCTTGCATACTACTGAGTACACATCGGCGTAGGCGCCACGACCGGCGAGAGCTTCGAGTTGTGCCAGATGGGAGCATCGAAGTCAGAGCTGTAGGGTGACGAGGGTGTTTTGCTGGTGCGCCGGGAGGTATGAACGTCGAACATGCGCGGAGGGAGCTGAGGACACGAGAGGAGCGGAGCGGTACTGGGAGCGAGCGGGGAGGTGTAGTATTCCGAGGGTATCGAGGGTGATGACAGGTGCTTTTCCGAGTCGCAAGACGATTCCGATCGCTCCAAGCAGGCAGTCTAGGGAATCCGAGCGTTAGCGAGCAAGCAAAGAAGCGTAGAGCACAACGTACGTGACTTTCATCCGTCGCCCGCATCTTCGCCCAGCGCCAACGGGTCACTCGCGTCTTCGAGCCCGGCGGCATCGCTCTCTTTTCCTCTTGGTGCCGCTCCTCGCTTCGCTTAGCGGACGCGCAGCAGCCGTAAAGCACGTAGATGAGCACGCCAGTGGTAATAAACAGGATAACAGCAATGGCGATGTAGGCGAAGGGGTGCATGCCTTTGAAAGAGTGGGCGGAGTAGTGGTGTGCGTAAGGCGCGCTTGTCGTTGGGGAGGGGCTGTCGTCCGTTTGAGAAGGGCCATCGCGCGGCGGCGGAGCGTCGTCGACCCAGTAGACCATCTAAGCGCGAGCTGATCGAGGGGAGCTGCCGGTGTTCTGTGGTTGGCGACGGGAGGCTGGCCAATGGGGTGGCTTGGGCAAGCTGGTCGACGCGCGCCCGCCACCCGGCGTCACGTCAAAGCATCATGTGATTGGCACGCTGGCGTCCACGAGGCGTTTTGTTGATTTCTGTTTGAAGCCAAATTTTGGGCTCGAAGGCGGAATAGCGAGTGAAAACTTTTCGGACATGGATATTTTGGAAGTATATACTCAGAAAGATTGTTGAAGATGTCTTTTCTGACCTGTTATATTGCGTAGCTCGGGTCCGAAGGCTGCCACGTTCGCATTGTGCTCACGTGAGGGGTAAAATTCGTGACCTCTCGTGACCAATTCCCACGGTTTGAGGCCCCAATCCGAGTTCTTCAACCGCCAGGTGACTTGACCAGAACCATTTTGCAGGCTGTCCGCAGCTGCCACAATCTCGTCTCATCGTCTCCTCGCTCCAGCCTGCGCCATGGAGAGCGAGGTCGCCGCCGAGCCACCTACTGCTCCCTCTATCCATGAGCAGGACGAAGACATGGAACCTCCTCATCGCCTCTTGTCATTCAGAGAATATCGCGGCACGAGGCATCCCACGAGAGACCTTGGCGAGGTCGGAGACATATATATCAGCATGTGCCCCTCGAACTATGCGCTGTACGCGAAGCTAGACGACGACTGGGCGCAGTGGCCCGGACCGGGCAGCATGCTCACCATCGTGCACCCCGACTATGAAGAATTTACCCTCGGGGTCAACATGAAGAAGAAGATTATCGGGTGGCTCGAAAGCGGGAGCCTGGAGGATGAATACCCGCCCTATGGTGCGTGTCGCGTTTCTCATTCCCTTTCATGGCGACTAATGATCGGTGTAGTTCAGTTCCCCCATGACGCTTTGTTCTATGTCCTGGAAGGGAACGGTGTCCGCTACGTACCCAGAATCATCACTGGCGACAAGCGCAGGAGCTCTCGCGCCCCGGCAGGACCTCCCTTCAAGCGTCCCAAGCTCGGCACGGCAGGATGGACCCGTCCGGATCAGGAGGAGGCGCCCTCTCGGCCTGAAGACTCAGACTCGGACGACGACTTCTACTGGACGGACCAGGAGGACGAGGAGAAGCTGAAGAAAGTGCCCGAGAGACCCATCTACCCTCCCGAAGACCTGGTCGCGCTACCCCGACGCCCCTACACCGGCACCACTGTGACGAGCGCGATCACGAGCGGCAAGGATGTCCCCACCTACGCAGACGATACCTCTATCGTTCCGCCTCCCCCGACGCCTCCCCCATCACCCCCTCCTCCCCGAAGTCCACGGCTCGCACATACGTCCTCCAAGGGAAGGAAGAACGCGACGAAGGCACCCCGTTCGCGTGCTCCACGTAAGACACCCGCGGCGAAGAAGAACGCGAAGAAGGCTACCAAAGAGAGCGTCAGCGCGCCTGCAGCCACCAAGCGACAAAGCCCCGAGCCCGGTCCTTCTAAGCAGCCCTCCGTGCACCGTGACGATGACGGCGAGAGCGAACGATCGGACACCCCCGATCCTGCCACCTTCGACTACGACAGCGACGGCGGCTCGGACGAGAGCGGCGAGCGCCAGGGCTTCTTCACGCGCGCGGACGTCACCTTCCAACCCGAGGACTCGCGCTTCCCCACCCCCACCACGCCCGCGGGACCGGAAGAAACGCATCGCGTCGTCCTCATCCACCCCCCATTCACCCGGTACCCCGGCTCTGGCAGCGGGCACGCGCTGCCGCTCACGTACAGTCTGCTCGTCGAGCACCCGGACTGGGTTCTCGACGCGCGCGACTTCGTGTGGAACGGGAACCCGAACCCGCGCGCGGTGCCGTACCCCGCGTCGCTCGAGCCGCCGCGCGGCCGGCTGATCAAGGAGTCGCGCCTGCGCTGCACGTTCTGCAACCGCTCGTACGCGGGCGTGAACGCGAAGAGCATGTGGCGGCGGCACGTCTTCGACTTCCACGGGATCGCGATGACGAACCGGCGCGACGGCGTGGGCAAGTCCACGCTCAACCCGCCCATGAATGGGCCGCGCGACCCGTCGGCGGGGCTCAAGATCCAGTCGGCGCCGGGGAGCTCCCTCATCATCCCGCCACCGTCGCGCACGCAGCGGCTGCCACCGAGGTCGCTGGCGGAGAACGTGCCTGCGCATCTGCCTGGGTCGTTCAGTCGAAGGTCTTCGGAGAGGACTGCGAGTCGGGCGTCTAGTTATGCGACACCCCCGCCTCCTCCTCCTCAGCCTCAACCAGAACCTCAGCCTGAGCCGCGGCCCGAGCCTCGGCGTGATGTCCAGCCCGAGCCGCAGTCTGAACCTCAACCTCAGGCTCAGACTCAAGCCCAGCCTCCGATACAACCTTCGCCCCAGCCTCAACCTCAGGCTCAGCCTCCATTGCAGCCTCAACCTCAGCCCCAAACCCAGGCCCAGCCGCAAGTTCAGGCGCAGGTTCAATATCAGCCCCAGACTTATGTGCAGCCTCAGCCCCAGCCTTATGTGCAGCCCCAGCCTTATGTACAGCCCCAGCCTCAACCTGTGCTACACCCGCAACCGCAGCCACTGTCTCAACCGTACATACGATATCCGTTATCGACACAAACACAACTTGCGTCATACGGAGCCAACGCAGGCGCAAGTGGACAGAGCACTACCGCTACCTCCGCCACTCCCACCACCACTGTCGGCGGCTACTACCGTAATCCCAATCGGCGTCACCACAGAGAGCCAGATCCGTACGTAGACTCTCCCTTCGTTAGTGAACCTTGACTAACGCGCCTGCAGACCCTTCCCTCGCGGCCCATCACCCCCACGGGCCTTTGAGCCCTTAGTCGTGACCGAAGAACTCAAGCAAAGGCTGTTAGCCAAGCTTCCCATTGGCGTCAAGGGCTCAATAACGAGCCTCACCGGGGACTCGCGCCCGCCACCTGGGCAGACGTCGACGTCCACTCTCGCGACCTACGACTCGAACGGCGAGGCGCGGCTCATGGCGGCGGCCGCGATGAAGCTGGCGGAGGCGCCAACTGCGCCTCCGCCGCAGCCTCCCCCGAAATACGCGACGTCGTATTTCTATTCGGCGACTACACCGTCATATCCGCCGACAGCGTCCACTTCGGCGTATACTGCGTCTCAGCCCTTGCGGTCGTATGCGTCCTTCCAGACTGTCGGATCGTATGCATCATCACAGTCTGGTGGCCCGTATGCCTCTTCGCATCCTGTTAGCACGTATGCGCCTGCACAACCTGTCGGGTCATATACGTCGTCGCAACCCGGTCGGACGTATGCACCCTCTCAACCCGCACCACCGCGCACGCCTCTGCCTCCGCCCCCATCGCGTACCCCATCGCAGCCCGCGCCACCCCAGACACCTCAGCCCGCGCCGTCGCAGACACCGCAGCCCGCGCCCCAGCCAGCGTCAAATCAGTCTGCTCCACCAACCACGCCCTCACCAGCATCGTTCTTCCCGCCAGGTTCGTTGCCAAGGAACTTCCCCCCTCCACCGTCCTCTGCGCCGCCCTCGTATAGCAACCTATCATCGTTCACCAACGGCTCAACGAGCAGCTCGTCGTTCACAAATGGCTCATCGTCCTTCAGTAACGGCATGACCAGCGGCATATCGTCCTACGGTAGCAACTTGAGCAACGGCAACGGCAACGATGCGACGAGTAGCTCATCGACGACCTTCAACAACGGCTTCGGCCACGGCATTAATCGGACTGGGGGGCTTAACGGCAACAGCAACGGCGTCCTCAGCACTCATACCGGCCTCCCGATGGACACGTCCTTCCTGCCGCCAAACTTCCAGCAGCGCTTCCCCTCCGCGCCCTCCCGTTCCACGACGGAGACCCCCGACGAGCGAAAGACAGCGGACGAACCACCCAGCACACAGCGTGAGCCGGTCGACCCCGACGCTTGCCAGTGCTTTATCCCGACGCAGTCCTGCGTGATCTGTCGCATGCGGCGCCAGTCGACGAGCAACGGGGCCAACAAGACTTGACGATGCGCTCAGGGCACTCAAACTACGCGCCGCAGGCCGCGCGGAGGATGAGACGGGGGAAGACTTTGCATACATCCTTCCCGTCAAGACTTTGTACATACCATACGCACCAGCGCGCATCGTTGCGTAGTTTCGCCACTCTGCATAGTGTTTCTTGTTGCATTATCACTAGTCACGGCTTTTATCGTGCTGATCAACGCTTGTGATCTCATTTTCTGGCCATATAGTTGGTCGTGCGTCGCTCAGAACTCATCCTTGACCGGGACCAAGCCGAACAAGCAAGCGCCCATAAAGTCACGTGGATACCAAAAGCCTCGTGGCCGTTGGGCTCATTGGCGCCTGTTCCCCAACTATCATCTCGTCTAAAGCGGCGCAATACCACTGGGCCAATCCAAGAAGAATATTGTGTAGGCTATGCGGCTAAATTTCTTGTGGATATTATACCCTTTCGCTCACACGGCCAACCATTTGGCAGATAACCAAGACTCCAGTTGCAAGACCTGCTCCCTGGGCATCCGGACATATGCGTTCTGAACGAGGAGGCACGGTACTGGCACTCCGCAATCTATTGTGCTGTTTTAGGCGCCCTTCATGCACACGGACCGCATCGCACGTTTTCTTGATCGCTATCTTCCATCCGGCGGTTCTCGTTGAAGGCGGGAGGAAGGACACTGCCTACCCGGGCGTCCGTCCTCTACAGCGCTTCTAGGCCCGCCTTCACAAGCTATACCGCTCGTCCGGCTGTCTACAAGCCAAGCAGAGGTCAGAGCTCATCAAGAGAGGCTGCACTAGCGCCGTCCTTATCGCGACCTTAGGGCCGCAGACTCCGTATCTGCGTGCCGAGCATAGAGACGCTCCGAGACATGATCGCCTGTATCCTGTGGCGCCGCCTCACCTCATATCTGCGCTGACGCGGAGCGGGTCAAAAGATTCAGCAGCTTGAACATGGGGAGCGCCGCTCTTTCCTCCTGCGATCATCCTCGTCTGCCCTTGACATTCCAGGTTCGCGCTGACGGCGCATGGCGCCTGAAGCATCCGCTATGCCTGACTTGGCTGCGGTTCCGCCCGACATAGCTTTCATGTGAGTCGCCCTTCTCTCATACTCCGAGCAAAGCTTGTAACCCCTGACCTGTACACAGCACAGGGCCGACGGTGAGCACTGATCTTCAGAGGAAACGATACCAATCTAACGCTTCCTCCTGCTATCAGATCCTAGGCGCTTGCTTGAACTGGGCCCTGATGGGTGTACTAGTCCCGCAGTTGTATTATTATCAAACACATTACTCTGGCGACCATCGTCGAATTAAAGCTCTCGGTAAGCGACCAGTCTCGTAGTTACATTGTCCTTGGTTTCCGCAGCTTACCGTCCTTTCCAGTTTACGGTCTCGCTGTTCTGGAATGTCTTCAGACTTGTATGGTCACTGCAGACGCCTTCCATTGGTTCGCACAACGTCTCCCTGCTATTCCACGATCTCATCGTGACATTTCATCAGGTTTGTCTTTGGCTACGCCAATCTGGCTCAACTCGACGACACTTTCCTCAACTCCTGGGATGTACCGCTTCTCGACGCGATCATCGCACTCATCGTGCAGGCCTTCTACTGCTGGAGAATTCACGTGCTACAAAGAGGCGCCCTTGTGCTCCCCTGCGCGATCATGGTCGTGAGTACCTTGGCAGTTGCGAAGAACGCTAAAGCGTGATGCTATGTCAGGTTTCGCTAGCCCAATGCGGTGCCGGGATCGCAGTCGCTGTGCAGGCGAATCAGTTGGGGAAGCTCTCGCTCATAGGCGAGAACGAGATACCTCAGGCAGTGAGTGTTCGCTATTGGACTGGGCGGTTGCGAATATTCATCACCTGTTTGTAGATATGGCTGTCCGGAAGCGCTCTGGCGGACATCATGATCACTGCCTCCCTCGCCTGGATTGTGCGTGCGCTCGTGAGTCTAATTTACCATTGCTAACAGTACTTCAGTTGCTCCGGAAGCGTGCACGCCAGACTGGGGTATACCGCAAGCTCGTCAATCGCGTTGTAGCGGTTACGGTGGAGACGAACTCACTGACAGGTATACCTCTCGATTTCGCTGTTTATAATATGACAGCTGATCCCACATAGCTGGGGTTGCTATCATCGCCCTCGTTCTCTTCCTCGCCGTTCCTGTGCGTCTTTATTTTCGTGTCCGTAGAACATACATCTCACGACGCCGCTCGCAGGCTCATACCGCCCTCGTTGTTCCACCGTAAACAATTCCCTTGTCATTGTCCGACTTGTTTTGACCACCCTTGTCAGAACCGCCATCATGGGCAAGCTCTACACCAATTGCCTCGTCGCCGTGCTCAACAACCGCCAACGACGCAACAGCTCAAACGGCGAGCGAGCCACGTCCGTCCGTCTCAGCGACATTCCGTCCGTCCGCCTTAGCGACGTCCCCAAGGATCGCTGGAATGCTTCCCGCAGTGACTCGGGCGCGATCTGTGTCTCCGTCGTACGCGATGTAGACGTGCAGGATGCGAAGCCGGTGCACGATGCGACGCAAGCGTCTATGCCGCGTCGGCTCGAGCCACTGCGTCCGAAGAGCAGGAAGCAGAGTACACCGAGCGTACCGGCGAATTGGGGCGTGCAGGTGCGTATCAAACCGTTCGATCTATCTGCGCTACTGACAATCGAACCTCATAGAGGCCCGAATCAGTCTACGATGCTCATGATCGACTCGCCTAACGCAGATGTCGTGAATAATGGCCTGTCAGTTATCTGGAAACAGGCATGTATTACTATTGTACACGCTTGTACCTTCAAATCGCCAAGGCTGATTGAGCTTCGGTCACGCCTTCATCTCGGAGACCATAAACAGATTACTTCGTATTCTACATTGTGAGTTAGTTCTCGTCTTCGTACTGATGCATCGCTTCCATGAACCGCGCCCATCGGCCTCCATTCAGCCCCTTCACCTCCTCCCACAACGCCGGGTAGCCCTTCTTGATCCACTGGAACACGGACGCAATGGCGAAGTCCGCATCAACAGGCGAGTCACCGAGCAGAAACAACGCATTGTCCCCGTTCTCCTTGACCATCGCCTCCACCCACGTAAGCCCTTCCTTCCCATCCGCCTTCGCCTTCTCCACAACCGCCTCATCGCCCCAGATCTCCTCGAGCTTCTTCCCGAAGATCTTCTCCCGCGTCTCGCGGAAGTACGCCTGCGTGCGCTCGTTGAAGATCTTGAAGCCGTGCTCCAGGATCGCGGGGAAGAACGCAAACGGGACCTTCTGGAACATCGTGTCCGTGAAGACGTGCTGCAGGCCAGAGGTGTTGTGGGGGAAGAGCAGGGGCTTGTCGGGGTACGTCTTGTCGAGGTAGCGCGCGATCTCGTGGCAGTCGGTGATGTACTCCTTGGTGAGGGAGTCGTAGATCGTGGGCACGGTATACTTGGGGCGGCCGTCGGCCCATTTGCCGGACGGGGGCGCGCCTGCGGCGATCATCTCGCGCTCGACATCGCAGAGCTCGAGCCAGGTCGTCGTGAATGGGATGCCCTTATACTTCAGGGCGTACCTTGAGCGGACCGTCAGAAGGACGTGAAGATCGGGAGCGGGAGAACGTACCGGGTACGCCAGGTATTCACCGACCAGGCGCCAACCTTGGTGGTCATGTCGTACAGGACAATCTGGTGACCCATGATGGCGATGAGAGGGAGGGATAAGGGCGCTGTCGGTTGCGCTCAGGCCAGCTATAAGTGAGTGTCTGTCCGTTTCGGCGTCAGTACCCGCAACGAATCACCTACAAAATTACGGTCTAGATGCCCGACGTCGCAGACCGTACGGCCTTCTTGCGCCTGCGGGGAAAGGAGCTTTGGGGGATCGGAATCTTCAGTCAATTCCTCGAGCCACAATTCGGAATGAACCCATCGATATGGGCACCTGGTGCTAGTCACATTGTCTCTAGTATGTTCCAAGATATTCATTCATAGCCACGTTTGTTGTCACAAAACGAGGAGCAGCCAACAAAACATAATACTGGGATGACCTGTCGTCGGCGTCCATCAGTGTCAATTCATTTCATGTTCAATAAGCAGTGTAACCTTCCCAGTCATAAAGTCATGTTCACGCCCTCGTGTGTTCATTGCCCTCGTACCGGCGCAGAGCATCGACTAATCGTCCCCATCGCCCACCATTCAGCACCTTCAGGTCGTTCCAGACCGGCATACTGGCCTTGATGATCCATTGGAACATGGACGCGATGGCCATATCCGCCTCGACAGGCGTGTCGCTAAGGAGGAAGAGCTTGTCGTCCCCGTTCTCCTTGATGACCCCTTCCAACCAGTCAAGCCCCTTCTTGACATCCGCCCATCCCTTCTCCACCGCCGCCTTATCCCCCCAGATCTCCTCCAACGTCTTCCCAAACATCTTCTCCCGCGTCTCACGGAAATACACCCGCGTCCGCTCTGGCATGACGGCGTAGCAGCCCTCCAGCGCGATGGGGAAGCTGGGGAACACGACCTTACTGATGAACTCTCCCACGAAGGCGTGCTGGAGACTAACGGTGCCATGGGGGAAGAGTGTGCGACTGTCAGGGTACGTCTCGTCGAGGTAGCGAGCGATCTAGTGCGCATCCGAGACGTATCTATTGGTGAGGGAATCGAAGATTGTGGGGACGGTGTACTGTGGCCGTCCGTCAGGCCATGTGCCCGAAGGAGGCGCGCCCGCGGCACTCAGTTCTCGCTCGACGTCGCACAGTTCGAGCCAGACCGTGGTGAATGGTAGGCCCTTGAAGTTGAGGGCGTATCTGGAGTGCAGCGTCAGCGTATGGCGCCAGTGAGTAGAGGAAACGTACATACCTGGTACGCCAGGTGTTGAGGGAGTAAGGCCCGACTTTCGTTGCCATATCGTACAGAATTATCTGGTGAGCCATGGCAGGATGCGATGTAGTCAGGCGAGAGGTCAAGATGTGCGGTCGAAGAAGGCGCCTTATATACGCGGTGGATATGAATGCTGGCAAGGCGGTGGGTAACGGCGAGTTGACACGGTCAACAGGTGACATGCGTCGGGGCCGCGGATGCTGAGTCAAGTGAGCGAGGCGACTACAGTTGGCGCCAGGCGCTTCAGGCGCCTTCGTGCACCTTCCAGCTGCGACGAGCTCGAAACAAATTCCGTGAGAGCTAGCGGTTCGTGCGATTATAAGCCAAGTTCAATATCTATAGTTGACGGACAGTATACGTAGTGCCCTTGGCCAAACCAAGGTCCTTTGAACGCTCGACCGATTTGCCATTCAGCAGGAGCTCGCATCCTAGCGGGTTAGCTGAGAGGAGAAGCATGGTTCAGGATAGACTCCACATCTCTCACCTCGAAAGCGCGGCCCAACTCATCCAATGACATGTTGCTCTGCTGGAGATACAGAACCTCCACCGACTACGAATGATATATCCCGGAGAGCCCGAGCTTATATTCCATGCGACGCTAGATGCGACTGATTTCCTCAACTATCGCCGGCATCACATCCTTGGTGTCCTGGACTTATGGCCAGATGATAGACAGAAGCAAGTGACACCGGCGTTTGCCGGGAGAACGGACCCACCAGGACCAGCATTGTCACGACACTGTCACAGCGCTCTCCCCAACATTCACCTGTCCCTCATCACGTCTGACACGCAAGGCGGCGAACACGCTCTGGTATCAGGTGAATTATCCTGAGCTTATACACTTACTGACAAGAATGATGCAGAGCTACCTTGTGAAATATTCGGCCCTTACCTACTTTCCTACTGCCTGATTAGTCTTGCCACTAAGAGTCGACGTTGGCCTAGGTTTGCGCTTAGAAGGCGAATCGCCATCATGCTACACACTTTGAAGGAGATAGACACAAACAATGAAATTGAATTGAGGACATCGCGAATCTGGATAAATTACAAAGCGGATCGAGGAGCTCATTACAAGGTAGACAAAGCGGGTATCGATACAGTGAGTTGTGAGAACAGACAGAGGAGAAAATGGGATATCATGGAGAAAGAGAAAATACAGCGAGACAAAACTTGATAGGAGAGAAGACACAACAAAGATATCGAGAGATAAGATGCGAGATGAGAGAAACAGGGACAGAACCAGTTAATCGTCGAGACTTTCTTGGGAATCATCAGGAATGACCTCCTTCCGCGTGGGCACGCCGTGCTTCTCCTTTTCCCATTTCTTGCAAGTATGCTCGTGACGCTCGCGCGCATCCGCCCGCGAGAGCACCTGGTCGCACGCCAAGCACCACCTGCGGTATCTCGGGTCCGTCACTGCGTACAGCACCTCGTCAGACTGGTCCGAGTGCTGGTTCACCAGGTGCCGGCGCACGTCCGCCTCCCGACCGAGTTCGCAGTGACATCCGGAGACGGGGCACTGGTACCGCCCTCTACTGGACTTGCGATAGTGCTTTTGGGCGAGGTGAGCCATGATCTCCTCGTCAGAGACGGTCAGGGCGTTGATGCGGGCCTTCTTGTTGGGTCGGGGGTCGTTGATGCGGCCGGCCTTGGGAGGGCGGCCACGCACAGCGGGCGGGTCGCCGGGGCAGCGCTGGCGGCGGGGAGCTTGGGGCTTCTTGGAGCCGGAGTGCAGAGCAGAGGCGGCGGTGCGACGAGCGCCGACGAAGTTGCGGCTGACAGCTGCGACGGCCTTGCGCGCCGCCTTGCGAAAGCCACGCGTGCGCGCGCGAGGCTCGTACACATAGTCGTCGTCGTCTTCATCGTCGCTCTCCTCCATCTTGTACTCGTCCTCGTCGTCGGAGTCCTCGACGTGGGACCGAGGACGCTTGATGGAGGGGTTGGGGGAGGGCAGATACTTGTTAGCATCCACTGGTGAAGGGGAGCGCTTGATCTGGAGTGACGGTGACGCTGAGGCCTTCTTGACGACGGTGGGAAGCTTGCGGACAACGCGGGTAGAAACCAGAGAGGACTTCCGCGACCGCGGCGGGGTAGGCAAAGGCTCGGGAAGGGGGATAAGCTGAGGAGAGGGGAACCTGTCCACCTCTTCCAGCTTGATGAGAGGCGACTCGACCTTGGCAGGTTCCAAAGGAGCATGCATGGCCGTTGGACTGACGGTGAGGGAAGGGGCATCGTCATCGGGGACGGGGGACTCGGCGCTGTACTTGAGGAATGGCGACGGCCAGCGGGAGTTGGCTTCGTCGAAGGAGGAGAGGTCACTGAGGAAGGACTGCTCGCTGGCTTCGGACATCTGTACGAGGGTCAGACCTTGCAAGACGCTCCATCCAGCTCTGTCACGCACCAAGGAGTCCGTGTCAGCCGACGAGCTGGTAGGGAAGGGGAGATCGACCGCGTGTGTCGATAGAGATGCGTGCTGGTCAGCGCCATGTTGGAGAGAGCAGGCCCAAGAATCCTCAGTCGCGGCATGCGCAGCGTGGGCGTGCGCGTCGTCGGAGACGAAGTTGAAGTGAGTTGAGTAGTCGAGAGCCTCGTGGTGGCCACTAGTGCACGGCGGCATCAACACGCGTACGTCTGCGAGAACGTGGATCGGGTACTCACAAGTCCGGGCCGTCCACGGCCATCGCGTCAGGGTTCATGTACTCGTCGAAGATGTCGAACATGTTGGACTGAGCGGTGTACATCGTCTTCAGCGGCTGCGGATGAGTGGCGGGCTGGAAGATGGAAAAGTGGGGTGAGGTGAGGAAAGAGGGGATTCATGGCGGCTGGCTTATAAGCGCAGGATCTCTTTTGTTTCCCTGGTTGGAAGAACTGAATAGCTTGATGGCGAGAAGCGCCGTGTTTGCAGCTGTTGGGGTGAGTGGGCGCCTCGGCATCGTCGTGCCGTCTTCCTGCGATTGGGCCTTTTTGTGAGGCCATCCCCTCTCCCACGTACCTCTGGGAAAATATGGAGCTTCCGCAGAACACGAGTAAAATATCAGACCAACAGACCAACGGTTGAAATCTGCTGTAGGCGCCTGGTGGGCGCCAAAGATATTCATCAAACGCAGGGCCTGTCGCCCTCAGCATGGTAAGACCAGGGCAGCACCGCCAAGAACCGACGAAGAACCAATGCACAGGATTGGGCTTCAGCAAGTGAAGCTTCTGAATATCAAGAATAGGTCGCAATACAAGCGACTGGTCGTCATCGATAGGACAAGGACGTCCTAACTGGGTACGCCCCCTCCCACGTACCGTGGGTGCCGCGTGAAAGTGTCCAGGCGACCATCGACGTGAAACGCGGCCGAACAGCACGTCTTATTGTGCCGCGGGATTCTTATGTGGGCGCCTAGCGTCGGCGCGCCGGGATGGACACGGGTATAGCGACAGGCGACCGGCCCTGTCACCCCAATGCGGGCACAAAGGGAGCCTTTCCCGTCCGGTGACGACGGCGGTTCTTCACCCAGGGGCGCGGTTCTGTGCTTCAAGGGACAAGCCGAAAAGATCTACAACAGGGGCTGTGATGTGCTGGGTAGATGAAGGCTCGGAAATTTAAGCCAACTCACCCCTCGTCCTTCACTTCCGGTCGGCGAAGCAGTGTTTTCCGCCGCCCCTTATTGTCCGGCTTAATCAACGCGGCAATCTTCCGCTTTTGTCAGAAGTCCACTGGAAAGACAATAAGCGAGAGGGCGTCCGCAGGACTGTGGGCGCCTCATGTGGGATGGATTATCAGGAGGCCTGGCCCTCGGCAGTCCGACTTCTGTCAAGAGATGGTTAGTACACGTGAGCTAAGATTGATATCCCCATCCATACCCTCCTTTGTATCCTATCACGCGCTCGTTCGACCAACTTCTCTGCCCAGCGCTGTGAGCGGACGGCAGACATCCGTGGAGAATCCACCCCGTTTCCATGTTCTTGCGAAGAGCTTCCAAAGGCACGGATGACTGAAGGACGAACAGCAACAGTGCTCGCGGTGTACTCCAGAGTCGCTGACGCGTCGTGCGGTCCCAGGTTCTGCCGCGACGCTGAGCAGACCATCGCAAAGCGAAGATCTCCAAAGCTTCTATTCCCACATCACTGACACAGCAGCACCATGGGTGACGCCTACTCGAGCAGGATCTGGCAGGTCTCCATCGCTTCTTCCCTCGTCCTATACACACCAATTGACATCTGGCTGATGTGAATGAAACTGCGTGTTACGAAGATCGGAACCCCACGTACCTCAGGCTAAGCCTGCCTGTAAAGCCCATTCTCACGAATATACTCTGCGATGGACCGAGGCACCAGCTCCGGCCACGATGGATCTTCCCTCGACACGGCCTTCCGCACCGCACTCGAGCTGATCATCGTCAGTCTCTCCGCGCTAACGCCTCCCTCTTCCTCTTCGAAATCCCTCTCCTCAATCCCCTCCCGAAACTCCTCGAGAAGCGCCGGCATGTCCTCGCCGCCGTCGAACGCGGGATACGCAGCAGCATCGCGCCGCGCGACGACCAGACGCGCGCCATCCTCTTCGAAGAAGGAGTGCAGTGCCGCGCGCATGGCATCCGGGCTTCCATAGTACTTCGGCGCAAGGATGCGTTGCAGTGTGTCGTAGCCTACGAGGAACGAGAGCTTCGGGGCTTCCGTTCCCATGTCCTGGGCGCCTAACCATCTGCGGAGTGCGCGCGCCTTTCCGACGAAGGTGGGCTCCATGGTCACTGCAACAGCCGCGCGAGGTCCGAGTTGTTGGGCCAGGATGATCATCATCTGCAATCTCTGCACGTAGGATGCGTCCCGTGTGGGGTCCGGCGGGGGCTTGTCTGCGTTCTGAACAGCGAGCAAGAGCAGCAGAGGTTCTCGAGATCCATCGCCGTTTGCGGGGCTGTGCGTAAGATCTGCGAGCGCAACGTGCGCGCGGGTCGGTGGATTGAATGAAGAGTCCAGGATCGACAGATTCCTAAGCGGGCGAGAAAGCCAATGCGTGGAAGGCGTCCATATCACTTCGATATCCCCTTTCGTGTGCTGGAATTCTGCGAGACGCGCTTCCAGTACTTCCATTGCTGTTACATTGCTAGTCATGGTGGTGCGAGGTATAGCCTGCAGAAGTGTGCGCTGATGGATTGCCGGGGCGTGAAGCCGGCGTAGACCCTTGCTGTAAATTCGAACAAATCAGCGTAGGACCTTCGAAGAGATCGCAAGTCATTTACGAGAACCGCAGATTGAGATGGAAGTCAAAGATATATGCCCTTTCAAGGTACGGGCCCGCCGCAGCGCTGATGGTAGGAGAAGACAAGAAGATTTGCTGGAAGAGGAAATGAATATGCATGTTCGGTAGATGCCGAGAAGTGACACGTGCCACTCGAGCTGGCGGCGTTTGCCGCACCCAGCTCTCTTCCTTCCTCCATGCACGCCTCTACGCGATTTCTTAACTTGAAGGTGAACGACAGAAGAAATATTGATTCTGAACATCGTTCTGAGCTGCTAACTGATATTAGGTCTGCATTGCTGAACTTCCTGTGAACTGCAGTAGTAGTCGAATTGACGTGATGTACGCTGCACCTGGCGCAAATGGCATGAGCGTGCATGAAAGCCTCATGATCAAAGGACAAATTTCTGCATATAATCCATTCGCCTGGCCATCAGCTATGACTTCTCTCCCTCGACCGCCCCGACCTTAACCAGCCGCTTCCGCGCTCCCTCCGCGCTCCCCTCTGCTGCTTTCTCTGGCACGACCTTTACCCCACCCCTCGCAGCCGCCCTCGCCATCTTATCCGCCTCCCTGTTCACGCTCTTCGGCACCTGCCAGAATCCGAACACCGCGTTATGCTCGACTTCCATCTCCTCAATCGTGCGCTCCAGGAGCTGGAAGAGGTCGAGGTTCGCTGGCGTCATGCCCATGGAGGTCTTCCATCCGTTGCGCTGGTGAGAAAGTGTCGTCAGTACAAGTTCTACTCTCACCTCCCGCCCCTGAGTGTCTCTTCTCCGTCGACACTTCCTGAACCGCTCCTCACTCCGAAATCGAGCTTGAACCCAAACCCACCTTCCACTGCCCCATCCACTCCGTCATCCCCTTTACCACATACTCCGAGTCCGTCGCAATGATACGCTCCTTCATCGCGCTCGGATCGTACCCCTCATACTCGTGCAGATCACCGTCCATCGCGCGGCGCACGCCTATCAACGCAGCGAGCAGTTCCGCGCGCTGGGAAGTGCGTTTTTGGCCGGGATCCATCTCGTCAGTGACGGGCTGCGCGAACTGGTCGATGCCGGGGCCGATTTGGCCGAGGACGACGGAGATGCCTGGTGAAGGAATCAGCTCCGTTGAACGACGGAGTATTCACTTCGTCTGAACGTCAACAAGGAACTTGATACCTACCCGCCCTCCCATCCACACACGCCCCACTCGTGAACACCAGCCTAAAATGATGACAGGCCTTGCCTAATCCCACATGCGTGCAACAGCGCGCCGAGTACTGCAGGCATTCGCCGCACACCTGCACGAGCTGTGCGGGGGTGAACTGCGATGTCAGAAGCTCGCAGAACACCATCTTGCGCTGGAAGGGGTACTCGTTGGTCGTGGGGTCTATGGCGATGTCGGGGTATTGGCATTCGTGGCGGGACTCCGAGGTAGAGCTCGAAGCGCTTTGGACGGTAGAGGGGGTGACGGTGCCGGGCATGGTGACGGTTGTGTGGTAAAGAGGACAGGGATTATGACAGGAAGGGAAGGGGAAAGGGAAGAGAGAGCGAGAATTTACAAGTTCACCGAGTCATTTGCAGACGATCTACTCTGACGTGCACTGACGAGAGCGCTACAGTCTAGACGCGTCGGCACGATGCTCGGCGTGTATATATTTCTCGAAAGTCGTTTTCGTTCTCTTGCTCAAGCAAGCTCTCCTACCTATGCCACCGTATTTCTGCCTTCTTCAAGCGATCACTCTTCACGGTCTCCTATCCATCCACGCGCACGACGCGTGATATCATCTAATTAGTCTTCGCGTCGCGGCTTGTTGAAGTCCATCTTGCGATCAATGGCATCGCGTAGCCTACTTACATTCTGAAGCACGGCATCGCCCATCCCGAAGCACGCGGCTTACGAAGTCCTATCGGGATCCATCTTGCCGTTGGCAACGTATAGTAGCGAAAGTGTAGGGTTCGGCGATGCCGAATCCCTCTAGTAGGTAGGCGTCGGGCGCGTCTACGCCATTGAGAAGGTAGCAACTGGTATGCACCCAGCTCACAAAATTGTCATTCGTATTTGCTGGATGGCGGAAAGGGGCGACAAAAGGAGGTGGCTGACCTTGTATAACTCGCAGTATATTGCTCACACTGTAGGTACTTCCAACGGCCGCCTGGCGTAATGGCAACGCGTCTGACTACGATTCGGTAATCAGGAGATTGCAGGTTCGACCCCTGCGGTGGTCATTGATAGCTTGTAACTGAGCAACGTTTTTGCTCCCGCTGCCCGGCAAGCTCTGGCTGATCGGGAGAAGTGCATCGGCGGATCACGATAAGGGACAACACCCCTGAGGGATTCGGCGGGATCACGAGGCGCATAATAGACCACGTCCTCCACAGCCGACCACCTCGCCAGCCATGTCGTCCTCCAGCACCGTCCCGCCTCCCGCACCCCCGCAGCCCGCACAGCAGCCGAACGCCAACGCGGCGCACCTCTCCCCACTGCCGCCCTCCGTCTTCACGCTCCCGCAGACCGCGCAGCTCGAGGCGCTTTACACGATCATCCGCGACAAGAACACCGCGCGCGGCGACTTCCTCTTTTACTCGGACCGCATCATCCGCCTGCTCGTCGAGGAGGGCTTGAACCACCTGCCCGTCGTACCGCGCACGGTTGAGACGCCGACGGGCGCGCCGTATGAGGGCGTGGGCTTCGTCGGCAAGATCTGCGGCGTGAGCATCCTGCGCGCGGGCGAGGCGATGGAGGCCGGCCTGCGCGAGGTATGCCGCTCGGTGCGCATTGGGAAGATCCTCATCCAGCGCGACGAGGAGACGGCGCAGCCGAAGCTGTTCTTCTCGAAATTGCCGCAGGATATTGCGCAGCGATACGTGCTGCTGCTTGACCCCATGCTAGGTGCGTGGCCTACTCCGATCGCGTGCTACGATTCTGACCTGTCTCTCAGCGACTGGCGGCTCTGCCATGAAGGCGGTCGAGGTCCTGCTGGACGCTGGTGTCTCCGAGGATAAGATCATCTTCATCAACTTGGTGCGCGCCCAGCCGTCTATACGTCTTCCACAGCTCATCCTCCCCCCAGATCTCCTCCCCCGAAGGCCTCACCGCCTTCGCCGACCGTTTCCCCAGACTCAAAATCGTGCGTCATGCCTTTGTCCTGCCAGATAGGCTCGCTGACCGCGTCGTCTGTTTTCCTGCCTTTTCGGATGCAATTTATGCTTTACCTCCTCGCGGATTCTCTGTCTCCTTGCGAATCACAACCTTTGCTATCATCGCCGATCCAACTCATCATCGCCGATCCGACTCAACATCGCCGATCCTTCTCAACGTTGCCGATCTGACTTTCCATTGTCTCCTTCGGGGATCCGCACACCCATCTCGCACAATACCTCCGATCATCACAATGTCGCAATCTACTTCCTCGCACTGCATACCGTCCGGCGATCACACTCTACCCGCTTGACGACTCTGCACACTTGACTATCTCCATACAGATCACCGGCTGGATAGACGAGGGCCTTAACGAGAAGGCGTACATCATCCCCGGCTTGGGCGATTTTGGCGAGCGCAGGTGCGTTACATCTCAGTGTTTTCCCCATGCTATATGCTCGCACTCCTCAAGTCGCCTTGCGGCGCACCATCCGAATCTTCCATTGTATGAACTCAAGCTGACCGCGTCCTAGGTATTGCGAGTGATCGAGCCGTCCACTTTCCCGACGCGGCGTGGAACAAAGGGAGGGTGCAGGCATCGGTGAGGCTGCAGGACCGACGCCGCAATCAAGGCGCCCGACGTGCTTGTATCCGACGCTCGTTGCAGAGCATGTCTTTGCGTTGCTGGCATGGCTCATACTCGGCGCCGGAATTATGTGCATGCCATCTTGCATACTTAGGAGTAGTCTAGCATGGTTTCGTCAATCATCAGTGGAGTCGAACGACTAATGCAGCCGGAGTATAATGCAAGACTGACATCTCTGCTCGGGACGCCCTCGTCTTTGGTTCGCTCTCCGCTGAGCTCGTTGGCATCTTTGACTCATTGAGCGCCTGGAGGAACATTCAAGTGGCAAATTAATGTATAGCACTTGCAAGGTCTGTCCTGCCCTTACTTGATCCCGTCGCCGTGCAGGGTACAATGGGAAGACAACAGTGAAGTAAAGCGCACCACATGCACGCATATAAGTACAGTGCACGAGCACAGCTCAAAGTCTCTGCTGCAAAGCGGCGCCAGCACCTCTTCAAGTGCTCACTGAAGAACGAAAAGAAAACAGAAAGGGCATTGCACTGCACCAGCTATATTGACCACCGCAGGGGTCGAACCTGCAATCTCCTGATTACCAAATCGTAGTCAGACGCGTTGCCATTACGCCAGGCGGCCGATGCAAAGCGTATTTTGTGCGACTGTAGATTGCGCTGTGTTTTGTGCATCCAGCGTAACCATCCGGAACTGGTCTCATCACGCATAACGTGCAGTCAGCAGCACGGTATGGATAGCCAAGCGATTCAAGTCACCAAAGTCGACGACGATTGCCCACCCTTCGACTACTGCGCTCGTTACAACGCCGCGTCCCCGAGAGCTTCGCTCTTGAGGTGCGCATACCTCCTACATCCTCGTACCGCCCGCGGCAGGCGATAGTGCACAGCTCTGCAAGCTTGCGTCAGCTCCCAATCTCTCATCGGAACCCACCTCTGTCCCCACAGTCAACGGAGCCACTCACACAAGGAAAATCACAGTTATATGCCCCTGGCGCCTCCTTCGTCCCCACCATCCGTTGGAAGGCGCAAATTGAGGCCTCGGAGCATCGAGCGTACAGCGCGTCTAGCGTCGCCTCTTGTCCGGCCAGTTGTCCTGTCGTCCCTGGCGTGAACCCAGCCATCCCCGCAATCTGCCCCTCTAGAGCCGTCGCTGTTCCCTGCTCTCCCCCCAAGTCCGCCGCATCGGCCACAATCAGCAGCCACCCGCCATCAGACAGCTTGAGAACCGTGTCTGATAACGCGCGGCCCGTCAGGCGCCGTATGCGACGCAGGATGCGTTCCAGTGTCGCTGCGAAGTCGCCAGGTATGGCCGTTCCGGTGCGTAGAGCTTGCCGATAGAGCGCACGCGGGTTCGTCACGTAGCCAAGAACGAGGCGGGAGCGGCGGGGGCAGTGGCAGATCATAGGAGGAGATGGTGTTGGGGCTTTCTGAAGAGGAAAAAAGAATTCGTCAGACGCTCAGTTGCATGCATGTCGTGGAGACGCACCTCCGTCTTCACCTTGCCCTCTCCTCCACCGCGAGCCGCAATCCGATAGAGCGCCGGCATCTCATCTGTCGGCATAGACTCCTGGAAGCGCTGGAGCAGAATGTCGGGCACCACCATGTCCTCGACGCGCGGACTCAGGCCCTTGACGAGGATGAGCCACACGACCTCGACCTGCTCGCCATCTCCACCGACTCTGGTACTATGACCACCGCTTTGAGCGCAGTTGGTGCTTCCGCCAGCTCCCTCCCCCGCCATCCGAACCTCCATCAACCCATTTCCCTCACACACGCCCGTCGCGTTCTCCAACCGGCGAAGAAAGGCGTGCACCGTCAGCTCAGGATCACCGCACACGCCAAACCCGCGCTGCGTAGCAGCCTCTGCGATGCGTGCAGGTGTCGTCAGGTAGCCAAGGGCGTAGAGGATATGACCATCGTCACGTTCGGTGTACGCATCACCCTGCACGGCGAGCGAGTCGTCGATCTCGGTGGCGCAGTTCGGCGAGGGGTTTCGCGAGTGTAGGTAGACCTGACGCTTGGGAGTGGCAGTAGAGGCCGGGGAACATGCTACGGGGAAGAGAAGCGGAGGGGTACGAGTGGGTGATGGCATGGGGCAGAGTCGCGCTCGAGAGTGGCAGCGCGAGATGGGTATGGTCGGCGAAGCCAGAGACAAAGGCCATTGCAGCGGAGGGAAGGCATGGCGGCCACAAAGGCCATGCACCTTGCCTAATGGGTCCGTCCCAGCAAGCCGTACGCCAAACGCCCAATCATGCAAAGCTAATCTGCGAGAATCGGTGAGCACAAAAGTCGTCTTTTTAGTGAACGAGGCGCCCGAACAGCAAAAAGAGCACTCAACAACTTCCCGCCCCGAAATATGCCACTCAAAGGATGCGAAGAACGCATTTACATTCGTCGTCAAAGACCGGAAATACGAGGCGCGTACCTAAGCTAAAGCAGGGCAGGGCATACGGTAGGATCATTGACATCAACAGGGGAATTAAACGACTGGTACTGAATGCAGATGCTGTCGAGGGTGAGTACGTAGGTGCTGCGAACGATCGTGAATATATACCATAAATACTTCTGTACAATAACCGCAGGCGTTCGTTTCATTGTGGGGATTCCAGAGTTGTCCACCAGGGGAGCAGAGGGATGAGGGGAAGATGATTTACGCATCGCGGACGCCGATGCGCACGAAGAGGGTAGAGAATAGATATTGCGAGAGATGGGCGTCGTGGAGGGGCAAGTGGCGGTAACCTGGAAAGCAGCGTCAGCATAGAAAGACGGAAAGTCGAGATCGCAGACATTTACCCCGCGCAAGTGCCCCCAAACTAGAGCAATACACAGCGAGCGGCATATCGTCCTCGTCGGCAGTCCCAGCCTCCTGCTTCACCTCGAAGCGCACGAAGATCAGATCGTACATATCCTCTCCGCCCGCGACAGAGAAGGGGATCAGGAGCCGCTGCTCCCACACCGGGTTGAAACCGTTCGCGCGGACTGTCCCCGTGCGCACGAAGACACGCTTGGCCGCGGGCTCGCCGCTCTCGAAGGGAGAGTCGCGTCCGCTGCCGCTGCCAGGCGCGCGCTGCAGGAGGTGCCACTCGGGGACGTGGATGCTGACCTCGACGTAAGGGTCGACGATGCCGAGGATCTCGCGCCCGGTCGCGTCCTTCGCTCGAGGCAGCTGTTGCGCAGAGATGATCTCGACATCGAATATGCGTCCGGCGGTGTTGGCAAACAGATCCCTGGTAGGTGCGCGAAGCGGTGAGGGCTTCAAGACATATCCTCGCCGTCCATTCCGCTGGAACATGGCGTGGTTGAGCATGTACGTTAAGTCTACAAAGAATGTCAGCATCCATATTCACCAACCCTGGGGTGTTTCACTCACCAAAGGTCTGCCAGTTGATAGCCACGACCTGCGCGCCTGCACACCAGTACCGCACGACCGCCTCCGCCGGGAAGTTGCTCGAGCTGACACGCGTCCCTCGCGGGTACACCCGTACCAAATGATCGCGGCAATGCTTTGCCAAGTCCAGCATCCCCGTCGGCGTCTTCAGAAGCATCTTGTTCGCCCGGTTTTCAGAGAGCGAGAACATGTGCGACGGCTCGTACGTCTCCTTCTTGTTCAGCCCGCGACACTTGACGCCCATCGTGTACACCAGCAGCGCAAGCAGCTCGCGCGCCATCTTGGGCTTTGCGGGAGTGGTGGTGGTGCTGTTCTCAGACTGTCGGCGCGACATGCTGGAGTTGCGCCAGTGCATGGAGGGTGGGGACGAAGAGATGGCGCCGTTGAGCGCTGCGGGAGCGGAGGCAGCCGAGGTGCGTGCGGCACTCGAGTTCGACCTACGTGTGCGTACACGCTGGAGTATACCCTTTGAGAAGTCTACAAGGGTCATAAGTACATATCCATAATCGGATGAATCACAACTAACCTTTCACCGTGCTGGCATACTCCGATATCCCAGCCGCCTCGAGGAAGTCCGACTCCGAGGTGGTCGTCGATGTCAGCTCGAGGTCCGGCGGCGCGTCCGGGTTGCGAGACTGGCCCACATACACGTTCTTCGACTTGAGCAAGATCTTCCCACGCAGCTCCTCCGGACTCGGCAAGTGGTCTACCTTCCAACCATCCTCGGGCACGTCCTCGAGCGGTACGCGCACCAGCGTGTCCCCGAACTCCTCGATCATGACGCGCGCGACCTGCACCTGTCCGAGCACGCTGCAGTGCATCTCCGCCGAGATGATGAGCGGGTACGGGCTCGCCACGAAGCCGTACTTCGCGATCGCCGCGCACACTGAGCGCAGCGGCACCTTGCTCACGAGCGTCTTCCCATGGAAAATCAGAGGCTCCGAGCTCGGTGTCGGGCCGTCGTAGATGTCGACCTCGACGCTGCGGCAACCACTAAGGAGCGCGCGAATGTAGCCCTCGACCGTGCTGACGCCGACGAGCTGGTGGCCAACGAGGTAAGTATTATGTGATGAGGAAATATAGTATTCAGACAAAGGCCGGGTCATGTCATGAGTTGAACCATCGTCCAGCGCCGCATTATCGGAAGACATCAGGAAGTTGGTGAACGCGTCCAGAGTAAGGCATGGTGGGGAACCGGGAGAGTCAGAGGGCGGGGTGGTCGGAGACGTCTGAGCGGTATGCTTGTCGTAAATGGCGCGTAGCTCCACCTCGGTGAGCGTCGACTCCTGCTCTTCGCGCATGAATTTGGCGAATGTCTCGAAGTCGAACGCGCCACCGGCGGCTAATTTCTTGTAAAGCCGCTCGACTTCCGGACGCGCTTTGAGCAGCTTGACAAAGAATCGGAAGTCGTCGAAGTCAAGGTAGTTGCGCCCCTGGCGATCTGCTTGCTTGAATAGACGCTGAAGATCCTCCGACGCCGAGTTGATATTCAGCTGGCGGCAGAGCTTCTGCACTTCCTCGAAGACGAGCACGTGATCACGCTGCTCGTCGGCACGCGTCCAGTACTGACGTTCCCAAACGGCCTGACGCATCTCGCCGTGATCGAGACCGGTCATGAGCGCGGCGCGGATGGTGTGAAGCTGGCGGAGAGTGCGGTCCCACATTGTGAACGCGTCGTGCGTGGGAGCAATGAGATGCAGGGTCTTGTAGTTGCCAGCAAGCACGTAGATGATCGTGAGCCACCGGTTCTCGTACTCTTCTGAGAGCTGGAAGTGCTGCCTGTGCAGGCGCGCATCCGCGCCCGTACGAATCTCCTTGATATTCTCGATCGGGACTAGGGGGAACGGTTAGCATGCGCGGTGGCGGCGAGGGGGTCGGTCACACGCACTGAATCGGTGTATCCTCCCCTCCCAGACGATATGCCCAATGTCTGCGTCGACGCGGAAGATGACGCGCTTGCGCTTCTTGTTCGTGACCTTGTCCATCGGCGTCCCGTCCTTGAGCATCTGCGGCACGACGACATCAGACGTGGGCGCGGGGGCGGGGGGATCGCTGTGCTGCGGTGTGCCGATGAGCGCCACGTCGGCTGACGCTGAGCGCTTGGGGGGCTGCGGGGGTTCCACGGGGGTCACCGCGCTCGAGCTGGAGCGCACGCGCCGCATGTACTTGTGGTCGCGAACCTCCTTGTACTTGCGGCGGATGGAGTCCGTGATGCGTCCTCTGCCCACCTTGCGCGGTGCCGGGGACTGGGTGTCGACGAGCTCGCGCATCACGGGCTGGCCGTTGGGCGCGAGCAGATTCGATGCGCGACGAAGCGCCCGCCCTGCGAGCGTGGGCGCGCGATCCGGTTGCGACATGCCTTCCGTTCTCTCGCACGCTTGGCTAGAAGCCAGAGACCGTTCAGTGCAGTGGCTGGATGCACGCCCACTGCACGATTCGTCGCCCGAGGTTGAAAGATAAAGGGGGGCCTTATATGTGCAGATGGAGGGAGAGAAAGAGCAGTAGAAAGGGACAAATATTTGCAATATTTCCAGTCAGGCTTCTCGCCGGCGGGCGCTTGTCGTAAAGATTGGCGCCCATGCCTTTCGAACCCGTCAGAGGCCTTCAAGCTTCAGTACGCTTCAGTACCAGCAAAGGCTCAAGGAGGTGGGAGGCAGGCTGCGCGTGCCAAGCCCACTTCACCCCTCATATGGTTTATCGGGCACACGTGCCGACTATGTATATGAGCCCGATTGTGAGCTTGGAAATACCAGGCGAGCACTACCAGTTCCTGCACTATCATAGTTTGGGAATGGGTCGCAACCTTGCCTGAAGTCCATCGGGCTAACTGGAATATTTCTGCCACCTAGCTTGAGTCACGCCGACAAGTATGCACCGCTATAGCCCGCCAGCTTTCCTCCGAGCTTCCATCCCGAGCTGTTTCGGGACGCCCAGCGGGTCCTCGAGGCAAGCCGGAAGCTGTCCGTGAGCACGATTACCACGCCCGGTTATCCTCGTCCATCATCTCCGCCTACAATTAACTCATTAGCACCCCACTACCCGCAGCGACGTCGAATTGTGTACGCACCCGGATCCCGCTGCCGTGCGTAGGCAGCGCGGTATACGTTTCACGGCGCGTGCGAATCTGTAATCGCTGGTCAGTTGTCCCCCACTTCTTCATCACCAAGTTGACTATGAAGACCCAGCACGGGCTAGGGGCCGAGTATCCGATGAATGCACACTGTGGACCCCATACCGGGTTACAGTCACCGGTGCCTTCACCCGATAACATGGTCGTGTCCCAAATTCACCCACTGCGATGGTTAAAACATGGTTGAGCAGGGTAGAAACAGGGTGAATTAGGTATTTCGATCAGATTGTGGGCTATCACCTATAGATTGCTGCAGGACTGAGAAATTCGTGACTGCGATACAATTACCTGCTGCTGATGAGTACGAATACCAACTTTTTGCTGTGTCAGCGCCATAACATGAGGCCTGCTTTTGCCTTCGGTCTTACCGTGGCCAGCAATCAAGAGAAAATGGTCTGAAGATACAGTATAAATATGTGCGCACCAGTGTAGATGATATCACGCGTGAGGAAGGCCGTTCACGGCTGCTACAAGTCGGCTACAAGCTCACTTGTGATCATAGGCCAGACGCGACGAAATCTCTAAGTCCGTCTGTCACGTGCACCAAAAATGATGACGCCACGTCTAGCGGTCAAAGCGGAGCGTTCGTTGTCTTCTCCCACCACTCCTCTGGCTCATGACGCCTTCAGTTTTGACGCTCCCCGTGCCCTCGGAGCGAGAGCAAGACCAGAAAGACGTGACAGGTGCGGGAAGGGTGCGGAAAACAAGCCGTGGGCCCTCGTCATAGCCCCAGCGCGATGTAGCTAAGGTGCGTGCTCAGCTACGTGCGCCCGTCATACGTACTGACACCATTGCAGAATCGTGCCCAACTTACCAGTATTGTAAGGGCGCCACGCGCCCGGTCGCGCATGCCTTCCCGTCATTGCTCGCGGGTGGTGCCCCACGCCCTCGACATGGCTTTACTTCCCATACATCCCTATGTACGACCCCTTGTGCCCCAATAGTCTCTAATGCTTGCCCTCTATACATTTTTGCATACTCGTTCATAGCTCTTCTCATCTGAATGCCCTGTAAGTAGCAAAACGGCCTCGCGGACTACACCTGGTTGCGCCGTAATTCACCCAACCAGCGGGTTCTGACCGGGCTCTTCTCACTCATCAATTCACCCCGCTTTCAGGGTGCTTTCACCTACTCGAGTCACCGTGTCTTACGGTTAAAATTCCTTGACTTCACTCGGTTTATTGGTCATTTTTACTGCTTTTATCGGGTGAAAAGTCGGGTGGCTACAACCCGGTTTGGGGTCCACAGTGGCAGAAATACTCACCGACCGCACCTTCCGCGGGCGAAGCACCTATAAACGAGCAATCGGTCAGACCTCGGGGGCGCCACTGGCTCTCAAATGCACTCACCTTTGCCAGCTTCCCCCACACGGTATTCAACGCCGGACCCAATCGTCTGCCCATCATCTTGCCTAGCGTCCCGTGCTCGTCGTTAGCTGAGCTCAGTCGGGGGAACCCAAGCCCCGTAGTCAAGATGAAGGTAGAGAGAGACTACCAGACGACCCAGTGACCGCCGCCTCCTTCCAAAGATCGTGCCTTGCGCGGACCTGCTCACGCGCCAAGCCCGAAGTTCGAAGTTCAACTACTCGCGTGACGAGGACGTGACGAAGTTCAACCAGTCACGCAAGTCAGCTTCTTTGCCACATACCGCAACTGCTCTTACCGAGCAGTACTCAAAGTATACTAGAACATGCATCTCTACCTGACTTACAGCTGTCATCATCTCAGGCGCACTGGGCCTCGAGTGAACAGCAAATGATCTCTCATCGCTCTATATGGTCTTGAATTGCCCGGCAGGTCATCTCTGCTGCCACGACCCTAGTTCTAATCCGCTGAAAACAGACTGGTAGGAATACCCAGGATTGCCGCGGAACTCCACGAATCCCATATCGCGGGTAATCCGCACAAATCCGTGGAATTCCAACGTTCGATCACTCCCGGTCCGAGGTCCGATGTTCAACTTTTCACGTGATGTGGCTCCGCCATTGTTTGCGCATGCTTGCACTGTTTCTCTCGCTCACGTCTTGTGTGAGATATGAGTATACGATATAGTATATCATAGACGCTGATATTGTCGCATATAAGCGCTATACATAATGTAAATATGTAGAAATCCACCTGGCCTCTACACTTGTGGCATATGATGTGCATGACAGACTGAAAGTGTCCGTACAACAGCAAACAGCTACAACAACAACGAAGCGAACAGGAATACAAACAAGAAAGAAGTGGGAGTAGATGATAAGAGGAGGAAGCAAAAAGGAAGGAGTATACAACGAGAATAAGTAGATTATAGGAATGCAATGATACACGCACTTTACACGCAGGCAGTGAGCTTGAAGGCACGCCCGCTGCCAGATATATTCTACAACCCGCGCGCTAGATCCGGCGCTACACTCACATATCCCGCCCTAAGTCTGCACCCGCAACGCCGGCTGCCCTCCCGGATACGCAGGTGGCGGCTCCTTAGGCGGAAGCGCCTCCTCCTCTTCCTCCTCCTCTGCCTCCCGCACCGTCGCCATATCATCCACAGGCTTCATCGCGTCCACCCGCTCCACCGATGCCCGCCCCTCCCTCGCCCGCGCCGCCATCTCCTCCAGCCGCCGCAGCACGTCTACCTCACCTTGCACGACGACGCCGTCGAGCCACGGATGCTTGACGAGTTCGGACGCGGGCGCGCGCCGATCAGGGTACAGCTGCAGCATCGGCGTCAGGAAGGCGGCCAGCGCCTCGGCCTCGGGCCGCGGGAACAGGTACTTGTCGTGCAGCACCGCGTCGAGCGGCCAGTAGCGTAGCTTTGATATGTGCCGGAGCTCGCCTTTGCGGTTGAAGAACTCGCTAGAATATTTTCCGGCGAAGGCGATGGATTTGGGGATGTCGCCCATGAGCTCCATGATTTGCGCGATGTGGTCGTCGTCCTTGCTGTATTTTGAACCGGACGCAGGGTCGAATAGATAATCGCCACCTGTTATCAACTCGAAGATCTGCAGGAATACTTCAGTGGGCGGCACAATATGTGCTGCGTAAGATACTGACAATGCAGGCCACACTCCAGATGTCCGCGCTTGGTCCCCACTTTGCGCCAAGGATAACTTCTGGACAGCGATATTGCCTTGTCTGGATGTCGTCCGTAAAATGATGCTCGACCCAAGTCGCGTTCCCCAAGTCCGCGATCTTTACCGTTATCTTCTCCGTCGCGCTCAGCAGCGCCGCAGCCTCCTCGTCCTCGGGCTTCGGCGTCGCGATCTCGGGCGGTACCGCGTCCGCCGGCGCCTGCTGCGATAGCAGCGACGGCCCCGGCCCCGGCGGCTTCCCGTTCAGCGCGATACCGGCCATGGCGTCGCTGATCTGATCCGCCGCCGCTGCCGCCGCCGCGTTCGCGTTCCGCTCGTCCCCGCCCGCCTGGCGCGCCTCCGCCGCCTCCGAGCCCGTCGAGTCCTGGTTCGCGATCTTCGTCATCCCGAAGCCCCACTTGTCGACGCTGGACGCGCCGGCGCTGCCCGGGCCGTTCCACAGGCTGCTCAGGCTGCTCGTCGACGAGGGGGAGGGCAGCGGCTGCGAGCCTGTGATAAACACCGACTCCACGCGCGGCGTCTGGTTGCCCCCGCGCCCCTTTGACGGCGGGACGCCGACGAGTTTGGTCCGCGGGGCCGAGGAAGAGGGGGAGGGCGCCGCGCTCGCAGCGAGCTCGGCCTCGATGATGGACTCGACGTCGTCGATGGCAATCAGCACGTTCTCGGGCTTCAAGTCTGCAGGACGTCATAGGCGTAAGCCGTGGCGCGGGGCAACGCTAGCGACACACACACCGGTATGGATGACGCCGCAACAGCGATGCATGTAATCAAGGCCGAGGAGGACCTGCTTCGCTATCTGGCGCACGAGGGGCATAGGGACGCCCTTGTGCTGGTGCCGCTTGATGAGGCCGAGTAGGTTCTCGCCCAGGACCTCGAAAACCATGCATACATGGGTCCCGTTAGGCCCCTTGTGGCGGAAATGGTCGAGGAAGCTGATGACGTGCGAGCGTCCCGGGTGCGTCTGTGATGGGGAAGGAGGGGGATTAGGGTTCTCCGGTGTTGCTGGAGCTGGGGGATTGTTGGACGTGATCAGCCGTTGTAGCAGCTTGATCTCATCCAATGCGGTCTCCGTGTACCGTGGCGCAGATTTGACGATCTTGAGCGCGACATGGCGATTCAACCTCCAAGGTCTTCAGCGATAGACATCCTGCTTAGCGCGCACACGCACCTGGTGTCCTTCGCCAGCCATACGGTCGAAAAATGTCCCCAGCCGAGCTTGCGCACGACTAGGTATCGTCCGTCGGAAAACGTGTCGCCAATCTTGACGGGGTGGTAGCCTCCCTTCACATAATCCTCCCAATCCTCCTCGTCCTCTGTCATGATGGATGCTGAAGAATAGGAACTAGCGTGGGATTCCATGGTGTTGATGACGGATATGCAAATGTCCTGCGGGTATTGGCGCTCGAGATAAGCTGGGTGCAAAAGTGCGATAAGCAACCATGCGTTTCGGACCGACCTTGAACACGGCTCTGGAGGGTCGGGATAGGTGGGGGATCGGCGTGTACAGCAGCAGTGGCTTCAAAAACGCGAGGAGAAACGCGGGGGGCACGCTGACTGTCGTTCTAGGTCCGACGCGATGGTTCGTGTAAAGAGCCGCCTTGCGGATCTAATTGCTGTGTTGCTGGGACAGTGCACTTGGTCATGTGCTTTCTGTAACAGGATAACCGGGGTGTGTGAGCGGCCCTCTGAGTTTCGGCCTCTGCAGAATATAAATGGAGGGCGGGGTCAAGGAGGGGCTTGTTTGTGTTTGTTTCCGGCCCTGTTCGCACGTCTTTCGCCAATTTAGGAAATAGGCGCCTGTCGCGAAAACCAAATACCTGTTCGCCGATGGCGACACTCTTGGACATCATGGCATGAGGCACATTGAGCCTTGAGTAGACTAGCGGCAGTCTTTTACTCTTTATCGGTGCCAAGGCGACGATTGTTCGCCATACAGTCCGCTAATCAAGAAGTAGCATAGCTCCATAGTACAGGATCGATCCATCCTACGATAGGGCCAACACCTTTCATATCTTGTTCAGGCGGCCTTCCGCTTCTGCCACTCCGTTGCCATGGATTCCTTCAGCTCAATTTTCAGCACCTTACCCGCCGCATTGCGCTCTGGAAGCCTGTTAGCGTCGACGACATCCGATCAATTCCAGACAACTCACTCAAGGGCTCGTTCGTCAAGACGATCATGAGCGGGACCGCATGCTTGGGCAACCTGTTGGTGTTCATCAGCATCCTGTATACTAACCGACTAACGAACACGTGCTTCTTCCTTAGTAACTCAAGCAGCCCCTCCTCCGTCACTTGCTCGCGATGACCTTCCTTAACCACCGCCACCGCGACAGGAAGCTCCCCCGAGCGCTCATCCGGGACCGGTACAGCAGCGGCCTCCGAGACGCCAGGATGGGCGTATAGCGCGTTCTCGATCGAGATACTCCCCTACGATATACGATGAGGACTGGAACTCACTTAGTAGGTGAAGAGCGACGTACAACGTTCAATCCGTCCCGGATGATCATGTCTTTCTCTACGTTCCGTCGTCAGCCACAGCGATCAGAACTCGCGGGCAGGAAGACTCGACACGCACTCCGATCAGTGATATACACGAAGCCCTCCGCGCACACGGCGCCTATGTCGCCCGTCTTGCACCAGCCGTCCTTGGTCATGAATTTCGCGGTCGCTTCTACAATTTGGTCAGTCTTCGAAGTAGCGTATTCAATCAGTGATAGTTGGAGTCTCTCGAAGGACAGCCTTTCTACTTACCCGGATCGCCATAATAACACTTCATCGCGTTCGGCCCGCGCACCCAGATCTCGCCCGTATGGCCTGGCGGCAGCTTTCTCCCATTCTCGTCCACCACCATAGCGTCGACGACGGGGACGCGGGTGCCGCTAGAGGACGAGGCCAAGTGAGCTATCGTATAGTTCGATAGCGAGCCAGAGCATTCCGGTAGCGAGACAGGGCAACCCGGTAGCGAGCCAGAGCATTACGGACGCCACAAGCAAGCCAGGGCATCCCGAAAGCCACAAGCAAGCCTAAAAGGGCACACTCACCAACTCAGCGGCCGAGCGGAGAAGTCTTCCGCGGCTGCATAGGTTCAACTGAAGCTGAGCCTTCTCGTGAACGGTAAAGCAAAGGCACGCACAAGTAGTCACACACGACGCGTTCATCTCCGTCATCCCGTAGCCTTGGCCTCTGTGGGGCGACATGTCAGCGTCGATTTCTCCCTGCTTCTCCCCACATCTCCTCCTCCTGTTCCCTCCGCTTGATTTCCCTCCGCCTAATTTCCCAACCCCGTTTCGCAGCCCAGTATCCCACCCCTTCTTCTTCCCATCGCCTCCCAAAACATAGCTACAAATCCTACCCCATGAACTCACATCATCGCCCCCGGAAACGCCTCCCTTGCCCTCCGCGCAAAGTCCTTGTGCACCGCGCCCCCGGCAACGCCGACGGTGATAAACCGATGACCCTGCAGCTCGGTGCTCGCCAGATCGATGAGGTCGTGAATGGCGTTCTGGGTGCTGATGTTGTTCGAAGGGATGTAAGAACGAAGATCGACGGAATGTAAGAACGAAGATCGACGAAATGTAAGAAAGAAAAGACGATAAAACAGAAGTAAGATATTTACGCAGAGACGAACTTGATGTCTTCTTTCCTGATGAGGCTGTGAATGCGACGTGTATTGGTGTTCGTTCGAAGGGCGGGATATTGCAGAGCGTACCTTGCCACTAGAAAGAAAGTGTGAGTTCTTGTCAGAAAGGCGGGTAGTAATGCAATGAAGACACGACGCACACTCCGAAGGCTTGTACTCTCTCACATAGACAAGCTTCGCGCCCATAAAGGTCGCTAGCAGCTACGAAGATGCTTTGGTTAACTTCGGGCTGAACTCTCTGAGTCGGTCACTTACACCGAGGGATATACCTGTAGCTCATCAACACCCTCATCGACCATCTAGCATACAACGTACCAATAGCACCGAATATAGGCGTCGGGTAGAATACGCCCATCGGCGGAGGGATGATGCCCGAGACGGGCTTCTCCCCGCGACGTATTGTAGCGCGGTGGCCGTTGGAGATGACCTGCGAGCGATATCTTAGCCTGTCTGGTAGCCAAAGCTAGCGAGAGCAAAAGTCACGTTGAACAAGTTCGTCAACAGTGCGCGTTGCGTGCTCAGACAGGCCTCTGGTCATATATTCATCAGTTAGTCTGACTTGAAAGAAAAGAAAAACATAAAACTAAGGATCACCCACTCGGCATCAGACTCCCCGTCCCGCTCGAGAACAGTATGATCGCGTCGTCCTCGGGAACGATCCCCGGGTCGTTACTGGCCACATCCACCCCATCGCCCTCGTACTTCGCGAGCTCGTCCGAATAGGACTTCGTGCCCTTCCACCATCCTTTGCCCTCGTGGCTCTCGAGGACGAGGACGTCTTTGGCGTGTGTGGTGTTGAGCAGGTCGTCGATTGCCGGCTCGAGGAGGTCGGCGCGCTCGGGGTCGAGCAGGATAAGCTTGCAGTCGCAGAGGATGATGGAGTGTTTGATACTTTCTTGGGTCAGGGTGCTTGTTTGACTTGAGTTCAGCGTGAAGAATCATAAGAGTGACGAAACGGCTCACCAGTTGACGAGGGCGGGCACGGCCCCGAGGAGGTCTGAAAATGCTATCGTAGGATCGCAAGTCAAGGGAAAATTGCTGACTTACGACAGGCCCAGAACACAACGAGGTAATCCGGGATATTCCTCGAGACGATCCCCACATGGTCGCCTGTAAAGGTTCCATTCTCAAATCCTATTCCACCACCCCATCACAGCAAACCTACCTTTACCAATCCCATAAGCATCCCGGAACATTGCCGCCGTCTTTAGCGCCTGCTCATGGGCCGCACGGAACGTGTATCGCTGCTCTTCGAACACCACATACTCCCGATCGCCGTACATCCGCACGACCTGCAGCCACAGCGCACGGCACGACGCCGGCAGGTTCTTGTACACGCTGTACACCCGCCCATCGATGCACGCCGTCTCCGTCTCAAGCAGCGCACCAGGCGCGGTCATCAAGCGCAAAGCTATCACATTCAAATGACACCGCGTCAGTCCTAACTCGCGACCCAGGCAAGCTAGCAAAACGCACTCTCTTCGACGGTGTTCTTCGGGATCCAGGGCTCGTCAGACATGGTGTTTGCGTTGCGGTAGACGACAAGAAGCGCCGCATCTTATACCGCCTGATGAACTCCGCCATAAATGCCCACGGAGGACGGAACACGGGGAGGTGATTCGGCATGAGGGCCATGTGATGGATTCTGATTCCGCGCTCGGCGGACCCCGAAACAGATCCCCATTCAGCTTATGGTGCGCGACCGCGCCCAGCCTTCCGCGGGTGCTGTCCCCCATCGCGAACTGCTGATCAGGTTCTACCTCAGTCCCCAGTACTGGAGTGTTTCCACCCGAGCATCAGCGGCGGGAATATAAATGGGATAAATATATCGATGCGTACAACACTGCTCGATAAACCGATGCAAGTCTGGATCCTCTAAGGCTATGGCTTGTCGCTCTCACCCCAGTCATCTCTCTGACTGCGCTCAGATATCCTCGTAGCACTCGACCCGGTCCCCTCCGTCGCTAATCTGTCGATATGTATCTCGACGGAATGTGGCGGGTAGGATGTCGTCCCGCCGAAACGCATGCCACTGACGGCGAAGCCCGTCGTGGTCGTTCTTGCCCTGCCGCCCCGCACGCCCTTCTCTATCCTCTGAAGCGCCGCGCACACGATGATGAGGTAGAAGGTGAGCGGTATGAGCTGGCCGATCTGTGGTGGTTGGTAAGGTCAGGCTGGGGAGAAGGGGATAGTGGCGATGCTAGTACACACGAAATCGACGAGGATGTATGTCGCGGGCACGGTGGCGACGGTGAAGACGGTGATCATGGCAATGTTTGCGATGGCGTAGAGCGCGCCGCACTCGACGACGACGAGGAGGATGGGCCAGACGGAGGTGCGGCCGTCCGTGGACGAACTCGAGTTGCTGAAGTTGTAAGAGTGGACGATCCAGAGTTTGCGCGCAAGGAGGCCTAAGGGCGGGATCAGTTAAAGGTACGCGCTGGGTACGTAATCGAGACGCACCTGTCGAGATAAAGGTGGTGGCAAGGGTCGTAGAGTAGAATGCTGTTATCCACGCAATCGAGTATTGCTGCGCGACCACGTCCTCCACGGAGACGCTTGCCAGTCTTATTGTGGCCCATAGGGAGAAAGAGCCGGAGACTGCGCGAGGTGCGATTAGCTTTCGAGATTGAGGGAGGCTACTGAGTGACGCACTGACGGTGCCGACCCAGCACACGCAGGGGAATGCGATGATCCACCAATTTCGGTAGAGCACCCAGCATCGGTAGATCTGCGTGTAACGGCTCAGGAACTGGGCTTCGGGGGCGCGGAGTTGGGTCCACCCACCAGGATTGCGTCCGCCAGCGCAGTCTCGAGAAGGTTTATCGTGTTCTTCGCCTTCTCCCTCGTGATGTCCGAGAAGTAGACCTTGGCCTCGCCGGCGTTGCCAATGAGGCCGATGTACGTATTCCTGGAGTCCACGACGACATGCTGCGCAGAGTCATCAGATACATCGTCATGAGGGGGGAGGAGGGGGTGCTCACCGCCGTGCTCAGCGCGAAGAGGGCGAACGCAGCAGGGTACCAGATCCGCGAGGCGTGCTGGGACCCCTTTAGCGCCCAGATAGTCGTCGCGAACAACGGGAGCGAGATGCCGTACACGATAGACTGGGAAATGATAGCGATGAGGTGCGAGCCGTCCACTTCGAGCGGCATGGTGACGGCGGGTACAGAGAAGTCCAGCCTACGTAGGCGCCGTCGTCGTCGTTTGCGCGGGCGTTCGGGAGTTCGCCGGCGTAAGACGGAGGAGGCGCATGATCAGTCTGGGAAGCGTACTCCACGAAAACCTTGTCCGAGGTAAGACATTCGACTAACATCACGTGACTTGCGATTCGTTTCCCACGGCCCGGCGCGCCAGAAGACGTTGCCACCCAGTGACCTGTGTGACTCCAGGCGAGAATCAGGGAAAGGGGGAACGTGTAGAATGCCTTTAGGCACCTGATTGTCTGGCCATCCACATTCTGACTGTTGTGGTCTGACTTGTGAATGACCCACTGTAAGTAAGCTATGTTACACCTACATCGAATTGTACCTTCAATTTTTTTCCACCATGTCTCTGGCGTCACCGATCGTCTTCGTATTGCCCCGGAAACCAGCTCAGAGGGCCGTTAGCATTCTTGCATCTGCGGGGTGAGGTCGCGTCCAAATATCGTGATTTTTGGTAATCAGGTGCCTAAAGGTATTCTACACGTTCCCCCTTTCCCTAATTCTCGCCTGGAGTCACACAGGTCACTGGGTGGCAACGTCTTCTGTTAGTCGAATCTGCATCAGCCGTGTCTTATTGATGAAAAGCATGATCGTGCCGACGTTAGCAGCCGAGAATGATGGATCCGAGGAAGGCAAAAGACGTCTCCTCCCAGAGCGAGCCGAGATGCAGCAGAACGGTTCGGTCTTTGAGAGGGATATCACAACATATCGGGCGCGACCTTCAGAAGGCGGTTTCTTGCATTCAGCGCCAGCAATTGCGGCCGCGTGATGCTTCGAAGTGAATTGAGTTGGTCGGAAAGGTGGGAAAAGGGTGCGGATATACAGCCGGACGATCCCAGCCTGCAGTGAGCTCTAATCGCTGTTCGTGAAGGAAAGTCGAGAGCGAAGGTCTTGAATAGCGGCTTCGTAGCCCTGGAACGTACGAGTACTTGGTCCAAGTTGAACTTCGGCTCCAGCCGATTCGCACGAGATCTAATTACGTAAGTGAAGGTGCAATGTCTCTTCCGCAGGTTGTTTGTTCCCTCACGCTCTCAGAGGTCAATGAAGATCATCACTTCTTTTTCAACTTGCTTCTCTACCTGGAACTGTGTTACCGAATTTATCTCAAGGCGACTTTGCATCTCGTCCACGGCAGCGCCTAACTGCGTGCTCCAGCTCGATTCCTTTAGTGCAAGCGCCCGCCCAGCCTGGCGACCAACAGAAGAATGATCCCAGCGCATCGACAGATATCTTCTGGTTCTGATGTCAAGCTTTTTGCGGCGAGATGCAGTGGTGCGGCGAGGTCGACACGCGTTCGGGCGTTGCAACATTGTCAGGCCGCCGCATCGCACGCGCACAGGGTCTGTCATAAAAGGTGTACGCGCTTTTTTCCGACATCCTTCTAGTCTCCGTTGGCGTCATCTTCAACATTGCAAGCTGTCAACTATGCTTAGCGTGTCTATACCTGATGCCGCGCGACGCGTTTTGCTCGGAATACGGCGCGCCCGTGACAGGGTGGTCGACGTGCTATTGCTCGTCTATCTGTTCACCGAGGCGGATCTAACCGCGGTGGTCATGCCAGTGGTGGGCACGTTCCTTGTTCTCCTCGGTCTCCGGATTATCCTGATGCGGTCCCGCAGTTGGTCATGAGTGCTGTTCTGTCGGAGTCGACAGACATAGGCGCCTTCCTCATCGGGCTTCTTTGGATGTTCTGTCATTTGGTGGGATTTGAGGTGCGACGTTGCATGCCGAGGCTTGACGTAAACTGCTGAGCGGGCGTACAGATAGGCAATCAAGTCAGTGCGACGCTGCTGCTTCCGATTCGGCTTGCGGCACGCCTGGATTGACGCGGTAAACAGATTGTCGGGCAGGACGAAGACAAGCTTTCAAAACCTCGTCGGCCCATCCCGTCAGGGCGTATCACGACAGAGCGGGCCAAAACTCTGTACTATGGCGTCCTCGCCCTCTCCTTGCTCTTCAGCTATCGCGTGGGCCTCCTCCGACTTAGCCTTATATATTTTACGGGCGTTGTTGCGTACAACGAAGGACGGTGCGCGCGCTGGTGGTGGTCAAAGTCGCTCATGGGCGCCTGCGGCTACTTCATCTACACCTGGGGACTCTTAACATGCATGGGTACGATTTCCACTCCATACGGCAGACCGATCCCTCGACTGATTATGCGGCCTCATAGCGCACGGCAACCCCCCATCGAAGTCAGCGACGCAGGCCCTGCTTACGACAGGGCTTATCTTCGCGACGACGGTACGTCGGACGGCTTCCCAGGCATCGCTTATCCCGCGCCTGACATACTCTTTCGCAGGGCCAGGCGCAGGACTTCCGCGACCGTGAGGGCGACGCAGCCATCGGGCGCAAGACATTGCCGATCGTATTGCCGCAGAAACTGGCGAGGTGGTCGCTGGTGGTGCTTCTTTTCTCCTGGACGGCCGGGCTCACGTACCTCTGGCACCCGCCGCTTCTCATGAGCGTATTGGTATATGCATTGGCGGGTGCGGCAGCGGTGGGTTTTACCAGCGATTATTCGGAGAAGGCGGACCGTAGGTCGTATTGGTGGTATAATGTGAGTGGTCCGTCGCCCGAACTATGGACCGACGTGCTGACTGCTTCTACTCTACAGATGTGGTTGTGCGCATGTCATCTATTACCTCTTTCGCAAAGATTCAGCCAAGCGCGCTGACCATGACGGTGTAGACCTGTAGAATATTTATTGGGTCCCGCTAGTGACGCATGCAGTATGCAGCCCGCGCTCGTTCCAGTCGATCACGATAGCATCAAGCGGTATGCTCATAGGTGGTCGGTGGCCGCCACGATTGGTGGTCCAGTAAACGCGAGACGTCACGCGTCCGCTCGCCTCTTCGCGTATCACAAGGGTATCGCCTCGTGACAACGCCTTTCAAGAGCTCGCCACGTCCGCTCTCGAACTTGAGGACGTATCTTTCTTCCCTACGTCCCTTTCATCCCCTTTTGCTCTGATACTGTGGTCACCTCCCCTGCGTCTCACCTTGATTCTCAAAACTAACGACCATGCCACGCGGTGTCCGCGTCGACGTCGCCGAGCGTCTCAGCGCCAACTCCAAGTCCGCCTCTCGTGCTGCTCACGACCATCCACTCTACGACCCCTCCACCGACCCCGAGCGCCGAGAGGGCATCCAAGGGCGCAAGATGCTCTTCTGCGAGTACATGTCCATGACCTACTCCCCCGAGGACCTCATCCAGGTCTGCGACAACTGCCTGCAGTACTCCGCGCGCTGCTGCCAGCACGACCACACAGGCAAGGCCTGCCACCACTTCCGCCTCATCTTCACGGACGGCGCGTGCGCGGGGAATGGGAAGGGCGGCGCCGCTGCGGGTGGGCCTTTGTTCTTCATTCATTCATAGAGATAAGCAGCCCCTGACCTTACACAGGCATCGGCGTCGTCCTCGGCAAGATCGGTCGCGGCATCGACTCCTTCGCCTACGCCGTGACTGAGAAGATGGACCCTGGTCAGCGGCGCACCAGCCAGCGCGCCGAGCTCGTCGCCGCCCTCGCAGGCGTGCGCCGCTCCATGCACGCCGACGTGCACGACTACGATGACTACAACGATTCCGTGCCCAAGGAGCGCATCATCGCCACGGACTCCGAGTACGTCGTCCGCGGGATCACGGAGTGGCTACCCCAGTGGAAGGTGTGTTGGATGTCTATTCGAGCACGCGGATCCATCGAGTGCATCGGTTGAGGCTACAAGCTCACGATTTCATAGCGCAACGGCTGGCGCACCTCCCTCGGCGCGACTCCGGCCAACCTGGACCTCTTCCTGCAGCTTGAGCGCGAGATGGAGGACCTGGAGGTGGAGAATAACGTCAAGTTTGGATTCTGGCACGTGCCTCGGCACCTCAACCAGGAGGCGGACAAGCTGGCGAAGATTGGCGCGGCAGCGGCGCAGAAGAAGGCGAGCGCGGCCGCCAACTAGGCGGAAATGTATGTCGATACGAAGCGCAGCTGAGTAAATCGGCATTCGAGAAGCGCGCGTTCGAGGGTGGTCAGTATCTTGAGGACGAGGGGGGGCGTACGTTCACGTATTTTGTGTTTCTTTCTGATGACAGTAACGACTTGCACGGTGATCCGAGCGCATGTCCAGGGATCCGGTGCATTGCAGTTATCAGTGTGCATTCACGAGCAGGCAGCCCACCATCAGCGCGGCACCACAAACCGCTGAACACGTCCAGAGCTTGGAAACGTCAGACCTCGCGCCCACCAACCAGGCTGTCTATCCGACAGCTTCGTCGGCGACCATAGCGTCGACTACCTGCCTATCGAGTGTTCAGCATGACGGGATATAACGGACCACGCACCACGTATAGGGATTGAAGCGTTTCGCAGCGTCCGATAGAATATCGCAAGCCCGCATAGACTCGCGACAGGGTTCCAAAAAGTTCGTCTGCAAGGTTGAGTGCAGCCCATAAACCGCCCGCCAACCGAGGCAGCCAGCTATGAGCGGGGTTTTTGCGCTCAACCAGAGTGCCACGGACCTCCATCGCCAGCTCCGAAAGCGGCGGTCTTGGAAGTCGCGCTCCCCGGCAGCGAGCGGCAGCATCAAGCACCTCCACGATCGACCCTCTTCCAGAAGAGGAGAGCCCAAAGCGTCGGAAGCGTGACACTTCGCTCGCAATGGACACCGCACCCACCCTCCGCGTCCGCAGCCAGGCCACGCTAAGCCTCCTCTTACTATGAGCGTCCTCAGCTCAGCAAGGCCCGACTGCAAACGGCGAAGAGCCTGGACATGGCGGGTCTCGCGAGGCCGGTCAGAGAGCCGAAGCGACAACCTGAGCAGCGATCGCAGCGGCGACCCGCCTACCAGACATTTCGCCCCTCTCGCTCCCATGCACATCATGGTCAGTAACCTCTGTCACCGAACGCCAGCAGCGAGCTGCCGGCGTCCGCCAAGAGGGAGCAGGTCACTGAAACATAACTCCTAAGAGGCCTGGCATCCAGTTGGGTGTGTGTCCGAACAGACGATGAGGGATGAGAACAAGAGTGCTCGCGGCGGCGGGCTCTTATAGGTCCACCCGCCCGGATCACGGCATCGGCCGGCAAGTGTTCATTGTTCCCAATTTGGTAATGCAATTGTTCTCCCGCCCCACAGCAGTATCAGCCCGATCTCCATGACCACGCACAATACGAACAAGATGCAAGAAAAATGGACAACACATGACAAACAAGTACGAATTATGATGACGAACACTAAACGGTGCCTTGGCATTGACACACTGCAGTACAATGTTGCTCTGTATCACTATCAGTAGATCCTCATACTTTGTTGAATGGAGCACCATCTACTCCATGAGTCTTCGCCATAACGTAACAGCGTGCCCATCCAGTATACGGATCGACGAACTCGCAAGATTGTAATCCACTCAAAAAAGGGCACGTAAAATACTCCTAATTGACCACCGCAGGGGTCGAACCTGCAATCTCCTGATTACCATGTCGTAGTCAGACGCGTTGCCATTACGCCAGGCGGCCGTGAAAGGTCGTATCCTTTACCTTGTTTCATTGCCTTCATCACATCCCGTCGTCATGGATCTCTGGTCAGCCTCGAATCCAAGGTCGCCTCCCTCAAAAGCACAAAAGCACGTCCCTACACTCTCACTCCCCTCACACGAAACACCGACGATTCCCACACGAAAGAACGACGACGGAAGCGCACACCGAAGGCGAAGGGCATTCCATTCCTACAATCGAACTAAAAAATATAAAAGCCATATACGTAAAGTCCTCTCCCGTTCTCTTTCTTCCTTCCTGAGCCTCGCCGCGTGCGTTGGTCACCCCGCCTCGCAGTTGAGCATGACCGGCGCCCGTCGAGCGTGCAGTTCCGCCACGTCGGATATGCACCCTCGCTACGCTGAGCGAGCACCCTTGCTATGCTTGGCGCTCGCCCCGCGCAGTGTCGCCGCCGCGCGCTTAGAAGCACTTGCGGTGGACGATGCCCGGGCCGGACTCGTCGTACTCCTGCTTCGAGCACCACAAGTTCTGGAACGTCGAGAGCGAGGCGAGGATAGAGCCACCGATCCACACGGAGTACTTGCGCTCGGGCGGCGCGACGATCTTGACCTGGGGAGGGTGTGAGTATAGCGCACATCAGAGCGAAGTAATTGGATGAGCAGGTTGCATCGCGAAGGAAGTTACGTTGCGGCGAAGGAAGTATGTTGCGAGGCATATAGTAAGGGAAGAAGTCACAACACGAACCTTCATCGACGACGGCGAGAGCGCGGTGAGCTCCTTCTGCATACGGTCCGCAATACCCGGGAACATAGTGGTACCACCGGACAGGACGACGTTGCCGTACAGGTCACGACGGATATCGAGATCGCACTTGAAGATCGAGTTGTACGTCGTCTCGTGGATACCCGCGGCTTCAAGACCGAGGAAGGCCGGCTGGAAGAGCGCCTCGGGCGCGCGGAAGCTGCGCGATCGTCAATCGATCGCCCTGCACATATTTATCTAAAAAGAGTAAACGCACCGCTCGTTACCGATGGTGATGACCTGACCGTCCGGCAACTCGTAGCTCTTCTCGAGCGCGGACGACTGCGCGGCGGTCTGGAGCTCCTGCTCAAAGTCGAGCGCGACGTAGCACAGCTTCTCCTTGATATCACGGACGATTTCGCGCTCGGCGGTCGTCGTGAAGGGGTAGCCGCGCTCCATCAGGTTCTTGATCAAAAAGTCCGTCAGGTCACGGCCGGCGAGGTCGAGACGGAGGATCGCGTGCGGGAGCGCGAAACCCTCGTAGATGGGGACCGTGTGCGTAACACCGTCGCCGGAGTCGAGCACGATACCGGTGGTGCGACCAGACGCGTACAGCGAGAGCACGGCCTGGATGGCGACGTAGAACGCGGGCGCGTTGAACGTCTCGAACATGATCTGCGTCATCTTCTCGCGGTTCGCCTTCGGGTTGAGCGGCGCCTCCGTGAGGAGGACCGGGTGTTCTTCGGGCGCGACACGCAGCTCGTTGTAGAAGGTGTGGTGCCAGATCTTCTCCATGTCGTCCCAGTTGGTGACGATACCGTGCTCGATCGGGTACTTCAACGTGAGGATACCACGCTTGGACTGAGCCTCGTCACTAGAATGAACACGTCAGCATAATCCGCAGCGATAGAGCGCAACACGCACCCGACGTAGGAGTCCTTCTGGCCCATTCCAACCATGACACCCTGGTGACGAGGGCGACCAACAATGGAGCTAGAGGGCGCGGCGATCAGCCAGAGATAGCACTTCATCGCGTCGGGAACTCACGGGAACACAGCGCGAGGGGCATCGTCACCTAGACTGCAAGTGAGCTACGAGGATACCTTGCGAGATGTCGGGAAGCATTACCAGCGACTGTGAGACGCGTCAGTTGGTCAGGAAGTACTGCGCAAAGGTGTAAAACTCACAGCCAGCCTTGCACATGCCGGAACCATTGTCAATAACCTGCGCGGGTTACTCAGCATCTTCCACATCCTCTACGCGTCTAACATGCTTACAAGAGCAGCGACCTCGTCCTCCATCGTTGGCTATTCGTGAAAAAACTGGGGAAGTAGAATTGGGTTGGCGTGGACAGAAGGAGCTGCAATTTCGATGCCGGTCGATATCGAGCGAATGACACGCAAGATTCAGCAAAAAATGCGCAGAATACGCGGAAGAGAGGGCAAGCCCGTCAGCGCCGGCAACGACGAGCAACGCGGCGCGACGTACCTTCGGCAAGCTCGAAATTGGGCAGAGGGTGGAATGCAAGCTGCGCGGCCTTCCAAATGCGGAATCTTATCGGATCGGATGTCGGAGTTTACTTGAGGGCAGGTCATATACAGTCACGTGCTGCACAGGCTTGACGCCTACAACTACAATCACCGAGCTACAACAAGGTGCACAGCGATCTTGGCCTCGAAAGAACATATACGAGGAGCTGTACGGACCCTTGAGTACAAAGTAACGCGGATATATCTGCCCCGCTCTGCTCGGGCCCGCACCGTACCATCTCCGTACCTCATCGCTTCCGCAGAGAAGCAGACGTTCGGACCAGCTCTGTGTATGCTCGGAAGATGGCTCATGTCCGAAGAAGCTTTTGACACTAAAAGAAACACACGTCAAGGTACAAGGTGCCTGAGCTACAAGTGAGTCCGTGTGTGCTATGTATGATACAAGTCCTTGTCTTCATCCACCACCATCAGCCCCCAATGACCCCGCATACACCCACCTTCCTCTCCCTTACACCGCATCTCCCGCTGCCGGCTCCTCCTTCCCCTTACTTCCCCCCTTCCCAAAATTCTCCGCGCCTGCACTCCCGCTCCCCACCTGCTCGACCATCCCCACGCCCGCATTCGGGTCGCTCCCCTTCGCCGAACCAACCCCCGCCTGCGGCGCGCTCCTCTCCGGCCCCATATCCGACTGCCCCTTCAGCTGCGGCGCCCCGCTCGCCGCGTCGAGGGGCGCGCCCGAGCCGCCCTGTTTCTGCGCGTCGCGCGCGGCCTGGGAGTGCGGGTCCTGCGGATGCTTGTTGTCGTCGGTCTTGGAAGCGCTGCCCTGCGAAAGGCGCTCGTCCTTGCCGTCCGCCTCCTTTCCGGCGGGATGGGAGGTATGGATATGGCGGGAGGGCGTGAAGTAGTAGGGCTGGGGTCCGGTAGTGTGGTGCGAGGAGGTATAGTGAGAGGGGTTTTGGTGGGAGGTATGCATCTGCTGTGAGGCGTGGTTCTGATTCTGCTGCGCTGCGTAGTGCTGTCTGCAGAGGACCGTCCTGCGCAAGGACGCGGTCCGCTTGGTGAAGTGCATGGTGGCGAACGCTGACATGGCGAGAGTTGGTGCTAGCTGAACGAGACGTCGGTGTCGAGGGTAAGAGATGGCGATGGATCGAGGATGAAACGACGAGGCGCTCGTCGGCAACGATAACGACGACGAAAAGGTCTTGAGATGACGGTAAGAAAGAGGAAAATGGGTAGGCGCTCGAGCGCGGCTATAGAGCGCAAATGGGACATGACTTCATCGGTAGGTCATTGTCGTACGCGCGCCACTAGCGCGTCACTTGGATATCGCGTGACCGTTACGGTTCGACTTTCGGAATCGAAAATCGGAATATTCCGTGGAGGACTGTAAATCATCAAAGAAAGGGATAGCCTGTTGTTTACATAAAGGAGAGGCAGAGAAAAGTCCATACAGGAAAGCCAAAGACAGCCTTTCTAGACCCTTCATGCATCTACTCGCCGCACCCGGAGCGGCACCCTAGGGCCATCCTCCCCCTCCACCCGCGGTCGGAAGACGATCGTGCGATACCGCAGGATCTGCTTGTCCTCCCCATGCGGCCACTCGAAGACATAGTTCTTGATCAGCGTGGACAGGACGGACTGTGGTCGAGTCAGCACTGCACTCTACGCGCATGGCTCCCTTCTCTCAACCGGACCGCGCAAAGAGCAACACCCACCTTAAACTCCGCCAACGCAAACCCCCTCCCCAAACACATCCTCGGCCCGTCAATGAAGGTCATCAAATGCTTGTGCCCCTGCAGCTCGCGCGCCGCGCCGAGCTTGCTGTCGTTGAGCTTCACCGCTTGTGCTCCCCTCCCATGTTCCGCGTCCTCCCGATCTCCACCGCCTGTCACGTCGAGCCACCTCTCCGGCCTAAACTCCCCCGCATCCGCCCCCCACAGCGCCGGCGAGCGGTTGATCGCGTGGATCGGGGCGCACACATACGTCCCCTTCCGCACGAGGATCTGCGAGACGGGCGAGCCGTCCGCGGTCTCGACGGGCGCGCCGAGTGGGATGACGTCGTCTTCGGAGGCCTGGAGGGGAAAGGTCGTGATTAGCTCAGATATACCGCGATGGAAATTTAGTGAAGCGCAGCGTAACCTGGTACTGCGTGCGAGGAAGAGAACGAGAGAGGCTCGGAAAGGGAAAAACCAAGCTGCACTGATCGACACTCACCACCCTCGTCGTGATCGCCACCGACGGATGCAAGCGCAGCGTCTCGAGCGTGACGGCCTCCAGGTAGGGCAGCCCGTTGGTGAACTGCTCCCATGTCGCGTCCTGGTTCCCGATTCCCGCGAGCTCGTCGCGGAGCTTCTGCTGCACGTCCGGGTTCTTGCTGAGTTCGATGAGGGCCCACTGAGGCGAGGGAGGTTGGGATACGTGAGCTCCAAGATGTACGAAAGTGAAAGAGGGGGACGCACGGTGAGTGTTACTGCGCAGGTGAGACGCTCGTCAGCTCTATGGCAAAAATTACAGTAAAGAGCTCACTTGACGTGGTCTCGTAACCTAATCATAAGGTCAGTGCTGATGCGGTATGACGCCGAGCAAAACAAACCTGCGAGCAGGAGGACGTTCTGCACGGTAAGAAGTCAGCTCTTGTAAGTGTGTCTCCAAAGAAAATTTCATACCATCTACCATGCACGTCAGCATATTTTGGAATAAACACAGACAGTTGTCTGGCAACGCACCTGAGCCAAAACCTCCTCCCTCGTCAACCTCAGATCGTTCGTACCCTGCTCCGCCCTAACTGCCCGACTCAATCAGCCTCCCCACTACCCACTTTCTAACCCCGCCCTCCCACTCACTAATTTGCCCCACAATACTCTTCTTCCCCGCCTCCTCCCCCTCGCCCTTCCCCTCTTCCAACAGCTCGTCCGCGATCGCCGTCAGCGCCCCGCGCACGCGGTCCGTCAAGCGCTTGCGCTCCGTCGGGATCTTTCCCAGGAGCGGGACGTACGGCGAGAGGACGAAGATGAGCGTGCCAAGGAGGGTGTTGGAGAGCTTGCCGAAGGCCTCGAAGGAGTCGATGACCGGGGAGGGCGCGCCGGACAGCGTGCGGAAGTCGTGCCCGAAGCCGGCGATGCCGATGGAGTCGAGGCTGTTGGCGGTGGGTGGGCGACGGACAAAGGACACGGACAGGGTAGCTTACGAGATGCGGTTCATCCAGTATTGGACGTCGATGATAGCGCCCTCCTTCGGGTTTGACTCGAGGAGGCCGTCCCAGACAGTCTTGACCTGTGAACGACCGGTGAGCATGGGCTCTAACATTGACTCAACCGCAACGTTGCACCTTGTAAGCCGAGTCGTAGAATACGGGGGTTAGGCTGCGAATCGCCGTGTTGCTGAAGGCCGGAGAGAGCGCCTTGCGCTGCCGCTTGTGGTTCTCTCCCTCCGCAACCAAGATGCCCGGGCCGAACTAGCCAGTCACAAAGACCCGAAGTCAGCCGCACCACTCATTAGCACCGATGACACCCCCCAATAGCGCCCGCCATCTGAACGCTACCGCCACGTCCCTCCACGTATGTATGCACGCACCATATTCTCAATAATCATCTTCGAGATCCGCGGATTCACATACGTCCACGTCTCGCGGGCATAAAAGTGCGCTAGCGCCTTCGGGTCAAATAGCGCGATGCGTGTCTCTCCCAGGGGGGCGGGCGTCGCGTACACAAGCCCATACTCGCGCCGCCAGTTCTCCCAGACCGCGCCGGGGTCTTGCGCGCGGACGATGTCGCGGTGCACGCCGAAGAGCCAGTTGGGCGAAGGTGGCCCGCGGAGGGGCGTGGTAGGGACACCGCTGCGGGAGGTGACCTTGCGGAAGGCTTTGTGAAGGAAGAAGAGGGTGGAGGTGACGATGAGGATGTCGGTGAAGGTGACGGGGATCGCGGGGGCCATGGTGGGAGTTGAGAGAGTGGTGAGAATTGAGCAGAGCGAAGGTGGCAGGTCGTATAGGCAGATGAAGGAAGATGGAAGTCAAGAGCAAGCAATGCCTCCGACGCACGGCACGGGGTACATGAAAGCCCCTTCGATTCCGCGGGTAACTGTCCGAGACGTATTGATACTTACGCGGACGTCGAGGAAGGCGGCATATGCGTATGCCACGAGCGTGTACTTCGTCAGGTGCGTGAGGCTACATTCAAACCGAAGAGCCTGTGATGGCGGGAAGGAGGCGGGTCGCCCTCCGAGCAAAGGGGCGTACCGGCAGATGCCGAGTGGTACGAGTATCAACTCCGCTGCTGATCATGGCACTCAGACGCCCTATATTTGCATAAAATGCCATCATTTCCCTTCTCATCTCTGTCGGCACCTCGCTGGAGGCCCGCCTGGGATAAGGATCTACTGATACAAAGGCTTGCAAGCGTGCCACATAATGCTACAGAGTGATGTCCTGGGTAGTGCGGTAGTGTTCGTCATAATGATTGGTACTTGTATGTCGTGTGCTGTCCATTTGTTTTGCGCCTTGTCCGTGATTAGAAGGTGCGAGTGAGTTACTCAAGTTTCTGGAAAAAGATGCGCAACTTCCGAGCGGCCGACACAATTTCCGTTGGGACTTCACGGTCCCATTCAACGAGGAGGGGTAGGGTGTGCCCCGCATCATGGCGCTTGCGAAGGTTCTCAAAAAGGCGCTCGGGCGTCAGCTCAGGAATACCCCTCAAGGTGAGCTGCTGCAGGTTCGGCAGCATGTGGCTGTTGTGCAGCGCGCCGACGAGGTACTCCTCGACGTTGGCGGACGTCTGGAGGCGGAAAGAAACAAGGTGGCGCGCCGCGGCGGAGCGGAGGTACTTCCCGAGCCCGGGCTTGTAGCAACACTGCATGTTCAGGCTGACGTGCTGGAGGGACGTGCGGGTGCTCAAGCTGGAGAGAAAGTGGTACACGGCGCGTTCGTAGAACTTCGTGGACCGCCCTGGGCGCAGGATCTTGACCTCGTTGACGTCGGGCGCGTGAAGGATGTACAGGAGCTGTGCAAGTTGATGGGTCACGTCCTTCAGGCTGTTGTCGCCGAGGACGGTGAAATTGGTGAGGCCGCGCGCGTCGATGACGCTTCGGAGGAGGGCGGTGCTTTTGCCCTTGAGTGCAGTGATCTCTTTGGTGCGGACGCGGTAGTGAAAGTCCCCTCGCCTGGCTATGCGGATGTCGTCGGCAATTTCATCGACGGTCATATGCAGGCGATCGCAGTCGTAGTCGAATGTCTGAGGTGGAACACCGAACTGAGAGCGCTGCAGCAAAGCTTGAGGCACAGTAAGTGTTGTGCTATGAGGATCATGGCTGACCACCTACGAAAGCGATCCTTCGCTACACCAGGGCCTCGAATAATGTCCTTCGCTGTCAGCGGCTTGTGGCTGAAGGACGTTGCTGAGAAGAGGTGGGCGTTATGGAGATAATTCGCTTACTAGCGCACTACAGTCTTGCGGACTGCTTTCATCTTGCTAGACTTTGCTTCCACCATTTTGGACTTTGGCGTGTGTACGTGCGGGGGAAATATGTGAGAAGGTGATGTTCTTCATTGACATCGATTCTGCCTCTCTTAAATCAATTTTCGCAAAGAAGTTGCGCATGGGCCCTCCCCGTCGTAGTGTAGCAACAGATACCTTGGAAACAGCTCGGGCCTCCCATGTCCCTCCTGGCTCACGCGGTGAGCATTGCACGCGTGGTGCATCAGGTACGCGCTGAGCGAAAACTACTCGCCGAAGCGTGTATGGACCCATAGAAGCTGCTTGCAATTGTTCAGACCCGTCGCGAAATGCGTGGTCATGGAAATCGGGTTGCTACTAGTGTGGGAGTCCGGAGAACAATTAGATTACCAGATTGGGGACAATGAACACTTGCCGGCCGATGCCGTGATCCGGGCGGGTGGACCTATAAGAGCCCGCCGCCGCGAGCACTCTTGTTCTCATCCCTCATCGTCTGTTCGGACACACACCCAACTGGATGCCAGACCTCTCCGGAGTCTTGTTTCAGTGACCTGCTCCCTCTCAGCGGACGCAAGCAGCTCGCTGCTAGCGTTCGGTGACAGAGGTTACTGACCATGATGTGCATGGGAGCGGGAGGGGCGAAATGTCTGGTAGGCGGGTCGCCGCTGCGATCGCTGCTCAGTTTGTCGCATCGACGCTCTGACCAATCTCGCGAGACCCGCCATGTCCAGGCTCTTCGTCGCTCGCAGCTGGGCCTCGCTGAGCTGAGGACGCTCATAGTAAGAGGAGGCTTCGTGAGGCCTGGCTGCGGGCGCGGAGGGTGGGTGCGGTGTCCATTGCAAGCGAAGTATCACGCTTCCGACGCTTTAGGCTCTCCTCTTTTGGGAGAGGGTCGATCGTGGAGGTGCATGATGCTGCCGCTCGCTGCCTGGGAGCGCGACTTTCAAGACTGCTGCTTTCTGAGTTGGCGATGGAAGTCCGTGGCAATCTGGTTGAGCGCAAAAATCCCATTCATAGCTGGCTGCCTTGGTTGGCAGTTGGCAGGGGGTTTGATGGCTGCACTCAACCTCGCAGACGAAGTTTTTGGAACCCCGTCGCGAGTCTATTCCGGCTTGCGCCATTCCGTCAGACATTTTCCAGGTGTGTCACCGAAGCGAAGGAGCGGTATAGTCTGGTATGTCAGACTTGCAGAACGCAAACCTATCTAATGAAGTCGATACTGCGCTTCACGATCTCGCGTTGGCATTGCAGCGCCAAACCAATCGCTCAGTTGACCTGTATACGTTATATAGGAATTCCATGCTGCAGCACCGCCCAGTCGGGAAGACGACTTATAGTTGCAAGGAAAGACACTTGACCGAGTTGGGAGACGCCAAAAAATGCCTCAATCAGTACAGTGTACAACACAGTAGCTGGTTACAATACCAAGATTCCAGCCAAACTTTGCATGATCTCGGTTCAAGCCATCACTACCACATCGCATGTCCACCACTACAAAAAGAAGAAAAACATCATCAGCAAACTGACACCAAGCCCAAGTCACATCCCTACTCACTCGCACCGCAAATCGAACCCATTCACGAACGAGCTCGCGTCCGAGGCGAGGAAGACCGCGGGGCCCTTGTACTCCCACGGCAGGGACATGCGCCCCAGAGGGTTATCGCCCTCCCAGCGCTCGAGGCGGTGCGGGTTGTCCTGGACGAGGCGCTCGGTGAGGATGGTCTTGATGTAGCCCGGGCTGAGGGTGTTGACGCGGATGGCGGGGGCCCATTCCATGGCGAGGGAGCGCGCCATTTGGACGAGGGCGGCTTTGGAGGCGTTGCTAGTGAGGGGTTAGGTAGGTGAGATGAGGAAGTGGACGCGATGCGACGCGATGGAAGGGAAAGGGGGGGAGGAAGAGAAGGGGGCAAGCACGTACTATGGCACGCAGGTGAGCCCGCGATTCGCTATGGTCGCGCTCATGGAAGCGATCATGGCGATGGAGCCGCCGAGATTATGCTGCTGCATGAGGCGCGCGGCGGCCTGCACAGAGTTGAAGGTGCCGACTGTGTTCACGTCAATGACGCGCCGCACGTCGGCCTCATCGTAGTCGATAGCATCGCTCTCGTGCTGGACTAGAGTACATAGTCTGTCAGTACGACATTGACTATCACAAGAGACAAATCAACGTACTCCCCGCGGACGCCATGAGCACCCTTACTGGCGTGGGCGCTTCGGCGGCGATATCCCTGAACACCTCATTCACCTGCGCCTGCTTCGTTATGTCGAGTTGGCGATAGCCGAGGGTTAGGCCTGAGCTCTTCGCGAGCGAGGATAGCCTGTCCCATTCTTCGGGCGAGGCGGCTGTGGGAAGGACGTCGACGCAGTATACGTCGGCGCCGGCTTCAAGGTATGCGCCAGCAATGGAGACGCCGAGGCCGCGGCCGCCGCCAGTTACTGCACGAGGGGTGTCAGCTCAGGAGCAGCGGGACGAGGCCGAGGAAGAGGTAGTGTCAGCACGAGGGACAAGAAGGCTAGATGTACCGATAGCTGTCCTCCCCTTGAGGGAGTAGAGTTCTTGGATGGTAGGTTCGCGCAGTGACCCCGAGACCGCCTCATGGGATGTTTTCGTCCTTGCCTCCTCGCGCCTTGCTTTGTCGATGTCCCTGGTGGCGAAGGTGCGGACCGCAGCGCGTCGGCGGCCAGTCGAAGTCTGGGCACGTACGGCGCGCAAGACGCGTGCGCTGGGTCTGCTGACGTTCAGCATCGGTAGTCGTAGGTGAGGCGAGGGAAGGGGGGTTGATACGACGGACAGAGGCAAGAGAGATCAGTGTACTTACCTACGAGACCAGCTGGTACTATATACCCCAGACGCGGGGATAGCGGAGGATATAGGACAGGGGCAGACGCGGGGATAGGTTGTGGGGTCAGCGCTTCATCCGCGGGGCAGGGTGATCACGAGGCGGCGGGCAGGTTTTGATCGTAATACTAATGGTGGTAGAGAGTACGTCCTTCGAGGGCTGTAGATCGGCTGAGGGTGGCTTGTTGTGATAATTCTATCTGAGCATCCCGAGTCCTGCTAGACCTTTGCGCGGTCTGCGTCGTGTCGCTCTGAATCGACCTCGTCGTCTTGCTGCGCGAATGTTCCGAGAGATGAGATGTAAGCTACATTGTTTAGTCAGGTCCACAGAAGTTAACGAAGGATTATTCAGTGGGCAGAGACCTCGCGTTAGACCAGGCTCATGATGGTAGGAAGGAAGCGGCTGGCTTGCGGCTAGTCATGTCGGATTCGCTCTCGACATATCAAACATCAACATCGGCGATCATTGCAATGTCATCATGTCCGCGCCTTAGTAAGTGCACTGCATATCTCTCCTTATATTCTTACCGCCACCATTGCGACCTATCTCTTCCGCCGCCTCCCCAGGACCCTCAAGATGTCCGATACGTGCGTCTCAAGAAATCGGGCAAGAGCGAGAGAGACTGACGAGCAAGCAGACATATCAACCTCTTCGGCGGATCCCCGCTTAACAGGCTGTCATGGCTGAGGCCCTCCCAGATCTTCCTGGATGCGGCCTCGACGCTTCCCTCTACGCGATGGGTTGTGTTTAATGGTGGGCGACCGCTTGTGTCGGCGCCGCGCGACGCCCTCTCCAAGATCAGCCTCGCGTACCTCTCCACCTCCGACGTGCAACCGTTCATCGGTAATCGGCCATGGTGCGTCCCGGTACTCCCACTCCCACCATCCCCTACTCACTTTCTCCCTCTTTTCTTGTTTCTTAGGTTCGGCCAGAGCAAAGACGGTGCCCTGATCACTAAGCAGGAAGCCACCCACCACACCGAAGCCGCGCGCCACCTCGGCCCGCCGATCGTCTTCCTTGGGCTCGAGGAGACAGATGCTCAGTCCGGGAACGCGCTCCCCTCCTCCGACTTTACCGACCCCGCCACCGCTCTCGACAAGCTGCACGGCACGCCCTACTTCGCCCTCGACGTCGGGGACCTCGGGCTGCCCGAGGCGACGCTGCAGGACACCGTGGACGCGGCCGAGGCGCGGCTATCCAAAGACGCACAAGGAGGGCGGCAGCTCAGCTGGGCGGAGCCGCGCGCGCTGATGGCAGGCATGGACGTCTTCGAGGGCGGCGTGTACGCGGAGGCGAGGAGCATGGTCGACTGGAACTCGCGGAATAAGTTCTGCCCTGGGTGCGGCGCGCGAACGTACTCGATGTGGGGCGGGTGGAAGATTGCGTGCTCGACGTTGCTGCCGTGGGCGGATAATGCTGGGCGGAAGCCGTGTCCGACGACGTGGGTGGCGTTCAATGCAGGAGTCGGCTATAAGCTGATCTTGCTCATAGGAGGGGCCTACATAACTTCACTCATCCGCGGACAGACCCCGTCGTGATCATGATCGCGATAGACGAGACGGGGGACAAGATCTTGCTGGGTCGTAACGTACGTCACATCTTCCTGCTCAAAGCTCGTCATTCTCATGCCCCAACAGAAGAAATTCCCTGGCAAATTTTACTCTGCGCTGGCCGGCTTTATGGAGCCAGGGGAAAGCTTCGAGGTGCGTATTTCTCCCTCCATCTCGCTTAAATATGCAATTGAAGTATCTCCAGGATGCCGTCGCGCGCGAGATGTGGGAAGAGGCAGGCGTCAAGGTCTGGAGCGTGAAATACCACTCTAGCCAGCCTTGGGTGAGCTCCCCTCATTTCCTTGCCTTGATACACGTCCGTAAAACTCACTTTCCACCAGCCTTACCCCGCCAACCTCATGGTCGGCTGCTACGCGCGCGCCGACGCCTCGCAGCCCTTACGAATCGACCTCGATAACGAGCTCGAAGACGCCCGCTGGTACACCCGCGCCGAAATCTTCGCCATCCTCAACCATCCCCGCGGCGCCTACCTCAGCAACCGCGACAACAGGAAGCTGACGGAGCTAGTGGAGGGTCAGCAGCCCAAGTCGCAGACAAAAGCGTCGGATCCGGCGCAGTCAGGCGCGTCAGACCCACCACAGTCGGGCGCGTCGGTGCTAGCGCACTCGGACCCCAATATCGAGCCCGACTCGCACCCTAAGCAGGTGAGTGCCTCGAATCGTACGCAACGCAGACGGCTCACAGTCAAAGCAGACGGAGACCCTCGAGGACCCGCCCTTCCAGGTGCCGCCATACACCGCAATCGCGGGTGTACTGATTCGGGATTGGGCGGAGGGGAAGATTAGCTATACGAAGGCGAGTTCAGCGTTGTAGGACGCAGGGAGCGGGAAGAGAATAGGTCGCAATAATTGCGGTAAATACTCTGGAAGCCCTTTGTTCGATATTGCTATCAACGCAAGCCCTGAGGGGTGCTGCACAATAATTGCAGCCTTCCCGTTGAAACCCTCGTTTAGGCATGAAGGGCTGCCCAGCGCCAGTTACTTTGAGTTCTCAGCTTTGGAGACGACATGCACCCCCCAAGTTGCGAAGCAGAAAAAACTCTTCCGATTTTTCCAATGACCACCGCAGGGGTCGAACCTGCAATCTCCTGATTACCATGTCGTAGTCAGACGCGTTGCCATTACGCCAGGCGGCCATACTTCTCGAAGACTGTTGCTTTGTACTACGAGCCAGACGTGCAACAAGGGTCAACGTCGACGATCCCAAGGAGCCCGTGAGTTTCTATTGCTCGAGAGGTACTCCCAAGCAGCTGGGATTCTCTTTAGCCTTTTATTGAACAGAATTCTCGCTGGGCATCAGCGACAACGTAACATTTTGTGGCGTTCTGGTCCAGCTTTCCTTCCTTCCAAGTTGCACGGCGAAGCCAGTCCCGGCCCATCTCTTGCAGGGTGAGAGGTTGACGCACTCCCTTGGGCTGAAAGAATTCTGACACTGTCGTAGATCCACAAGGACTGAGAAATATAGGCTATACGGTAGTAATGTACTCCTGCTAAGATCTCAACGTTCACCGCGATACTTCTGAGCTGCATAATTAGTCGGAATACATGTCCGCGCTGGGCTTTGGAACGATCTCGAGCTTGTGTCCCCGGCTTCTGATATGACATACGGCAATACACACCAGCTGTGCCCCGAGTCAGGCGCGCACAGCAATCTGCCTCGAGGCGGATGAATCGATTTCCTCACTCGCTCTTGTCTTCACGAACTGTAGGCCTCCCTAAGGTCCACCATCCCGAGTCGCTGAAGATGCCGGACGGCTCGCGACCACCAGATCAGCGAGACAATCCAATCTCCGCTCCCGGGAACTCCCATGATGAAGCGCCAGCCTCCGGACCAGAGGGCGTCCCTAAACCAGATACTGGGAGAGCGGGCGCCCCGGAGGACCGCAGGAGCTTCTTTGGTATGAAGCAGAGCGTCCTGCCGCAAGCGAGAGCTGGTTAGTAGTGATCCTCATAAATATGACGCCCGTTTGGCTGACAAGCGCCCAGCCAACCCATTCGACTACGAACAGAAGTACGACGAGGATGAATACTGTAAAGAGATGGCCCCCAACGCACGGTTTTGGAGAGTATATCTTGACGAGGGGCATATTTACGACACGGAGATGATCGAGGGATGGAGGGATACGTTGGACGTGCTCTTGGTTTTCGTACGTTCATGTTTTCTGTCGGGTCGCGCCGTCCTGATCTATCGGTGCAGGCTGGTCTCTTCTCCGCCGTCGTCACGACGCTGGTCGTCCAGTCATCTACGGCCCTCAAGCCCGATTACGCGCAGATATCGGCGTCGCTCATGATCGAACTCATCGGCATCCAGAGAGCGCTGGCGAAGGGGTCGGAGATCGATGCGGTGTCCCCCTCTGCGTTGGGAATCGACACCCTCACTGCGTCAGCACTAGATTACTGGTGCAACGCGTTCTGGTTCATCAGTTTGACTCTGAGCCTTTCGGCGGCGCTCATGGCGGTGCTCGTCAAACAATGGCTTCAGGTGCGATGACTTCTGCTCACGAGACATTCATCTGACGCCCATGTAGGCCTACAAAAGCAATACCTTCGGAACTCCGAAGCATCAGGCCCTCGTTCGCCAGTTTCGATTGGCCGGGATAGAGCGATGGAACGTACCTCTCATCGTCGGCTTGCTGCCTATGGTTCTGCATCTTGCTCTCTTGCTCTTCTTCGTTGGTCTTACGCTCTTCATCTTCACGCTGAGCTCCGCCATTGCATCGGTCGTCATTGCACTCGCCATCATCATCTACTCCGTCTACCTGGCGACTAATATCCTCCCTATGCGTGAACCGGGGTGCCCGTACAAGACACCACTGTCTCACTACGGATACATCGCCGTGCGATATGTGGCCACACATACAGCTGAGGCTCGACCTTTATCATGGCTTCGAAAGACCTGGCAGACGATCGCAAAATTCCGTCTTCCTATCTCCCGGCAAGATACAGCTGCCGAGCACCCGACGGAGCCACCAACAGCACGCGCAGATAGCGCACCGTCAGACTGGACGACTCGCCATCGGGAGACCGAGGCTATCAAAGAGCATGAGGATTCGCTGGTGGTAGACTGTATCACCTGGCTTTACTCAGCGTCGTCCAATCCTACGGTGTCCAGCATCACGGTGCAAGCCGTGGCTGGCCTTTCGGTATTGTCCATCTCGATTCTACGGTCACAACAAAGGCACTGCAAAAGCATCAGCGAGTCCCTTTTCGCAAGGCTGCAGTCACTTTCCTGGACGTCCGATGATCAGAAGGAGAAGTACAGGTCCCTTGAGGAGCGCCTCATGCGCAGCTTGCTGTTCGTTGACGAACAAAATCTTACAGTGTACAATACGTCCGTCCGGCGTGATTGGTTTTATGACATTCCATGGTTCGTCCAGCGTGTTGACGACAGCTCGTCAATCGGAAATAGCAGCATGCTCACCTCTTACTGGGTTCTATGTTCCAAGTCCAAGGACTTGCCGGATGTATACGATTCAGACAGATCCGTGCGTTATACCCAAAGCCACATCCTGGATCTGCGACTACATCCACTGGTTTGGACTCGTGCACTAGACAGTCTCAGGCTCATCCTTTGGTTCGATTTGTACCGACTCGGACTGGGGCCTCGACTGGTGTTCAACCTGGCACGTGCTACATTGGCACTCTCTAGCACAGATTCTATGGACAGTCAAGCTATAACATTGGGTGCTGCATTATCGTCGTCAAGTGCCGATTTGCGCTCGTTCCTTGAAGGCTTGAGCAAACTGCTGAACCATAAATATGATTGTGATGACTGTCTCAACGCGATGGTACGTGCAAATCAGTGGGTATGACCATGTTTGCTGATAACAGTCGTAGTATCCCTTTAACTCCCAGTTACTAGACCAAATCCTTGCTAAGTGGCTCGAAGTATCACGCATGCAATGGCTTAGCGATCCAGATTGGCGAGCAGCTGAACAGTTCATGCTCTTCACGCACCAATGCATAGCGAAGACACGCCGCCACGCCTGCGATCTTTACCCCATCGTGACTGCCACTTTGCCTGGCCTTCTTCCATCGGACATCGCGCCTTTGACTGGGCTGCGCAGATACAAGGAACTCTTCGACCCAACATCACTCCGGAAACTACTGCTGTATCTCGCCAATCCCTTCCAAACACAGCCTGGCATGGAGTGGGAGAGCAGACCGCCGCCGCCGCGTGGGGATGGCGCACGCTCTTCCCGGTACGATATGGACTGGTATCTGCTATTCAGAAACAGTCTTCTCTCTTGGATCCCTCTCCTCGCACATGACCTACTGCTGGACGTGTTGCAGGGTGATCTGTTAGCTCACATTGGCCCTCACGCGCTTCGTCTCTTGAAGCACTCAATGAGTCTGTCATCTGGAGTCAGTTATTTTCTGACGCGATACCTGGAAGATCTAACGGAGTTCTTTCATGGTAAGAAGAAACTGGCAAACGGCACCTCTCTCTCGAAGGAGGAGATGCAGCGCCACATCGACTACGTATTCTCCCAGCCCCTAGACGCCCCCTTGCGCCACATATCCTGGATCGTGGCTGTCCATATCTACGTTGGATCGTATCTCAGTAAACAGCGTGAACCTCTGTTGGATTTGGCCCGCCAAACAGCCAAGTCTCACGCCCTAGTATGGTCTGAAATCCTATCGGACCTGGCAAACGACCCGTATGGGCATTATAATTGGACATCACCCAGTCACCATGGTTCCACTAGCGCGAGTGCATACCATGAGCTGGCCAATGTCCTGCAGGGGGAGATCTCTGCCGCGGGCCTCTCCATACCGAAGAAAATTCAGCTGAAAGTGGATGCGTCCGCGGCGCGGCGATTTCATGAGGGCATTTCACGCAACTCTCGAGGCGCCAACCGCTCGAGGAACGTGGCAAATGGTCCTGACCTAATCGAGATTCCTGCGGAAGAGGAGGGACACGCAGGATTCCCGGTGCACGTGAGGTTCTGGCTTGACCCAAAGCTTGCAGGCAGAGATCGCCATCCCAAGGGAGGCGATGCGGGAGGAGGGGCCGACGTCGGGCGCGAAGGTGACTCTGTCATAGCCGGAGCAGTCGCAGCACGCGCACCGAACGACTATACGCGCGAGCCGCTCGTGTCACTTCACCATGGCGCCGAGCAGCATGCAGGGCTGGCGGACATCGTAGCCGATGAGAAAGGAGAAGGTCTAGGGGACATCGCACGCGTAGATGAAGGAGGAGTTTCAAGGGTCGCCGGCGCTACAGAAGCTGGTCGCGGCGGGAACGAAGGCCACGGCGAAGTAGAGGCGGCGGGAGACGAGTACGAGATGCGCCAGTTCGCGCCTGATCAGGAGATGGGACATGAGCGTTGAGCGCTGGGTGGAGGCGGACAACCGACCAACGATAATTAACCCAGCAGATAATTTGTCGTAGCTATCTGCCTCGCGCATTCAGTGACAGTATCGAAGCATGGGTCCCAGTAGTCCTTACCTTAGCCCACAAGCCTTCAAAGAGGATATTATGGCGCTGAACGTCAACACCTGCAGCTGCCTGATCAATAATACAGTAAAAGATGGGTATTCCAGACGAAGCTGCCAGCGTACGACACAATCGTCATGAGCCACACACATCAGTTGGGGAAGTAGTCCAATACATACAGATCCATTCCACAAGTCATGAACTACGTGCATGTCGTCGCAGGCAAAGGTACGTCCAGAGCGTCCCAAGAGTCCGGATACTCGCAGCCAGCGACAGGCGTCACCGCCGGTGCATTATCCTGCGTCGCATACCACCCACTCCCTGCGCCGTCACCGCCGATACTGCGCGCGTCCGAGAACGTCGCGGTCACGGGCAGCGTCGGCACTGCTCCCGTCGCCGTATAGGTCGGCAGCGCCGTCGCGGGCGCCTGTGCGCCATCCACCGCATTGATCGTCGCCGGCGGCCACGGGTAGGTCGCCGCCAGCTCCCCCGCCCCAGCGCCTCCCGTCGCCCACGGCGCATATTCCCCATCAAACGGCTGCCGCTCCCCGCCCAGCACGTCGCACACACCACGCGCCTGCCTGGGGTCACGCGGGATGTACCCCTCCTGCAGCCCGAGCGAGTACGACCAGAGGGGCGCCTCAACGATGCCCGCGGACGAGTTGCCGATCTTCCACGTCCAGAAGAACCAGTCGTTGAGCGCATCCATGCTCGCCATGATGAAGGTCTTGAGGCCAGCTTTCATGGTCGCGTTCCACTGGCTGGCGTCCTCGAAGAGGCTGCAGTCGCCGCCGTACATGGCGCCGTTGCCGACGCCGCGCGCGTAGAGGCCACAGTCGTTGTACCCGCAACTGAACTCGCCGGCGACGGTCACGCCGAAGTTGGCATTACTGGGACAGAGTCAGTGTCAAAGAAGGACCGAGGATGACTAGACTCACGATTGGTTTGAGTTTGCGCCCCAACGATTGCAAGCTTCGAGTGGCCAGTGGCCACCCGCGTCCGTGAGATCGGTGCCCGTCGCGATGGGCTCGTTGTTCGGGCTGCCGTCGAACGCGATGTAGGGGTGCTGGTCCAACACCAATCGGTCTGCGCCCTCGAAGGTCCTCACCCAGCTCTGCAATCCGCCAAACCCATCCCCAATCACCAAGTACGGCCCATGCCCCTCGCCAGTGCCCGTGATCGCGCGAATTGTGTTGTACGCCTCCAAGTAGAAGCTGTTCAGCGCGTCGCGGCCGATCTGCGCCAGGAGCGGCTCGTTGATCATGCCGAACATGGTGACGACGTCGCGGTACTCGTCCTGCGCGAAGAACTCGGCGAAGACGCGCACGTACTCGAGGAAGCGCTGCGCGTTCGCGAGGCCCATGGAGCCGCGCAGGAAGTTGACCTGGCCGAGCTTGCCGGAGTGGTTGTAGCCGTTCTGCGAGCCGGGGACGGTGTGCAGGTCGATGTTGATGCGGAGGCCGTACTTGCGCGCCCAAGAGACGATGCGGAGGATGTACCTGGGGCAGGTTAGACGGGGTTCGAGGCATTAGAAACGCAACACACACTTCCAGCACAGACCCTCAGGGAATGGCTCCCCATCCCAAACGCTGCCTTGAATAGCCCAGAAAGGAATGGGCAGCCGTATGAAGTTTAGCCCGGCCGCCGCGATGTCAATAATGTCCTTCTCAGTCTGGAAGATGCGTGTGTCAGACGGAATCGCGGGATCTCGAAGCGTGGCGTACGATAAATGTATTGTAGTGGTTCTCCATCTCCTCCTCGAGGGTGCCTTTCTCGCGCATGAGCGTGTACAGCGTCCACTCGTCCTTGGCGCCCTCGTACTTCTGGAAGAGCGCCGGGACGATGAAGGGCTCGAGCACGAACAGTCCGCCGAGGTTCACGCTGTTCAGATATCAGAACGAGGCAATGCATGGGACAACTGTGGCGCACCCAAACACTCTGTCCTGGCCCCAGGTCCACGACTCGTTAAGCGCTGGTGTCCATTCATTCGCTTTGCCGTAGCTCCCGTACGGGTCCTTGGGATCAAACGCCCAGTAGCCGCCAAAGGGGTTGATGTACTGGCAGTCCTCGCCGCTGTCAAGCTTCAGCATCGTGCCGTTCGCGCCGCTCGTGAGCGCCTCCGGTGATGCCGGATCCGCATCCTCAGGCACGTCGCCGGAACTTGGAGAGGAGGTCGAGGTGTTCCCCTTCGCGCTGTCCTTCGAGCCCAGGTGACCAGTGAAGTGGAGGGGTAGGAGGATAGCCAAGAGGATCACGGCGAGCGCGGCCAAGCCTCCAAGCGCCCAGCAGAGCTTCCGCTTGTTGGAAGACGGGGTGCTTGCGCGCGTCGCTTCGCCTTCCTCTCTCGCGGATGAATCCACGAGCGGCTTCTCCACATATGAGGACCTCACGGACGCGTCGCCATACGCCGAATCGCGGGGTGTGTCGAGGAAGGGACGCGGGGGGTCAAGTGCGGGGTCGCTCGGGGAGGACATAGTGTTCCTTGCGCCTGCGGGCGATCGTGTATAGCGCAGGCTAGCACCTCGCAAGGGCGATGATGGGGGGAGCAGGCAGGAAGCGGGAAGCCTGCTCCCTTCAACCTGAAGCAATATAGCCCGGCATCGTGTTCTGATCTCTCGCCCCTAGCCAAGGCGTCGGACACGTGCCGCTAGTCTGTAATTGAGCGCGGGGAAAGGGCGGGGAGGCGCCCACCGAGGACCTGGAGGCAGGGGAAGATGGGAACCCTGATTGGACGTTATGGAGATCATCTTCGCGGGACGGCATGCACACGCCGCACCTCGTCGAATGAATGGATTGCCTGGGCAGAAAGACAGCGCCCATAAGCTCCTTGGTTCTCTGTGAGCTGGCACGAGCAGGCGCTGGGGATTTCTACTCACCGCATTCAATCCGAGCATGGCTTCCTTCCGTTTGAGAACCCAAGTCGAACCAAGCAGATCGCCGCCCTTCCTCGGCAACTAGACGCCTAGAATCCTGGTTTCGTTTCAGTTGCGACAGTACACCAAGCCATCCTTGGTGTTATACGAGGCTAAGAGTGACATGATTTCCTATGTCGAAAACGATAGCGGGGATGGACAAGACGCAACGACGCCACAAGGCTGGCCACCAATATATCGCGACCGAAGCGAGTTCTACGATGAACAGTCGCCCTCGTAAGGCCTTTCTCGGCGTCGACTGCCAGATATCCAAGCATGGTAGAACTCGGGAGGTCGTCAACGGTTCGAATTGTGCAAGGAATTCGTGGTGAGCGTACAGGACAAGCTCCTCTCCGCAGCATTTACCTCCGTTCGTGGGTACCGGAAGTTGCCGATGAGGGAAGCGAACAAGCACGCACTTCAACGCTAATCATGAGGGCAGCATGATGAGTATATTGTACCACTATCTTTGGTGGGCGTGCATGCAGACATGCAGTTCACACTTCTACGCACGACCGATGTACATTGATATTCTCAGTCCACCCCTGCATTGTCTATCGGCCGTTGAGCAACTGCATCCTCTTCCTCCGACGAACTTTCCTCGTCTTGCTGAGCGGACCCGCCACCCCAAAGCCTTCCTAGTAGGTTCCGGATGACACGAACGGGCATGGGCTGAAGGTTGACTGTCAACAATTGTCGATCAAAATCAAGAAGCACGCTCACCTCAATGTCCTCATCCTCGTCCTCGTCCTCGTCCTCGTCCTCTTCACCCTCTTCTTCCTCTACTCGGTCCTCCTCCTCCTCCTCATGTTCATCCGCTTCCTCCTCCTGCACCCACTCCCCCTCTCCCAACCCCGGCATCTCCCCCGGCATCCCGCCCTCCCCAAACACCCCGTCCGCCCCCGCCATCGCCTCCACCATCATAATATCCTCCACATCCTCCGGCGCCTGCGCCGCCATCTGCGCAAACTGCACCACCCCGCCCGGAAAGCGCGCCGCAATCGCCGGGTGCGCGTCGAAGAAGCCCTGCAACTGCTGCCGGAAGCCCGCGTCGGGCACCAGGCGCGCGAGCCGCCGCGCGTCGGCCTCGCGCTCGCGCCGGGTGCGCACAAACGCGTCCTCGACGCCGCGGAAGAACGCGTCGTCGTACGCGGTCAGGGCGGTCGGTGGGGGGAGGGGGTCGCAGGCGAGGCTGCGGGCGCCAAGGACGGTGCGGGGGATGAAGGAGAAGAGGGGGCGGTTCTCGAGGACGAGGACGTGGCGGTAGATGGAGTGTTGGAGGGCGTTGTCGGAGAGGAGCGCGGCGAAGGCAGCGCGGCGGTCGACGACGGGGAGGGAGGAGGGCAGGGAGGCGAAGTTGGAGGAGATGGTCTCCTTGAACCAGGCAATATACGCATCATCCTGCCAGACGGAGAAGGCGCGCTGCACGTATTGGTGGCAAAGTAGGTGCATGATCGCATCGGGGCCGGAAAGGTGGCTGAACATGTTCGTCAGTGATGCACGAGAGAGCCCAACACACATACCTCGCATCCGTCTCAATTCTGAATATGCGATGCGAGCGCAGCGACTCCGGTAATGACACCTCTAACTTGTCAGCCAGCAGCGACACTACTGGAGGAAAAGCCTTGACAGCGTCCACCAACGCCGCCGTGCTCTCGTCATGGTTCTACATATCGTCGGCAACGGTCCATTCATTGTCAGATAGCCAACATACCTTCGATTTCTCCCCCTTTTCCTTGATGAACAGTGCCAACGCCCGCGAGTAGCTCCAGCCCGGAAGCAAGGTCGGGTCCATGCGCTTTACGAGCTTGTCTGGCTCCTGCTTCTTCCACGACGCGAAGACGTCCCAGACTGAGAGCAACCACTCTGTCTGGTGGGCCTTGAAGGGCAGGAAATCGAGATGAAGCAGCGCGCCGTGGGGATCGTTCCATGGGTCGAGTGCATAAAGCAGTCGCGCGAACTCGAAAGAAGTACGGAAACATCCGCGACGTTGCAAGTCTCTGCAGCGCGTTTAGAGTAGGGCATAAGAAGGAGACATTGCACGTACGCGACCTGACGATGGACAGCCAGGAAGAACGGACGCGTCTCAACGTGATCGAAATCGAGGCGGTTCACGCCAGAAGTGAGGTTGAACGCGCCGAGCATTGCACGCTCATAGGTGAAGAGTGCACGGTCCACGAAGTCCACCGCAGTCGCATGCTCCTCGCGATGGCGGTACAGCTCCGACAGCTGCAGCAGCGTATCGGCATGCCAGCATAGGCGATGGAGGAGGTTGTAGAAGCCCTCGGGATCTGCGCCGATCAGCGTGTGCCAAAGCTCTCAAGCGAGCGTACGCACCGCCCGCCATAACCACACGCATGAACGCCTTCGTCACCGCCTTGTACTTCTTGCTGTATTCCACCGTCCACCAGCGCTCCTCACCCAACGGCGCCCATCCATGCCGCTGCCTCTGCGCGTCCAGCTCTTCCTGCGTAAGCTGCCGCGTCGTGAGCCCCTCGCGCATCTTCGCTGGCCACCAACCCGGCTGCGGGCGCGTGAGATTCGACTTCTCTGTCCCGCCCGCGCGCCGCGGGGATGCCGTGCCCTTCTCGCGGTTCGCCTGCACGACCTTGGCGCCAAAGAATTTGCGCATCTCGGCGTCGGGGTCGAGATGCGCGGGAGAGACGGTAAGGAGGCGGGCGAGGGCATCCATCGATGTGCGCGACGCGGAGGTGGAGGAGGATAGCGCGGAGGCAGCATCGCTGAGGCTGGGGTATCTGGGTCGTTGGTCATTAAAGTGCAGCGATCGCGTTGTGAATGTACACACTGGAGGGACAGCTCCGCAAGGGCACGCTCGACGTCATCCTTCCCCGATTTCTTCTCCTTCTGCTTAGCTTTCTTTGCGGCCTTCTTTGCAGAAGCAGACGGCGTAGGAGTATCGCGCGCTGAGTCTTGTGGTGTCTGCGGCGTCTGGGGAATGGAGGATGCAGCTGCAGCAGATGGCTTCTTCTTTTTCTTCTTGTTCTTTCACTTCTAAGTTCAACACACGGTTCAAAGGAGAGGATGATGCACACCTTGCGGGCCTTCGTCTGCACTGCAGCCTCTTCGGGATCGCTATCCTCTTGAGCGATATCGTCTTGAGAAAGCAGCTACAAAGCAGTGAGCTATAGTCAAATGTATTAAAGCGCGACACCCACTGCTGCGAACCCGCTTTTCTGACCAAGCTGAGGGGACGATGCTTCCCCATCGGCCTCATCCTCGCTCACAGGTTGATGCTTCGCCAATCCCTCCAGAGCCTCCAGCTCCTCCAGCTCTCTCTGTTTTCTCTTGCTCAATCTTGGCGGCATATTTTCTGGTTAGGCCCAAGCCTGATGACGGACGGATACAAGCTCTGAGTCACCCTTTCGGTCACAACAAAGCCTTCCTAATTCGGATATATCGCTTAGGTAATCGACTTCGGGTCACGTCTCCACGAGGCGAGTTCGAATTCTGATGAACGCAACTTGTTCCGTCCACCCATGGGCCGGCTTCGAAGATTGCCGGTCGGCCACCGCTTCTTCACCGCAGGTGGCCTCGCGTACCAGAAATGAATAAATTAGCCAGCATACAACAGTGATGAGATCGTGTCTTTCTTGCTACCACCATCATGGCTTGGATACCCAAGGTTTCTGTCGAGGAGGGTGCGTAGCTTCGTGCGCAACATCTGAGAGATTGCTAGGCCTATGGAGAGCCAACCTTGATTATTTCCCTTCTCTTTTCCACGTCATTCAGTCTCTGACAATATTTCGCAGCGCAGCGTCAACTGCGAGCTCCCGGGTCCCTCCTCGAGACCGAGGAAGTCTGCATCGACGGACGTGTCCTGCGCACCTTCAAGAACCTGCCACCGTCATGTCGCGCCCTCTGGCTCGGCGCCGTGAAGATGTACCCCGAGCGCGAGTTCATCGTCTTCGAGGACCAGCGCTACACGTTCCGCGCCGCGCATGAGCGCGCCGTGCGCACAGCGGCCGTCTTCCGGGACACCCACGGCATCCGGAAAGATGCGTAGCCGTGCGCACCGCACACCCACTGCAGAGTCTCAATCGGCCTCGGACTGACGGCGACGCAGGCGACCACGTCGGCCTTGTTGCGAGGAATTTACCGGACTACCTCATCCTCTTCTGGGCATGTCGTGCGTATCGGGGTCGGACTGCTCCGAGCAGCGTGCTAAGGTCCCTTTTATCTGACATTAGACCTCCTCGGTGCAGTACCGGTGCTCGTGAACGCGTGAGTGGCGGTCGTAATCAACGGGAGCGCATTTGGGACCCGAGGAGCTCATAATCCTCCCCCAGACTTCTGCCGGCGGAGACCATCAAGTATTGCCTCGTCAAGTGCCACTGCAAGCTGATCGTGCTCGACTGGGAGCGCGCAAATCTGCTTGTGAACGCCGTCGACGGCCTTGTCCGCGACTCGCACGCAACCTGTGGCATTGTAGTGATCCACGCCGCGGAGGGGAAACGCACCTGGAAAGGCATAAAAACCTTGAACGAGGAGCTAAAGCAGTACAGCGGGGACGTGTCGACGGTCATCTCCGCCGACCCCGCCTTGGTCCCCGAGGACAACGCCATCATCCTGTTCACCAGCGGTACGACTGGTCTGCCGAGTATGTTGCATCGCATGCCTGGTTGTGATTAAATGGCTCATCTCCGTCAGAGGGCGCCCTGAGCACTCAGCGCGCTTTCCTGAGTTTGCTGTTCAACGTGCGTTCGAAGCGTCTCAACTTGACCTTGTCAACCGACCCCAAACAGAGCATCGCTGGTACGCGCCGCGCAATGCTTCGACGCGGGGAGGAGATACCTACTGGCGTCGTGCCGGAAGCGATAGGCATATTGCTCCCCGTACCTCTCTTCCACATCACAGGTAGGCTTGTCTTGAAATTTGTGCAGCAAGCGAACTCATCACTGGCATGCAGGCATGGCAATAACGGTGAGTTTGCGTCGGTCAGATCTACTGAGTGCTTGCGATTGATGGAGAAATCCAGCTCATGGCCGTCTTCGGTGGGGCCAAGCTCGTGCTGGTGCGGAAGTATAACCCTAAGCAAGGTATCTCACCTATCACATACGTTTATGCCTTGTTCCGTGGCTGACGACTTCCCAGCCGTCACGTACGTCTGCGGAGCCGTTGCGAATTCTTGCATTCTAACCTACTCTCAGCCTCATCAAGAGAGAAAATGTCACATTCATTACGGCGTATGTCCTCCACGCTCACAATACACATACTTCCCTCCATCAAGCTAACTCTCAACCTTGGCACCAGCGTCCCCACCATCATCTCAGACCTTATTGACCTGGGCACTTCCGAGCTCGCCGGGCACGAGTTCGCCACGCTCGGCATGGGCGGCGCGCCCGTCCACAACCAGCTCGTGCAGCGGGCGAAGAAGAGTTTTCCGAAGACGATGATGTGCGTTTTTCCCGGTTCTTTCCTTTTCTTTCATCCTTTCGATTTCGCATCTCCATTCTGTTTCCTCATTCGTAGCCTCTTTTTTTTTTTTTTTTGGGGGGGGGGGGGGTGCGCGGGCTTGGAAAGGATTTGGTTGACAACTTTCTCTTAGGGCGCAAGGCTATGGATTGACGGAGACGAATGCGACGGCGACGTCTAATTGTAAGTAGCTCGTCATAGCCTTTTTTCCTTGCCGACTACCATGCTCACTTCCGATTACTTCCCCCAGCCGCAGAAGATTTTGCAGCGCGACCTGCGAGCTGGTGCGTATTATGGTGAATACTATCATGGGAGATTAACCCCTATCCCATACCTAGCGGTCTTCCAACCCCCGTCACCGATATCCTCATCGTGGACGACGATGGCAAGGTTCTTCCGCCGGGACATGCGGGCGAGATCTGGGTGCGGGGGCCGCAGGTGATGAAGAAGTACTACAATGATCCAGGTTTGTGCTCACTGCAAGATTGACTGATGTTGGTGACTGACAAGCGGGTGGCAGAGGCGACGGCGAAGGCTCGTGTTCCGCTGCTATAGGAAAGATGATCGGCAAGCTGAACGTATGGTGTATTTGTGATACAGGTATTTACGAAGGTGCGCTTTGGGGAATTCTGGGCGTCGGATATGTTTCTGACTATGGCATGCAACAGGACGGCTGGTTCAAGACGGGCGACGTCGGGGTCATGTGCGCGGAAGGTTTCCTGTATATCCGCGACCGGAGTAAGTACCTTCCTAAGGTATGCCCAATACCGCCTCGCCTTACTGACACATCCTCACAGAGAAGGACATGATCATCCGCGGAGGCGAGAATATCGTACGTCTCATGCATCGATCGCACCTGGTCTGACGTCCTGCAGGACTGTCTCTCCATCGAAGAGGCGCTATACACCGAGCCGGGCGTACTCGAAGCGGCCGCGGTCGGCGTACCGGACGAGCGGTTGGGCGAGCTGCCCGTGGCGGTAGTTTCCGTGAAACAAGGTTCGTCGGGTTTGTTGAGACATCAAAAAGTCACTGACGAGCCTCGCTTGCTCAGTGTACCGTGGCAAGGTGACCGAGAAGTCCCTACTTTCGCTGATAAATCAGAAGTGAGTCGCTTCTTCCACCCACTGCATGAACAACAACCTTATCTTCTGCTCAGACTACCGCGCTTTGCGGCTCCCGTGATGATCTCAGTGCGGGATGGTGAACTGGGTAAGCAGTATTCCTGTATATCGTCTTCGAGACCGCGCGGCTAAGCATTCGCCAGTGCATAACGCTGCTGGCAAGGCCATGAAGAACGTGCTGAGGCAACAGGCTGCGGAGGAGTGGGAGAAGCGGAAGAAGATGGGTGGACAGGCTAAGGCGAAGCTTTGAGTCTGGAAGGTACCTCGGACTCTGCATACCAGCACGGGCCCGAACTGCCTGTGCGCCCTCGAATTTTCGTTATTACTGGCCCTCAAACAGGGTGAATTGTGGATGGAATGACGTATAGCCTATATATCACTTTCAAACACAGATATCATAGCTCGCTTACTCTGTGTTAATTTCTAAGGCTCGATTTGCCTCAGACGAGGAAGCGAACAAAGACTTCCTGAAGGAGATACTTACACGTGTAACAATGATTTGCTTCCTCATTTTCGATGTGGCGCTTATTCCTTCTTGTTCCCGACCTCCACCAAGTCTAGAACATAACTGCATCCCATCTACTCTGGAGACGCGAGGAACAGGAACGGGAGAGACGGTGCTCAGAGGGATTGTTCACAATCCTTGTATGTCGTGAATGCTACGGGTTCTTCGCTCATTTCGCGCTTGCAAAGTAACGAAATCAAGAAATTCGTGGCCCCGCAGCGCCAGCTTGTACAAGGCATGCCAGTACCACACACATGCTGCCCTTCGTGCGCAGGCTGCGCCAGCGCTGTCACCGCCCGCGACGGCTCAAGGCACGAACCACGATCGGGATGACGAAGGGAAGGAAGGGGATCGTCCAGTCAACATGGAACCGGTCACGAAGGCACTCCGGGAGATGGTGCTTGTCAGCGGTCTGTCGAGCAACGTCTCGTTGGACGCGAAACGGAAGGACAAGGTCGCGGTGTCCTCGCAGCATCTCGCGTTCGAGAACATCATACTGCTCCTCACCCATCATGGCCGGTACCACGAAGCTGGAGTCGTACACGGGAACATGCTCGATGCAGGCTTCATCCCCTCCCCCGCGACCAACGCCGACATGCTCGTCATCGCACTCGCTGCCGATCCCTCCGACGAGCGCGCCATCCACACAGAACTCGCCGAATGCTTCAAGCGATCCATATTCGCCGATCAGGACCTCCCCCCACTTATATCACTCATGAAGCGCCTTGGACATCCACCCTCTGTCATTATACCCGTCGTGGGCATATACCTCGCCGTCAAGACGCAGGACCCCTCATACCGCCCCACACAAGGTCTCATCAGCGACTTCGTGGAGCTGCAAATGCAGGCGGGCATGGAACAGGAAGCGCGTATCACGCTGCGCCAGTACCACGGCCGCACACTAGACGCGTCCCTCGAGAATCAGGCTGAGCTTCTGTCCAGCCTGACTGGCCACGACGAGAACGACGCGGAGGCCGACACGCGGCTCGTACGAGCGGGTCTGCGTCTTGCAACCCAGCGTGACGACCCCGACGCCGGTGTCGATGTGCACATCCTCAACGCGATCCTTCACCGCCAGATCGCGCATGAGCGCTGGGAACTCGCCTTCGCGCTCTACGGCGTGCTTGTCGAGCTCGGCGCGCGCACGCCAGTGCGGCCCGACGGCGAGACCTTCCAGGCCGTCTTCTATGCGACGACGCTCCTATACAAGCCCGTCGTGGCCACGCGGAATGCGGCGCGCAAGCAAGAGCTCGCGCAGCGAGTCCCGGAGAATGCGGTGCCACCGTGGCGCGTATTCCAAGACATGATGCGCTGGCAGTTCAACAAGGCGTACGAGCGCCCCGACTCATCGGCGGCGCTAGCGCAGGCGTCGCTGGTGTCGGCGTTGCGCGCGCTGCTGGCGACAGAGGACTATGCGGGGACGTGGGTCGCCCTGAGGCAGTTTGCGGAGCGGGGGCTGGCTGTGCCGCCGCAAGCGTACCTCTATGTCGTGCGGCACCTGACGAAGCAGATACGCAACAGTGTTGCTGCTACCCACGCAGAAGTCAGTAGCTACGCGGCCGCTGTCGAGCGTGGCACCGTGCAGCCGCGGGAGCGCGACCCCATCTCGCGCTGGTATGCCCACCTCATCGGCGAGGACTCGACCCTAGACCTCGCCGACGACGCAGCCGTCGCCGCTCGGCTTTTGGCTCGCGGTCAAGAACCCATCGAGGAACTCGCCGACCCTCCATCCACTTCGGAGCAGGACGCCGCCGCACCCATCCTCCCCACCTACGCGCACATGACGCTCAAGAAGGTCTTACCGCCACGCACCTTCCTCCCGCCCACACCGCTCGAGAACCTCATGCGTCGCGCCGTGCTGCTCTCCGCGCCCAAGGCGAAGCGGTGGGAGTACGACGGGCGGCCGGAGCAGGCGCGCGCGATGGTGCAAGAGAAGCTCGACGAGGCGTGGCGCGCGATGGTGCCGGAGGGCTTGGAGTATTGGACGTGGCGGCAGGATTGGCGGCGTGTGGTGCCGGCGAGGCACAGGCGGAGGCGGTAGCGGGCATGGTGAGGGATAGGTTGGTGCAGATTGGTGCTGGTGGTGAATGGTGGCTGACCACGGTTGCAGACCTTAGAGTCTGCTCCTCTCTCGAAGCCCCGTGCTCGCCGCACCCTGGCGTGCATCCTCAGTCGCCACCGGTTACATCGACTCCACCTTGGAGACGTCGGTCCTTCGGACCGCCCTCGCGTCGCAGGCTTCCGCTTACGGCCAAGCTTGTCCCCCGAACGCTGAGGGCAGCGCCTCGCCGCTGCGACGGAGGATATTGGAGGGCGAAGAGGATACTAGAAAGTACTAAAACTATGTTTGTCTAATCAACGGCGAGTATACCGCCATAATGCCGCTCCTTTGTGTACTTAAAAGGTAAAGCACGGCGGTCTGCGGTGTCTCAAGGTATGTAGTTGCAGACTATTCCTTGGGTTGATTAATCCTAACGCCGGACGGCGGGAAAAAAGGGCTCCCAATCCAAGTTTGGGACCAGCTATTTGTATGTTCATTTACGCTGCGCCATTGAACTGACTTGACATTACAACATCCGCTTTACCTTATTTCCCAGTAGCTGCGTAGCTGCGCGAGTTGCTGTACATCCTGTGGTCGCCAACCCCACTACAAGTCAACCGCGCCGAATGTGAAATTGTACTTTGTCTTGTGCTCCCTACATCGCTGAGCTTAGAAGTGATACGCCGCACGTACATATCTCCTGAATAGTCTACAGTCTTACGTCTCGAGAGTGAGATGGGACGCAGCTGTCATAGCTGTCACATTCATCGGACTTGCATGTTACCTTTTTGGTCATCTAAAGGGATGGACGTGAGAAACCCTCCAGCCATTCCTTCCCGAATCCCTCCCATATTTCTCCAGCTACTTCCACTGTCAACCCAGCTCTTCACCGATAGCCTGCTGAAGTAATGTATCGACCTTCGACAGGCCGAAGGATAAGTCCATTCAAGACTTGACTGATGGGCACGCTCTCGAGTCCCGGTGTCCCAAGGCTTCGCTCCTTCCCGATCGCCAGTCTCCAGATTACGACGGAGAAGACTGCGCCAGCTTTACAGGTCCAACAACCAGCAGATAGGTGAGTAAGTTGTTATTCAGTCAGAGATACAAGTACATTTAGCCCTAAGGGCCGTCTACAGATCAAACTATGGCTACACTTGGAGACACACAACGCAAGCACATACACGACCATGTCAAAGAGTACAGCAACACGAAGAGAGTCCGCGAAGCGACATTGAGAAGAGCAAGAGACAGACAACGAGAACGGCAGCAATGACAACAAGCAGCAGGGAAGCGAGCAGCACACGACCGAACACAGGAGCACGACGATGATCAACGAAGAGCACAAGCAGAGCATAGCGCAGACGACCCGAAGGTGCGTCGCCGGCCCGCCACGTAGAGCAGCTGATGCACGACAGCATCCGCACACCGAAAGCGCGCGCCCGAAGGCATTGCGCAAGCGACGTCGTCCACACCATCCACCCAATCCATATGCCCGACATTGAGACCTCCCCCGACCCCATGATGGCGACCCGCCACACAGAACCCCGCCCACTCACCTTCCCAAACCCTCTGCGCCGTCAAGCCCGGCGCCCGCAAGGTACCGAGACATCTCCCCATCCGTCGCAGCGACACGACTCACCGCGTCTGCTGCCCGCACTGCCGGCGTTCCCGCCAGGCCGTCCGTCGTGTCCTCGTCCGAGCTGTCGATGTCGTCCTCGTCCTCAACGGATCTGTGAACGCTAGAGGTCAGTCATGTCAGTACGACGCACCTTCGTGTCCTCATGCCTGGGCTCGTTGGAGCGTTGCGAGCATGCGAGAAAAGGTGGTCAGTATAGAAATCGACAGCAAAGCATCCCACGCACCTTCTCCAAGCGCATGCGCGCGTTCCCAGTCTTGCGTCCGCGGAAAGCTTGAAGAGGACTTGGGGACAATCGAAGCACGGACGGTAGCAGACATGACGGGACGGCAAAAGGCGAGTGGGCAGTGGGGCAAAAAGCTGCGCGAGGTGCGTCAGTACCAATCCTCCAATCTGAGCAGATGCACGACTCACCAGACACGGTAGTCGAACTCACGGCTGCGACGACGGGGAGATGCCCTTTCACTTGCGGACGGGTCAGGCCGTCAAGCACGTCAGGTCGAGAGATGGCAAGTAGGCGGGCACCGCGGACGCAATGTGCGCCACCCGCGGCGAGTATGGCAAAGGTCAGTTGGGGTGAGTTCGGTACTTGTCGAGACGCGGAAAGGGCGACGGTTGACTGGACGCCAGCGCCGCTAGGTGGTCATGTTCGATGTGTGTGCTGCAAGTCTGTCGTCAGCGCACGCACGCGAGCCATAGCACGAAGGTACGTACCGATGCGGATCGCTCTCGAACCGTTGTGCTCTGATCATCGACTCGTCAAACGGTCTTGCTTCGTCTGGTTCCGCATGCGATGGTGCTGTGCTTTCGCTGTACACTCTTCTGCTCAGGTCCCTTTGTCTCTGTGCGCGCCTGCTGATATTTTTGCTGCCTGGTCCGCCTCTCGGGTCATCGTGCTCCACCCCTCTCCGACACGCCTCGCTCCTACAGGTCCAAGATTATCTTCGCCTCCTCTGCGTTCGGTAACTCTGGTAGGGATGGTCGCGGTGTGCTTCCCAGTCATGATCTGCTGGCCTATCAGGCAGACCATGCACGGTGGGCGCCGTCGACGGCCCACCGCCGTCTTGCCTGGGCTGACGGCGAGCTTGATCATCGCGAGGACCATGGTGAGGATTGGGTGTGCCGTTCTGGTGGCCATGCCTTGGAGGATACCTCGGGCTAGAGGATGACGGCCCGCTGCGCGAGGCTTCGTGGTCGAGTGCATCTGAGCGCATGCCGCCGAAACCGGAATGCAACTCGTCGTCCGTTCGATCCTGCAAGGTATAGTTTCGCGGCGCGCGTCGGTCAGGTCGCTGATCGTTGTCTATCCACGCGGGCCTTGGTGGGAGGCCATGCAAGCCGGACGGACCCGCCCTCGACGTCGACGTGATGTCCCGATTGCTGCTGCCACCCGCGCGGTCTTCCCGCTCAAAGCGGCGTGCAGGAGGGGGCGTATGCGGCGCATGTCTAGAGGTCGATGTCGAAGGGCCACTGCTAGACTCAGGGTCGTCCCGTCTGCGATCCCGCTGCCTTAGAGTTTGCTGCTGCGCACACTTCCAGTCGCCGTCGGCTGCTCCTTCGGCTGAGCCTGCCTTGTGAGGCCTCATCCCAGCCGAGCGCGTTGCGCGATCCTTCGCTTGACGTGGATGCCTTGCGGGTCGACGTGGAGTGCTCGGTCCACCGCCGTGCCTGGTCTCGTTGTGACCATATGACGATGGTCCTTGGTGTTCACGAGTAGGCTGCCGCGGGCTCCGCCAGTTCTCATGAACAGGGGACGGTGTTGCCCGACGAGAAAACTCCGGGGAAGGCGCTGCAGGTCGTTGGCGAGGAGGCGTCGAGGGGAGACGGATACATCCACCCATGGGAGGAGGGCCGTCGTCATCGTCGTTGTCGTCGTCGTCGACACCGTCGTCACTGGGAGCAGTGTCATCTTTGGCTGGCCAGTCGTCCTTGCCCAGTTCGTCGTCCTCGTTTGACTTGAAGTAGAAAGCCTCCGTGTCATCAGCCCAGTCGGCCGGGGCGTCACCGAAGTCGATGCTTGGGAGTCCAGCCACTGAGTTGGCAAGAGAGTCGTCTTGGGCAGGATAGTCCTCGGCGACATGCTCCTCTGTGTGCTGGTCCGCAAGAGACTCTTCCATGAAGGGATCTGAAAGGTGCCCATCAGCTTTTGCTTTGCTCTTGTGTTAGCGACACGAACCTTCCGGAATCTCTTGAGCCCTGCCCTTGCCCTTCTCCGCCGCCGTGAACCTTCTCGGCGATGACTGCGTCGCAGGTGGACGAGCCACCGCGCTCGTCAAATGCCCAAGGAAGCCTGCCTTGATCGTCGGACGCACAGCCAGAGGCTTGCGCGTCGCCGTCTCCGCCTCCGACTTCAGTTCACGGAGCCTTTCCTTAACACGGTCGAAGTCCGAGATCTTTGACCGCGCATAAGTTATGGCTACAGCGGCACCCTCGCGAGAGTCGTGGTCCTGAGCTGCTGCTTCATTGAGGTCGTCCGCGGCAAGTTCCTTATCAGGCTGGTCGTCGTCCGCCAAAGATGTCCGGCTGGACGGTGTCGGGCTAGAGGTAATCCATCCGTCGCCGACGCTGCTGTCATCGCTCGATGATTGTTCGACCACGATCGGCGTCACGGTGGTGGGCCCGACGAGGCTGATTTTCTCGACGTAGGTAGGCTCTTCGACGTGGGCGGCTGCCTCGGCGGGGGCGTCGTTCGCTTCCGAGAAGACGGGCGCAGCGGAGGGCATCTCGTCGAGGGCAGGCGTGGCGGTGCACTCGTTAACCTGCTCATCGGCATGAGCGCCGGCTGGCGCTTCGGGCACATCGAGGGGGGCAACGACGACGTCAGGCGGGTCGATCGATAGCTCAGCCTGCTCGGTGTTGACGCCCTCCGGCTCGACCGATGCGTGAATCGTGTCCTCGACCATGAAGGAGATGACCTGCGCAGCCGAAGCACAAGTCACTGGCTCAACCGCGGCGGGAGCGTCCTCGTCGACCTCGGAGGACGTCTCGGACTCGACCATGAAGGTCATGTCATTCAAGGCAGACTCGTCGCAGACGGCGGTCTTGGGATCGACCGAGGCGCGAGTAGCCGACTCCGGGATAAACTCGGCCAGGTGCATGAGCAAGATGTGCATCTTGAGCGTCGCGAAGGCGGGCTGCAGGTCCATGGACTTGCGCTAGATGATCGTTAGCATGAGCATGTACATGTACATGACGATGTCGAGGGCACTACTCACCTTGCGCATAACGACCTCAATGGTAGACGTGTTGTTCGCGAGGACGGGGCCCGCGATCTATGAGAGTCATCAGCTACTGTCCAATTCATGCATTCGTAAAGCACTCACCTCACGAACCCGCTCCTCGGCCTCCATGTTCGCGTTCTCCATTGGCGCCTCCACCATCAGCGGCACGACCTGCATGGCCGGGCCCATGAAGAGCACGCGACCCTGCTCGCTGAACATGACCGACGCCTTGAAGACGACCGGGGCAGTGTACGCAACGTCGGCGAGGTAGGTGACAGGCGCGAGGTAGACGACGGGGGTGGTGTAGACGGCCGTAGTGGTGTAGACGATGGGGCGGGTGTAGACGGTGAGGGTAACCTCGACGTTGTCGGTGGTGACGACCGTCTGATTCATGGGCCCGATCGGCGAGGGATAGATAGACAGGGAGCGGACGATGTCCGTCCCCTGCTTCTGCTCGACCTGATGCTGGGTGTCAGGGAGTACATGGTGAGGCAGAAGTACTAGACGCACCTCAACCTGGAGCTCCATGGCCTTACGGGGAGTGATAGCCATGCAAGTAGCAAACATCGTCTTCTCCTCCTTAGAGCGCATCTTCTGGCGCACCAGGCGCGCGCACGACACAACGGCCGGCACGACAAACTCAGTGACCATGAAGCGGTACGCGGCGGCGAACGCCAAAACAACGCCGACCTGCAGAACGACATGAGCAACGAACAGATTAGAAGCACCCAGTCACAACGCACAATAAGCGCCAGCGTCCTGAGGCTGAGCACAAAGTCGATGACGACGAGCACCTCGTCGTCCTTGGGGTAGACGAAGATGAGGGGGTACCTGCTCCACACGATCACGATTTCCTCATGCTTGAACAGCGGGGGCAGGTCGAAGGTCAGGGCGGCCTGCAGACCAGCCCTGTACGCTGCGAACACAAGGCAGACGAAGCCCTGGATAAGCATGGTCAGCATATGTGCTGTGGCAAGACGGACAGCACGTACAGTGAGCCAGGTGCGCAGCGGCGAGAAGGGAGGGGAGGCGGGCATGTTGGTGTAGAGCATGTAGATAACGGTGACGGCGATGGCGAGGGTCTGGTACGGGAGCCATCCCTCCCCAAGCCAGAAGCCAGCGTGGCACGCGGCGAAGAAGGCGAGGAGAGGGTTGAAGGCCATGTAGTCAAGTAGACGGGGCTAGAAGACGATGAGCAGGGCGTAGGACGGAGATGACCGGGGACGTACCTTGTACGGCTTCCCGGGTACCATCTTGAGGTGGAAGGTGGTGAGGGAAAGGACACCGTTGACGAGCGGGGAGAGGAGCTGAATAAGCGCCGTGGTCAGCGAGGACTCAGAGCGACGAACGTGCGACTCACCCGCACGACACAGCGCTCAGTCCGGAGAAGCACGATCTAGGCGCGAGTGAGTACGAGGGGAAGCTTTGCCACAGGGAAGTACCGACCACCGTGCTGATGATGCCGATGCACTGTGCAGATACGGTCATGCTGCCAAGGGCGTTGCAGACCAGATAGAAGAACTTGGGAGTACGATTGGTGAGCGCCACGAACACCGATACGCGGGGAACGACTCACGTAGAGGATGCCACAGGCGGCGAGGCGGAGGGGGAGGCTGTAGACCCATTGGAGGCAAAAGTTGACCTGGACCGCCACATAACGGCGAGCGTCAGCAGGCGCTTAACGGCCAAAGCACTGGTCCACGCACCACAAAGATGAGGATAGCCGTGATGAACCTGTCCATGTACATCTTGCAGACGTCCGTATAGGGATTCGGGACTGTCAGAAAGGCGACCTTGACGTCCTTGGGGATGGAGTAGACGATAGCAACCAGGGAGAGCAAAAGGAACAGGCGCCAGATAAACCGTACGCGCGGTGAAATACAGCTATTGGAGGAGCCACCGGCTTGGCCGGTGTGCTCGATGCCGAACGCAGGTTCGGGCATCGGGATGGGGTGGGGGGATCGTTCTACGGGTACTCTCAGAGTAGGTAGTGGTGGGGGAAGACAAGAAGGATCGTGGGACTGCGAGGGCCTTTTGAATGCCGGGGGTCCGGACCCATAACCGCGTTTGGGCACAAAGACAATAAGGATGCCGTGACGTTACTGGCCCCGCACGGACCTGCCGTTACGCTGCTGTGCGTAGGGCAGTGCAAAGGTGAGGAAGGGCGCTTCATAAGGGCGCTTGAGAAGTTGGAAGGAGGGGGAGCGGGAAACATGAATTTGATGGTCGATCGCTGGGGCGCTTAACGCTATGGAGGGCGCGATTGGACTGGGAAAGCCGGGAAAGTTGGATTTTTGGGTGCTGGGTACACGATGTAACTGAATACAAGGCCTCTGAAGGCGCTGGAGACGACGAAACAGGCTGGAGAGGGACAGAGAGTGATGGTTCGAGTTGAACATGACTGAGCCGGTGTCCGCCGCGTGGTTTGATTCCGGCCTTCCCATCATCACAAAACGTGCATTTTGCTGCCACCCCGTTCCTCCCGGACTTCGGCAACCGCCGCTCAAGCTCGTCCTGAACGTTCATAACCTCCTCCTCGTCCATTTCCTCTCAAAAACTGCCTCCCAAGCGAAAGGGCAGAAGGTCCTGGCGTGCGCGGCGCCCCGGCAAAATTGCGATAAAAATCGCCTAGGCAACGGCATCCTCTCACGCTCCCACCGGTCTTCTGCTCCTTATCGTGTCCATCAGCCCGCGCCACCGCGATGGAACGTGCGGTACGCAGGAGGACCCTGCAGCCGCTGACCTGCCGCTGACTCAAAAAGCATCTTCTGCGCATAACAGTGCCTTCTCGACCTCCGCTGAACATCATATGACCCCCTCCTTGTACCAGAATTCGAACTCCGCGAATTTGGGATCAGAATCGATGATTCTCTGCGGCGGAAAGGAGTGGAACCTTGTCCGCCCGCCGATGCTGCTACTCATTCCTCAGCTTGAAGACCTACATCGTTGCGTAGCGAATGAAGAGCAGTACGTGTACGTCCTTTTCCCGTCCTTCCTGGCCAATCCTATCCCAATGCCACAACCTTGTTATCTCCTCTGTCCGGCGCTTAGCTGATTATGCCTGAGAACACTGCATGTGGTACCTTTACGGCACTCTCAGGCGGCGGGCGCTCGTTACCCGTGTCACGGCCTACTATTCGAATTACAGCCACAACGCCTCGCGATAGTCTGCAGGACGAAGCACGCCTTTGCTGATCATGCCCCATTTCTCGCCTTATCTCGTGCGGCTAGCTGCAGGCCTTTTACGTGCGCGGGACGGCGCTGTTCCGCGTGCTGGGACGGCCCCATACTGCTATAGAGGAGGCACGGGTATTTGCTGTCAAGAAGAGGACCCCGTGTCTGCGTGCGATAGATGCTGGAGTCTGGACGCTCTTAGAATCACTAGTCTGATCCTCGCCGTTGCTCCTGGAAGTTCGACAGCGGCCGAAGGCTCAAAAGGTTATAGGCGCTCGTTCTCGCCGTAGCTGGCTTATATATACTGGCCGACCCTCTATGATATCCTCAACTCCTCCTGCTATACGGCTGGGTACTGTCTGGTTGCCACAGGACCCTCATGAGTAGGATAATATATATTTCGTCATTTCGCGAACGCGATTACGGCGTCCGCCACCGCTCTTTGATCCTGTATGGCCGCGCGCTTGTTCGAACCAGCCGAATCTTCGTTAGGATGCTTTTGAAAAAGCCAATCGCAAGCAGATAGCATTATTATAGAGCGCGGTAATGTATAAGCATCACGGTCATATAAGGGCTACAGAACATAGTAGAATGGGTAACAGATCGGGGACATGTCTAGATGAGGTGGCAGTGAAAACGTATAGTAAATTATGGGAACGTGAAATATAGGCCGAATACGATCCGTCCTAGAGTTAACATGCAATGTAAAGAGCGGATGAGGGTATGGATACAAGAAATGAGAAAGGGATGGGGAACATCAGGACATGTTGTCAAAGTCGTAGAGGAAATCGTGAAGAGAGACCGGCTCCCTTCGTTGTTCGCGTGCTCGTGCGCACTTCACGTCGTAGACTTCGCACTCTGAATCGCGGGTAAAGCTCAGTAGCCCCCATCACGACCCCACCACCTACGACTCCACAACCTACGACCCCACCACCTCCGCATACACGCGCACCGCGATCGCGTCCAGCTGCTCCTGGTTGTACCCAAACAGCGCGAAATGCGTGTATATGTCGACCAGCAGCTCGCTGCGCGACAGCGCCCTGTCGAACCACTTCGGGCACGCATGGCGCACGCAGGGCGTCGGGCACGCGTGGCGCACGCAGGGCGTCGGGCACGCGCGGTCGGTGCAGTGCACCCACTGACAGGGCACGTACTGGGGCGTGGGGACGGGGACGAGGTGCGGCGTCCCGTTCGCGACCGCGCGCATGAAGGTGTCGTCGGAGCGGGCGAAGGCGAGCGGGCCGAGGGAGTGGGAGGGTGGGATGTGGGGGGTGTTTGAGGTAGAGGAGGGCGGAGTGGAGGCGTGGCTCAGAGGGCTTGGTGTAGAAGACGATGCTTGGGAGCTCGGCGGGCTTGGGATGGAGGACACGACCTCTATCCAGTTGTCGGACAGTCGATATGTGCCAGGTGGAGGGAGGCAGGCAACATTGTGTTCAGTTTGTATTGCGTTCGTCGCTTGGTGTGATGTCGACGCCAGCGGCTGGTCGTAGATCGAGCTGGCAGACTGGGACCGGCTCGAGCCCACCATCGCATGGCCGTTTAAGCACGTCGCTGGAAAATAGGCTACCCTTGGCGGGCGATAGTACGTGCCAGGCGCGTGACTGGGATCATCGAGTATAGGAGGTGCGCTGTCCTCGCGATAGTAGGCGGGGTTGGGGTTCGTCTTATGCTGTTCAATGGGAGGCTGAGTAGCAGCTTTAGATGCGCGCGCAGATTGTCTCCTGAAGAGGAAGACGGATGAGTGGAAAACTCAAGAGGATATATTCATTGATCGTACATAGACTGTGCTCTACCTCGCGCGGCGCGAGTCCTGCGTGGGCGGGAGGAAGATGAGCTAGGGGTTGCTTTTGGGGTAGGTTGCGGGCTCGAGGCGGGGTGTAGAGAAAGGGCGGTGGCATCGATGGCTGCGGTGGCAGGGCGCACGGGCGTATCGACTTCCATGGCGCTTTCGTCGGGGAGAGAGGCCGTCGGAATGCAGGCCGCTTGAGGACCATTATCAGTGACAGATTCGCCAGGAGCGGCAGACGCGACCGCCTGCACCTGGGAGGGACCGGTTCCCTGGTCGATGCCGCTGTCGCCACTGTCAAAATATGTGAGTCACCGAGTGGCCTAGTCGACTACGCACGCCACTCACCTACACCTCAGCTCGCTGGTGCCCTCACTCGGAGGAGGATCAGGACGACCCTGGGTAACCTCCTTCGGGCTCTCCGGCAGATTGAGGTACTCGTTGATATCGAAGTCCGCCACCTCAGGCTCTTCCTCCATCGGCTCGTCCAGCAGCGACGGATCGGTCGCGCCACTTAGGTAGCTGTTCATGTAGTCCTTGTACGCCTGCGAGTGCGGTGGCGGCTTCAACGACTTCACATAGTCCTCGTACTCGAACTCGTTGGGCGCGACCTTGGGTGGCTGCGCTTCCGGAATCTCTGCCAAAAATTTCTCGGCCTCCGCGCCACTCGCCTTGTTCATCCACTGCATGAAGCCGACTTCTGCAGGGGGACGGTTCTTGCGAGGACGTCCTGGGGTACGGCCGGTCTGTTTGCGGGGCGGCATGGATGTCTGGAGATGGGTGGCAGTGGGTGGCAAGGGAGATGACGATGATGGCGAAGGTGCAACCTATATAGTCAGAGTCATAAACCCGCATGGACCGATTCCATTCCTGCGCGTTTGTTGTCCTCATGGCCATCACGTGAGCGGCTTTGTCGATGTCTTGCCATGACTAACCAAATCCGGAAGGTTTTGTTGTTTCGCCGAGATGCCGAACATGCAAGGCGAGCAACACAGCGCCATCCACTTTGAGGGCTGGAGATCCACATGTGGACGGCAGCGAGGATATAGGAGGTTATGAGGATTACTGGAGGTCATCTGGAGGAGGTCAGCAGGCCGAAATGGTCAACGGCATCGGATAGTGACACTCACCCAAAGGCCAATGCGTGTGGCAATATTCGACGCTTGTGTATGATCACTACTGTGGTATGACCGACAACAAAAGGTTGTATAGTTTGCAAAGAGCCACAATTACAGAGGTGTCAACCCCAGATACTAGGGCAGTAACCCGAGGGCTTGCTCACCGACCCTCTTGAGGTGAAGTTCAAAGATACTCACGTTCACATGAACTTCAGGCGAGGAAGTCAAGGGATCGAGCGCATTCCACAGAAAACAGGAAGTATATTGCCCTCATCGCCTTGAGCAGAACAAAGTTGGAGCAAAAGATGGTGCCGACTGACAGGCCGTGCCGAAGCACGTTGCGATCACTTCCCTCCTGCCATCATCATCCTGCTCACTTCATACCTCAAGGCCTATCTCTGTCGATGTACGACTAACAAGTATCCCTTGTATGTCTGGGTATCCTTATAGAAGTTCTGGGAGGGTGTAGGTGCGTAAAGCAAGCTCGAAGGGCGTGTCCATACGGACGAAAGGTGCGCAACATGCTTGGCCTCCTCGTATCGTCCGCTCAACTCGCCTGGGTAGTATTTTTGTTACCTGCTCTTACGATCATGATGAGTACGTACCAAGACCACCATACCCTCCCCGACTGCCGTCTGTCCGATCGTTCTCCCGGCTCAAGCCAGCGCGTGCCCCTCGCCTCCGGGATCGTACCCTTCCACACTGATAACCAACGAGCCCACAAGGTCCATAACCACCCAACTCAGGCGCGAACGACACGCCCAGCATCTCCAACTCCGCCTGCATACTCACATGCGCGAACATGGGTTCAAAGCGCGTACACCCTCGACGTAGAGCACCATACTCGATCTATAGCATGTAATCATCTGCAATACAAGTCTACTTCAATGACCGTCCATGCCAAAACCACAGCTACCACTCATCGGAGCTGCGAACTCTACGCTAGCAAGCCTTTCGCCCTCCAGTAACTCACCCAAGCATTCGCGTCCACCTGGCCGAGAGGACGGAGATCGCGCAGCGTTTTGCTCACCGCGGTCATCTTGTCCGTCGCGAACATGCCCAGTCCATATCCCCCGCTCATCCCGCGGAAGAACTCCAGCAACTTGACGCCGGGCTGTATAACAGGTCAGCTTGCGTTCAGGGAGTACGCGTATGAAGATCACTCACTACGTCCAGAGCGTTGACAGAGGGATCTGCCGCCGCCGCCTCCAGCTTCGCGAACCACTCGGGGAAGGGGACGATAGGTAGGTCGCGGTCAAGCTGGTTCTTCAGCGAGCGCTGCACGTCCTTGATCATCTCAGACCACCGGATAGTGTGCGGGTGGACGATGTTGTGCGAGGGCGCCAGTCCGTTTTCGTCGAAGGCCGCGTCGATGAGGGTACCCGCGACAGCGTTCGACGGCAGCCACGAGACCTCCTGAGGGGACAAGTTCAGCAATCCGCACACATCCACCTTTCCCCTCGCACTCACCTGCCCATCGCTCGGCAGCACGCCCAGCGCCACACTCGTCTTCACCAGAATCGGGAACCAGTCCGTCGTCGCCCACGCACCCCTGGGCGGATCGCCCGTGATCTGCCCCACGCGGACCGACGTGAACGGTACCCCGCCCGCCGCCAGGACTCTCTCGGCGGCGTACTTCGCGTGCCCGTACCCGCCGCCGGCGATCGCGACACCGGGGTCCTCTAACAGCTCCTCGGGAACGGGCCCCTTCGAGGCGTAATCCCAGGAAAGCGTCGCGCCGATGGAGTTGGTGAAGACGAAGCGGAAGGTGCTGGCGTGGGCGGAGGCGGAGGCGCGGGCGAAGTCGAGGAGGGCGCGCGTGCTGCGGATGTTGGGCTCGAAGGCGGTGATGCCGAGGTTGAAGTCGAGGCGCCAGGCGACGTGGAAGATGAGGCTGACGGTGTCGAGCATCTGCCGGGCGGTCAGCTCTGCAACTTCTTTGGGCCGACGCGACGAACGCACCTCCGCGTACACCTCCTCGCTCTGCCCGAGCTGCTCCTTGCACACATCCCCCTCCAACGAAACCAGCTTTTCAGACTCGAGCAATCCCGCATCCAACCCCTTGTCCTCGAACCGCGTCCGCTGCCTGTCCTTCGCCCCCGCCGACCCCGCGCGCTCGATCGTGTACACCCGACTGACGCGCTCATCCCGCAGGAGCTGCGCCAGCATGTCCGCACCCAGGTTGCCCGTCGTCCCGGTCATCAGAACCGTCACGGGCAGCTCTGGCTTCGCGACCTCTGCGGGGATGTACTGCGGCAGCGTCGTCGCGTCGACGTAGCCCGGGAGGCCCTCGCTGTGCTTGGCGGCCATGGCGATGATCGTGCGCTTGACGTCGGCCTCGTTGTCGACGCCCTCGCTGGCTTCGCCATGAGCGAGCTTGCTGAGGAAGGTGGCGAGCTTTTCGATCGAGGGGTGGGCATAGACGATGTTCTGGGTGATTTTGGAGGTCGCGGATGCAGTGGAGGCGTCCGCTTTGAGCGCGCCTAGCAAGCGATTGCGGAGGACGGTGTTGTTGAGACTAGAGATTGTGATTCATAAAGGCAACATCTGGATGTCACTGACTTACCTGTCGAAGCCCTGCTCGAAGAGGTCAACCGCGCGGTCCATCTCTCGGCCAGTGATGTCGCGCATCTGCTTCGAAAGCCAGTTTTCGACGGCCGACACGTCCCAGCTGTTAGGTGCTGCCACATCCTTCTCTCCACCCTGATCCTCAAGGGCCTCGTATCTGTGAAGCAAGTCAACCTGATCGTAAAGCGAGTACAACATGCAAGGTAGAACTCACAACTTTTCTATCTCGTCATTGTACAGCTGCAGGGCGCGCTTTCGTACGACCGTGCCCTTGTCGGTACGTGGGAGGGGCGTATCTGGACGCGCGACGAGGATCAGTTCCTTGAAGATTCGACTGTAGGCGGGTGCATTCCGGTTCGCCTCCTCTACGACGGGCCTATAGAGAAATCAGACATCTTCAATAATCTTGTTCCAGAGAGGTCCGAAGCGCACCAAATGCCATCCCGATACACCGCGATTCTTGCGTCGTCCTTGGTGTCGACTGCGTAGCCGGCAGCGGGCTCGACAAGAATACCCGCCTCGTCTCGCCCGCGGCCGAACATGACCACGGCCGCCACCCTGGCATATGCGTCAATTGGATGTCCGACAGGAGGAAAAGTGTACCAACAAGGGACTCTTGAGGATCTTGCCCTCCATCGGCGCAGGCACCGTCTTCTCGCCCGTCGAGTGGACGATCACATCGTCCTTGCGTCCGACGCTGTTGGCGCGAGTGAGTAAGTCACGGATTCGAAGCCACTGTTTGCTTACATTCTCCGCAAGTAAGGCTTCGTCGGATGTGCGACCCACAAGTCGCTCGTCGCGTACCCTGGTCTATTCGCCATGTTCTTGACCGCGGGCATATGCCAGTGGTTGCCGTCGGCCTTCAAAGCACGTCAACACGCCATTTAAGACACATACACGGCACTCAAACATACCGGAATAATCAGCTCCTCGGTGCCGTCTTCCTGCTTCTCCCATTCGATGGCCGCATTGGCGTCGAGCTCGATCCATCGCCATTCCGCCCAGTCCTCTTCATGGGTGGGCATGCAGTGCGAGGGGACGCCGAACTCGGTCGCGCCGAGGATGGACCTTAGCTTGACGCCGGCAGACGCGAGGATCTCGCCGATGGGCTCGCTGAGGGGTCCGCCGCCGTAGGCCTACGCGAATGTGAGTGACGATTCGTAATAGTAACGCTCGAAAGCCTCACCAAAACCTGTAGGGTGCTCAAGTACTCCACCGCACTCGGGTCCTCCGCCCACTGGTGCACGTACGCCGGGACTGTGACAACCGCGGTAGACTTGCTCGCGCGAGCGGTTTCCAACTGAGCGTCCGGCGTCGGCGGCGGGGGCACCTCTGTGGGAGTCTATGGCGCGGTCAGCGATGCGCGTGACGCTTCACGAATACAACCGACGCACCCTGACCACTGGGTAAAACAGCGCGGACTCCGCACCGCCGTACAACGGTACAAAGACCTGCGCCCAGAGCCCGAAGCCGTGGAAGGCGGGGAGGATGTGCGAGGCGAAGCGCGGGCGCGGGGTGAAGCGGCGGATGTCCGTGACGCTCGCTGGACAATGACTGTGAGCACGAGAGAGCCAACAAGTCGATGTACATGACTTACCAAGTCTTGTCCAACCCTGGATGCTGGCGCGGGTATGCCCAATGGCCTTGGGGAACCCGGTGCTCCCGGACGAATGCAGGTAGAGCTGCATGTCCTCCGGCTTCGCTGCGACCGCAGACGCCGGGTAAGGCTTGAACACGTCCTCTGCCTTCTTCAACGCCAGGTGAGGATAGATGGTGTCGAGCGCGGGCATCTCATCGATGACCAGCCCGTACTCCTCGCCGAGCTCTGCCTTGAGCTCGGCGACGAGCATGTGTAGTGTCTGCTGCGTCGTAACGAGGTGTCGGGAGCCCGACGTGCGCAGCAGGTTCGCCACCGCGGGGGCGGCGAGGCGAGGCGAGATGGGGAACGGCTGCAGCGAAGTCAGCGAGAGGGTGACACAAAAGCGGTGCACGACGTACCACGAGCCCGGCCTTCATCAAGCCGATGGTGATGGCGTGGTAGAGGACGGTGTCGGAGAGTGCAATAATCGCGACGACGGCGCCGTCCGCGCCCTGGTGCGCAGGGCGCAAGGCGTGAGCAGCGCGATGCACGGCGCGGCCGAACTCGCGGTAGGTGATCTCGCGGACGGTGCCGTCGGACTCAGCGCACGCATAGCACGTCTTGTCCGGGTTATGCTCGAGATGAAAGTCGACAACGTGGGCGAGGGGAAGGTTGTCCTCGAGGGGGACGTCGACAAAGGTGTTAGTCGTCTTGACTTCGTGGCACTGCTGGGGGCTCATGATGTGCTGGTTGACGGTGAACCACAGCTAAGCGAGCGGCCTTTTATATGGCGCCGTGGCACACACAGATGGACCCACGTAAAGAGCCGTACACACCCACAGTCAGTCAGTGCATATCGGACGCCGGCGAGACAGTGATCCATCTATTTGCAGAACAGAGAAGTCCTGTCCGACTGCAGCGCTCGACACGCCTCTGGCAGTACGGATAATCGTCATCGAGCGCAACATTCATCGAGATTCCACTTTGACCCGCTGGGCGCAATGGCGGTAGCTGGCGCACTAATCCGCTCGACGTGATTCACAAGAATGTGGCAACGATGAAGAACATCCAGGATGCTATCAAGCCCCAAAATTGAAGACCTTGGGCAATGTCTGAAAGTTCAACATAGACGTCGTGCGCCGCACGTGGTGCGAAAGCGCGCAACGCTGCCGTGCCGAACGCATGCCGGAGGCAGCTTCCTCAGCATCTCCGCCGTCGCGGTGCTTCTCCCGCCGCAAGAACTCCATCGACGAATCTCCCGAAGGCGGGACTGATCGTGGCAAGCCGGTCCTGAGCGGGATCGTCATAGATGCAACGGTGCGATAGTTCTTTCATTGGCAGAGAGCATTCATGAACCGCGTCCACGTTGGACGCCTCCAGCCCTTGCGTCTGAGCTCGCATTCGCCGAACTTCGTCGCGCTCGAACGCTTTTTATAGATTATGAAGTTGAAGGGCATATTCAAGAACATTCAGCGAGCTCGAGGTAACGATATCGATGCTCATCGGTGCCCCAAGTCAAATGCGTGGAGACGGTCTTGGGGTCCAGTCAGTAATGGAGGGCTTTCGAACTTTGCGATTGACTGGGAAGACTTTTGCATCGGGTGATTGTGTGCATCCCACAACTAATTCAAGCCGTGTTTACTTACCAAATGCATTGACTTTTCGTGTACAAGCGTATATCCTATCGAACCAAAATACTATCGCGTATCCTTCCTTGAGAAAGATATAACTAGACTGTAGGTACTAGACCCAATAAAGATACATAAAAGTGGTAACATAGAGACCGCGTCGCTCGAGTATCGCTATAGCCTCGGCATACAATGGTACAGACACTGAAGCACGGCAGCGGTACAATATATATGCAGGCAGCGCTACATCGGCGGACGTGGTGGGTGGAATGTGGCATAGTCTGTCCGGTAAAGTGCATAGGAAGGATACATAATTGGAATGATTAAGAAGGAGAAGGAAACGTAAGTCCAGTAAGTGGGCAAGGTTGGCGAGAGCACGATGCACAAGCGCGTCCCGATATCGCATTAGCCAAGGCGAGCACGCTTGGCGTCACGAATTGGGTCGGGGAATATGTGCTGTGCAGTGTGGCCACCGACGTTCTGAAAAACGGAGGTTGAAGTGCACCCCTCCCAACGGCAACCAATAGGGGTTTTGGGATCCTGCCCCACATGCTCTCTAATGTGCTCGTAGATCTCATCCTTGTATCTGCTGCTGCCCAGCTGGGAGTAATCGATCTCGAATTCCCATCCGCACCACTTGCCCGGGTGACCTTGGTGGTCCCATCGGCATTCATGGCGGTGGGCGCCTGGTGCGACAGGCTCAGTGGTGTCCTTAACTCCCTCACATTTTCTCGGTGGGGGCGGAGGAGCCGAAGTGTCGGGTTTCCGGGCAAGAGCCACCGCCTTCTCCAGATGCTCTCGGTAGTCGGGATGATGGTGATAGATCATCTGGTAGAGCTCCTCGGAAAACACCGCATCGCCATTGATCACCTCCTGCAGCATGAGCAAGACGGCCACGACGGTGGGCACTTGGTCGCTGGCGTATAAGATGCGTTTATATTTCCTTCTGACGATAGCATGAGTACGATAGTCGGAAATACTGAGGACGTGCAACTTACCCAACTGGGGCCCCATAGGCGCCTGTGTAGTTGGCAGGTCCTAGCATTGCAGAAGACGCTGGCGGCCAAAAAGGAAGCGGCGCAATGTTGCGAGCCGTTCCATTCGAATTCGTGTGCGTGGGGCGCTGGGCACCGATGCGGCTCGACGAAACGCCTGAGCTTACAGAACCCGACGATGACTGCGTCGAGCTACCCGCATGCGCGCCCATGGTGCCCTGCGCGTGCGCCGGGGCAGGCGCAGCGGCGCTCGTATAGTTCGCCGCCCAAGGCTCCTGCGTCGACGACCAGGGCCGCTTGTTGGCGCGGACGCTGCCGTGCGATACGACGGGGGCTTGAACGAGCGGCTGGGACTGCATCGGCGGCGCGAGCATAACGAGCGGAGGAGCGGGGAACATCGTCGAATCCATGGGCTGCGCTTCGACAGTCGCCTGGGGCGGCACGGCACCGTAGGACGATTGGGCGGGTGCAGCGTGCTGGCGGTAATGCATGGGGGCGGGCTGCGGGTGGTACGAAGGAGCAGGCAGCCGGTAGTGACTGTGAATGTGCGGCTGGCGATGCTCATGGGCATGCGGGACGGCGGGCATGCCGTCCATCGGCGTGTTCGTGTACGGCGTGGGCGCATAAGCCATGGGTGCAGCCTGGCTGAACCAAGGGACCGGGGCAGCCGGCTGGACTGGCGCAGGATTTGGTGGCGCGAAATGAGCAGGAGCGGGTGGTGGATTCTGAACAAGAGCGCGCGGTGGGTTCTGCGCAGGAGCAGGCGACGAGTGGCGAGCAGATAGATTGGCGGGCATGCTCGACATTGGCGCGGTGACGGCCTGCTGCGCGCTCTCCTCGCGCGGGACATGGTTGGGGTGAGCAGGCGCGGGGCTGGCGGGCGTGTTCGCGCTGTCCTCGACCTCAGGCTGCGCCTCGATCGCGCGCTCCTCGCCCTCGATCGATGTCTGCCGAGGAGAGGTCGCGGCGGGTTCCGGAGTAGCCGATGGAAGGGGAGCTGGCTCGGGCGCAGAGGCTGTCGCCGGCGGGGTGCGAGAAGGGGAAGGGGTGAAGTCGGCGACGTCGTCGGCGATCGGCCTCCAAAGCTGAACGGCGGGGGCGATGCTGCCGACCTCGCTGACCGCGCTCGCAACGCTCTCCGTGTCCGTGTCCGAGTCGTCGCCACTGTCCGCGCGCGCATGGTCTTCAGCGTTCGCGCGCCTGGCGGCCTCCTCTTCTTGCTTCCTCCTCAGTATCACGATTGTTTCCGCGCGCAACCTCCTCTCCAGCTCCTCCAAGGACTCTGAGTTCGAAGTTGCAACATCATCAATGGGCGTCTGCACAGCCGCCGAACGGGCAGGCCCGGTGCGAGTCCTCGTCTGCGCGCGCGCAGTGGAGGCTCGCCCGCGCGTAGAGGTCGCTCGCCCGCGCGTGGAGGCACGCCCGCGCGTAGTGGCCGACCCCCTGGTCCTACCAGACGATCGTGCGGTCCTGATGGGTGGCTTTGCAGTGGCACCCGCGTCGTCCTCGCTGTCCTCCGCGTCCTCCTGCACCCGCGCCTTTCTGCCGCCCGCCATCCTCCTCGGGGCACTGGCACGCCTCCTGCCACCCCTCGCCCTAGAGGGAGGTGGCGGCGGCGGCGCGACAGGCTCATCGTCGTCGTCCTCATCCTCATCATCCTCGGAGCTGGACAAGTCTGAGAGAGACGTCTCCACCGGTATACCCAGGTTCCAAGTGTCGACGGGCGCGACGCCGATGTTCTCGAAGGAGGGCTCGCGCTGGAGACCTTGTAGATCATTGAGGAAGAAGAGGCTGTTGGCGCTGGGGCTGGGAGAGAGAGGGCATGAGAAAAAATGTTCGAGTGGCGAAAATCACAACGCACCTGCGCGACAAAGCCCGACGACCCGGCTGAGCCCTCCCCGGGCTGGCTTGCAGAGACAAAGCCATCTTGCCTTCTCCATGCTGCGCGTCGGTGTTGGAGGCTCTGCAAGAAGGATGATCAGCAAGAGATATGACTGAAGATGGTCGGTTGACGTACGACGACCTGCGGGGCAGAGTAGTGTTGCCCTCGGGCGCATTCTCCTTCGTCTGCGCCTCCATCCTCGTAAACGCATTGTTGCTCGCGTCGTAGCCGTTCCAAAATACGTTGTCCATGTCGTCGGTGTCGAGGCGTGCGATGTGCGTGAAATAGGCAGGTGAAAGCGGAATGTGATGGGTTGCGAATGCGGAAAGTTCGGTTTTCCCTCTATTCGTATTTGCCCATATTTGCCCGTTTTTGGGGATGCGTGGTCCTGCTTGCAAAGGCGCACGCGACACCCAAACAGACCGCCTCGAGGTCAACGAGTTGACCCAACGGCCGATGCCGCCACCGCCTGGCGACCGGATGGCTGCCTTCGGGCCAATGCGTCGGCAGCAATTGGCCCGCGTCGAGTGTGCGCGAGGGTGCGGAAGCTAAACGTTGCATTGTTCTCCATATTGGCGCGTCGGAAAGCGGTGCTCGTCCGCCGAGTTGTCCGAATATATGATCTGTTCTGGATATCGTGGGCCGTCCTGGTTGGCTTCGTCGTCTATGTCGTCCTCTTCGTCAGACCGCCCAATCTCCGTATCGCTGCGCTAGCCTTCGATCCTTTGTCCGAGTTCGCCAGATTTTCAGGGTCGCGAAGTCCAGCAATCTCGCTGAGTCGGGCCAGTCCGCCGGGCGAAAAGATCCGCTAGTTTGGGCACCCTCCCTCTCGCTCCTGCCGCCACATCCATCATCACATACCAGACCCGGTAGCCCCCAGTATCTCTGCTTCCTCCTAGCCCACTTCCTCTGTACCAACAAGCGACGAGAAATGACGAGCCAGCACGCTCGAGCCGAACCGGCAGCCCGGCCCGGCCTCCGATTGGCTTGGGCCGTCGTCTTTGTCACTCGCCGATTCAAAGGACGCGCATAAAGCAGGCGCAGTAAGGTCCAAAGAGTACCGTGTCTTATCCGAGACGATAGGTGCGTGAGGCGGCGGCAGGCCGAGGGCGGGGCGCGCATTCCAGTGTTCCCAGCACTTGAACCGTGACAGCGTTCAGCGTTACGTGACGGCTGGACAGAGCTGCCGAGATGCCGACCGCCAGCCATCAAGCCACCCGCAGCGTTGAGGGACCTCGCGTGTCGCGATGCTGCTTTACTTCAGCCATCATGTCCAGCAGTATCCAGTACCGCAGGTGAGTCGGAGAGCCGCCAGAGAGACATTTTTGCAGAATTTGCGGTGCGCCAGCGAGCTCACTGTCCAGTTGTTGCCACAAGCGCCCCACGTGTACGGCGTGATGGCACCCGGCTGGGAAATTTGCTGCGGACGCGTCGATGTCGACGGCGATGGCGCCGTTGTCCAAGTCGCGGTGAGCAGCGTCCAGAGTCGTGTAGCGCCTTCCCGAGCTCGATTTCGTCCATAGAAAATTCTGCTCGTGGTGTTCTTGCGCTGGGGAAGCGCTTGCTGCCCTGCTCCTTCCGGGTCGCATCGTTGTGGCATCGGAAGGAGCTCGCCGTTGGCCGTGTATTCTGTCCCTCCCCGTCGAGCTAGCCGTCGAAGAAGCATGAGAAAGCGAAGCGCGAGTGAGCAGCGAAGAGCGTAGGCGCGTCCGGACATCCAGGCGCAAAGACAAAGCGAGTACCACCCCTTATTGTTTGAACTCGCCCTTCCTTTTTCAGCTCATCACATGCAGCTTATTCAGTTCCCGAGACTTCCTCTCTCTCGCTCTCATCGCCGCCGATGTCGACAAGACCTCTGCGCGTCAAAAAACGCGATTTTCCTCATAATTTCCGCGCCATGCCCTCGTCGTGCGCCCCGCGCGTGCACTTCACTTGGCTGTCGGAGCGCGCTAGAACTGGATGGTTACAGTCAAAGGTGCGCTCTCTGCTCGCCGTCGTCTCTTGTCTCTGACTCCCACAGGGCGCTCCCGTCGCCTCTTCCTTCCGGGCGCCCCGTACGAACGTGTCCGCGACGTTGTCGCCCCACCGGGCTCATCCGACTCACGCCGTGACTTTCTCTGTCCCGACCCAACGAATGCCCCGCCCACCCCGCCTCACCTCTTTCATGTCACAGAGAGCGCAGAGAAGTAGGACCAGGGCGTTGCCAGGTGCGTCCGCGATCGTTACGCGAAGCTTCCCCATCTCACCCGTCTCGCAGTCCGATATGCTTGCATCAAGCGCGCTAGCTAGTCCGCGCTCTGAGTCCTATCCGAAGCCGCAGTCTCGCCATCCCTGGCCCAAGACTAACGGCGCTTGTCGCGAGAAGTACAACGCGCCGCCCGATCACAAGTCCCGCAACGTTCGACAGTCGTCTTGCCTCAAGACAAAGTCTACCCACCAACCGCGGCCCAAAGCCCAAGTATTCCTCCACACTGCCGCTCGCAACTGGGAACCCTCCCGAACCAACGTCTTTCCAACTAAACGGCCGCCCCACGATCGCCGGACCAAAAGGATCACCTCCAAACCATCAAGCGCCTCAGCGCATATATCCCTCACCGCCCGGCGCATACATCCGCCCCGCCGCAGGCCCAGCTTCTCGTACCGAGGCAAGAACGTCTACGGACCTCGCTGCAAAACTACCTTCGATCGACGTACCACAAGAACATCCCTGTTGTACTCCTTGGAAGATCTCGATCAATGCTGGCCCGACCTACCCTTATGTCCCCGCGCACTCGATCCCGAGAACGCCAACTGGGCCACCTGCCGCAGACGACGCCAAGCTCGACAAGGAATAGCCCACAGGTTTTGCTCTCAATCCAGCAAACAAGATGCTCGGTCGACAAGACCAGAACAAGTTCTCGCCGGCCGCAGGACAAGCGCGGCAATGACGCGGTTTCGATGCAAGATAACAGCCTCTCCGATCCTTTCGACGTGCACAGCAGATCTCGACCTGCACAGTTGACGGCGCGACGGGTTCAACATTGCGGGGCTTCAATGATTCCAGAAGCTCGAAAGCTCGACTCCGAACGAGTTCTGCCCGTTGTCCGACGAAGTATGTGCATCCCTCTTGCGGCGGCATACTTGCGTTCCGCTCGTCTGCTCCGGTTGTGTTCATTCTTGTACGCAGACCGTAGGCTTTCCGGGTATCTGACCGGTCCTTCCCTTGGTATCTGCTTGGCTAGTACTCACGTAGACACTATCAAATACAATGTATTCGTGTTCACAATGAACCTGTTATCCTACGTACGGGGCGACCCATGATCTGACTGACGGACGCTTGCTTGATGATTGGCAAAGTGTGCGTGGCAGTCACGTGCTTATTGTGACTGATCCTGTCACACACGCTTCAGTCCGAGATTTCATCGCCGTGGCTGCAGTCCTCCTTTTATGTGATCGTACGGCAAAATCAAGGCTCATGCAGCGCTCTTTGGTGTATAACACAAGGCACGTACCTTCGTATCTTTGCTGGGATCATACTCTTCAAGTTCGAGGAAGCCCGGTCAGTACTTAGACAAGGGTGCCCATCCACGCTGCCCTCCTCAAAATATCTCGGTTTACTTCAGCCCACAGAAGTACCTTCCTTCACAGCCATATTAACCTTTGCTTGTGATCTAATAAGACACAAATGCCGGGAGTTCGTGGCCTTCTGCGGAAACAAATATTTCCTCGCTCGCCGCAATGTATACCGTATGTGCTATGCACGCGGATCTAATGATTATCTATGCGCTCAGCATGTGAAGTAGTGTCTCTTGTATGCATTTCCACGTGATCATCCTGAGAAAAAGGCCTTGCTGAACACGGTACTATTCTGACGTTTGCTAGTATCGAGGAAGGTCCTGTTGCACATCTCTCTCTAAAGTCTGCCAGCATCTTTGTTCGCTCTGCAAATTTGCATGGCGTGCCGCAACGCACTAGAAGTCTCATAGGTTTCGCTCAATGAAACAGACCAGTATGCTCCACTACAGCAGCCCGCTCTCCTTCCAGTACTTCACCCACGCATCCGCATCACACTGAGCCAAAGGCTCTACCCTGCGTAGGGTCTCACTGACCGCCTCCATCTCATTCGTCGCGAATGCGCCCATCCCGTGTCCAGCACTTATCCCACGGAAGAACTCGAGGAGCTTGACACCGGGCTATCCATCGAAGTCAGGTTCAAGACAGACAGGGGCGGGACAACTCGGAGTAGACTTACCACATCTTGCGCGCTGACATCGGGCTGATTGGCCAACGCCTCGAGCTTGACGAACCATTCGCCGAATGGTACGACGGGGACGTCCCGCTTGAGAATTGTCTTGAGTGAGTTCTGGACGTGCTTGATCATCTGGGACCATGGGATCGGGCGCGGGTGGACGACATTGTGCGAGGGCGCGAGGGCGTTTTGTGAGAACGCCGCGTCCAGCAAGGTCCCCGCGACGGCGTCCATCGAGAGCCAGGTCACGTCCTGCATTTCTGGTAAGCTTCGACCTCCGTCTTCGTAGTGAAGCTACTTGCCTGCTCATCTCCGGGCAGCGCACCCAACGCGATGCTCGTCTTGACCAAGATCGGGAACCAATCCGTCGTCGCCCACGCCCCGCGCGGCTGCCCGCCGCTCACCTGCCCCACCCTCATCGAGCTGAACGAGAGCCCGCTTGCAGCCAGCACGCGCTCCGCGACGTACTTGCCCTGCCCGTACCCGCCGCCGTGAACGCAGACGCTTGGGTCGTTGAGCAGCGTCTCGGGGACCGGGCCCTGAGTCCTGGGGTCCCACGACATCGTGGAGGCGACGGAGGAGGTGAAGACGAAGCGAAGGGAGTCGGCGTGTTGTGTTTGGCGGGCAAAGTCGACAAGGGCGCGAGTGCCGCGAATGCTGGACTCGAAGGCGTTGACGCCGAGGTTGAAGTCGAGGCGCCAGGCGACGTGAATGATGACGGAGACGGCGCGGAGCATCTGGATGTCTTGTCAGAGTGATATCGTGGATAAACAGCATGAAGCACACCTCCTTGAACACTTCGTCGCTCTGGCCGAGTCGCTCCGCGCTCACGTCACCCTGCAGCGAGACAAGCTTGTTCGAGTCCAGTAGCGCAATTGTGAAGCCCTTGTCTGCAAATCGCGCGCGCTGGCGCTCAGTCACAGAGGCGGAACCATCCCGCTCGAGCGTATAAATGCGCGCCACGCGATCGTCCTTCAGCAGCATCTGCAAGATCTCCGCGCCAAGATTGCCCGTCGTCCCCGTTAGCAGTACGCTGACAGGGTACTCAAGAGGCTTCACCGACTTCTTTTGCACGTACTTCGGCAACGACGTCGCATCGACGTAACCGGGGAGGCCCTTGCTGTACTTCGCCGCAAACGAGACGATGAGGTCCTTCGCGCTCGCTTCGGGCGCCTTGGTGGTAGCGGCCTCGCCGCGCACGAGCTTGGTGACGTGGGCGGCGAGCTTGTCAATTGTGGGTTGCTGGTAGACGACGTTCTGCGAGATCTCGAGGCCTGCGGGGGCGGCGAGCGGATCGCATCTGAGAGCGCCGAGCAGGCGGAGGCGGAGGACGGTTGCGTTGAGACTGGGGCTGTAGATCAGTAGATGTTCGCGCGTTCCCAGATCGTCACGTACCTATCGAAGCCCTGCTCGAATAGGTCGATGGCGCGGTCCATGTCGCGGCCCGTAATGTCGCGCACATGCCCTGCTAGCCACTCGGCGATGACAGGCGCGTTCCAGCTGGCGGGCGGCTTGATTCCCTTCTCGCCGGTCTGCGTGTGGCTCTCGATGACCTCGTAGCTGAAAGTGATGGGTCAGCATCTGGGTTGACCCCAAATGAAGGGATGGAAAACTCCCGTCTTGTTGATCTCCTCCTGGTACATCTGCAGCGCCAGTCGACGCATCACAGTGCCCTTCTCGGTGCGCGGAAGCGGCTTCGTGTCGCGCGTGACGAGGATGAGCTCCTTGAAGATGCGACTGTACGCGGGGGCACCGCGATTCGCCTCCTCGATGATAGGCCTGAAGACGGCGAGTTAATGCGAAGTTGATGGAGTAGAAGCGCAGAAGGTACCCACCAGATAGCATTGCGGAACGCGGCAACTTGCACATCGTCATCGACGTCGATCTGGTGCGTTGGCGCCGGCTCAACTAGAATACCAGCTTCGTCGCGCCCGCGACCAAACATAATGGCCGCCCGAATCCTAATCAGATTGTCAGCACGGATACACGGCCAAGAGGTACTTGACGCACATCGGGCTGGTGACAATCACACCCTCAATGGGAGCGGGGACCGTCTTCTCGCCAGTAGAGTGTACGATGACATCGTCCTTCCGACCAACGCTATGCAGGTAAGTTATGTAGTACCTCGCTGGTGACAATGAGCGAGGTCGACTTACACTTTGCGTAGGTACGGCTTAGTCGGATGGCGGATGAACAAGTCGTTCGTCGCGTACCCCGGGCGATCCTCCATGTTCTTCACCGCGGGTTGGTGCCAATGACCAGCGACCGCCTAAGTCTCAAGCGTCAACAACCAAGCATGCACAGGACGAACGCGCGACCGACCGGAATGATCAACTCCTCCGTCCCATCGCTCTGCTTCTCCCACTCCAGGGAAGCATTCGTGTCGATCTCGATCCAGCTCCACTCCTTCCAGTCCTCCTCGTGAGTGGGTATAATGTGCGACGGGCCACCAAACTCGGTCGCTCCGTAGCCCGACCGAAGTCTCACGCCCGCGGCGGACAGACCATCCCCGACTGCCTCGCTAAGTGGGCCGCCACCGAAGCCCTTGAGGTACATCAGTTGATGGGACTCCAGAGAACTCTCGAGTTCAAGTACTCACCAGCACCTGCAAAGTCTTCAAATATTCGACCGCGCTGGGGTCCTCCGCCCATTGGTGGATATACGCAGGCACGACCAGCATGGCGGTACAGCGACAGGCTCGTGCGGCTTCAAGTTGCGATTCAGCGGTCGGAGGCGGCGGGACATCGGTAGGGGTCTGGCCAAAATGCATCAATGACGCTTAGAGCGTATGTAGAGGTCACCCACCTTGGCCACGGGCTTATAGAGCGCGATCTCCGATCCGCCGTATAGGGGCGACAGGATATGCAAGCAGACGCCGAATGTGTGGAACGCGGGCAGCATGTGCGCCGCGAAGCGGCAGGCGCGGCTGTATGCGACGGATGTCCTGCATAAGGGCTGCAGAAATTATGAGTATCAGTGGACCACCAGTTACGATGTGCAGGCTTACCGAGTCTGCTCCAGCCAGTCAAGCTCGTGTACGTGTGGCCAATCGCCTTGGGGAAGCCCGTGCTCCCAGATGAGTGCAGGTAGAGGGCCAGATCATCTGGCTTCGGAGGCATTGACGCCTCGGGGTACGGCTCGAACGCGTCCGTAGCTTTCTCCTCTGCCAGACGAGGATAGATGAGGTCGAGCAGGGGCATCTCGTCAAGCTTCAGCGCATGTCCCGCGCCGAGCTCCTTCTCGACGCCGGAGATCAAGGTCTGCAAAGTCTGCTGCGTCGCAACGAGGCGATGGCAGTTCGCCATGCGCATGAGGTTGGCGACCGCGGCGGAGGACAGACGAGGCGAGATGGGGAACGGCTGTCGAAGAATCATTGTGAGCTTTTCAGGCGGCATCAGATTTATAAAGCAGACGTACAACAAGGCTAGCCTTTATCAGACCCACAGTGACAGCCTGATAGAGAACAGTGTCCGAGAGCGCGATGACGGCGACGACGGCGCCATCCTCACCCTCGCGAGAGGGACGCAGCGCATGCGCCGCCCGATGAGCAGCGCGCGCGAATTCGAGGTACGTGATCTTGCGAACAGTACCATCGGGCTCGGTGAAGACGTAGCACGCGAATTCGGGGTTGTGCTTGAGGTGAAAGTCAACAGCGGCGGGTATTGAGACGTTCTCCTCAAGAGTGACGTGAGTGAAAGCACTAGAAGAGGACATGTTGTGCTCGAAGACGCTGCGGGCGATGATGATGAAGGTCCTCAATCATCCTAGCGGTTCTTATATAGCGAACGGCAAGACGAGCCATTGGGGCCATGCGAGCAAACGGCGGCGATGTCAGCAGGGCCGGACACTGTCGGTCTTGAATACGCGTTGGGGCTTCTGTGAAGTATGTTTAGCGTGCGCGAACCATGCGCCATTGCGCCTGGGAATTCTGTTCTCCATTTGTTAGCGAACCGCGCAGAGACGTGAGTGCTACTCAACCTTCTGAGCTGGTTATCTCTATGCAAAGAGTATCTCGAGGGTGACTTACATCCACGTAGACATACTGTCGCTGAGAAGACGGCCATGCAGCATGGCGTGGCAAGCGACATCGATGTCGAGCTCAAGTCGAGGTGACCGCCGCCTCGGCCACGTGCCAGTGAAGCGATCCAGCCTCTATCGAAAGCCGGGTCGACCCAATCCTCCGTTGTCATTGTTGCTTTATCATTGGGGCTTCTTCTAGTCTGCAATGCGCCTCGAGGATAAAGGGTTCCGCTCGTTTGCCTCTGCATTTGACGGTCATCACTGCCGACTTCCGCCACCTAGACCGACGCGAACCGGATCGAATACGACCTGGATGGCTGTTGCCAGCTAGGCGTCGGAGTTGGGCTCGGGTGGCCATGCTTCGGAGACGCCAGAACTCTACTAAGTTCGGAGTTAGCTGCCTCAACTCGTAGCCCACGGTCTCCTTTGCCCTTCTAAGAGTGCTATACTTTACTCTTCAGAGTAATCTCCCATGAGGCAAACACCGGATTCGAAGCCTTCGCGAGCACAAATGCTCCTTCGCTGGTCGCGATATATACAACACGGCATGTTTCGCGCGCGTGCTAGGTGATTGCCTGTAAGCTCAATATGTCAGGTAAAGCAAGCTCGACCTGTCGTTCTACTTTTACTGACCGTATGAGTACAAAGGTCTCCATCGAGGGTTACCTCCGTCGTCAGTGCCGTTCTTGTGTATCATGGACTACCAACCAACCGTCTGTTGGATTCATGAAACGTGTAACAAACCCTTTATCTGCTCTACATGTATCAATTCGACGTGCCCCGCCGCGTTCTATATCTCACCGAGGCGTCCCAATATACCTCACTGCAACAGCCCGCTTTCCTTCCAGTACTGCACCCATGCATCCGCGTCCCTCTGAGCCAAGGGTTCTGCGCTACGCAGGGTCTGACTGACTGTCTCTGTCTTGCCCGTCGCAAATGCACCAAGCCCATGTCCAGCGCTCATCCCGCGGAAGAATTCGAGGAGCTTGACGCCAGGCTGTCGAGCATCATGAGACTGAGGATGGCCATACGCATTACGAACACACTCACCACATCCTGCGCGCTCACATCGGGTCGACTTGCCGCCGCTTCGAGCTTAACGAACCAATCCTTGAAGGGTACGACGGGGATGTCGCGCTGTAGAACCGTCTTGAGGGAATGCTGGACTTGCGTGATCATCTGAGACCAGGGGATTGGACGCGGATGGACGATGTTATGCGAAGGCGACAAGGTGCTCTGTGAGAAGGCCGCATCCAGCAAGGTCGCCGCGACGGTATCCATCGGCAGCCAGGTCACGTCCTACGTAGTCGATGAGAATGGACTATACGTCACACGAGAAAATGACTGACCTGCTCATCGCTCGGCAGGGCGCCCAGCGCGATACTCGTCTTCACCACAATCGGGAACCAGTCCGTCGTCGCCCACGCCCCGCGCGGCTTCCCGCCGCTCACCTGCCCCACTCGGACTGAGCTGAACTCGATTCCGCTCGCAGCCAGCACGCGCTCCGCAACGTACTTGCCCTGTCCATACCCACCGCCCTGCACGCAGACGCTCGGATCGTCGATGGGCTCCTCGGGCACGGGCCCTCGGGAGGCGGCGTCCTGGGACGCCGCAGAAGCGATGGAAGAGGTGAAGAGGAAGCGTAAGGTGTCGCGGTGTTGGGTTTGGCGCGCGAAGTCAACGAGCGCGCGGGTTCCGCGGATGCTGGACTCGAAGGCGTTGACGCCGAGGTTGAAGTCGAGGCGCCAGGCGACGTGGATGATGACGGACACCGACGCAAGCATCTGAAGAAAACCGTAAGTCCGCGGGATGCACAGCAAAGTAGAAAACTCACCTCCCTGAAAACAGCTTCACTCTGGCCAAGTCGCTCTGCGCAGACATCGCCCGGCAAAGAGACCAGCTTCTTCGAGTCCAAGAGGCGAACATCGAAGCCCTTGTCGGCAAACCTCGCGCGCTGCCTCTCCTTCACAGGTGCAGGTCCCGCCCGCTCGAGCGCGTAGATACGGGACACGCGGTCGTCCTTGAGTAACATACCCAGGATCTCCGCCCCGAGGTTGCCAGTTGTGCCCGTCAGCAGCACAGTGACCGGGAACTCCAACGTTTTGGCGGACTTTGGGGAAACATACTTCGGCAACGTCGACGCATCGACGTAGCCGGGAAGACCTTCGCTGTACCGCGCCGCGAGCGACACGACTGTATCCATCGCGCTCGCCTCAGGTGCCTTCGCTGAATTGGCTTCGCCGCGCACCAGCCCGGACACGAGAGTCGCAAGCTTGTCGATCGATGGGTGTTGGTAGACGACGTTCTGCGAGATCCCGAGGCATGCTGAAGCAGCGTTCGGGTCTGACTTCAGCCCTCCCAGCAGGCGCAGGCGGAGAACAGTTGCGTTCAGACTGATGAACGTGAGCCAGAACCTTGGGTGATCGATTGAGCACGACCCACCTGTCGAAGCCCTGCTCGAAGAGGTCCGCTGCGCGGTCCATTTCGCGACCCGTGATATCGCGCACATGCTTGGCGAGCCAATCCGCGACGGAGGCCTCGTCCCAGCTGGAAGGAGGCTTCACGCCCTTCTCCCCGGTTTGTGCATGGCTTTCGATGACCTCGTATCTGTGGTGCACATCAGCGTCATGGAGTTGCTCACTAAAATGAAGGTGCAGAACATACATTTTTTCGATCTCGTCCTTATATACCTGCAGCGCCAAGCGACGCATAACTGTGCCCTTCTCTGTCCGTGGAAGAGGCTTGCCCTTCCGAGTAATGAGGATGAGCTCCTTAAAGATGCGACTGTAGGCCGGCGCGCTGCGGTTCGCTTCCTCCACTAGGGGCCTGCGAGCAGGAATCGGTTAGCTGAGATATTCACGCGCAAGTCTATTGTCACCTACCAGATGGCATTGCGGTAAGCCGCGACTTGGACATCGTCGTCGACGTCGACCTGATGCGCAGGTGTCGGCTCAACGAGAATTCCCGCCTCGTCGCGCCCGTACCCAAACATCATCACAGCGCCCACCCTTTGCAGACTGTCGGTAAGTAAGTCCAAACAATGGAAGGGACGACTTACGTCGGGCTTGTCACAATGAGACCCTCGATGGGAGCAGGTACGGTCTTCTCGCCTGTCGCGTGCACGATGATATCGTCTTTGCGGCCGATGCTGAGGAAAAGTATGAGTGAACGAAGCGACGAAGTAGCGGCCAACTTGCATCTTCCAAAGGTGCGGCTTCGTCGGATGGCGTACCCAGAGATCATTCGTGGCATATCCTGGGCGATCCGGTAGGTTCCGAACAGCGGGGATGTGCCAATGGCTCTTGTCGGCCTTCAAGATCGTCAGTATGCTATCCAAACCAAGTTGCAATGGACGACATACCGGTATGGTCAACTCCTGCGTCCCATCGCCCTGTGGCTCCCAAGCTAGACACGCATCCGTATCCAGCTCGACCCAGCCACATTCTTTCCAGTCCTCTTCGTATGTCGGCTTCAACCGCGAAGGCGCACCGAACTCAGTTGCGCCGTAGATAGAGCGCAGCTTGATACCCAGGTCGACGAGCTGATTACCGATGACTTCGCCCAGAGGACCGCCACCGAAGGCCTGAGGTGATGTCAGCAAAGCAGCCCCTTATGAAGCGCACGCTGACATAGAACTGCATACTCACCAGCACTTTCAAGGTCTTCAGGTACTCCAACGCATCTGCACTCGTCGCCCACTGATGTATGAATGCCGGTACGGAGACCATCGCGGTGCAGCCACATGCGCGGGCGGCTTCCAGCTGGGAGTCGGGCGTTGGCGGCGGCGGTACATCTGTTGGGGTCTGGTCGTCTTTGAGTCAGACGCTTTGTGAGGCCCGGGAGACGATACTCACTTTGACTAAAGGCTGGAATAGCGCGACCTCCGCCCCTCCGAGAAGCGGTGTGATGAGCTGAGCATAGACGCCGAACGTGTGGAATGCTGGTAGCATATGTGTCGCGAAGCGAAGGCGAGGCTGGTACTGGCGCAAATCGTGGCTGATAGCTGAAAATCGATTCAGCACCGTTACGCCGCGAGTGATACAGAGGATAACTTACCTAGACGGCTCCATCCTGCCATACTGGCACGCGTATGCGGTATTGCCTTGGGAAAGCCTGTGCTTCCCGAGGAGTGCAGATATAGCAGCATGTCGTCCGGCTTTGGCTCTATCGAGGGCTCGGGATACGGCTCGAACGCATGCACTTCCTTCTCCCGAGCCAGATGAGGATACACCACATCGAGCGCAGGCATCTCATCGACTTCCAGCGTATACTCTGGCCCGAGTTCGCCCTTGACAGCCGCAATGAGAGCGTGCAGCGTCTGCTGCGTCGCCACCACACGATGGCAGTTCGACGCGCGCAGAAGGTTCGCAACCGCGGGAGCCGATAAACGAGGGGAAACGGGGAACGGCTATCAATGCGCGGTCAGCGAGAGCTAGATCGGACTGGACCGTCCGACGTACGACCAGGCCGGCCTTCATGAGCCCAATGTTGACCGCTTGGTAGAGGAGCGTGTCGGAGAGCGCGATGATCGCGACGACAGAACCGTCATCGCCGCCTTCGCGCGAAGGTCGTAGAGCGTGAGCAGCGCGGTGGACAGCCCGTCCGAATTCGAGGTAGGTGATCTCGCGAACCGTGCCATCCGCGTCAGCGTAGACATAACACGTCTGCTCCGGGTTGTGCTTGAGGTTAAAGTCACAAGCAGCAGAAAAAGCGAGATTAGCCTCGAGGGGAACGTGAACAAAAGCTTTGGGCGACATGGTGGGCGCGCTCGCCGTATGCTCTCTTCGTTTATTGGGGGCCGCTTATATACATGTCGTAAACGTTATTTGCGAGCGAACGACGTCCATGTCAGCATCGCCGGCCCCGGGAGGAAGTTCTGGCTGCTGAACGGTAAGTTTAGAGGTGTCATTCGAGAGGGGCGCGGATGGCAGAACGGACCATGCGCAGCTTCTCCCTCCCTTGCCGAGCTCGTTCTTCGGGGATTCGGAAGTCATGCCAACGGGATCTCGCCTCTGTACACACTCGTGCTTATTGATAGAGAAGACGAGGCACAGAGAGCATCTGTAAGGGCGCGGAGAGGGCGCGACCGTCGAGATGAAGGTCAAGGACTCAAGTTCAAGTGGCGCCACGCGTAGCGCTTGGCCACGTGGACCGGTGGAGATATGACCGGAAGCCGGCAGCCCGCACCCTTTTGTCCTTCTCTTCAGCGTATTCTCAACTACCAGAGCGAAGCAGATGCGCAGAATTTTGCCGTATTTTCCCGCAGCAATCCTCACAGCTGGGGGGCCGCTTAGATCACGTCCGGCGGACGCATGAGAGACAGGAACCCGCACATATCCGCCAGGCGCAAGGATTCCATCTGTTTTTTGTTGTACTCGACTCAGGATCGCAATCTGAGCAGGTGGAAAAGGAACATTTACGTTGTCCTCATTAGCGGTAGTGCGGCAAAGTTGAACTTTGTCACGTGGTGTCACACTTTGTCACGGTTGCATGTCTCGAACTATTCACTCGAAAAAGTCCATAGGTTCCCGTAGAAGAGTACATGTATAGTCTGTAGTAGCAGTATGAAAGCGCGCAGATCACGTAATTATTCCTGATGTGTCCAGCTCCGAGCAGCTGCCCACATGCAATCCAGACGGAAGACGCCACTTGTTCGACGCACGAACTAGGTCTTGTAATGCGAATGAAGGACATGTTCCACGAGATCGTCGAATAAGAAGGTTTCGTAATGGCTGTTGTCGCAGTTCTTCCATCTGCAGCGATACCAAGACGACTTGCCGCCGACAAAATCGGCCTCCAACCCGCTTTGGCTAAGATGGTCCGAAATCCTAGATCTCAAGTTCGCATCGGCGAAGAGAGTATTCAGGCAGAATCCGCAGGGATTGTGAGTTGAATCGTCGCGGTGCGCCCATTCGCAGTATTGCACGCGAGACTCGGGTTTCGAAGCGTTTGTCGTCGTTGCAGGGCCCGCGCTGTCGTCTAGGGGTGCGGACTCAAAGTCGACTTCCAGGGATAGAGGAAGTGGCGCGAAGGGGCAGGCAGATGGCATGTCGAAGTCTTCGAGCGTAGGAGAATAGGATGGCGAGTACACATCATCGGTCGAGAATTCGCTACCCAGACAGGTCAGCTCATGCCACCGTAGGATGACTTGTACAACGCACCTGCAACCCGTGCCACAACTTCGTGACCAGTCGGAGCTAGTGTCATCCACGCACATCGCAGCGTCGCTGAGCAAGGCATCGGTGGCATAGGGTCGGAGTCCCATGGGAGTCGGCGGAGGCAGCAGAGACGACTGGACAATTGCAAGCTCTTCGTCGGTGGGCCACCCATATTTTGGCTTGCGGTGGAGCAAGGCGGCCATATGCTTGACGGCTTTCTGCTCGGTGGTGTGCTCGTAGAACTTGAGATTCTTAAGGTCGGACCTCTTCTTCGTCCTCGGACTCTTGACATTGCACTTGGTGGTCGCTTTCTTGGGTGGCATGTTTCGCGGCGAGGTGGGAGAGAAAGTGGAAGATGGGTGGCAGAGATGCAATGTGGTTGATATCAAGGCGCAGGCAATCATTTATATGAGGCCCGCAGTCATAAACAAACATACCATTGATGACCTTATAGGGAAGGTCTCCATCCCCTCAAGCGATTGCAACACATCATTAGATGACTTTGTTGTGAGCAGGCCCACGCACGAGGTTTTTGTCCCGTGCATCCCGGAGGGATTGAATGTGAGTTTAAGCACAAGAGACATTCATGATTCCAACGGTACGCCTCGAGCATATGACATTGTTGTCGAAGTTGCAATGATAGGTTGGGCGTCTTGAAGTCGTCAGCACTGGTGGCGTACTATGCCCCCATCATATGCTTGCTGATATGAGGCCCGTATACCCGACTTGTGCTGACTTTGAAGAGTCTCTTCGTGTATGTCAGAGAAGAGGTTGAACTTTTACAGAGCATAGTGGTAGGAAACAACCTGGATTTCTTCGAAATCGAGGATTTGATTGACCACGTGTGTGCAACGAAATGAAATATATCCACTTGTCCTCTTCCCCCACCGCGGTGCCATACGTCCAAACCCTGCTTCCAGGTCCTCGATATGTCTCGCCAGGATACCTATGACCTGCGCAACCAGATGTACGCGGACGAAAACCAAATGCAGCTGCACGCGCATGCGGAAGCGGCGAACTACGCGGACGAGGAACACTCAGTACTCGAAGACGACTCGATCGACGACGAGGGGGACCAGGACGAGTACATGGACGACGACGACGGCTCCTCCGACCTCTCCATACCCGACGAGTCCATAAACTTCGACCTCGTATACTCCCTGCACAGTTTCGCGGCGACAGTGGAAGGGCAGGCGAATGTCGTCAAGGGCGATTCCCTCTTTCTCATGGACGACAGCAACAGCTACTGGTGGCTTGTCCGCGTCTTGAAGACCCAGGAGGTCGGCTACATACCCGCGGAGAACATTGAGACGCCGTTTGAGCGCCTGGCGCGCTTGAACAAGCATAGGAATGTCGACGTGCGTGGCGAACTCGTACTGCTTAGAATTTGTACTAACCTCTGCGCAGCTCGCCCTCGCGACGCAGCAAGAAATCAACGAAGCCAGGCTCATGCCGCGCAACAAGCAGCCCTCGCGATCGGGCCACACTCCCTCCCCCAACGACCCGAACCGCCCCTCCCGCCGAAAGCTCAAGTTCAACGCCGGCCGCTCCATCCACCGCTACCCGCCCGCGGTGTGGAACGAGGAGGACGATGACGAGGAGGAGGACGTCGAGTGGGACGACGAGGGGTACTCGGACGAGGACCCGAACCTGCTGGACGACGTAGGCAGCATCATATCCGGGATGGAGATGGAGCCGGACGACGGGATGGCGTGGGACGACGCCGCGGTGCGCCAGCAGCAGCAGCAGCAGCAGCAGAACGCACAGGCGCGCGGCGCGATCCCGCAGGCGCTGATGGCTGGCGCGCAGCAGCAGCAGATGCTCCAGCAACAGCAGCAGCAGATCCAGCAGCAGCAGCAGATGTTGCAGAAGCAGCAGCAGGAAATGATCCAGCAGCAGCGGCAGCGCGAGATGATGGCGCAGCAGCAGCAACAGCAGCAGGCGCAGGCGCAGGCTCAGGCGCGCGAGCAGGCTCAGGCTCAAGCTCAGGCTCAGGCGCAAGCACAAGCCGCCGCCCAGCAGCAACAGCAGCAGCAGGCTCTGCGTTCACAGTCGTCTCGCGAGCGCCTCACTGGAACGCCGGACAGCCAGCGGCGCATCGACCCGCTGGAGGCGACGGACACGCGCAAGCTCACTGCAACGCCCACGATCGCGCGCGACGTCGAGATGGACGACAGCGAGAGCATCAAGCGCGCGCGCGAGCAGGAGGCGCGCGCCAAGGAGCAGCAGCGCGAGCGCACCAACTCGATCACGAGCCAGGGTAGCGCCAACGCGGCGAACAACCGGCCAGTCGCGAGCAGCAGCATGAGTGGCGGCGGCAAGCTGCGTAAGGATAGGGCAGGCTCGGACGCGGAAGACGATGCGGGGAAGAAGAAGAAGGGCGGGAGCATGTTCAGCGGGCTCTTCGGGCGCAAGAAGGACAAGAAGAGCTCGTCGTCCATCGCGTCGGAGAGCGACAGCGAGCGCACGTCGGGCGTGCGCGCGTCGGACGACTCGAGGAGCAACGAGGCCCAGCAGCAGTCGCCGACGACATCGCTTGCGATGCAGCAGCAGCAGCAGCAGCAACGCCCGCCGGACCCGGTTACGCCGCAGAAGGGCGGCGCTGCGAGCGGCGGGGCGGGATCCTCGCCGGAGGTGTCGGTACATGCTTCTCAACTGCGCCAGCGCGACCAGCAGCAGCAGGCGCTTTATCAGCAGTATCTCAACCGCTCCCCCTCGTCGCCGCCTGACCTGCAGCCTTCGTACGGCCTATGGTCCGCACCTGCGGTCATGCCCAACAAAGACCCTCGTGATACCTCCGTCTCACACGCACACAACAGCTCAACGAGCTCTGCGAACGGTCTTGCCCCGCCAACGACGTCTCGTCCACGCCCAGGCTCCCTCATCCTGTCCTCAGGCTCGATGGACGGCCAAGGCGTTGGTGTCCCGGAACTCAGCGTCATTCGCGTTTTTGCAGGTGATTACCTCGAGACGGAAGCCACATTCAAGACCGTTCTCCTCAACGCGTCTACTACCGCCAGCGACCTTGTGCGCCAGGCAATCCAGCGCTTCCGCCTCCCAGCAGGCGACGACGCCGCGGACTACTTCCTCACCGTCAAGCAGGTCGAGGGCGGCGCGAGCGCTGCCCTGCGCCCCGACGAGAAGCCGCTCGGTGTGTTCGAGAGCCTCGTCGAGGCGGCGCTTGAGATGCCCAAGGTGAAGCGGAGCAGCATGGCGAGCATCTCGTCCGTTGCGAGCAACCTCTCAATGCACCCGGCGATTTCGAGCCTCAACATGAATGACTTCACGGACGACAGCGCGGTCAAGTTCTACCTCAACCGCCGGCGCACGGAAGGCGCCGAGGAGCGCGACCTAGGCGAGGAAGAGGGCGACGATACGCTCATCGCGGACACGTCGCACGGCGACGCTAGCGTTGACAACAGCGGGCGCGGGCAGTTCCTCAGCGTGTCTACCTCCAATGGGAACGTGCCCCCAGAGCGCTTTAGCTCGCCCTCCTTCCGCTTCCCTCTGCAGCTTGTGATCTATCCTGAGGACCTGCCCGACGACATGGTCTTTGACCCGCAGACGGAGGCGATTGTGTTCAAGAACACGCTCCGCGATCGCGCGCAAACGGACCCCTCGCCGGGCATTCCTCAGAATATGCGCCGCAAGGTGTTCATCTTCCCGAAAAATGTTACTGTGGCGGAGGTCATCGAGCTCGGTCTCGAGCGCTTTGGGATTCTGGAGGGTGTGGTGGACGGCGGAGACGAGGTCGAGGACAAGATGTCGAAGAGGCGGAGTATGGCAAGGGTCCGGTACGGGTTGGCGGTCAATACGGGGAACAACGGTTGGTTCATTCGTCCATCTCCTATATGTACTTACTCATGCAGCATACAGAGGAGAAAGAGCTCTCGCCTTCAAGCAAGGTCATCGATGCCTTCCCTCGTCCCCCAGCCTACCGCCAGGCGGACAAGCGCGACTCGGCCTCCAAGCGTCGCTCAATGGACTCGGCTATGCTACTTGGCACCGTCGAGGACGTCGCGCCCGAAGACCCCATCTTCGTCCTCCGCCGCTCCGTCACCTACCGTAACTCGACCGCGAAACACCGTATCTCGGGCGCTCTGGACGAAATTGCGCTCCAAAAGCTGCACCGCGAGTCCGCTTCGAGCTTCGGCAGTGGCGAGAACAAGGCCGGCCCCTCGAAGGCGGAGATCATTGCCGCGCAGCGCGAGGCGAAGCGCGCGAACCAGCGTGCCATCCTGTCCGCGCAGACGAACTCGGTGCGCGGCGTCGACGTCATGCTTCCGGGCAACGCCATGATTCGATCCACGCGCCGCGACGTGGGCGACAAGATGCTCTACTCGTACGTCGACCAGGACGGCGCGTCGTTTGACATCAGCGACATCGTCGCGGAGGAGTTCCGCAGCCACAACTCGGGCGGCAGTCGGGACGACGTCCTCGAGGGTGTGCTCTCGCGGAACAAGGATGGGATGGCGAAGCTCGAGAGCGTCATTGGGAAGATACAGAAGGGCAAGGGGCGGCAGGCGCGCGAGTCAGCGGGGTCGTCCGAGTACTCGTTCGATGCGCCGAATCCGGAGGATATCTCGCGCGCGCAGTCGGCGACGCCGATTTCGGGCGGCACACGTGCGCTGACGCCGACCGCGAACGACAAGCCAAGGCCGGGGACGACGACGCCCACTGCACCGCGGAATCGGCGCAACCCGTCGGCAGCGTCGGTGCTCTCTGATATCTCCCGCTACGCCACGCCGGACACGCACCCACGGACGGACTCGCCTATGGAGGACCTGCGGTCGCGCACCGCGACGCCGCGGCAACAGACGAGGAAACCAGTACTTCCCAAGGATGACTTCGGCGTCGGGAATATGATGGCGGTCATCGAGTACCGCGCCGCGCGGCCGAAGCCTACCGTACCACCATTGGACCCGGTCGACGAGATCCTGTTTGGGCGACCCATCGACACTGCGGCGCTGCACCCCGAAGTACGAAACATCTACGCTGCATCGTTCAAGGAGCTTGAGGAAGTGGATAAGGTTCGTTTTGTGGATGTTCACCATCTCGAGCTTCGCTAACCGATCCACACAGTACCTGGATAACTATCTATGCCAAACCTTGGGCAGAGCGTGAGCCTGGCTCTCCGCGCAATCGACGCCTTGGCGCCGACGTACAGTTGTTTTATAGTGGCATGAGGTACCTCTCGTGCCGGATACCTCTCATCTTTCGACATTCTTTTGTTTACCAGGCTCTCATGCACTCTCCCTCATTGCTCTCTACGTTTACGCTAACTGTACCACGATGCTTTGGTTCGCCGTGGATATTCTATTCGTATAATATATGCTTGTTCGTCGAGCGACTCGCACCACCTTGCCTGATATCCTCTGCTTCGACTGACATCCCCTGACCACCCTCGCCTCGCAGGACAGGACAGGAGCGGCAACCTGAAGCAGGGTGGGCGCACCTCGGTCTGGGTCGGTCGGCCAAGCCGATATCATCCGGGTGCCTGATCAGGAGAGGCTGATAAGATCGTACGGTATCGCTATCAGATAAAACCATTGGCGCTCGGCGCTTGCGGTGATCTCACCTGCTCCTGCTCCTCCCACCCTCACCCACCTCCTTCGCAGCACTAGAAGCAATAGAGATGCAGCAGTACAAGAATATCGTGGTCCTTGGAGCGGCATACGGAGGTGAGACATCCTCTGGCTGTTCCAGGGCTATACAGTACTGACCCCCTCGCAGGCCAGGCTGCTGCGAAGATCTTGGCCGAGGGTGTGTCGAAGCTTTCCGGGAACTGGAGGGTAGTGGTGATCGACAGAAATACGTGAGTCTCGTCAGTCTCCCCATGGAAGTGTCAACGATTCTGACGATCCCGAAGACACTTCAACCATGTCTACGCTTTCCCCCGCTTCTCAGTCGTCCCAGGTCATGAGTTCAAAGCGTGTGCGTTATGCCCTCCATCCCCCCTATTCGACTCGCTGATATTTCCATCCAGTCATTCGCTACGACGGCACCATGCCCTGCGACAAGCCCGGCGGCCTCCTCCCCCTCACCGCCAGCATCCTCTCCCTCTCCGCCCACTCCGTCACCCTCGACCGCGCCTTCCCCGAGCACGGCTTCCCAACGCCAGAGATCCCCTTTGAGTACGCGATCTACGCGCTCGGTGGCTCCCTGCCCGCACCCGTGAACCTTTGGGGCCCACGGCTCGATGCGCAGCTGAAAGCGGACGCGAAGGCTTCGGGCATCTTGGGATCGAAGCCGAATGGTATGGAGTGGCTGCAGTGCGCGCAGGGGGTGATTGGAAAGGCGCGGTCAGTGTTGGTCGTTGGTGGGGGCGCGCTGGGTATTCAGCTTGCCACTGATATCGCGGACGTGCACCCGAAGAAGAGAGTAACACTTGTGCATTCGCGCGGGAGGTTCATGCCGCGATTCTCGCAGGAGATGCATGATGAGAGTGAGTCCTTGTCGATTTCGAGCGGTTCGTGTTGCTAACGATGGAATTCCTCGACAGTCATCCGTCAACTCGACCACCTGAACGTCAACGTCCATCTCAACGAGCGTATCGACCTGAAGTCCGCCGCGGAGAGGAAGACGAACGACAAGGGGGAGCGTATCGTACTTACCGAGTCTGGAAAGGAACTGGCCGCAGATCTCATCGTATGTCTCTTCCATCTGCGTATTCTCTCCTCGTGTGAGCTAACTGTATGTCAGCTCATGTGCACCGGCCAAAAGCCCAACACCGAAGTGCTCACCACGCTCGATCCCTCCCTCATCGCCCCCAACGGCCGCGCGCGCGTCACCAGAACTCTGCAGCTCGGCTCGCCCGCTTCCTCGCAGCCCGACGCCACCGACTCCCTTGCGTCGCAGCTTGACGCTCTACAGCTCGACGCCTCCGCGCCCCAGCCCGGCGCCTCCACCTCCCCCGCCTACCCGCAAATATTCGCCGCCGGCGACTGCGCGGACGCCTTCAACGCCCTCTGTGCTGGTCACAACGCGTACTACCAGGGGCAGCTTGCAGCGAGAAACGTTTTACGGCTGGCAAGGAATGAGGAGAAACCAGACGAAGAGAAGGAGGTGCTCGAAAAGTACGAGCCTCTTCCGCCGGCAATCAAGGTTTCGCTTGGATTGGTGAGTATCCTGTCTATCTCACCTAACCTACTCGACCCATTCTGACTTGCACCATCCTCCAGAACCGCGGCGTCACGCAAAGTGGCAATGACCCCGTTGTCATCTCCGAGAAGGGCTACGTCGATCTGCAGTGCGCGCTCATGTGGGAGTTCCACGGGCACAAGATCACGTGCGACGACGATATGAGGGATTGAGGAGTGAGTTGGGATTGACATCAATGGGCGATGCCTCATTCGAGTAAGAACATCATTATACCTTGGTTGTATATACTGTACAAATCAGCAGCGGCACACAAAGACTGGGACCGCGCCCATCGTGCTTGCTCGTCGCAAAGTGCCCGAATGGGTTGCGACCCATACAACAAAGCGCGGGATCAATGGAACAATGGCCATTGGTATATTACCCACTTTCGGTTCTTCCTTTGTCGCGGCTGCGGACCCTGGCCAACACGTGCATTCGGCGCATTAAAGGAGCGAGCCACGAGTTCGAGTTGATCTCGAACTTACCCTCCACATTGTTCTCGCCACTCATTTCGACCCGAGGTCCCCCTCAACATGGCGGACATTGCGACAATCAATTCACTGGCGGACCCCATCGACGACTTCAGCGCGGACTATGAGGTCGCGAACGTGAACAAGCAGCTTCGGCTGATGCTGCAGTCCAACCAGGTCTCCTTTCAGTTCCTCAACCGCGACCCGTTCTTGTTGGACAGCGAGCACTGGAACCTGACGACCCCCACCGTCCGCAAGGCGATCCGCTACCTCGAAGCGCTCGGCAACATCCTCCTCCCCCACCTCAACCTCAGCTCGCCACTCAAGCCACTCATGATCCCCCACGTCCGCGGTATCTGGAAACACCTCATCGACTGGCTCGACTACCTGCACCCCATGCACCACGTCGGCACCGAGCGCATGGCGAACGTGCCCATTTCCATCCTCGCCTGCGCGTTCTTTGCGCTGTTCTCCATGAAAGAGCATCTATACGACCTTTTCCGGGCGACGCCGCGCGTCTACCAGCTGATGTTCGACTTCTGGGTGAAGGTGGACAAGTACTGCGACTACCCTCGCGCGCTCGACACGGAGAAGCGGCTCCAATTCGCGCTCATGGCGGTGCGGCCAGCCCTCCTCTCTCAAGGCGAGTCGGCGCAGAATCCGAAATTCTCGTCCATTCCGTACGACACGGACCCCGTTGCGCAGAAAATGGCTTTCTCGACAACGGGCTGCCAACCGCGCCGCTTCTACCGCAAAGCCTTCCGTCTCGCGGACATCCTCGAACGCTCCAACCCGCCGAACACGCTCATCAGCGGCCAGGCGCGTACCACAATCGGCTCCGTGACGAACAACCAGTTCTCGCTGCTCGCGATCATGGTCGGTACGCTCCTCCCCACGTCCAGTGTCCCCCGCGACGCCGTCCTGTTGATGGTCGACATCCTCCGGCGCCTCGTCGCGCGCCCGCGCGCGCTCGAGTGCGCCGAGTCGGCCGCGCACATTCTCTGGGGTATCTGGCGCATGGCGGGCGACCGGCGGTCGATGATGTGGGCGCTGAAGGCCAAAGCCTTCGAGACAATCGTTGAGCTCACCCAGAAGCGGGACAGTCGGCCGCTGAAGATGCTGCGCGACTGGCTCATGATCCAGGGCATGTATATCCGGGTCCTCCGCGCTATCAGCCCGCGCGGATTTACCATCGCGAGCTCGATCCCCAAGGTCTCGCAGTGGTATAGCCACAGAGATCTCATGATGCGGTTGAACTTTGATAGGTTGTGTTCTCGATATAGGGTGAGCTACGTTCTAATCCCCTAACCAAACACGTTCTAATCATTAAGGCGGACCCTCAATGCCGTAACCAAGGCCCTTCTACACGCCGCTGCATTTGTCTGAGCACTTTGTACTGCTCGGAGAAATGCCAGAAGGAGGACTGGCCTGCGCACAAGTCGCGTTGCAAGTCAATACGCGCCGTCAACAACGATGGTAAGTCGCGGCGACCTCTTCCCCAATCCATTCCATCACTGTCCTTACATGTTTGCCTTTCTAGACGCTCTCCGCGAAATTGGGCCCGAAATCACCCCGCTCGACATTCGTTTCCAGGTCCTCACCGCTCGTATGCTCATCCGAAACGATTGCAAAGAAATTGTCAAAGCGATCCGGAAGAAAGAGAACATGAACTCGCTCGATTTTGTCATCACGATCAACTTCTGCGAATTGCCGCCCGAGTTCAAACTCATGACCTACAAGAGGGGCGCCCGTGTGTCCAGGTTCATCGTTGAGGGGGAGGTACCTGTCATAGGGCAAAATGCGCATAAGACACCGCATACGATCCTCGCGTGTCAGGTGCCATTGCAGTGGCTGCTAGACGGATTTGAACCAACGGACGATGGTTGGATCATACCTGGGACAGACGAGTGGAGAAGCGACGCTTGGAAACAGTGAACATATATCCTATTGATCTGACCTTATCTTTGATGTGTTCCGTTCTCCTACGTATGTATACCGCTCTGCGACATGCACGTGCATCGTATCATTCATATCGTAAGCATTCCAAGGTCAAATTTCGCCTTCGCATGCTTGATTCATATGTGTCTTTGTCTTGGTCTGAGCGAAGGCCCTGCCACTCGCGTGCACAAACCCGCGTACGACATGAACGTAACGGTTTGTTTGTGACCTTTGATGCTGTGCGTGTCTGTCACATGATCACGGACATATAAAGGCTCGAGCAAGGCAAATCACACTTTCATTCCTCCCACCATTGCGGCCACTCATTCCCGCTCAGCCCTCACCATGTCCGACCGAATTCAGGCCATTATCTCATTGACGCACCGTCTCACCGCCCACACACCGCCCCACGAACTCAGCGCCGCGATCGAGCGACTTGGGCATTGGCTTAGTACGGGTCAGGTCTGTTTCGCAGACCTGAACATCGATCCCTTCTTGTTGGACGGCAACCACTGGGACCTCCGTACACCGACGATCTGCAAGGGCATCCGCTGCCTGCAAGCACTAGGCAACATGCTCCTCCCGGAACTCAACGAAGGCCGTGCGCCGCTACAACGACTGGTGGCAAACTACGTGCGCCCTCTCTGGCCTTCGATCGTCACCTGGATCGACTACGTTCACCCGATTCACCGTCCTCGCGGCCAGAGGCGGGCCAATTGCCCCTTCAACGCCCTCGCATGCATTTTCTACGGCATCTTTTCGATCAACCACCTGTTGCGCGACCTCCTAGATAAAACACCGCGGCTCTACCAGCTTCTCTTCGATCTTTGGATCAACCTCGATCGCTATTGTACCTTGCCAAGGGCATTGATTACGGAGAGAAGGCTATCCTTGCTCTTCATGACCATGCAACCTGCTCTCCATCCTGACACCGTGCCACCGGTCTGGGACAAGGCGGGCTTCAAGTCATTCGAGATAACAGGGTTCGACGAGGTCGCCAAGGAAGCAATACTCTGGCCCGTCAAGCAACGGCCGCATCTCTTCTTTCAACGGGTCATGCGCGTGCTCGAACTGTCCGTGGGCGCCCTCCTTCCGAATGCCGACACCTGGACAGGGTTCGGCCGCATCTACGTCGACCAACTCGTCCTGGTGGGCGACTTAGCCAAGGACGATATACGCACGCCCTCCCACACTCGCAAGACCGTGCGCTCGGCCGTCTCGATCCTCCGCCACCTGATAGCCAACGTCGACGAGACGGACTTCCCCGAAGCTCTCTTCTCCATCCTCAAGGCGATCTGGAAGTCTGCCGAGGACCATCGGCCGCTGCTTTGGGCGCTGCGCGCGGGGGCGTTTGAGATGTTCCTTGCGTTCCAGACGAAGCGCCAGACGACCTTTGTGCGCGACCTCGGGATCTGGCTCATGCAGCAGGGTATGTACGTCAAGGTCCTGCGTGCGCTGTTCCCAGAGGGCCGAAACGTAGGGGCCAATATTCCTGTATGCGGGGCCTGGCTGCAAGAGCGTCTTGAGATTATGCGCTCAAGGTTCCGCCCGGTCTGCGCCAACAAAAAGGTCGGTCGTTTGGATCTCTATCATCCTTTACCGCATCTAACTACTTGTTCACAGTGCACGCGTCAGGTCTCCTCTGAGAAGCAACTTCGCCGTTGCGCCTGCATACTTCGCCAATATTGCTCGACTGAATGCCAAAAAGAGGACTGGCCGTCGCACCGCCCGCGGTGCAGCTCCATGCGCGCCGTCCATAACGAATGTACGTACGCTCACAGCACAAGCCTCCGCACCATAGCTCACCGTCCTCCAACCAGACTTCGTCGAAGAACTTCACACTCACGCAATCTCCCGCCTCGACGTGTGCTTCCAAGTCGTCTGCGCGCGCGCCTTCCTCCGCAACAACACCGCAAAGCTCATCTCCGACCTGCGCGCCGCGCGCTGCCGCAACGGGTTCTACTACGACGTCCGCGTCGACCTCACCAGCGTGCCCCCGCGCCTCAGCATCATCCAAGAGACCCTGTCGGGCAATATGGGGTCCCCCGTGCTCGTCATCACGGCCTATATTCCGACGATGGCCCACGACGACGACGTGAAGAACCCTCCGATGATCGCTGTCGGCATGTTTCCTGTCGAGTGCGTGCTCCGGGGCTTCGTCCCCGTCGATGACGGCTGGGTGAGTCCGAAGGGGGAGTGGTTCGGCGACAACTGGGATAGATCAGAGACGTTTGGGCTATGGGAACGTGCGCGTTCCGCATAATACGCTCACACCGCTCAGCTCATTAACTTGATCCCTAGCCACCAGGCGCTCTCGAGCTCTTTGTCCGCAATGTGTTATGCTCTTTACTATGTTGACTGTTTTTCTTTCTCTACTCTATGTCCGGTTTTCCTGACCGTAGTAATCACTAAGTATAATCATGCATATGTAGAACATTTCAGTGTCAGTCTCGCATCCTGCGCACCGAATCTCACAAATGCTGGCCTACTAGCATCTTTGAGCTCAAGGTCTCTCGTGCTATCAATTACAGGCAAAGAGAAACGGAAGACCGAAAGCGACCGGCAATGCGTATAATAGGCGACCCTAAAGAGCAGCAAGCGCTGCAAGTAAGATACAGAAGGATTACAAGCAGGTGAATAGTACGGTAGCGAAAATCCGGATAGTGGAGTAGTAGACGCTGTAGGACGAGCAACATATACTGTAAAAGAGTGGAGGATGTGAGTTGGTAGATATCAGGTATCCGCGGGCCAGTAGTCTATAGATAAACCAAAAAATCGCGACCGAAATGCAGCCAAAAACGGTCATGGCGCCGAGAGTTCATAGCGCCAGCAGATCCAGCTGGCGGACCTCCGCCTACACCTCCGTTCGCCGCTTCTTCCCCTCCCGCCCCTTCTCATCCCCCACCTCGTCCGGCGAGTCCCGCTTCCTCCCGATCGTCGACGGCGGCGCCTGGCTCCCACCCCTACTACCCCCACCATTAAACACATCGCTCCCGCTACTCACGACCCGCCCGAGCCGCCGCGACTTCCTCGGCGCCGGCGTCCCATCGTACGTGACCGGCACCTCCGAGAGGCTGCTTTGCTTGAACGTCGAGAGCGGTTTTCTGGGGTGCGGAGCGGGGGCCGGATGGGGGCTGCCGGGGTGCGGACTGCCAGTGTGCGGGCTACCGAAATGCGCGTGCGGGCTCTGGCCGACGTGCGGACTGCCCGACAACGCAGGGCTCGGACCGCCAGACTGCCTCGGCGGCGGCGTCGAGGGCGGCGTGACGTGCTGCGCGGGGCTCCGGGACGAGGGCGCCGTGGTGAGGTCCGGCGTCGGGAGCTTGATCTCCGGGCTGGCCAGGAGCGGCGACATCGCCTGGGACTTGGCCTTCTCGACGACGCGGCGGTAGGCGTTTTGGACGACGCCGTAGAATCTGGAGAGGGTACGGTTAGCATACACTCCTCGATCAGCCTCCAGTCCCAACGAGCCTTCATCCCCGCGACCGCAATCATCTATCTTCAGGGAGAAAAATTCATAAGCACCACTCACGCCTTATCCTTCGTGAAAATCTGGATCAGCACCTCCCCGCACACCTCGGGCGCCAGCGTCGAGTAGTCGCCCGGCCCCGCGGGCCGCGCCTGGTCCGGGTTCAGCTTCCGGTTGTAGAACTTGAGCCCCTCGAGCGGGTTCTTGTCCTTCATGCCGTAGTGCAGCGGCGAGAGCGCGACGATCACGTTGTCGTCGGGCATGTCCTTGTCGGTCAGCGGTTTGGGGGAGGTGGCCGTGGGGTCAAAGGTGGCGCTGGGGTCGAAGGTGGTGGCAGGGTCGGAGGTGGTGATTGGGTCGACGCTGGTGATCGGGTCGACGGTAGTAGCGGAGACAGATGGTGCAGCGGCAGCAGGCGACATGGTGTCGGCAGATGGAGCGACACCGCGCCTAACCTCCTCAATGATCTGGCGCGCCTCCCTCGTAATCGCCTCCGCGGTGATGTACTTCTTGCACATGTCCATCTCGAACCAGCCGAAGCGGCCGTGGTCGACGCGGCGGTAGTGGTCGCGCTTGCGGATGCGCTCGAGGATCTTCTGCGCGGGCCTGAGGTTCTGGAGGGAGGTCAGACACACAATGGATATATGAGCACCATTAACAAAAGGAGGAGGAAGAGAGCAGCGGGTTGAGATGAAAGTTGCGGGAAACGAGGTGCTTCAGCAAGAAGTGCAGGGACAGACACCCACCGGATCCTCGTTGGCCTCAATCCACCCCATGATCTCGTCGGTGAGATGCAGGTACTTGTCCGGTTGGAATACCCGGTGCGCGATCTTCATGTACGGCTCCGCCAGTATAAGTGCGTCAATAATCATATACTCGATGGCTTTGGCTGTTCAGCGCGTCAGTCCCAAGTTCTCGTCGGACGGATACCCTTCCGCGTCACCGAAGGTGGTCACCATCGTCTCGCCACTGAGGACAAGAAAGCAGCCCGCTCGGAGTCTACGCACGCCCTAAACAGTCCCCAGACTACATCCGACTCACCCGTCTTATGATGGTATATCTTCTTGTGCAATTTATACCTCAACTCGCCCACGTCATAAAGCGAGTCCGCATCCTTGACCTCGTAGCAGATCTGGTCCTCGATGACGCGCGCGGAGCGGATGATACGCGCAGCGTCGATGCAGTTGTGCATCATGCCGAGCATCTTGGAGTCGCGGAGGAGGTAGTCAAATCTGGAGAGGGGTTAGTCGAGTTTTTGTCAAGACGGGGAGGTGGCGCGGGGGAGGGAGAAGTTATGGGAGCAGGGAGAGAAAATTATGCGCCGAATGCAGGGAGAAAGCCATGAAATGCAGAAGGGTCAAGAAAAGGCGCATATATGCTACTCACTTGTCAACATCCATGCCGTTCCGCTTGTTAGAGATGATGTCGAAGAGGTAGGCTTTCTCGTGTGGGCTGTAAACATCAGTTCAGCTTCTACTCTCATGAAGGACAAAAAATCAGCTACGCACACCCGTTCGTGCTCGCCAGCAATCAAGGCCTTGATGAAATCGTAGTCGCTCTGCGGCCGGCCAATGTTATTGTGCGCGACGAGGTGGTCGAGCATCATCTCCGAGCCCTGCTCGTGCGTCCAATTCTTCTCGAGGTTGGGGAGGGCGGCGGGGCTGGGGACACGGCGGATGAATGTTAGCGTGATGAAGATGAATGTGACGTCGATCAGCTTGAGACTAGAAGACGCACATGAAGAGGCCATCCCACACATGCGACCAAGGACCATGTCCGAGGTCGTGGCAGAGCCCGGCCAGCATGACGCACTCAATGTCGCGTCTGGTGATCTCGAGTTCGGGCTGTGCTTGCTGTAGATGCTGGACCAATAGGCCGGCGAGGTGCATGACACCTGAGGAGGCTGCTTCAGTACGAGCTGGTCCAAGATATAGAGCAATACGCACCTATGCAGTGCTCAAACCTGTTGTGCGCCGCGCCCGGCCAGACATAGTACGACGTCCCCAGCTGCTTGATGTGCCGCAGCCTTTGAAACTCCTTCCTGCTCGTCCTGTCAGCCCCGACGGCCAGACTCGAGCGCATATACCCACGTATCGATAAACTTGCATGCAAAGTCGGGCAGCGGGACTGCATACACGCGTCAGCTCTGCATCAAAGGACTTGCACAAAGACGCACTCTGATCGTGAATGGGATCTTTGATAGTTCGCTCCGAGTGCAGGACGTCCTCGGCGTCCGTCTCGTAGTCGGTCTCCATAGTGTGGTCCTCGAAGTCGTCCATGGCGCTGAAAGGCTCTGCGTGGACGCGGGAGGAGGAGGAAAGGATGATGGCAAGAAGTAAGGCGGGAAATGAGGGAAATCCCGCCGGACCGATTTCCCGACAATGTTCTGTCGCGGTCACGTGGGCTACGCTAACGCGTCGCGTCGCTGTGATTGGCTGGCGCAAATGCCTGCCTTCGCCTCGGACATGTCAGATAATCATCAGAGCTAAATAGGATGGATAATAAGCAATATATCAGCCTTCAAGCCCCTTTAGAGAACTCGGGAAGCTGACAAGTAATCTGCAAGCCGAGCAGAAAATACGGGATTTATGTTTCCGCCAATTTATCTCGGATGAACACTCAAATTCCAAGGAAGACCCATTTGGAAGATACCTCAGTAGAGTACAGCAGAGAATTTGGGACACCTACGCGCAAGTCTAGGACTTGGTCCAAAGTCCAAATGAAGATGAAGGACGATGCGCGCAATAGCCTCGGCTTCAACTCGGCTTGATCCGTCCAAGTTTGCTTCCGCTTTGACGCGCAAATTGGTGACGCGCACGGTTCGAAAATCAACTTGGCCTCCGACCGCCATGGACTGTCTTCGCTCTTGCACTCTCTCCATGACAGTGGCGCCTTCATAGTACGCGCTGCTAAGAATTATGGTAGACTTTTTGCTGATGCGCCCTCTAACAAGTTTCGCTAATTATTCTGCGCGTGCATCCGCGCTTGAAGCTTGTCCCAACCACATAGCATGCATCATGTACCGACCCGCATACATAACCGACTCGCTCTCATGCAATCGATCCGAGCACAATTACCGATCGCAATAGATCGTGTTGGTGTTCGAGGCCTCTTGCATTACCGACCACACAGCCGTTCGAAGCGGCCCACTGCATGAGCACAGCTCACACTGGGAGCAAGCCCTATATGGACCTCAATGAGAATCCAAGCTTCAAGCCTTCTTCAAACCCTTACTGACTGACCGAGCCCGACACCGACGCCTAGCTCGCGGTAGGTATCCGAATCGCATTCACTCCGCCCTGCGTCGGGCTGGCAGCGGATGTCGGTGATGATGGCCGCCGGGCGCAGCATGCGAGGAGTCCCCGAACCCCCATACGAGCAGCGCCCCGAACCCTCGAGGCGCGTTGTGAGCTGGCAGAAGCCCTGGAGAAGCAACGGTGACAACGTACGTTTGGGAGCATCCGGCTTTCGGGAAGGCCGAACCGGTACACGTGGCCGACGCGGCGGCGCTACCTCGCCTTTGAACGGGGCTTTCACTTCGCTAAACTTGCTGTATTGCTGTCTTCTCCCCGTAGTAGCATCGAAGGTATCTCTACAGACGCAGGTATTTTCCTGAGACAATATTCTACATGCCCCAATGGATACACGAGAGTCGTACAAAGTTCACGCCTCCCCGCGGTTGAACGATGAACTAGCCAGAGCAGGATTCCCAGGCGCGTGGGTCACTCTGCTTCCCTGCTGTTCTGTGAAGCGAGCACTAAACATACTTCGCAGAAGCTGCAACGCCTACCCGACACCGACTGTGTTCGGCCTTGATGACATCGCCGCCCTTTGGTAGCATGAGCTCCAGTTGCTCATCTTACGTTCTGCCCCATTCGCTGGCTGGGTATATAAGAGGGACCAGGGCGAAGGCAGGATGCTTTCATCGGCATCGAGCACATCGTCTTCGACATCCTACTCATCGCTTCTGAGCAATCATCGTCTTCGGCATCGAGCACAACATGTCTTCCAGCATCTTCACCTACGTCCCCCTCGAGGAGAACGTCTCCATCCCCGCTGCTGTCGACTTCCACCTCAAGCACAACCCAGAGCACGCGTGCTACGTCTTTGCCGAGCCTGATGGCACCGTGCGCACGATCACCTACCTCGAGTTCGCCCGCGCGGCTCATCGCGCCGCGCATGCTCTGCGCCCTGCTCGCAAGGGCGAGGATGGTGCCGTCGTCGCCATCATCGCGCTGTCGGATACAATTCTGTACCATGCGATTACTGTCGGCCTGATGAAGGCTGGTCTCGTTGTACGCTTTGTTCCTTTGTCATATGCACTCCATCAAGCTCACAATGCCTCGCTAGCCGTTCCCCATCTCGCCGCGCCTGTCACCCGCCGCAGTCGCCAACCTCATGCGCGCCTCAAACTGCCACAGTCTCGTCGCGACGCAGCAGACGCTGCAGACCCTCATCTCAGGCATCGAGAAGGAGCTGGGCGCCGACCATGTGCTCAAGGTCGACGAGATGCCAGCGCTGGACCTCATCTACCCTCACCTTGCGGAGGAGAAGGCGACCGATGCGTTCGAGCCGTACCCCGAAGTGTCTTCGCCCAAGAAGCCGGAGGATATGGAACTCTACCTGCACTCGTCGGGGAGCACGGGCTTCCCGAAGGCGATTGGACACACCTACGCTAGCCTGGCTGGTTGGAGTCGACTCGGTAAGCCTTTCTCTCAGTGAATACTGCTCAACGATCACTTATACCCGCCCTAGCCATGATGCGGGACATACAGAGCGTCCAGCCCCGCCTGCGCTTCGCATCGCACATGCTGCCCGCCTTCCACACGTTCGGCGTCTGCGCGCACCTCATGACGCCCCTGCACGGCGGCGCCGAGGTCGCGCTCTATAAGCCCGTGGTCAAGGTAAACTATCTTCATCAAGCTACCGAGCTGTCTGAATATGTACTGATTATATTTCAGACCCCTACCGACGTTCCCCCGCCACCGACGCCCGAATCCCAGCTCGAGGCCGCGCGTGCCTGTGGATGTACCGCTATGGTCGCAGTTCCGGCTTATGTGCATCAGTGGGCCGAGAACTCCAAAGCGGTCGAGTTCTTGAAGAGCCTGAAGGTTTTGGTCCGTCTTATTTCTGTTACCTCTCTCGCAGCAGTCGCTCACCCCCTGCAAGGGCTTCGGCGGTGGGCCCCTCAGCGAAGCCATCGGCGACGGCCTCTCCGCCGTGGGCGTCAAGCTCCGCTCCGTCTACGGCGCGACCGAGTTCGGTGTCCCCGCCCACCTCCTGCCTACCTGCGAGGAGGACTGGAAGGAGTGGTGCTGGATCGAGGTCGACCCGAGTGCAAACCTGGAGTGGGCGAAGCAGAGCGACGGGACGGAGGAGCTGGTCATTCCGGTGAGTTGATCGTGAGCTCTGCGGATCCGTTTGTTGAGGACTGTGCATCAGGCGGGCAATGGCTACTGGCATCAGCCTGCGGTGCAGAACATGGAGGATCGCCCAGGGTATGCGACCAACGATCTGCTGATCCGGCATCCGACCAAGCCTTACCTTCGCAAAGTGTATATATTATCGCTCTTTCGAAGTCATCCATGGGAGCCTGACCTATCTTCGCAGCGTCGGCCGAAAGGACGATGTCATTGTACACTCTACTGGCGAGAAGACCGTTCCTGCTCCCATCGAGGGCGTTATCGTGACCAGCCCGATGTCAGTAATTGTCCTTGACCACCGTCTACCGGGATCTGATCAGTCTTCAGGATCCGGACGGCTATCATGTTCGGTCGCGGGCGCGACGAGGCTGGTATCTTGGTCGAGCCGGTACCAACTCACCAGATCGACGTCGATGACGACGTGCAAGTCGCCGCTTTCCGCAATGCTATCTGGTGAATATCTTTTGTATTCGCCTACTTTCCTTAACTGAAGTACCTTCAGGCCCATCATCGAGGAAGCCAACCGCGGGGCTCCTGCCTATAGCCGCATCTTCAAGGAGCTCATCCTCGTTACGCGCGACACCAAGCCACTCCCGCGCACCGAGAAGGGTACGGTGATGCGCCGGCTTGCGCTGCAAATGTATCAGGAGGAGATCAACAAGATGTGGGTTTTCGTTTCTTTGTTTGCTTGGGAGCCAGTGTGGCTGACCATACTTTTCCAGCTACGAGGTCATCGAGAGCCATGCGCAGACTGGCGAGAAGGGCATCAAGCCGCCTTCTAGTTGGAACGCGCCTGTTATCGTCGAGTGGCTCGCTGGACATGTTCGCGATGTCACGGGTCGCGACATGGACCACGCAGTCGACCTCTTCGAGCAGGGCTTTGACAGGTAAGTGACACTATCTCGACGCGATACTTTGCACTGACCCCTCACGCCAGTCTCAACGCGACCGTTCTTCGCCTCCGCCTGCTCGGCGCGCTGAAATCCGACCCCCTCGCGGCCCCCGCCTGCCTCGAGATCTCGCAGAACGTCGTCTACCAGCAACCCACCATCGAAAAGCTCGCCGCCCACGTCGCCAAGCTCGTTCGCGGCGAAGCCGCCACCACCAAGGCGCCCGAGGCGAGCGCGAAGGAGACCATCGTCTCGCTCGCGGCGAAGTACAGCCAGGGCCTCCCCGGCTACGTCGATGCGGCGACGTTGCCGAAGTACGTGCCGAAGAAGTCGGTGAAGCCACTGGAGTACCCGGTTAGCGTGCTGCTGACGGGGACGACGGGAAACTTGGGCGCGGAGATCTTGCAGATGCTGCTGAAGGACGAGCGCGTGGAGCGTATCTATACGCTCGAGCGCGCGGGTTCAGCGCCTGTGATTGAGCGGCAGCGCGCGAGGTTTGCGGACAAGGGCTTTGATGTTTCCCTGCTGGAGTCGAAGAAGCTCGTACCGCTGCAAGGCGACGTGTGCGCCGAGCGGCTCGGTCAGAGAGACGAGGTCTTCAAGGAGGTATGCAGGTTATTTTTCTCGGTGACTTCAGTCTCTGACCGGAAACCCAGATGCTCAACTCCATCTCCGTCATCATCCACGTCGCCTGGCGCCTCGACTTCAACCTCGGAGTCAACGCTTTCGAGTCCAGCATCCGTGGCACCCGCGCGCTCGTCGACTTCGCCCGCCAAACCCAACACGCCGACTCCCTCCGCTTCGTCTTCACATCCTCCGTCGCCTCCGCGATGTCATGGGACCCCAAGAGGCAGGGCCCGGTCCCCGAGGAGCTCATCGAGGATCCCCTGATGTGCGTAAACGGCGGCGGGTACGGGCAGGGCAAGTACGTCGCAGAGCGTGTCCTCGCAGCGAGTGGGATCGAGTTCAGCTCGGTGAGGGTGGGGCAGGTGAGCGGCGGGCAGCCACGTGGAGCGTGGGCGACGACGGATTGGTTCCCGATCCTCGTCAAGACGAGCTTGGCGCTGGGGGCGCTTCCGAGTGATGACCAGGTGGATATTCCCCTTACCTTGAAGACGGCAGATTTACTGACACAGAACGTAGGAAGTGACATGGATCTCGATGGACGCTGTTGCCGGCGCGCTGCTCGATGCGGCCTTCTCCCCTCGCTCGCTTGCGCCTTCTCACAACATCGTCCACCCGCGCCCTGTGCAGTGGACCGAGATGATCACGAACGTGCAGTCGTCCCTCAAGAAGGTGGTCAATCGCGATCTGCCCATCGTGCCCTTCAAGGATTGGTTTGCGAAGCTCGAGGAAGTTGCGAACAAGCCCGATGTCAGCGCCAAGGACGTGGTGAGTCCTCTCCCGACTACGCTTCACTCGACTGTCTCTCATGTCTTCCGACAGCCTGGTGTCAAGCTCCTCGAGTTCTACCGCGGTATGAGCTCTGGTCATGGCCTTGGCTCCTTCGCAACCGGAAAGATGGAGGAGGTCAGCGAGACGCTTCGCAACGTCCAGCAGCTGGGTCAGCGCGACTCAGATTCGTGGGTGCAGTACTGGCGCGAGAGTGGACTTCTGCCTTGAAGGAGTTTGCTTGGAACCATCATAGACAATAGACCTTAGAGGCTACTTAGAACTATCAATCGTCACGAGCATGTACAATACCAGCGAATGGGAGGATTTGGCTATCTGTCGTACACAAGTTCATCGCGAGGTCTCCTTTCGGCGTATCGCGCTACCTCGAAGTAAGACAAAGTTCTGAGTGCGTTCCTGCCCATGGGCGAGTTGTTCAACTTGCCGCCAAAACCTCTTCGGCAAAACCCGAAATAGAATTGATCCGCATACTGGGCTACACAGTCGAACTTGGACTCGAACCACCACTGCGTATGCCACCTCGAACGACAAGGTCGGACATACATCTCACCCTCCCGCTCTTTTCATTGTGAAATATACTTGTACTTTTCAACAGCTTTGTTGTGGTCTTGACGACATGCTTCGGCACCCACGCCGCTGCCCTTCGAAGTTGAGTCCAGTCCAAGAGGTGGGCGATCCGTCAATCGGCGACGTAGATCTGGCCACGCGAGCGGTTGATCGCAGCGCCCGCTCCACAGCGGGCCGGGCACGTTTCCGTCTCTAAAGTCAACCTTGACCTTGCTTGTTCGACCTGTGGACGCGAATTATGCACCGGAAAGGTACATTTCAGTCTCAGGTAATCTGCGTCATACACCACCTAACCAGAAAATGGGTCCGAGCAACTGGTAACTCGCACTTGACGGCGCGCATGTGGATCCCAAGCCCGCGCTCTCCTTGCCCTTTGGCGAACGACTCGGGCGACTTGTACGGGCGCAAAATCGTGCGATATAATTTTACTCACAGACGAAACGGTGCGGCGCTCCTCTCAGGACTACAAAAAGCTGCACAAGCCTGAGGATGCACCTTCTTACCTGGAAGCCACTGGGCGATGGGATAGTGTATTCGACTTAAGACCTGGTAATTAAGCTGTATATCAGTTTCCTCGGTTGGTGTGCATACAGACGCGCAAGCACCTCCGTATTTACAACCTGCCGCTTCCGTATGGCCTGGACTTGCGGTCTGCCTGAAGTATGCCCTCGTAAGCATAAACTGGAACAATAACTCTGATGATACGTTTGCGATCCGTGTGTATGATTATACATCTACCATCTAAGGACACGCCTTTCTCCTGGAGAGGTGCCAACGCTCGTGTTCTGAAGTTCAACTTGACGGCACGTGCACACACATGACGCGGACCGGTGCTGCGATCAGCGGCTCGCGTGGCCAGATCTACGTCGCCGATTGACGGATCGCCCACCTCTTGGTCCAGTCCATTCATCCACGTCATCCTACACGATGCTTGACTCATCCACCTGGAAGATTAGTGATAAGATGAGCGATAACCTGAGCGGTCCTCGCTATCTGATAAAACAGGGTGGCGCGCAGTCCAGGCGGAACATCGCCGCCAAGTTCATGCCGCTTGTGAGCATTCCCTCCAGGGTCCATACTACATGATATTCCGTTATGTGCCGGCGTTGCTCCGCCTAGGCGCAGTCCAACAGCTCTTCGGCGCATGGTACGCGCGTCGATGGCAAGGTATAAACTGCCCAGGGTGCGTTTCATGCAGCTAGAACATCGACCGGACGTCGGCAAGAGCCGGACCGGGGCATGTGGCCGATGCACCGTGGCGCCATCCTAGGCTTGCCTCAGTCGCCACAATAATGGTTTGTGGAACGCTATCCAAGTGACTGCCCTCGAGCGCTTGCTCAAAACACGCCTTTAGATATGCAGAAGGACGACCACCTCTGAGCTCTATGAAGGCGGCGACGAGAAGGACGTTTGCGCACGAGGTCAGTCGTCCGGGCTTCGCTATGGTTCTGCAGGCATGCTATACTTACATCTCAATAGCCAGACCAGTCGTCACCTTCCCCACACCGACTATGGTCGGGCATGCTGACATGCCCGATCTTTGCTCGACTCTTACGTCGCACTCTCAGTATATAAGTCTCGCTGGCTCGAAGAAGTCTCCATAACCACTGACGAGCGATCATGGGCCTCTCATCCACCGACGAGTTCACTTACGTCCCTCTCGAGAACAATCTCTCGTTCTCCGCCGCTTGCGACTTCAATCGCGAGCACAATGCAGAGCACACCTGCTACGTGTACGCTGAGCCGGATGGCACGGTCTGCGAGGTCACCTACCTCGAATTCGGGCGCGCTGTACATCGCGCGGCGCATATCCTGCGCCCTTCGCGCAAGGGCGAAGACAACGCTACCGTGGCAATCATCGCCAACTCTGACACTCTCCTGTATAACGCCGTGACTGTCGGATTGATCAAGGCTGGACTTGTTGTACGTTGGACTCCCCTGACAGGACGAGAATGCACTAATCCTTGACATTCAGCCCTTCCCGATATCCCCTCGCCTCTCCGCTGCTGCCGTCGCGAACCTCTTTCGCACGTCGCACTGCCATCGTCTCGTCGCCACACAACAGACGCTGCCCATCCTGATGCGCGAGATCAAGGTTGAGCTCGGCGAGGAGTATGACTTGACCATCGAAGAGATGCCCGCGCTGGACCTCCTGTACCCTCACCTCGCTCACGAGAAGGCAACGGACGCGTTCGAGCCGTACCCCGAGCCCGTGACCCCGCAGAAGCCCGGGGATATGGAGATTTACCTGCATTCGTCTGGGAGTACGGGTTTCCCCAAGGCCATTGGGCACACGCACGCTAGCATCGCGGGTTGGAGTAAGCTAGGTAAGCGTCCCCTTCAGATCGCGGCCCATCGACGTCACTTATGCATCCTTCTCTAGCTATGGTGCGCGACGGGCGACGCCTGAAGAAGCGTCTCCGTCTGGCGACGCATATGTTGCCGGCATTCCACACCATTGGCATCTGCGTCCACCTCATGACGCCCATGCACAGTGGCTCGGAGGTTGCGCTGTATCCGCCGCTGGTCAAGGTATGCATCATCTTCATGCTTACCATGCAACGTGCTCAGCATCTGCGATAGACACCCACCGATGTTCCTCCACCGCCGACGCCTGACTCCCAGCTCGAAGGCGCGCAAGCGTGCGGCTGCACCGGGCTCATCTCGGTCCCGGCGTACATCCACCAATGGGCGGAGAGCCCCAGCGCAGTCGAGTATCTGAAGACGCTGCAAGTTTTGGTAAGCCTGATTTACCCTCTGCTCGATTTCAATCATTAACATGCCATCAGATGTACGGCGGCGGCCCCGTCAGCGACGGCATAGGCGACAACCTTTCCGCCGCAGGCGTCAAGCTCCGCTCCGTCTACGGCGCCACCGAATTCGGCGCGCCCACGCACATCTTCCCCACGCACGAGGAGGACTGGAAGGAGTGGTGCTGGTCGGAGTTCGATAGGGAGGCGTGCCTGGTATGGGAGGACCAGGGCGATGGGACGGAGGAGCTGATCATCCTGGTGAGTTTCCCTGGACTGGTCGAATCGACTCGGGTGTAGGTGAGGTAGGCACTGATTTGATCGACTTAGGCGGGCAACGGTCATTGGCATCAACCTGCGGCACAGAACATGGAGGATGGTCCGGGGTACGCGACGAATGACCTCTTCATCCGTCATCCTACGAAGCCGTACCTCCGCAAAGTGTAAGTCGCGCCTCGTGTGACCGTGTCGAGCTTGTGCTAATGAGAGCTCCAGCATCGGCCGCAAGGACGACGTTATCGTACATTCGACCGGCGAGAAGACTGTCCCGGCGCCAATTGAGGGTGCTATCGTGACTAGCCCGTTGTAAGTAGGTCGCATACATCGCGCTCACAGGTCTCTTACAGCCTGGATAGGGTACGCACCGCCATCATGTTCGGCCGGGGCAAGGACGAAGCCGGCGTCCTCGTCGAACCTGCGTCTACCCATCAGGTTGACGTCGATGACGATGTGCAGGTCGCGGCCTTCCGCAATGCGATCTGGTTAGTACCCGGTGCTACCTCACTCAGACTGAAGCTCATCAGTACTCGTAGGCCGACCGTCGAAGACGCGAACCGCGGCGCCCCAGCCTACAGTCGCATCTTCAAGGAGCTCATCCTCGTCACCCGACCGGACAAGCCTCTCCCTCGCACGGAGAAGGGCACTGTCATGCGCAAGCTCGCGTTGCGTGCGTACAACGATGAGATCGAAAAGATGTAGGCTTTCCATACGCAAGGAAATCGGCGATACTGACGATGCATCTCAGCTACGAGTTAGTCGAAAGCCATGCGTCCGAAGGCCACAAGGGCATTGAGCCGCCCTCGAGCTGGAGAGCCCCGGATGTCGCAGACTGGCTCACCGACCATGTGCGCGATATCACCGGCCGCGACATGAGTCGCGATGTCGACCTCTTCGAGCAAGGTTTCGACAGGTATGTTACATTCCGGTCGACAAGTCCGTGCGCCTGACTTACCTCGATCAGTCTCAACGCGACCGTCCTGCGCCTCCGCATCCTCGGCGCGCTCAAAGCCGATACCTTCGCGGCCCCCGCGTCGCCTCAGGTCACGCAGAACATCGTCTACCAGCACCCTTCGATCACCAAGCTAGCCGACTTTGTCTCCCAGCTCGTGCGCGGCGGGGATGTTGCTCCCCAATCGTCCGAGACGGCAGCCAAGGAGGCTATCGTTGCGCTCGCGGTCAAGTATAGCGAAGGCCTTCCTGGCTACGTGGACGCCTCGACATTGCCGAGGTACGTGCCATCCGCGACGCCGGCCCCGCTGGAACTTCCGGCCACCGTGCTTCTAACGGGAACGACGGGTAATCTGGGCGCAGAAGTCCTGGCTATGCTCTTGAAGGACGACCGAGTGAGCCGGATATACACGCTCGAGCGCGCGGGGAAGACCCCAGTGAGAGAGCGGCAGCATGCGCGCTTCGCGGACAAGGGCTTCGACTTGTCGCTCCTGGACTCGACGAAGCTCGTCGCTCTCGAGGGCGACCTGAGCGCGGAGATGCTCGGCCAAAGCGATGAGATCATCACCGAGGTAGGGCATCTGGGCACGCGAACTCGGCGTCGGTGGATCTAACGCCCCCCGCAGATGCTGAAGACCGTCAACCTCATCATCCACGTCGCCTGGCGCCTCGACTTCAACCTCGGCGTCACCGCCTTCGAGTCCAGCATCCGCGGCACGCGCGCCCTCGTCGACTTCGCCCGCGCCACCGCGCACCGCGACGCCCTCCGCCTCCTCTTCACCTGCTCCGTCGCCTCCGCCCGTTCATGGGATCCGCTCCGACAGGGCCCGGTGCCCGAGGAGCTTATCGAGGACCCTAGCGTGTCCGTGCACGGCGGCGGGTATGGCCAGGGCAAGTACGTCGCGGAGCGCGTGCTGGCGGCGAGCGGCCTCTCGTTCAGCTCGGTGAGGGTGGGGCAGATCAGCGGCGGCCCGCCGAGGGGCGCGTGGGCGACGACGGACTGGTTCCCCATCCTGGTGAAGACGAGTGTGGCGCTCGGCGCGCTGCCGGGGAGCGAGCAGGTGCGCGATCTGTTTCTCGTGCTCGACGAGGAGGTATACTCAAGTGTGCTGCGCAGGACGTCCCGTGGCTCTCCATGGACGCGGTAGCGGGTACTTTGCTCGACGCGGCGTTCTCGAAAACGCCTCTTTCCCCATCTCACAACGCCGTCCACCCGCGTCCGGTCGCATGGTCCCAGATGATCAAGCACATCCAGCACTCGCTCAAGTCGTTTGTCCAGCGCGACATGCCCATCGTACCCTTCGCGGAGTGGCTGTCTAAGCTGGAAGCGGCATCGACGCGACCTGACGTGGATGTCCAGCAGGTGGTGAGTACTGCGAGGATGATCCTCGACGTGTCGTTGCTCACTGATCACAACAGCCCGGCGTCAAACTTCTCGAGTTCTTCCGCGGAATGGATTCTGGTTATGGGCATGGCGAGTTTGCGACCGAAAAAATACAGGCCGTCAGCGAGACGCTGCGACAAGTGAAGTCCTTGGACCAGCAGGACGTGGATGGTTGGGTCAAGTACTGGCGGGAGAGCGGACTTCTGTAGGATACTTATCTCGCATATAGAGCTCAAGTATATAATTTTGGAAAGTGAAGGACAAACAACCCGATCAATAAGTCATGATATGATCCCTCCTGTGTACTACTTGGCTAAACTACGGTGCTGTTAGCAGTGAAGATGGTGCGCATCCCTCGAACCTGCGCTCAAACATCACTGACAAGGGACATAACCCTCAAGTTCAGCGCAATGTACTCACTGACTCTAATCTGCGGACTCTGACCCAACTGAAGCAATCATGCGAACGAACTTATGAGATAACGCAGTTCAACACAAAAGTATGAACGTGACGGAGCAGCCGTCACAACCCCCATGACTGCCACTTGAACTTAGACACATAAACCCTCTGCGAAGCTCGAACGCCGCAAGTCCAAAGCCGCAGTCAGAAGATGGAACACTTCACAAGGTTCACTTTAACGATGAATGCATTATTAGCTAAAGGAGTATCTACGTAGATAATACATAGGTAAAGGACATGACCGGGCAACTAAGTAGGAGCGAGCATCTTGTCAGCGTATCCATAGACTAGGGAAGCCGAGCGAAGCGCACAGACTGAGAACCTGGCATGCTCGTCTTCCGGCCCGCGTAGTCGGACCAATGGCCCGGTGACGGTGCATGTCGAGACTTGCTGAGCGCTTCAGATGGCTGAAGAAGTGGAAGCTTCGCGTCGAAGTCGTGTCATTGCCGCGCTCGTGCTGCGCCGGGATATGTTTTTTGTCTGATCTCGGAAACGAGCATAGCCGAGGGTGGGCAATATCGGGACAACAGAGCCAGTCTATGTCCAGCTTTGCGCCGTGCGAGCCGATGGTCTTGCTCGGAAGGTTGAAGGACATGTTCAGGAGCTTGATGGGCGCCTGGGGTCGGTCGCGCGAGGTAGGAAGGGTAGGTCGGGCCAGTATCAACCTGTGGGGATGCGTTGTGCTTGTACTTGCGACGCGCCGATCAGAGTCGGTCTTGCGGAGGGATCCCGGGGCGTCCTTGCGTCGAGAACGAGAAGTGGGGCCTGCAGGAGGGTAGATGCATCCGTCGGACGGTGATGAGTATATGCGCTTGATGCCTGGGAAGTCTTGAAGGTGGTACTTCTTGTCCGGCGATCGCAGGGTAGCTATGCAGTCGCAAGGACGTTGGGTCAGGCAGTACGTCGGTGCGGAAAGTATGGTGGGTCGAGGATGGTTGCAGCGGAAGTATGTGGGCTGCAAGTTTGGGCCGAGTATGGTGGATGAAGTTCGACGTGTTCGCCGTTGCGAGACTTGCGATCGGGAAGTGCGGCGTCCTTCCTGGTGGCGAGCGTCGTTGGTCTCGGGTCGGGGAGTACGGAATCCACGCTTCAATGAACGATAGCTCTGGCAAGCCGGTCTTGGGCGTAGAAACAAAGCTCTGCAAGGCGAGTAAGATAACGAAGCCTGTCAAGACGATCATGGACGCACCTGATACCTGCTGCTCGTACTTCTCGTCGGCGTGTCCTTCGCGACGCTGAGGGGCGCTGGGAGGCGCGGTCGGTGAGCCGGATGGCTGAAAAGGTCCTGAGCGCGGGTCGAGATATCGACGGTCGGGCACTGATGGAGGGCGTGCTCGGGCGTGTCGGGTGGGGCGAGGAGGACGAGACGGGGCGTCCTTCCGCGACTGTTAGAGACGATAAAGGACGGCGAATAGAGCGCGCACCTTCGGCGATCCATTAGCGCGCCCCAGCGACCGGGTGAGGTGCGCGCGCGAGCCTCACGACGGGAGCACGAGGGTGCCAAATTCGAGAGATTCGCTTTTTCCGACGGGCTGGAGTCGCTGTCGACGAAGGCGGCGATGGGAGCGAGAGAGAAGACGCTTTGTCGCCTGTATGGAGATCAAGTGATGATGTGAAAATTGGGGAGGCACGCCCGAGCCGAACAATAGGATTCGCCGCTCGCCTTGCCCTTACTCCTGGATGTCCCGACTCGCCTACGCTCTCCGCTGCACCCTCGCGCTTTGCTTTTTCTTGATTCATCGACGACAGGCTTGCTGAGGAAGGCAAGGCCCTACGGCCAGCGACAAGGGCTCCCTCCGATGCCACAACGACACGGCCGGAAGGACCAGAACAGCAGACGCCTGACTAGCGCAAGAGATGACGGGCAGGAATTTTTGCTGGAGCGAACTCAAGCACAGGGAGACACTAGACGGCGCAGGACACCGCTTGCGGCGACGTGGACGACAGCGCCGTTGTCGTCGACATCGACGCGTCCGCAGCAAAATTCCCCAATCGGCCAGTCCCACGCCGTGCACGTGGCTCGCTCGTGGTCACGGCTGGACGTTGGGCTCCCTGGCGCGACAGAAAATCTGCTAAAAGTTTCTCTGGCGACTCTACGACTCACCTGTGGCGTTGTATGCTGCTGGACATGATGGCAGGAGCAAAGGAGCATTGCGTCAAGCGACTTCGCTCTGCACTGCGGGTGGCTTGATGGCTGTTGGTCGGCATCTCGGCATTGCTGACTCCCCGTGACATAACGCCGCCAGCAGTCACGGTTCGACTGTCGGCGCCGCTGGAAAAGCACGTTGCCTCCCTCGGACTGGTCCCGACGCGCTCGCCCATCGTCTCAGAAAGGATGAGATGCCTTTCTCTTCTTGCTGCGATGTCTTGGCTAGCTTTCTTTGCGTCGGCGAGCGATAAAGACGACGGCCCATGCCATTCGGATGCCGGGCCGGACTGCCGGTTCGGCTCGAGCGAGCTGGCCCGCCATTCTCGTCGCTTGTTGGTACAGAGGAAGCGGGCTAGGAGGAAGCAGAGGGCAAGGAGGACCGATGGGCCTGTATGTGACGACAGAGGTGGGGACAGGAGCGAAGGAGATGGCGCCCAACCTGGCGGATCTCGTAACCCGGCGGGCTGGCTTGACTCAGCGGATATACCGAACTGCGCGACCCTGGAAGATTGGCCCCGGATATTTTGGCGTGGACTGGCGGATTCAGACGAGGTCTTGCGCACCTGGGGTGTCGAGGCCCCTTCATACGACGCAGACTATGTGGACGACGGAGACAACGAGGACTGCTCATTCAGGCCACCACAAATCGGGCATTCCATAAACCCGGCGGACGGGCGCCATCAGCCGACTGGCCAAAACGGACGGACAATGAGAAGCTCCATTATTGCGCACAATGGCTATGGCGCACGGACCCATGGCCGGCCGCCTGTCTCCCGGGTCACCGGGCCACGACGGCATGGGCCGCTGGGTGGCCTCGTCAGCCGCGCGGCGGCTTGTTTGGTCCTCGCGTGCGTCTTTGTAAACAGTTATACGCATTTGGCTAATACGGGCAGATCCCGCGCAGGTGGAAAACAGGAAATCCGACTTCACGCCTCGTCACGACTTCCCATCACTCCCTCTTTCACTCTCCCACCTTCGCACCTCGACATGACGACTATGGACGACACGGTCTGCGATATCTGGGCCCCGAGCGACCTGGGGTTTGCCGACCTATTCGACAATGGGCACGATGATGCATACGACCTCGACTTTGGTGACAGCTCGCCGCGCGTCAAGCTCCCGAGCACGGCGTGCGTCTACCGACCGACTGCACGACCGTCTCTTACTGATTATCCTCCTCACAGGCCTCTCGACCCCGACACGGAGCTCAAATCGACCGAGATGGAGGATACTTGGGCGCTGGGGAGCCCACTGAAGGGTCGTGCCCCTCTAACTCGAACGTGCGTCGATTCTCCTACCTCCTGCCCACCTTTCTGACACCCTCGCTCCCAGCGCGAGCATCGAGTTCGCTATGGGGAAAATGAGGGGCCTGAAGCGGGACGCGTCGTTGGATAAAATTTTCGTGAGTCCCATGAACATGGAGACCTGGGGCGAGGATTCGGGTGCATCGGCTGCCACCGATGCATCTGCTGCACCTGCGCCTGCGACTCCCACTGCGTCCGCCGCCGCCGCCTCTCCTATAGTCGCGCCTCCCGTACATGTCGTCACCGCCCCGCCCGCAGTCGCGCCTGCCGCCCCCGTGACCGCGTCCGCCGCTCCCACCATGCCCGAGACCGCGCCGGCTCCGCCGAAGAACAAGAACAATCGCAAGGGCGCGCAGAAGAAGGGCAGGACGGCGCAGGCGGAGGAGGACGCGAAGGATGACGCGGCTGCCACTGCGCAGTCGAACCCGAAGACCACGCAGTCGAACCCGAAGACCGCGCGATCGGCCGGTACTACCCAGCGCCAGCGGTCGACCAAGGCCTCTACGAAGGCACCAGCTGCATCCTCCCAAGCGCCCTCCGCCTCTGCCCGCGCCTCGACGTCCACCGCTCGCGCGATCGCCGCCGATGGAGCGGCGCCCTATGCCCTGAAGGCCACCTCCCGGGCCGCGAGGCGCGCGGCGAAGGTGCGGCGGGCGATGCAGTCGCTTATAGATGCGGACATCGAGGATGCCCTTGGCGCGGACGCGACTGAGGCTACGAGCGCCAGCGCTTTCGGGAACACGAACGCGATCACCAAGGACGCCGCCAACCTCACCCCCTCCCCTACTCGCACCCCGCCGCCGTCGGCGTCGATGACTGCGCCAGCTCTTGCGCCCGCGGGTGCTCTCGATCGTGTGGCTGCCTCCCCTCAGAAGGCGTTGCGCCAGGGCAAGGGACACGCGACCGAGGCGCAGGCCGATGTCGACGAGCACACGACCGCGACCAACGACAACAAGGGGAGCAACCTCTGCGCCTCTGTCGATGTCGCCAAGAACCTCCAGTCGGCCTCTGCGACGCAGAGCAGTATGTCTGCCCCCCACCGACCACGTTGAGCCCGCGCCGCAGCTCCCCGCCGCGCTCATGCAGAACACGCTGGCTCAACCGCTTGCTCACTACACGCCGCCCGCTCCTGCGCACGGTCACCTCATTGCCCAGGTCCCTCAGTCGGGCGACGCTGCTTCGCGCATCCGTGCGCACGCGCCGGGCGATGTGCGACTCACTCCTGCGCGGGTGCAGGACATGCACGACATCGAAGCTGCCTTCTGGCCGCCGACTGCTCCCACGCACCACCAGCTCTTCGTCCCAGCCCCATGGTACCACAACGTCGTACTCGCCGCGCAACCGCACGCTATGTTCAACGGGCAGCCCATGCTCCCGACGACGATGCCCGCGCCCCTGCCTACGATGATCGCGCCGCCGATGCAGTACCCGACCAACGCCCCCGCGCCGGCGATCGGGCTGCACGCTCAGCAGGTGTCGTCCACTCAGTACGGTCCATGGGTACCGCCTAGCCACCCGACGAGCATCGAGCCGCCTGCTCCGGCGCCCTACTACAACGTGGGAGCGCCATCGACTCAAGCGTCTGGTCAGGCTTACCCTCCGATGCGAGCTGCCTCTGGCGCTTTGTCGAGCCGTGCCGGGACTTATGTGGACGGCAACGGGATGGCGCGCGCAATCTCTCCGCTCCCGCAGAGGGCGCTCGCCTCTACCTCCAGTAGCGCTGCCGAATCTCAGCCCAGGTATGTCCCATCCTCGAACTTCATGATCATCATACTCATGCCTTCTTTAGGACTAACGCGTACGCGAGCGGGCATTCTCACTTGGGCTCCCAGGCGATCTCCAGCGCTGCCAGGAGCGCACCCACGATCGACCTGCCCGAGAGCGTGATGAAGGTACTGCGCAACAACAGCAAGTACGCCGCGCCTATCGCACAACTGCAAAGGCTGTCGGCACCCGTGAACCCATTGGCCGGTGCCGCGTCGGACGAGCCGTACCGGGTGGTCACGGGCATGAAGCGCAAAGGCCAATTCTCGGCCTCGCAGAGCGTCGACTGCCAGTACGACCACGGTGCCGGCCATCCGGAGTACTGCGGGCACTCGTTCGTCCTCGATTGCTCCGAGGCAGAGCTTATGAAGAGAGTGCTGGACCACCTCGGCTTCTCGAGGCTGGAGCGTAAGCGGTGTTGTTGGAATGGTTGTCTATTGACGCAAACATACCAATGCAACCAGCTTGGCCTCGGGCACCACATACTCGAAAAGCACTTCCCCAAAGATTATGATGGCGCGCCGGCCCCCAAGCATGCTCGCCACCACTAATGCTCGCGCACCGCTCTCCACCCCTTGCTACCCACTGCGCTCATCGCGCACCACTCTCTCCTCTCGGACTCACCGTTATCCACACGGGACTCTAACCACACTATGCCCAACTTTCTCCTCCCCCCGTCCGCCGTTGAGCGCTGCCTGCATCATAGTGTACGTTCACTTTACTGTGCTCTTTGGGTACTCTGCTGTACTGTTGGGGTACTCTCGTGTCCTCACGGGGCACTCTACTGTAGCCGTACGCTGTATGCCTAGGACTATAGCGATCTCCGAGCGGGCGGGGGCTATACTGGACTGGACTGGACTCTGTAGCTCTACTCGCAGACTGGATACCTACTATCTACGTACTTACTTCGTTGCTTCAGCTTCCCTTCGCAGGGAACGTGCAACGGTACTCGTTTGATAGTGGTAGATACGCTCGGTCTAGCATTAATGTATATGACTTGATGGAAATCGGAGGGGAGACGAACCAGTGATACTTTCCTCATTTTGGGACTTCAAGCCCTCGGCACGTCCTGCCATCGACGGGAGACCCCGCGAGCAGCATATCCATGGACAGTGTTTCGCTCGCCCTCTCCGCGTTTTAGACGAGTATCAATAGTTTCTTCTCCCCGACTTGAGCAGATCGAAGGCTCAACAGGAGCACTGTAACTCTCTCTGACTCGCTCTCGATAGGCCGCGAGACCCCACTTGCAGACGAGCACCCGCGGCCGGACTTCCCACTTTGATACCTCGCCATACTTCAGCCACTTCGACGCATCGCGCGATATTCCACTTCGTTTCGCCACTCCCCGCTCGTACCACCAGACATCCCAGAATGTTACGCTGAATATCTTACTTCGACATATCATCTAGTCTTTCTCTTCGTGATGATCTCGCCTTTGTAAGTCGAAGTGGAGAAAATAGACCGTATTTGCACCAGGATATATTGGCAAATTTTATACCGACTGCCTATAGAGAACAATGGAATTCGCATGCAAAATGTGTCGATTTATATCGATGCAAATACGGTCCACTAGCTTTTGTATAGATGCGCGACTGCAGCACTTGTACCTACTTCAGGTTGAACCTAAGTACCCCACCGCATGATGGTCTCCAACGTCGTACGCGTCGACGTAGGCAATCGGTGGGTGAGGAGGAGGTACACCATCCCGCGCCCAACTTGAGTCGAAGACCTGTCGGGCGAGTCTGTTGGCGCTCACGCGGGTCGCGAGAGCTTGGGGAGAAAACAGCGGCGTTCTGGCCATTATCATTGAGAGGGTGGCGATGCTGAGCCCAGACGGCCGGGCCGATAAGAAAGGCCTCGGGAGGCTCACCGTACCAACCATCGAGGACGTCGCCGACAGGATTCCTGAGCTTCAGTGACATGACGAGGGGCGCTTGGATTTCTAGATGCTTGCAAGCGACCCGGACGACGAAGAATGGACGCGCGGAAGACTGGACGTGAGGGAGGTTTCGTACGGTACACGAAACGTCTCGACTGGCGCACGGAGGATCTTGACCCGCGGGCCGCCGTGCACGTATAGCATAGGGGGACTCTTCTTCAACAGCATACAGACGGGAACCACGTGGTATTCGTATTCCTTCGAAGGAGATTCTTACGGGAATGTGAGCCCAGGGAGAGTGAACGTTAACGTAGCTGAACTGACCGCGGGATGATGCTTGCGGGTGTCCAAGACGGCTTTCGCGTTGTGGCATTTGGCAAGCTGCAGTATCGGTCGCAGCGATTCCGTCTTTGGTGTCGGTATAATGGTCCAACCGGCGACAGCGAGCTTCTCCAGCATGTCGAGGCGAACTGAAGTATGATCTGTTAGAACACATGTACAATGCAGGATGATGAACCCCACTAACTCACGCGCGATTCAGTGGCGACGTCGCCTTCCTGCAGGCCCCAGCAGTATCCGAAATGCCCTATCTGATGTACACAGTCAGCGGTAGACCGAGCGCGCAGGCAGAAATCATATCTGTGACGGTACTGACCAACATCCGGGCGCTCCAAACCATCGTATTAGTAAGCTGGAGGAGATAGCGAAACTTACATAGTCAGCGCGTCGGGTTCATGGGCGGTAGAGGACATAGAAGCAGGGCATATCATTCGTGTATACGAGTACATAGTGAAAGACGGCCTACGTGACCAACGACTGGGCCTACGTGACCAACGACTGAGCCTACGTGACCAACGACTGGGCCTGTGACTGTCTCACGAGGTATCGCGTGCTTCCATGTGCGGTCTGCAGCATCACATACGTCTGCAGCACCACATACGACTCCGACCTACGCGAGCGAGGGATGGCCGGCCGGTCAGGGTATCGGGCATTCGTCCAGCCAAGCGAGCGGGAAGGTCAACCGACGCCTTCGGAATCGAAGACAGCTTGCGCGTCAACATGACGACTCATCGATGCAGTCTGCGCGGAGGCGACTCGTCGACGCAGCTTGCGCGTCAACATGACGACTCATCGACGCAGTTTGCGCGGAGGCGACCCATCGATGCAGTTTGCGCGGAGGCGACTCATCGACGCAGTTTGCGCGGAAACTTGACGACTAGCCGACAGAATCGGGGACGCGTAGCGCCTACAACCATAGTAGTGCTCACGTTACCGACAAGGTGACGGTCAGCGACGCGGAATCGCGCATGGTCGAGATCCATTGTCGCGCTTATCCTGCGACGGGCTGGGCTTCGACTCGGAGGTTTGACTAGTACGACATCGCAGAGCGCGAGCGGGAGGCGAGACCAGATCGCGTGTTCTTGAACTTGACGTCGCGTGTTTTTCAACGTGACGTTGTGCGCTGCGCTCAAGGGACATCGTGCGCTACGCCTAAGAGATCTCGTGCGCTACGCCTAAGAGATCTCGTGCGCTACGCCTAAGAGACATCGTGCGCTACGCCCAAGAGACGTCGTGCGCTACGCCCAAGAGACGCCGTTCGCTACGCCTAAGAGGACCGAGACGTCGGAGGCATGCAGCGTATGCGTGGGCGCTATCGTGGACAGCGGAATGATAGGTTTGCGGTCAGCGGAATGGTCGGTTTGCGGTCAGCGGAATGGTCGGTTTGCGGTCAGCGGAATGATAGGTTTGTTGTGGACAGCGGAATGGTCGGTTTGTGGACAGCGGAAAGATAGGTTTGCGGTCAGCGGAATGGCAGGTTGAAGCGCATAGTCGTTGCCAAGGTCGAGGCGGGTAACGACCTTCAGGAGTGGGTGCGCCTGGTCTTGCTTGCGTGTCCGTTGTCTTCATTGCAGGAATGGCGCTTCGGGAATGCAGAACTGGCGTCTTCGGGATTGCAGAACTGGCGTCTTCAGGGGCGCACGCAGAGCGCCTTCTGGGATGTAGGACTTGGCGTCTTCGGGATGCACCACAGCGTCGGCCGTCCTTGTCCTTACGTCCCGGGTTGAAGGTTGCCGTAGGTGAGCGGTCGGCGTTTGGGGTTGTTCAGTGATGGAGTGGTCCTGTACTTGAACGAGATCGTGTTGGCGGGCGGAGAACGAGTGTAGCGTGTTCTGACCGTGTTCCGAGTTGGGTCATGGGAGATTGGATGCGCGTCGAAGGTGCGTTCGAAGCTCTGCGCGGTCGTGGTGCGGCATGGTCCTTCCTAGCACTGAGGCGGGTAATTGACATGTTCTGCGCGCAGGGTGAGCTCGCGAGGCGGCAGCGCGATAAGAGCCGCACGCACTTGGAGCCGGCTGCTTGTGCTCCCGACGTCGAGGCAATAGATGTGGGGACAGCGGTGAGCGTCTCGAAGGCGTCAGTGGGGCTTCTCGAAGGCGTTGGTGGGGCTTCCCAGGGCGTTGGTACAGTTGATCTCAAGCGTCAGAGTCGGGAAGCATTCGGATAGGCGGGTGTGAGTTGATACAGAGGCCATGACGACGATGCGGAGAACGAGCCTGGGGCATCCGTTAGCTACGCCGGAGGTAAGACGAAAGTAGCACGCACCCTGGGGACCGAAAGACCACCATGAGCATCCTGCATGTACGCGGCGCGCTGCGGGACTTGCGTGATCGGCGGGAAAGGCGCTGCAGTCGGCGTCCTCGTCTTCCTTGCGAGCGACGACGGGGCCGCTGGGAGTTGGCAGCTTGAGGACGGGTCGATAGGAGAAAGAAAGAGGAGGACCGATGTATATCGTGACGTGGCAAGTGGTAAATGGCTGGTAAATGGTCGGACAAATAAAGCGAACAAATACTCGCCTTGTCTTCCCGGATTCGGACTCCAAGACGCCTACGCTCTCCGCTGGTCTCTCGAGCTACGGCCGCTCTGGCTACTACGACAGCAAACCGGCCTCGGAAGGACAAGGCATCTCGCCCGGGAGAGCTCACGGCGATGTAAGCTACGGCAAGAAGGACTCCGCCCCCAACTCGAGGTAGCAACCGCGCGCGCTAGCTTGGATAACGCTAATCTCAGGGAGGTACTACATGGCGCAGGACGGCTGCTCACCGCGACCTGGACGGAGGCATCATCGTCGTCGTCGACGCCCACGTTCTTCCAGCAGTTTTTCGGCCGTCACATCTCCATCACATCATCACATCACATTCGGCCCGGCCGCGAGGGTGCTCGTTGGAACGCATGTTATGGGCTCCAGATGGCGGCGGGTGGCTCACATGTGGTCCTGGGCGAGCAGCTATCGACGTATTCAACGTGTATATGTCCTCGAATCTGGTACCTGCCGTGTCAGAACCCGGAATAACAGCGCGAAGTCACAGAATGCCTATGCTAGAGGGATACTGGGGCTCAGGACGACGCTACACGACGACAGGCCGCTTCTCACCTCGATGCATATGAGGGCTCTACTGCTGTGGACTACGAGGTTCGCCCGCATCTGGCCGGAGCAGACTGAATTCTACAGCTGGTAGGACCTGTCTGGAAAACACGGCGTAGTCTCAGGCTGGCGACGGCTTACTAATATATGGTCCTGCATACGATGGTACAAGCTCAAGAACATGTCCATCACCTCCCCCGAAACCGCCATCACCCACTTCCCAACTCAGCGAACAACGCAAGTCTTATCGATGGCAATACCGGCATCCCCCGTCGGCCCTCCCAATCAGCTGCGTACGCGAACTCTTCAGCCAATCGCATCGCATGTCTTACTACGCGCCTCGCTCTAAACGGGAAAGTCCCCTAGTCTAAACGGGAAAGTCCCCGTCACATAGGGGAATAGCTCCGTATGGCATATATCGGACGCTGGGTTGTCGGCCCGCGCACGCGCGACTTCATTTTTTTTTTCGACGCGTCGCCCTTTCGTCCTTCTTCAGCATCCCTTCCTTCTCCAGTCTCCCGTCTGCCTCTTATTCTACCTCACCTCTTCTCTCCCTCGCCCATCATGGACTGGGCGGCCTTCGTCTCAAACCCCCCATGGCCAGAATTGAGCCCGAGCCGCAGGAACGTCAAGCCAATGTCGTTCTTGGAAACCCTGTATGTGCCTGCTTCGACTGCCTGCCTCACCTGCCTGCCTCGCCTGCCTGCCTCGATGACGCGCCTTCTTGCTGACCAGGTATCCAGGTCGTACGACGCTCCCGATCCATACGACGCTTCCAATCCATACGAGAGTACGCTCACCAGCATCCTCGACACCGACTTTCCGCTCCAGTCCTCCCCGGCTCGACGGGGCGTACTCTCCCCGTCGCGGCGGGGCGTACACTCCCCATCCCGGCGGGACGTACTCTCCCCATCTCGGCGGGGCGTACTCTCCCCATCTCGGCGGGCTGTACTCTCCCCATCTCGACGGAGCGTACTCTCCCCATCCCGGCGGGCTGTGCTCTCCCCTTCTCGACGGGGCGTGCTCAGCCGCAGGTGCGTGCTTGAAATTTTCGTCTCCTCGTCCGTGCTGACGCGTCCGCAGTGGCAGTGGCAGGAGCGTTTTTGGGGACAGCAGGAGTGTTTTCAACGACAGCGTCAACGTCTTCGGTGACAGCACCAGCGTTTTCGGGGACAGCACCAACGTCTTCAACGATAGCGCCAACGTCTTTGATGATAGCAGGAACCTCTTCGGCGACAGCAGGAACCTCTTCGGCGACAGCCTTGAGAATTTCTCGAGTGGCCACCCGTATGCGCCCAGCGACCGCACGGGCTCCGTGAGCGACGGCGAGCCCTACGACGCACCGGAGCAGACGGCGACGGTGCCCGGCTCCCCTGCTGAGGCGCGATCGCTGCCCTGCGCCCCCGAGGCCGCGCGCGCGGGCGAGGAGGGACAGCAGCAGAAGGGGGATGTGCAGCAGCAGAGCGCGGACGAGGAGCAAGGGCGTGCGGCCGGGGAGGGACAGGAGGAGAAGGGGCATGTGCAGCAGCAGAGCGCAGATGAGGAGGATCAGGCGAATGAGGGGCGCTCTTTCGCCGAAATCGTCTCCCAGTTCTACCCTATCTCACCCGGGCTCTTACTCCCGGAGCCCTCGCTTGCGTTCGTGCATCCCTCGCCGTCGATCTTGCCGCCCTTCCCGCGTATCGACGCGCCAGCGCCGTCGTTCGTACTCCCCTCCCCGTCGATCTTGCCTCCCTCGCCGCCGATCTTGCTTCCCTCGCCGTCGATCTTGCATCCCTTGCCGTCGATCTTGCCTCCCTCGCCGTCGATCTTGCCTCCGTACCCGTCGATCCTGCCTCCCTCCCCGTCCATCGACGTGCCCGCGCGAGCCCAATCCCCCGCCTCCGCGCTAGCATCCCTCGCCCGGTTCTATGGCTGCTTTCCAGACGCCGCGAACTCTGCGCCTTTGGATGTGCCCTACCCTGCGGTTGGCGATCAGCACTACCATGCGCCTTGCGAACCGTCCTACCCTGCGAATGTCGATCAGCACTCCCTTGCTCCTTGCGACCAGCCCTACCCTGCGGCTTGCGATTCGTCTTACCTTGCGAATGGCGATCCGTCTTACCCTGCGCCTTGCGATCAGCCCTACCCCACGGCCTGTGATCAGCCCTACCCTGCACCTTGCTATCAGCCCACTCGCGTCGAGTACGCAGCCACACACCAGGATACGGCTGTCCACCATGATGCTGCGAGTGACGTCGAGTACTATAGAGGTGCGCGCGATGGAGATGGCACGGGAGGCGCACAGCCCATCTCGCCGCGCGCAACATCGACCGCGACCGTCACCGAGAACACCCAGACCAAGCCCCGCCGCAAGGCGAAGAAGTCCAAGGGGAGGGCGAGGGCTTCGGGCGACGATGCCATCGAGCAGACGGCGCCTCGTGCGACTGCGCCCCATGCTCCAGCTGCCGCGTCTGCCTCTCACTTCGCCACGCCCGCCTTTCATTCTATCGCGTCTGCCTTTCATTCTGCCTCGCCCGCCTCTCACTCCGCCGCGCGCGCCTCTCACTCCGCCGCGCACGACGACTCGCCCGAGTACGCCGAGGTGACCGCGCAGCGCCGCCAAGCCAAGAGAGCGAGGAAGGCGCGCGGGACGAAGGGGCGGGCGGTGATCGACAGTGCAGTCGATGCAGCGGCGGCCATCGCGGCGAGCGCGCCTGTGCCTGTTTCCCAGCACTCCGCTCGTGGCCCGACTGCCGCCCGTAGCCCGACTGTCGCCCGTGGCCAGACTGTCGTCAATGTCTCTGTGCATGAACAAGCTGCTCCCACTGTCCGTGCTCGGGAGCCCGCGCCCGCGCAAGGCGTCACTCAATCCCAGGTGGTGACCCCCAGTGCGCCTGCGCCTGCGAACGGTACTGGCATGACTGCTGCTCCGATGGCTTCTCGCGTCCCCAACGCGCTCCCTCCCGCGCATGTGGTCCCCGCCGCGCTGTCTCCCGCCGCTGCTCCCTCTGCAGCTGCCTACGCTCCTCAATCCGCCCTCACCAGCGCCTCAATGGACGCAACAATCAGGTATGTGGAACGTTCTTCCAACCATAAACTCATGGGGCTGACGAGCACTCCTAGCTCCCGCCCTTTGGTTCCTCCGGCCCCCGCTAGCCGTGGCGCCTGCACGCCGGCTATGCTGTGGCAGGCTCTCCTGAAGGGAGAGCTTACCTCGGAGGAGATGCAGGCGTACCTCCGGCCCGATGTCAAGAAGCTGCCGATCCTTGAAGGTGCGAGGGCGGACGTCCTGAGGTCTGTCACGCTCTCGGAAGGGGTGCCGGTGGCGCCGCCTTTCGTTAGGTCGTCCGGCATAGGCGCGTCGTCTGCGACGTCGACCAACAACGTGCGCCATGCCGCCGCCTCTTCGTCGTCGACCACCCTCAGCGCCTCCTCCGGGAACATGCGCGCGGGCTCCAAGCGCAGTCACGACGACATCGACTCCGAGGATCCCAACACCGTGCGATGTGAATGGACGCATTTCGTCAACGGCGCACCAATTGGGCCCTGCACGCACCTCTACAACAAGCAAAGCTCCCGAGACACCTTGAAGAGCCACGTCCTGCAGCACATGCACATGATGGAGCCCAACTTGTGCGACGGTATATATTGCCAATGGGCGCACCGGTGCCGCAGGCCGAAGGGCTACTGTGTCAATCTCCGGGCGGTAGTCGACCATATCGTGGAGATCATCCTTGATACCAACAAGTGTGCCAGGTACTAGGCGCTCGGAAGTGTGCAAACGCATTGTGCAACGGACCACACGCTTTCGTTCCTTTCTTCTTCTCTTTTTTTATCTTCCTCTCTCAGAGCCTTTTTCTCCGTTATTCCAGCCAGCATACTATAGCATATGACGACCGCGCACATCATGTACTTACTGTTTGTTGTACGCTCACGTCTTCGCCACGGTCTTAAGGACCTCTGCACCACTACATCCACCATACCCATCCCATCTATATTTATATGTATATATACTGGCCCGCCTTGTCCGCTCCGTATCGCTACGTCTCTTATATCCACCGCTATAGCCTCACCTATGTATTGCTGCGCTTCTGTCCATGTAAGTCGTCTCCTCACCATCTGTCTGTTGCTCTTATCTCTTCCATGTCTCGTTTGCTACCATGTACCTATCGTCGCTCACCGGACTTTGTTATCGCGAGGAGGGGAATATCTGATCTGTCGAAGCAAATGAATGCTATAATGTTCCGGAAAGGCGCTGCCTCGTTCGCTGTTCGATCTCTTCCAGAGATGCGATACCTTTTTCCATCGTGCATCTCAACTCCTACGTCGTACGAGTTCAGAGCCATCCTGTCGCAAATCTCGAGTCGTGCCGAGCCAATACTTGAGCTCTTTCATCCAGAGATTTCGCCTTCCGCAACGCCCGACTGCCAGTGAGAGTCGAGTCGTCTTCGATTCATCCATCCAACGAGCCACGTCTGGAGATCAGTGATAATGGGCTTCACTGTGGGCGGTGGTGATTTTGAACGTCGGGGCAGATGCAGGGAGACCGTCGATGCTATGACCAACGGTGCGACGGTGACACTGACAGTCACGGTTCATACCGCACATGCGGCAGCAGGCCCGCGACAAGCTTTCGAGACCGATCCACGTTTTTCGCTACCCTCACACTTTATGGTGCCTTCGGGGAAGGGACTTGAAAGAACAAAAAAATGTTCATTGCAAAGGGAACAGGATACTACTAAGTTTAGTATATGCACAGGATGCTACGAGCCAAGGCAGCGAGCAAAGTTTGGTACGGAGACTGAGTACGTGGATTGAGCTCGCGCTCAATGCGAGCCTATGACTTACGCTACGCGCGCCTCCAGTGCGACAACGCGCGAAGGTACAAGAAGAGATCACGAGGTAGACGTACGTTCGACTGCAAGGCGGTGAGAGGTCACTTGTCTTTAAAAAACGACTTGTAAAGTGGACTTTGTAAACTTTCGAGGTGGCGACCTTGCAGACGGCAACGGAATGTTATCGCCTCAGGACCCGTGCTGACGATACGTGCTAAGTGATGCGCCTCGGCGGGAAGGTTGAAGGCGAGCGACTCAAGAACAGGCAAGTTATCGAGCAGCGGGCTTGCGTCGATCAAGATACGCCATGCATGAGGGTCGAGTTAAGCGCGAATGGGCTCGATAGACGAATGATAGCCGTGTGAAGAGCTGCATCGTCGTAGTGTTCTTTGAGAGGAGCTTAAGGTCGAGGTATTCGGCCGTGTCGAGGATGGCGCGCATCTTGCGCTGAGCATACGGTTGGGCTTCGCGTTTCTTGTGGGGCACGGTCTGTTCAAAGCATATACGCGGGTAGCGGAGGGAAAGAATGGCGTCGTAGGTCGAGGGGTATGTCTCTTATGAGGGAAACGCGATCGTGAGCCTGCGGCGGAAGAAGGAAGAGGAATTTTGTTCCGCTGAAGGCGAAGGACGTTGGCCTCAGGAGGTTTATGCCGGCCTCTCCACTGACGACTAGATTGGTTCTTGCTTTCGAGGACCCGGCAGCTGCAGAATAGATGAGATGACGCGGCGAGTAGAGAGGGTCGTGCACGCACCTGGCGCTGGTCAACCTGCTTCCCTGCGGCGTGCCGTCTCCCGCCGTATTGAGGCGTACTGCATCGTGCAGAGGAGATCTTTGGTCACATCGGGGCGCGGTTCGTCGAAGGAGCCGCAGCGAGCGATCAAGTCACGCATATCGGATGCGCGCACAGACGGCGACCAAGATGAGGAGACATCTGAGCGCCCTTCCAGGTGTATTCGGCACCTATGACGCGGAGGAGTACGGAACTTGGATTGTCCTGCCGTCCTCTGCGAGAACTGCGCGTTAGCCTTCTGGGCGCCGAGAAGCATCTGCGGTACGCACCGAGCCCGATCGTACGTCGCCTGCCCTTCTTACAGGCCTCAAGGCGTAAATGGTCAGGGAAACCTCGCCATAGGACAGGGTGATGAGTGCAGGGAGGTGTATCAGGGCATATCGAAGGGTGCAAAGCTGGTGCTACGCACCTAGACTCATTAGTCGGCAATCCAGGCAGCACGGGCAGCGGGGGCTGCTGAGCATCGTTTCCTGGAGTATACAAGTCCCCAAGTACACGGAGGAGGTTCAGATATTGACGGGAAGGCGGGAAGGCGAAGGGAGGAGCTTTAGGGTCATGATGGTAGGAGACAAAGTGGAAAAGTGTCTCACGCTCGCATTCTTGTCTCTGGTCGCTGATCTCTGGGGCTTTGCGGGGCGACTTTTCTGAGCGAAGAGCTCGAAAATGCAAGAAAATGGACTGGATACTCAGAATCCACGCCAGAAAGGCTCCATGCTTCTCAGGACTATCGCCGAGCAGCAGTGTCGCGTCAAGATGCAGCTATGCATCCCCAGTGCCATGAAGAATGACCGGCGTCTGCTCGAATCGATGAGGTACACCTACGCACCCTCATAATGCGTTCCAACACGTCTTGATGCTCAACGCCTTCGCGCAAGCGCTTGACATCGTTCTCATGCGCGCTCGATGTTCTTGTTCGTTGAAGTGAGTTCTTACCTTGAAGCTAGATGTACCGTGCTCATGCTAGGGGCTTCACTCAAGAGTGTCGATGCCGCAGGGAAGAACGCGCTCGCTAAGGCATCCGCGCCCCCAGCTATGATCCTCAGACGCCCGCGTTGAAGCCGCTCGTCGAGATATGCCGTTGTCCTGAAGCCGGGAGGTACGGCTTTCATCAAGGCGGGTTACCCTTTGTGCCATGGCCGTCGAGAGTTGGTCCGGGACGCCCCGATTGTGCAAAGACCCGCCCCCATTGCCCACCTCTCGCTTAGGGCGATAACGGTTATCGCGCGCTATCAGATACCTAATGGGGACAGCTTCGCACGCGTGATGTCACGCGGGAATCCCGTGACTGGACTTTCTCGTAGGCCTCTTTCCGAATTCCTTCGCCCGTCCTCATCCGTACTCCGGCTTCCACGGCTTCCTCTCTACCTTCAATCCACCAGCCCAACAAGAGCAAGGTTCTCGACCACTTCCGAAGCCTGCCTCCATGTCCACCGCCGGAAACGACGAGATTTATGAGAGCCTGCGCAGGCTCTTCGACGAAGGTCTCCTCTCAGGGTAAGTGGTAACAATCTACGTCTTTTTCTCGCTGCTCAAGTACCCTCCTCAATAGCCTCCTCTCCGACGAACAGTACAAGCTCGAGGAGATCGCGGAGGAACCCGAGGATGTCACCGTCATCCCGTGCGTCGTCCCTTTCTATGTTCCGCGCAATAGAAATGCTGACACCATGGCAGTGATCACTTCTTCCATCCAAGGAACTACCTTCCCTTCTGGACGGATCCGCCGCCTGACGAGGATACTACGGAAGCCTCACCGAGCGCGGTCCCTGCACCCCAGACGGCGATCCCATCAGCGTCTTCTGCCACCCCGACCTCCCAGCCCAATATTGAGACTCAGCTCGCTCTACAGACTCCTCAGCCCAGCCCCCTTCATCTCCCGACCGCTCAAGCCCAATCCCCAGCCCCGCAAGAGCTCGCGCAGCCCTTCACCATCCAACAGGAACAGCACGTGAACATGGGTATAGGGTGCGTAACGACACAAAGAAATTTCATACTTTTCCTAATGATTTTTTCGTTTGTTGTACAGTTCGACGCCAAGCGACCCTTCTACCCCTCCTTCGACACACCTCAATGCACCCATCTCGTTCCCCAGCACCACGGTTCCCGCCGCCATCGCCGACACTAACGCCATGCCCTCGGCATCAGCCGGCGCTCCTCTCGCGGCTGCCAACATCTACGCTCCTACCAATCTCTACAACACAAACTCATCCGCCGCCCTCCCTATCACGGACAACACGCCTGCTGCGGCCCCCGACGCTAATGAAGCCCTCCTCCGTGCCTTGTACGCCGCCAACCCGTGGTACCCAACGCCTCCCAACTCCTCGCGGGTCCCGACGCCTCCTGGACCCCAGCAGATGGCTGCGTACCCGCTCTTCTCACCGTATGCGCACATCCCGGCATACGCGCCTGTTCCGTATCATGCGCAGATCCCTACATACGGCCCCCACCCTGCATATATGCATCTCCCTGCGTATGCGCCGATGCTGCCATACGCGCTGATGCCTGGCTATGCGCCCTACCCGATGCAGGTGCATGTTCCCGCTCCGCAAGGCCCTATGCAGCTGCCCAACGCGCCCCCGGCGCAGACGTACTACACCGCGGATAGCGCGCCGATGGGCGGTGCCGGTGCTCCCATGAACATCGTTCCTTTCTCGAGCGTCGTCCCCTCCTCGGGCGGTGTTCCTTTCTCGAGCGGCACATCGTCCTCGAACGGCGCTGCTGCGATCCCGATTGATGTCGCTGCTATCCCGAGCGTTGCCGCTGCTCCTACCAGCGGCTTGCCATCCAGACACTACCGTCCCCATGTCTACGAGGCCGCGCGCGCCGAGCAGGCTGCCCAGGCCACTCACTCGGCGGAGGTTGCGCAGACCGTCTACGCCTCGCCGGTCTCCCAGGCGTCCCAGTCGGCGGAGGTCTCGCAGACCGCTCACGCTGCGCAGGTCTCCCAGCCGACTCAGGTCTCCTCGGCGCCGGTCGGTCAGACCGCCCTCCCCTCGCCCAACGTCCTCCACGCTGCGCTCCCCGCCCTCAAGCGTAAGCGGGATGAATCGGACGCTGAGGCGGAGGCGAGCGGACAGAGGCCGCCTGAGCGATGCCGATGGCAGCACGGCAGGGAGCCGTGCACGTACGTCTTCCACCCTCAGGATTATTCGACCGTAGGGGATTGCGCCGCGCACGTCGAGGCGCACCTCGAAGGCCGCGTGCTCCCTGGTTCGTTGATTGCATGCCAGTGGGGTGTTTGCCTTCGTAGCTTTAGGACCGTCAAGCTCGCTGCCAAACACGTCGCCGAGCGCCACATCCTCCACATCCCTGGCCGCACGAGCAAGAAGGCCAAGACCTCCCACACCGCTCTCTAAGCTGGGTCTCTTCGCTATCTCTTCCAAACACTACGCTCTTGCCAACTCTCCATGAAGCCTCCTCTTCGTCTTCAGTCTCGCATTTCATCCACGCCCGCACACACACATCTCTCACGATCTCAGCCTCGCGCCGCGCGATTTGTTCCCTACAGTGTCTCCGCATCAATGTAGCATTAGCATATACCCATGTTGCCAATACCCTGGCACGCCCGTCGCCCAACTCTCATCCGTCTTTAGTACCCTTTACACACTGTCCCGGGGTGCGCGCGAATATACCCCGCATGCCCGCCCACCCCACCAAGCGCGTAGATCGACCCCTCATCTAACTTATATATGTCTTTCCATCTATCTCTCGTCTTGCTTTCTCTGAACTCTCCTTCTCATCATCTGTAGCTCATCCTCGCGCCGCGCATCCGCTGCACCCATGTTACTGTTGTACCGCGCTGTGCCATCCGCTGTATCGTACCGCGTCATATCCTGTACCGTAACGTGCTACCTAGAGTACTGTACCACACTGTATCGTGTCCGCGATGCTTTTCGTACCGTACTCTACGCGCCGAGGACGTCACGCAATAACCCTCAGCTCAGCATACTCATCTTTCTCGCCTATCTCACCCTACTGATACAGTCGGTCTCGAGGACCACTTTTTCTACTTTACATCGTTTTGTCCAGTTTCCTTGGCTTCTCATCGCGTCGTGTCCGTAATTTATGGAGGAGGCTTTCATGAAAAATCCGTCTGCATCTGAAGACTTGTTGTACGTGCCAATATTGAGGCAAAGGAAGGGATGAGGCTGAGTCTGAACACTACAAGTGAGCATATACCTGAGCACCCCGACACAGAATTGAGCTAGGGGGGGCGTCCGTGGCTTTTCTCTCAAATTCAACTTGCGGGCCGTCGTTCCGACTCGGCACGGCGCACGTGGAAAACTCGTCATGATCCAAAGGACGAAGAACACATCTTGAACTTGTACAACCATCCCGTACCCGTTGCCCGTCGAAAGATGTTGGTGCTTTAGTACGAAGTGGTATAAGGTGCATAGATGAGGATTGCGTGCTTTACCGCTGCATTACGACCAATAACTTGAACAGAAGTCACAATCTCATAGAAGGCGTGAGTAATCTTTGAGGGTGAGTTCGGACTTTTGCACAGCTTCATATACCGTTCCTGACCATTGTTGATCTCAATTATAAGGAGCGTTGCTTTTGGAAAATGGTATGCGCCGATCTTTACGGCGCATCATGTACACCGAGTATCTCCAACAATCGGACTGCTTCATTTAGGTTTCCCGAGCTTCACAGAGGTACCGGTCTTGCTGTACGTGAGGTCAATGGGGTCAAATATGGAATCGATAGAAAGACACATATCCTGTGGGCCAAATCCGTCTGAAAGTCGTGTCTTCGGCGCCATTTGAAGCGCGGAACTACGCCCGCCTGGCAATCGGTTCGGTCTAAAGTACGTGCCTAAACACATCTCTCTATGCATACCACGCTCCCCATTGACTGTCTAACTTCAGATCAACTGCGAAGTACTCGGATTGTCATCGTGAAGCTGCCTGATGCTGGCAGCGCGCGGCATCAGCCACAGGTTATCACCCCACGGGTCAACTGACACGCTGCGAAGCCTTCCATTCAACCTCGCTATTATCTCACCTGCGAGCATGTCTTTGATTGCGTGTTTCCGATCAGATAGCGTACGCGCCCATCCCGACCCCGACGGTGCGCTGACTGGACGTGCATTCCCAGCTCGCGTCAATGCGCGCTGGACCTCTTATAAGGCTCCGAGACACGACGCCCACCCGGTAAGTCCTTCTCGCCATGGGCGTTCAGTCCTCTGTCAAGCGGTCCAGCCCGCTCACTCACGTTCCTCTCGAAGAAGGCCTCCTCTTCACCGATGCTTGCGACTTCCACGTCCAGCACAACCCCGATCATACGTGCTTCGCGTACGCTGAGGCAGATGGGACGGTCCGCGAGATCACCTACCTCGAATTCGGGCGCGCCGTCCATCGCGCGGCGCACGCCTTACGCCCAGGACGCGAGGGGGAGGATGGGCTCGTCGTCGCGTTCATCGCGCTCTCCGACACCCTTCTCTATCATGCCATCACCGTTGGTCTGATGAAGGCCGGCTACGTTGTACGTCGTCTTGAACATCTTCTCAGGCTCGATACTGATGATGTCTTCCAGCCATTCCCGATCTCCCCTCGCCTCTCGCCACCTGCAGTCGCGAACCTCCTACGCGTGACGCAGTGCCATCGGCTGGTCACTACGCAGCACACTCTCCACACGCTCATCGATGCCCTCAAGAAGGAGCTCGGCGCTGGGTACCACTTGACGATTAGCGAGGTTCCTGCGCTCAGCGTCGTGTTCCCCAACCTTGCTGAAGAGGACGCATCGCACGACTTCGAAGCGTATCCGGACTCTACGGTGCCGCCAAGCCCCGAAGACATCCTGATCTACCTTCACTCGTCGGGGAGTACGGGCTTCCCGAAGGCTGTCGGACACACACGCGCGAGCATGGCGGGATGGACGCGACTCGGTACGTTCGCAAGTTGTCTGATCATTGTCGAGAAGGAACCTCATGCAGACTTTCAGCTGTCGTCACCGATATGCGTCGCTTCCATCCTCGGCCACGGTTCGCGACACATATTCTTCCTCCTTTCCACACCATGGGGTTGTGCGCGCAGCTTGTCACGGCGATCTTTGGTGGTCCGGAAGTGGCGCTGTTCCCTCCCGTGGTCAAGGTCAGTGATTGTACGACATCGCATTATGCGATCGCTACTGACACGCCACGGATCAGACTCCAACGGATGTGCCTCCACCACCGACGCCGGACGGTCAGCTTGCAGCCGCGCGTGCGAGTGGCTGTGACGCGATGGTCATGGTCCCCGCGTACGTGCAGCTGTGGGCCGCGGACCCGGAGGCCGTCGAGTACATGAAGAGTCTGCAGCTTTTGGTGGGTTCTTCGCCCCAGCGTTCGTCTTCCGAGTATGCTAAAATCATTCCAGGGCTTCGCCGGCGGACCACTCAGTGACGCGACGGGCGACTTCCTCGCCGAAGCCGGCGTCAAGCTTCGCTCCATCTACGGCGCGACAGAGTTCGGCGTCACATCGCACGTTAAGCCGACACGCGACGAGGACTGGAAGGACTGGCGCTGGATCGAGTTGGACGCGAATGCTCGTCTAGCGTGGGACAAGCAGAGCGATGGGACGGAGGAGCTTCTCATATTGGTGCGTTGGTAGTAGACTATTATGGCGCCGGATGATTCGCTGACGCTCGATTTAGGCTGGCGGTAACCACTGGCACATGCCGGTGGTGTACAACATGCAGAAGCGGCCGGGATACGCTACGAACGACCTTTTTGTAGCTCACCCGACGAAGCCTCATTTGCGGAGAGTGTATGTCGATAACTATATTGCTGCTGTCTTTCAGCTGACGGATATTTGCAGAGTCGGCCGCAGGGACGATGTAATCGTCCATTCGACGGGGGAGAAGACAGTACCTGCCCCCATCGAGGGCGTTGTTCTGACAAGTCCATTGTGAGTTGGGCCCTATGCGGCATTCCTGAGCTATGCTTACGATGATCACAGGGTGGCGGCAGCCGTCATGTTCGGTCGGGGTCGGGACGAGGCGGGTATCCTCATTGAGCCGGCGCCTGCACATCAAGTCGATGTCGACGATGACACTGCGGTCGCAGCGTATCGCAATGCGGTCTGGTAGGTGCTCCATCGGGTTCCTCAGATTGCGCTGACTTTCACAGGCCCGTCATCGAGGAGGCGAACCGCGCAGCGCCAGCCTACAGTCGCATCTTCAAGGAGCTCATCCTGATCGCGCGCAAGGGCAAGCCTCTTCCTCGAACCGAGAAGAATACTGTCATGCGCAAGCTCGCACTCGAGGTCTATAGCGCCGATATTGAGAAGATGTATGTGTCCATCTTTGACGGCCCGGAATGAAACACTGACCATATGCCTTTCAGATATGCAGTCGTCGAGAGCCACGCACAGACCGGCGAGAAAGGCGTCAAGCCACCTTCTAGTTGGGACGTCCATGCTGTAGCGAGTTGGCTCGCCCAGCATGTTCGAGATATCACCGGTCGTGACATGGACCTCGCGGCGGACCTCTTCGAGCAGGGCTTCGACAGGTGCGCACCCTCTTCCAGACTTTAGAAATGATCTCATGCAGAGCAGTCTCAACGCAACCGTCCTCCGACTCCGTCTCCTAGGCGCGCTCAAGTCAGACCCATCCGCGTCTCCAGCGGCGCTTGGCATCGCACAGAACGTCGTCTACGACCACCCGTCGATCGAGAAACTCGCTACGCTGGTCTCCAAGCTCGTCGGAGGTGAGGTGCATCAGGCGGAGGCCCCCGAAGCGCGCGCAAAGGACGCCATCGTGGCCATGGCCGCGAAGTACAGCGAGGGCCTTCCCGGATACGCGGGCGCTGCGACCTTGCCGGAGTACGTGGCCCCGACCAGCTCAAAGCCACTGTCAACGCCCGTCACCGTCCTGGTGACGGGAACCACGGGCAACCTTGGCGCGGAGCTACTTGCGATTCTCCTGAAGGATGATCGGGTCGAGCGGGTGTATACCCTGGACCGGGAGGCGTCGGCCACTGTGCAGGATCGCCAGCGCGCGCGATTTGCCGACAAGGGGCTTGATGTTCAGCTTCTGAAATCGCAGAAGCTGGTCGCGCTAGTGGGCGACGCATACGCGGAGGGACTGGGTCAGAGTGAGGCATTGTACGAAGAGGTTCGTCTCATGTCCGCTACTCGTACATCGGGATCTGATTTGTGCTGGACCTAGATGTTACAAACGGTCACCATCATCGTCCACGCCGCCTGGCGCCTCGACTTCAATCTCGGCCTCAGCGCCTTCGAGCGCAGTATCCAAGGAACACGCGCCCTCGTTGACTTCGCACGCAAGACCATGCACTCCGACAGCCTCCGATTTCTCTTCACTTCATCCATCACATCGACGCGCTCATGGGATGCCTCACAAGGGCCGGTTCCCGAAGAGCTCATCGATGACGCTGGAGTGTCCGTCCTCGGAGGCGGCTACGGGCAGAGCAAATACGTCGCAGAGCGTGTACTTGCGGCGAGCGGGATCTCGTTCAGCTCTATTCGTGTGGGTCAAGTGAGCGGCGGGAAGCCGCGCGGCGCTTGGGCGCCAACCGACTGGTTCCCGATCTTGGTCAAGACGAGCATCGCGCTGGGCGCGCTGCCGGATAGTGAGCAGGTGAATGGTCTGTGGATCCTCTCGGTTCGGATATTGATATATTTCAGACCGTATCATGGGTCCCGATGGACTCGGTTGCTGGTATTCTCATCGACGTTGCGCTGTCCGAGAATGCGCTTTTGCCATCGCATAATCTCGTTCACCCACGCCCTCTGCCGTGGTCGCTAGTCATTGACAACGTCCGACAATCGGTCGAGGCTACTCTCAACTGCCACGTACCAATCTTGCCTTTCTCGCGCTGGTTTGAGAAGCTCGAGACGGTGGCTCACAAGTCAGACGTCGATGTCCAGAATACCGTGAGCGATCCTATTCTGTCCCTTGACCGAGATTGACCTCCGTCAAAAGCCTGGCGTGAAGCTTCTGGGGTTCTTCAAAGGTTTGAATTCCGCAAGTGTCCTAGGATCGTTTGCGACCGACAAGATCCAAGCCGCCAGTGAGACCCTCCGTAACGCACCATCGCTGAATCAGGCGGACGCCGACGCATGGGTGAAATATTGGCATGAGAGTGGGCTTCTGGCGTAAAATATTGGAGAAATATCGAGTTATGTATGTATATGCCTTGAACTTGTACCATAGTGCCATTACTCTTGTATGACAGCGGCTTCCAGTACGTTGAGGTGGGGATTCGAACCTGCTTACTAAGTAAACCTGGACTCAACTCGCCATCGTTCGTCTCCTTTGTTCTTAACATCATCACGACCCTAATACATCGGCCTGAAGCTTCATTCGCTTTGGTTGAGCGATGATTATAGCTCAAGGATGACATGTAGTCTTTGAGGACAGCAGCGAATGCACAACCCATAATTCCCGGGCTGCTGTACATTCTGATGTACATCCAGGCGTGTCCACTCCCCTCCCCAGCAGGGATGCATTGCTGTAGACATGGTGCGCAACATCAGAGGAGATGACAGTTGACGCCCACTAATGTCCTCTGGCTGAACTTACAGTGCTTCTCCACAAATGAGCGACTTCTCCGAGTCGCTGCTCTTGCTAAGAGCGGTCGAAACACGCGGCTTGGAACGTCCTCAGTGCCCGTCGACTTCCTCGGCGGAAGTAAGTAATAGGTATCCATCCGCGCCTGGAATCCATTCTTGACTGAAGGAAAGAATCCTGGTACATTAAAAACACCCGCCTTCCGCGTAGGCGCCCAGCATGCTTCTTCGCGGGTACCGAAATACGTTAAGCGCCAACCCTCCCTCAAATAATGCCGCTAGTCGAGCTCAGGACTACCCCGCTCCTCTGACTGAACTTCCAAACCCATGAAGATGAGTGTCGGAAGTAGCCCTTTGTCGTTTGGATTTTCTTTCCCCCGTACGCCGGTCGACGATGGAAGCGACAGCGACGAGTTCCAGGTCAGCGTCACTAAGTCAACTGGAAAGCTATATGAACCATGACCCACGACTCTTCCAGGTCCTCCCCGAGGATGGAGCTATGGACTTCACGAATAGCGCGTACGCGAGGAAGTGGAAGAAGCTCATGGCTCTGCACAAAGACCTCAGTGATCTGGGGTGCGTTCGACGGCGTTTTGCTCTGTTAACAAGTTACTGACGATCTCTTTGCAGCGCGTCCGACTTCTCCCCGGATTTGCCGCGCATCACGGTCATAGGCGGACAATCTGGTACGCTTCAGCACCGTCTTTATTTGCCTCTGAGGATACTGATTAGTGTCATAGCCGGCAAGAGCTCGCTCGTGGAGGCCGTCAGTGGTGTGCGTAGGCAACCGTGGATATGAACTTGCCTCTGACATTGCGATAGATTGATGTACCTCGCGACAGCGGAACTTGCACTCGGTGAGTTCATCGCATTCATTGATGATTGCTTCTCATATTGCCTTCTCAGTTGCCCTATGGAGTGCCGCCTCTTCAGCGGCGCTACCACCTGGTCTTGCCTAATCTCCCTCCGCTTCGACCACGACGCCAAAGGCCATCGTATCGACCCCGTCACCGAGGCTTACAGCCCCGTCCTCATCGACAAGGCTGACGTGGAGCTTTGGATTCGGCGCGCGCAGGCGACGATCCTCAGCCCGCACCGCTCCAAGGAGTTCTTCAAGAACAAGTCGGCGGACGAGATTCGCTTTGAAGACCCGTCGCGTTTGAAGTTCTCGAAGAACGCTATCTTGGTCAACTTGAAGGATCCTGGGTATACGGATATGGCGTTTGTGGATCTTCCTGGTGAGTGCGCGTTGGCTCTCTCCCTGGATGCAGGTCTGACGTGCATTGCAGGACTCATCCAGAATGAGGACAAAGAGCTGATCGATACTGTGCACGAGCTCGTCGTCGAGCGCATTCAAGGGAAGAACACCATCATCCTCGTCGCCGTCCCGATGAGCGGTACGCTGTTCTACTATCAGTGTATCATGCATGCCTGACGACCTTTCAGACGATATTGAGACCGTCATGGCCCTTCGCCTCGCGCGGGAAGCCGACCCGAACGGGGAGCGTACCATTGGTGAGAGCTTGCACTGCCGCTACATCCCCCGCTTCTGACATCACACTTCTAGTCGCCGTCACTAAGGCCGACATGATGACCACCGGCGCCAGCGGTATCCGCCAGCGCTGGTGCAACATCATCACCAACGCCGGACCCTCTGCTCGCAAGCATCGCCTGCGCCACGGCTACTACGCTGTCATTCTCCCCCACGACGAAGCCCGCGCCGCTGGTGAGACGAGGGCGGAGACGCAGAGCCGCTCCCGCGCCTTCTTCGACACGGAGTCGCCCTGGCGCGGAGTCAAGGACCGCAAGAGGTTCGGCGTCGACAATCTTGTCGAGTACGTCAGCGGGCTGCTCGTGCGGCTCATTGAGGAAGCGTATGTTCTCTCTCCAGCTTCGCTCGTGGCCACCGCGCTGACGTACCCATAGCCTACCCCAACTCCGTGGAGATATCAACGCCCTCCTGCGCGAGTGCGGCGATGGGCTGCGCGCGCTCCCGCCTCAGCCGCAGTTCGAGTGCGACGCCGACGTCAGCACGTACATCCTACTGCGCGTCTCCGACTTCTGCAATGTCTTCAAGAGTGCTGTGAGCGGTGATCCGGCTAGTCGGCATCGCGACCTTATCCACACGAACCGCGACCACTACGCGAAGCTCCAGCGCGACATTCAGGACACGCGCCCCGACTTCCGTCCGTGGCTTGAGAAGGACAAGTACAAGGATCCGACCACCGAGCTCGAAGCGGGGAAGGAGAGTACCGCTATGGACGTGAGCGACGTCAAGGAGGTCATCAAGCAGTGCGTATATCCATCGATGCTTCCACTGCCTCGGGCCCACAACTTTTGCAGAGTGACGACGTGGGAGCTTCCTGGTCACATCCCCTTCGAAGCCACGAAGGTGCTGATCCATCGGACGACACAGCACTGGACGGACCCGTCCATCGAATGCTTCGAGCATGTCGCCGAGAACACCAGGCGCGTTGTTGATCGGCTGATCGATGCCCACTTCGGCCAGTTCGGGAGCCTGAAGGAGCACGTCCGGTACCCAATTCTCTCCGCATGCCCGATGCTATCTCTGACATCCTTTCAGCGACATTATTCACGAGAAGTTCAAGGACGTGTCTGCCGCTGCGGAGCAGTCCGTCAAGAACGTCATCAAGCTCGACACCGGTGCCCCGCGCTACACGCAGAACATGACCGACCTTGATGCGGCAACGACCAAATGGAACAACATGTTCTGTCAGTACAACAATGAGTGGCGCAGTCGTGCTATCGACTACGACGAAGTGAACGGTAACGAGGAGGTCGCCGCGCACAACCGCGACGCCATCATGCTTATGGCTCGCGTGCGTGCGTACTGCGAGGTTGCAGCGAAGGTAAGCATCAAATCCACCCTTCGGCACACTGGCGCTTACGTCGCATCACAGCGCATCGTCGACACCGTCCCCCTGACCATCGAGCAGCGCCTTGTGCAGCAAGTCGCAGAAGGCATGCTGCCGACGCTCCTTTCCGCGCTGGAGAGGGAAAAGCCTGAAGAGAAGCGCGCTATGCTTGACGAGGACGAGGAAGTCGCTTCGTCTCGTCGAAGCCTGCGTGCTCGCAAGGACCGCTTGCTCAAAATCCAGGACAGGCTCGACAGGTGGGAGGCGGCGACTTAGGCCAATGGACGCACTTATATTATCTCAACGTTCTTATCGTAAATCGTGACTGTACTCCTTGCGTCTTTGCTTGCTTCTAGTCAATATATGTTCCCTACAAACTGCTTTGCGCTCTCGAGTTCCTTGCGAGCGTTGCGATGCAGTGCAAGTCGAACATGAAATCATGTGACCCTCCGGCAAACACCGATGGCAACGTGCTGCCGTTATTTGCTCTGCACGCCTCTTTGCTTCGCCCTCCATCCAAATCGACTTTTGTGAACACGAATATACAAACTACAGCCAAGAGCATTCACTGTGAGTATACTTCATGTTGGCGGCAATCCACAGCTGAACTTGTTACGAGAACCAACGCGCGTCATCGAGACAATCGAACATCATGACTTCAGCGAAAGACCTCAAGATGATTGACCTGCACATCGCATCTCTTGTCGTTGAATCCTTGAAGAATCCCAAAAATGCTCCAGCCTGCATTCCCGTTCTTTCTGACGGCATGGCGTTCATCAAATCGGGCGATACTTGGGAAGGGCACCTTCGGTCGAAATTCAAAAACCTCCTAGACCTTGCGCTCAAGTTCATCAGTACGCCATTCACTGACGAACAGATCGACGAGATGGAAAAGAACCTGTGGGTATGCAAGTGCGACATGCGCGACTACGTCCCAAAGCGCTTCCACGAACAGCCTATGAGGCATCGTTCCGGCGTCGTCGACCACAGCTTCCCGCGCGTTACTATGAGCCTCGCGAGCGCAGTCTGTCAGGCTCTTGAGGACGTGACACCAGCCTCCCTCGACAAAGCCGGCGCTCGTGGCAAATGGCCGCCGTCGACGGCCTACCTCCTCCCCAACGGCCCGTTCAAGGTCATCGAGGCCTGCCTGCAGTGGCTCAAGTACACCGAGAAAACCTTCAAAACGCAGACATTTCCGATCGCCTTCCTCACGAACCTTATGAAGTTCTGCCCTTCGCTTCGTCGCCCAGTCGCTGAAAGCGCGGAGCTGCGCGTCTACCTCGCCAAGCGCTTTCACGACACGTTGATCTCGCTCGAGACCGGCTATAATCCTCCCCTCATGTTTCCTATCCCGATCCACAGCATGCGTCATCTGGGCCAGTTCTGCGACGCGGTCCGCGACGGATGTGAGGATTGGAATGACTGGCTCGCGCCGATCGCGCCGGAGCTGTACAAGGACATCGGCCGCTTCCTGCAGGTGCTTCCGCGCCTCGACATCGACGACGATGAGCGCGAGGATCATCTGCGCGTTTATGGAAACATCGAGCGCTCCGTCTGGGAGGCGCTTCCCGAGGCGACGCGCCCCCATCGCGACTGGCCCTCCCTCGACGACGCCCTCGCAGACCTCATGCGCCCGCACTGCCTGCTCTTCAAGAAGCTCGCGGACCTGCAGGAGCGCCGCGAATGCTTGAGCCCGATCTGCTTCCGGCCCGCGGAGTACCAACCCGCGGGGATGCGCGTCTGCGCATGCCGCGTCGCCGCGTACTGCTCGCGAAACTGCCAGCGCGAGCACTGGCGGTGGAAGAAGGCGCCGCACAAGGATACGTGCGCGGACATCAAGCAGGCGTATGAGGTCTTCAAGGAGGTGCCGAAGGAATTCCGGCATGGCCTGAGCGAAGATGGATACCAGATCTTCAGGAAGGGATTGGAAGGTGTTGGGTACACGGAGGAACAAGGCGGGGAGGTCTTCGTAGCGCTGGAGGAGTTGGAGCACGCTCGAGAGGCCTTACAGCAGAAGAAGTCCGTCGTCGTCCGACGCTGACCCATACGATATTCAAGTGAGTTTACTGCTTGTATCCAGGTCTTATCTAATCGCACGACAGGCTCATCTACTGTGTGATTTTCTTGTACTGATACGTGTTGATCGACGCATATGATCCAATCTACTCGTGGGCACGGGCTTCGTGCAAAGCACCAGGCGCACCCTCTCAGGTCTCTTGCTCTCCAAATGTCTACGTGCTACGAAGAGCCTCTATCGAAGTGTCTGGACACGCTCGTTAACCACATTGACTGGACCGATGAGAAGAAAGAACTCACTGGTATTCAGCGTTCCTTCAACTCTCGAGACCAGTACTCATCATCTGGATTGGCCGCCGCCGACATGAACTCGGTGATATCGACCCGTTCTTCCAGAACACGGAGGTGCTCGAGACGCGTGAAGGCCGCCAGCGCCTGGATCACCCGCATCTCCGCTACATCGTCCTCCAGCCACCCAATCAGCTTGAAAGAGCGCAGCGTATCGTGGTCGCAGTGATCATGCATGGTCTCGCAGAGCTCCTCTATCTCGCGCGCGGAGATGTAGTAGATGTGGCAGTCGAGGTACTCCATCTGCCGCGTAGGCACGGCGCGTAGGATCTGGACGATCAATCGGGGAGGCCCGTCCTTGATTTTGAGTCTACGCAGAGATGGGAAGCATCGCGCTGCGAGAGCCAAATTGTCCATGGTGGAGTATGTGAGAGAGATGTCGAGGTCTGTGAGGGATCGGAGGCGCGATATCTGAGCTAACACGTCCGCGCTCGCGGGGTGCGAGATGTTGATATGCAGAGACAGGTCCGCCAACCGCGAGTCAACGCTGAGCATGGCCTCTATTAGAAATTCATTATAGATACGATTCGCCTCGCCCAGATAACCACCGTCGATGTCCAGCGAGACCGGGTTATCACACGCAAGAATCATGGAGGGAAGACGTGGGACGAGGCGGTCGTATATATTCTCGATGCGGATCGCACGAAGCTGGGGCTGCGCGAAGAGGATGGCGAGGAAGTTGGGCCGCATCTTGTATTCTAGCCAGCAGTCAATGCCATGACCGTCGCAGCACGTGCACGATACGCTTAAGTTCCTAAGCAGAGCCAGGAAGCCTGCCGGAGGCGGGCACTCCAAGATGGCCAGATCGATGGACGCCCAGTCCTCGCGTTCGCAATCCGGGTGTACGCGAAGGGTACGCAGGTTCCTTAGTTTGCGCGAGATCGGATCCCAGTCCTCGAGTCGTATTTTGCGAGCGGATACCTAGCTCCCAGCGATGAGCGACATTGCGCAGATGAAAAATAGTAAACGGACGAACGATAACATCGAATGTAACCCAAAACTTGAAGCGGGTTTCCTGAGTTAAGGTCAATATATTCCTGGTTCTCAAGAAGAAGGTGCATGGCTCACGTATGTCCAAACATCTTTCGGCATCAGCTTGAGCAGAGGAGTAATGCTCGGCAGCTCTTCCCATAGGATTGGATCCGCGACATCCTGCCAGGAGCGGGAAACCAGGGCGAGATGGTACAAATCGGAGGATTGGAGGCTGCCATCAAGCGCAATCAATCTTTGGATGTCATAGACATCTAAAGCAGGGTGCATCTGAGCTGAGGAACTCGTAGCCCTCGAGCGAAAATGGTAGGAGGTGATGGCTACGTGCCATGCCGTGCTCCTTCGCGACCATGACCAAAAGGGGAATATTTCCCACGCGCTTCCTACCACCAAACATCATGTCGGGCAGCCAGAACTTGACGAACTCACATTCAGATACCGCGGGGGTCTCGTTGAGCTCGAGAAAGAAAATCAAGATATCCGCACACCCGCACAACCGCCTCCGCGGATACGGACTCCGCTTTGTGACCGCTTACTTTCGAAATCAAACCCCTTCGAGGTACTGAGCGGCTACTGGCAATCGATTTTTTCTGTGCATGCGTCTGGAGCGACTCCTTTTGCAAAGAACGCTGCCCGGATCCGCCTTTGCAAGCAACTTCCGACGTTCCGTCCCAGTCCTCAATGCGTATAAGAGGTGGCCATGCGGCAGCCTCGCTAACGACTCACCATGAAGCATTCGACGCAAACCGCAGAAGATGCAGTAATTGCAATGGCTGCGAAGTACAGCGAAGGACTCCGCGGATACATTGACTCGTCGACCTTGCCGAGATACGTCCCGCCGGCGATCCAAAGTCCGCTTGCCCTTCCCGTCGCCGTATTGCTCACAGGTTCGACCGGGAATCTCGGGACCTACCTCCTCCTCGAACTTTTGGGAGACCCTCGCGTGAACCGGGTATACACTCTGGACCGGGCTGGAAAGGCTGCAGTAATTGAGCGGCAACTGGCGTCCTTCGCGGATAAGGGACTTGATCCCATCATCCTCGCGTCCTCGAAGCTCGTCGTGCTGGAGGGCGACGCGTACGCGGAGAATTTGGGGCAGACTAAGGAGGTCTACGCTGATGTAAACTATACTTTGACATGGTGCAGACCTCTGCTGACACCCTTGGCAGTTACTCGACGAAGTCAGCGTCATCATCCACGCTGCTTGGCGCCTCAACTGGAATGCAGGCCTCGACGCGTTCGAACCTAATGTTCGTGCTACCCGCGCTCTCGTCGACTTCGCGCGGATGGCGAGGCACGCCGATGGCATCCGCTTCCTCTTCACCTCCTCAATCGGCTCTGCGCACTCCTGGGATGCTGCCGCGCGAGGACCGGTACCCGAAGAGCTGATCGAGGACCCTGCAGTATGCATCGGCGGCAACGGATACGGCCAGAGCAAGTATGTCGCTGAACGCGTGCTGGCGGCCAGTGGGATCACCTTCAGCTCGGTGCGCATCGGACAGGCGAGCGGCGGGATGCCGCGCGGCGCGTGGGCGACGTCGGCGTGGTTCCCGACCCTTGTGAAGCTGAGTCTGCACTTGGGCGCGCTGCCGAGCGATGAGCAGGTAAGGATGCTGTCCTGCGCGCAAGTCATGTTGGGCTGACGCTTCTGAAAGCCTGTAGCGTGGCTACCAATGGATGTCGTTGCGAAGATAACGGTCGACTTGGTGTTCAGCAAGATGCCTCTTCCTCCCTCGCTCGGCATCGCGCACCCGCGGCCGATCCCCTGGTCTCAAATGATCAACTATGTTCAGTTATCGCTAAAGAGAGTGACACACCGCAACCTGCGTATCATCTCTTTCCACGAGTGGATGATAAGGTTGGAGGCCGCGGCTCTTCAGTCCAGCGTGGACGCGCGAGATTCGGTGAGTCTTTGTTTGCAGTCGCGATACGTCCGACGTCTGACACATGTCATAGCGCGATACTAATTTGTTCTGGTTCTTTCGACAAGTGTGTACCGGGGAGGCGTTCTTGAGGCGCTTCGCAACGGCGAACGCGGAATCCCTCAGCGAGACGCTACGAAATACACGCACCCTCAAACAACGCGACGCAGACGCTTGGGTAGACTATTGGGCGCAGAGGGGCCTCTTCAAGGCAAAAAATAGTCGGACAAACCTCTGAATAGTCGTATGTAGTAGCTGTAGCCCATACAACAGCGGTAGACCGAGCATTCATGTTCGCTTCCACCGACCCACAGTGACAAACAACCGTGTGAATAGAACCGGCAACTCCCGTCAGGGGCATAATCGAATTCTGTGACATCTGCGAGGTTGTCTCTTGCCGTCACGACGCCGTGGTCGACTTATATCCCAGCCATGCACCCCGCCCTGAATATTGCCGAACTATGCTTTATGATAGCGCGAACAGATGTACTGCATCGGGCTGACCTTTACTGCCTCGCCCTTGTCTGCCGTCACTGGCGCGATGTAGCCGAAGCGATACTGTGGGAGGTCCTGCCAGATTTAGATCACCTTCTTATGCTTATGCCGCCGGATGTGTGGTCTACCGTATGCACACTTTTCCTCTAGTCTGGAATGAGCCACTAATTTCTATCTTAGACCCCTAAGCGGGACTGGCATACGCCACGAGCCCTCGTCAGTGAATCTCTTGCGAGCTTGTCATCAAACTCACGGGGCGCGTTCTCAGGTACCCAAACGCGATCTTTTACCAGGGGACTGGGCCCTCGTGCTTCCCAAATCGAAACTCGTCAGACGTCTCACAATCGCGTCCGCCTATACGCGCTCTGTCCAAGAGGCGATAGAGGCATGCCCACCTCCTCATGGGTTCCTGTCAAACCTGCGCGCTCTCCTGCTTGGCGAATCCTTCCCCTGCGGTGGTACACCCCTGGACTTGGGCTTTCTTAAATCTATCGCGCCTCTGCGCGCTATCACTCGCCTTAGCGTCAAAGACTCCGTGCTACTTGACATCAACATTCTGGCTGCGACAGAACTCTGTCAAAACCTCGATACAGTCACCGCCTTTCTCAGCCTCGGCTTCCGTAGGACACGCGAACTCGACGACATGGTCGTGAGCAGTCTGGAGACACTCGCCCCCCGGATCTCGTCACTCCACCTTCACTTCTTGCTCTCCTTCAAGAGCTTCGACGTGGACGATGCCTATCTATCTCGCATCTCAGTCCTGCCCTCCTTGGCGCGACTGAGTCTACACCATATGCGCAGCACGCTGCCCGAGCCCATCGCCTATCCGCCCACGAGCTTCGCGCATCTACGCGATCTTAGCACGAACGGGACTCCCGTGGCGACCCTTGTCGATATCATCCGCCTTGCTGGCGTTCGTCTCGAGCGCATATACTCGACTTTCAGAAGCCTCGACGTCGCCCAGCTGGAGTTACTCGTCAAAACTATACGCGATCGCTGCTCGCCGGAGGTCTCGCTTACGCTGTTCATCACTTCCGGACCTCTCGACGGCGACGATTATCTAGAGTACTTTCGACCCCTCGCGCATTTCGAGCATGTCGACGTCTTTCTTCGCGACACTTGGCATTGGCATATCACCAACGCCTTGCGCCTTTCTGGCGCTGAGAGCACTAGCTCCATCTGAGCGAAAGCACTATATCTGGTGAGACTTTCGTGCAATCTTCCGGGAAAGGCCTTCGCTCATACGCCACCCATGAAGATCCAGCTCTTGCTACAGTGTTGTAGGTGGGTCCGCATGGGAGAAGGAGGAGTATTGCGGCATCCGATGTCGGGAGATGCGACATACTTACAAGCGCTGAACCAGGTTTCTTTTGTCGAGCGATGCCTTCACGAGCGATCCTATACCTTCAGTACTTGCGCTCAGTCAGTCTCGCCAAGTGAACGCTGGATCTTGTGCGAAGCAGTCAACGTGTCCTGCTCGAAGGATGATGATAGCACTGAATATCCGATGCGCTTGAGAGGACTTCCAGAAATCCGATGTTGACCACGCAAATCGGGCGACGAGTTCCATCGGCAAGTGCCGGAGGGCTAATTCTGTTCGAAACAGGCTTATTTGCCACCATCCATCACCAGTTGCTCTCACCACCTGAAGTCATAACCCTCAGACCCATGAGCGTTGCTCTTTATATCCCAGAACTGTGCGATGCGATAGCCCGAGATGTCGCCCTCCGCCCTGCGGACTTATGCAGTCTGGCGCTGGTTTCGCGCCACTGGCGCGACGTCGCCGAAGCAGTTCTGTGGGAGGAGCTGCCGGATATCTTGTATCTCTTGTTACTCTTTCCGAGACCTGCGGGACGCGCGGTGAGCATCCTGCGTTGTTCGTTGGAATCGCCTGATCTCAGCCTCGTATAGGATCCGAAGCAGTGGACTCGAGCCAATTCCGTTAACGGCAAGGATCCGCGTCGATTCGTGAGCCCTAGACTGATACCTCTCACGCACCAAGACTAACCCTCCTCAGAAAATTAGTCGGGCGCTCAAGCCATCAGACTGGGATCCGCTCTTGCGCAAGTCTCTGCTTGTCAGGAAACTCACCGTGCTGGGATCAATACCGGGGAACACGCAAAAGAAGATCATTGAATGTCCTCCACCCAAAGTCTTCTTATCGAACATTTGGTCCCTATGTGTCTCTGCTCCCCCTGTAGGCGACACGATATATCTCAGGCGGAGATTCCTAGCTTCCATCGTTCCGCTGCGCAATCTGTCGTGCCTCCGCCTGGACTTGAGAGAGATGCACACCAACAACATCCCGCGCTTGCTCTCGTCCTGCCGGAGCCTTCAGGAACTCAACTTCGAGGCGAATACTCGCCATGTGCGCGTCGGCTTCACCGGGGATCTGATAGACGCCCTTCACGCCATCAGTCGTCGGCTCGCGGTACTCAGGCTATCCATCACCTTCAAGTTCCCCTGGTCCGAGGCAGGACATGATATCTTCCTCCAGCGCGTCTCGCGGTTCCCCAACCTGGTCTCCCTCGAGCTCAACTTCTTCGACAATCACCAGGACGATTTCATGTCGCCCATCGTGTACACCACGCCCGACTTCGCGTCGCTCGAGGAGCTCACGCTGCGCGGCGGCTACGCGCGAACCCTGCTGGACATCATCAGCTCGGCGAGCCGGCGCGCTATGAGACATATAGAAGTACGATTCTCCAGCCTGGACGGCGCGGAGATCGAGCCCATATGTCGCGCGCTGAACGCGCATTGCGTGCACGGCGCCCTGCGCCGGCTGTACCTGCATACATGGTCCAGCTCCGGTCAGACCGTGCTGCAGGCCTTCCGTCCGTTGGAAGTCTTCGACGCGCTGGAATTTCGCTATCTGGACTGGGTGTTCCCATCGTCGCGCAGCCTGATCGAGGCGATCGAGACGGAGCAGGCGGGTGAGGAACCGCATATCGAGCGGTGGCGCTAGTCCATGTACGCACGCCCCCATTGTATTAGATTTTGTTGATGCCGCGCTCGCAGATATTCCATATGATCTACTGGTGTCGGTCAGTGAAGATGTCTATGACAGTCGTCCCTACCCGTACAAGCCATCCATACGATTGAATATAGCCGCGCTGTGGCAGGTGTTGAGAGCAGAAGACTTCGAGGCCGTTCTCTTCTATGCGACGGAAGCTGCATGGTGGTCGAGGTCATTTTGACACGATAAAGACGTGGATCACACTCCCAGGTTCATCCCCGTCGCGCATGTCCGTGCGGACAAAGCAGGCCGTAGCGATGATGCCGAGCTCGTCGGCACTGCTCTCATACAGGCCACGTGGACGGAGAATACCGACTGGCTTGCCTCTTACCGTCATCTCGCTACAACGCGTATCTTTTCCGTCGCTTAACCTCTCAAGCTAGTCTCATGCATACTGCACTCTGCATCCCGGAACTATGCGCTCTCGTCGCCCGCGATAGCGCTCTGGGCAGCGCCGATCTTGCGCAGCTTGCCCTTGTTTCTCGTACTTGGCGCGAAGCCGCCGAGGAGGTTTTGTGGGAAGAACTCCCGGACATCTTGTGTCTGTTAAGACTACTTCCCGATGATCTATGGTATACTGTCAGTAGTTTTCGTGACTCCTCGCTTCCCATTGCTCACAATCAAGCGTAGGAGATAGATCAGTCGCAAGATGAAGTCTATCATAGCACGTACGAAGTGCGCGTATATGTCAATTGTATTTCTCGAACTCGGATGTATCTCACATACTGATCTGATTACAGAAATTCAGGCGCGAGATCAGACCATCGGACTGGACGTCCCTCCTGCAAAAATCAGGCTCGGTAAAGATCCTCACCGTGACACACTTTCTGCCTGTGGACGTCCAGCAGGCGATCATCGAATGCCCATTACCTCCAAATTTCCTACGTCGACTGAGCACGCTATGCCTGACAACGTCCACGGACGCCACCTTCCTTGGTGCCCTCGTCCCGCTAGGCGCCATCACAGCCGTACGCATAGCAAATCCGGGCACCTCCCTCTATTCGTCGACAATTTCTATTTTGCAAATATGCCCGAACGTCACAAATATGACGCTGACGCTGCGTCTCATAGGCGCCTCGAAACAGGCCAAGGCCGAGTCGTTGCTCAGAGCGGTGACCGAGACCAAGCAGATTCGTCGTCTCTCGCTGATCCTCACCATGGATTTCGCTTTGCCCTCGGACGGCTTCATGCATTTCATGTCGCAGCTTCCAGCGCTCGCAGACTTGGATATCCGGCTCAACCGCTGCGAGGGCGCCAGAGACTACCGTCCTATTCCCTACACATATCCCGGCTTTGCGAGCCTGCGATATCTCAAGCTGCACCGACTCAGCACCCAGATGCTGGTTGACATACTCCGTGCGTCTGCTCCGTGTCGTCTACAGTTTATCGACATCGTATACTTTGCGCTTGAAGACGCGGAGATCAAGCCCCTCATTGACGCGGTCTGCACGTATTGTGCGCGAAGCGCTCTGCGCCAGTTGTCTATTGCTGCTTCCAACTATTCCGGAGACCATGGATTACGACGCCTTGCGCCGCTAGGGACATTTGAGAAGCTCGAGGTGCGCTTCATGGACAAAGTCGTCCCGTATACCTACCTTACGACCACCGCGTGAGCCGCGTGTGAGATCGGCTGTTGTGTTACGAACATACAGACCACCCGCCAAGGAAAGGATGTCAGGTATCGAAAGTGCTACACGTCTACTTATCTTACAAAGAGTACATGGTACCCAACATTGCCCAGGCGAGGATAACATACGGAATAACAAAATCCAGATACTGTACAACGGGAGCCGACGATGACTCCAGTAATTTCGTTGTCTTTCAGGTCGATATCTCCTAGAAGTAACCTCGAGGCATGTAGTGGCGCTGAGAGGACACAATGCGGACAATATCATCTGTGCATCGTGGCCTTTCGATGGATCGCCAGCCCATTCGCCTTCTTGAACTCCCTCCCGCACGAGCACACGAGCGAGCGCACCGGCTTGGAAGGCACATCGCGAACGAGCTTGGAAGGCACGGCGCGAACCGGCTCCGACGGCACGTCGCTGTCCTCCTCCTCCTCCTCTTCCTCTTCCTCGTGAGCGGATCGCTGAGCGCGCGTACTTCCGTGCTTTTGATTCTGGTGCTTGTGCAGCGACCCGCTCTGCGTATACGCGCGCCCGCAGCCCGGATAGTCGCACCCAAACGGGCGGACCAGTCCATCGTCGTACACCGGGCCCGACTCGGCGTCCGACTCCCCGTCCTCGTTTTCGCGATGCCGACCAACTTTCGTCCAGCCGTGGCCTCTGCGGGCGGTCGCGCCGCCCCGGTGCGATGTGCCGCCTCCCCGCCGTGGCATCCCACTGCCCCGCTTCGCCGAGCCGCCCCTCCCTTTCTTCGTGGTCGAAATCTTGCCCCACGCCTCGTCGCGCAGGAGCGTCTCCTGCTCGTGCCGCGCCATGTGCTTCCAGAACGCGCCCGCGTACTTGTACGTGCGCCCGCAGCCGGCGACGTCGCACACGAACTCGTGCGCGGGGTCGCGAGCCGCGTCGTAGTCCGAGCCGTCGTCGGAGGGGGAGGGAGACGATACGGTGCGCCGGGGCGGCGGGCTGGGGGTACGGTCTTCGGCAGAGGAGGAGGGGGATGGGGATCGGCGCGCTGGGGACTTGACGATCAGGGTAACGCGCTGGCGCTTGGAGAGGGGGACTGGGGGATCTGTGAGCGGAGACGTGAGGGCGGATGGGATAGACCGCACCTAAGTTGGGGGCGCTGACCTCCGGGCTTCGGGGATGCGTCTTGAAAGCTGAGGATGATTGTGAGCAAGCGCAAGAACGCAAAGATCAGCACGCACCTTTCGTCGTCCTGTGCTGGCTGGACAGGGGCTCCTCCTCCGAGTCTGAGCCCGAGCGGGAGACGCGGCTGCCCGAGGCGCGAGACTCATCGTCGTCGACGGCCATTTCCATATCATTGATCGACGCGCTTCGCAGGGCTGGGTCTGCGTTCGCTTCCTTCTCCGCATTCTGCGGCCTGCGCAAGACGTAGATCAGCGTCGTGACTGCCTTTGTTCCGAGTCGCCACTCACGATCGGTGTGGGCCTTCCCCCGTATCCTGGGCGTGGGCTATCGTCTCCGGCACATCTGCCCTCGACAGCGTCTCCTCGTCCCACTTCCCGACCGCCACCCCGAGTCTGATTCTGCCTGCCAGAGAGCGCATCGACTTGGCCAGTTCAGCGAAGCGCGGGCGGGCCGCGAGTGCGTCTAGCGAAGCAGCGGCAGCGAGATCGATGGTGTCGCGATGCGTAAGGGGGCGTGTTGGCTCGGAAGTAGACGAAGGGAGTGTAGAGCCCGTAAGGGCGAGCGTCTGGCCGAACGCTGGCGCTGAGTTGGCGGTCGCCATGGTCGAAACGACAGACATGTCGCTGCGTTCGAAGTCGAGAGTTATGAAGGGTGTCTTTGTTGTTGAAGATGCTGGCTGTCGCGTGCATTCGACATGAAAGCTCAGGACAATGAGCGGAAGACAAAGAGCCGATGACGATCGCGGCGGCGTCGGCGTTGGGGACTAGGGCAATTTCGAATTTTGATGATAGGCCGCGAGTTCAATTCCTGCTGTGGTTAGGGCGAGTCCGAGGAAAGAAGGCAAGTTGGTCTCTTGCGCTAGAGGGTCACTTCGATGGAAAGGTGAGCGATCTTTCCGGCATGATGGAGGTTCAGAACAAAGCGCCAACACATTTGGATTGCTCCTAAGGAAGTAAGTATGATATGTGACTGTCACGCAGAATCTAGAAAGGCGACGTCGGGCCTGCTACGCATCATGCGAAATATGTCTATGTATACGATACAGCTCTGTCCATGAAGTGAACTTCTAGCTGCTCAAAAGACGCCAGCGGCGCCAGACATTGCGGATCGGCGCTTCCGAAGAAGTTCGAGGCAGCGATAGACAGCTTGCGCAGGGCGCTTCGCGCACAATACGTGCATATCGTGGCGATGAGGGGCTCGATGTCCGCGCCTTCGAGGGAAAAGTAGACGAGGTCGATTACGTGAAGACGGCATGGGGATGACGCACGCAGGATGTCAGCCAGCATTTGCGTACTATGTCGACTTAACTTGAGGGTCCGCAGGTGCACGAAGCTGTGGGAGGCGTAGGTAATAGGTCGATAATCTCTAGCCCCGTCGCATCGGTTGAGTCGTATATCAAGGGTCGTGAGCGCTGGAAGGCGCGATATGAAGTGCATGAAGCGCTCCGAGGGAAGAGCGAACTCCATGGTGAGGAGCAGCGAGAGACGACGAATCCGCTTGGTCTCAGTGACCGCCTTGAATAATTCTTCGGCCTTGGCCTGCTTTGAGGCGCCAACGAGATGCAGCCTCAGCGTCAGGTTTTCAATGTTCGCGCATAATTGCAGAAGAGGAATTTTTGACAAATAGGTAGAGGCGCCAGAATGTGTGATGCGCAGAGCCGTGATGGCATCCAGCGGGACGAAGGCGCCAAGGAAAATTGGGTTCGCCGACTTGGCCAAACATAGCGTTTCTAGTCGAGGTAAGACCTTCAGAGGTGACGGGCATTCGATGATGGCCTGCTGGACCTCTGCTGACACAGTGGACGCCACGGTGAGAATCTTCACCAAGCCCGATTTACGCAGGAGGGACGTCCAATCCGCCGGTCTAAGCTTGCGTCTCAGTTTCTGCCGTTAGAGATTCGATAAGCAAGACACGATGTAACCAGCCGAACTGTCACTGACGAAGACGCGCCGCTCGTCCGCGCTACGGTATAAATCATCTGTAGACGGCTCTGTCTCCTACGCCTAGTCGTGAGGAATCAGATGCTAGAGGCGCACATGCATTGCTCACGATGTAATATAAGTCCTCGGGAAGTAATCTTAGCAGACACAAGATGTCCGAAAGGTCTTCCCACAAAACCTCCTCGGCAGCTGCCCGCCATGTACGAGAAACAAGGGCAAGCCGCGCGAGATCAGCGCTGCTTAAAACGCTATCGCGGGCAACGAGAGCACAGAGTTCCGGGATGCAGAGTGCAATGTGCATGAGTCTAGATTGAGAAGTTGAGCGACGGGCAAAATGCGCGTTGCAGCGGGATGACGGTAAGAGGCAAGCCAGTCGGTATTCTCCGTCCACGTGGCTGGTAGAGATTGGCAGAGCTGTGCCGACGAGTTCGGCATTATCGCTACGCCCTGCTATGTCGACCGATGTTACCTGTCCCTGCTCAGTAGCCCTCTGTCTAGGGCATGATTGGAGCACAAAAAGGATATCGAGCGCCAGCTACATGTCACAAAGATCAAAATCATCCGCATGTTCAACCACGCACCGGCGACTCGGAGCCCGTTATCGTGAGCGTCATGCGTTTCCCAGAAGGAGAAGTTTGTGCTATTTCGTTGATTGGATATGTCAATGGCATTATGAAACCCCTGGCGCTAGCCCCATGCTCCAGTATCACTTCCCTCCACTATTTTTGCCTGACCCTGCTCGGATACGCTGTTCAGGACTTTTTGAGAGATCGAAAATTTCGCTTTCGAGCGCCCTTACACACCTTCTAAGCCCATATATGTTGTTGAAATGAGCGTGCCTCGGTGGAGGTTACGCACAGGCGACCGTCTCTGACCGCATAATTCGAGTTCATAAAGCGCAATCGCAGTCTTTTGAATTGTGCGAGCGGGACGAGATGTTGGAGAGGGTCGTCCTCGGCGTAATCCTTCGGAATGATAAGCAGATCCCGTAGAGTGCTCGCGGAACAGCGCTCGCATACGGCACGGACGAGCAAGTCCAGTTCTGCGGCGGTCACAGCGCCGCCATGATTGAAGTCGATATACTCCAGGCGCGTCGCCGCCAAGCGGATTATATCAGCCACCATGATGACGGGGCAGCCAATGGTGCGCAGTGTGCGCAGGAAGCCGAACGCAGACGCGTCATATGATATCGGCTGACGAAAGGACGCAGTGCTCGAAGAATAAGTGGCTATGCGTAGGCTGCTGAGAGAGGGAGTTTTGGAGATTTGCTGGAGGTATGGGATGTCGACGTCTGACTGACGATCCAAGGTGATGACGAGACGCAAGGAGGATATCCGCGAGCCAATGGCGTGAAGTGAGTCGACAAAGGAGATACGAGGGTCATCGTCGAGCTCGAGACTGGCGTGGTCGTCACAATAGACTTCATGGAGCTTTGTACATGATTCTATAAGGGGGAGTATATGATTGAATCCCACGCTGGTCGGACACAGTGTGAGATGAGTCAGAGCTTCCAGGGGCACGACCGAAGAAAGGAAGCGACAGTCGAGCGAGACCCTATCCAGAATAATACAGTGGTCATTCAGGCGGACTGAGCGCAATCGACAGAGAAATCCAAGGGGCGGGGGGCATGTCAAGATTGCTCGCTGTACGCAAAGCATATAAACGCAGTTGATAGTCAACCGCCTGACAAGTGCCGACTTTCGAAGGGCGGGTGTCCAGTCAGATGGGATGGGAGCGCGCATCAAGCGCTACAGAATATGACCTTAGCGAAGGGTTCCCTGGTACCGATAATGACTTACTAGATAACGTGGCTCGGCTGAACACCATGTCCGCTGCTTTGGCGCCTATCCAGATGTCAAGGTTTAGTGCTTCATTCAGGTTGTCAGCGCAGGAGTAAACCTCACATATGACCACAAATTTCTTGGCATGAGCTTCAGGAGGTATGTTAGGTCAGGAAGATCTGCCCATAAAGCAGCCTCGGCGACGTCCTGCCAGTCGTGAGAGACACGTGCAAGGTGGGCAAGGTCGCAAGGGCGAAGAGTAGCGTCCCATGCAATCAGGTAGCGTATATCAGCTGTAGACAGAGCGGTTTGCATCGTTGTCCCTCGGGGAGACGTGAAGAGCGAGCTGCGCTGACGATGACAATGGGAGTAAAAAATTGAGCGTGGCGCGACTCAGCTCAAAATCGGGCGATGCCGAGCACATTCCCACCCCTTTCAAGATGAACCCGATACGGCCATAGTCCGGCGCACAAAACCAGTTGCGGACGAGTATAATCCGTGGCGCAGCCTTATAGTAGTACAATATACGTCGTGACGGAATTTTCTATGATACAAATAATGATAAAGGGCATCGTGAGCTTGTATGTGTGATATATAAGCTGGTGTATACTGGTGCGTGCAAAATGAGAACGGTTTGGAAAAGGAAATCGTATGGAAGGTGTCCAAGGAGCAGAATAACGAAGATCATCGAAGCCAATCATAGCGGAAAATTCCCACCCATATTCTGCACGACATCAGTAGTTGCCCGCATGCAGAGGGTCGGTACGCACCAAGGGCGAGCTGCTCGAGATCTGGACAATATGTGAGCGAAGCGGGCCTCTAGAGTGGATATCGAGACTTACCTGCAGCGTCTGCCGCTGCAACTCGCTGGGATGGCGAAACCGGCCGAAGAACGAGATGCCGGGCTTCTCGACTTTGGGGGACCACGCCTGTTGGTCCCATCGCTTCGTTTGATGACGGAACGCAGCGTGAATAGAACCGTCGCTGCTAGCGCGGTGCTCCATATAGCGCTCCACGCGCTGTTGCTCTGCCTCTCGATTGAGCCTCTTGCGCTCCTTGTCGATGACCGACCTGGGAATGTTGTGAGCGACAGGAGAAGGTGTATATGGTATGTCCTCACTGGGCTTTAGAGCCGAGCTTCCGGAAGGATACTTTGGAATTCTCATCTGCAGGGTGCTTAGGACGAGGCGTCGCGATTGTCACGAAAGCACTGACCGAGCACAGAGATGATGGCCTTCGGGCTCATTGAGCGAAGCGATTTCGGCTAGCATTCAAGGAACGCACCGTGGTAAACGACATTCCGGCTGCCTCGAAGGTGCTCTCAGCATCTTGGCATGCGCTGATGCAGATCTGAAAGCATTTGAACCTTCACTCAGCACAAGAACACGACAGAATGACATACCGCCGTGGACCCCGACATACGCGAGCGCATGCATAAGCCACTGCAAGGTTTAGGCTCGCCGAGGATGGAGTTTTTAAGTGCGGCAGTGACGACTTTGTACTCCATCACCGGGCTACCCTTCTCCACTATGATCTCAGGGGACACCATGGCGGCAAGCTCTTCGCGACCTATGGAGGACAAGTTGGAACCTAGTACGTGTGCAGTCGCCGGTAGTCATACCTCGTCGTAGGACCCGTCGAATGCACGCTGCCACGCCGTGGAAGCAGTTGCATTTATCATGAAAGAGATCTTCCATGAAGTACGTTATAGTTGGGTCGCCGTGATGCAGTCCAGCGGAACTCACCTAGGGACGTGCCTGAATGGCAACAGTCCATTATCGCCTGGCGAACTCGAGCATGAGCGCGAGAAGTGCGAATGTCGGGACACTCACGATGAGTTTACACCGCGCAGGTAAGGAATCGGGAAGGAGACGGTAAAGAACCTGGATGAAGAGACGAGGACGCTCAGCCAAGGAGGTGTGGGCGGAGATATGGGACGTACGTCGTCCCTAATGATTTTGTCCTTATCCTCGGGATGAAGGGCATCACAGGGAACGATGTCTAACGAGGTCTCATTTAGCACCGCCGAGAGCGATCGGGCTCGATCGAAACGCACATTGGTCGTGTCCTCCGCGCTCGTTTCCGTCCTCAAAGCGCCGCGGGAGCTGCGAGCCATGTCCTGCGTCTGCACAGCTATCAGTCGAAGCTGTTGAAGCGACGACAGCGGCTCACAGTGCAGGAAGAGAGTGTCGCCTGCCCACCAGTCAGCTTCGTTGGGACATGTAGAGAGCCTCCAACACGCACCAGGCTGAGCCCTTCCCGCCAGACGCCGAATCTCCCGCAGCTGTGCACCGTGAGTGTGACTTGCCTGCCATGATGAGCGCAAAAGACAAACAATGTTAGCCCGGGTAGGTTCGCCGTGCGGATCGGCGTTCTTGCCGTCGAGCATGACGATCACGTTCTCATCCTCGAAGCCGAACTTGTCTAATCGTATATCAGCCAGAGTTCAATGTCGCGTGAGGTCGCTGCTAGCGGCGCACCGATCAGAAGCTGCCGCATCCTCCTTACGTCCGCCTGAGTGTTCCGCAATCTTGCTGGCTTGTCCCAGCCCTGGTACTTGATGCCGATGAGCAGCGCGAGCTTGGCTCCCTGCTGCTTCTTACGCAACTCGAGGAGAAGCTTGAAGAGTCGCACGGTCTTGAGCTCCACCACCACCTTCCGGACTACCCGCGCGAAGGTGGTTGCTGCATGGCGTCCAGCGCCCTGACTCGCGCGCGGGATGTCCTTGAGGGTGGTGGGTGTGGGCATAGGTGGATAATGAAGGTAGGATAAGTGAGAGAGAGACGGTCAGGCCGTGCCGAGCTTTTCAATGACGGCGCGATTCCGGCGTGGGCGAAGGACCGACGGGCCGAGTGACGTCTTCTATCACGCACGGGGAGCCTGCGACCTGGACCCACAACTTCGAAGGTCAGCTCTCGCGAGGAGGGACGGCGAGGACAGCACGTACAAGCAAGACTTGGAAGCAACGTCGCATGAGAGGTGCTGATAAGCCACCGACGACATGAACAATGTCGGGTTACATGACTGGAATCGCGCGGTGACGTGGGTATTCTGCAAGCCATTGCAAAGTTCGTCAATAAGGGCTGGAATATCCTGTAAAGGGAAAGAATGAAGCGCGGCAGAAACGACGAGGACATTCACCAAAGGATATGTACGTCTGCCCTTGAGCCACCCTTGACGACTCCTCTGTTTGAGAGGGGACGATGCGGAGGGCGCAAGACGAAGCCATATTATGGGGTCGCCTGAATGCCTGTAGGGGATCAAGGTAACGTGAGGACACAAGAGCCTGAGCGCGAGCACTTCGATCGAACATGGCTTGAACGACCGAAAGAGCTCGTGTCGGCGACTGAGAGGATACGCCACTACATAGAGTAGCCTTGGGGCGACAAGGAATTGAGAGTATCGGCCTTGTCGAAAAGCCTCAAACACGCATCTCTTGAGTTCCCGAGGATGCACAGCCGTACTACCATGCAGCGCTAGCGCAACAAACCGCTCGCTTATGCATCGTAGGCTGCCAGAGGATCGCGGGGAGAACTTAGACGAGAAGCTAGTATAGATATGCGCTCTCCGAAAGGCAGCGATGAGAGGACGACTAGCAGAGACTTGTTGACATGAAGGGGTAAGCGTGGAAGCCCAAGACAAAGGCAGTTAGCCGAGCACGACCACCTTCCCACGGTCACGCATACACGTTGACTTGCATGTTGAACTTCGCCGACATTGAGTTCAGACGATGAACTGCCTGAAAATAGAGGTATACATCAACGGCCAGTGGTATACAATCTGCTATCCTCAAGATAGCGGCATATAAATACATTCGCCCCCCAATAAATATTTTGCACCAATCCTATCCTTCCCTAGCCACACTTTTCATCGCTCAGAACGACCCGCGACGACGCCTATGCGCGCGCTTCGCCGGAGCGCTAACGCTTGCGCTAGCAGAGGCAGACACGGTCGCCGTCGCAGTAGCGCTGCCAGAGGCGGAGGTCGCGCTTGTGCCCCCGCTCGCTGCGCCGCAGTCGCCCGCGGGCGCGCCGATGGCGGCGTCCCCGTCCGCGCGCTCGACCTGCTCGCCCGGGTTCGGGTAGTCGACGTCGGTGCCCTCGGGGACGGTGCAGTCGTTGACGCCGCTGAGCTGCGCGACAAAGACGTCCGGGTACGCGCTGAGGCCCGCGCCGCCGTTCTCGATGGTGATGATGGCGCTGAGGGGTACGGTTAGCGTGAGCGAGGAAGAGGCGGAGAGGGATGGTGATGGCAGGGGGTAAGGCAGAAGAGAAGTATGCGGCCACTCACCAGTTCATGTACATCTCGCGGTTGCCGACGCGGTTGTTCCACGTCCATGCGAAGACGTTCTCGCCGTCCTTCGCGTCGGCGGGGACGTCGACGGTCATGTTGAGCGGGCCCGTGCTCGCGGGGCAGTTGCCGATGAAGGACTTGATGACCTTGAAGGTCTCCCCGCCGTCCTCAGACAACGAGAACTGGCAGGAGCCGCCCTCGTGGATCGCGCTGCCTTCGAGTCTGTATGTCGATCAGCTGAGCTGTTCCTGATGCGCAAAAAAGAGGTAGGGACTCACGTCACACTCTGCGTGGACCCCGCGGCCCAGGTCGCCACGCTCTCCTTGCCCTCGGTGTCCGCGAGGTAACCCTTGCACGGGTAGTTCGAGCCGTCCGAGATGAGCGGGCTCGTCATCGAGTAGTCGATGAGGTTCTCCGGCGTGTTCGGGTTGCTCTTCGAGCGCAGTGGCGGCGGGTTGGTCACTTCCATGTGCGCGGCGGCGGAGGCAACGAAAGCAGCGAGGAATGCGATGGAGGCCTTCATATTGGATGACGTATCTCAAAGAGGGAGCGGAAAAAAGAGTGGCTGAAGGCGGGAAGGGATGTGGGCGGGAGGTCGCCGAAGGTGAAGAGGCGGAAGGTGCGTCTGAGAAGTCCCTGCGACCGCGAAGGGATTTATACTGCAGTCTCTGACCTGCGGATTAACGTCAGACCTGCGATTGGACAGAGACGGGTGGGGGTCCCGAGTGGTATCACCTGCAAGCACCTCGCAACGGAACATGCTGCACTCACCGAAACGCCCCCACTCTCACATAGAGCGCGACTGCGCGCCACGGCGGCGCTGCATGAGCCGCTGAACGCAGGGTGCGGTCGCACTGGCGCCGCAGAGAATCGAGCATGTCGACATATGCAAGACAAGCTGCGTTCCGAATTAAGAGGCGTCGGCCGATTCATGATGCGGCACTTCTGCGGCGGGTGGGTCGGCTGGGCGAGGATGAGAGCCTGGTGATAGCCAAGATAGAAGGGGACAGAAGCGCAAAGCGCTTGTCCACGCGCGAGGGTATTGAGGGAACAATGCGGCCGCACGTCACAGAGTATCAAGAGGCAGCATTCGTCCCGCATCGATATCTGCGCCGCTTTGAGAAAAAGCTTATGTTGACCGTGATCCAGATATCCCTCACCTCAGCTTCGTCGCTTCAGTTGAGAAAGCCATTGGGCTGGGAGCGGAGTGAAGAGTCAGCAAGGAGGAAGCGTCCTCTCACTAATCGCATGTTAAAATTCCTCCGGTACTGAAGGGCTCATCGGCAGCACAGACAGGGAGAACAGAGGCTCGGCAGTGAGAAAAGAGGTATGGAGCGATCTACTGTGCGTGTTTGTGCCAGTGTGCGAGTAATTCAACCGGGTGTATCTGGATTTTGGCAAGAACGACAAGGAGACCCGGAGAGATACGAGACAGCACGACGATTACCAGAATCGTCTGTTCAGTCCAGTACTTGGAGCCGCTACGTCGACAATCCTGAGCCGTCAGCGGCATCGTGCGCCGTACAGGATGAACCTTGGAAGTTCAAGCCAAACGCGTGGGTATATCTTCGGTCTTTCCCGGTTCGCGCCCATCACCGTCACTCTCCCACGCCACGCTTGACCTCCTTCTCTCATCTCTTGAACCACCATACCTGCCCCATGAGGGATTGCATATTATGCTAGACTGCATATAGGCCCATATCGAACTCCGATGAATCGGAATACTCTCTGGGTAGCGGCCCATGAGTTCTGTCTCATGCTTGATCATCTCGCCGCGGTCGGGTCGGCACTTTACTCAGACAGGCCTTCAACTCATGCCAGGCCAGACTGTAGGCTTTCCTATCGAGTATAAAGACTGTCGTCGAAGGTCAGTCGCCTTCATTTCCCCTTAGCGCTGAACATGCCTCCAGAAATCAAGTCCATCGCCGTCGCTGGCGCTCAAGGCAGCGTCGGGAAGCCCACAATCCTCGCCCTCGCTTCAGTTCCCCGCGTCTCTGTCCTGGCGCTGACACGCAAGACGGCCTCGCGTTCGGACTGGCTCCCCCAAGGCGTTGCTCACGCAGGCATCGACTTCGACGACGTCGACGGCACGGCGGATGTGCTGCGAGAGCACAAGGTCGAGGTCCTGATTAGCGCCGTCTCTCATGGAGCCGTCCTGGCTCAAATTCCTCTCGCGGACGCCGCGAAGGCGGCAGGTGTAGGGCTGTTTGTGCCGAGCGAGTTCGGTACGATCACGATGGGTTGGCGCGAAGAGGATACTATACCCTCCTTTCTGGCACCGAAGATCAAGGTCGCAGGTCAGTCCATTCCTGATTTCCTTGTGCATAACCGACTCATGTGTGCGGCAGACCATCTCGATTCCATAGGGCTACCCTCCCTGCGCATCTTCGTGAGCGTCGTGTGATGGCCCATGTAATCTGCATAGACTAATAATTGCAGGTCGGCATGTTCATCGAAGCCATCACCACGCTCGTCGGCTACGACGTCAACAAAAAGGTCAACATCTTCAAGCCTCTTCAGGGAGACACCCCCTTCTCGGCGACATCTGCGCCTGACATCGGTGGTGAGCTTTGAATCCTATCGTCCTGAAGGCGCGCGTCGGCTGATATTCCGAAGGCTTCATCGCGCACGTCGTCACGCATTACCCCCTCTCCGAACTCGCCAACAAGGCGCTTCGCATCGAGGGGGAGCGACTGACTCTCAACGGCCTCGGCGCTATCCTAAAGGCACCCGTAGAGAAAGTGGAGGAGGTGCCGTCGCTTCCAGGAGGACCGCCTCCGTTCATCATGTCAGGACTGCAGACTAGCATCGAGAAGGGGCTCATGAATCAGGATACCAAGGTTGGAGAGAATGACGGGGCTGGCGGCGCTGATCACATGTGGCCGGGCCATCGGTGGACAACGATGAAGGAGTACTTGCAATGTAACATGTAGGATATTGCTCGGGTAGAGTGAAAGATGAACATCGTGAATATTTCGGCTACGGCGGCCCATAACCTACAGCGCCCGACTCATTCCTTCAACGGTGACATTCCACCCTTGCTCCGGAAATCCCGGCGCCGTTCCCTGACTTCCATCCCACCCTGCGGCCATCATCGCGACCGCGTACAACAGCCCACCTGAACCGGGGAAATACGGCGTCGGCACGCGTACCCCACCTACAGGCATTCCAACGTCGTCGAACTCGAAGAGCGGATGCAATAGCCAGTCGACCGCCTTGTCCGCGTCACCGAGTCGCGCGGCGGACATAGCGAGCATGGGGAAATCCCATCTCGAATCATGTGAGTCCCAGTCTTCGTCGAGCGTATCTGATGGGTGCACTCACCCCCAGCAATTCGAGATGTTCCAGCTTGACCAGACGCTTTCGGCGGTCGTCTTCGCTATGCCGAGGTCGAGTCCAGAGGTCTCGGGCAGCCAGCCGTATAGACCAGTGAGCGCGGGATGATCGTTCGTGTACTCCTCTCGCGTCCAAAAGTCGTCCTCGATATCTTCGTAAACCTTGTACTTCCCGTCGTGCACCGGAAGCGAAGCCAGATTCTCGCGGACCTCGGTCCACGACGCGGGCACCTCCTCCCCAAGCTCCTCCATCCAGCGCTCCGCTATCCCAAGCCCCAGGCGCCAGTACGCGAGTTCAAACGCCGGGTTCCTCGTCGCGTTCGGGTGCGTATCCTCGGAGACGACGTACATCGGCGGCCCGAGGTCGTAGACGCCCGCGCTCGCGTTCCACCACGCGTAGCTCGCCATCCAGTCGGCGGTCGCGCGCACGACGGGTGCCCACTTCTCTAGCGTCTCGCTAGTCGGAAAGGCGCGGCGCTCGTACTCGGCGAAGACAAGCGGGTGCGGCTGCTGCCAGATGAGGAGGTTGTTGATCTCACCGGGCGAGGAGCGACCCGATGGGTCGGTCATCTTCGGCCAGCGCGCGCCCGCGGCGTAGCCTTGCTGGACTTGCGCGCGGTGGATGCTGGAGGGCAAGAAATTCGAGTATACGGATGTCGAGCGGTTGAGGAGATCCCAATTTCCCCAAAGCGCCCAGTGTTGGAGGTGCCAGAAGATCATTTCCATATGAAATTTCCTGCAGGAAAGTCAGTGAGAAGGGAGATTTTTTAGCATCGCTTCACGCACCCGTACTAAGCAGAGGCATGTAATCAGATGCTCAGTGAGAGCAATGCGTACAACGAGGAGCACTCACCCAGCCATTGTTGACCAGTCCGGACTACATATAGTAAGTCGTGGATCCTTCAAGCTCACTCGGTGAAAGGGACATACCTCTTGAGGTCCGCTGGCGTCGGGCGCCTCATTAACACGCACGAGGTATCGGGATAATATTATCCTGCGTTGAAGCTCGTCGGCGTGCTCGTCTGACGATCCGCTGATGACATCGACGAATCCACTTTGAGTCCAGTAGTCTTCCCAAGCCATTGCCGACGCATTGTGCGAGAAGTCGACCTCGGGAGCAAGCGAGCGTTCGATGTCACGAGAGAAAGTCACCACCAGGACCAAGTTTTCCGTCCCGTCCTGAGAGGTCAGGGTGTAGCGATGAGCATTCGGGGAGTCCCTGGTGATGGTGATGTTCTCCTGACTTTCAATAGATGTGAGAAAGGTGCTGGAGCCCAGCTCGTGAGTGAGGTCGCTCCTGTGGTCGTCCACCGTGCGCAGCGTTGTCGTATGCTTGTCCGTCGCATTGTACACGCCCACGAAAGGCGCACTGAACTTGTTCGTTCCGTCTGTCCACGGGAAGTCGAAGAAGACTCCCAACCGGCCCGCCGCGAGCAGGGGCGAAGACACCGTGATCACCACCGCATCCGCGCGGTCCGCGCAGGATGTGGTCACGCGCACCTCTGCACCGGCCCACTCGTACTCGCTCTGCGCGATGCCCGTCCACAGGTTGAGCTCCTGGCGGAGGGAAGTCAAGTCGGCCTCGCTGACGTTTGTCAAGAGGGCCCCTGCGTCGTCGAAGAATGCCAGCCCGATACGTCCAAGGTTGACGCGGTTGGGGTTCGCAATGAGCCATTGCTCAATGGCGGTGGGCTCGCCGCCGAAGTCGTACTCGACGGGGCGGCCGTGGTCGAGCCAGCTAGCACCATGGTAGCGTTCGACGTCAGCTTCGGTGGTTCCTAACTCGGGAGTTCAGTGACTATTCGACTCAACAGAGCATCGAAAGAACGCACCATCGGGAAGCGAGTCGTTCTTCCACCCCCAGGATGAAAGAATGGCAAATGGCTGGAAGGTCTGCAGCCCGGTGACGTCCATCCCAAAAGCGAAGTTCCCGTTTCCGACTTGAACTGGTGTGGATGTACTGGACACGTTGCGAACTGGATTGTATCGCGAGACAATGGAGCGGCGGTCGATGGGGGCATAACAGACGGTCGCGGTGAGTAGACAGATTGCGAACAAGAGAAGCATCCGCGCGCAGGCCTGCATGGTGGTTCCAAAAGACGTCAGTTAGGCGCTTAAGGTACTACACCTTCCTATTTCTCCGTGACCATGCTGCCAGTATGGAAGGTAGAGGTCACGCGCTATGTCAGGCAAGATGAGCGAGATTGTACACTCTTACTTGCAAGGACCACTGTCAGTAGACAATGTAAGAAGGATGAGAGCGTACCGCATCATGATTCAGTGAGTTGCGATGATCTGGGCATAAGCCGAAGAAAAGACACGAACTCGGAAAACCCTTCCCGAGTATAGCTTCTGTCAGTGTGCTATCCCGCCAACTGAGGACAAACCAGGGCATTTCAGACAGTATCTTTGCCTTGAAGAGGATAGAGCCCCAGTATCCAGAAGTTCTTGTGTGCTGAGCGTATCGTGCATAAAGGAAATGACAAAAAGGCAGAAAGCAGCATCGTGGGAAAACGCGTCATCCGGCAAAGGCCGGTGGCGCTTTTCTGTGCAATGGCGCCTTCAAGCTTGTCCCAATAATTTCTTGTTTGTCGCACTTGAGTCGTACGTACTTGAGGAATCAACTCTGAAAGAGCTACTATATGCCGACTGCCACAGTAGCAGGAATCAAGCGATCCAATGACCCTCGCGGGCATTCAGCCAACCTCCTGATATGCACGCAAACCGCTGGCCCTACCTTGAACACCGTGACGAATGGAGAAGTGCTACATGCGCATTCACAATCTCAGCGTGTAGGCAGTAACAAACTACAGGTCAGTATATACGTCGTCACCCCCGAGCAACGATCCTGCGCGACAGATGCGCGAAGGGACTACCACTCTCCTGCTTGGCGCCTAGTCGACCATGCTGCTGCACCAAGAGTGAATCAACTTCACGCCAGCACACCTCTCTCACGTCTCGCGTGTGCTGTCGTAAGACCGTCGATGACTTGACCACGACGGCCTGCAGCGCCGGGAATATCCCTGCGAGGTATCTCGCTACCACGCCCGCGTCCGCAATGGGCGACATGCGCGGGCAGATGAAGAGCTCCAGGCAAGTCGCACGGGACCCAGCCGATGCGTCGACAGCGTGCGAAACAGACGACGCGTCGATGGCGTGCGAGACAGACGACGCATCGACAGCGCCCGGGACCACGGTAGCGTCGACGGGCATCTCTAGGTGCACCAGGCGCGGGCAGCCGCGCGCGAGGTGGCCGAGCGCGGCGAGCGGGCACGCGCCCGCGGGATCGGCCGCGCGGTCCATCTCGATACGCAGGTGCTCCAGCTCCGGCCACCAGCCCGCGGCCTCGCGCCAGTCTGCGTCCGCGAGCGCGAGCGCGGAGATCCTGCCGAGCGCGAGGACGGTCAGCGCGCGGAAACCAGCGAGCGCGCGGAGGGCGTCCGGACTTAGGGGGGTCGGTACGTGCTCGAAATCCCAGCGCGCGTTCGCGACCTCGATCTGCGTGAGCGCGCCGCGGTCGACGTGCGCGCTGATCGTGCTGAGGAGCGCGTGAAGGTCGGCGGGGGCGCGCATGCGGACGTCGGCGTCGAGCGTGCTGAGCGGGAGGGCGGGTCGGGAGGAGAGGACAGAGTAGAGGAAGGGGAGCGACGTCCCGATGCAAGAAAGATGCTTGAGCGCGCTGAAGCCCTGGCATGGAACAACAGCACGCCGATCGTCATCGTTCGTGTCCATCGCGTAGATACGCAGATCGTGCAGCGCGGGACATGTCGCGAGGCTCGGAAGAAGGCCCGCGCTGCTGTTTGCAGAATCGAACGTTAGAGAAACGCGCTGCAGCGTGGGACGGGCATCCAGCGCCTTCACGAGCGCACTACAGAATTCCGCGCTCGCATCTTCTGTGCGCAGTCTGAAGTGAGTGAGACTAGGCAGGGAGGCAACGATGTATGACCAGGAGGTCGCGGGGAGGAAGTTCTGATGCTGGCAGACCTCCGTGATCGTAGGCGCGAGCAAAAGCCGGAGAAATGCAGAGTCGATTGGGGTAAATTGCCGCGAGCGCAGCTCTATCGCCCGCAGCCTTGGCAGAAGGAACGCGCCAGGCGGACACCGCAAAATCCGCTGCTGGTCCTCGAGATAAATCGCAAAGTCGATGTGAATGAAGCGAACGAGTCTCGCGAGCCTCCTCCAGACCGACCAGTCCTCGGGCACTAGTTCCCGCCTTCGCTCGCGCAGGACCCCCTCTTCATCCTGATAGACCTCGAGTGGAGGAGTATAACGGTAAGCATGACGCTGCGGTTCAGTTAGCCTGGCCCCCTGCACACAGCCAAGATCAACAGCACACCGATGGTATCGCGTCATCGGGGAGGAGGTTGAGCAGCGGACGCAGACTGTCAAGAGTTTCCCATAGCACGGGTTCGGCCGCGTCCTTCCAGGCCCGAGAAACGAGACAAAGGCGTCGGAGGTCACTTTTAGGGAGATCTCCTGCTCTAAAGATGGCGTCCAGGAGCTCCGGAAGGTAGAACATAGCATGCGCAATGCTGGGAGCAGCATGCGCGGTTCTGTCCGCAGGTGTTTCTGTGTTCATTGTGCGCGAGATCATGGGAGGAAGCGAGTTGAAAGGCGCGCGTCCGGCCCGACGTTGCTCGGGCGATGCCGATGCCGCGTGGAGCAAACTCTTCCCACGGATTGTTCGTCCTCACTTCCATGGCGGAATTACTCGCCCGCTAGCACTTGGCACTGCGTAAGTTCAGAAGCCCTGAACTGCACCAAAAAATACAACCTCAGGCGCTCTTGTCAGCTGATAAGTATCCTGGGCCAGATACAGGAATATTCTAATGAGAAACCCGGTTTCTGCGTTTTGCCTTCCTTATAAGGCAATTCTGTAGAAACCCGCTCAACTTCTTTACACGAGGCTGGGTTTCTACCGGCATCTCTCCGGCCGTACTCCCGGGAGACGGTGATGCGCCATCAATCCCGCCTCTCGTTGCCGAAGCCGTCGAGCTTGCGGCACCTCCTCCGTTCGCCACAGTACAGCCTGTTTCCAGCTCAGTAGCCCGGTGTAGGGTGTAAGATACCAGGCTACTGACTCCAATACGACTCAGTCAGCCCTCTTAGCTAGCAGGACCGTCACTGACCCATAGGACATTGTGTCCACTGGTAGACACAATGGTCATGTGACTACAATGGGAAGACGACCATTTACCCTCGGAAAGCACCCTCCAGAGGGTCCTAAGGTATATTCTGTGTCAAGATAAGACTATTTACACTCATGTATGCATCCTTGCCTCAGATATAAGGGGGATATCCTACTAAAAGTACTCAGCGGTGGCCGGCGCTGTCGAGCTAGTTGGCCGATAGCCTCGTGCAGTGATGCCGAGCGCGGCATCAAAGACCTCGCCGGCGCGTCGCCGGGATGCTCGCCGACAGAAACCGGGTTTCTAGATAAGGTTTCTACAGTTGGGTTTCTCATTAGAATATTCCCCAGATACAGTAAGCAGCGTAGATGCAGAAGGACGGCAAGCACTGCGAAAGACGACGAGTACCCGCAAGGAAACGGACTCGAACTCGCGCACTCAACAATGTGTGGTCATGTCCGCCGGCTCCCGGTCTATCAGATGGCTTGCTGGTGTACCCGCAAATCGAAAAGTCGAGCGCGGCAGCGAATAAGGCTCAATCGAGGTGGTGAGTTAGCTTCGGTCCTCAATCGACAGCGATGTCCCATCCAATGACTTAGATTTCGAACGCAGGTTACACGTGCCGACTATATCTTGCTCACAAGGGTACCTGCACCGGGATGGACGCTCGCAATGCTTGGCCGCTCATCAGACGTCTCTCATGATCTCCCACATGGCGTCTCCGCCTCCCTCAACGACAGACGCGATCATCGCCATGTCCACTGAGCATGGAAAAGGGCTTCCAGGATATGTCTACGCAACCACCCTTCCTCGCTATATCGCTCCCACCACCTCCGACCCACAGTTCGATACACTGGTCACCGCAATCCCGCAGTCACCGCTCTATCCCTCGGTCACCGTTCTTCCACTGGATCGACCGGTTATCTAGGCTCCGACATCCTCGAGCTACTTCTCAAGGACGGGCGCGTTAAGCACATCTACACCTTGGGCCGCGAGGGGAAGGGTGCTGCGCCCTGGGAGCGAGAACGCGCACTGTGGGCGAAAAGGGGCTTGGCGAGCAGCCACTGGGATCACCGAAGCTTGCCATCCTTGGCGGAGACTTTGCCTCCCCGCAGTCCGGGCTGGACAGAGAGATGTACATCGAGGTATGATCTTCTCCGTTTGGTTATGGCCGTTTCTCTGATATCCCGCTCCTATGCGCGCAGATTCTCGCCAAGGTCTCAATCGTCATCCACGCCGCCTGGAGCGTCAATCTCACCAAAAGGCTTGTCGTAACCAAGCCCAATCTACAAGGTCTACGTGCGCTCGTCGACTCCATCAAATGATATTCCTATGCTCTTCACCTTAATGTTCTACTCTGCACGCTCCTAGAAAGGAAGCACCCTTGCGACTCCCTATGATGGCACGCCACCACGAAAGTCCCTCCTTATCCTCGCCAGTCCCCCCTACAATCGCTCCAGTAGCGCCTAGTCTGACCCGCTGAGCCCAGCTACAGCGACGGCGACGCTGCAACTGCATCCGAGATTTAACTTGGCGCGGCGACGGCGGCGCTTCTATGTGACCACCCGTCTTTCCTTCGCCGCGCGAGCCCGTATTCCCTTCGCCGCTCGAGTCCGCCCCTCTTTCCCCCTTCGCCACCCCGAGCACCCGAGCACCGCCGCTCGACTCATGGTCGTCGCGTCCCGCTGTCTACTTCGTCGTCCAGTCGCGCTGTCGACCTCGTCGTCGCGTCGTACGCTGTTGACGTCGAGGTCCAGTCAGGCGCTGTCGACTGCGTCGTCCAGGAGCGCTGTCGACTTCGTCGTTGCGTCGCGCTGTCGACCACGTCGTCGTCGCGTCGCGATATCGGTCTCGAGTCGAGTCGCGCAGTGTCAGACGAGGGAGAAGGAGAGTCGTGCGCAGTGCCAGACGGGGGAGAAGGAGAGTTCCGCTGTCGTCGTCGCGTCCAGTCCCGCTGTCGACTTTCGTCGTCGGGTCGCTAGCTGTCGACTTCGTCATCGATTCGCTCGATGTCGACTTCGTCGGCCAGTCGCGCAGTGCCAGACGGGGGAGAAGGAGAGTCCCGCGCTGTCGACGTCGTCGTCCAGTGGCGTCGCGCTGTCGACTTCGTCGTCGTGTCGTACGCTGTCGACTCCGTCGTCCAGTCCAGTCACGCTGTCGACTTCGTCGTCGAGTCGGTGCCAAACGAGGGAGGAGGAGAGTCGCGCTGTCGACTTCGTCGGCGAGTCGCACACAGTGTCAGACGGGGGAGGAGGAGGGTCGCGCAGTGTAAGACGAGGAGAAGGAGAGTCCGGCTGTCGACCACGCCATTAAGTCCCGCTGTAGACCCCGCCGTCGAGTCCCGCGCTGTCGACTTCGTCGTCCAGTCGCGTCGCGCTGTAGACCCCGCCGTCCAGTCGCGCTGTCGACGTCGTCGTCCGCGGCTCGCGCAGTGCCAGACGAGGGAGGAGGAGAGTCCCGCGCTGTCGACTTCGTCGACGGCCAGGCGCGCTGTCGACTTCGTCGGCGAGTCGCTAGCTGTCGACTTCGTCGTCGAGTCGCGCGCTGTCGATCTCGTCGTCAAGTCGCGCGCAGTGCCAGACGAGGAGGAGGAGAGTCGCGCTGTCGACCCTCGTCGTCCAATCGCGCTGTCGACTTCGTCGTCCAGTCCCGCGCTGTCGACTTCGTCGTCCAGGAGCGCGCTGTCGAATTCGAGTCGAGTCGCGTCCCGCTATCGACTTCGAGTCCAGTCCCGCTGTCGACTTCGTCGTCCAGTCGCGCTGTCGACTTCGTCGTTGAGTCGCGCTGTCGACTCCGCCGGATCCAGCCGACTTACTTGGTGCAGGGCGTCTTGGGGAAGCAAACTCAAGAGGGGGCTAAGGCTGCTCAGATCTTTCCACAATTCAGGTTCCGCTGCGGATCTCCAGCTACGAGATGCGAGGCAGAGGTTTCGAAGATCGGTCTTATGGAGGATGCCTGTGCCGCAGATGGCGCCCCGGAGCTCGGGAATAGCGAGCGCAGCATGGGCCTTCGTATGTGTATGCAAGTCAACGTCCATTCTGGTCTCTTGAGTAGGAACGCAGCTGCAGGACGAAGGGAGACGGTGACCTAAGCGCCTAGTGAGCGCCGCCGGGCTTTGCCGAGGTGGACTTCTCAATCCAGGTCAGGGGTGGCCTTCGCACGATTATCTTACCCTCGACCTTCATCACTCCCCCATATTGCTGCTCGTATCTTCTACACGGCCGTGCTTAACCTTCTTGCTCGTCCACCTCTGTCTGCCTGCTGGCATGCAACTTGCTCTCAAGGTCTCTGGACTGAGCATCGTCGTACCCGGGCCGAACATTGTCAGACCCTAGCCGCACATCTTGAACTCGTCAATGGGTTCCTTCTGTCTTGCATGATGTACCCATGGCTGAACGGCTGAATGCACCAACGACTGGATGCACTCAAGAGAAGGTAACTGGATGTAGCAAGCGCAGAGGAAGCCCTTTGAGCGCGAAGGAAGCCCTCTGTGCTGAGTTGACGTCAACTCTGCCCATCATGCGCGAGGCGTCCGCGTCTCCTTCGCCAGCCCGTATTTCCTTTGCTGCTCGCGTCCGTCTTTCCTTCGCCGCGCGTGTCCGTATTTCCTTTGCCGCGCGAGTCCGTGGTCCCTTTGCTGCTCGAGTCCGTGGTCCCTTTGCTGCTCGAGCCCGTATACTTTCCGTCGCGCGAGTCCGTCTTCTTTCTCCCTTCGCCGCCCGAGCACCCGAGCACCGCCCCCGACTCATGGTCGTCGGCCTGCGCCCCCGACTCGTGGATCGTAGGCCTGCGCCCTCGACTCATGGTCGTCGGCCCGCGCCGCTCGACTTCGTCGGGTCGTACGGTGTCGACCCCGCCGTCGCGCTGCCGACTTCATCGTCGAGTCGCGTCCTGCGCTGTTGACCTCGTCCTCGAGTCCCGCGCAGTGCCAGACGAGGGAGAAGGAGAGTCGCGCTGTCGACTTCGAATCGCAGTGTCAGACGGGGGAGAAGGAGCGCTGTCGACTTCGTCGTCGAGTCGCGTTGTCAACTTCGTCATCTGGTCGCGCTGTCGACTTCGTCGTCGGCGAGTCGCGCTGTATGTAGACTGCGTCATCGCGTCGCGCGCTGTCGACTTCGTCGAGTCATGCTGTCGACTTCGTCGTCCAGTCCCGCTGTTGACTTCGTCGTCGAGCCACGCTGTGGACTTCGAGTCGAGTCGCGTGTAGTGTTAGACGAGGGAGAAGGAGAGTCGCGCTGTCAACTTCGTCGTCCGGTCGCGCGCAGTTCCAGACGAGGAGGGGGAGAGTCGCGTCGCTAGCTGTCGATTTTGTCGTCCAGTCCAGTCGCTAGCTGTCGACTTCGTCGTCGAGTCGCGCTGTATGTAGACTTCGTCGTCCAGTCGCGCCGCGCTGTCAACTTCGTCGTCGCGTCGCGTCACGCTGTCGACTTCGTCGTCCAGTCGATCCGCGCAGTGTCAGACGAGGGTGGAGGAGAGCCGCGCTGTCGACTTCGTCGTCGAGTCCCGCGCAGTGCCAGACGAGGAGAGGGAGTGCAGTGCCAGACGAGGAGGAGGAGAGTCGCGCTGTCGACTTCGTCATCCAGTCGCTAGCTGTCGACTTCGTCGTCCAGTCGCGCTGTCGACTTCGTCGTCGAGTCGCGCTGTCGACTTCGTCGTCCAGTCCCGCTGTAAACTTCGTCGTCCAGTGGCGTCGCGATGTCGACTTCGTCATCGAGTCCCGCTGTCGACTTCGTCCTTGTCGAGTCTTACGCTGTCGACTTCGTCGTCGAGCCGTACGCTGTCGACTTCGTCGTCCAGTCTGGTTGCGCTGCCGACTTCGTCGTCCAGTCGCGCTGTCGACCTCCGTCGTCGAGTCGCGCTGTCGACTTCGTCGTCCAGGCCCGCTGTCGACTTCGACGTCCAGGCCCGCTGTCGACCTCGTCGTCGGGTCGTATGCTGTCGACGTCGTCGTCGTCGCGTTGCTCGCTGTCGACTTCGACGTCGGGTCGCCGGCTGCCGACTTCGTCGTCGAGTCGCTAGCTGTCGACTTCGTCGTCCCGTCCCGCCGTCGACTGCGTCGTCGAGGTCCGCGCAGTGTCAGACGAGGGAGAAGTGGAGTCGCGCTGTCGACTTCATTGTCGAGTCGCTAGCTGTCGACTTCGTCGTCCAGGAGCGCTGTCGACTTCGTCGGCGAGTCCCGCTGTAGACTGCGTCGTCCAGTCCCGCTGTCGACGTCGTCGTCCAGCCGCGCTGCCGACCTCGTCGTCCAGGCCCGCGCGCTGTCGACTTCGTCGTCCAGTCGCTCGATGCCGACGTCGTCGTCCAATCGCGCTGTCGACTCCGTCGTCGCGTCCTGCGCAGTGCCCGACGAGGGAGAAGGAGAGTTCCGCTGCCGACTTCGAGTCGCGCTCGCGCTGTCGACCTCGAGTCGAGTCGCGCGCAGTAGACTTCGACTTCGAGTCGTGCTGTCGACTTCGCCGTCCAGGAGCGTCCCGCTGTCGACTTCGTCGTCGAATCGCGCTGTCGACTTCGTCGTCGGGTCGCGCTGTCGACTTCGTTGTCACGTCGAGTCGCGCGGTCGACTTCGCCGTCCAGTCCAGGAGCGCTGTCGACTTCGTCTTCGAGTCCCGCTGTCGACTTCGTCGGCGAGTCCCGCGCAGTGTCAGACGAGGGTGGAGGAGAGTCGCGCACAGTGTCAGACGAGGGTGAAGGGGAGTCGTGCGCGGCGTCAGACGGGGGAGAAGGAGAGTCGCGCTGTATGTAGACTTCGTTGTCCAGTCTCGCTGTCGACCTCCTCGAGTCGAGTCGCGCGCTGTGGACTTCGAGGTCCAGTCGCTAGCTGTCGACCTCGAGTCGTGCGCAGTGTCAGACCGGGGGAGGAGAGTCCCGCTGTCGACCTCGTCGTCGAGTCGCTAGCTGTCGACTTCGTCGTCCAGTCGCGTCACGCTGTCGACTTCGTCGTCGAGTCGCTAGCTGTCGACTTCGTCGTCCAGTCCCGCTGTCGACTTCGTCGTTCGGTCGCTCAATGTCGACTGCGGCGTCCAGGAGCGCTGTCGACTTCGTCGGCGAGTCTTGCCGTCGACTTCGTCGTCCAGTCGCGCGCGCTGTCGACTTCGTCGTCCGGTCCAGTCGCGCTGTCGACTTCGTCGTCCAGTCCCGCTCGATGTCGACGTCGTCGGCGAGTCCCGCGCAGTGCCCAACGAGGGAGAAGGAGAGCCGCGCAGTGTCAGACGAGGGATGAGGAGAGTCGCTGGCTGTCGACTTCGTCGTCCAGGCGCGCTGTGGACTTCGCCGTCGAGTCGCGCTGTCGACTTCGAGTCGAGGCGCGCTGTCGACTTCGTCGTCCAGTCGCGCTGTAGACTTCGTCGTCCAGTCGCGCCACCGACTTCGTCGTCGAGTCGCGTGCAGTGTCAGACGAGGAGAAGGAGAGTCCCGCTGTCGACTTCGTCGTCGAGTCGCGCTGTAGACTTCGTCGTCGAGTCGCGCTGTACTAGACGAGGGAGAAGGAGATTCGCACGGTAGACTCCGTCGTCCAGTGGCGTCCCGCTGTCGACTCCGTCGTCGAGTCGCTCGATGCCGACCACGTTGAGTCGAGTCGCTCGATGCCGACTTCGTCGTCCAGTCGCGCTACCGATCTCGAGTCGAGTCCCGCGCAGTGTCAGACCGGGGGAGGAGAGTCGCGCTGTCGACTTCGTCGTCCAGTCGCGCCGTTGACTTCGTCGTCGAGTCGCGCTGTCGACGTCGTCGTCCAGGAGCGCGCAGTGTAGACTTCGTCGAAGCGAGTCGCTAGCTGTCGACTTCGAGGTCCAGTGGCGTCGCGCTGTCGACTTCGAGTCGCGTCCAGTTGCGCGCAGTGTCAGATGACTTCGTCGTCGAAGTGCAGCTGTCGACTTCGACGTCGAGTCCCGCTCGATGTGGACTTCGTCGTAGAGTCGCGCTATAGACTGCGTCGTCCAGGAGCGCTGTCGACTTCGTCGTCCGCGGGTCGCGCGCTGTCGACTTCGTCGTCGAGTCCCGCTGTCGACTTCGTTCGTCGCGTCGCGCTGTGGACTTCGAGTCGAGTCCCGCTGTATGTCGACTTCGAGTCGAGTCCCGCTGTGTCAGGTGAGGAGAAGGAGAGTCGCGCTGTCGACTTCGTCGTCGAGTCCCGCGCAGTGCCCAACGAGGGAGGAGGAGAGTCGTGCTGTCGACTTCGAGGTCCAGTCCCGCTGTCGACTTCGTCTTCGAGTCCCGCTGCCGACTTTGTCGTCCAGCCGCGCTGTCGACCTCGTCGTCGGGTCGCGTTGCGCTGCCGACTTCGAGTCCAGGCGCGCTGTAGACTTCGTCATCGAGTCCTGTGCGCTGTCGACTGCGGCGTCGAGTCGCTAGCTTTAGGCTTCGAGGTCGTGCGCTGGCTGTCGACTTCGTCGTCCAGTCCCGCTGTCGACGTCGTCGTCCAGGGGCGTCGCGCTGTAGACTTCGTCGTCCAGTCGCGCTGCCGACTTCGAGTCGAGTCCAGTTGCGCTGTTGACCTCGTCGGCGAGTCGCGCTGTCGACTTCTTCATCCAGGAGCGCTGTCGACCTCGACTTCGTCGTCGAGTCCCGCGCATTGTCAGACCGGGGGAGGAGAGTCGCGCTGTCGACTTCGAGTCGAGTCACGCTGTAGACTTCGTCGTCGTCCAGTCGCGTATCAGACGGCGGAGGAGGAGAGTCGTACGCTGTCGACTTCACCGTCCAGTCGCGCGCAGCTTCAGACGGGGGAGGAGAGTCGCGCTGTAGACTTCGTCGTCCAGTCGCGTCCCGCTGCCGACTTCGTCGTCCAGACGCGCTGTCGACGTCGTCCAGTCGCGTCGCGCTGTAGCCTTCGTCGGCGAGTCGCGCTGTCGACTTCGTCGTCCAGTCGTGCGCTGTCGACCCGAGTCGAGTCGAAATCCCTCTTGACCTCGCTGCCGACTTCGTCGTCCAGTCCCGTCGCGCTGTCGACTTCGAGTCGCGTCCCGCTGTCGACTTCGTCGTCGCGTCGCGCTGTCGACTTCGAGTCGAGTCCCGCTGTCGACTTCGAGGTCGAGTCCCGCCGCTGTCGACTTCGAGTCCAGGAGCGCTGTCGACTCCGTCGGCGAGTCGCGCGCTGTGGACTTCGTCGTCTAGTTCAGTCACGCTGTCGACTTCGAGTCCAGTCGCGCGCCATGTCGACTTCGTCGGCGAGTCCCGCTGTCGACTTCGTCGTCGTCCAATCGCGCAGTCGACTTCGTCGTCGCGTCGCGCCGTCGACGTCGTCATCGAGTCGCGCTGTCGACCTCGAGTCGAGTCCCGCTGTCGACGTCGTCGTCGAGTCGCGCTGTCGACTTCGTCGTCGCGTCGCGCGCTGTCGACGTCGTCGTCGAGTCGCGCTGTCGACCTCGTCGTCGCGTCCCGCTGTCGACTTCGTCGTCGCGTCCTGTGCTGTCGACTTCGTCTAGTCCCGCTGTCGACTTCGTCGTCAAGTCGCGCTGTCGACTTCGTCGTCCCGTCATGCTGTCGACTTCGAGTCGAGTCGCGTGCAGCGCCAGACGAGGAGAAGGAGAGTCGCGCTGTCGACTTCGTCGTCCAGTCCCGCTGTCGACTTCGTCGTCCAGTCCAGTCGCGCTGTCGACTTCGTCGTCGGCGAGTCAGGTGCTGTCGACCTCGAGGTCCAGTCGCGCTGTCGACTTCGTCGTCGAGTCCCGCTGTCGACTTCGTCGAGCCGTCTAGTCCCGCTGTCGACTTCGTCGTCGAGTCCCGCTGTCGACTTCGTCGTCCAGTGGCGTCGCGCTGTCGACTTCGTCGTCCAGTGGTGCTGCCGACTTCGTCGTCCGCGGGTCCCGCTGTGGACTTCGTCGTCCAGTCGTACGCTGCCGACTTCGTCGTCGAGTCCTGCGCTGTCGACTTCGTTGTCGAGTCCAGTCGCGCTGTCGACTTCGTCGTCGGGTCGCTAGCTGTCGACTTCGTCGTCCAGGAGCGCTGTCGACTTCGTCGTCCAGTCCAGTCGCGCGCTGTCGACTTCGCTGTCGACTTCGCTGTCGAGTCCAGTCACGCTGTCGACTTCGTCGTCCAGTCCCGCGCTGTCGACGTCGTCGAGTCGATCCCGCTGTCGACTTCGTCTAGGCCCGCTGTATGTAGACTTCGTCGTCACGTCGAGTCCCGCTGTCGACTTCGTCGTCGAGTCCCGCCGGTGACCTCGAGTCGAGTCCTGCGCAGTGCCAGAGGAGGGAGAAGGAGAGTCGCGCGCAGTGCCAGACGAGGAGAAGGAGAGTCCCGCGCAGTGTCAGACGGGGGAGGAGGAGAGTCGCGCGCAGCGCCAGATGAGGGAGAAGGAGAGTCGCGCAGTGTCAGACGGGGAAGAAGGAGAGCGCAGTGCCAGACAAAGGAGGAGGAGAGTCGCTCGATGCCGACTTCGTCGTCGAGTCGCGTCGCGCTGTCGACTGCGTCGTCGAGTCGCGCTGTCGACTTCGTCGTCCAGTCGCTCGATATCGACTCCGTCGTCCAGTCCCGCTGTCGACTTCGTCGTCGAGTCGCTCGATGCCGACTTCGTCGTCGGGTCCCGCTGTCGACCTCCTCGTCCAGGCCCGCTGTCGACTTCGTCGTATCGAGTCGCGTGCGGTGCCAGACGGGGAGAAGGAGGGTGCAGTGTCAGTGCCAGACGAGGAGAAGGAGAGGCGCGCTGTACACTTCGTCGTTCAGTCGCGCAGTATGGGCGGTATACTGTAAAAAAACCTCGAACGCGAATTAGCGACGCAAGTTTGCAACTCCGAAGCAAAACGACGCACCGACTTGGCGAGCTCAATGGATCGGCACATGTGATCGAGGCTGACGCTATCTGAGCCCATTGTACTCGACTTGTTCTTGCGCTGAGGTTGCGAATGGCGTCAGCTCGTGGACGTCGAGCGGCAAGGGCCGCGCGCGGCCACGTGACATGTTCAACTTCCGGTCGTGCTGGACTACCTTCGAGCAGAGGCCCGTCGCATCTCGGTATAGCCAGGAGCCACCTCGTCAGAATAGCCAACCGTATGGATATCTTGGGGGTAGGTCAATAAGGGTACGTGCTTAGGACGACACTGGACGAGGATGCAAGGCTTGGAGACGGAGCCGAGGGCGCCACCGTGACTAGCCCGTAACTAGCTCGTAACAGGCTCAGTCTTCCGACTTTTCCATCACTGCCTGACCATAGCACCTTTAGGTAATCTCATCTTGGTAGATGATCGGTGAGCAAGGGGTAGTCCCTCACCTTGGATGGCAAGCCGCGCCTCGCGGAGGGCCAGATGCTTGAGGCGCATAGCATAGAGCCCACCGCCTCCGATCTTCGCGGACAGCAATTTCCCGCGCCCGTCGACCATCAGGCCCAACTTCTCCCCTGGGAGAGCTTGAGCACGACACCCGACTGGGGGAGCGGAATCGATCAGATGCACCGATTGAGCGAACTCAACACTACGGTGCGTCGTTTTGCATCGAATTGTCAGGATTGTGTCGCTAATTCGCGTTCGAGGTTTCTTTACAGTATACCGCCCATAGCGCAGTACCAGGCGAGGAGAAGGAGAGTCGAGACGAGGGAGAAGGAGAGGGAGAAGGAGAGTCACGCGTTGCTGCTCGAGTCAATCCGGGCGTTGCTGATCGAGTCGATCCGGGCGTTGCTGAGCGAGTCGATCCAGGCGGCGAGGCAAGCGCGCTCGCCGCACCCACCTCCCTCCCACCTCGCCGCACCCACGTCCCCCTTCGCCGCGCCCACTTCCCTCCCACCGCTCGCACTCACTTCCCTCCCACCCCCACGCACCCACCTCCCTCCCACGCCTACGCACCCCCTTCCTCTCAATCCATCCACCCTACATCCCCTCCTATCCCTCCGTCCCCTCTCCATCCTCCTCGCTTCCTCCATCCATCCTCCCCCTCCACAACCGGCCTATCTCCACGCCATGACCGGCCCAGCTCCAGACATAGGAAGAGAAGGAGGGGGAGAGGGGAGAGGGAGAGGGGCGATGGGCGATGGTGTGAGGGAAGGGGCGAGGAGATGGAGAGGGAGAGGGGTGATGGGCGAGGGTGGGGAAGAAGGGAGGAGGTAGAGGGGAGGGAAGGAGTGGGGAGGGGGGAGGTAGAGGGGAGGGAAGGAGTGGGGAGGGGGAGGGGAAGGGGGAGAAGGGGGAGGAGGGGCGAGGAAGAGGGGGTGAGGAGTGGGGAAAAGGGGTGTGGAGAAGGAGGGGGCGAGGGGATGGAGTAGTGGGAAGGGTGAGGAGGGGGTGAGGGGAAGGGAAGGAGGCGCGAGGGAAGGGGAGAGGGGGGGAGGAAGGGGTGAAGGAAGAGGGGAAGGGAAGGAGGCGCGAGGGAAGGGGAGAGGGGGGGAGGAAGGGGTGAAGGAAGAGGGGAAGGGAAGGAGGCGCGAGGGAAGGGGAGAGGGGGGGAGGAAGGGGTGAAGGAAGAGGGGAAGGGAAGGAGGCGCGAGGGAAGGGGAGAGGGGTGATGGGCGAGTAGGGGAGGAGGGTTCAGAGCGAAAGGGGAGACAGAGCGTGCTATATGCGGAAAGGGGGCTCACGCAAGATATGTGGACATGCAAGATACGCGGAAATGCAAGCTGAACCCGGAGCTCGTCATGGGATGCGAAGGGGTGCGCTTGACGTCCGGAGGGGTGCGCTCGACGTCAGACGAGATGCGCTTGTTGTCAGATGGGGTGTGGTCGACGTCCGATGGGATGCGCTTGACGTCCGACAGGTTGGCGTCAAAGACGACGAGCGGGGGTTGGGTGCGGTCAGCGAGGAATGCAGGTGATCCCACGCGGGTGCATGGGGTCCAGCGCGGATGCAGGGGCTCCAGCGCGGGTACATGCGTCCGCGCGAAGGCATGTTTGCGTCTGCATGGAGACACATCTGCGTTCGCGCGAAGACATTTTCGCGTCCGCGACTTGGTAAGTATCCCACCTCTTGTCCTTCCTTCCAACCAGGTCAGCACGCGACGATACTCAGCCAAGCGAGTCAGAATACGTAGGAAGGCGAGTCATCGTACGCACCCGACTGACTGGTGAGGAGAGCGCGCCCGGTCGGCTAACCCTTGCGTGAGGTAGGCAACGTTGGGGCGGCTGGCGGGCAAGGCTGGGGCGCGTCGGCGAGGTTAGGGTGCGACGCGAGGGTGGAATTCGACCCCGTCATCCTCGAGCTGTTCACGCGCGCCTGTCACGTTCACGTTTTGTCGCGTCGCCGAGGGTCGGGATTCGCCGGACGACGCGGTCACGGGCTCGCCGCATGACCTCGCACGAACGCACCGGATGACGTGGGCGGTGACGCGCGCTCTGCCTGATCTGCTTCTCCCCACTCACTGCCCGTCAGGGGCGTAACTTACGACGGACGGCCTCGCTGCATGCGACGGATGTCCTTCAGCTACATGCGTTCGCTCAGCTTGCTGCGAACCCCCGCTCGCGGGAGCGCGGAAGGTGAGATATTCGCATAGGTTCGCGAGTGTGCATATACCTTGCAATATCTATGTATTCGCGCTCTATCCGGCCGCGCTCGCCGACTGCGGGCTGCCGCGTGCTCGTCGGTGCCTTCGGTAACGTCGCTGAACGTGTGTTGCCGGTCGCTGCATGCTGCCGAACGCCGGTCCCTGTCCCTCGCTGAACACCATCCCTCTCTGGACGCAGGATGTCACTGAATCACCCAATATCTTTGTGCAGCCTCGCCCTCCCCATCCTCCTCCCCCCTCGCCCTTTCTCATCCTCCCTCCCTTCTCTCCTATCCTCCTCCTTCGCGCTTCTGCATCCCGCCCTCCTTAGGCCTCACGCCCCCTTTCTCTCGCGGTGGCGTACGTTCTCCTTCGCCCTCTCTCCCCTTTTCCTTCGCGGTGGCGTACGTTCCCCTTCGCCCTCTTTCCGCCCTTTCCTTCGGCACGACGTACGTCCTCCTTCGCCCTCTCGCCCCCCTTTCCTTCACGACGAAGTACGCCCTTCTTCGCGGTGGAACCCACGCGCCGAGCGATCCTCCATGCGCCGACCGGTCCTCCCTGCGCCGACCGGTTCTCCTCCTCCCTCGACTCGTCCATCAGCCCTCGCCTGGGACGCCTCGGCCTCCTTCGCGGTGGCGTACGCCCTGCTTCGCGACGACGAAGGACGCCCTCCTTCACGAAAACGTACACCCTCCTTCGCAGTGGCGTACGTCCTCCTTCGCGGTGGAGTATGCCCTCCTTTACGAATGGAGTACGCCCTTTCCTTCGCAGTGGTGACGTCCTCCTCCTCCTTCGCGATATCTGCGGGGCTGTCCTCTCTTTGCTCTCTTGATCAGCCCTCCCTTTGCTCTCTTGACCACCCCTCCCTTTGCTCCCTTGTTCAGCACTCCCTTTGCTCTCTTGACCAGCCCTCCCTTTGCTCCCTTGTTCAGCACTCCCTTTTGCTCTCTTGACCAGCCCTCCCTTTGCTCCCTTGATCAGCCCTCCATTCGCGATGTCTACACGGGCATCCGTGAGTGCGTACTCGGGGGCCGTTCAAGAGGGCGTACTCGGGGGCGGTCCCCTTCCCTCTCCCTTCCTCCTCCTTCGACTCTTCCCTCCCGCCTTCTCGCCCCCCTGCTCGTTCTCTCCATCCTCCGTCGCTGCTCACCCTCTCTGTCCGCCTTCTCGGCACCCCCACCTTCTCTCACCCCGGCCCGGCTCGCCCTCCTCCTCCGCTGCTCGCTCTCTTCATTTGCCTTCCTCCACCTCCACTTCTCCTCAGTTCGCCCCCACTTCTCGGCTCGCGCTCTCAACTCGCCCTCGCTCGCCCTCTCCATTTGTCATATTGCACCCTCTCTATTCGCCATACTTCGCGTTCTCAATCCGCCCTGCCCGCTCGATGAATTCGATAGAGTTCTTGATGAAGTCGATAGCGTTCTCGATGAAGTCGATAGCGCTCCCGCCCTCCGTCGCACCGAAGTACTTAGATGGCGCACCTTCGGGACGACGTACGCCCTCCTTCGCAGCGACGTACGCCTTCGCGACGACGTGCGCCCTCCTTCGCGATGGCGTACGCCCTCCTTCGCGATGGCGTACGCCCTCCTTCGCGATGGCGTACGCCCTCCTTCGCGATGGCGTCCGCCCTCCTTCACGGTGAAGTACGCCCCCCATTCCTTTACGGCGAAGGGCGCCCTCCTTTCTCCTTTGCCCTCCCCCGCGCCGGCTCGGCCTCCTCCCCGTCTCTCTTGCCCCCCCCCCTCTTCCCCTCATCACGCCCTCTTTCCCCTCCCTTCTCCTTCGCGCCCTCTTTTCCCTCATCTCGCCCTCACTCCCCCCTTTCCTTCGCGATGGCGTACGCCCTCCTTCACGACGAAGGACGCCCTCCTCCTTCATGACGAAGTACGCCCTTACCTTCACGGCGAAGGGCGCCCTCCTTCCCCTCCTTCGCCCTTTCTTCCTCGCATCTCGCTCTCCCTCCTCCGCTCTCTCGCCCCTTTTTCCTTCACGACGAAGGACGCCCTCCTCTTTCGAGACGAAGTACGTCCTCCTTCGCGGTGGCGTACGCCCCCTTTCCTTCGCGATGGCGTACGCACTCCTTCACGGTGACCTACGTCCTCCTCCTCCCTTGACTCGTCCATCAGCCCTCGTCTCGCCCTCCTTTCCTTCGTGACGACGTTCACCTCCTCCTTCGCGACGACGTACGCCCTCCCTTCTCCTTCGCCCTCCCCCGGGCCGGCTCGGCCTCCTCCCCGTCTCTCTTGCCCCCCCCCCCCCCCTTGCTTCCCCCCATCTCGCCCTTACCGGATCGCTCTCTCGCCGCCATCCTTCGCAATGGCGTACGAATGCTGTCGCTCTTTCGCGACGAAGTACGCCCTTTCCTGCATGACAACGTACGCCCCTTCCTTCACGGCGGAGTCCACGCGCCGACCAGTCCGTGCTTGCGTCTGCGCGGCTGGCCGAAAGTGCGTCCTCGGAGGCGGTCCGAAACTGTGTCCTGGGGGGCGGTTCGAGACTGCGTTCTCCTTCTCATATGGCACTGCGCTCTCCTCCTCATCTGGCACTGCGCCCTCCTCCTCGTCCGGTACTGCGCTCTCCTCCTCGTCACGACGTGGTCAACATTGACTCGACTCGGCTGGCACGGCGCCCTCCTCCTCGGCTGGTACTGCGAGCGACCCGACTCGAGGTCGGCATCGAGCGCTCCTTCTCCTCCTCTATCACTGCGAGCGACCCGACTCGAGGTCGGCACTGCGCCCTCCTCCTCGTCACGACGAGGTCGACAACGCGGGATTCGACGGCGGGGTTCGTAGTGCTCGACTCGACGACGAGCACGCTCGCTCACGAGCTCGTCGTCGACTCGAGCACGCTCGCTCACGAGCTCGAGTCGACGACGAGCAGGACTCGAGTCGACGACGAGGTCGAGCCGACTACTCAACTCGAGGTCGACTCGACTCGATGACGAACTCGTGCTCAAGCCGACTCGAGCTCGTGAGCGAGCCGACGACGAGGTTCGCCTTCGCCAGGAAGGGCGAGGGAGAGGACGAGCGCATTCGACTCGACGACTCGACTCATGCTCGTCCGATTCGACTCGCCCCTAGTCGAACAGCGAGGTCGTGCTCGAGCGTGCTCGACTCGACGACGTGGGTCGACATCGTCCCTCCTTCTCGGCTGGCAGCGCCCTCCTTCTCCCTCGTCCAATTCGACTCGACGAGGTCGTGAGAGGGCGTGCTCGACTTGACGACGAGGTCGTGCTCGACGACCGTGGCCGTGAGCGAGGCCGCCGTGCTCGAGCCGACTACTCGACAACGAGCTCATGAGCGAGCGTGCTCGACTCGACTCGTGAGCGAGGCCGCCGTGCTGGAGTCGACGACAAGCTCGTGAGCGAGCGTGCTCGACTCGAGTCGACGACGAGCTCATGAGCGAGCGTGCTCGCCTCGACATCGTTCCTCCTTCTCCCTCGCTCGACTCGACTCGACGAGGAGGTCGTGAGCGAGCCGACTACTCGAGTCGACGACGGGGTCGTGAGCGAGCGTGCTCGAGGCGACGGCGAGCTCGTGAGCGGGCGTGCTCGAGTCGAATCGACGACGAGGTCGTGCTTGAGTCGACTGCTCGAGCTCGTGAGCGAGCGTGCTCGAGTCGACTACTCGACTCGAGCTTCCTCCCAGCGCGTCGCGGACGACGAGGTCGACATTGACTCGACTCGACTAGCACCTGACCCGACGAAGAGGTCGTGAGCGAGGCCGCCGTGCTCGAGCTGACGAGCGTGCTCCTTCTCCCTCGCCCGAGCCGACAACGAGCTCGTGAGCGGGCGTGCTCGACTCGACGACGAGCTCGAGCCGACTCGACTGGACTTGACTCGACATTGACTCGACGACGAGGTCGTGCTCGACTCGCCTCGATAACGAGCTCGTGAGCGGGCGTGCTCGAGTCGACCTCGCGTCGGCAGTCAGCGTGCTTGAGTCGACGACGAGGTCGGCATCGAGCGTGCTCGAGCCGACGACGAGATCGACATCGTCCTCCTTCTCCTCGCCCGACTCGATTCGACTCGACGACTCGACTCGTGAGCGAGGCCGCCGTGCTCGACTCGAGGCTTTCCCTAGCGCGCGCCGCGGACGCAGCGCAGCACACTTCGTCGCAGGCGGGGAGCGAGGGCGAAGGTGATGGCGAGGCGCGCTTTTGCCCCCTTCGTCGAAGACCAGAGCGAGGAGCGCTTTCACCCTCTTCGTCGGTGGAGAGGGGCGCTTTCGACCTTCGTCTTCGTCGAAGCGCGGCACACTTCGTCGATGGCGAGCGGCGCTTTCACCCTCTTCATCGCAGGCGAGCGGCGCTTTCGCCCCCGTCGATGGCGAAGACTGAGCGAGGACGACGTCGAAGACGAGGGGTACTGCCCTCACCGTCCAAGGCGAAGACGAAGCGCACCACACTTCTTTGTAACGCAGGGCGAGGCGCTTTTGTCTGCGTCGATGGCGAAGACGAGGACGACGCGCTTCCCACTCCGTCGAAGACGCGAGCGAGGACGACGCGCTTCCCGCTCCGTCGAAGACGAGTACGAGGGATACGCATGCATATTGTCCCCCACTCGACCTTACATGATCCCCCACTCCGTCTGGAGTTCTCTTTCCACTCGACCCGAAATTCTCTTTCCACAGCTCTACTCTATCCTGCGCTCCGCCTCTCGCTCGCCATTATGCGTCTCACCCTCTCGCTCGGCATTATGCGTCTCGCCCTCTCGCTCGGCATTACTCCTCCCCCGTACTCTTCAAATCTCCCTCGTCTGCCCTCGAACCTCATCCCTACGCCCCCGAGCCTCAGTCCTCCGCCTTCGAACCTCATCCCTACGCCCCCAGCCGATGATAAGCATTCAAGCTCGAGGTACGACGATATGCATGGTACGTCGCCCAAACGAGGTCATAAGTACACGAGGTACAAGAGATGCATGTCTTTTTGCTGAACGCGTCGGTATGCATGGCACGTTGCCAAACGAGGACATGCATGGTCCGTCGCCAAACGAGGACATGTCTGTCACGTCGCCCAACGAGGACACGCATGGTACTACTTGATCTAGATAACACGCGGCACTAACAATCAGATAACACGCGGCACTAACAATCTGGTGGCGGTGAATCTGCTTCCGCTTTGCTTCCGTCTTGCTTCCGTCAAGCTCGAAGTGTGGGTGATGATGATGCCAATGAAGGACGTTGGGGTGGGGAGGATGAGGAGGAGGACGTAGGAGGATGAGGAGGAGAGCGTAGGAGAGCAGCCTGATACTTAAAGAGAAAGGAAGGATAGTACAATGGGCTTACGAAGGATGTACAATAGGCTGGACGAAGGATAGTACAATGCGCTGACGAAGGCGGCTCGGACTCGGACATGAGAGGAGATAATAATATCGGAGGCTAGCCGAAGGGGGTCCTCTTGGTAAAAGCCCAACCGACCAAGCGGCAGAGGACGCCGAGTGCGAAGGACAGGACGCGCGCTGCCCTGCAAGATCAGGATCATGATGAGCGCTTCAGACGAGCGGGCGTACGGATCTTCAGGCTCACTGCTTGATCATCTTCCAGACTCGATCTTTGGCGAGTGTGGGGGCCGCACGCAGTGGACGGAGGCAAATGCGGAAGCAAACACGGAAGCAAAATGACAAGCGGCGATCTCGATTTGGCTGATGCGGAGATGCGGCGGGCACGTACGGCCCGATCGCGACACGGCGAACGCGTCATCGTTCCCGCCACCATGTTCGACTTTGGGTTGGGAGAGATGGAGAGGAAGGACGCGGGAGGAGCGGGAGGGGAAAGCGGGAGGCTTGGCGGGCGGTCTAGGATGGGGAGGGTGAAGAGGTAGAAGGGGTGAGTGAGAAGGACGATGGTGAGCTTCTCGAACCAAAGCCAACCATGCAGACGATATGAACAGACGCGTAGCCGAACTCAATGGACGCACCCGCGCACGTAATGCGAAGAAGCGGCTGGATAGGCGTGCTCGAATCGCCGGTCAGTCAGGTGCGTAAAGTCTCGCCTTGCTGCGTACCCTGGCTCGGGCTGACCTGGTGGGAAGGAGGACCCCTCGGGCGCATACGCGACGCGACCCCTTGGATGCGTACGCGGTTCCCTCCGCCGCCCTTGCGCACACAACTCACGCTGTCTGCCGGAACCCCTCTCGCCTACGTCGATGGGTCTCCCTTCCATACCTCTATCCGGCATGGTCCCCAAGTGGACCCCTCCATACGCAGGCACTCCAAACTGCTCCCCCGCGAATCGACCACGTACCCATGTCCGCGAACCACCCACGCGAGGCGCCCACATACCCACGCGCACCCACATAGCTCAAGTACGCCACCCGAGTCGCCTTCCCACCACTGCCGTGCGCTCGCCGGATGCAGGGCGTGGAAGATGGGCCTATGTACGCCGGACCGCGGGAGTCTGCCGTGAACTCGGTTGGACTACTGGGATTGCGACCGGCCGTCCTTCTTAGACGCCTATCGTGGACGCTTTCCTCAACGCTAGGGTTTCCCGGGAGCCCAGCATCGTCCGCCCTACCGACTACACCGGCGACGCCAGGGTCTACCAGTCCAATACCCTCAACTACACCACCACCACCGCAGACAACCACCGCCAGACCGTCACACCCGACCATGGCAGCCGCACCCGTCGACATCAAGGCCTACGTCTTCACGCACGACGAGGAGGAGCGGAGGCGGTGAGTGCTTGCTCTGCATCCGTCTCCATGCTCGGCACTGTAGATCCATGCTCGGCACTGTAGATCGTCGGCGTCGCTGTAGAGGACGCCGCGTCTTTGACGTCGCTGTTGAGGACGTCGCGTCGGCGGCGTCGCTGTAGAGTACGTCGCGTCGGCGGCGGCGCTGTTGAGGGCGTCGCGTCGTCGGCGTCGCTCACCCACGTCGCTACGCCTCGTCGACGTGGGCGCATACATCCCCTTCCCATCGCCCTAGTCCTCGTCCGACGGACGCGCCCGCATCCCTCCCTCCTTCCCTCCCCTCCTTCTTCCCTCCCTTCTCCCCTTTCCTTCTCTCCCCTCCCCCCTCCCCGGCCCTCCTCTCCCCTCCTTCCCTTCTCCCCCCTCTCCCCTCCCCCCCGATCGCCGTACTGACCCCTCCCCCCCCCGATCGCCGTACTGATGCCCCCCGATCGCCGTACTGACGCTCCCTCCCCCAGCCTCGACGGCCAGCACCTCATCGTCCAGCGCGCGTTCGGAAGGGATAAGATTGTGAAGGGCAAAGGTGCGTATGCTTCGTTCTATTCTACGTATGCTTCGTTCTGTTCTACGTATACTGTGTTGTCTCCTACGCACCTCCAGCGCCCCTCCCTTCCTCGCCCCCCCTTCTATTCTCGATACTCACCGCGCACCCAGACGGCCGCCCGCACCCGCTCACGCTCCACCCGCTCATCGACCCCGGCGCGCTGCGCGCCGTCCTCGACGTCGGCGCGGGGACGTGCGCGGCGATCGTTGATGTGGCGCGGTTGGTGCATGGGGTGGGGGTGGGGAGGGAGGGTGTGAAGGGGAGCGGGGCGGGGCAGGGGAAGATCGACGGTGCGAGCAAGGGCATGCCCGGCGCGTATCCGGCGTCTTCTGACTCGCCCGCCATCGGCGCCTCAATCAACGCCGTCACGGCTCGGTCGGCGGCGATTGCGTCTCCCTCGGCCTCGTCCGCCTTGGATGGCAGCGGTCTAAACGCCAACGTCACGAACTCCACGGCCTCTACCGCCTTGGCCCCCTCCACGGCCATGTCCACCTGGACTACTACCCCCACCGCCACCTCGACTACTACCCCCACCTCGACTACTACCCCCACCGCCACCGCCACCGCCCCCTCGCCCCCGCCCGCCCTCTTCGCCTGCGACATCACCGCGGCCAAGTTCCCGCCGCAGGAGACGCTGCAGAAGCTGGGGATCCGCGCGTTCGAGCATGATATCAGGACGGAGCTGCCCGGGGGGATGGCGGGTGAGTGCGCGCTTGTAGCGGGGGAGGGGAGGAGGGTGCGGGAGGGAGCGCAATCGAGGCCTTCGAGCGCGCGAGCGCACTCAAGGCCGTCGAGCGAGCGAGCGCAGTCGAGCGCACTCGAGGCCTTTGAGCTCGCACTGGGGTTCTTTGAGCGAGCGAGCGCAATCGAGGCCGTCGAGCGAACGAGCGCACTCCTCCCTTCCTTCTCCCCACCCCCTTAGCGCCGTCCTCCCTCATTATTCTCGACCCCTCCCTCCACTATCCTCTCCCCCTCCTCCCTCCCTACCTCCTCCCTCCACTATCCTCTCCCCCTCCTCCCTCCACTATCCTCTCCCCCTCCTCCCTCCACCCTCCCTCTTTCTCCCTCCTCCCTCCTCCCTCCCTCTTTCTCCCTTCCACTCCCTCCCCCTCACGCCCCCCTACTTACCCCCAAACACTTCCGCTGACGCTCGCCAACGCCCTCGCCAAACACTCTCGCTAACGCTCTCGCCAACCACACTCGCTAACGCCCTTGCGTGACCACACTCACTAACGAACCCCAACCAGGCCTCTTCTCCCTCATCTCCATCCGCCTCGTCCTCGTGTGGCTCACCGTCGACGAGATCCGGGCCGCGCTCGCGAATGTGAGGAGGGCGTTGGGTGAGTGGGGGTTTGGTTTTTTTGGGGTTGGGCAGGGGGAACGAAGGCAGGGGTGGTGGTGGTGGGGTGGGGGATTGAGGGAAGGGGTGGTGGTGGGGGGGGGAATGGGAGGTTTGGGTGAGGTGTTGTGGATGCTGGTGCGGGTTCTGCGCGTCTCGCCTCCGGAGGTTGTGCCCATGTCGCTTCCAAAGGGAAGTTGCGCGCTGACGGCGCTCTCCCTCGCCCTTCCCCCGCGCTGCGTTTGTTTCGTGTCCCGATAGCTCTGCCCCCCCTGTCGCGGTTCACCTCTCTCTCGGCATGCTCGACTCTCTCAGAGCCTCCTGAACTCCCCCCCTCCGCCCCTTTCGATCCTCGCTCCCTTGCACCTTCCCCTGTCCTGCGACTTGCGCGACAAGCAGTAAACGACGAGCAACAAGCAGGCAAGAACGAGCAGCTGACCACCCCTCGTAGCTCCCGGCGGCCGCATCCACCTCACCGAGGCGCAGATGTTTTGCTTCTACGCGCCCGAGGAGGCGCAGCTTGAGTTTGGGTGCTTTCGTGCGTCTTGCGCGGCAGATAGCATCGCTGACGGCGCACCACATAGACGCGGCGGAGACACGAGTCCGCAGTTGAACCGCGCGTCGTATCTGTACCCGGTCAACGTCGCGATCCAGGAGGGGAGGCGGCGGGCGGGGTTGGTCGTGGAGTGAGTGGTTTTTCTTAGTCGTGTCATTTTCTTTCCGGCGTCCATCCACTACCCAGCCTCCCCTTCTCTGCCCAGCCACCCTTCCTACCCTTCCCTCCCTTCCCACACCCTCTCTCACCATTCCTTTTCCCTCCAGTCCCCCCTTCATCGCGTCCTTCTACGTCAACACGAAGACTTACCTTGACTCTCTCCCAGCACCGACCGCCAGCTCCCGCCCCTCCTCGCCGAGGCCGGTCTTCGCGTCCTGGCGGAGGACCGCGGGACGATCCCCGTAGGGAAGATGGTAGGAGAGATGTTGGGTGGTGCCGAGGGTATCGATGCCAATGCGCGCGCGGAGGAAGGGGAAGAGGGCGAGCAGCTTGACGGTACGTTTGTTACCTTTCGCTCCCTCCTGCGGCGGGCCCCCTTCGGAGATGCGAGCACGCTGGGCGAGAGGGGGCTCAGAGCGGACGCTGACGATTTTCCAGTTTCCCGCCACGTCCCTTACAGCGTTAAGAGCTTCGGCCCGCCGTCGCCGTCCGCGCTCAAGACAGGGTTTGACTTTGGGGAGAAGGGTGAGTCGAGGTCTTGAATATCACTTCCGCATCCTTTCGCCTACGGAGTCTCCCTACTTCCACCCCATCGATCCCTCGTCTCTCGCTCGCCTCCCGCTCCCCCGTGCTAAGAGTCCCCGCAGGCATGCGCACTTCCGACACTGCTCAGCCCACGGTCGACGAGCGCGCCACCACCCTCACCACCCACCCCCACATCCGGCCGCCCCTCCCTTTGTCGCCACCGCTCTCACCCACCGACCTCCGCACCATCGAGGGCGCGACCTCGAAGATGTTCGGCCACTTCGTGGGGATGATGCGCGAGGCGTGGGAGATGGGGTTTTTGAGGGATTGCGGCGGCGAGCTCATCCCAGCGGCGACCGACGGGGACGATGAGGCCACTCGTGCGGAGAAGGAGGCGAGGTTTAAGGCGATTGGGGAGCGCGTCTGGCGCGAGTTCGAGGCGAAGGGGTGTCATTATGGCGTGCGGGAGTGGGTGCTGGAGGCCGTTTAGGGGAGTGTGCGAGCGGGAACGACGAGCGAAGTTTGGACGAGGGCGCGGGACCTCAGGTGTTACAAATCGAGAAGGACGGCTTGGACAGTGGAAGGGGTGGTGGACGAGTAGGGAACCGTATGAACTTGCGCACGAAAATGTACAAAGGGGCTGTTAGTTGTGAACAATAAATTGTCTCCCTGATATCGGACGAAAGCTGCGATGGGGCGACTTGCGGTACAAGATTCGTTGACTTGAGGTCAGCGTCGCGGCACCGTGCAGGCTGAGGGTGAGTTGGTCCTTGCAAGCATTCGCCCATGGTGAAGATCTTGACGCGCACGTTCGGGCTTATGGTTCAACAGCATGCATATCTTGAGTTATACAAGGACACGATCTCAAGCTCAAGTAAAGACGAATGCGGACAAGATTACCTCGCGGTGAAGACCCGATGCCGGTCAGACCAACTACTCATATGCGACGGTCGATGATTCCACCGTCTAGACATTGTCAAACTCGTTCGCGTACTATCGCAAGCATAGTACTGCATAAGTCTCGCTTCAACTCGTCATCGCTAGACGGCAGATCGTAGTCCAAGCTCGCTTCGTGTGATGTTTGCCGCTTCGTCATGCTGAGTGCGATTGGGATGACGGTAGTTTGACGGACCGACGGCGTATGTCAGAGTCTAGCTCGCGGGCGAGGTGCATAAAGCGACACGAGGAGAACGATAGCGAACACGAGGTAGTCGGTCTCCGCACGGACTGGCCTTCTCTGTACGAAGTTCGCCCCCAGCACGAGGCAGAAATGCGCGTCATGCGGGGAAGGGAAACGACCGACGAAGCTGGACTATTCGGGTAGGACCGTAAGGGGAGTCTATCGGGAAGCTTGAATGGGTCGCGTACGGTAACGGGGTCGTGCGCGAGGTGCGCGAGGTCTGTTCGCGGTACGGGGCGCAGTGGCCGTACGGTTGGCAAATAAGAAGTCAGTGGAGCGAAGTCGTGTCCGACGTCGGTCGTAGAGTCGTACCGACTTCCCAGCTAGACGCCCGTCAGACGAGCGTGTCGTGGATCAGTGAGGTTCGAAGCCGGCGAAAATCTCCACGAGACCAGCGCAGATAGACCGCAGATGAACGTAGATAGACGAACGTAGATAGACGGTAGAGAACTCTTAAGAACTTTCATGATCGGCGAGAGCGGATTAGCGCGAAGGACTTCGGTGCGTGTTTGAGGTGATTCGGTGCGCGTCTAATCGTCTTCGTTGCGCGTCTAATGATCTTCGGAGCGAGTCTAAGGCGCCTGGACGCAGACTATGAAAGTCTGGAAGCGTACTATGAAGCGCGAAGAGCTTCACCGCATGCGAAGTACTTCAGCAGGCAAGATGAAGTGCGAAGGGAATGCGCCGAAGGACGAAGCGCGAATGCTATGAGACGCGAAGGACTTCGCCGCTGAGATCGAAAGACCGCGCGGTAGACGCTGAGCGGCAAAGTCACGGGCACCCTGAGAACGCAGAGCTTGCGACGCTGGGAGAAGGGCTCCTCCGCGCCAGGATAGTGGTGCCGTACTCCCAGCGCATGTCAATTGTGCAGCGAGTATTGACTTTGCGCGGACTAGGAAGATTGGATTAGCGTAGACCTGGCTGAACGGTTGAGTAGGACTTACCGCAGATGCGGAGATCTGTACTCCTACGGAGGCGTCAGACCCTGCGATAGACGTCAGGCTTTGCAGGTACCGTCGATGACCGCGGCGTCTAGCTTACCTCGTGGGGGTCAGATTCCCTGCGACTGTCTACCGGCGAGCTTCAATCCTTTCCCATCCGCGCTCGCGCAGATCTGGTGACGAAGTCCTTCCGTGGATTTCCCCTATTCCCATGTCAGCGGGCCGTAAAGCTTGGCTAAAACATGATGGAAACTTGGGAGGAATATTCGATTGAGTTCCCAACGTCGCCCGCCGCCTCACGAATATGTCGGTGATGTCGATATTCGACTGCACGGTGAGCGGGACATCGTCCGATATGGTCGGTGCGCGCTTTCCGCAGACGATTCCGTGGGATAGGATGTCCGGAACCGCTTCCCGTGCGAGTACAACTGCCGTGGGAGAAGAGCAATCAAGGGCAAAATGGCCTAAATTGAACCATCAGCGGTGAGAATGCGGCAGAACGCGTGGGAGTCCGCTAGCGGCGCGGGAGTCGATAGCCTGGTTGTGGGCGCCCCGCATGTAGGACTGGGGTGCATCAGGAGCGTTAATTGAAAGATACGCATGCAGGGGGGAGAGGCGCGTGTTTGAGGAAGGGAATCGTGTAAGGGGGTAAGATAGAGGGAGAGGCTGCGGACACGTACCATGGGAGAGGATGTGCAGCCTGGGAGAGAGCGCGCTTAACCTGGGCGCTAGAGCGCGTACCCTGGGCGGAGGACCAACATAGGCCCGTCTCGGGCTCGCATGAGAAGTTGAACGTGTCCTCCCGAAGAGCTTCGGCTTGTACTTCTGTCGCCTTCTCCATTCGAGGCGCCCACGGTCGGATGAATGGCCAAGCCGTTCTTCCACTCATGAGAGCAAAGTCCTAGCCGATAGACGAACCTGAGCAGATTTACTCCTTCAATTGCGCTAGTACGGACTCGTGAACACCTTCTTCCGCTTAAGAGAGATGGCCGGACGAGATGGCCGCGATGACGAGATGCAAGTCGGGACTGGGCGGCAGCGGCAGGCACCGCCGGCAGCCACGTGTTTGGCTCGGGCCTGCGGTAAAGGTGAAGACCTTCCTTTCCTGAACTCCCATATCATCGGTAGCATCAGGCTTCTTCTCTTCCACCTTCTTCTCTACATCTGAAGATTTGACCTACCGCGATCCTTGCGCGGGATGGAATTCAGAAGGTGGCGCGCGTTTTACTTTCTCAGCCCGACTTAGCGCGACGCATGGGCTGACCACCATCGACGAGCGTCAGATACGACGTAGAGAACGCTCGGGGAAGCTTGGCCGGAGCAGTAGCGTCGACGTGAACCAATATGAGTATGGGTACCTGTGAACGTACACGAAAGAGACCCCAGATCAGCGGCGCGCCGTGCGTCTCTCGATTGCATCCTATTAACAAATCGACATCCCAGTAGGAGCAGCCGCGTGCGGGAAGGCTGCTTATAAGCTCGCGCCCGTCGTTCTGTCCAGCCGACGCTTCCGAGTCTCCGCTTTCGCCTCCATCCCCGTTCCCCTTCCCCCGCATCGCCAGCCATGTCCGCCGCAACCTCTTCCCCCACCAAGTCGCGCTTCCTCTTCGCGATCCCGACGCGCACCGAGCTCAATGCCTGCTGGGAGCTCGGGCGACTCTCGAATGGCATGGGATGCTGGGTCTGTTGGTTCCCGCTCGCCTTCTCGATGGCGATGGCGTACCACGCGATGCCAGACCTCCCGGGCTGGTACGCAGCTTACCGCGGTATCCTTTTCATCGCGCTCTGCTGCGGCGTCAAGTGCTTGGTGCGTCTACATCGTCCGACCTACCCCGCAATTCACACTCACGTCGTACAGATCATGACCATTGACGACATCCTCGACGCCGATGTGGACGCGCTCGTTGAGCGCACCAAGAACCGGGTCCTCCCTCGCGGCGACATCTCCATGGCGCGGGCCTGGTTCTTCTTCGCCATCCAGTGCGTCGTCGGCGCCGGCCTCGCGTATGCGATTCTCAAGCCGTACACGTACGTCACCCTTACATTGCCCCCCTCATGTCCCTCACGTCGATCCCAGGCTATACATCTCGATGCTCGTCTGGCCGTTGTTCGTGATCTACCCGACGTGCAAGGTGAGCGATCGTCAGGCACCTTCATATCCCTCGCGCGCGTGTCGATCGTAGCACGCGCCCTTCCTATGAGGGTTCATTCCCTTTGTCTCTATTCACAGGCTGACGCGATCCTCCCAGCGCTGGATGTCCTTCGCGCCCCTCCCCCTCGCGATCATGTTCAATATCGGCGCACTCATGGGCTGGTCTGACCTCGCGCCCGGTAACGGCAGCCTGCACTACGTCCTCGGCGAGGGTACGTTCTTTATCACCTCCTCCTTGATCTTCGTATTGATGCATCCGTTAGGCTCCCCCGCTGCCGGCCGTATCCCCTTCGACATCCTCCTCCCCCTCTTCTTTGGCTGCTGCTGCTGGACCGTCACCTTTGAGACCGTCTACCAACACCAGGACAAGGCGGACGACGTCGCCATCGGTCTCCGCTCCCTCGCCATCTTCTGCGGGAAGGCGACCGTCGCCGTGTGCGCGTTGACCACGCTGGGCTTCGGCGGCTTGCTCGGTTGGGCTTTCTGGCTGAACGGGCAAGGTGAGTAGCAGATGTCTGCGCTCGGATTGGTACGCTGACAAGCTTCGCAGGTATCGCCGCCTTCGTTGGTCTCGCCCTTGGCACGCTCCGCCTACTCAACGGCTTGCGCACGGTCGATATTGACTACCCGCGGTCGTGCCTCCAGTTCTTCCTCCTCACGCCGGGCGTCGGCGTCCTCGTCCTGCTCGGCCTCATCGCCGACGGCCTGCTTTGGCGCTGGCAGGCAGGCATCCCGCTGTAAAGCGTCGCCGCACCCACTGCCTCATCCTCAACAACGCCCTCATCAACGTCCCGACTCCATATGCGTCCCCTTCCTCCGTGTATATGTGCTCGTTTCACGTTTTCCGGTCTTCTGTGTACAAGGTTCCCTTTCCTCTTCGTCTTCCTCGTCCATACTTACCTCTACCTCGGCATCCCCGCATGTCTCGCCACCCCTTTGTCCATACCCCCCGTTGCACCTTACACCTGCTTTGTGCCCGCCTATTCCCGCTTTGTATTTATCGCACCCGCCAACTGCGCCGCCGCCCCTCGCTCTGTTGTATGTATGTGTATACGTCGATAGCTCCTTTTGGGCTTCATCTCTTGAGTTCGGGATCGACTTGGGGGTTGAGTCGGACTCGGACTCATCGCGTCCGCGCGTACACCATCTTCACCGGGTGCGGTGGCGGCTTTACTCGATGCCAATCCGGGGCTTTACCTACTTGATTTCCTGGTAGCCCATTTTACTTACGATTCGAATGCAAAAATGATGGTTGTGGACACGACGTATAGGGCAATTCGAGTGTTAAGATGAGCTAGTCAGAAGGACAGTCGGATTGCAGGATCCCACAGTAGACACTCTGAGCCGAAGCCGAGTAGGCAGCGGCGATGTTGACTGCTGCTCAGCGGTGCTCAAGTTTGCTTTTGTGGCGTCCGTGTGGCGGCCACTCGGCCCGATCCGGCACCCATTGTTCTTTGTTCTTGACCCCCATGGCGCTCGATCGTCTACTTGCTGGCTGCAATCGCTCAGCGTCTTCCCTGACGCGCGGAAGCCTGGTCTTTGGCTTGCCTTTTGACTGACTGACGTCGGTTATACCTCCGGTCTCCTCCTGCCACTGCGCTCTGACTGCTCCGTGATACGTCCTCTGGCGGATGGGCTAACCCAAGTGCTCTATCTCGTCTATACGGGATTCCTTCTCGAAGCGCTGCCCTCACTCGTCTACAATGCGCCCCCGACACGTACTCGCCTACCGAGGCTGGAATGAATGCCGCATTTTCGACGCGCGACTGCCATCTATCTCGCAATTAGCCCGCTCACGGGGACGCTCTGACGATGCTTCTCCAAGCCACCTCTCTCAACGTCGGCTATCTGATTACGAGCGAGATGGCGATCCCTAGATGCCGCTTTGCTCTTTCGTAGGATCTGCTTACGCTTCGCCTGCCGCTCGCCTCGAGTTCTTGTCATGGGATCTTCAAGTCAGCCACCTCGGAGGCGCTGGCCTTTTGGCTTGGTTTACGCTCTGCAGATGTGCTTCACCTCACCATGCTCTTGCCGAGGCATAGCGTCTGCGCTTCGAGGCGCGAACACCAACGTCAGGTACTGACTTGCATCTAACTCGCCGTCGACAATGTCCCATTAAAATCCGCTAAAAGTGACGTCTCCCCGTATCCATCTCGGCGCTCTCATAATCCCGGGACGCTATGGATAATGCTTGTACATACGCGCTGCCCTACGCTTCCGACAGTGTCCTCGTCCTGCGCTGATTATTCATCTTCGTCGCCGAGAGCTGGCTGTAATATGACTTTGACATCGACCTCTTGTACATCAGTTTTTTGAGCTCCGACGGTCCGGCGACTCATAAATGAAGCTCTCAAGGGCGCCAGACTTGAAGGAAGTTCATCTTCGACCTTCTCTATCAATCGTACTTGGCCCTTCTCGCTGGCTTCTCATAGACCTTCGGCGGCGCTTCGCATAACCCGGCGGTCTTACTTCGAGTATTCGCTCTCTTTTTTGCACAGCGGACTTTATGAGCCGGACGTCCCTGTGTAGATGACTGTCTCGAGCTAAAGCGGAGGGGTTGCGGTCATTCAGCTCATACTCGCCACGTCCAACGAGGAGTACGCAGCGAGCTCGGTCAAAATCAACCGCACTTTCAACAGAGGTTGAATATAGACCAGTTCATGGGAATACAGCGCCAACACTTCTACTTTACGAGAGCGCTTCGCACAGCGCTGCCCACGTATCACTCGAAAGCTGTCTTCCGCGTTGTGTACGCATTGTAGGTCCAGGTGTCGCTGATTGGCGGGCTTCTCGCACGCGGTGTCGGTGCCGGTCCGATACCACCTCGCTCCAAGTTCCGCCAGGAATTCCAGTTCCCCTTCCTTTCTCAGGCGAAGCGCCTTCGACATTGTTCTTCTCACAGTTCGGAGCTAGACCCCTCCGTCGAGCGCTGCAGGGCGCGATGCTCTCGCCCAACATCGACGGGCGCGCTGCGCTCGCGCGGACGCAGGTTATGAATTCAATTGGGCCTTTTGAGGGTTCTTTCCTTCTACGGCGAAATCAGGTACCCACGCAAAATTGATTCCGCGGAATCGAATTAGGCAGTCACAAAAATCAATTCCCCAATCACCTTTCTTTCGACCACCATGGCAAGGTACTCGGGGACGCCGCCAGACAGCTCAGGCAACGCTGGGCCGCCGGATACCGATAGCGGGCGTCCTGAGGACATCGCAGCGCCTGGTATAGGAGGTACCGGGGAGGGCGGCACCCCGGGTCGCGTCGCCTGAGAATTCGGAGAGACGGCGAAGTCGGCATCTTCTGCTTCTTCGGGGGCACGGCGCCATCCGGGTATATCATTCCGTCGCACGCGATGAACACCAGGACCGCACCGCGGGGGCACGCCGTCAGGCGCCCTGCATAACAGGCTCGTGCGCGAGAGCGTCTCACGTCCCTGCTTCTTCCCCTCTCGCCACCGTCAACATGCCCGAAGTCGACCTCAAGACCGCCGCCGGTCCCGTCAAGATGCAGTACTTTGTCGCGACGCCGACGGACAGTAACGCGCGCGACATCGATCGCTCAAAGCCGACGATACTGTTCATTCACTCGGTCTTCATTGGGGCGGAGATCTTTGTCGGTGCGTCATCCCCTTCTATGCAGTGGCGTTCGCTCATATCCCTCTAGCGCAGTTCACGGACCCCGGCCTGCGCCAATGTAACCTGGTCGCCCCCATGCTTCCCGGGCATGGCACGACCCAGAGTCCGCCACTGACCGAGGACTACACCCATCAGGCTATGGCGGAGGACATGGCACTATTCCTGGTGCGTCATCACGCGTCTTTCCCTGTACACTCTTAACAGGCCTCGCAGGATGCGCTCTCGATTCCCTCATGTCATGTCGTCGGTCTTGCGGTTGGCGCGAATGTCGGCATGGAGCTCGCCGTCCTGCATCCAGAGAAGGTCATCTCCCTCACGTTGTGCTCTCCCCTCGCTTTGAAAGAGGTACGCGGCAAGCTCTTCAGTGGCTTCGCGATACTGATCGTGGTCCCAGTCGGAAGGCAACGTCGAAGCACGCCAGGAGATAATGCACTACTGGTTCGACGCCTTCAAGGACGCGATCCCCGACATGTCTCTCATCAACGACGCGCTCTACGGTTCTGAACAAATGACGTTTAGCAACCGCTACTCCGACGTGCGCTCCGTTCGCGCGTGCGTACTTCTCTCTTCCCCCAAGAGCCTTGCTGATCGAGCGCTCCAGCGTCACGCAGTCCTCCGTCAACTACGCGTCCAGCAACTGGGCACCCGAGCCAGACAAGCTTCGCAGTGCTGCCGTCATCGTAAACCAGTGGCATTCGTCGCGCCCGCGTTCCGGCAGCGAAGCATGGCAGAGGTTCTTTGCTCGCGTACGTCGTCCTTCACCCGCAGTCACGCATCTCCCACACCTACACTATAGCAGATTCGTCAGCCCGTGCAGATCATCCACTTCGACGACGATGTGCCGTACCCTCTGCCCGTGCGCCAGGAGATCCTCGACGAGTTCCGCGCCGCTGGAAGGGAGGTCCCAATGCATCAAGTGCAGGGGACCTGCTACGGCGTCCTGGTTAGCGCCGAAGAGTGAGTACTCCGTCACTTTAATCCACGCTTCGCCCTGACCGTACGAATAGCGTCAATCCTCTCATCTACCGCTTCATCGCGTCGCATACGGAGCCGCCTTTGCCCTCAACTCCTCCAAGAGGGAGTGTTCACGCCTTCGACTCGCCCTTTGACCAGCGGCTTGCAGAGTGCGTCTCGTCGCAGAACCTGAGCGACGATGAAGATTTCGACGACGATTTCACTATCATCTAGGTTACTCCCCGAGGACGACGCGCACGACTACGACTAGGCGCGACTCGCGCAGGCCACGCCTGTCCGAGGCCGCGCGGTCCCAACGGCTAGTGCTTCTACCTCGCGTCGTCCCCCTCACAAATCCTCCACCTCTACCCCATTTCGCTAGACTACCCGACGGATGTACAGACGGACTCTCGGATCTCAAAAGGCCTGGCCGCGACGCCACTTTGCTATCAAGCTGCGTATTTCCCTTGTACTATGTTTCCCCTTGCATCATAGCCCTTATACTACCACCGTGCGACCATCTTTTCCTGTGTCTAGCTAGTTCTCATACGATATCCCGCCCTTATGTTGATAGTCGTATCTCGAGTCGGACGCCTGCTCTCGCTTTGCAAATCAACATGCTATCCTGCAGTCTTTTGCATCATCTTCTTGTCGGCTCGCCCAAGGTGAAACGAAGCTCACGTCTAACGAAGGTAAGCCGCGATGCCGGCTGAGGTCGGTGTTGCCGACTTTGGATTCTGCGACGCCGTGCCATATATGCTCAGGAGGGCGAGTTCTGCCGCGTCCTGCGTCGTCGCTACATATCTACGCGTGGGCCGTAGGCCACAAGATGAGCATGCAACTTGCAGGTCTCAAGCATCCGCAGCCTTCGCGCGATAATAGGGAGCCCGCAAGGGAGCAATTTTTCACCGTCGTGCAACGGTTCGCGGAAGCATTTTCTACTAGCGAACGGCCGCCACCCGATCCCGCAAGATCGGGACCTCGATTGGATGAATGCGGGGGTGTATGGAGAAGAGGGGAACGCGCGTTCAATCTTCGCCAATCAGCTGCGTCAAGCTCCCGCTTCGTAGGCGGTGATGATGAAGATAGCGCTAACGAAAAGCGTGGGACGCGCACCCAGCCAGCAGCACGAGGGCTACGTGTGCCGAACACAGACGTCCGGTGCAACAGGAACCTTCGATGCCGTTGCGTTTCGAGGTCTCGTATACCGTGTGCAAAGCGGCGACGAAATACACTATGTGGTTCACGTATAGTATTTTTCTAATCACCCTATATCTTTGCATTAGCTGTGGAACCAGGGAAACGAACCGATGATTGTCGTCCGGGCCGAATCGACCGGACCTTTGTTCTTTGTTCTTAACCGTCATCATCATCTCGCGAAGGAACTCGGTCTCGCGCTCATCCTCCAGGTGATCTATTTGGGCTTTTAATCAGGCGGTATCCTCCAAGGATGATGTGTCGCTTTGACTCGATTGCTACGGCGCAACGCGCGCATACGTCGTTCGATCATATCGGGGAAACTTGCGAGGTGCGTGCTATGTACTTCTCCCACTCCTCTCTCCACTTACGTAGCACTCAGCAGACGTATAGTCACTCTGTCTCTCCTCTGCCATGGCCTGATTTTACCTTCCGCGCCTGCAAGACCTGACTTGGCTGCCCCGCCGCTGCCCTCGGATCGCCCCCTTGTTCGACGCGGCAATCTCACGACCTTCAAGAGCCCCTTCCTGCCATTCAGGACATGTAACCCGTCTCTAACGTGAATAAGTCCCGAGAAAACCCCATGTTATCCGCGGACATCCAGCTCGATCGTCGCTGAGCGCGTACTTCAGCGACGTGCGTGGACCGGCGCGACGTCCACTCTGCACCACAAACGCGAAACCCTCACTATGCATCAACAACGTGCTCATTTCGCGTCCATATCCGCTTCAAGCGCGTGATCCCGACTCCCCTCATATTACATGATTGACGGCCACACATCCCAGGCGCATAGGTGCCTCTGACGAAGCCCTACACGTCTTCGTGAAGACAAGCCCCTCTCGTGTCATACCGCGGAATCCCTGTGCGCGCGCTCCCCCCTGTCGTCCTTCATAGGCACCGCGCCGACGGCAGCGCGTTGTTCCGCGCATACGTGACGCCTCATACGATGTTGACCATCCGCCGCCTCTGCGTGGCAAATTCTGCCGCGCACAGAGTTCGCAGAGGCTGACGTGCGGACGCGCTCAAGCTCTCGTACTGGATGGCTCGTAATCCTATCCGTTGGGCGTCGCGCATCGCGATCAACCGCGGTATCATGCTTGTGAGTCGACGGAGATGCGTATGCGTATGCGCCTGTCGAGCTGACCTTCGGATAGGGAGAGGAAGGCCCTATAGCCAATGCTCAGCAGTGTACCCGATTCAGTGCGCCGCCTGCCGCTGCGTCCGCTCGCTTCCGGGGCGCATACATGCGGTCAAGGCTCGGGGAACGCCAACTCGCGGATGGCCGCTATCTCGACTTCAAGGTGGACAGCGCGTCGACGCCGTTCATCGATCCGCTCCCTCGCCAGGTGCGCGCGCTCCTCGTCGTGTCCGCTTCTCCCGCTGACATGAACTACGCAGGCTTTGCGGTCCTGAGTTTGTAGGCTCGAGTCGCTGATAGCGCGTCCGTTCTATCGCAGGCCAGCGCTTCGTCTGACTGTAACTTCGACATTCCCATACGTGCGAGAATATACTGCTTTGGCCCCTCATCCCTGTTCGAGACTGAATCTTCGCCGTCGACGAGCTCCGTGATCGAGACGCCGATTGCTAGCGAGCCCATCCCGACTGCTCTCGCATGTCGACACGGCGTGCTCGCGCGACGTGGTGAGTTGGGAACGTCGAGCTTCGACGCCAGACTGCTTGGCTTTGACGCAACCGGGATGCGACTGCGCTCAGTGCACCGGAATCATCCCCGCACTCATTGGGTCGGATAACCGTCGACTCAGTGATACTGCATCGTGCGAGTCGACATAGCTCTTCACTCACGGATCGCGTCCGCCTCGGCAGTCCGTGCGTCTTGCGAGAGCTTGCTGAAGCGGCGGAGATGCAGCAGAACCTTTTGCGTGACCTTGGACTCTGTCCGCAGGCTGTCTTCTCAGTTCATTGGATAGAAGACCTTCATTGTCCCGTTGTGAGGGTGACGTTTTACGGTCCTATCTCCTCGCCTTGTATTGCAAGAGCAGTTGTGGTGGACGGGACTCACGGTCGGTACCTACTCGTCGATCACGAGCGGCTTATCGATCAATTCAAATCAAATGGGTGCCAGTGCTCTTTCCTCGCGACCATCATCTCCGCTGCACGCGAGCTGAGGCTGCGCGTCCGAGCTGGTAAGAGCTGCAGACGATCGCCTCGCAAACTTCGCTAAACTTTTGTTGCAGATTCCCTGCGGCTATTGAAGATTATGGCTTCGAAACGAGGCGTTGAGTTTTACGACAAACAGCTCGGAATGTTGCACGATATACTCGACACGGCACACGAAATTGGAACTCTGCCCGGAGAGACCCCTCTCGCTGACGGAGACATCCGGGTCACAGCGCTGAGAAGGGCTCTTACCAAGGGTGCTAAGTTCGTTTTCGGCATTCTCGTATCAGAACCGCCGGCCTCGCCTCTCACCGCCGACGACAAGCGTGTCGAGATCGTCCTAACCTCTATTGCGGCCTTTGCATCCATATGCGATGCCGAGAAACGCCTGCGCAGCCGCAACCTCCTGCCACTCCTGCGCACATTATGGCCCCATATCGTGCAATGGGGCGCTTTGGTACATCCTGCGCGCGGGTACTTGGTGTGCACGCCTGCGCTACGCGAGTCCGGACGCGACACCACCAGCCTAGCCTGCGCATACTGGGCCATCGTTGACTCTGACGCCGCGCATTGCAAGCCGTTTATTGAGGCGTACCCGGACCTGATCGCGCAAGCATGCGAGCTCTGGATCCACTTTCCACGCTACGTACCATCTGCGGCCGGGTCGACCTCGAGCTCAGCTTATAGCGCGATCGCAACAATTGTTAAACTGCATGATAGGCTTGCGACGAGCGCTGCAGAGAGCATCGACAACGATTGCAGTCTCCTTCTGCAGGACCTCTTGCGAGTCGCTGGCACGTCGCGCGGACTGTACCGGGCCTGGATCCGACAGACGGAGTTTTTAACCAGGTCTCTGCTTACACAGCCGTTTCTCGAGCACATCTGGCCCAATCACTTCGTGGTATTGGATATCATCGCCGGTCAGCCAGCTTTCCAGATTCGCACGGTCCTGCTAGGGCTCATCGCTACAGTCACCTCCACGGCAATCAGATGCGCTGCATCGAATCAGACGAGGCGAGGTGCACAGCACGCCGCACGATCTCTCGCCTCTCTCTTCCTTATGGCCGATGACAATCGCCCTCTCGTACGCGCCATTGACGCTGGCCTGCTCGACCTGCTGTCCACGTTATGCCGTCCGTCAGACAGTACATACGTGGTCGACCTCATGCGCTACGTCGCCCCAGCCGTTATGCAAGCTAGGGTGTACCGTGCGATCATTCGTCGCAATCCTGCTGTAAAATACTATCCGTCCGGTCGCAAATTGGGATCGGGGTCGTGGGATGATGTCGCAATGGCCGTAAACCTGGCACATGATCTATACTACTCAAGCCACCATCAGAAACACTGGAGACAGTACTTGCCATGCCATAACGAGCAGGTGCGTTGTATATCGTTAGCTCAGCTCCGCTTCGGGCCTTCGGCTGACCAGAATCAATAGGGACCTCATAACAGGGCTCTGTGTGTTTGCCCGTGCGCGGAGGCTTTCTACTGCTCTGGGAGCTGTCAGCGTATCCACTGGGCTGTCCACCGTAAGACTTGCTGCGTCGCTGAAGGACCCTGGGCATTGAACGGCGAGTAAAAGCCCGCCCAATGATATCCACGTGCTAAAGCGTTGTGCAGGACGCCTTTCCCTCGGGGATACGCTATTCATCCTTGGGACCCTTCGCTTCCACCTCAAAGCGCATATCAAAGTCCTCAATTTGCAGGTATCTGCCTATCACCAGGCACTCGTGACGAGCGGCCAAAGCAAGCAAATTGTGGTTGACCTCAATGTTCTGAACGAGATACCTTTGACAAAGCACGACGTGTATTTTCGTGAGGCGGATGATCCAGGCCTCTCCGATGTAATTGCCTTCGAAGCTTCGTTCCGCGTCGGCAGCACGATCATTAAGCGCCCCCTTCCCTTCTTTTGTCACATCAAGGACTTGTTTTAGAGAGGGCCATCGCTGGCGCGTGGCATACGGTGGGTTAGGAATTTGTCTGCTTTCACGGGCCTGCAGTCGTTTTAAGCCATATATAGAGATTTGTTTGATTATGGATAGGGTATGATTAAGGCGAGGCCCACTGCGCTCAGCACGCATTGCCGCGCAACCTTGTACAGAGGATCTGCACACACATCTCTCCATGTCTCACTGCGGCGGAGGTGGCAGTGGCGAGATGCGCGCGCAGTTCCCCTCCGAGGTCACGCGCAGATGCGCGTCGGCGGTCGCGCAGACAGACTTACTGGCGTCTCGGTGATTCATTGCAAAGCGTGTGTCAAGCCGGCATGCGCAGCGTGTGCGATGGTGCGGCAGAAGCGTGCAGCTGAGAGCTAGCGTGAAAGCGTTACGGCAGTGTTGTCGGCGACGTCGAAGGAGCGCGAGACGCGATCGGAAAACGCGCCTGGTCACGTTGATGCGGCACGTCACGTGCGTATGTGCGACGCCACATACTTAGACTGCGTCGCGCGTCGACAGGTGCTCAGCGGGCGGCCCCGTCAAGCCATGCCGCAACGGAAGAATCAAACCACACACGTGGTTTCCACCCCTAGCTGCCCCTCATCAGTTGGACGAGGATGGGAGGGAGGAGGGGAGGCATAATGAGCGTTAAGCAAGAACGTAGAGAGGGCAAGGACACCAATATGCGCGCACACGAGACGGCACGCACCCATGCGAGGCGACAGGAGGGCGAGAAAATGACAAAGCGACGACGAGACCGTCGATTCCGGTGCATCACGCCGACCGTCCTGGAGCATAGACAATGACATTTGCTTTGATACAGCCGAGACCTTGGCTGATCGTCGTGGCGACCTCAGGCCCGTCGGCCGCTCGCATGCTCGGGTAAGGGGAAATTATGGTCAAATCATTGGACGACTGTTGACTGACCTTATGTCCGAGGTGCTGGTTGCTTAGAGCGCTTACTCTTTGCTGAATCTGACGAGGGTGCTGAGTAGTCGTGGTCCTGCCCATTCTGGCCCCTCTATCGAGTCAGGAATAGGCAAGGGGCAGCGCTTGTTACTGCCCTTCGGCCGGCTTACTTTCGGTAAGCCTTGAGCTTGAGCCCGATACCTTTGCTAATGACTTTGAAGGCGACTTGATACTGCATTAATACGCTCACAAGCGCCTCGACTGGGCACAGGAGAACCGCTGATAGTTTTTTTAGGGTGAATATCGACTTTCTGGTGAGTTACTCGCGTGAGACCTGTTTTACTTGCGCTCTAACACTTTCAGCCAGGTCTTTTTGATGACGCGAGGGGGGTCCATATGCCAGAAGCCTCGTCCTCCTCATCCAGAAACGCAAGAACACAGTCATCAGCCGGAGGGACACCAGAGGGGATGCGAAAGACAGTAGCTGCACACTATCAGAAGTGGATGCAAGGAGTGACCGACGGATAGGGAGGTTGCGGATAGCAGGAGCGTCGGCGGTAGATGATCGAATACGACCCAGCGGTCGGATGGCAGCAGCAAGGGGGAAAGACAAGCGACAGACCCGGTACAAAGCCCCGGGCAGGGCCTCAGAGGCCCCCCCTCAGCGGCAAGCTGGAGGGGCTGGCGCGCCCAGCGGCAACGCCGAACACAGACACGGACCGAAGGCGACAACGCACGGACTAAAGAGTGTATAAGTGTGACTACTCGGTATATAAGGCGTGAACGCGTGACGTGACCGAGTGACTGCTAGAGTCGAGCTGTACAGAACAATAACCAACTCGTGACACACACGCACGAGCTCACGATAACGAGATGTGGGGCATCTACCACGAACACGTCGCGGGCGTCGTTGACAATGAGAACGCGGCTAGAAAGGCGCACAAGAGGGGCGCGGAGGAGAATTGGGGAAGGTGTGGCAAGGAAAAGACCGTGGGAACGCGTCTGCAGACGTGCTCGCGCTGCAAGTACGTGCTCGGTCCGAGGAACTCGATACTGACTTTCCCCCTCCCCCCCTAGGTCAGTTAACCAGCAAGTTCACGGCTTCTTCGGCGAGAGGGTACCCTCATATTCGATCAGCTGCTCGGTTGAATGTCAGCGCGAGCACTGTAGACACGGGCACAAGACCGAATGCACAGCTTTCGACCATCCGCCACTAGCGAAGACATTCGACTCCTCCCAGCGCCCTGACGTCCTAACCTTCTGCCCGATTCCAAGCGCGCGCCTGGATCAATCCCATCAATTTTCTCCGATCAGGCTGAAACCGGTGCCATTCGACGCGCAGACATCGATAACCTGGTAGCGCCCATGTTTGTTAGGGTTAGAAAGCCCGGGAAGGTAGAGATATTGGACGAGGAAGTGCCAGGCGTCTCACCGGAATCCGATCAGGCGTTTGCAAATTCCCATCAGACGTCAGCGGTTTCCGGCCACACGTTACCGCCTCCCATCAGACGCTTCGGCAAATGCCGGGCTCCTTCACCATCTCACCCTCCACTCTATTCTAGGATGTTTTGGGCAGGTATGCAGAGCCAAAGTGTTGTTAGAGTTAGGAATACCACATTCCATGTCGTGTGCAGCGCAATAGCGGCGAAAAAATGAGTTTTGGCCCGGTCGCACACGGTCGCACAGTGGTCGCACACCGGTCGCACACATCCTGGGAAGCGTTTTGTGATCCCATCAGTAGTTTCCTGTCACACGCGTGTGATTCCCATCAGACGCTTGCTATTCCCGTCACACGCTTCCGTTCCGGGCAGACGCTCGCTGCTATTCCGGGCAGACGCTTGCTGATCCCATCAATATTTCTCGGGTGGCGGCTGGTGTCAGACATAGGATGCTGGGTGCACCATAGTCCGGGTGAATATCTAGTTATACCCAGTAACTAAAGGGGGGTGTATTACAATACCCCCAGTGTTCACTGGCCATTAGCTATAGGCCGTATCTTGATATCCACTCAGGTGGAATATACCTGGGTTTACCTTGGGTTTCCTCGCAATTCTGGCTTTTCGTGGGTGGGGAAACGGATGGATTGCAGCTATATAGGACAGATACGATATGGACCTGCCAACGTAAGCCTCGAGGCACGGCGCAATGCGACGACCGCGTTAGCTAGGCACGGGCTAGCGCGTCGACACGTCCGGCTTGCACCCCGCGCAATGCCCACTATGCTCGGGTGCGCCACCGACACGGCCGACAACTGCCGCGAAACACAGCGCAGCATTCAGAAGGTCGCCGACATTGACGGAAGCCGTCCTGTCAACGTCGGCACCCGCTGCTCGCTGCGCCGCACGACCCGCTGAGCGCGGACATGGCCCGCGCTTTCCCCGTCGCGCTTCCTCGGGCCGCATCTCCGTCGTCGTGCATCGCGCCGCCGGCGTCGCGCGCTGCCGCCCCGCCCGCCCTGATCCTTCCCGTCAGCGCTGCGCTGTCGTCCTCATCCCACAAAATGTGCGTGAGCACCGGCACGGCCGCCGCGACCTGCGCTGACGCCTTGCCATCGCAGCCTCGCGCGGGTGCGCCCACTTGCCGCGAGCCGCGCCGATTGACTCGTCGTGACAGTCTGCATTGCCGGGCCCAGTCCGGCCTCTCCTTGCCCGCGCGGTGTGTCCCGCTCCGCCCGATGTCGCCGTTGTTCCCGAGTCCCGGCAGCAATCCCTGCCGATCGTCTCCGCGGCGACAATAGTCTCCGTCCCTCGTGACTGACGTCGAGCGAGGCATCGTGCACGTCGTCGCTGACAGCAATGACGCTCATGGCGACACGTCGTGCAGGGGTGGGTGCCGTCGGATCATCGCGCAGATGAGTTGGCGGCTGCCCTAGGTGAGAGGCCGACAGCGTCCATTGACGTGAGGGATGACATCGGCGCTCATATACGCGCACGCGATCGGGGAGGGGGGGTTGTTTGCGAGACGCGTTTGGCTATCGCGATGATGAACTTGAGGCTGAGCGGACTTGCCGGATACGCGTGACAGACGGTGATAGTGGTGGGGGCTGAGGTGCGACGCAAAGGTGCTGGAGTTGATGGGAGCAGCAATGAAGAGGGGGGGAGGGGTCGTAGGGGGACAGGGCCGACATGGGCGAAAGTCAACATAAAACTTTGTAAGTGACGATTACGTGGTCTTTGTAGGTCGTGTCACGTACCTAGGGCCCAGAAAGCATTCCATACTCCCTTCCCTTTCGATTTCGATGCGTCTGAGCGGCGGGCGGGCGACCGACGACGAGGAGAGGAGGCGGACGGCGGCGGTGAGAGGCAAGAACTGGCGTGTGACATCACGTCACACGCGCATCAGTTGGCGCGCCACTCGGCGATTCAGGATCGCACAGCGCGGAATTCTCGCACTGGCAGCGCTCGGTAAGCTGGGTATATGCTCTTCACCTATATGTTGTTCATTTCAAACCTTGACCTTATCGTCTCCGGCTCGTCGGGACACTTACCGAGCTGCCGGACTCGGAGCGCGCGCGCCACTTTCGCGCTGTTTGGCGCTATACCCAATGTTCACAAAGGTTTATGGCAATATAAAACATTTCTCTATACAATAGATGTACATATGTAGCCCTGTATGAATTTCTATGCTTGCCCGATGCATGCAAGAGCCTGAATGGACCAAGGAGTGCGTCCAGTTTGCTTCGTCAATCTCGAGGTCGTACTGTCCCTCAATCGTGCCTTCCGACCTGCTCGACCTCATTTCCGCACCGTGTAAGTAGCTCTGCCCGGGTTTGAACCAAGGATCCCCTGTAGCTGTATGCACACTGTCTGTTCCGGCTAGTCCGCGGACCTGTATATTTCCCCTTCGACCTCTGGACGTTGCCGACGACGACGACGAGCCCTTTTCGGGGGTCGGACCGATCATCCGGGGGTCGCCGATCACAGCGTTCCGCCCGACGACGGCTGTGATTGCGAGCCCCCAAAGACCAATGACAGCACGAGCCCTTTTGTATCGTGTACTATACATAAAGATTAGCGCATATATGAAGGCAGGTGTTCTTTGAAGCTCTATAAAAGGTCAGAATTTGATTCCATCTCTTTGAAGCCCTTTATCAATCTCGGAGATGCTATTCCCAACGTTATCTGTACTCCAACGAAGCAAATCTTCATTAGCACGCTCTGTGTAGGTAGGAGAATATTGTCACAGCCTCCCAGATCAGCTTCTTGTGTCTAAATGTCTGTGTGAACACCTTAGTGCTGCATGTTGAGTTCAATGCTCAGATGCATTGACAGATATACTACAATACAGAGGTATAGTTACAGCATAAGTACAAGCTGCGTGCACTCGTAAACGAGCAGTACAGGAGTGCACGACGAGCGCGTGTAGCCAATGTATAGAGAAATGAGTGATACCTGTTTCTCGGATGCCACGATGCTCGCGCGTCATCATCGCGACACGCTTGAATGCATGGATGGAGAGGTTTGTATCCCGAGCGCTCGGAGGGGTGTAATGATGAGGTGGTGTCGAGATTGCGTGTGCAGGGTTGGGGAATTCCCGTCAGTGCTAGGTGCACACGAGGGCACCCGATCGCATGGCCACCAGGGCGCGCGTTGCGTCAGGAATATGAATTACTAGAACAAGGAAGGGGGCAAGGAGAGGAGGGAAGATGACACGAGGAAGCGGGAAGGTGGTCGGCTCTATTCCGTGCGATCGCCGACGTGCGCTGCGTGCTGTGAGCAGATCGTTGTCGATTGATGTTCCTATTTTGTTGATGCAGATATGGCATAGTCGACAAGGAGGGGTGGCCATGGCTTGACGCGCAAAGACGGAGAAGAAAGGCAAGGCCGTCGCCGCGGTGGTTGTGATCGGCCACGTGTTATTTTCAACGCGCGTCGCGCTGCAGCGTGCCCGAGCGGGTAGCCAAGAAAAAGCCAGGGAGATTAGCGAAGAGCAGCGTCGGCGTCAGTGGTGGCGGCAGGAGGGGAGCGGCGATGATCAGGGAGCGCCGCGGCGGGAGGCGATCGCGATGGCGGCGGCAGCAGCGGCGCCCGGCGTGCGCGGGAAATTTTCCCATCAACCGCATCCCGCGCGGATCGGCGCGGCGAGCGCGACCTGCCCGATGCGGGCGGTGTGTGTGACGAGCCCTAGCCTGCCCGATGCGGCGATGAGGGCAGCCATCAGCAATCATCAACCCAGGTAATCTCGTGAGACTCTCCAGAAGCCATCAAAAGGATTTCGAACCCGACCATATACCAGATATACCAGAATAATGGAGGGAGGAATATGTGAAAATAGGTAGGGAGGAACAACGAGATATGGCCTATAGCGACTGGTCAGTAATGATAGGGTATATTGTAATACACCCCCCTATGGTTACAGGGTATATCTTGATATTCCTAGGGACAGACCTCGCTGGGTGACATTTTTCTCAGTACGGGGGCCTTGTGTTATAGGATTTATGTGCTCTTAGGACTCGTCTTTAGTTGTGACATGGTCCACCATTCGGCCGGGGAGCGTACCACCCAGCCTCACGCGGTCGCACACCGGTCGCACACCGGTTGCACACTGGTCGCACACTTCCTGGGAAGCGTTTTGTGATCCCATCAGTAGTTTCCCACACTTCCCGTCACACGCTTGTGATTCCCATCAGACGCTTGCTGATCCCGTCACGCGCTTGCGTTACACCTGCCTTTCCGGGCAGACGCTTGCTGCTATTCCTGGCGGACACTTGCTCAATATTTTTTGGGCAGCGCCTGGCGTCCGACATAGGATGCTGCGCGAGATTTTCCTCAGTGCAGGGCCTTGCATTATACTATTGAGGTGCTCTTAGGACTCGTCTTTAGTTGCAACATGGTCCACCAATCCACCAGGCAAGGCTCCGCCCAACCTCGCGCGGTCGCACACCGGTCGCACACTGGTCGCACACCGGTCGCACACTTCCTGGGAAGTGTTTTGTGATCCCATCAGTAGTTTCCCACACTTCCCGTCACATGCTTGCTGATCCAGTCACACACCTCCGTCACACTTGCCTTTCCCGGCAGACGCTTGCTGCTATTCCGGGCAGACACTTCGTGATCCCATCAATATTTTCTGGGAGGTGCTCGCTGTCAGCCTCAGAGTTGTCCATGTTTGCTGGTTGTCTGTTTGGAGGGCTTGGTTGACTTGTAGGCATGGTTGGCAGCATGTAATAGGGTCCCTCCTCCTTTCTTTGTCGGACATCAGTCCCGCAGCTACATATACTTTCTGCGTACAAAGTTCATCACTGCCATGACGCTTGTTGGCTCCCCCGTCGCATCCTGGTCCGCGATCCACTCCGCAAACTCGCGCACAGTGTCCCAACTGTGTTTACGCGCTGCATGTGGAGACCTGGACCTCCTAGGTCAGGGCTACTCTCGAGTCACCTCGCTCGGGGACTCGTCTTTGTACTTTACTGACGCATGGTTGATAAGATTAGATACGAATGGGGTCAAAAAGGCCTATTACATACGAAGAATATCATCTTTCCTACTTCCATCACCTTTTCGCCGGCCTACGGCTCGGTCTCAAGTCCCTTGTAGGCTCTCAAGCCTCGGGCCGCGGATACTTCCCGTGTCACGCGCTACGCGCGCTCCCGCACGTCCTAGAGCGACCGGACTTACCGTTGCCTACGGAACGTGCCACGAGCACGTGTTCAACGCGTGTTTCGACTCTCCCGCGCCTCTACGAGGCCGCTCCGTCGCCAGTAGGCGACCACTCCGTGTCGGCTCCCGCTCGACTGGTGAGCGACCCCCCCGTGGAGCTAACGAGCCTCCACAAAGTGGACGTTAAGGGGTCCCAGTCGAGCTACGGTCCGTACTTTGCAGCTGCTTCCGTATTGGGACGAGAAACCTTTGACTGGCGAGGACCGTCTGGGTGGTGCGTGAGGATTGCCAGGATCGCCGGCTTTGACATCCGCACCTTCTCGTCCCCGTATTTGGAGCTGCCTTACCCCTCAATCATTCTGCAATCACGTGCTGCTAGCTATGTCCGAGACCAGTCGCCGGAGTCTTATGCGTGCGGCAGACCGTGCCTACTACGGTGAGTATAAACCAGCATGCCCTATTCAACCTGACTCGCTACGCAACCGCGTGTATGGAGCTGCATCCTGGAGCTCGAAGCTACGTGCAGATGGCTTGATCTCGTATGATGGTGGACTGGGTGAGCGGAATATTGAGGCGAGAGAGTTTGCACGGTATCTGGAGGATCTTGCCATGGAGATGCAACCTGTACTGGACACGCTGGTAAGAGCGACGGTGGCTGATCATGAGCAAGCACCGAAGGCATGGCGGTTCGAGATGAAAAAACATGCCGACTCCTTGCGAGAGGCGAGAAGTCATATCGACCTCTCGCGCGCGCACATGCGTGCCACCTGGCAATGCGGAAAGGCTGTTCGTTTCTACCGGAAGTACCGCCAGCAGGCGGAGGACCTTGTGCGCGCTGCCTCTCAGCCAGACCTCGCTCTGCAAGCAACAGACCCACCAGCCTCTATCAAATCTAATGCTGCGCACCAACCCTTGCGCGTAGCTCACGAGTGCCCTTCGGCCGTGTTGGACCCTCCGACTCAAGCTGGTGCGCCATCCTTGCCTCTGCCAGGAACGCCGGCAGAGGAAGAGGAGGTCGGGCATGGATCGCCAGCCCATGCACCTCCTCATAAGGATGTAGAGCACTTGGCCAAGGAGGCGTCAGGCAGGGCGGACAGCGCAGTGAGGGTGGTGGTTGAGCCGCAGCAGCAATCTTTTGGCTCAGCACTTGCCAGGAGGGTGAACGAAGCAACGCAACGAGTGTCGTGTGCTCAGCGCACACCTTCCGAGGCAGCACGGCCAAGCCATGGAGAACGACTCCCAAATTCGGTGCCAACACGTTCATTGCAGTCTCGTGACTGTCCTCCGCATCTCGCTCTCATGCCACTTGCTCCGACACCACACAATAAGCCGGTGGCAGAGACTCAGACGCGTCATGCAACGGGCCCCAGAGCGCACGACGGATTCACCACGAGTCCGCATTCACATCAGTGCTCTTCCCGTGCCAGCGGCCCCGTACCCGCACGGGGGTGGGTCAAAGACGCGCAGGAAGCGATCCCCCCTCTCGTACAGGAGAGTGAGGAGAATTTGCTTGAGGGTCTTCGACAAGTCCAGACGATGGGGGGCGTGGCAACGGGTGAAGCGGGGCGGACACGCTGCGTACAGATCAATGCACCTTCAGAGGCGATGGGCTCACCGTGCGTACTCTCAACGCTGGGCCGGCCTTCTGCACCGTACCGAGCGGTAGCCCGGCGTTACTGGCCAGCCGCGCGGACGGAACAACGTCCTGCGTGTTCAGCGAGTCCACGCGAGCCAGCGACCGCTGAGGATGAAGTCAGCACGCAAGAAGGAAACGGAGCACGACGTGCACCTTGGTCGGAGACGCTCCGGGCTGCACGGTCGCCGCGACAGCGTCTCTCGTCGTGTCCCGCGCCCGCGCCCGGGCTCATGATAGCCGCGCGAGAGCCATCTCGCGTAGCCGTGTCGTCGAGGGCGAAGGCCGAGAGGCCGCCAAAGACGCGTATGGAGTTCCTGGCGGGCGCGGCTTCCCCGTGGCGCTGTCCCTCTTCAAGCGACTCCGCACCCGTGCTTGAGCTAGTTGAGGACGTGCAAGAGGCAGCGGTGTCATCAGCGAAGGTTTTGAGGCCGTCCGAGAGCGCAGGGATCAAGTCTTCACGGATGGGGGGCATGAGTGCGAACGAATGGAAATGCCCGTCAAACGTACCTCCGCCGCCAAAAGTACTGGCACTGCCATCCCGCACCGTGGCGTCGTACGACAAGTCGGACGCTCCCGCCCGCTCGCAAACCACGCAGTTGGTGCTCGCGCGCGAGCTGGTGAGCCCTGAGCTCGCCGTCAGCGCACGAGAAGGGAGCAGCGCGCAATGCGCACCTCCGGACGAGTCGCGGAAGGTAGACGTCGCGCATGCGCAAGCATGGCGCAACTTGTCAGCCGCACAGTCTCGGACGAGTCTCGCGCCACCGGCCAATCTGAAGGGACTGGCAGGTCCAAAAGACGTTAGCGGGCAACGGGAGAGTGGCGCGCGACGCGCACCTTGGTCGGAGAAGCGCTTGGTCAGGCATCCACAGCGGCGACATCTCTCTTTGCATGCTTCCACGCCTATCCCTCTTATTCCCGGAACTAAGGGTAGTTCCGTAACTCCAAGGTCCCTACCACTCCAAGGGGGTCGACTTTTTTTGAGCCTCGGATTAAGGCGCCAAACCTGCTAATCCGTGCCCTGGTCAACACTCTTAGGAGGACTTGACCGCAGGTACTCGGATTAGTGGATGTGATGCGCTAATTCGGATGGTTGCCTGCTCGAATTAACGTGTTCAACACGCTAATCCGCCACACCGGCCGGCCGCGGCGCCGAATTAGTCGACTGAACGCGTTAATTCGGCACCCTGACGCGACCGACGCGGCCGCCCTACCGGCCGCCACCTCGGATTAGCGGATTGAACGCGCTATTCCGGAACACACTTTCGGACAACGCGGCCGCCCGGCCGGCCCGTGCCTCGAATTAGCGCGTCGAACACGTTAATCCGCCTCCTCTCTTTGAAGGTGTGATGGACCGGCCAGCCGGGCCTGTAGGATTAGCACGATGAACGCGTTAATTCGGGCGGCAAGTGTGCATGACCGGCCGCCCGGGTTGCCGAATTAGCGGGCTGAACGCACTAATCCGCCTTACATGATTCCTTCTATCCTGCCCGCATAGGACAGGTATGTCAACAAATGCAGGCACAATGTATTGTTGCAATGGTAAGCTGGTCCGGCCACGCAGGTTGCCGAATTAGTGGGATGAATGCACTAATCCGTCCTACACAATTCCTTCCATCCCGCCCTCCGAGATAAGGTATGTCAACGGAGGCAAGAACGATGTTATATTGCAATACTCAGCTCTGTCCTACACGTCAATAATTGTCATCTGTACGAGTACACTACTTCCGAATTAAGCAAGTGTTTTGGTTAATCCGAGCTCACATCCTCTCCACGGATTAGCGGGATGAACGTGCTAAATCGTCACGTTGGATGGTCAAGCAGAATACATACAATGCTGCTCGAATTAACGCGTTGTCCTGGTTAATCCGTTACTTCAGGTAAAGCACATGATCTTGCCAGTATGCACGCACTCTGCGGCTCGTTCCATTTTAACCAACTATTTTCCTTAATTCGTTGACCAGCGCATGTGATTGTGCTGCAAGCGCGTGCGTGGCTGAGTCTCCGACCGGCCGGTTTCACATGCTTGGCGCACACGCGGGCCGGCCACAGTGTCGGGCCGGTCCCACTCACGTGTATAGGTCACCAGGCCCAAGTCGCGGGCCGGCCGCACAGCCGCTGTGGGAACCATCTTTGCTGATCACAAAACGTGTGATGGTGCGCAAGGCAGCCATCGCTCGCCTTATTACGCTTTGTTAAAGGTAGCTGAGAGGGAGAGGACGTGCAAACATTTCGGATCAAGTCAGACTACAGTCGCATTCCTACGCTACATAAGATACATGGCACGACGCGCATCCCAGAGTGCCCGGTGCATTGTGGCCGGCACTACCAGCGCGATCACCGTAGGTTCCTTCTCCGAGTCAGTCCCATTCACAACCTTCAACCCGGGTCAGTAAGCGCTCTCTCAGATCGGCAGATCAGCGTACCGTCCTTGCCATTGCATGTGTCCCTTTCCCCTCGTTGTACGGTGCGCCCGGGGCATCCGTTTGACCATCCGATACTGCAGGTAAGACGCCGGTGCACCCATGTTGAGCGATGGCACCGGCCGCGTCTGGATCCGGTCGCCCAACAGCCATCGTCATCGTCGTTCGATCACATTTGAGGGGCTCTACGTCCTGGTCAGCGATCAGCCTAATCGGAAGACCTGCCACGCACCTTTGAGCGCGTACGAGGCAAGATCAGCCCTCCCAGTCCAGCACTCTACATCTCCCCCATCTCTGTCCAGAGCGAAAACAGCGAGGCCGGAAGTCATGTCTTTGCCAATGATGGCACTGCGCAGAATAATGTTCTCGTCCAGTTGGAGTTTCTCAGAAGACGAAACAACATTTGTCCACGTGCATGGTAGACCGGGCCGCCTATTGTCCCGGCCGCACCCGTGCGTGTGAACGTTCCCCAGCAGGTGTCCGCAAGGCAGCTTGCGTCTTGCAATCGTTGTCCCCAGGGCCGCTGGTAAGCTCTCGGTCGTGATAATCCAGCTCCTCATCTTGGACTTGACGGGGCCCATACTGATAAGTGCACACAGAGCTCGTACCCCACATATCGCTTGGTGATCAGCAGTCATCGCACAATGAGCAGCAAGACACCGAAGCAGCAGGTTCAAAAGCTGAAGGGCAAGGCGGTACGTCCATTATATACCGGGAGGCTGATTGCTGACGCCTCCTAGGGTCCCGAACCTGGAACCTCGGCCGCCTATACCACTCCTTTGAAGCAAGCGTTCACGACCTTTGTGAGTGATGTGCGCACCGCCTGCGTGCTCGTCCTGACGGTTATTAGAAGACCGCCGACGGAGGAAGTCACACCCCCGTGGTGCGTGACTCGCCCAGCTGCACAGAACGACGCTTGACACCTTTATTTTAGGGAGACAAGCTGGTCCCGCGCGTGAAAAATAACCAGGTACGCTTTGTCTGTTTGCACGCTATGCGCACTGGCTCAGGGCATGTTTATAGGTCCCCGCGTATCTCGGACTACCACCCGAGCTCACCCGGGGCAAGGGAAAAATGAAGGAGACTGTAAACCCCCGTGAGCTATCCGACGACCCGATCCGCACCTCTACCCAGAAATCGGTACGTACGCATCGGCCATACCGGACCGCCCGCTCACAGCACCTCTCAAGCTCGGGTCCGAGGACGACGGGCTATCATCGAGTTTCTGGAGGGCGGCCAACGCTATGGAGATCGATGGGGTCCGTACACCATCTGCGATTGAGCGTTGATCACAGCTAACAGTCTGCTAGATTCAAACAGGTCTCAATGACGCTCAGAGGGATGCTCGCCAGGATGCCTTGGTTCGCATCCGTACATCCACCTTGCAGATCGCCTCTGACGCGCCAGCAGAATCAGCCACGGCCGGACACTGCGACGTCGCTGGAAGCCACAACGGACGAGGAGGAGGAGGAGGAGGAGGAGGAAGGAGAGGAAGAAGGTGTGGATGGGGAGGAAGAAGGTGTGGATGGAGAGGAGGCGTATGAGATTTCAGGCGAGGGCGAGGCTGAGGAAGCGGATATGGAGCAGAATGACAACAATGACAGTGTTACCGATGATGAGGACGCCCTGGAATACGCGGACGACGAGAGCAGCAGTGTAGAAGGGGACGATTTGGATAGGAACGGCACGGACGCAGAAGAGGTGCGTGGATCACTCCTCATTTTTGCTTGTGTGATTATGCTGACCCTGATTGCATAAGGATGCGGAGATGGGCGATGAGGACGGGGTTCACCGTACCCGCGGACGCGGGGAAAGCATTGTGGTGCGCTCTGCCGGCTCGTCATCTAATCCTCACTGACGAAGCGCAGCCTACAGAGCCTGAACTGGACAGCGACGGCAACTCTCCTCCCCGCCCGGTTCCTGCGGCACTCAGCCAGGATCCTGCTTCTCCAATGGCTTCTCAGCCTCCGCCACCTGACATGGGATGGCTCTTCAGTGATAATACGCCGGCCGCCCGCACCCACAAGAACCCACCGCCTGATCGAGGGAATACATTCGTGCGTTGGCTTGTTCTTTCCTAAGCCTTTGTTTTGAGCAACTCCCAGGACATTGAACTCGAGGAAGAGCTACCCAGGCCACCCGGGTACAAACCAAAACCAAAGGCGCTGCCCGCAGCCCACCCGCCCTCACCCAGTCCCAGTGTTTCGCAGCTGCCGCCGCCATCCCTGAATGTTGCTCCGGGTCCGTCCGTTGCTCCTGGTCCATCTATTCCCTCCGGTCCGTCTGTCGCGCCAGGACCGTCTGTTACTCCGAGTCCGTCTGTCGCTCGTAAGAGCATCCCGAAGCCTCGCCCACCGGCCCCGCGCAGGCTAGTCGCAGCCGCTACCGTTGACGTGAGTAGCTGTCACAAAGAAGACAGACCAGGCATGTACTCACTCCTCGTAAAGCTCAACGACAACGACGGCGCGGACCAGCTATTCCCCACGATGGCCGTGCGTTTTCTATCTCTACCCGTCATTTATGCGAAGCTGAGACATCCACAGGACCGTGAGCGTGAAGCAGCACTGACCATTTTGCGTCTTGCATCCTGCATGGGCTGGGGCCTCGTTTGCGTCGTGCGGCCAGACTTGGGCTATCCCACGCACAGGGTAGTTCTGACTACGCAGCACGGTAACCGCGACATTGACCGAGCCAACCTTGAGCGGTTCTTCGAGCTCATACGAACGGGCAACTTCCGGCCGCGCAGCCCCGAGCACGCAATCGTCATTATCGTACCCGATGGCATGATTGACGAGACGTCCTTGACTCTGCGCATGGACGTTGAGCTCCAGCTCGTGACGCTCCTCGATGGCGCGGCTGGAACGGCACTTCAGGCAAATGGCAACCACCGTGCGGAGGCACAGCGGATTGTGTTCTGGGCGTCACAGGGACTCGAGGGCCGGCGGTACGATGATACAGTGTGGACGCCTGACCTGCTGAAGCGTGCGATGGATCCGAAAGGGGATGGCGTCTGCGCCGCCATATTTTTCAGACAATGTACGTATTCCTTTGCCTGACTACTACTGCCTTCAATAACCTATCTTCAGCCGTGCTGGAGAAGTCTCCGTATGGAAAGCTGTTTGTCCACGACCTCGTGACGAACAACAAGATGGGCGTACTTGGTGACTCGGACTCGCGGCAGCTGTACCGCCTCATGCTCCAGCTCTTCTACGCTAGAGGGCAGTCCGCGCGGATGGTTGTCTACGGCGAGGCCACGAGCAATGCGTACAGCGCGAACGTCAAGATCATCATGACTAGCCAGCAACAGGCGCGCGAGATGCTGCCCGACTTTGCCGCCTGCCGGCCGTTCACACGTGACGCCGAAACTCTGGCCGCATCGTTCAACGTCCGCGCCTACTTGATTCTTGGCCGGGGATTTATCACGGTATGAAGCCCTGCACCTCTCGCACGTCTTCTTGCTGATTGAGAATATCAGGTCATCTCGCTTTATTGGATGAGCTTGAAGGCGCTTCTCTTTGTCGGAATGCACGTCCGCTTCACCGTCGACAACGTGCTTGATCGCGCGGTCGGCGATCCGGACGTCGCCGAGTTCTTCGCGCAGCAGGACCTGTCGTGGAATGATATTCGCATGTCGCGCTTCAAGGATGCAGTCCTCCTGGTTTGCGAGATCGTTGTTTCTGTTGCTGAGGAAGTCTTCGCCACCATCCCTAACCACGCGTTCATGGCCGCGATCAGAAACCAGCTCCTCGACGGTGCATGCGACATTACCAAATGGGAAGAAGGGCCCGAGTGGCTGGCCATTATGCGCGGCGCCTACCGAACGCTGCACGGCAAGCTCCAAACGGCCCTGCGGGAATTTCTCACACGTGAACATCCGCCCGCCATTGCCCAGGACATCAACACTCTCTCACTGCAGACCCTTCCCGACTTCATCTACGCCCTTTCTCTTCTCGATTCCACGACCACGCCCATCACGCCGATGAGGTGGAGCGCGCGAATACCCGTCTTCTGCCCGTCGATCCTTCATCTCCTGATCGCAGAGCTCGCGCAGGATCACTGGGGCGTGGTCGCCAAGTGGCATATTACACTGGTGAGCATCTAAGCTGGGTTCGACCGCTTCGCTTAGCGTTTTGCGCGGCCGCCACCCTCCGGCAAATCGCGCAGCTGCTAAAGGCAGATCCTGCGACGATGGATCGGTCATGGTGGCTTCGCGTGCGACGTGCCGCGTCTCCGATTCAAGACCTAACCCAACTCCCAGACAATGTCCATGGTCATACCTGGACTATGCGCGCAGCCTATAAGGCCCGGTACGACATCCGACAAGATCATCAGCCTCATGTCACCATTCGATCTCTTCCGCGCATGGACGATCAAGCATGCCCAGCAGCTCGGCTACGTCGGATCCACAGACGGCCTTCCTCTGGCGCTAGACACCGCCATCATGGGTGTGCGTGACGTCTATCGGTTCGCCTTCTTCAGCTGACCTTGCAACAGATCCTCAGCTTCGTCCTGCAGAGTGGCCCGTTCCTCACAGATGCCAGTCTCATGCGCGATCTTGCGGGCGTCCAGACGTTCCAGGACAATCACGACGACCCATTGTCCATGGCCGACGCTCTGGGGGGCGTCTTGAAGGGCTGGTGGAAGCAATGGGCCCCAATCCGCAGGAGGGACCAGCAACGCGCATGCGAAACGGAGCACCAGATTCCCGACAGCATCGTACAGCAGTACCTCAAGCTCGACACCGTCCCGGATGCCTTCCTTGCGTCGGATGACGCCCCGGAGATGCTGTCGACCTGCGTGCACATGTTACGGCTGTGGCCGCACGGGGTACTCTGTCGTGCTGCCGAGCTTCCATCCTACTCCTCGAGCGCTGCGTCGTACCAGAAGACGGTCTGCACTGCCGTAGTGGATGCGTTCTATGCCGCTCCGTATACCCGCATATTCCTCGACCATCCTAGCCACGAGATCATGGCCAACCTGCTCATTGCAGTACGCACCGCTGTCACGGAGTGCCTCTACTTGCCGGAGCCCTTCACCCCATTCTCGCACGCTGCAGCCTTTGCGCCCTCACCTGATGCCGTGGAGACTTCCGGCACCTTTGCGGCCTATGCGTTCCGTATGCCCAGCAAGGAGTGGAACAGCATTGCGTACACCCAGAACGATTTGACGACGCCCGACGACGAGGCCGCCGCTCCCGAGGAGCGCGCTGACGCCAGCGCAAACGGCCCCGCCAGTGGTCCCGAGGAGAGTGGCAGTGGCGCAGGAGGCGCCGCCACCGACCGGGCCGCACGCGGCGGTCGTGCTTCCCGCCGGACCAAGGCTGCTTTGGTGCCTCCACCCTCGATTGTGCTACCACGGTCCACCAACGCCATCCATCCTGCATTTGAGCCCACGACATCTCACTTCAAGGGGGACGAGGCGCGCATCCTCCGTTCCCTTGACGACTCCGCAATCGAAAAAGCCCAGGCGAGCGCTCAAGGGCTCAGTGACTACTCGCGCACCTTCTTGACCAGCAAGATGAAGCTCGTCCCCTGCGTCGATGCACGCGGCGGGCAGACAATCCCTGAAGACCTCCTGGCCGCGCTTCGTCACGTGCATGAGGTACGCACTCCCCTCCATAATGCATTTCTGAGTTTCTCACATGGCGTATGTTCCAGCTGACGTGCAAGTACATCGCACACTTCCATGGCGGGCAGACGACAGAGGATCGGGAGGCCGCAACAGCGCTCTTGCTCAGCAAGGTCCCCCTTCCTGGCGTCGCGGCTACCCCTGATGAGCTGCAAGCCTTTCTTGACGGCGTCCCACATAAGAAGGGGCAGGCGGGTGTCTCCGTCAGCGTCTTGCAGCCGTCGGAGGTACAGGCCGCGAACAAGGGGAAGCCCAAGAGCGGGAAGCGCACGGCGTCGACCAAGTCTCGCGGGCGCAGTACGAAGGACGCGACATCTGACGCGGGTGCTAGGTCGGCCGTGTCATCCTCTACGGACGCCGCCGAGGCCGCACGTGGGACTGCTCGCCGTACGTCGAGCCCATTCGAGGAGTCCCGCAGTTCGTCTACCCAGCTTTCCGTGACGCACGCCACCCTTGCGGACCCGCGCACTGGCATACCGGCAGTAGAGCGTGGGCGGGCGCCACGACCGCTCTCCAGCGGGCCACCGGCTCTCAATCCCGTACCACCCACTCGCACAAAGGGCAGAAAGAGGCCGACCTACAAGAGCGATGAGTTCGTTCGCAATGACAGCTCGCAGGAGCGTCCTCCTATCCCGTCCTTCTTCCCTCTACAAGGCAGTCATGCTTCCGCGTCCGGCAGCCATCCGCGTCAGCCTCGCGCGCCAAGCGATATCCAGGGCGCTGCATCGGAGAGCGAGACGAGCGGGTCATCGGCCGTTCAGAGTGCCACCAGCTCTCGCGTCTATGGTATACCCGCGCTCCCCCGCCCACCCTCCCGCGATGCGAGCTCCGCGGGATCGCGAGCATCGTCGTCTAAGCGCCGCGAGCGCTCTCCGTCAGATGATGGTTCTCCAGCGGGTGAGAAAGACGCGCCGGCCAAGAAGAAGACCAAGAGCAGAAAGAGCGACGCGGTCAAGAAGAAGGCAAGCGGGAAGAGGTAGTCCCTTGTCGTATGTTGAGTGTCTCTCCACCTCCGATACCGCGCGTTTACTTTCCGGATTATTGTTACGCTGTATGTCATATTCTACAATACCTATAACTGAGCGTGCTCGCCTGAATGAGCTGGCGTTGCTTTACCGCATTTTTTGCCTCATTTAGGGCGCACCTACCTCACGCGTAAGCACGCCTGGAGTCGGGCCGTATCGGGTACCAGCATCCGTGACGTGGGATGGCCGTTTTGCGCCGATCGCATCCGATAAGGGCTGCGCAGGCGATCTCGCCTGCCTTTTTCATTTCCTACCGCCATCACCATTGCAGATCGCACATTGCGGTTGGGCCCGTTCCGCTTGCCATGTCCACTCTCCCATCTGTGAGGGGATTTCTCTGATCGTTCACCGTCGCTCTAACCCATGCTTGCAGCTGTCGGTGCTCTGGCACGCGGCCGAGCACGTCAGGGAGAAGAAAAGTCATCTTGCTCCGGTCGTTGAGCAAGCGCAGGTCCAGCGCCCACACGGAATGGGTTACGTCCGTGTCGCCCCTCCTCCCTCTACCTCGGACCTGCTTCTCCCGCCTTCCCACCGCTTCAGAAACGCCCAATCGTCCAAGCCACACGAGGACCATACCGACGTCCCCCGCATCAGCCCACTCTTGCTCCACACGCACTGGCACACTCCCACCGAGCCCCTTGATGATGCCATTCTGACTGCCTCTACCGCTTTTCGGACAGAGGAAGAGGCCACAGGCTTGGTCGCTTCTGTGTCCATGTACTTTAACGAGGCGATCGGCCTCATCAACAACACGGACGCCCTCGTTCGCCAGCAAATCAACACGCCTGATCCCGCAAAGTACGTCGATCTCGTTCGTGGCCTGCATTGCATACGCCTGACTATATCTGCACTTGCAGGGGTACTGACACTGAGCCGCTCCAGCCAGTCATAAAGCCGACTGAGAGCAAGAGGGGCGACCCGGAGGATTGGTCAGAGGGCCAGCAGAGGCACGCCCTCGCCGTATGCTGACGCGCTACAATCTTTTCATTTCCCGAACGCACATTTTACGCATTATCATTACTCTGAACGTCATATATTCCACAATAACCATAACCGAATGCCTCGGCCTGAATCATCGCATTGCCACCTTACCGCTTTTGCGCTGCCCGAACAGGGGCTTGTCTCCGTCGCATAAGGTTTCGTGTGACTTCGGACGGCCGTTCCCTCGCTATCGCACCGGCATCATCCGAGGCTGCCCATGCGTTCTCACCTGCCTGTCTCTCTTCTTACCGCCATCTTCGTCGTGTCCCCCACACCGCCCTAGCGCCCCCTCGTCTCACCATGGCCGCCGCCGGATCGGTGAGTGGATTCCTCTGATCTTTCACGGTCTCTTTAACTTACTCTCACAATAGTCCTCGTCGTCTACACTGCCCAGGCCATCGCAGGCTGGGCCCGCCTTTCCCTTTGTGCGTGGCATTCCAGTCAACACATCTGTGTTGCTAATTCTCACTGTACAGAACTACGATAATTCCCTGGAACAGCCGGATGAATTTAAACCGTTTTCGTTCATTTACAACCGCGTCGAGCGGGTCCCGATCTGCACTAAGTGCGACTGTATCGTACGCGATGTCGCCACGCATCTCCAAAACAAGAACCACGCGACCGGCCGCCGTGCAGTTGCCGACCAGGCGCAGATCAAGGCGTATCGCAGGAAGCTCGTAGCCCTTGATTCACACCCCAACGAATCTCCCATCCAGCCAGCTAAGACGGCGCGCCCATTCATCGCTGGGATCAGCGTCAAGTGGGCCTACGTCTGCACAGGCTGCACGGTTGTGCGGAAAGAGCGTCGGCACACCGCCCAGCATGTCAGAGAGAAGAAATGCCATACCGCTCCGGTCGTCGAGAAAGCGCAGGTCCAGCGCCCATATAGAAAGGAGTACATTCGCGTCGCCCCTCCTCCCTCTACCTCGAACCCGCTTCTCTCTTCGTTCCACGACTTCGAGAAGGCCCAAGCGTCCGAGCCACAGGAGGTCCCTACCGATGTCCGCCTCGTCAGCCCACTCCTGCTCCACACGCTGTGGCACACTCACACCGAGCCCATTGATGATGCCATTCTGATCGCCGCTACCGCTTTCCCGACGGAGAAAGAGTTCCCGGGCTTGGTCGCGCTAGTACGCATGTATTTCAACGAGGCAATCCGCCTCATCAACAGCACGGACGCCCTCGTCCGCCAGCATATCAACACGCCTGAGCCCGCAAAGTACGTTGATCTAGTTCGTGACCTGCATTGCATGCGCCTGACTATGCCTGCACTCGCAGGGGCATCAATCGTGAACCGTTCCACACGATCACCCAGCCGTCCGACGAGGCCTACGCTGTTCCTGTTATCCGCCTGCTTGCAATGCTGATGCGCGACCCGAAGGACCTAGCTCTTCCCACCGACCCCACCCTGTCCCGTGTCGTCGACCGGCTTGCAGAGCGTCTTCGTCTCCCCAAAGACCATCCTAAACGTGCGAGCATAGTGGATGTCCATCGTGTGCTGACCGAAGTCTGGTTCCGCGAGTGGCGCCGCAATCAGCAGGGAAACTCGCTCGCCGATCCCACGATGGCCTTCCTCACTTATGCCAGCAAGAAGGAGGATGGGAGTTTTGTCACCGAGAAGGACCTTACCGGCACCCTCGCTCATCTCACGCGCGGCATCCGCTTGACCACCATCTTCGAGCTGCAGACGCAACTTACGGAGAGGACTGCGTTCGACCAGTTCACGGCCGTCAAGCCCCTTCTCCGCTTCGTGCAGGAGAACGAGTTCTCGGCGTTCGCTAGCATACGCTCTCTCCAGCACTACGCTACAGCTCTCGCGTACAACACCCTCGCGCTGCCGCGCATCTGGTGGACGGACGACGAAGCGCATGAGGAGCTTCTCTATCATGGTCAGAAAATCAGCGTCCCGCAGATCCGCGACATCGTTACTCGGTTGCACCGTGATGCAATCAAGTTGTTCGACGAACTCACGGAGGGCCTCGACACCACGGTCCCGTACGCGAAGTTCGTCGACAACCTGCAGGAGAACAAGCCCGGCTATTCGTTTACCAACACGGAGGATGACCCCTCCCTTCAGGCGCTCTCCCAAGGTTTCGCAAAGGCCTTTCTCTCGTCGACGAAGCTCAAGTTCCAGAGGGAGGATGGTCTCGGCCTTGACACCGACCGGGCGCGTTGGTGGATGCGCAAGCTTGCCAAGCTCGAGAAGCTTATCATGGTCATTGTTCAGATGAGCAGCGGCGGACCCGCCAGAGGGACGGAGATGTGCGCGCTCCTCGCCCGCAATACCGCGTACCGTCTTCGCAACCTGTTCCTCTTCTCGACGTGCATCGCGCTCGTCCGACAGTACAACAAGACGACGAACCTCTTCCAGCACGACAAGGTCATTCCCTGTTCTCTCGACGGTGTAGCCGGTGACCTCATCGCCCGCATCCACTTCTTCCTCCGCCCGATCGCCGCGTACTTTGCATCGGTCCTCTGGCCGCTCCAGAAGGGACTTCCCAAAGCGTACCGGGACATGCTGTTCATGGATAACGGCGCGCTGTTCACGAGCGAGAAGCTCAGCGACGCGATAGGTGATGCCTCCGGTCGCGTGCTTGGCTGGCGCCTCGGACTCAACTCTTGGCGGCATATTTATATTTCGGTCAATCGTGAAAAGATTCGTGATGCATCTGCGGAGCTCTCAGTAGCAGAGGAAATTGACGCGCTTCAAGCCGGCCACTCTGCGGCTATCTCGAATCAGATTTACGGTCTCTCGCACGCCGTGCTATCCGGGCTGTCGCCGTCCATCGTCAAGAACTACCTCAAGAATAGCGACCGCTGGTGCCGCGATGTCCTGCGCCTCATCCCCGGTGGACATTTGCGCAGATATGACGAGTGTACTTCCGACTACTATGACAGCGTCTTTCCGCCCGCACCGCCCCCCATACCTCCTCCTCCTCCACCGCCCCCCCCCGCGCCGGCGGCCGCAGCTGCCGTCAACGCCGACAGTATCAACTTTCTCGTATCCGCCATGACTTCACTGTCTGCCACTGTGTCCCAAATTGCCACCCGCCAGGAAGAACTATTCACCATGATTACTGCTCAAGGCGCGCAGCCGCCTCCTTCTTCACCTCACAGTGTGTTTTCCACGATTTAGCGCGTTCTTGCAGCTAATTCGCCCGCAGGCCGTCCGAAGCCGACGTTCCAGCCTCCCCAACTGCCTCCTCGCACTCCATCACCTCGACCTTACGGACATGGCACTCATGCCGCCCCTCAGCAAGTTGCGTTTGAAGACGATCAAATTATGCAGAGCCCTCCACCGCCGGCAAGCAATCCGCCAGGGGCATATGACACAGGTAAGGGTGCTAATTCAGATAAAGACAGAAGCCCCTCGCTCACTCTGCGCAGCCGCCCCTCGTCCGCGCGCCAGGAGAGAGGTCCGTGCACTCGGCGACGCCTTTGAGCATGTACCCGATCTCGATCGGGACAACGACATAGAGATGCACGTCCAGGGTGTTGATGATCAAGACATGTACGAAGCGAACCCTCCCGAAGCTGGCGGTACTCCTATACTGCCTTTTGGTGGGTCAGTCCCCGCATTCATGCGTTCTCTGTTCTGATTGACCCAGACCAACTTCCTCCGGAGGACGCTGTTGCCGAGTCCCCTGGCTTCGGTTCGTTTGTCGACCGCCGGCCTGCGATATACCTGATTGCGTCCCTCAGATCGGTATCGTGGAACACTCTACGCTGCGTCATCTCCACCGCCTCCTCCCTTCACATGTGCGCCATCCCTCTGCATGATTGTCGTGTTCGATTCGCTAAATCCATGTTTAGCTCTCCCACGCCCTGCGCGCAAACAAGGTCATGCTGACGCATCTTCCGCTAATCCTCGCAAGTTGCGTAAAGCAGCTCGTAAAGAGGCTCGCCTGGACAGTAAGTATCATTGGTCTGTGCACTCTCCATGCAACTGACCGTCGCTAGGCAACCCTCTCTTTGCTCCTATGTCTGATGTTCCAAGCTCAAGCCAAGTTGAGATCGGTACGTCCGAGGCCCGTCGCTCTTGCGGATGGATTTTCTCATGCGCCGTGTAGTAGAACCGCAAAATACGGGGCGCGTAACTGGTGCGTGCCTGTGGATAGTCGCTGGACCCGAACTTACAATACCATCGTTGTAGCCTTGCGCGCTCATGGCGGATCGGATGGTACCATGCGTCAGTGCCTTTTTCTCTCTTCTTTTGATCTCGTCACTTGAGCTCACACGTTCCTTGCTGCAGATCACGTCCGCGGTAAGCCGTTCTCTCCTCCTCAATTGTGTCCAACGCTTTCTAAATGACTTTGGTGTAGACGTGCGAGGGAGCACGAGGCACACCGCAGCTATCGAGCGATTGGCGGCCGCTCCGTCCCGCGTCCCGCCTCCGCCGATCCCAGCTCTGAATAAGAGGTCACAGCTTATAGATCTGTCCGCCCCTCCGGCTCGGCGCCCTGCACATGTGGCTCTTCCATCGTCACCTGTGCGCCGCCCTCCAGCCAAGAGGACCGCAGGCCGTCCAGGCAGAAGTGAGAGGCTCGCTGCCCATGCGCGCATGGTGGCCGCCGCTGGCGATTCATCTGCCGATACCCCCGGCGCGGGCCCTTCTGGTGTGGGCGGTGGCGATGACGGTCCATCTGGCGGCAGTGGCAGCGCCGCTGCGTCTCGCGTTGTTGGCGACGCCTCGGAAGCGTCGCGCGCCCCGGCACCTGCTGCTGGTTCATCTCGCGCCCCGGCACCTGCTGGTTCATCTCGCGCTCCGGCACCCGCTGGCGCATCTCGCGCTCCGGCGCCCGCTGGTCCTTCTCGCGCTCCAGCACCCGCTGGTCCATCTCGCGCTCCGGCGCCCGCTGGTCCATCTCGCATCGCTGGCGCCGCCACTCACCCTGCCCGTGTTGCCGCTCCCGTTGCTGGCCCGTCCGGCGCCAGCGCTCAGGCGACCAGGACGTCCACAGCCAAGGCGCCTGCTGCCCCCGCTGGGCCTCGCATCAAGTCTCGTATTCCTCGTGGCGCGACATTGTCGTACACCTTTCCGGACGACCCATTCGATGGCCTTTCCCTTGCGCTTCAATCTGCCGCTGAATACGAAGACAGTCCCGCTCGCATGGCGTCCATGCATTGTACGTACTTGCATTCCGAGCCTCCTCGAGTGGTTCTCTAATGTCGTTGGGTAGTATTCGACCTGCCCATTGAGCTGGAATGCATCTTCGATGACCCCTACGATCCGGCGTCGGACATGGATGTGGACGACCTCCTTATCCCTGTTCGCGAATACCTGGGCAAGCCCGATGCATCCTGGCGTCCGTTGGAGCAGCGGGCCGCTATCATCGCGCTTCTACGTCTGGGACGCGACATCATCGTTGCCATGGGGACGTCGACTGGCAAGTCCGTCATTGCCCTCGCCCCATCCTTCGCTGAGAACGGGTTGACGGTCATCATGGTCCCCCTTCGCTCGTTGAAGAAGGACTGGGAGCGCCGCCTGAAGGAGGGAAAGGTCAAGTACTTCGACTTTTCTTCCGGAAAGGCCGGCAAAATTCCCGTCGGCACGAAGGTGGTTCTCGTGTCTGTCGACGTTGGCCGCGAGAAAGGGTGGATGGAGGCGCTACGGATCGCGTGTGGTGAAGGAATGCCGATAATGCGTATCGTGATCGATGAGGCCCAGATGGTCCTCACATCGCAGGACTTCCGTCAGCGTTTGCAGGATATCTAAGAGATCCGCTACGTCGCGGCCCCTCTCGTGCTTCTCACTGCGAACGGTACGCCAGATACCATATCCTACTACACCAACGAGTTCGGCCTCTCCAACCCTCTCGTCATCCGCACCCTCGCCGACCGCCCCGAGATCCAGTATATCATCGAGAAAGCATGCCCTAAACCTGACGACGCCGCGACGAAAATCAAGACGTTCGCTGACGCAGCCAAGCTGCGTTTCTATGACCGCTGGATTGTATTCGTTACCTCTGTTGCGGAAGCGTACGCCCTCGCCAAGGCGCTGGGGGTGCAGTGCTATCATGCACCGCGGGACAGCGAGGAATACCAGGTGTCGGATGAAGAGCTTCAGGCCCGCCTAGATGCTTGGATGGCCGGCACCTTCATCGGTATTGTCGCAACGAGCGCGCTTGCCTGCGGTAATGACTTCCCGCACATCCGCATCGTCTTTCACTGGGGCGTTCCTCGCACGCTCATCGACTTCCTGCAAGAGTCCGGACGCGCCGCTCGTGATGGGCGCGTGGGCTACTCCGTCGTTTTCCCCAATCCCTCCTTCCCTGGCTCTAACGCAGTCCCTGTCCTACGCAATCTGCAGGGACACCACGTCATACACTACCTGTTCTTCCGTATGCCGAGCATGCTCAGTCCAACGAGCCCCAATAAATGCATACGCCGCGTCATCAACATATTCAACGATGGCGTCCCGCTCACCTGCTTCCGAATCCGCGGAGCGCAGCTCTGCCACTTCTGCCTGCAAGGTAACGTTTGTGTGCCCTTCCGCTGACGCATGCTTCTCATACTTTGAGCAGCACATAGGGCGCTTAGCGGAGACGATAGGGAGCGGCGGAGACGCTATCAGTACGCCCCGCACCGCCCGGACATGGTCCAGCCTCTTGTTCCTCGCTTATACTCTCCTGCAACGGCCACTCAGGTCGAGCGTGCCCTGCACGACGGCTTCGCGGATGCTGTGCTAGCGGCCGAGGCGCGTACTATGGACCGCATGGCAATGACCGCCAACCAGCTCCAGAACTGGGAGGACCTGCTGGAGGAGGTCGGCCCAAAATCATGCGGCTACTGCTTCGTCCTTTGGAAGTCCGGCCGGTGGGCGTCGCGCGACGAAGCCAATATTGAACACGAGATGTGGTGGTGCCCTAGCTCGCCCGGTCGCCAGGAGTGGCAGTGGCTGCGCAAGCTGCCGCAGTACAGGGACGATGGATCGATGGACGTGTGCTTTAGCTGTCACTTCTCGAAGATCGGGCGTATCCATCCACCGTATTCGAACCGGTCGAAAGGAAACCACCCTCATCTCGAGTTTGTGCTCCCCGCTCTTTGGGCAGTGTGGTCGGACGCTGCCCTTCACGCCGATGCGTTTTGTGACCTCCAGGTTGCGGAGCATAATCATTCCTGGGACTCACTCGAATCACTCTGCCGATGGCTCGTTGACCCGGCCGCAACGAACAGCCTGGTAACGGGGAAAAGGCTTTTCGAGGCTCCTGGCATGGCGTTCATGGAGTGGCTTCGCCGGCGGTTCCAGATCGGTGACAAGACATATCTCGGTGCGTCTGCCCAAGCTGGCTACATCGTTCAGCCGTCTCACCCCATATTAGTCCAGCTCGCCGCCCATGGCGTCCTAAACTAGTTGCAGATTCTACTTCACCTACCACACCTCCTTTCTAAATATTGTTGTTACTTGCTCCGTCCCGATCTGCGACACAATTCGTCCTATATTTTCGTCTTGGCCATGTTTGCTCTCACATCTCACTATGTAACATTGATTGCATGCTACGATACTCTTCGCGCTTCCGCAATAGGCTTCCCTGCTTGTGAGCGTTGTGATCGTATCGGGTGCTATCGCGAGACGGCGGAGGCTAGTAAAACGCAGTCACAGAGGGCCAAGAGCGACGCTCAGCCATGTTGGACGGGTGGCGCGCTGACCCAGATGAATGCCCGGGCAGACTGTGCGCTGAACAGGCTTACTTTTCTACGGCCTGCTGTATTCATATTACCGCTCCGGAGGTACTCTGTACGCCTCAAGCTCAGGCATCTACGTTGTGGACGGCCCCAGCCCAGGCTCAGCGGAAGTGAAAATGATGGCATTGACCAAGGTAGATATGTTCGGTCCTATAGAAGCTACAGGCTACCTACGTGTTCTCGCGCTCGCACGACAATGACCGCGCCTTCGCATCCGCCACGCTCGACGGAGCTGGGGAAGGGCTGCACGAAGGCCCGGTGGCGGACCCGGACTGCGTCCTTTCCACGCTGGGCGTGCGGCTAGGCATGTCGGGGCATCCCTGTAGGGACGCGGAGGCGGGCGTACTACTGCGGGACAGGGGGGCGGTGTTGTGCAGGCTCGCCCCGTATTTCATTGGCGTGTTCAGGGATGGATCGATGTGCGCCGTGCGTACTCCCGGCCGGGTAAAGGCAACCTCGGCCGCTTCGGCAGCGTCAAGGTGATCGATGAGGTGGTTGGCAGCGTCAATGAAGTTGGGGGCGATGTCAAGGTACTTGTTGAGTTGCTCGAGGGAGTCGGCGACCATCGTGACGCTCTCAATCAGTGCTGGTATGTCCTACGGACGATCAGACACGGTTATGCAGCTTATGCGCGACGCACCATTGCATCCCATGGACTGTCTGACTCCAAAGTCGCTTCCGTCGTTGCCTCACTCTTGGTTATTTTAGTAAAGATAATGGGCTTGAATATTGTTACACACCTCCGTGTTCCCCTCACCACCGTCCGTGGTTTCTACATCGGCGGCGCGCTGGCGATCTTTGAAGCTAGCGAACCACGTCGATTCGATAAGCCTGCTCATGGACTCGTATAGCTCCTTATCGGGCGCCTCAGGCGACCACCGTGCGAGTGCGGTAATGACGTCCCAGTGCTCATCCACAAGTTTGCGCTGCTCCTCCCTGCTTGCCTCGACCAGGTGAGTGGCCGCGGCTTTCAGGCTCGGATAGTCGTCTGGCGGGGTCATGGCAGAAGGCAGGTCGGCTTCATCATGCGTCATCGATCGCTGCACAGACGGCCTTACACGTGCCGCCCCGGCACGTCCCGCGCGCTATCCCACCATCCGACCGGCCATTTCATGTGGTGCGGCTGACGTCTTCTACATGGTAAGGCGTACTTCCCCTGACCGTTAGATTGATTATATGGTACGAGGTTTGCTAATTCCCATGTCTTGTCCAGGACGGTTGGCTCAAGCAAGACACAGGGATAAATCACGGCGCACAAGCGGCCGGCCGGCTCCGGGATACGCCAAGGTCGCCTACAATGGGGCGTGAAAGCAGGAGCCGGAGGGGTCCCGCATGTAGAACTCTTCTCGCACGCTGCAGATACGCGGCCGGGATACCTTGCAAACGCACCTAACATATTATACACAGGCCGGCCCAGACCATTGGTTGATGCCAGCGCCGCATCGGGGTTCGATCCGTATGATGTCATGAGTCAGATGCCCGCCCTTGTCTCCAACCACGACCATGGAAATGGAAGACGGCCTAACCGGTGCATCGCTGGCCTCGCTTTTCATCGCTCGCAATGACGAGAACCGGTTCAGTATCGCTCACTACTGTCTTGATGAGTTACTCCGATTTGTACGGGAGAGCACCGATAGCGAACGCGATCTGGCGATAATGGTGGAGATGGCGGCTGCAGCCACATACACGCGGATGATGGTGGAAATTGCGAACTTGACAGACATGTTCTACAAACATATACGGCGTGAGCTTCCTTCAGAGGAGAAGGAGCTAGCGGCTCTTCACCGCAAGATGACAGATCTTACGGGCCTTCCCATGAAGGGCGCGCAGCGTTTGTTCGACGAGCTTGTTGTGAGTGACACACCCACTAGACCTTGGTCTACACTAACCCACAGCAGCCAGATCAACAAGCACTGTACGAGTTGTTCGTGCTTGGGAAGCCGAAGGATCAATTGTCTTGGTTTGTTTAGCCCTCCCTCCTTGAAATGTCCGTACTGATCCCTGATCCGCAGCCAGCCAAGTGCGGCAGGGACACTTGCCATGCTTGCAGTGTACGATTGGGACCAGAAGACGCACGGATCTACTAGGCCTGAAGTCCCTCGCTTGGTGCGTATCCTACGTCTTGTCTACCGCAGCGTGATAATAGATCTCATCAGCGTTGCTTGCAATGCTACCGGGCGGATGCGGCATGTAGGGTACCGCCCGGACAGCCGCGAATGGGGTGCGTACGCTGCAGGTGCCATGACCAGTGGTGCAGCCGCCGCGCCGACACGACCGATAATCAAGCCGAGGCAGATATGGGATATGCTATGGCCCAGCTATCGGCCGTCGTCGAGAGGCTAAACGACGAGGCGGCGTCCGCGGCCGCGGTGGCCGCATCCGCTGCTTCCCAAGAGATGGCCTCCGCAGACTAGCCTTCCCTATCGCGGCGGGCAGTGGTCAGCGCGTACAGGACCGTGCGTTGGAGCGAACACATTTCAGGGCGGGGAAAAAACAATGATCATATATCGTCATGTCATGTACCTTTATATGTCTGCAAGAGATCCATGTCTGTAGAGCCCAGGACGCATGGTCTGTCCTGGCCCTTCGCGACAGCAAACCGATTGCGGCCGGCCCGTTTTGACTGGTTTTCTGATCAATTCATATCGCGTGCTGCAATAGTGATGTCATCAGTCCATACGCCTGTTATTACATCATAGATCCCTCTGCGCGCTTTGTCCTCAACCGCCACGATGCAAAACACGACCAGCGACTTGACCAAACCTGTGCTTCTCTTCCTACTTTGTGATCCCTCCGATCGGGTGGCGATCGTCAAACGACACATCGGCGACCTACTGCGGTTCGTGCGCAATGATCGACCCGACCCAACCCTGTATACCCTCCTGCGAGATGCAGTGGATGACCTTCAGGCCCGCTACTCTCAGGATGTCAGCGACGCGGCGGTTGTTTATCGCTTGGAGCACCCGCACGGTCTACCGGCCGGGCATGACCTGCCTACGCCTTGTATATCAGAGTCAGGGTACGGGCCCCTTGAAGAGGTGGAGGACTTGGCCAGCCAGGCTGGCTATCCTGTTCATCAATTGCAGGACTTGTTCTTAGCCGTGAACGTGAGTCGCGCGCATCACATATATTCATGATTGTCCTGACGTGCCCGCGGGCTTCCTGATAAGCCCGAACTCCCACCCCGCGATCCCAACGAACCAAATACACCGCCCACAAGCGAGGCCGAGACCGGGGACGCGCCGGGTGATGGAGGCGCGCCGCCAGGCTCGGATGCGGAGGGAGCCATACAGAACTTCTGCCGGGTTGTTATACGCAGCTCCCCGTATCGCCGCCTGCCGTCCCCTAGTGAGTCGCAGCAGGAGAACGAGTATGTGACAGCCGATGGAGCCGGGTTAGCATTTCGCGATGCCCCACCGGCGCGTACGCCGGTATGTCCAGAGAGTCTGTTCCCGCCGCTTGCTTATGCCGGTCCAGGGTTGTCCATCGTGCGTCTCACTTGGCAGGCGCTGCATTCCCACAGAGGGATGCTGCGCCAGCTGCGATGGGATCGCCATCCGGTATCTTCTCCCGCGTTCACAGGAAAGGTCCGTACAGGCTTTCAACGATGCGGCGCAATACCTGATCAGGGAGGTGGAACGCACGGCGGCGAATCTGCCTATTGTGGAATCGTTCGGATCGGTCTTGCGCCAGCTAGACGCCGGAGGTCATTCTTCGTTTCCATAAGTTGCAGTAAATATAACATGTACTCTTCGAAAGCATATTTACCTTGTCGATACATCATTCTATCAGGGAGATTTTTCTGGCCCATCGCCCGCTGTTTATCCTAATGTGGGAGAGCGTACGTCACGCTTGCGCTACTCCTCCGGACGTGCAGCGTCTGAAACCCGCTTTCTTGCTCAGAGCATTCGTGCCATGTGCGCCCCGGCGGCCGGACGGGCCGGTGCCCTGCTGAGTAAGCCTCCTGCGGCATTGGCCGACATCTCACGTCATCGACAAGATTGCGTCTTGCTCCTCCTCCGAAACATCATGGATAATCAGGACGGGCTGGTCGACCGGTTCCGTGTCGCATTGCAGACTAACAACAGCGCGGCTCTGCGCACGTTCTTCGATCAGCAACGCAATCTTTTCGAGTACGCCATAGCGGGGGGTTTGGGTCCGACCTGCAGCTCTATGGCGTTGTCGGCCGTCATGCCGTTCTTGGAGGCGGATCGTGCTGCTGACAGGGCATCTACGGCGACAGAGCCGCCCGAGCCTGCGGCCCCAGTGACTCATGTGGTTTCCTCCAGTGTGCACGATGCTAGCCGCCCGCTTGCCGTGCCTCCTTCAATCATGCTCTCGGAGGCCAGCTCGCCTCCGCAAGTGCCCTTCGATGATGTGCCTCCCTCCCCTCCGGCCATTCTAAACAATCCATCGTCTGCGGCCGGCGACGACCGCTCTATGTCGCGAGAGGATGCGCGCGCGGCTCATGACTTCCCGAGCTCGACAGACGATGGTCTGCCCGCTCCGCCCCCCGCATCGGCTGCCACGATGTCTGGTCCAGGAGCCTCGAGCGGCGTCAACGCCATCAAAAGGCAGGAAAGCGTCCCACGAGACACGGTGCGCGCTTAATCCCAGACTAGTATGCTCTATCTGACTTCATTTAATTTGCAGCAAGCAGAGGACCCGCGCGATCTCCTCCTGTCAGCGCCGTTGTATGTTATCACTCCCCATCCATGATGTATACGCTCATTTGATGGTCAGGATCCCGCACAGTCCAACAGAGATGCGCCGAGCTTCCGACGGTGTCAGCATGGCACTTCAACCTCCGGTCGAATCCGATGTGGCGATCCACATGCAGGATTCGGACGTGGTAGCGTTGCTGGAGGCGATGAAGCGCCTTTCATTCCAGGCGTCCGAATTTAGTCATCGGGCTTCCCTGATACCAGTCCTGGCCGACACCGCCCGCGAGCTGGTGCGCCGCATAGACCACAGTGTAGGCTTTCACTCTGGCGCTTTGTGGCGAGTAGCCGCTGATCTCTCCCCACAGATGCGCCCTCCTGAAGTAGGAAGCAGTGTAGGACCCGACACATTCGGCGTGGATATCAGGGAGGCAGACTAGGATAGCGACGCCCTCATAGTACTGCGCAGTAGGCACCAGGTTTAGTGACAGAATAGAGACCAGTCGGTAAATAGCATATTCAATCTTCATTATCTTTGTACCTAAATCCATGATAACAAGCACCGCCACCGCTCTATACGCTGGCGCAAGCACCGTCGACAATTATTCCATGCGGCAAACCTGATCGGCCTGTTCGGTAGAGAGCTCCCCTCATTCCCTCTTCAGAGCCAGCGATGCCGGATCGGCGCAACTGCTGCAGGCGGTTTGACGTTGTTTACAATGATTTTTCCGTGTTTGACTAGGCGACCGGCCGCCTTCCAAGTAAACACAGCATGGCAATCGTGCGTCCGGCGCATTGTCACCTCTTCGCTCTTCCCACTTGGGACTCTGAGATGCCTCTCCCAGTCATTGAGAAGGTGCGTCTTTCCATGACCCGTGTGAGCGATGCTGACCTGACCTGCAGTTTCCTCAGATAGCCGCTTGGGCGCGTACCCGCTGCGGCATCTGTATCGTCCTCGATCTTCTCACTGGCATGGGCGACAACCCCCGACCGGCTGACCACGAGCCTATACGCTGTCCCACCCTCTCCGACGAGGGGCCGCGCCATTACGCAGCCTTCCGTCGTGCAATTCAGGAGGATTGGCGCTTTGGGGCCTGCAACACGTGCCACGTCGTCGGGGCAGTACACCCGCCACCCCGGGCCCTCCGTGACCCATATTGGCATCCTTTCATTCACAGTGGAGCCGCTGTGCCGTACGCGATATATATGAGCGATTCCCTACGGGCTCTGGCCCGTGACTTCGTTCAGCAATCACACGGGGTGACGTTGCCGAGCTGGGATACCGCTGAACTGTTTGCGAGGTGGCTAGGTTCCGATCCTAATGTCTTGACGCCGACCCATCGTATTGCCTACTCAAACAGTATGATCCTTATATACTTCATTTGGTGGTTATCTACGGTGTAGGGCATGGTGCGGTGTCTAGACATGGCCATATCACAGTCGTTACGCGTCGAATGTAAGCCCCGCCCAATGAATCATCACCCGTCAACAATCGAGACATCTTCTCCGATGGCGCTGGCTCTACCCGAACGGCCAAAAGGATTCAAGTATTCCGTGATCCTTTTTGGACCCGCCAAATATATAATTCGTTTCGTTGTTTGTGAGTTTGACTTTCCCGTTCCTAGGATTGCACCGCGCTACTCGCATCCGGCGGGCGACCCACGCGGCCGTCGCACATCAACATATCCACCATTAAGAGCTCGCGTGAATGTAGGTGTAGGCGGGTGCGCATGAAGCACGGTCGGCAGGCTCGGCCGCGCTTGTGGCTTTGTTGATAGTCGCTTAGTACGCCACTGCGCCACAAACCGCTACAAACGCAAATATCAAGGTCTGCCCCGCACGGGCCGGCTGCATTTCTGTCCATCAATCGTCCAAAGGCATTATGACGGCGGGTGGGCTGAGGCATATGCACTGACGGCGCCGGGGATGACTGACCCAGAAGCAAAACGGAAGCGGCAGCGGCCGCCGGGTCTCTGCATTCGGGCCGTGCCAGGTGTTGACCCCATCAATAACATTCTATCGATACCCTATACCTATCCAACTGATGTTATACTTCTAATGTATGTTGAAGTATCTGGAAAGAAGGTTTCCCTAATCCTTCGCGGCCGTTGGTCTGCAGACGGTCGGCATTCGCCGTCGCCCGCGTGGCTGACGACTTGCGTCACGCCACGTGGCAGACGCATCAGCCGCGTCATACTCGGCGCATGTTCACTTTTGCTCTCAACCACCATGTCCACTGCTCCTTCCCCCGCGATGCTGCGCGCCATTGGCGCTATTCTCGCTGCGGGGAACGATCCAGAGGCCATCCAGCGGGTCTATGACGAGCACCGGGCTGACCTCCGCTTAGTCATGTCTGGCGCCGCTGGTGAAATCCTCCAGGCCGATGTCCTTGCCGCCATCGCGTTGACCGCCCCCACCAATCGTCCATCCGACACGCCAGCACCGCCACCCAGGGTTGCCCCTGCCGCACCCTCACCTCTCCCTCCTCCTGCGCCATCCGGCCCCGCGATCGAGGGCGATCGGGGTGCGGATTCGGTCGCGCCAGTGCGAGCCAGCGCACCAGTCGCGCGGCCGTCGCCAGCGTCTTCCGCGCCGGCCACTACGCGCCCGCAAGCTGCGCTGCCTGCCGCTGTGCCCGCGCCGTCTCCGGCGCCTTCCCCACCACCCACAACATCGCCACGAGCCTCTCGATTGTCAAAGTTCCGCTCGCAGCGCGCTGCCTCGCGCGCCCGCGCCTCCCCGGAAGCACCTACCCCTAGCACCGCCGATGAAGATGTCGACATGGAGCCGGAGGACCCTCCGCCTGCCACGAAAGCCAAGCGCGGGAAGGGGAAGGCTCGTGCTGCGGCCCCGCCGTCGCCGCCGCCGCCGTCGCCCCCCAAAAATCGGGCGGCGCGCACATCAGCACGCCCTGTCCGAAAGTCCACGCGCCGTAACACCAAGGGGGCCGCATCCAGCCGAGCTCAAGGGGAGGACGATGACGAGAAGAGCACGGGGAACGCCAGCGGTGATGAGGTACGTCTGCGCCGCCTTTGACAGAGACTTCCGGCTGATCCTTTTCTTTTTGAGGCTGCCACCGTTGTGATTCACGCCTCCGGGTACGTAGTGTCCCCGAGATCGGCATCCGTCGTTCGCTCACGATGGTTTCAGGAAGAAAGCCAAGTCCCGCGCCCATCCCGAAAAGGTGAAGGGCAGCGAGGAGTTGCCCACGGCGCGCGCAGCGATCAACGACCCGGTAAGCGCTTCTGCTTCTCCATACTACCCCGCGCTGACCGGCGTAGCCCTGCGACAAGTGCAGAAGAAACGGGTTCCAGTGTCTCAAACGCACCGACACTCCCAACGCGACCCGGGCCTGCCAAAGGTGCAACTCCACGAAGGCAAAGTGTAGCCTTGCGACCAACGCCAGTGCTTCACGTGCCTCGCCCGCCGCGAGTATCGCATCGGCAGGTGACGGTAGCGAATCACCTCCACCTCGGCCGCTACCCCGCCCCGCTTCCTTCAATCCGACACTCTTGGCTACGCTGCCCGTCGCCATGACCAGCCTGGCTACAAGCCTGGAGCAGATCAACGGTCACTTGAGCGGGCTAGGGTACATTACGCGCCTTCTGGAGCAAGCGAACGCGCGGATGTCGCTCTTGGACGCGCGGCTGCCGCCCCTCTCCCACGTTTCGTCTGCCTTGCGCCCCCCCGCTCCTCACCAAGCCCCCTCCCGCATCGACTCGCGCACCCCGTCAGCCCGGTCCCGTGATGACTCCCCGTCGTCGCAGGATTCGCGGAAGCGCAGGCGCATGGGCACGGAGACCTCGGCGCCCGCCGCTGGCTCTGCAGGCCGCCCCTCTCCCGCGCCACCGCGCGCTGGCAGCTCCGCGCGGGCCTCGTCGCAGACGTCGGCGGCCCCAGGCGGGTCCGACACCGGACGTCCGGTGGTCCCGACGTTCCGCGGTAGCTCGGCGGTCGCCGCCGCGCGCCCGCAGGCTCATGCCGCGACGCCGCGTCGTCGCGAGACGCCCGGCGCCCAGGCTGAAGCACCATCGGCTGTGTCGGACGTGCCGGAGGACGCAGCGGCAGGAGGTGGCGAGGAGGGTGGCACAGCCATGGACGTCGACAAGGCAGTTCAGGAGTAGGCGGGCTTGGTTGGACAGGTTGCGGACGGACATATTTTCGGCATACTGTTTCTTGGACGATATTCTGGTTTTCGCTTCATTCTCGTTTTTCTTGCCTTTGTTTCGTACTTTCTTGTTATTTCTTCTTCTTGGTTTTTTCTTGTTTCATCGCTCCCCTATCCCGTGCTGACGTACTTTTTGGACAATATATGTAGTCATAGTTCTTTTGCTGCTGCTCTGCTATGTTTTGTACAAGATGGACAATATGATGAAGTTGAATCCCCACATGCTTAGAGGTCCACCACGCTTCCTTCACGTATTGGAACACCTTAGAACCTGGTTCAGCATCAATACAAGGTAAGAACGTTGTCCTCCTCGCTAGACGGCCCAATAGAACCTTCACTCCATTCTGTTCTGCCACTCTTAGGGTTAGGGTTAGGGTTAGGGTTAGGGTTAGGGTTAGGGTTAGGGTTAGGGTTAGGGTTAGGGTTAGGGTTAGGGTTAGGGTTAGGGTTAGGGTTAGGGTTAGGGTTAGGGTTAGGGTTAGGGTTAGGGTTAGGGTTAGGGTTAGGGTTAGGGTTAGGGTTAGGGTTAGGGTTAGGGTTAGGGTTAGGGTTAGGGTTAGGGTTAGGGTTAGGG